GAGGAAGAGAGTGCTTGGCGAAGAGCATCCTTCCACGCTGACCAGTATTAATAGTCTTGCCTTTACGCTGCAGTCTCAAGCTCGTCACGAAGAGGCTCTTGCACTGATGGAAATATGCTTCCACCATCGCCAGCAGGTCCTTGGCGAGCAACATCCTCATACACAGTTGTCGCTGGATGCGCTAAAGAGCTGGCGAGCGGATCATCTTAATAATGTCTCGTAACGTCACCTTTGGATGTGGATCCTAGAGGCCAATGCCATAAATCAGGGAAATCAAGTGTACTTTCAACAGTATGTAGTAATTCAGTGATGGATGCTGCTGGAACCTTTTCCGGAGGGCGTAAATCCACTCACCACAGCAAAGATACGCAGCGAGACAGTAGGCCTAAGCCAGCAGCGAGTATGAAGCCTGGCTGGCTGCAACACTTGCGTAGAAATCCGGAAGAATCGCTGCCTGCAAATCGGTAATAAGAGCTACCTAAGGCGAGGCGCTCGAAGCCGCAGTTCCCAGCCATCGTGTGACCCGCAGACATATCCGTACGCTACTAAAGGCGCACGTCCGATCACACGCGTTCTACTGACTTGCCGCCAGCGCGGAGAAACTGCCGGGATGCATACTCCTCACCTTGGGTTCCCGTTTAAGTTTGCAGTTGTCAGATAGACAATCGAGCAGGGACCATGCAATTGTCGTACTACCGCCCAGGGGTCAAACCAACCGAACAGAGGTGACAGAAATCAACATGGATCCATCAACAATATACAAGAATCATCGCCCATCAGCATATCTTATTGTATGCGAGCATCTAATCTGACAGCAGTATTGATTTTTGCCATCTTGAATTCCTTTCCTGCCCAGCGAGCTCGCCATATGTGTATTATGTTGCGAACGCACATGGGGTAGTAGAGGAGAGCTACCGGTAATGGATAGCACTAATAGAATGAGCGACACATTAGTTGACGACACACTTTCTAGTATTAGAGGCTAACATGGGGTAAGGATGAGAGTTGTAGAACGTATAAATATTGCACTTATCATTAGTCAAGTGCGCTTGGACAGACATCAGTACTATGAAGTTAGTTGAGTCGGATGGTCGCAGGCGCGCAGTGCAGTTGCGGCCCGTGCGCCTGAAACCCGGGCAGCCTCAGCCCTCACGCAAGCGCGCCTCAGACGCCTGCGCGTGTTTGATGGCGCAGATCACGGGGAAGAGTTAATGCGATGCGGGCTAGGAGAATGGGTTCGAGCCTGAGGTGGAACGGTCAAGCGAAAGGTGCATGGTGGATCGGAATAACGGACAAGCAGCAGTTCAGTACGGACTGCATAGACACATTTGAAATCTTAGTATTTGTTTTGATTTGTATCGCTACAGTGCATGCTGAGTTGAACACCCGCTGCGTGACAGAAGTGGCATGGAAACCACAATCTTGCGTACTTTAAAAAAGCATAGTCGTGGTAAAAACGTGACTTCGACGATGTGTGTCGCTTCATGGATGATGCATTCCAAACGCCTCCGCAGAGTGCGGGTATAGTGAAAACGACGAGTGAGGAAAGATGGTATCGAATTGGCTGGGTGAAGTTGCTGAACTGGTGCCCGCCGCGTTTACAGAGAATCGTGTCGTCGACTGCGAAGAGAAGAGATGCGGCCTATACGTTGGTGCGACGTGTTGCACCGCGCTTGGGGAGGGTCCAGGGTTCGGGGCAGACAATCTTTGTAATGTTAGTATGGAAATTTGAGAATGAGATGGATGGAAGAGCGTACCTCGCCTTCGCTGTAGGCCCAGAAGTACGCCATCATGCCGATGATGTAGTAGAGGCCGGCGTTGGTGCCCTGGTAGATCAAAAGAGCGACGAGGGAGCTGAGCGGGTAGACGATAAGGCGGGCCTCGATGGAGCGGTGGAGGCCGGAGCCGGCGAGGAATCCGAGGGGCCACTCCCAGGCCAGGCCGATGACGCCCATGATGATGTTGATGATCTGGAGGGCAGGTACGGGTTTGACGGCGCCGTCGAGGTTCTTGGTGAGGAAGTCCCAGAAGATCTTGGGCCAGAAGAAGGCTTCGATGGCGGCCGCGATCTGGTAGGCAGCGGCCGTCAGGACAATCAGGCGCGCCCAGTGGTTCTTGATTAATTTTCCCATGGCTCCGGCTGTTGAAAAAGGTATTAAAAGAAAGGACGAGTTGCAAGACCGACCCGGCGGCAGAGACGAAGAGAAGGCAAAGGTAAACGACTGTATCGCGCAGCGAGCTACCAGTAGCTAGAGCAGAGAGCAACTGGCAGCCCAGGGCGGGTCTGGGTTTTGTTATACCAGGCGGCGAGGCAGGCGTTCGTCACAGGCGGAGCGGTTCAGGCTTAGTGGTGTCCAAGCGGCGATCAGATGAGACTCAGGCACGGGAGCCGTTGCTTGCGGGCTGAGGCTGTCCTGCGACGGTGGAGCAGAGGGTTCAGGCACGGCTCGAGGCAGAAAGGGCGTGGTTATGCTACAGCAGGCGTGTCACGACGATGGATGGGGAGGGCATGGCAGCCGTAAATGCAGCGAGCCCTTATGCGCCGGGGGCGGGCGAGCTGGGATGCGCTGCCCTCTAGCCGCTGCAAGGCCCCTTGCGGGCGCCGCCCCTGCCCGCTCGCCTGCAGCCACCAGCACTGGCCCGCCGCCGCAGCCTGCATCGCAGCCACTGAGGGCCAGCAACGGCTCTCTGGGCACCGCCCGCGAGCACTGAGGCGTCACGTGAAGGTGCTGCCAAGCCGCGCCCGCGGCGTGGGGTCGCTCGGTACTCGCGCGTCGTCGTGTGGTTCGCCAGCGCCCAGAGCGCATCTCTGCGGATTCTGATAGCAGCGCGCAGTCGAGGCCCGGTGGAATATTGGAATGTTGGAATGCTCCTCCCACGTGCGACCCCGTTCGGAGCGGTGAATGACTGGCGGCAGACCCCACTCCCTGCGCTGTGTCTGCGCACATGTCCACCGCCCAAAACCGCCATTGGCCCGTGCCGGATGCCTCAGTCCCGGTTCGAGGAACGCCTCAGGAAGCACAAGTGCCTCCGTTGCGCGGGAGCAGCAGATCCGTGTGCCTGAGCACCCGCGAGCAGATCATTGCAGGAGCATCAAACAACATCGTACGACAAAGTTTACATCAGAAGCTGCAGGCTGCGAAGCCGTCCCCGGCCGCCGCATGCTCAGGCATGACGCCGGGCCTTGACGTCCGCGACAGCGGATCCACCAGGAGCTTGACAGACGCTGTCAAAACAATGTCGTCTGATACTGAGCGAGTGTCGTATGACATTGTTTGCTGCAGTGCCTGTCAAGCTTTCAGTTGCAGGGCTTGCGCGCGCGCCGGATGGGGTATGCATCCGTCTGTCAAGTGCGAACCATGGATGCCGCAAACAATGGTCTGATGTTGTTTTCAGACTGCGGCTGTTGGAGAACGGGTGGTTTTCTGGAAGACGCACTGATATCACCTTGCCGTTGCTCGTCCCAATCGGGCAGTGCGCGATGAAGCAGCGGCGACAATTCCCCGGTTGACCCTGCGTGGCAGCACGAAAGACTGTACCCTCACATCCAAACAAGTAGCCGACATAATGTCGGTGGAAGCAGATATTCCAGATCGCCTGTACTGCTCACGCTCACGGTCTCTGTTAATTGACTTTGCGCCTGGGTACCTCGGCCGCTCTTCTCCGTCTTTCTCTCGTCAGAACCATCTGATGCACGGTCCAGTAGCGCAGGATTCGAGATCTTGGTCGCACAGCATCTGCCCGCTGCAGCCGACCGAAGAGGCTCAGGCCCCCGCTAAAGGCATTTGCATAGCAGCTGGCTGGTGCTCGCACCTCGCTGTGGGCTTGGCCATCACAGCCCGAACTCAAGGCCCCACCCGCGATGCCATTCCACGCCCACGGCAGTTCGACTAACCATCGACTACATCGCGTGGCCACGGTGGGACCTGGATGCGTCGTCCAAGGGCACGACTATTTTGGACGCCAAAGCCACCTGCACGGCACCGCTACGGCGAGTTAGCGCGGGGTCCTGAGCGGTTACAAGCCCGCGCACATTGGCTCGAACGGTAGCGCCACGCCCCGGCGTCCAGCCCTCCAAAGTCGTGCTGCCAACCACAGCGTCCACACGCCTCAGGACTACCCTTCCTGTGCGCGCATTCACGCCCCGGCGTGTCCAGCGAAGGTGACCCAGAAGCCTCTCAATAGCTGCACCTTGCAGGGGGATCCTGCCCAAGACACCGACGTCGCCCGCAAGCAGCGTGCTGGGTTGGCGCAATGCTGCACATAATCTAGCCTCGCTCTTCCACCACAATTCCACCTTTGAACTTGCTTGACAATTGCTATCACAAGCACACTGCTCTCCGCGGCCCTCCTCTCGCGCGCGTCACTTCTCTTTGCACGTCACGCTGTCCAAGCTCCAACGTGAACTGTCTCAGCGAACCCCTGCGCATCATCGAATCGCCTCTCGGTCACAACCAAAACTTCAAATTACCCGAGCACATAGCAGCTGTCAAGACACGTCGGCGGATCAGGCACGCAGCGAGATCGCTAACAAAGCGCGCACTACGTCGTTGTAGAATTGATTCACGGTGCCGTCGTCGAGGACGAACCCAACCATTACATTACACAACGCCCGTGCTCCCGCGCGCTTTGCCGCATAGCCGTGCAGACTCCAGGCCCAACGGTTCTATATTTCCCGATCAGTCATCCCGCTACAAGGAAAAATGGTTCTGTGCCTGTCGCTTCAGGTTTGAGACGTTCCTCATACACTAGGCGCACATCGCATAGCCGCAACCCCAACAACACACTCCACGAACATCACAACTGCCCAGCCCTTCCGGGTTTCGTACCGCTTCATCTCTGCCTGAGTCGCAAACCCTGTCCGAGAGGCTGCAAATTGTAATCCACATTATCGCATCTTCTATGCAGCAAACCATCAGGGCTTCGGTTTGAGCCACGCCCGTTCCGAACGCGCCTGTTGGTTTCATCACATCGTGCCGTCTTCCCAAAACGCACTGGTCATCCGAGATCCATCTGATCTGCGCTACACCCACTAGCTAGGCCCCAAAGCTTACCCTCTTTAACCCTGGGTGCCCGGAAGCCTTGGGCGTCATCTCTACCTCCGCTCCTTCCTACAACATCCCACTCCTCCACCTTCGTCGCTCGACGCCGACATTCTTTTCTTCACTTCGTATCTGGCTGGCCGGTTTGAAGTCGACTGGGTCCCTTACCTCTCCGGTCGACGTTCGCTTTCCTTCTCGTACGCTCTTTAATAGCTCGTAATCACCGTTGAACGGCCGGCCCTCTTGGACTGCGATTGATGCTCCGCGCTCCGAACTCCACATAGGATCATATTATTATCGACACTTGAAAAGTAATCATGGCGGGCGGCGGATCAGTATGGCGCGGCTTCTTCACGCCACAGAAGCTGGCGTTCAACTTCTTCTTTTGGGGCTTCCACTGGGCGATATTCGGCATAGGATGGTACGTCGCCGTACCAAGCTCGCTCTCACACACTTACTGACCTCGCGCAGGTGGAAACAGGCAATTGAGCCTAGACTCGCACCTTTGAACGCCCTGCAGTTTTCCGTGTGGTCCTCTCGCGGTGCAGGGTTGGTGCTGTCGGTCGACACCATGGTCATTGTCATGCCCATGTGCCGCAACTTGCTACGAATGATTCGGCCCAAAGTCCGATGGCTACCGCTGGACGAGTCCATGTGGTTCCATCGACAAGTCGCCTACGCCATGGTTTTCTTCACAATTATCCACACATCGGCGCATTATGTCAAGTACGTCTCCACTTGCGGCAACGCTGAACCCCACTAATTGTCCTAGTTTCTTCAATGTCGAGAGGACACAAGTGCGTCCGGAAATCGCTCTCCAGATTCATTACACCCAGGCTGGTGGAGTTACTGGACACCTCATGTTGCTCATGATGTTGCTCATCTACACCACCGCCCACCACAGGATCCGACAGCAGTCGTTCGAGACTTTCTGGTACACCCACCACCTCTTCATCCCATTCCTGCTCGGCATGTACACGCACGCTACTAGCTGCTTCGTGCGCGACACCGCTGCTCCCTTTTCGCCCTTCGACCACGAAGGCTTCTGGACCCACTGCATTGGTTACGAAGGCTGGCGATGGGAGCTTGTCGGTGGAGGCCTGTACCTCATGGACCGCCTGTACCGAGAGATCCGCTGCAGGAGGCAGACCCAGATCGTCAAGGTTGTCCGCCACCCATACGGTAAGTAAATCACCTGCGAGCTTTGAGCTGAGCCTGATGCTTGATAGATGCTGTTGAGATCCAATTCACCAAGCCCAGCATGAAGTACAAGCCCGGACAGTGGCTGTTCCTCAACTGCCCAGAAGTCAGCTACCACCAGTGGCATCCCTTCACCATCACCTCCTGCCCTCAGGACCCCTACATCTCTGTCCATGTGCGCCAGGTTGGTGACTTCACCCGCGCTCTCGCGGACGCCCTCGGTGCGGGTATGTCGCAATCCAAGCTCTACGACGACCTTGACCCGATGGGCATGTACGAAATCGCGCTGCAGCACGGCCAAAAGATGCCCGCGCTCCGCATCGACGGCCCTTACGGAGCGCCCGCCGAGGACGTCTTCGAAAACGAAATCGCCGTGCTCATCGGTACCGGTATCGGAGTGACACCCTGGGCGTCCATCCTCAAATCCATCTACCACATGCGTCTCTCGCCCAACCCTCCCAAGCGCCTTCGCCGCGTCGAATTCATCTGGGTCTGCAAGGACACGTCTTCGTTCGAGTGGTTCCAGACGCTGCTCTCCTCGCTCGAAGCACAGTCCATGGGCGGCAACGAAACCGACCAGTTCCTCCGCATCCACACATACCTTACCCAGAAAATCGACTCAAATACTGCGCAGAACATTGTCCTCAACTCCGTCGGCACCGACAAGGATCCCCTCACCGAGCTCAAGTCAAGGACCAACTTTGGCCGCCCCGACTTCCAGCGCTTGCTGTGCGGCATGCGCGACGGTATCATCGATCGGACGTACATTGGCGGGCTGGAGAGCACGCTGAGGACGGATGTCGGTGTGTACTTCTGCGGCCCGAATGTTGCGGCGAGGGACATCAAGCGCGCGTGCAAGGCGGCGAGGTGCCAGGAGGTCAACTTCAAATTTTGGAAGGAGCATTTCTAGATGCGGTGCATTGTACTTTTTGGAGTCGCGAATTGGAGATGGAATCCAAGGACGACTGGTGGCAGGTGGAAGCGGAATACCTATGTCTATGTCCATGTCTACGCTGTGGAAATACCTATGCTATGCTTTTCCTTCTCCTCTGCTTGAAAGAGGGTCTTGTATGTCAATCATGTCAAATCAAACCTTTATCACCCTCAACCTCGATGGTGCTTTCCCTCGACCTCAATCGCGCCTCAACTGCATGATTCAATCCCTAACGAGGTTCGTATAGGTTCTCTTGGCCCTCGAGCGCACACGTAATTTCCCGCCGAAACTTGCAGAGCCGCATATGCCTGCGCGGCGCGGCGCTATCTGTCAACAGGCGCTTGGCGCCAAGCTGCCAGGCCGGTGTCAGTGTCGTTCGGGTGGACTTGCTGCCGGATGGTGGTGCGAGGATCGTACGTGGGGGGTTGGGGGCGGGAAAAAGTGTACCGGGCCTGGCGGGGGAGATGAAGGGGTGGGAGTGGGGTGTATAGGGCAGGTGAATATAGGACGGTTTGGAGCACGTCTCCTGGACAGGATGCGGACGGGAAGTGCGAGGAAAAGGGGATTGATTGAGAGGGCTGGACATAGATTCGGTCGTAAATAGCAGTGCTGTAAAAGACAATGGTGACAGGGCTTCATGCTCTGGTGTGGATTCTTTCCACGGTTTTATAGAAGACTTTGTGGAGAGTCATATAAGCTTGTTCTACTCGGTTGGCACAGCAGTGGCATACAATGCACAATCTTGGATCACTCAACGACCTCTCTAAATTTACCTAGCAATCGATCAGGAAAGGAAGTTTGGAATAGCACCCGGCGGCGGGACGCACGCGAGATTGAAGGCCATTGGTATGTCACACGTATGTTGTCTACCACTGTTGTGAGGAATCTATTTCAACATCGCATCCTTCACCATGACCTATTCATTCCCCGGCATCCCCACGTAAAGCTCGTGTTCTCTGGGCTTCACCCACATCGGCGTCGTAGTCTCCGTATACTCTTTGTACTATTCTTTCTTATATTCTTTCTTGACCTGCACCTGTCCTCGATGTCAGCTACATCCTCTCCATATGCCGAAACAACGACCGACAAAAGACTAAGACCAGTCTCCCCACGCTTCCACTGAATGGACGACATAGGTGACAAACTTACATTCATCAGCCACTCCAAGCTCGCATCCTAGTTCTCGAAGAACTTAATCTTGTCTGGCGTCTTGGCTGACTGGTACACCTGGAAGAAGACATACTCTGGCTCTGCGGTTACGGCGTCGTGGTTTCAGAGTAGCTAGTGCAAATACGGTTAGCGTAAGAAGACTCACACTCGCGGACAGTACATGTCCCGAACATCCATCTCGTCATGACAGTTGGGTTTTTGCACTCGAACATGTCGCCCCTAAACAATGGCTTAGCTACAGCTCAATTTATGGATCCATACACAAAGACGTGCACAATGTAAGCCGCATCTGCCCGGCCATCCTCAGGACGCAAAATTAGCGCAGAACACCGAAGCCCTGTGTCGCTACAGCACACGGTCAATTTCTCCGCGCCCAGCACCGAGAATCCAGAAATGTTCCCGAACCTGGAGAAACGTGATGATCGCCGCTCGCCCCAAGATGCGGAGCCCCGCGCTGTTCCTGGATTCGGGGTAATTGCCCCCGGAACCGTCTTGGCTTCTCATATATTAAAACCGCAATGACAGGATTGAAAAGGTACCTCGTGCCATTGAGAAGGCACATCGCCCACGAGTAACTTCTTAATGTATATTCCAAGGCTGTCGAGCCAGCTGTTGCTGGCCGCTGGGCTGGCGAGCGCGAAATGGATCGTTCCTGGCGCACGATGGAGAGATACAGCTGGGAACCTGGTCAATGCACATGCTGGGTGCGTGACGGTAGATGAGGAGTCGGGCAAGTTCTTCTTGTTTGGCGAGTACAAGGTGCAGGGACAGGTCGAGGGCGGCGGAGTTGCAGTCTACAGCTCGGACGATCTGGCGACTTGGGAATCGCATGGGTTCGCATTGAGTAAGTTATGCTGCTGAGCGATTGTGATATGTGATCCTGACTGCAGACAGAGCCCGTTGAAGGACATCCATACCTCGACCCGAAAATGATCATCCAGAGACCAAAGGTCGTCTACAGCGATGCCACAGAGAAATACCACGTAAGTGGCTATCCAAAGTATCCGTTATCGATTATAGTACACTCGCTCACAAAAGTAGATGTTCTGGCACGCCGACAACTCCACCTACGGGCTGCTCCTTCAAGGTTTTGCCCAAGCAGATAACATCACCGGACCCTACAGTTTCGTCGACGCCACTTCCCCCCTCGGCAACTGGTCCCAAGACTTCGGCGTCTTCACAGACTACAAGGACGGCCGCTCCTACGCGCTCTACTCCAACGGCGACCGCAAAGAAGCCCGTGACGTCTACCTCACCTCGTATAACTCCAACAAAACCGCCCTCGACACCGTCGTCCACCGCTTCGACAAGTACGACCTCGAGGCCCCCACCATCATCCAGACAGAGTCGTCCTACTTTGCCCTCATGTCCCACAAAACTGGCTACCGCCCTAACAACGTCGTCGCGTTCCGCGCGGACAAGCTGTCCGGCCCCTGGTCCCAGCCCTTCATCGTCGCCCCGCTCAACACCCGGACGTACAACTCGCAGTCCGGCTTCGCGCTGCGCATCAAGGGCCGCAAGCGCACCACGCACCTCTACCTCGGCGACCAGTGGGACTCCAACTCTCTCTGGGAATCGCGCTACATCTGGCTGCCCGTCGCCATCGATGAGCGCAAGAAGTCGCTAAGCGTCGAGTGGCACGATATCTACGACTTGGACGTCAAGACGGGCGAGTACCGCGCGATCCAGGGGACCACGTACCAGGGAGCTGCCGCGAGTACGGCGGGCGCGGCGTGGAAGCAGGAGGCGGCGTTCGCCGACACGGGGTCCATACTGACGGGCATCTACGGCAACGACTCGACCGTCACGTTCTCCAACGTGCAGGGCGCCGGCGCGAAGGACGGCCAGTGGGTCAGCTTCTACTACCAGAACACGGACGACATGGGCTTTGGCGACCAGCCGGGAGGGTCGCCGGACCGCATCGGGGGTGCGTGGCAGCTGCGCAGGATATCTAGCGTCGTGGTCAACGGGGATACCCAGAAAGTGGAGACGCTGTTCCAGCGGGACACGCACAAGGGCATTGTGCTGAGCACGCCGTTGAAGCTGAAGCTGCGGAAGGGGAAGAATGAGATTCGGATTGGGGGCTTGAGCAACGGGTTTGATGTGCGGGGCGCCGATATTGAGAAGATTGTGGTGTATCCGCCGGAGGGGTAGATGGGTGACGCCAGCGCAGTGTAGTCTAGACGGTGTAATGAAGTTTGTACCGCGATTGTTGACATCACGCATCAGGTATTGCTGCCGTCGAGTTGAACTGGAGCGTTATCGAGCGGTGCTGAAGTCAAGTTATCTGCGTCGTTCAATCGCGTATACAAAGATCTAACTTGTCTCTCAATGCTCTTAAGCCCTGTATATAGATATATAGATATCATAATTTGGAAAACATCAGCATCGAACAGGCCTTTCGCCACTTTGCACTTCGCTGCCTACTAAGTCTTCAGACAATGCCACCCGTCGTCGAAAAGCTAAGTCGGTGGCATGACCTTTGGATTCGATTTTTTGTCTTTTCCCCCGCGCACGAGGTGTGTGCGGACTGTGCATCATTCTGTTGACACATGTACTTTTCCTCTACGACGGGTGGCGTTGAATGCATCGATATGTAAGACCCGCGTTGCTTGGTCCGAACAAGCAGCAGCCATCACAGCGGCATGTTGTCTTCTGTCGCTTGCTCGACAGCGGTTGAGCATGCACTTATGGTACGCTAAGGCGGTATGGACACCACTTCTCCATGTCACGCCGACAGTAGCAGCACCGTCTTTGCCCTCATACATCACGTCGCAGCACAGCCATGTAGATCCGTTTCATGCACGAGCCAAGCGAATCATATTCCTATAGACGAATAGATGTCCCCGGCGTGCCTTGCGCCGCGCAAAAGCCTGCTTCCCCCGCAACCCCCTAAAGCTCCAACACCAGCAGCAATAAAAAAAAAAATAGTCGTTCTATCCAACGAGCGTGTAGTGGTCGTGACGTAACATGTCGTGTCAATAAAGGAAAGAAAAAGAAGTATCATCAAAAATATCGACAAGAGAAAAGAAGTTGGATCGAAAAACCTTCGTCGCACAGTGGTCAGCTGCCAGTGGCGGGTAAGTGGCTGGCAAGGTTAGGACCGAATCACCACGCCCTGCCGCCTCGTCGTCTTTTGCTCGTACACGTATTCATCTTCGGATGAGCACTCTGAGCTGTCGTCACTATATCCGCACCGCGCGCCGCCGCAGTCGAGCTTGACGCGGTCCCCGCTCCGCGTGATGCCGTACCGCTCGCACGTGCAGCACGAGCTGCCGCTCGAGATACTGCTTGGCGAGGAGGAGTTTGTCGACCGGGAGGTCAGCGACGGCACGTCTGAGCCAGAATCATCAGAGTCAAATTCGGAGTCGTCTTCGGAGATGCTTGTTGCCGACGACGCAGGCGAGATGGTATGTCGTGCGAAGCGCGAGGATAGCGCGTCGAGGGTCGCCTTGTCGTATTGGGTTTGTATGACTTCGCGGGTTTGGTAGGGGCGGTTTGGCTTTGGCGCGACGATCTTGGAGGGCGAGATGGAGCGGCCCTTTGGGATGGACTGGGTGCTTACGCGGCGCTGTTCGCGGGATGTGCCTGAGGAGCGGGAGGAGCTGTGTGAGGACGAGGACGTCTTGGAGGTCTTGCCGGGGATGTCGAGGATGTTGAGTTTGCGGCCGGTGGTGGGCTCGGTGGTGTGGTCCTTGGCGGGGTCGTGCGAGACGTGGTAGCCATCGATGATGTACTGCGGTTGTTAGACTGGGGCTTTTTGCAGAGGGTGGAGAAAGACAACGTACGTAGTACCAATACCGCTGGCCCTGCTTCAAGGTCGCGCCCTGGAATTTGAAGCATCCCAACCAGCCGCCGCTCTTCTTCGGGTCCTTGGAGAGCGGAAGCTGTCCCGCGTAGTTATCCCATGATCCTAGCAGATGCACTGTCTTGCAGCCGCTCGACGTGCGGAGCGAAAAGTTGAGCTGAATAGCTGCCATTGTGGAGGTTCGATCCAATTCTTTCCGTCGATATACAAAGAAATTGGCAAATTATGATACTCTTTTTCCTTCGGTCCCGGCCAAGCTAATGGATAGACGTCGGATTGCTGAGTAGAGCGTAAAGAGTGCGTGAAGAAAGCGAGATTGCGCAATTGCCTGTCAGAAGTGCTGTCTCAAGCACCGAACTGGGGCAGATGCAGTTGTCGTCTTGAGCAAGAGAACTGGTATTACGTTGTGTGTGGACCGGCCACGGTATTGAATCGAATTAGCGTACAAAGAACAGTCTCCTCTCTTTCGAGACAAAGACAGTCGTGATGATGCAAAAAGTGAGGTCGGCGGTAAAGATGGTATTAGTGGCACCAGGCCTGTGGCGAATGTGTAGGTGGGGGTGGGGAAAGAAACGAAGAGGGAAGAAAAGGATACAAAAAAACAACGGTACACAGCTCCTGGAACTTCACACGCTTGCTGGAGAGGAAAAGCTGGAGGGGCGACAAGGCCACTATATATCGGGCCCTCAGCGGGTGGCAGGCTGGGATGCGCTTACCGACCGGCATATTGGCTGCCCTCGCACTACACAGAGTTCGGAAGAGGTCTCGCTCCTGCCGGGTGCCATTGATTGCTTGTGCAGCTGCACGGCAGGGAGCGGGCAGGGAAGGCGCGGTGGGTTGCAGTCTATCGAATGTAGGCCAGCGCTTGACCGCGATGCGGGAGTGGACGCGGACGAGGGTTGTGTAGCCGGGCGCTGAGGGCGCGCGCCGCCATTGGCTCCGTTGTGCGGGGGCGTCCAGAGTGGGTCTGCTGTGGTGCACGGCCGCCGAGTGAAAACACGCAGCCAATGGCGCGCCGCAACGCCCACCACTTGGTGACTGCTCGCGAGGGCCTGCATCCCGCTTCCATCACACTGCAGCAAACACTCCAAACAAGCTGCCGCTTGCCCGTTGCGGGGCATATTATGCCGTCAGCTGCCTGCCGCATCCGCGTCTTTTTGTATCCGCATCCCTGCTGCGTCTGCATTAATTTGCGGCCTTTTCACCCATCTGCTTGCCCAGCTGGACACTGCACCCAATCGCATGCGCAGACAGCGGTCATCTGGACACAAAATTCACCAGAGTGGGACTCGGCGCCTAATAGCTCGGTGGCTTGACCGGTGCAACCACCACGACTGCGTTCGAGGACTGAGCCCATGGTGCTATCGCGAGCGGGATGTCGCGTGAAGATAGGCTTGATGATGTGCAGCAAAGTGCAGGTCCACAAGATGAGCTCGATATCGAACTTGGGAGGCACGGGACTGGAGCATGATGAGTTCACAGAAGATCCGAAGGGACAGCGGCTCGAGCAAACCGGCCATTCGAGCGACCGTCGTCGCCAGGCCGTGACATGAGCAGACGATGGCTGGATACGCCATCACGGTGGAGCCCAAATCAGGCTCCCTTTGCAATATCGCGACACTGTGGCCGAAACCTAAAAGCCCACGGTCCCTCTGGCTGCTGGCTGGTCTCACTCTTGTTCGCAGCCTAGGGAGACGTTGCTCAAGACAAGTGGAACTCGTACGTGAGAGAATCGTGGTTCCTGGCATACTGTCCATGATTCGCTCATCAGCACGGCTGTTCCCAGCCCCCAAATTATCGGCACTGGAGCTGGATCGGAGATACCCCATGCCTACGCGCCACCCCTGGCCAGTGATCATGCGTCCTCGTTCTCGCAACGCCATTCAACAAAGTGCTTTAGTGGCCTCACACCAACCATGGCCCGTAGACCGGGAAGACCAGCCCAACAGATTGCTCGTGCTAAACAAGACGCCAGGCACCAACGTCATGCGCTCCCCCAACTCGTGAAGAAATCATGCATGTATTCGTACACCACATCTAGCTCAGCTCGAGCGTCGCTTACACCTACACACCGAGCAGATTATCTAGCTCTTCAGGCGTAAGCGTGCTCTTTCTCCGCTTTGGCCGCCCACCGATCCGCGTCTTCATTGGCGACGACCGACTCGGCCGCCTCTGCCTTCGCTCTCGTTCTCGCTCCACACCTACAGCTGCAGCGTCGTCCTTTTCTTTCTTGGCAGTCCTGGCCTTTGATCCCTCGGCAATGGCGGCTGCTTCCGCCTCCGCCTGCGCAACCTTGAGCTTATCCTGCACGGTCAGCTTGGGCGACGGTTCGTCTGGGTGCGCATGTGGGCTCGAGAGCCGCTTGTTGGCCTGCCAGTCTTCGTTAGGAGCGAGATCGATTATTGAGCCGAGCGGGGAGAGGGAAGGAGAAGAAGAAAAAGTGACTTTGCTGGCCATCTTGCAGATGCTAGATACCATCTTGTCGCAACGTACTTGACGAGGAGTCCGTTCATCCTGGCTAGTTGGCCGGGATACGCGCTCTTCAGAACGGGATGTTGGGCGCTTGGGCTTTTCCATACCGACCAGCTCGAGCCCGGATGCCTCTGTGTTTTCAATCTCCACTTGAGAAGAGGGTGTGTTGGGGATCGACGCCGAAAATGCGACTTTCCGCGGCGATCGAGCGGGCGATTTGGGATTGCCGTTGGTCTCCTTAAGCGCCGCCGGATTTGGCTGCAGCTTCAAGCTGAATATCTCTGATGCCGCCTTCTTTTCGGGCAGGGGGTCCACGTCTGGGGAAGGTGGGTCTTGTAGCTCGTCTGCGTCCTCTGCTCCGTCTACCTCTTCGTCGAAGACCGAGCTCGTGCCTTCCTCGTCCTCCAGCTCCTCCTCGTCTTCAGCAATCATGGACATGTCTTCATTGTTCACGCTCTCCAAGCCCATACCGAGACCGAGGCCCAGCTTGAGCTCATCGAGGTTGATTGTATCGCCGCCGCTAGCCATGCGTCGTCTCCAAGTCTCCATCAACATGAAGGCTTCCCTCAGCCGCGTTTCCATCTTCTCCCAGCCTGCTCTTAGTCGAATGATCTCTTCTTCCCGTGACTCAACTTCCTCAAGAGGCACGAAGTTGGGGTTCGTCAGAAGGTGCTTCAGATTCTCCAGCAGCGTGTCCAACTCAGTTGCCAATGCTTCGTAGCTCGTGGGTAGCGCATGAAGCATGCCTTGCTGGGTGTTTTCGTCTTCTTCCCGGATAGCAGATAGATCCTCACCTTCATTCCGCTCATCGGGCATGCCTTGCAGCTCTTTCAATGTGCCGATGGCCGTCCTGACCAAGCCGATGAGGTTGTCGTTTTCGTCGCTCAGGCTCTGGCTTAGCTGTGTGAGGAATTCGGTGGTTTCTTGCTTCAGGCTGTATCCGGGGTCGTCCACGTCGGGCGCATCGTCGCGCATGCTGGCAGTCATGCCGCCCGCGCCTGTGAGGCCTGGGTTAATGGTGATGCTCGCGCCCACCAGCCCAGTCTTGTTTCCGCGTTGCTGGGTTGTCAAGTGCCCCTTGAGCCGCTGTATCTGGACTTCACGCTTCCGCACGTCGTTGGCGCAGCTGGTCCGGACCTGTTGGACGGTCGTCTTCAATCGCAACATTTCTTCGCGCAGGCTGCGGGCAGACGATTCGGCGGCACGGAGGGCAGCGCGCGCGGAGCGCTCCTGCGACTGGGCCAGGGAAACCTGTCGCGTGAGGTCTGCATTTTTCGTTTGGAGCTTCTCGATGGCGAGCGTCTGGCGCGTGGCTTCGCTGCGCAAGGTTCGAAGCGTGCCAGCAACCGTCTCCCGCTGTTCCTGGTCGCGCTGCAGAGACAGCAATTAGTACCAGAGAAGGTGCATGTGCGCATGCAACGACGTACGTCTCGCTTCAGTATGAGGTCGTGCACCAGATTGATGATCTGGGCCATGGTGACTTCCTTTCCGCCCTCTCCTCGCGACGGATGCGCAAACTGTATTTTTTTTCCATCGCGCAGTAAGCCTCGTGCGAGCAGTAGATTGTTAATGTACTCAGAAGCCGTCTTTAGGTTGAAGGTGCCCTCCATGGCGGCGCTGGCGTGTTGTCGAGTCGGGACTTGTTGCCACACTCTGCTGGCGTTTTGCCAACATTGTAAACAAGCATCCACAACGGGATTAGCGCGCTTTTCGTTCCGAAATGCCGGAAGGTAGACCTCGACATGGGCCCACCTTTGGAACACTGCCAACCTTCCTCTGCATATAACTTACATGTAGCGGTAGTTTGAGGAATAACACAGGGCGGAATGGGGAGCTTAGAAAATTCACATGGGCCTTGCGGCGCCAGCTATAGCCTCATTGAGCAATCGGTGCGCTTGACAAAACTGGGTGCTTCTTAAACTCGATTGCACTTTCTTCTTGCGAGTCTGCTCGAATTCGAGTTGAGCTCAGCAGCATATCATTCGGTTCGTAGCGATGTATTTCAACAATCTTCTCCGGAACTGGTTCTGAACATTACCACCCCGTTTGACGAGGGGCTTCACGCAGTCGCCCTGTCGTGCTTCAGATGCTGCAGCTACAGACGCGAACCAGTTCCCACCGCCTGCCTGGACGAACCCATGACTATGCCCTGTTGCTTGGCTTTCGGCGACGGACACATACACAGCAGCATGCCGTGAGTGAGACTTTGTATCATCAACGAGAACGTGTCCACGCAAGCTGCTTTGTGGCCGCCGTCACGCCGCCGAACATTCGAACCGCCGTCAGCGCGGTTCGCGGCGGGACTCATGCACCGCAATCGACGCTTTTCGATCATTTGCCCAATCAAGTATGTTGGCCACGTGGTGGGGCCGGTTTTGCGGCGGTACTCGAGCGCAGCGTTCGATGGGGCCGTGGGTTTACCTGATCGGGCAGGTTGGGTATGGACACAATCGAGTCCTTCCTGGCGTTGGTTATGCGCCTTCCTCCTAGAAATGCTAGAAGCTCTATTTGCCCACGGACTCTAGCTGTGGACATCTCAAGCTAATTTGCTATGCTCTCAGACGGCTTGGGCTGCGGCAGCGACTGCCACCCAGTGCGGGCATATAGGCCTCCTGTTCTTGGCTCACCTACGTTGTCCACCCCTATGTAGGTTCTATAGACCAAATTCATGAAGAGGGCATCGCATTCTGGTCTTCGATGTCCCCATAGATGGATGCACGCAAGCGGGAGCATTAGCCTCGGTCCACGCCCCGAATTCGCTCTGCCTCCGTCAACACCAAGAACCAGCTCTATCGCAATTTTGCAAACCTCACGATATAACTACTGATCCCCAGCGGAGCTCAGCAACATGGCAGATGACAAGGCGTCAGTGCGTAGCGATGCAGGCCAACTTCGCATCCAATACCTCACGTTTTACAATATTGTCTTCGCGGCGCTCTGGGCAGCAGTCGGCATCACAGCACTCATCTTCGTCTGCCTCGGTTCCTCCAAAGCCGAGATTTTTCGCGAAGTAGAGCCTCTTGCGCGATGGACACAGACACTCACCCTTATCGAAATCATGCACGCTGCTGTTGGTATGTACCTCACCCGTCCTCGCTTTCTCCCTCCATCACATTCGCATCATTGAGTCTAACCTCCGCAGGCATCGTGAAGTCCCCCGTGAGCACAACAGCCATCCAAGTTCTCACGCGCTGCATCCAAGTTTGGATGATCTGGTGGTGCTTCCCCTTCAGCACCGCCTCCTCCCACGCCTTCCTCATTCTGGTGCTTGCATGGGCGGCAGCGGATGCGATTCGCTATCTTTACCTTGCGCTGAACATGCACGGGAAAGCGCCCAAATATCTTGTCTGGCTTCGGTATGTTGGAAGTAGTTTTCTATTATTTTGCCGATTACAAGTATGCTAAGAAATGACGGAAAGGTACACCATGTTCTATCCTCTGTACCCCATCGGTATCGGCGCTGAGTGGTGGCTGATGTACAGGAGCGTGGGACCCGTGGGCAGGGTTAATGCTGCGTTGCCATACATGTGGTACTTTCTACTGGCGTTATATGTTCCTGGTAAGTGGATTGTATGTGGTCCCAATAAGCAAAGAACTGATGTTGCGTAGGCGCGTATACGATGTTCACATACATGGTTAAGCAGAGGAAAAAGGTCTTTGGTAGAAGGGCGAAGATGGGATAATACAAAGCTACTGGCCTTGTCACACAAGGTCTGGTTGTTCAAGCGTGGGTATTCGGGGCGTGGGGGTGGTCGAACCACGCCACATCCTTGAAGAATTCACCGCATGATGTTGTCCTTGACAGCTGTAGGCAGGGGGAATTTGTACCTTCATTCTTCAATACCCGCAGAGCAAAGATATGGAGCATCGATCGGCTCCTCCTGGAATGTTAGCGCGGCACCCCACATTAGTGTCTCCATCGGCATCTGAGCACTTCCCCACATTGTCGGTATATGAACAGCATTAACGCCAACGAGCAGCTTGTAAAGATAGATTTAGAGCTCTACCACAGACGCCATATCTCAGGACAATATCTATTCTAATAGCGAGTAATGGCTTTTGAAGATCTGCAAGAGAAAATTACGCCGAATGTACGGAAGCCCCACATGACTCGTCTCTCAATAGCACAACCTTCGAACTCAGGATAATTATCTATACTTTCAAATACTGATTCAAACTTCAGCAGCCAAGCCGCGAAGCATCCCCTGCGCGCGGCGCAAGCGTCCCCCAAGATGCCGCCATCCCCTCTGAGCGTATGTCCCTCCGTGAGTGGCAAGCTTCCCAGAAGATCGATCGCGATGCCCAAGTCAAGATCACAAAGCTCTCGCATATGCGATACCAGCACCCGGATCTGGCCGAGATAACGACGTTCCTCCGCGACTTTGGCATGAGCGTGGCGCAGAAGGCTGAAGGGAAGAGGTGGTTCAAGGGATACGGGACGGACCAGTACGTTTACTACGCGCAAGAGGGCGAGAAGAGATTCTTGGGCGGTGCGTTTGAAGTGGAGAGCTATGCGGAGCTGGAGAAGTGTGTTTAAACCCATTCCAAAAACTTCCATAAATATATCTAACAGTCAGATCTCAGAGCAACACGAATACCAGGCGCCTCTGCGATACAAGATCTAAGCGACGCTCCAGGCGGTGGCCACATGGTCACGATCATCGACCCCGGCAACTTCCCCATTAACCTGCTCTACGGCCAAACTCCTAAACCCGCCGGTCCCATGCCCTCTATCCTACAAACCAACTACGAAGTCCAGAAACCCCGCGTCGCTACCTTCCAGCGCTTCTCCCCAGGCCCTGCCGCAGTCCACAAACTCGGCCACTACGGCCTCTGCGTGACAAACTTCCCGGAGCAACTCGCCTTCTACACGGGGTACTTCAACTTGGTGCCCACGGACTTTTTGTATGTTGACGACGGTGAAGCCGGCAAGAAAGACGTCGCCGCCTTCCTCCACATCGATGTTGGCCCCGCATACACAGACCATCACACCTTCTTCATGTCGTCGAACCCAACCGCCCACGTGCACCACTGCTCGTTCGAGGTGCACGACTTCGACAGCCAGAACCTTGGGCACGAGTGGCTTGCGAAAAAGGGGTACAAGAGCGTCTGGGGTGTTGGACGGCATATTTTAGGATCGCAGTTGTTTGATTACTGGTGGGATACCAGCGGGAATATGGTGGAGCATTATGCGGATGGAGATTTGGTGAATGAGGAGACGCCGGTAGGGTGGGGGGAGGCCGGGCATGAGAGCCTTGCGGTTTGGGGACCAGAATGTCCGAAGTGGTTTTTGGATTGAGCGGGATGGTAGGGCGGACTCACGTTTCCAGCTTAGATGGTGAGCTTCGGAACAGCGTTCGTTTGCGTGGTGGCATTTTCGGTGTAAGTTTTGTGGACGCTCATCCACATTGAAGGAGCGGCCCAGTCCGGTCGCGTTTAGAAAGAGACTGTCAGTGAAAGCATCTATCTTCCTCGCCCACTAAATCCGCACCATGTATCTGCGCCTCATCGCCATGCCGAACGACGACCAAGTCTCCTTCATCCCTGCCTATTCATCTTCCTTCCTCCTCGCTCCACGTTGCCCGTTTGTCGCTACTCTCCCATCCGCTTCTTTCCCAATCGTCAACTCGCAAACGTCCTCCACACCCCATCATCTTTCCTCTCCCACCTAAGCCTCAGTCTGCTCGCCCCTCGCCTTCGGCCACAAGAAAATTAAACACATCGACACAAACAATCCTCCCACCACCAGCACAATGGAAAGCCAGCAAATTGGGGTACCCACATATCTCCAGAATTTCCTTAGTGCGCTGTGCCTCGGCCTCTCGTACACAATCTGGCTCTCCAGAGCGCGCGGGCTCTCACCCTGTTGACTCAGTTGCAGCGCCTCGTACGGAGGACGTGGTACATGTGGAAATTGGCTCATATACGACGGCGGCTGGGGCACGGTGTAGTAGGGCGGCGGTGGAAGAGTGCGGACGGGGGAAGGAGGATGAGGTGTTTTGGGCAGCGTGCAGTCTGGGGACCGGGAGGTAATCCCAGATATGGTGGGAGCCCGGTTGGGCCGATAGGCGAAGATTGAGATTACATTCATGGTGGCGGCGGCGACGGATAGAGTCATTTTCCTATGGGTGAAGAAAGACGAAATGGGTGTTCAGATGAAGGTTGTATGTAGATGCGATCATTTTGGGTTCTCAGTCGTTGAGGGGGTAGTGTTGTGTTGAGATGTCAAGTTGAATTGTTAGGTACCTATTGGTGTGCCATGGGCAGAGTTGATATCGTGCGCTCGTCGTTGGCTGGATCGCTATCCACTAACATTGAGAACAACGCTCTGCAGTCTACGGTCGAGCGCGAGAGTGGTGACAGCAAATCCGGCTTCCTTGTCAAAGAGGACTTTTCGTTCGAAGATTTTCATAAGTAACTGAGTGGCCTCATGCTGTAGTCCAAGACCTTAGGCCACCCTCCTTTTGCTGTCGTGTAGGTGGAACACAACCCGTCTAGTATTTTGAGACCACTAATATGTCTCTATCGTTCATATGCCAACACAGCAGCTCCTGCAGTAGATGACCTAAGGTCTTTCCGCAACACCATCCAAGTGCAGGTCGAGCTAGAGTATCTTAAGATATTTAGACGGCCCCATGGTGCGAGGGTGCGCGTCCATCACATTTTCGGCGGACTACATGCCATCAGGAAGTCGAAAACCTGGAATTTATGCTTCCTAAGCGCATTGTTTCGGATAGCAGCGTTCATGGGAGAGCGCCTGAGGATGTCTTTGTGTCAACTTGCGTCTTCCAATACTTCATTCAGTACCACTTCCTTCGAATTGGTTCGAGCGCAGTGTGGTAATTCGAACAACCGATGTGATGCGGTCCGCTCTAGGTAGTACAGGATGTGTTTTCCAAGCAGGGCACGGTCTAGGTGCCCGTCATAATCACGGATAAACATAGCGCTTTTCAAAACGGGCGGCGGAAAACTGAGTCCAGCGGCACCTTCACTAAATATCATATTGACCCTAGTAGTGATCCTTTCAAACAAAGCACTGATGGCGTGTGTTTCAGAAAAGACATAATGAGAGTCCTAGAATGTGCATTGTAAATACGCCACTTGGTCGTCTGGTCTGTGTCTAATGACAGCAACAAGTAGGTATGAAGGGCCATGTCCAGTCATTGTTTCGCGCATGGCCGCCGTTATCATTGCTACACCCACTGCTGCTATCTATGTTGAACTGTCATTCATCCTTGCGCCCTTTTCCATACTCTCAAGTCATCTCCTCGCCGCTCCCATCAGTACGGTCATTGCCGCTACCGAATCGAAGCACACACAAATATAAGCTCCATGAGCTCACCCCCCGGGAGCAGTCCCATTCACCAATCATCATCACAAGAATACTATGGGAAACCACCGATACGCCCGCACCGGAAAATGCGACCCGAACTCCCATCGGTGCTTCAGTGGGTACTAAGATCACCACCACGGCAGCTCCAGCGTTGCCAATGTTTGCAGAATGCAGAAGCACTCGTTCATCTCCTTTTCAAGCAGCAAATTTAGCCGTTACCGCGATCGGGCTGCCAATAGTCGGTGTGATGCTTTATCTCGCATGGATCACCTTTCTTCGTGTGCACAGCACTCAAGAATAGCCACCAAGCTCTGGAAATGACAACAGCGAGGGAGATGTTAAGAATTCCGGTGAAGAGGTGAGCAAGGAGACGTCGAGTTGTTCGAGAGCGTCTTGAGTGCCTCCAGTGGATGTATAACCCTGTAGCAGACTTTTCGTGTAGATTCGATGCATAATAGTTGCGCGATAAAGAACCCATCTCTGTCCAGTCGATATCATAAGAACAAGGCATTTATGACGTTCTCCTTCTTTTCGACGATATTCGAGTGTTGGAACTGTGTTGGTAGGGCAGCAATTGATGCGCAGCATTACTCCTGTCTTCCCGATATCGGGTCGAGGCGACCGACTACCGCATACGTTAGCATTTTCGGACAATATGTGTATTATACTTTGTATGACATGGAACCGTGGTTCGATAAAGTGGATGCGACAATTGGTGGATTGTGTTGAAGAAAGATGACGTCATCAACCGCGCAATCACGGGACCTCGTGTTTGACGGCGCTGAACCTTCTCCAGGGACAGCTCGCGTCCTTCCTGTTCATCTCCAAATACAGATCTAACCTTTTCATCTTTCCATACTCTACAATCGCCCGCGACTTCATCAGTCTGTGTCAGTCTGTGTCAATGCCGCCAAATGGCAATTTGGAGAGCGACAAAACAGTCGAGGAGCAGAAGCCTCGGACGCCTTCTGCGACCGAAGCTCAACCATCCCATGCGGAGCTCACCATAACTGCACCTTGCACCTTATCATTCAGGGAGCAATTAGAAAAATTCCAGTACACATGCGCTACTTTGAGGAGCAATAATGCCACTCCGAAGTCGACCATCTCTCTGCGCTCTTCAAAGCGTACACGTGCCACGATGACAATCGTCAACCCAACTGGTGAGATTGACGCACCATTTCCACGACACAGCAAGAAGCGCAAATCGAGCGGCTATGCGCCATCTTCCAAATATGCACACTTGTCGCCTTTGGTTGACATCCTCGAGCCGAACTTGATATGTTGTTTTGTTGGCACAAATCCCGGCGTGCAAACTGCGACTGCCGGCCATGCCTACGCTCACCCTTCGAACCATTTTTGGAAGCTACTCCACTCTTCAGGTCTCACTGATCGACGACTACCACCTACCGCCGACCGCTCGCTGCCTGCGAGATACTGCATGGGCAATACGAATATTGTTTCGCGCCCGTCTAAGAACGCCGCCGAGCTCTCGAAAGAAGAGATGGTAGCTGGTGCTGGAGATCTGGAGGCCAAGTTTCGGGAGTTCAGACCGGAGGCAGTATGCATTGTGGGCAAGGGTATCTGGGAGGCGATATGGAAGTACAAAATGGGAAGGGCGATACGGAAAGAAGAATTCCGCTATGGGTGGCAGGATGAAGAAATGAACATGGGGAAGGTGGATGGCAAGGAAGATTGGGGAGGGAGCAAGGTGTTTGTCACCACGAGTACGAGTGGACTGGCGGCGAATTTGAAGCCGGCGGAGAAGGAGGCTATTTGGAAACCATTTGGGGAATGGGTCCAGAAGAGACGAGAAGAGAGAGGGTTCATGCCACGAAGCGAGGAAGGCAATGCACAGCAACAATAGCATTTGTTAGGACAGCTCACCTAGATGCGAAGTGCACCATGGTGACACCGATGCGGTATGTGGAAACGCCACTCCATGCGACGCAACGCAGCTCCAATTCTGGGATCGTATCCCATGAGTAGGCAAAATTTGTTTTCGCTTCAGTAAAAGATTTTTCTCTTCTTCCATAGACCACACCCACCGCCACCCAGCACTGTCCAGCAGTGCACCCGCGCGCTAGCATTCGGCAGCATTACTACCAGCCGATTTGCCTCTGAAGCAGATCATGAGGCGAACAGAATGTTGTCACAGATCCTCCGCAAGAGCCCTGCATGAACGCTTCGGTGCTTAGCTCTACTACTACTATGCCCAATTTCTACGCTAATATTCCCTTAACAGTCCAACTTGCAGCTTCGCCCCTACGATCATGGGTTTCAGATCTGTCCGTGGGCGCCGCGTTAATCACTATAGTTGAAATAGTGTCGTGAACAACCATCTCAATACGCACCTACCAATGACCTCGCCGGCAGAGTGCCACACTGCCCCACCTATGCAGCCAAGCCACACCACGGTTATCCGGCAACCTCACCTCATCTCAACCCTCGTCGACTTGTGCACACGGCGTCCTCGCGCTCAGCCCAGTAATGATTTCTACACAGAGTTTACAAAGCCAGGCTCAATATATCAGAATTCTGCGGCTTATGATGGCGAAATGAGCGCACAGTGATCAGCATCCTCTACACAGGAAACGTTTCGAAGGAAGCGCTGCTGACACCACAGAAATACCAAGCCTTGCGCCCCAATACCAAGCCCTCGCACACGCGTTCGCGCAGCATCACACAGGTGGCTCATGTGCCCTCTTGTGCGTGCAGTCTCGCAATGCCCTCGGGTCTGCCGCAGGACACTTGTCACATTGTCCGTGTAGCAAAGCTAGCAAAGCCACCGTCCCTCTGTCTACGTGATATCGCGAGGCTGTGCGGCGGTATATCTACTCTCTTTTACGCAGCAGCAAGTCAAGTGAAGCAAAGATACGCGCAGACAAGCAAACGCTCGAGCGCCCCCGGCACACGCTCCGATCCGCGCATCCCGCTCTCCCTGCCCATAACATTTAAAATCTCCGCCGCCCTCACCAGCCTCAGGCGCTTCTTCTACACTCACCAGCCTCACATCCGCTTGTATACTCACCAGCCTCACCACACACAAGCTTCTGCCACAGCCAAATAGCGCGCCGCACCCTCGCTCAACTCACCAGCCTCTCTTTGTTCAGCCACTACCCAATCTCAACCTCACCTCGCAACCTCGCAACCTAAGCAAAGGAAGCCAACATGTCCGCTCAGGGCTACTACAACAACGCGCCCCCGCCGCAAGCGCACTACGGCGCGCCGCCCCCGAACCAAGGGTATTACCAGCAGGGACCGCCGCCGCCGCAGCAGGTACGTCTTCCACCTTCGTTTTCGTGCGCCACATTACACACGCATGCACTCCAGAACCAAGATACGCATGCATTCCGGAAACAAGAAGCAGCATGCTGACGGGATGGGAATAGATGTACTACCAGCAAGGCCCGCCGCCGCCGGTAGAGCAGAAGAAGGAGGATCGGGGTTGCCTCTACACGTGTCTTGCGACGCTGTGTTGTTGTTGGCTGTGCGGGGAGACGTGCGAGTGCTGTTTGGAGTGCTGCTTGTGCTAGGCGTTTTCTCGCTCGCTGTAGCTCCAGCGCTTCGCAGAATCTCGATTTCGAGCAGAGGGGCAACGGCAGGGTGCATTGAAGTTGGATTGAATTGGGCGGGTACAGGCGTTTTGTCGAAATTGGCACGTTACGGACTTGGTTGGGATGCGCACCACGGGCAGAACAGGACAGTCCCGCATGGCGGACGGGACGGGCAGCTCTGCACGTCCAGAACAGGTCGGAGCGAACAGATTGATTGAACATATCTAATCCAAACGAGTGAGATTGCGAACCCCGCGCTCCCAGCTTATACCATGCCGCTACGCTATGCTACCACTGCTAAAATATATGGACCGGCCGTGACGATACGAGACGAAAGACATACAAAAGTGAACGGAAAGAGAGTACAGCCGCCTCGACGTACAGGCGGCTGGCTACTCTCAGTCGTCATACGCCTCCTCGAGCTCCTCTGCATACTCCTCTTGCGCCTCGATGAGCTCCTGGCGCTTCTCCTCGAGCGACTCGCGGTCGCTGCTGGAGATGGAGTCGCCGTCCGCATCATGGGTGGGGACGGGTGGGGGCTCCTGGAATGCGGGCGGCTCGGCGGGGGGTGCGGCAACGGGCGCAGCGGCAACGGGTGCGGCTGCGGCGGCAGGGGCAGCGCCGTAGTAGTTATTTTGTACGACTTTGGTCTCGTCGTCGGAGTTCTCGGCTGGAGAGCGTTAGGAAGGGTAGGGAGGAGAGGGGTGGAGGCAAAACTTACTGAGCTCGTGGCCGATCCAGGCGCCTGCTGCGATACCTCCGACACCAGCGGCTGCCAACATGGCGGTCGAGTGGCCCTTGTCTTTCTTCTTGTCCTTATCCTTGCCCTTCTCGCCATAAGGATCGCCATGGCCTCCGCCCGGGGCGTACGGGTCGCCATGGCCAGACGGGTAGCCTCCGTGACTTTGGTCGTGCGAGGCGCCGAAGAGAGCGCGCTCGTCGTGAGCTCCGGAGCCGTATGGCGCACCTGGAGGTCCGCTGGGAGGTGGCGCGTATGGCCCTTGGGCTGGAGGTGCATGTGCTGGAGGCTCCCACTGGCTACGACCGGTGGCTTGGTCTATATAGTACCATTTCTGGCTGTTCTGGTCGAACTGAGCGACCCAGCCCGGGGGCATTGGTGGAGGCGCGCCGTACTAGATGGTCGTCAGTGATTGAAAATTGGTAAATTACATCGAGCACCATCTGGTGTAGGACACCAGATGTCACATGCAAAGCGATGCTACATACAGGAGCAGGTGGGCCCTGGGGTGCAGGGGAGCCATAACCTTGCTGGCCATAGGGCTGTTGTTGCGGGTAGCCTTGCTGAGGATAACCGCCCTGTTGCGGAGGATAACCACCCTGTTGAGGGTGCTGTTGCGGGTAGCCGCCCTGCTGAGGAGGATAGCCTTGCTGGGGATATTGCTGGTGTTGCTGGGGCGGGTATCCACCAGCATGAGGGTCGGCGGCCCGCGTATCATGTCCAGTGCTATCGCCATGCGATTCTGCGCAAGTGTTAAGTAGCTACAAAGCAATAGCAGAAGCAAGTCGTACCAGAGGGCTTGTCAGAGGACTTCTCCTTGGGCTTGTCATCATCGTCCATCAACTCCTTCATCTTCTTCTTGAGGAAATCCATGGCTGGAGAGGGAGATGTAACTGTGAAGCAAAGAGTATGGTACGAAAGAGCAGTAAGAGAGAAGTTTCAACAAGATGTGGGGGGAGGGACAATGAGGGGTTTTTAAATCAGTCCGCAGCCAAAAGCTCGGCGCGGGCCGCTGTTCTACCACCATTTGCAACAGGCTAGCGACATGGGACAACTGCAGTGTCCACGGGTGCAAGACAGCCAGGGGCGTGTTCAGCGCGGCTACGGATGGAAAAAGTGGGGGATGGAGGGGCTGAAGCTCTGCGCGGTTGGGGACAGCATCAAGAGACATGCAGCGTAAAGGTTAGTGAAGCTTGGCGGGAAGATGTTTTTGCGTGACTGTATACGATCAGTGAGATGAGATGGTATGGACAGCCGGATTGAAGTTTTCGTGCTGGCAAGGATTCGAAATGAAATCGACATGATACTGCGATTGGCCTTTGGATCTGGAGAAAGGTAAGGAAAGTGTATGGGTGTTGTCGCGTAAGCGGATAACGGCATGTATTGTGATGACGGCGGTTAGCTTGGACGGTTCCCGCTGGAAGTGAAGGTGGCTTAGTAGTGGCTCATGCAGCGGGAGTCTCGGCGTCGATAATGGCGCATGCATTCTCCCTGGCCGATGTGGCCTGGGCGCGGAGTTGGATCTGAGCGTGCGCCCGGGCGGGACACTGTGCGACACGATGAGGCCACAGGCCGACGAAGAGCCGGTGCCGTGTATGGGGTTTTCACATCGTACCATTGTGACGAAGGAAAGTTTCTAGAATCCGCCGAAGGACGAGATGGAGTTTAGCGAGACGGCGCGCGATATTCGCAGGCTGCTTCTGTGATGGTGCGTGGTCGCTAGGGGAGGCGACTGCTGCTTGGGGCGATGGACATGTGCAACGGAGCTGCTGTGCAATGGAGCTGGACCAGAGGCGACAGTGAATCATACGAGCGCAGAGGCCCAGCAAGACAGCCAGAGAAGACGGTTGACATGGGCGCCGGGGGCAGAACTGCCACGTGAGCCGTTGCAACAAAGGAGCATTTGGCGCAACTAGCAGAGACGCTATCCAGGCCGGTGGGACGGTCATGGTGTTTGCGCCGTGTGGTGCTGGGAGCGGAGAGGGGGGTCTCGATCTGGTGGACCCGCGACGCCATACAGAAGGCGTTAGGCGCAGACGAGTGACGTAGTGGCCCGGGGCCTCCGCCCTACGTGCTCCACCGCGGATGGGGATGAAGATGCACATGGGCTGAACCAGAGAGGGTGCACAGGAGCGCCGCGGAGTGCGTCGTGGAGATGTGGCGCTGGGAGGTGAAGTGCTCGATCCAGGGCGCTGGCGCCACCAGCAGCCGCAACCAATCCTGGCCGTCGCCCTGCTGTTTGCTGCGGGCGCGCAACAGAGGTCGCTGCACCGCACCCTTTTTCAGACTGCCATGGCTGTTCACGATGCCCGCAGACCGCGATTCCAGACCCCTTGACGAACAATTTTCCGCGCCTCTTGCGGCCTAGCCTGATCGTTGCGCCGGACTAGTGACAGCGCATAGCGATTGGCCCAGTGCCACGTCCATCTGCCAACTGCCTCCACCTCGGTGCAAAGCATCAAGGGAGACGGAGCGGGAGCGACATTATCCACGAGGCATATCGGCCCGTTGCGAGCCGCTCGCTGCTGCCAACGTCACTGGGGACAAGCTGGCGCGCCAGCCCTCTTCATGCACCCGCCGCCCAGGTCCATCTTCACAGGAAGCGCCGCAGCACCGCACACACCGAACCCGGAGACCCGCCGCCTGAGCACGCCCGAGTACCGTGAGAGCCTCGCGCCCGCTGCTGAGGCCTCGAAGCCGTCGACACCGCTCGGGCACCCGTCGCAGCAGCAGCACCAGCAGCAGCAGCAGCACCAGCAGCAGCACCAGCACCAGCAGCACCAGCACCAGCACCAGCACCAGCACCAGCACCAGCCCCTCCCCGCAGAGCCCACGCCCACCCTCGAGACCCCATGGACGCAGCGCACGCCCGTCGCCCGTAGTGACCCTCTCTGCACTCCCTCCTCGGCAGGGCCCAGCCGCGGCGCCCGGCGGACCAGCGTCGCTGCGCAGACACCGCCGTCGCTCCCAGGCACGAAGCGCCCGCCGCCGCTCGACCACCTGCCCGCCTCTCCGCACGCGCCGGAGCCCGCCAGCGAACCGCTGCTGAAGCGTCGACGCGTGACCCGGACGCGCCACTCGCTCGACCATCTGAGCTTCGGCCGGCCTGCCAATCTCTACGACAACGGGCAGCCCCCCTCGCCGCTATTCTTCTCGCACTCGCGCCGCAGCCGACCCCACCTGCCAGCGCGCTTCTCGAGCTCCGAGGCCGCGGCCAGGATGCTCAGCAAGACCCGCGAGGACAGCGGCATCAAGACGGTGACACTGGCGCGGGGCACCTTCGCCGGCCTGAGTCCCCCAGGGCCGACGAGCGCGGCGAGCGGCAGGAGCTCTGAGCGCTCCAGCCTGCCCCGGACAGCGTCGCCCGACGCCCGCGACCGCAATGATCCCTTGCGCCTGTTGGGCTCGGTTGGCATTGTGGAGCTCCTCGAGCAGGACACGCGACCAACCTTCATCGTAGACATTGGCCATGCTGCAAACTACGAGCCAGACGCGCCGGGCTTGCAGATCCTCTTTGCCAACAGCGCCTTGCGTGCGAGCTCCGCGACGTGGGAGCTGGTTGCTGGAAACTTGTCCAGCCTGGCAGGAGACGACCCGACTGCACATGCGTCCACCCAATTTAGAGGATGGCTGTTGAGCACCGTGATACAAGGCGAAAGTCTCGACGTGAATCCTTCGCCGGTGGAGCACGGCGGCATAGTGTGGTCATGCTATACCTTGCGCAAGCGTCTGCGGGTGGTATCTGGCGCAGTACCCGGCCCTCCTGCATCTAGCATCCCTTCCACAAGTGCCTCGCTTGACTATGCCGCTCCTACTCCGTCAAAAGAACCCACACCCGCCACGGGCATGGACCCATCTCCAGCACCGCCCACCGAACCCCAGGACTACTTTGGCACCGCCCCCGTCCTCGCTGCCGGTGAAGATTCTGACCAGGAGCTACACCTTGCTCTGTCACCCGAACACGTCCCAAAATCCGAGCCAATACACGCCGGTAAACCGTCCATAGTCCCTTTCCAAAGACCAGATAAGCTCAGTCTGCCAAATTTCAGCGATAGTCCGTCGTTTACCAACGAGTGCGTGCTTCGTGCCCATGCTGCAGGCGACATTGACGCTTTCCATAGACCTACAAACCCTAGCCCACCATCGGAGCATGATGTGGGCTTCTTCGACTGGACTAGGCTGTCTTTATCGCCTTCCTTACCCCGGCACATCCAGTTCGCACGCTCGATTGATTGGGCCTCGACGCCTTTGGGCCCTATAGAATTTTGGTCCAACGACCTTAGAGCTATGTGCAACCTCATAATGTAAGTTGGTCTGAGCGCAGTTAGTGCTACCACCCGTTTACACATCAATTAGGGCATCTCCACATCCCGCGGCTATGTACTGGGGCGAAGAGTTGGTCGCCATCTACAATGAGGCTTATATCGGTACGCATTGCAAATCCTCTAGAATCCACGTCACACTGACGCCTCCTAGGTCTTGCTGGCCAAAAACATCCTACCCTCATGGGTCAGAGCTACAAGATTGCTTGGGCTGAAATATGGGATGAAGTGAAAGACGTATTTGCAAACGCGAGGATAACTGGCCAAGCTACAATGAAGGACGACGACTGTTTGTTTATGAAACGCAGCGGCTTCTTGGAGGAAACGTACTTCTCGTGGTCTATCATACCCATGGTTGGTGAGGATGGTACCGTCACGGGTCTATACAATCCAGCGTTTGAAAAGGTATTTCTGAGTCCCCATTCATGTCAACCTTCATGCGCGTGATGCGTACTCAGTGGAGCTATTTGAAAAACACCATCCTCAACACACTTCTCGTTAGATGCACATGCTAACATTCGCCTAGACTAGGAGGAAAATCGCAGAGCGCCGAATGCTGACGTTGCGCGAAGTTGGCGAGCGAACAGCGACTGCACGAGACGTGAAAGCCTTCTGGGAACAAGTTCTCTCGGCTTTGACCGACAATGAATTCGACACGCCATTCGTTCTGCTCTATTCTGTATCTGATGACATCGATAGCGATTCTTCTTCGTTACACTCTAGTAGCTTGCTTGGCTCGAAACAGTGCTATCTGGAAGGCTCGCTAGGTGTTCCATCTGGCCACACAGCAGCACCCGAGCAAATCGACTTGAAAGAAGGCACCGAAGGCTTTGGTCCCGTTCTCAGAGAAGTCATGAAGACCGACAAGCCGGTTGTGCTTAGTATTGGTTCTGGAGATCTTCCTTACGAAATGCTGGATGGTCTGGAATGGCGCGGTTTCGGAGATCCATGTCGGGACGTGGTCATCTGCCCAATCCATCCCACTACCGGAGAATCAATTCTTGGCTTCTTGGTCATGGGTATCAATCCAAGGCGCCCGTACGATGACGATTACAATCTTTTTGTGCAACTGCTCAGCCGACAACTTGCGACATCCCTGGCTTCCGTTGTCCTTTTTGAAGAGGAGATTCGCAGAGGACAGAAGGCTGCGAAACTTGCAGCAGAGGACCGCTTCCATCTTTCGGAACAGCTCGCCGCGCGTACACAAGAAGCTCGGGATAGTGAAACTCGATTTACGCGAATGGCCGAGTACTCACCAGCCGGTCTCTTCATTGCTGACCACGTTGGTCGTATAACGTACTGCAACGATACTTGGTATGAAATTTCTAGAGTACCGAAAGACCCTGAAAAAACCAATAACTGGATGGACTACGTCAAGAACGAAGATCAGGGTCTAATACACGAGAAGTGGAAGCGACTAGTCGAGAATGCGACAGCGATTAACATAGAATTTCGGTTTAAGACTCCTTGGCAAGATCGGAATGGTAACAAAGGTGACACGTGGGTGCTGTTCTCCGCTTTCCCGGAAAAGTACGAAGACGGCATGTTGAAGAGTGTGTTCGGCAGTATCACCAACATCAGTTCCCAGAAATGGGCTGAAGGGTTCCAGAAGAGGAAGATGGAGGAGGCAGTGGAGTTGAAACGGCAACAGGAGAATTTCATCGATATCACGTCTCACGAGATGAGAAACCCTTTGAGCGCTATTCTGCAATGCGCCGACGAGATCTCGACTATTCTCAGCGATTTCCGGACATCTGGCGTTCAGCAAATACCCCCGCAGCTGCTCACTGATAGTATCGATGCAGCGCAAACCATTGCTCTGTGTGCACAGCATCAAAAAAGAATTGTGGACGACGTCCTTACACTCTCGAAACTGGATAGTGCTATGCTCATGGTAAGTTTCTGACCAGCTTCACAGAGACGGTATGTTGACTTGAAATAGGTAACACCCGTCGACGCACAGCCATTACAAGTTGTTCAACGCGCCCTCAAGATGTTTGAAGGAGAAGTGCAGACAGCAGGCATCCAGATGCAATTTGTGCTTAGTGACTCGTATAAGGAGCTCAACGTCGACTGGGTGAAGCTTGATCCTTCCCGTGTGCTTCAGGTAGTAGGTACTTTCCTCTCATCTTTCGGCTCAGTCTTCTGATCTTGCTCTCCAGCTCATCAACCTCACAACGAACGCTATCAAGTTTACCACCACTGAGTCGAGCCGCACTATAAAAGTATTACTTTCAGCATCGAGGCAGCCACCTTCCGCCAGCCCTGCGCCTCTAGTCAGCTTCTTCCCGTCAAGATCAAAGCGCGTCGAGCAGACTCTTGGACCAGACTGGGGCAATGGAGAAGAAATCTACCTAGAATTTGCCGTGCAGGATACTGGGCGGGGTTTAAACCCCGAAGAGAAGAAACTGCTCTTCCAACGGTTTTCTCAAGCCAGCCCTCGTACGCATGTGCAATATGGTGGTTCAGGTTTGGGCCTGTTCATTTCTAGGGAGCTCACTGAGCTTCAAGGCGGGGAAATTGGCGTGGCATCCGAAGCCGGCAAAGGGAGCACGTTCGCCTTCTACGTCAAATGCCGCAAGACCACAGAACCTAAAGAAACAATAGAGATGCCGATAACACTTGGCCGGAAAATCTCGAATGCGAAGGAGAGACCTCACGTCCACCCGCCGCCACCCAGAATCAAGGATTTTGCGGCGGTGACGCACGGAGATACGGTTAACAACAAGAACAAGGCCCAGAGCCCAGGTCTGAAAGTTTTGATCGTCGAGGACAATTTAGGTAAGCAATGACTGCGCTATACAAGACCAAGCGCTCATTTCCACTCTAGTCAACCAAAAAGTTCTCCGCCGCCAGCTCGAGAACAGCGGCATCAAAACCTACGTTGCTAATCACGGCGGTGAAGCCATCGAGAAGCTCAAGCAATCGCGCTATTGGAAGGGCCACGGCGCTGATGCCGTCGACCTTGGGATCGTACTCATGGACAAGGAGATGCCTGTGATGGATGGCCTGCAATGCACCAGCAAGATCCGGGAGTTTGAAGGCCAGGGGCTACTGAACGGGCACGTGCCTATAATCGCGGTCACGGCGAACGCGCGCAGCGAGCAAATTGCTACGCTGTTAGAGGCGGGCATGGTAAGCACCCTTTTCCTTTGCGCACGGGTAGACATTGGACCAACTGACAATGCAGGATGACGTCGTGTCTAAGCCATTCCGCATCGCAGAGCTGATTCCCAAGATCGAGGAACTGGCACTCAAACACGCGGACTCAAAGTCGGTCGAGGGGATGGTAGTGCCCAGTCGCCCGAATACGCCGCCCTACGCGATATGAAACTCGTTATGTTGTCGCTCGTTGTGTGTGGCATGGTATTTTACGAATAGACATAGAAGGTGAACGGAGACGGGAGGGTTATGTTACGCATTGCGCACACTACATTAGTCTGGTGTTGATTGGAGCACTGCGTCACTTCTTTTGGCGTTTTGAGGACAAGACCATCGGCCTTGCTGGTATTTGAGGTTTTTCGAGGGGATTGTGTGTGCGCCAAGGACAAGGAAAATCTGGGAAAGGGATCGGGAGTGGAAGGAAAGGAAAGGAAAGGGGAATGGTAGTTTTGGCGCGTTGCATACCCCTGTCGTTCTTTCTGATAATGTGCGGGTGTGTGTGGAAGCGCGCTGTCGCGCGTGACTCTCCGAATGAAGGATATTACGAGAATGAAGGATATTACGAGACGCACTGGTTAAGAAACACGGTGCTTGGGGTCTGAACCGAAACTCTGTGCATGCCATCTCATCTCCTAAGGGAATCTGCGCTCTCACGGCAGCTGTGAAACCCGGATCTAAGCTAAAGCGTTGAGAGTCAGTATAGCCTACGGTAACTTGAACTACTGCACTTGGTACTATTGTTAGCTAATATAGTATGACCAGCGATCACGTTCACGCAGGGGCCCGCATTCTATCGCAGTATCTAAACAAGCAGCCCACGGCTCATTGTTCTCCCGCAGTCTTGGCGTTCCGGCGGGCTGTTCCCGCGTTTGTGCACTTCCCCGCTCATCCGCTTCCCTTCTCTGCTAGCGCCGAGATGGTGTACAACTGGGGTGATAAGGAAGCAGAGTGCTATCAATTGTATGTCCGTGAGCGGCGGAGTCTGAGGGAGGTGGCGGCGTACTGGAAGCAGCGCGGGTTCACGCCGAGGTACGTAACTGCATGAGTGGAGGTGCGGCGCGCCGTACAAACCTCGCCATTCTGTGCATCCCAGGATGTACTAATGTCTGCGATAGCAAGCGCGCTTTTCAGACGCAGTTCAAGGTGTGTGAAATCTTGTTACGAAATATGCTGGTCGACTTCGTCGGCTTTGTGTCTCCACGAAGCATGCACGTTCAGTCGCTGATCTAAGCATAGCGCTGGTGCTTCCCCAGCAAGCAGAGTCCAGCGTATAAGAATCCTATGCTTATTGCGCGGGTAAAGGAGCTATGGGAGAAGAATACGACGCAGAAAGATATGCTCGACGTGCTTCAGGTCGAGGGGTTCCAGATCAGTGATCGGGAGCTTGTGAGGTTGAGATCGCGTTTTGGTTGGTTTTTGAGGGAAAACAAGGGGAGGAAGGGCGATCATGACGAATCGACACTGCAGAAGAGAAAGGGGAGTAGGAGTGTGCGGATGATGGCAGACGATATGATCGATCAGCTGGCGGCTGCAATTTTAGCAGGCGCGAGTGGGGAGGAAGACTCGGATGAGGAACCTGGCGAGAGAGAGAAGCGTGAGAACGAGGGCTCGCCTGCCAGGCCTGAAGTTACACTGCCACTACCATCAGATCCCTTAGACTCAGCGGAGGCACTTCGCCGACAGCTCCGACAGCAACAATTGCAAACCGAGTCCGACGAGAAGTGGCGTGCACGCAAACGCCGGCGACGAACAAGAGGCTGGGCTGGGCTGCCCGCCGATGCGCCTGGCGAACCGCCGCGGTTCCCCTCTGAAACCACGCTCGACGAGAGCAAAGCGTACCTGGGCTTGGACAACAGGCTCTACGCCCAGATACGCGACGATTTCCAAGCAATATGCCGATCTGAAAGCATCTTCAAGAAAACCGTTGCCGGGCCCGAGAAGTGGGCGGAGCTCCTGCAACGCCTCGTCCGAGAGAGTCCCCACCTGGAAAATGTCTTCCATGAACAGGCGGAAACGCTGCAGCAAATTGATGCGCTGTGGAAGCCAAAGAACTACAAAACACTGTCGCTAGACGTGATATGTCAGGATGTGACCAAACGCCTGCGCCACCTGGAAACTCGCATGACCCTCTCAGAAGCAAAGAACGCGCTCAATCTGAACCCTACACAGACCCGCGAGGTCAAGCACGCGTTTCACAAAATTCTTAAAGAAGACCGGTTCGCCAGCAAGTTCGAGGCCGGCGGGGAGCGGTGGAATCAACTGAAGCAGCGCTGGGTCGATAGATCGGAGCCTTTGAAGACCGTAATCACGCCATACGACGGAGGCAAGGCTGAGCACGCACAGCGTCTCCGAGCAGTTGAGGTGCTGGCTCGCGACGTGATGAAGCGGCTGCGGGCTGAGATTACACGCGTGGAAAAGGAGCAGGCTGGGGAGGCGAGCAGGGCGGCGCATCGTGGACCAGGGCCTGGTCCCGCACCACCCTCTGCCCCAGTTCAGAACAAAGCAATACGCAATACTGTGGCTGGAAACACCAGCTTGAGGCTGAGGCGACCTGCTAATTTTGACTCACAACAGAATGGGCATGACCTCGGTCATACGGCAGTCCCTCAAATAGAGCTCGACGCAGACCTCCAAATCGACCCCTCGCTCCTACTTGCCGCCAGCGACGCCATCCTCCCCCGCCCGCCAGCCCTCCATCATCCCACTCATGACCACCACGGCGACATCCCTAGCGCATACGCCCATACGCCTACCAATAATACCTTCCCGGCTCTTCCCGCCCCCACACCCACCCCATCTCCACTACTTATATACTTCCGCCTCCATCCTCACAGCGTCACTCCTCTCCCGCACAAGACCGTCTGGCTCAGCATTGTGATGACGCCCACCCTCGAGGAGGTTCGACGCCTAGCTGTGCGCGAGCATCCTGGGAGCGAGGTCGTGGCGCTGGAAGGAGTAGTTGGGACGAATGGTGGAGATGGCGAGGTGTGCGTCAGGATTGACAATGATGCGGAATTGGGGGCATATTTGGGGCACGCTTCAGCTGGTGCTGGGGCAAGTGGGGGAGGACAGGGGAAAGCGGTGTTTGTGGTGAGGTTGGGCGTGCGTGGGCAGAGCTAGAGCGTGGTATGGCCTTGTATGTCTGGGGGTGGGTAAGAGTGCTGTGTGTATGGCGATACTGGCGTCTGTAATGGATGGGGAGTTTGTGAAGCAGTGCACTAGTACGCTGGCTAGCCCTAGTACAAACGACGGCATACTGATCTTAGGGTAACACACAGAATTCAACACTGCATGAACAAAGCTCTCATCAGTCATCCCGATTATTTACACTGTACTCAAATATTACCCTGACACTGTGAGTCACCATCTCCGCACACTACACGATGTGGTGGAAACGGATCAAAAGACTTGGCTGTGCATCATAGTGTCCCTCTTCTACGTAGGTTCTGCAGCTGATAGTTTAATTGCCAAGAATATCCTTTCTTCGAATGCCTGTACATGATCCAAGCTCATACATACAAACGCTTTGTGATCAAGGCAGATGATCTTCTAAAATTTAATTCTGGCGACACACCGCAGATTTATTACTGAGTATGGGTGGATGAACCTGTGGCTATGTCTAGGGTTCTGCTTACCACAGCGTTCCTAGTGCGACGGCGCTGATTACCGCGAATACCATAAATTGTAGCACCTTTGAATGCGAGGTGATAATCCAGGTGGTAAGATGGTCGCAACATGATGGAAATCCAACTCGAGATAGAGACAATCAACAAAACTTAAGGTATAGAATTGAAAATGCACTTCACGCCTCTTCTGACATAGTAAATAGTCATGATGTATAAATACCATCCATTTCCAGCTGCACTAACGCTTATTTTCTATTTCCTTGTGCTCTGGTGAAGATGGCTGCTCACTCTCGAAGAGGGCATGCAAGGCCTATACTGTCTGGTTTGAGGTGAGCATGCGATACGATGGCGTCGGCACGCTTATGCAGCAGCTGAATATCCACAATACTCCGGCTATTCAAAAAGCTGCCAGAGCGTCGCTGCCGGCGGGTCGCTGCCTCAGACGGAATACGCAGGTCAGTACTACGCCTCTCGTCTGCAGATCGCTGGCCGGCCAGGCCCTCTGCGATAACAACCCCGCAGTGACATTTAATAAAGCATGAAAATCTTTCATACTTGTTATGCTTCGCTCTAGTTTGTCGACACTTCTTCGCGGTATTACAATTGATAGCTCGCTCATTTTCCGCTACCTTAGTATAAATCGCATCATGCCGAAAAGAATTCAAAGCATCACGGTCTCTGCTGCGAAGTCCACGGGGAACATTACTTTGCCGCCCGAGTACACGCCGCCAACCAAGGGTTTTGTATCAACGCTGCCCGTTTCATGGGTTCCATATGCCCAATTGATGCGCATTGAGCGTCCCGCGGGGCTCTACGCCTTCTACGTTCCGTACATCCTCGGTCTTGCTTTCGCAGCCTGCCTGAGCAAGGAAACCATTCAGCCAAGCATTCTCCTCAAACACAGCGGTCTATTACTCGTCGGCTGCGTGATTCTTCGCGGAGCCTCCTGCACATGGAACGATAATATGGACCAGGAGTACGACAGAGCCGTAGCCCGCTGCCGTAACCGACCGATTGCTCGGCGTGCCGTCTCAACTGCTCAAGGTCACATATTCACTCTGGCTCTCTACCTCGCAGGAGCTGGCCTCGTCTCCATCTGGCCAAAAGAATGCGCCTACGATGCGATTGTGATTGCAATTCTTTTCACCATTTATCCTTTCGGAAAGCGCTTCACAAACTACCCTCAATTCATTCTCGGCTTTCCATTCGCGGCTGGAATAGTCTTCTCGTGCCATCTTGTTGGAGTCGATCCTTTCGCGGGTGGCGTGATGGGTCTCTCAACCGCTTTTTTAATGGCCGCCAACGTTTCCTGGACAATGGTATGTTAACTGACTACTTTGATACATCCCACCTGCTAATCTGTTTAGATCTACGACACTATCTATGCCCATCAAGATCTCAAAGACGACTTGAAAGCGGGCGTCAAGTCCATGGCGGTGCGGTTCAAGGATAGCACAAAGACTTTGACATCCGTTTTAGCAATTCTCCAGGTTCTCCTCCTGGTCAAAGTTGGAGCTGATCTCGAGCTATCTTCGCTCTACTACATAATTACATGCGCGGGCACTGCTGTGGCGCTGGCAGCCATGATTAGCTTGGTCGACTTGGAGGTACCGGCCAGCTGTGCTTGGTGGTTTAAGATGGATTTTTGGTTTGCTGGAGGGACCATGATAGGTGGATTTCTGGCGCAGTATCTGCAGCGAGTCTTCCTGTAGGAGCAAGATCAAACGGGCATGGCTCTCGCGAATTGCGGTTCTAGGCATCTTCTTTTGGGCCATTCAATGATCCAGGATCGCAGGACTCATCGCGCTGAGCTTGCACAAGATAGGATGTACTCGACATCACCACAAGGATACGTGCATGCTTACCTTCTGGAGGCAATTTTTGGTAATGTGAGACGCTTCGCGTATCTTGTCAATTCTGCCGGCGAGCGTAAGCGTCATCGAATGATGTCTGAGTTGAATTTACTACACAGGGAAAACCGGCACGAAGCGATGGGTCAAAATCTTGATCAGGTGCATCGAGCATGGCGCCGATTTAAATGCAACCATACTTGGAAGAACTCTCAGATCTGCCCCGGATTCTCTCGATGCAAGGCGCTGTCGTGTAGAATCCGGGGGTAAGAGATCGAATCTCACAGGGCAATCTTTCATTTCTGTGTAATTTTCGGCTCGTCAAGTCGTCGACGTGAGGGCTGCAGGGTGTGAGCCGATGTCAATACGTTGTAAGCTCTATCTATCATTGCGCATTCATATTACTAGGTTCCTTCCTCAAAACTAGAGCGGAATTTATTTTGACTAACTAATGAAGTACATATCCTGTTTGCCTGGCACTCACATCTCCTTAGAGCATAATCCATTACCCATAACTCATATTCGATCCCATATTTCGTTGCATCGCGTCACCATGATCCTCACGCAGAGTCATCGCCATCTTCATGCTATTCATCGTTCGTCTGCTTCTCCTTGATATCCTGATCGTCGGCGTCCTGATCAGGGTTCGCCATCTCGTATTCTAGCATCTTGATGAAATTGTAAAACACTACGGCGAGCACGGCGCCGGCGGCAGGTCCAACCCCTAGAACTCGTTAGCATATAATTTCGCAGCAACGACGCGCCGATGTAACTCACAGTAGATCCAGTGTTCGCGGTCGAAGATGCCTGTCACGACGCAGGGCCCGAAAGACCGTGCGGGGTTGAGGGAGCCACCGGTGTAGTACACGCCAACGAGCTCCGCAACGAACAGTGCGAGTCCGATGCCAACAGGTGCAATGAAAGTTGCTGTTCATCATTAGCGCAGTTACCATACTGTGCAGGGGACTTCATGTGGAGAGACTTACCCTTATGCTTCTCCTTCGCCAGCATGAATATGGTGAACACCAACTCCGCTGTCAGAACCGCTTCAATGAACACCCCCCGGACTAGACTCGTATCCGCACTCAATGTAGTCCTCACATTCAGAGGTGTCGGAAACATCACACTGACCAAGAAACTACTAAAGATGCTCCCAGCAAGCTGCGCAACCAGCAGCAAGAAGAACCGCACTGGGGACATAGCCTTGGTAAGCAGCATAGCAAAGGTGACGGCAGGGTTGAACAGGCCACCTGAGATACGGAAGAAGATCCATACGTTGACCATGAGGGAGAAGCCGAAGACAAGGGAGATGTACTGAAGGACTTGCGGGGAGAAGCCAGTATCAGCACCTGTGGTGGTGTTGGAGGACCCGGCGGAGTTGACGTTTGCGACTTGAGTTCCTGAGAAGGCAAAGAAGAGAAACATGGTTGTGCCGACGAACTCGCCGACAAAGGCCACAAAATCTGTAAGGAAAGTGTCAGTATACGGTATCGGAGCTTGGCCAGGACGTGGTGATGAGTGGTGTCCCCTCGTTTGGAGGGAGGAAAGGATGCAGGGTTAAATCCAAGGGAAGGGAGTAGTGATTTGGGACGCGACTAGGGGTACAAGTAAGACCTACGATTCTTTGCATTCGAGTTCATCCACATCGTCCAGGGCAAGCGCATCACTTCCTCCGTGGACGCTGGTCTCCGAGGCGGGCCTCTCCTCCCGCCATCGCCATACGCGGCCTTTGGCCTACGATACCCATTGTCTTCACCTTCGCTGCCGAAGCCGTAGCTAGCATGGATGCGCGGCTTGGTTGGTGTATCGCTCTCATAGCCATACTCGTAGCTTGCCCGTCCTCCATCCATGCTACTACGTCCACCTTGTTCAACAGAGTACCTACGACCGTGCGCAGGTGGCGGCCGAGCGTGTCTCCGAGCGGGACGACGGTACGCACGAGGCCGGTCGTCTTCATCGGAGTAATCTTCTACGTACGCAGAGCGATGCGAAACGGAGCCTCGACCAGGCCTATGTCCTCGAGAGTGATACTCCTCTTCGCGTTCTCGGTCACTGACGTGCGGCACCATCCAGCGGCTGCTGTCTCCCATCGGCCTGGCTCGGTTTCTGCTCCCAACGTCGACAGGAGCAGGTCCCATGCTCATTGCGTTGGGAGAGTTGGGCAGCGCACTGATGGGCGACATCAACGGCTGATCTTGGTGGCTCACATGCGCGGCGTTGGGCTGGATAGGTAGCCTAAGGAGAGCATCGCGGCTGCCCTGGGAGCCTAGGGGGAACTGGGGGCTTTCAACCATCGTGCCGTCCGCCATAGTCTGGCCATAGAATTGCGGCAGCGAACCGGATTGTTCCTGTGCCATGTGTGGAGACGATGTGGGCGTGATGTCCAGAGGAATACAGATGGAGATGCGGGGCCTTAAGAGGATACCAGGTGGTTTCTGGAGTAGACAATGCGTCTGTGAAGTGATGTCCAATTTGCGTAAGGATAGATATGGAAGCTCAAAGTTGGTACGGTGTAGTTATGCGTAACCAGGTAATACACGTCTGCTTCTGTTGGGTGAGGGATGTGAATGCACAAATGAATGGATAAATCCAGCCAGTGACCGTATGTTATACCCTCACCGTAGCAACTATCATTTCCAGGACAGCGGCTAGCCCCTCCATCTCCGGTGCTATGTCTTTTCTACCCGGTTTCTCCTGCGGCCCTTCCTTTTTCCTCAACCACCCATTCGTTGATCGGGGCATCCGTACCCAGGATCTCTCCATCGCAATCCTCGCAGAAAAACACCCATGACGTCGATTAAGCATTCCCAGATACTGCTCTCAGGGTGGTACCCAGGCCGAACTCATGCGGGACCGACCAGTGTGATCTTCAGAAATCGTCTGCGCTGTTGCGGCCTTGGAACTTACTTTTGAGATGCAAGCTGTGACCATGTATGCGGAACAGGACCAGGGGCATTGCCAGACTCGCTAGTGTTTGTAAGATTGGCGAGGATTTCAGTGTTCTTTGGTTCTGAAGGGGCTCGCTTGAGGGAGCATCCTTGCTCGATTCGGTGGATGGACCCTGTACAAGAAGGTTCGTAACGCGCGAAGTCGGACGATGGCTGAACGCCGAAAAAGGGTCTTGTTCTGAAGACGCGCCAGCTTTGACAGTAGTGCTGGTGAGTGTTTCAGTATTTTCAGTGTGTGATGTCATGTACGTTAGTTTGCCGGCAAGTGTACTGGTATTGTTCGCTCGGCCCCGTGGTGCGGATGTAGGAAGCCTTTCAGTGCATTGAAGCCGAAAGAGACACACTGGAGCTGTCAGGTGTGCTGGCATGAAGTTGCTTTTTCTCGCAATTTCTTCCGTGTTTAACAAGCGCCACAGCGCTGGCACAAGACGTGAGTGACAGGAGCCCGGTAAACGGGTTGCGACCACCTAGACAAAAACAGGATTAGCGAGCATGCGAGATGTGCTGTCAGTCATTACATATCGTTCTAGGAGGTTGGATTAGTTGATTCAATGACGGGCAAGTTCGTACGGCCTGATGATTGTCGTCGTTCGTTCGGCATTCGCCAAGCTACAAATACACTAGATACACACCACGTACCTGGTACGCTGACACGTATATCTATTCTTGCACGGCGCACTACAGCTTCCCAGTCGTGCGGTTCTACTTGTTCTTCGCGATGCTGACTACGTTCCTCAAAGTTCCGAAGGGAAGTACGTCAGCGATCCGCTTTTTGTTTGCGAACAGCATGACTAAGCGGTCCAGGCCACATCCCCAACCCCCTGTAGGTGGCATGCCCCATTCCAGGACCTCAAGATAGCTCTCATCCACTTCTCTGCCACCTTGCTCGAGTTCAGAATGGAATTCCAGCTGTTGCATGAATTTGCGTCGCTGTTCGAAAGGTGAATTCTCCTCTTCATAGGCATTGACGTATTCGCGGCTATTGATGAAAAGCTCAACGCGTGATGCGACACGCTGGTTGGTTGCAGGGCAAATGTAAGACTTTGACAATGGCGAGAGCGCTTCAGGATGGTGTGTAATGAAAGTAGGGTTGATGCAAAGGGGCTCAATGTACTCTTCAGCGAGTGCATCAAGCAAGCGGGGGAGAGTTGGGTTTGGCGGGACGGTGATGCTCAGATCATTGAACATATCGATGAGATCTTGAGCTGCGGTGCTCGATGAGAGATCGGGCAGTGCTCGTCCGCAAGCCTGTTCGATTGTCGGAATGAACGGCAATTGAGCGAAAGGAGCTTTGAAGTCTACACCTTCAGGTTTGTGAAGGGAAGGGAAATAGCTTGGTCGAAGCATTTCCACAGCATCCTTCAGACCGCAGACAAGTTTCTCTGTTCTGTCGATCAGAGAAGGAAGAGTCGCCCCGACCTCATAAAATTCGCATGTGGAGAACTCAGGATTGTGAGTGTTGTCGACGCCTTCATTTCTGAAGACGCGACCGATCTCAAATATCCTATCCTGTCCTCCAACAATAAGCCTCTTGAGATTCAGCTCCGGTGCTATCCGAAGCCGAACTGGCGTGTTCGAGAGCTCGTTTGCAATAGTCTCGAAAGGCCGAGCAATAGCTCCTCCAGCGTTTACGTCGAAGATAGGGGTCTCCACCTCTAAAAATCCACTGTGTACCAAGTGTTGACGTATGGAGTCATATATCAGAGCACGCAGGCGGAGGATATCGCCTGGCTCGTCATTCGTGAGCTGATGCAGATGAGGGTTACGAGCAAGCGTCTCAGCACTCTCGACCTTTTCCGGAAGATGGTGTAAGCAGGGTGCAACTATACTTGGCACATGAAGTGCCAGAAGCGACAGTTGCCCGGTCGACGTCCGTATTGGCTGTCCGTGAAATGACACCCAGTCGCCGCGGCCTACCACTTTCCTGAATGCCTTGAAAGCTTCCACAGCCTCATCATAATTGTCGAGCTTCTTCACCTCGATCATGATTTGCAGCACTTGTGAGTCACGCTCAATATCAAGGAACATCAGCTTGGATCCCAGCATTCGCACTGATCGAACTCTGCCGAATACAGACACTCGGTCACCGCGAAGACCTGTCATTCCCTCGTACTGAGCGTGGAAGTCCTTCAGCGACATGTGTTCTCCATTGGTGTGATTTACCAGTCGAGGATGGTATTCGCCCAATGGCTTCATCTTGCGCAATTGCTCCAGCCGCTTCTGCTTCTCGACATCGTGCCGACCGGTGTAGGCATCGGCGGCGATCGTTTGTGCTGACCTTCGCTGGAAGGCGCAATAGGCGGAGGCGAGTTCCGGCTTGACGGCAGGCTGGAGGCCGCGCTTGAGGTACGGTCGGAGGAAGTGGAGCGTCGGTCTACTCATACTTTAGACCTGTTAGTAAAAACGCAAACACAGAGGTAATAAAGGCCAAAGTGTGAGGTTGGTTCAGAATTTGAGGATGATGAGATCAACCGCCATTGCTGGCGTCATTCGCAACGGTTCTAAGGTTATGTGTTTGTTCATCATGAAGTGGAGCGGCTAAGCCGATGCAGCGTGAAGACAGGCTGCTGGTCGCGGTTCGCCGTTCCGCGAGAAAACTTTTCGAGCTTTATAGTACGCGCCGTCCTGCCTTCAATTGCGTGCATCGACCCGCGATGGTAAAGAAAGTATAAATACATACCTGCTGTAGCCTCAAGGAGCCCCAATGCCGAGGGGCATGCCGTCTGAGAAAAGTGAGGAGGAGAGTTGGGCAGAGCAAAGCTGTACAGCTTAGAGCTACCGCTTACGTGATTGTTCATGCGCACAGACGCCGGGCACCCAATCAATTGATTTTCTAGATCCAGCCACGGCGCCACCGAACTTCAGCCATCCGTTGACACACAGTGCGTCCCAATGTACCGTATGTAGGTAGGCACTCGCGCTGAGTAGACACACCTCAGAATTGCAACTTATCAAGCCTTGTCTTTGCGCATGTTGTAGCATCCCATGAGGATCAGGTCCTTTCGAATCGATCAACAGGGGAGGTGGACCTTCGCAACACCGCAGCGCGGTCTCCATCAAGTATACTGTAAGGCTCCGCCACTGCCGAACTGGACCCTACTGGCGGCGTGTTGCTCTCAGCCTCATTCGCGAGATCGGATGCATTGGACGATTCCATCGTCATTGGCTCGCCCTGTAAGGCCCCAGGTCCGAGGACCATCTCGAGCTGTTCTCATAGCCGTCATGTTCTTCGTCGTACTCCTTCAGCTTGCCCATCCTAGCAAGATACTCATCTGTAGAAGCTCGTGAGCTACATCAGGCCTAGAGTTGGCGTTAGACTTACCCCAAAAGACTCCCCTGTGGTTATGAATGGTAGAGTGCAGAAGAAAAGAGGCACGAGCTGGCCAAATCCCCATTCTAGCTCTTTTGTGGTCGACCCCTTGGCTTTTCATACTGACATGTCCGTATTTCCTGTCACCAAAGAGCGTCCAGACACCCAGCGCAAATCAGACCACGTTTGCAACAAAGTCAAATATAATAGAGCGGGACCACCACCAAGCATCCGTAGCTATTTTCTTGGATATAGCGTAGGACCTTACACGCCTGGCATCGGGTGGGGCATCTGGTCTAAGCCTATCGTCCAGCTTTTCCATGTGCTTGAACCGAACGTCTCGAAAGATTCTGAATCCCGTGTTGGTCAAAATCATGATATCAAGTGGCTCGGACAGAAGACAGAAGATGATCATCGAGGTGCTCTATCTTCCAGGCTCGCCTCCGTAGTTGCCTACAAGATCCTTCCGAACGCAATTCGCCGGGCATGGAAAGACGTCGTACCACAATCGATATACAGAGACTACCAGAGTGAAGATGAGCAAGACCGAACATACACTCATCAGCACGATTCTGACACCAGTCATCAAAAGAAGTCTTCTTTTCCTGATTTTGCCTGTTCCGCAGTTGTCAGATTATTTTCCGAGAGTAAAAGATTCCTCGGGGAACTTCACTCGACGACGAAAGTATGAGTTTAATACCGTCAGAGTCACCGAGTGGACTCCGTTGCTTAGCCATGCCAAATCCGAGCAGATGGAAAAGTGGTACGCCGTGATGCTTCCGATGACCATCTTCACGATTGCGACGACGAAAACCGCTAAGCAGGTGACTAATTGCTGATCACTGAGACCTAGCAACACTTTAGTCAAGCTCTCCACCCAGAGCTCCTTGTTCTTGTCTGAGACACGGTGGCTCATGAACTTGGTGACTTTCTCTCGGAGCCATCGATCCACGGGGTTCAGTGAGGTCGTGTTGATCATGGAGAGAAGCAAGCAGACATAAGAGAGAATCAATGCGATCAACGCGGCCAGGACAAAGGAAGATATTATCCAATTCCGGCAATGTCAGGATCGGGCTCTAGATTTGGGCAGCTGCAATTGCGATTGTATGAACTGCAGGTGAATTTTTTGGGAGGGATGCAGGTATCTAAGGTACAGTGAGCGAGAGCTTGGTAGGCTTTGCTGTACCGTTACTACGAGGACTCACAAGACTGCGTTAATGTATCGTTAACGAGCACAACGTCTGCTAGCATGGGAGCGCGAGCGGTAGTCTGAGGATTGGATGGACGGCAGACGAACCGGCTGGACAGCTTAGCAGTGAAGAAATTCATCCAATAATAAAGTCGGTCAAATGCGTCCCGTTAAGGAACTTTTCATTTCCGATGAGCGCAGCGGCCATCTTCAGGAAGTCATTCACAGGTGCGAAGAACGCCGACGTGAGAAGGAAAAAGAATCACAAAGAATTGGGCCTAACATGGTCGGGGACACGCTGTTGTTTCTTTTGTATTCTCAACCTTGAGTCTTCAGCCTTGAGTTCTGGCCCCGAACATCCGCAGCCCAGCCGGAGGTGCGTCGTTTGGTCGCTTTAGCGTTGCAAGCCTCTTGCATGCAACTGATAGCTGAACGCATGCTTCAAACACTGACACTTGATAAGCATTGTGCAGCTTCGGGCTGCGGGTCATAAGTTCTGATTGATCCACGACCAGCGGAAATTAGATCTTTGGATGCACCCGGCCATGCAAAGAATACTCCATTCACATCCACGCTTGCGACTGTCGCAAGAAGAAAGATGTGAGAGACTTTAGCGAAAGAAGATATACCATCATGTCTGCGACTAAGCTGAGCTGAGCTGAGCTGAGCTGAGGCAACGATACGAAGAACGCTTGGAGGATGGAGAAATACGGATCCGCCTGCAGCACCGCTCAGAATTTGTGAGACCCTACTATCCTGGTGGGCAGTACACATGCCCTGGAGCTTTCGAGTCAGCACTGCATTTCCATGGTTCGTGGGATCATTTAGGCCAACATTCACGACTCCCTACAAACGCGGAACGCGTTCGCAGCATTTGCGCGAGAGCCGCTAATGCTATTGCAACCGGCCCGGCTGATTCGGCTAGAGCTCGCGGTAAGAACGCGTCGCGACAAGCTGCCTTCGGCCTTCACGCGCCTCTTCTTCGTTGCCGATCCGAATGGCAAGCGGTCAACAGCAGGCACAGCACAAGATCAGATAACTGCGAGTGATTCCTTCCTCAACGCGTGGCCAGCGGCGCACAACATCAATGAAAGATCAATGGACCAGCAAAAATTGCCCCAGTCAGGCCCCCGAAGGAGACTGAAGTCACTCCCAGCTCCGCGCTGTGCAATGCAGGCGAGAATGACTGGTTCCTCAATGCTTGAGCTGAGGGAACCCCAAGAAGGTAAGTATGAAGAATCAGAAGGGAGGCAGAGCGCGGGTGACATTATATACTTCTCTAGCGCGCCAAGGGAGAAGCGATCACATGACTGTGCACGGACAGTCGGTGTCTTGAGCTTTCGAAAGACACTAGCGTCGTTTGGGTCCAACGCACGTGATACACGGAATCTCGGCTTGTAGACCAGCGCCTCCATCAAACATATGGCTTCGTGAGTATTCAAAGTAGTTACGCTAGATCAACAGCCGCATCATCACACAATGTACTAACTATCAGCACGTATGCTGTTGAGATGTGCTTCTCTTCTAGCAGTAACGATATGGAATGCAGCCAAGTCTGCTGACCCCTCAGCATCCACTGAAGCCCTAGAGCACAGGCATTGCTATGCGAGAATCGGACCTCAGCTTCCTCGAACGCGGAACGCTATGCAAGTCCAGTCCGAAGCTGAACACTGCACGTCGCAACGAACCATTGACTCGTAATACCAAGCTCCTGCGACTTGAACACCTCAGCTGTCCACCCGCCATTATGATCCCCAAAATGGCAACGTGCGAGACCGCCGAAAATAAATACATCACTATAGACTCCACCAAATTTGCCCACTGCCGCTTTGGGACACGTACCGGCGTCCCTCTTTGTCTTCACATACAATTCCGCGGCGCAAGGGACCATTGGGACCCTACCTTCATCAACCCGCTCGCTGCCACTCGGCCCATCCTCCTCCTGGACAACTCGGGCGTCGGACGTTCAGAAGGTGCAATCCCAAGACCATTACCGGCTGGGCACAGATCGTCCTTGACTTATTGAAACACACTGAATCTTTCGCGGGTCGACGTCCTAGGCTTCAGCATGGGCGGCTGCGCTGCACAGATAATTGCGCTGAACGCGCCCAAGAAACTAGTGCGGCGGCAGGTACTCGCGGGATAATGCCCGGCGTGTACGAGGGCACGATTGCAAATGGTGAGAATACTCCCTAGCAAGGAGCTCGGAGTGTGCTAATCGCGATTTTAGGTCCTGATGATCTGTTACTGCCGACAAAAAACAGCATCGTGATGCACCGGAAGCTGGAGACTGCAAATGCGCGATTGCACCTATATACCGACTCTGGTCATGGGTTCTCGTACCAGTATGCGGCGCACTTCTCACAGCTTTTCAACGCCTTTCTAGATGATGCGAGCTTGACGCCGGTGACTAGTTGCCTCTAAATGCGGCTTGTCCAGTATCATTCACCTAAGGTATCCGAACCTATTATATTATATTCGAAGACGGTTGCAAGACCTGAGTGTCGGCAAGGTGAACAAATTGAGTTGTAGTTCAAGAAATGTGTAGCGAATATATAGGCAGCCATACCCCGTTCCATACACGCTTCTGCTCTGCCTCGATCACACCTCTTTCCTCGGGTCTCCTTCGCACACTTTGCCCTTGCAGACCTGTCGTGTTGGACTGTATGATGCTCAGCGCAAGGTTTGCAGGCCACTGGTTCTGATTGGATTCACTGGGTTAATACTGTGAGTAAGCAACTGCCGAGTCTGTGCGAGACATAGCTCTTCCTTTAACCTCGCCTCGAATAACCGTGAAGCAGAATACGAAACGTTGCGGACCTCGTAATTGCGGACTCATGAGCTTATCTTGGTACGAACAGGGCAACTCCGTCTAGCGAAGATGAATGTACATGAGCTAAGCCACCCCGGCCCCCAGTCGCAAGGCTTATTTGCGCACACCGTCAAACCTCACTCCCTCATCCACAACTGTGCCCATGGTATCATCTAAAATCCCATTGAATATTCGCGCGTGAATCGCAGGCGAAAATTAGTATCTAGCGACAAACTCCCCGTCCATACCATCAAGCAGAGCTTCCAACATGGCAGACGCACACAAAATTATACTCGCTGCCTGCTCCAGTGGCGACATTTACACCCTAAAGACACTGTTCCAAGAATTTCATATCGGCCCGGATCACCCACAGAGTGTCTATAGTCTCAATCAGAATCTCCCAGAAGAAGAACAACTACCTGTTGGTGAGCGTATGTTCGACCATGCCATCAGAGGTGAACAACCTGGAGTCATAGCCTTTCTCTCCGATCATTTTTCGCATTACAGTCTCGGTGGGTATTCTATGCAAGCGGCGATCGATACATGCAACACCACAGTGCTAAGAGCGGTCTGCAAATGCGATCCAGCCTCTACCAGCGCCGAACTCGGCGATGACTCTACTATCAACGCACTTGGGTACGCGGCATCCAAAAAGAACGGCGCGGAGCTGGTAAAAGTGTTACTGGACGGTGGCGCAGACCCGAATACAACTCCACCATTCAAGATGCCTGCGAGTTGGAACCTCTCTGCTGCGATTCTTGCAGATCTACCAGTATCAACATTTGAGCAATTCTTCGATGCTGGATATCAAGGCAATGATCCCTGGGCTGTGAAATTTGCGGTGGAGAAGAAGCGCGCGGATATCCTTGAGGTTTTGTTCGCAAGGGGCAAGGAGTTCGCGGATGCGCAGTTCCCGGCAGAGAAAGAGATGATTGCAATTGCCAACAAGGATAACGATGTGACCATGGTTGCAGCTATCAAGCGTGGTTATACGGTGCTCTCTAAGAGAAGACCGGAACGAAAATCTGGACTGATCGCATCTTTCATGGGTAAAGTGCGTTCGCGGTCACGGAGTTGAAGACTCAATATGGCAATCATAAGGAACAGCGTACAAGATAGCATTGATGAAGGAGGAAGAAACACCTTTTGTATTGCCTAGAAATCAGAAAAGAAGACCGAGAAGCCGTAAAGTCTTGCAGCTATGGCACGGTTCCTCACAGTCGCGCCAATCTTCAATCTGGACATTCGATGCCTACCAGTGCTGTCTACATCCGCTGACACAACACTTGTTCAGTCCTCTGGTACACTGGACGTTCTTGCGACGACCGCCAGGCCTGAATGGGCGGAATCGGAGTGACCTCGCGATCGGCAAAAGGAAGACTGGAGCAGCAATTTCCATTCAGAACGGCTAGAACTAGTAGATTTAGTGTGGTGACGACATTCATACAATTGCTTTGTTCCAGCAATTATGTCTCGACTGCGTCATACCAGCCATACTCAGCAATATGACATCAATCGTGCAAACGAGACTACCATCACATGTTGTGACCCAAGATGGTTCCTTCATAGCAGTTTGTAATTTACTCGTGGTTTGCGAAGTGCATTTTGTCGTTCGTCTATGGAGTCTTAATTTCGAGTGTACTGCAATGCATGAAGACTCTTGCAAACTATCAGGTCTCCCGGTGAATTCGCGCCCTGAGATGCTACCTTACGAGGAGGATATGGAGGCAGTGCTCTACTGGGAGAGTCGGTTTACAACATCATGTCTACATAATCGTACCAGTTCTTCTGATTTTCCCTCAATCATCCACCCCAGCCCACACAAACTCACATCCAAATACACTACTCTACCAGCCGAACTCACACACACTGCTGTGATTAATTCACTCGTCGTAATCCTCTCCTCTACAGCAAGCGACATAAAATTCCAACGTATATAAATTGCAAAGGCGAAGATTAGGTCATTAAAGCATCTAAGTGGGAGTCGTCTAGTGGTTATGGTATCTGCTTTACATTCACACGTGTATTGCGCAGAAGGGCCCCGGTTCAATACCGAGCTTCCGTAGCTCTTTGAGGAGTCGTGATTTCATGCTTGGGTTAACAATGAGACAAAAGGGGAGGACGTGTGATCGTAACTATCATTAAAAGCTTAACTCACATTATTGCTGTGAAACTAACAAGATACTATCAAGTTGTGGCTAGTAGTTAGTTATATTGTGAGGATAGAGAACGGACAGCATTGATTTTGTCTAAAAGGCTCTGGCAGGTACTTCAAGCCTGGTGCAAGATCCCCTTCAGTAGAACAGTGTTTTGTATGGAGATTATACCGACATAACGAACGATGGTCTTATCTGTCACGTTTATGGGACACATGTCAGGAAGACTCCAACCTAAAAGATATTGCTACCCGCTCGGTGCCACATGGTTGTCTTTGCCTAATCGCGCTTCTTAACTTTACCACTTTTAACAGGAAAAGACGCTTCTTCGGGAGATACTTTGATATATCTTTACGAGCCTGGGAGACAAAGGTCGAGATGCTCTAGAGACCGGCGATATCAATCAACCAAAGCAGAAGCAATGGTAAGCAATCTGATATTATCAGAGTATCGAGACAGATTTGGTGGAGCCCCCCCCCCCCCTCTGACCATGCTTATGGTATCTCTGACATACAGACCGAGTAAAGCTCAGCTGACGCAGCCGGAACGGAGAGCTGGAGGTGTACAGCTCGAACGGATTCTTGGGTTAGCTGGCAAAGGTCGGTGTTTTACATTGGATAGGATATCCCCGTCCTCAGCTGTGAACATTCACGACAATGTACACAACAGTGAATAATTTTGAATACGCCTACCCTGCATCAGGTCCCGGTCCCTCACTTACCGCATGATATGATAGTCGATGAGTAGTGGTGACCTGCGTTTTCCTCCAACAGCAACGGCTCTGTGCCATCATTCACCCTAGATCCATGTCGGCAAGGGTGCTGGCTTCGGCATGGCTGCAAGGTATCGTATCGGCCCCGATCGTCCTTCAGCTCAGACGGCCCGAAGCCACGGCCGCTAATTGCCGACCGCTTCGGACGCCACCAGGTTGGTTTTCAGCCTCTGGCTCCACGTGTGTCTGCGAAACATAGGCTGCCCGCACGTGGCGATTTACGGTGCGGCTCGAAGGATTACCGGGTCCCGACGACCAAGAAGTCTACTCACGCAGCAGGAATGAAGCATGTCATCGAAATGCAAGATCCTGGGATCATCATATGCCTTCATTTCCGAACTCCTCCAGGTAAGTACGGTAACGTATCACCTTCTGACCAAAGGACGATATCATGGAGTCACATTCCTGCGCATTGTTTGTTGATTTCGGGGGTAGCAAACCGGATCCAGCTGACTCTGTCATGTGATTTGTTGCGAAAAGATAAGGTAAGCGCAATTGTATGGTAATCGTTTGTTTATCGGCGCCAGATTGATGTAAGAAGAAGTGCGCTCTGGTGTTGGCCGTAGAAATTGACAAATGCCTTGGTGGTGCTGGGTCTAGGCAGATACACAATACAGCTACACATTTTCTGAAAAGCCCATGCTTTCGCTGGAATCCAGGGGACATAGCACCCATGCATGGTCCGTAATGTGGTGTGATGGGGCTCTAATGTATAACGCATCGCCGTACAGCAAATACCCGGTACGCTAATATGATGCGCTCCATGCACGTTGTCATACCATTCAAACCACCCAATAATGACTTTGCACATTCGATCATCGAGAGTTCCATGGATGCGTCCGGTGCTGCATCGTTGTATCGTTGACCTATGAGAACTTGGATCTCGCTCCGCGCATGCAAAGACGGCCAGTTTTGTCTGAAGGGTGTTAACGCATGCCATGTCCAAAAAGCATCAGAAGTGCTTCTCAGTGCACTCAAAGCTGTGGTACCACACTAAATCTTCACCCCACATTGACGCATCAACCCCTCCGGTGTGCCATCTTCGAAGCAACTCGTGGGGCGTCTTGAACTCCAATATACAGCACCTGCACCTCTGGCATTGGTTGGCGTTCTTTGGTCATCATAGCTAGAAGTGATATTGATCGTTGCACCAGAAAAAAAAGTGCCAAGTGCAAGGAGTTGTGTGGTGGGGTTGGCTGTGTGGCATGGGCGAATAGTTCGAAAAGCTCGTATGGACAAGCAAGCCCAGTGATATCCTGGTACATAATACAAGCTGCAAGGTGGCCGCGATTAGTCTCCGTGCAATCAGCATGGACTGCCTGTACTGAACAGGTCGGCACCGACGTGCCGCTTTCAGCTAGAGTGACTCGGGCCCTGCATTCCCATTTCCATGAACCTAGTCTCTGCGAATTCGGACGTTTGCATTACATCCTCTCTCCGCAGTGGAAAGTGAACACTGCAGTCGTCTGGGCCCAATCGTCAGAAAGCGATAACGTTTTTGACAAGCCTCCCTGTCGCAGAAGCGTCCTTCCTAATGCGTCGATGTGCTTTCCAGAACTTTGTGCTTGCATTGCGCCGAAGGTTGCAATTTTTCATGCGAGCGTTTTCCATCTCCGAGATACATTTTTGCCGCCTGATGCGCGAGAACACCGCCACAAACTCTTGCATCTAAGGACACTCATGCTGTGCGTCCATGATCGCTTGCCGTGCGCGACCACGTGCCTGATTGTGACTCAAAGATCACCGATCACTGTTGGATGCACAGACAACTTCAATGGAAGTTTACACTGCGAGCACATAAAATTTACGTTGGCGCGGTAGTATATCAGAACCCTCTCGACGTATCAAGTCGTCCAAATCCGCGAGTCGTACGTCCTGTCATAGATTGTTCGCCTCGTCTTCCCACGCGGGTAAATGAAGGTGTGGAGAAAGGAACCCCCGGGGCGCTAAGTGCTTGACTAATGGGCGTCCGTATGACCCGCAGCCCGTAACGCAGCACGATCGGTTTTCCCATGTGGCTGCATGATCTGTTAGTGGGGTGTCCCAACAACTTTGCTGTGTGGGATAGTCGCTCCTGTAGTACTGTAAGTAACGGTATGGCGTGCACGAGAATTCGACTTACTGTCGTACCGTACAATACAGCATACACATGGCATCCAACAACGCTGATGTATAACATGACCTGGCGAAGAAGGGATATATATTAAGACATACCAGGCTTCCCAAGCTACATTAGTTCATCAATGGTGATACAAGGTCCGTGACTGCGGCGAATCTTTCGTGAGCGATTGTGCTGAATCTTGCTCCTGGCATGATTGTGATCATGGGTGTCAAGGTAATCTCGAATAGTTCAAGCCACAAAAACATTGGCCTCAAGCTGCGGTTGCTGTTGGGTGTGCGATGTAACAATCCTCAACTCCCCAGAAGAACCGTACCGCAGCCCACGTTCATATCCCTGGACGTTCGAAAATCTGACTTCTGCATGGATGTGGATCCTAGGCCGAGCATTGAGTCCGAGTGGTAAAGAGAGTGATGTACCATCAAGCCTAGGTAGATATGGTGCGGTTTGCTGCTTCGAATGTCGATTTACTGGCAACTGCAGAACGCGTACTCTGAGCATTTGACTTGACCATGCGCGCCATCGGACGATCTCCTCAATTAATTATGCGTCCAACTCTCCGAATCCAGACATCGTGTCATTCCTCGATTTTTTCTATGCTTGGTGTGCTCGTATTGCCCTGTTCAGCGCGATCATGATTATACGCAGGCCTCTCAAGAGCTGTGGCTTCAAATGCAGTGTGACACCAGGGGAATGCTGACCGCTGAGTGGTACGAGGTCCGTTCGTAGGCCCTGCAATATGCAGTAAGTGGAAGTCAATAGAATGGCTGCCTCTGACTGACGAGGGCACGATAATGTGCTGGAGCCTCACCGATCGGTCCGCGAGACGTAGTCACCGTAACCAACAGAAAGCAAGCCTTCGGAGCGCGATGGGGGCTATGTTCGTTTCAATATCGGCTGTCCGTGCCTGCAGACTGCTCGGAGCGCATTGGCGGCTGGTCCTGCGGCTTTGGGTAAAGGCGCTCCTTCGAAGAGCCATGGGCCGCGCTTCTCGAGATGCTTTTGGCGAGTAGACGAGTCCAGACGCTGACCAGGCACTCGAATGACGGGCACAGCAGCTGGCCTGCAAGCAGGGTGCCACTGCATGTCGGCGGATGTCGTCACTGCTCAGTGGCTGGATGTGGGGAAGACGGCTTGCTCGCAGGCCTCCACGAAGCCACACACCCTCAATGTCTAGCGGGCCCGAACTGAGGGAACGAGGGCCGGGGTGTCTCTTGTTGCACCCCCTGGCCCCGGACAAGACGTGCAGGCCGTGTGTGCCGTTCGATGGGCGTAGCCGCGTGATCCTTGGATCCTTCGTCGACGACGAGATGGAACGAGGCTTTTCCGAGGTTGTAGAATTCCCGCGTTACTTAGGCCCGTTGACTAATGTTGTGTCAGGGATACGTGTCATTGTCTTCTGGTACGCTAAGCCCTGGCGTGCTCGTCTCTGCTTGCGCCGACGACGACCACTTCGCTCGTACCCGCACCACCATCGCCATCTCCATCTCCATCTCCATCTCTTTCTGCATCTGGTACATCTTGTCCAGCTGCTGCTGGCTGTGCGACCGCTGCTAAAGCATCTTCGGTCCTGCCGTCTCCTATTCTTGCCAGCGGCTGCGGCGGCTGCAGGAAGGGGGTGATCTGGGTTTTTGGCACCCACACCCACACCGGAAGGAGCTACCTGCATCCAAGTCCCGGGAGCTGTGATGACCTCGCAACCGCTGACAAGTCTCGCCAGATACAGAGCCCAAGAGCACAGCCACTAATGGTCAGGCTGCAGACAGAGAGAACAGTATGTTCGTGTAGGGTTTTGGAGCGCCGAACCACTCCTTCGTTCGAGAGCCCGCTCAAGCCGACGATCATGTACGAACACACCCCGAATGACAACAACATAATATGATAATGATAATCGTTGGACGTTGTGTGCGGCAATATGGTGCAGTCGATGTGGCGCCAGGGCTCTCCTACAACTCTTTCTCTCCATGCCCGCCAAGTCTCTCTCAACGGGCTTCCAGTGCTCGACGTCGGCAAAACAATACCGCCTCTATCTCTCTTTGCATCGACACAGTCCAGGTTCTGATGAGTCAAGGTTTTTGATATAGCCTTGATCACCTCTCTGCACGGCATGTCCGCAGATACCTGCGTTAGCTTCGTGAACGCAAAAGCAGTTGAGTGTTGCCTTTAGCTTGTGCGTTTGCCGCTGTTAACTGGAGTGCCGACCATGTCTTAGTCAGTGGATCCTGGAATGCCGTACCGTGCGATCGAGCAACGCCCTAGGCTACTTACGAGATTGACCAAGTTCTGAATGGGGACCACCCGTACTTTCGACGAGGGATTGACTACGGCAGAACCAGCCAAAGCTCTCGATACACGACCCTGTAGAAGCATTCACATATATGTCCAACCCGCGCTGGGAACTGCTGACAATAGCCGCCCAAGATGCGGCCCCTTCGCACCTGCGGTTGGATTTTTCTTGCGTAGTCTGCAACTTCCATTGTGACGCTCCGTTCACCCGGCTAAAGCCAGCTTTGTCTGAGAAAGCCAACGGGAAATTTGAGATAGATTTGGACCGGAAAAGCTGATACCAACGCCAACGAAGGACAAGTCGCGTGTCACTTGTTGTCTCCGAGATTAAGACGGCCGTGCTATTCGTGCCAGAAGAAGGCCCCACTGTTTGTATCGGTTCGAGGTTCGAGGCGTTGCAAGGAGCATCGGGCTGTTGATGTAGATGGCAACCCGCAGCGCTACACATTGGTTGCTCAATAGTCCTGTATCAAACATGTGTGCGTGCTGCGCTAATCTCGGGGGGTTTTCAGTGCCACAAGTAGCTGATTATAGGCCAACCCACAGCAGTCTGGGCGCTTTACGGCATCAACTCCTTAGGATCAGGCTCGGTCCGAGTTTGGCCTAGGGGTCGGCATAGCTGGTGCACGGTACCGAGCTGGCAGGTATCTTTGCAATATGCAACGGCTTTGTTTCATTCATCTGTACAACTGTCCCTTGTTCGACACGGCTGTCTGTGTCTCGCGTGGAAGCGGCTATGACTCCGCGAATGCAAGACACTATGCTCGCCTTATGCTACCTCAAGCATGACGCAACCTTTTTCAGACGACACGCCTACACAAAATTCTCAGCAGCTTTTGGCTCACATGCTTTTTTTTCATTGCGGCACATGGATCTCTCGCATGCTGTCAATTCGTTGGAAATACATGTCACATAAATTACAATACGGAAACTTTCACGGTGTGAATGCTCCTCGTATCTCATTCAATGCGTCGCTGGAGGAAAAGAGGATAGTCCTACCGCGGCGTAGCGTTACCTAAACAAGCCACTCTGGCTCGATCTTCCACAATCGTGGGATCGTTCCACACCCACACAACATTAATATCCGGACGCCATGCACGTGCATGCCAGACACAGCCAAAAAGCAACGCGATTCGACCGCGGATGGTCTCCCGCGGACCGATGCTTGTTGATCTGCAAGAACAAGGGATCTTACCCCAGCATGTGCAGCTGTGTATGTACAGGAGCTTGACCTGGGCCTGCAAGCGGGCGCGGACCATGTTCTCTTCAACCGACGCCAGGTACTTCGCTCTGCGTGCTTGGTTGCAGATGGCACAGCGATATTGATTGTGTCAATTCCGGAAAACGGGACAGTAAGTCTCGCCTCCGTGAAGTTGAGGAAGAACCCGTCAGCGATGGCTTGTCGTTGGAGCAGACAGTTCGCCATCGGTCTGCGGATTTCCTCCACTTGTAGCCCATGTCGCAACGGTTGCTTGGGACGGCATCCTCGAGGCACTAGCTGCGTTGCTCGCGTTCAGTGGTCCGGCGAGGCCAACTGCCACGCTTGCGTTTTCCGGCAGGCCAAGTTGCTGTGAACAGGCGACTGCAATCAAGCTGAGTTGAACCCTGCAAAAAGTTCCTGTTGGCCAGCGTTTCGGACAAATATCAATCAGACGTCTGCTGGAAGCATGTGGATTGGAAACCATAATATCGCGATTAGCCGACGGCACGGCAGTGCGTCAGACGATAGCAGCCCCAAAAGAACGCAGAGTGATAGCCCTGCTACGAGCAGCAGGCGCTCAGTCAGGACCGCGGGTCCGCCTGCCGTCAAGACGCCGCTCACAGTGGAGCACGCTTGCAGCGGCTAGTGCATGGCGCTTTCACAGCGCGATGGCCTAGAGCCCTGATCGCAGATGTGGGCTGGCGCGCTGCCGCCAAGCGGGGACACGATATATTGGTGTGCGATCGTCAGCCGCATCGTCAACGAGCACGCGCGCGGTATGTCGCGGGAGGCGAGAGGAGGATGACAGGCGCGGTCACGAGAGATCACTCAAGGACGATGGTTAGTGGCTCGGGGTGCACAGTCTCGTGCTCAGTGTGGTACCATTCCCCACCGGAGCGAGTGCGGGCGGCAGAGCACAGGCTGGCCGAGTACACGGCGCTCGCTGCAGACTGGGCAGACGATCCCTGAGCGCCAGGGTGCCCGAAATATGCACGTATTCAACGGCTGGCGGGTCCCCAGCAGACGCTCGTGCTTTCACTGGTCGACTCCGCTAGTGTGCCCACCCTGGTCACTAAACAGATTTCGACGACCTCAAGGCACATGGAGCCATGTCAACACTACCCCAAATGCTGCTAAGAGGATGTCCTGCAGCTTAAACTACGCCGGGATGCGAACCATCATTCGACGCCCGGGCCTGCAAACATGTGGCTTGAATATTTAGTCTCCCGCTCTCCCTCCGGGGAACCGTCGGATTCCTCCCTCCATCAATGTGATCTTCGTTCCCGTTGCACTCCGCACTCTTCTTTCCTATCACATTCGTTGGTCGCTGGTTGCCATGTTTCCGTTTTCATCATGGATGTTTCCTAATTGGAGTTGGTTTTGCATCTTCCTGGCCGCTTTGTACGTCTACCTACCGCTACCACCGTAACTCGGTGCGCTCATTTGGTTAATCCCGGCACCCTGAACTGACTCGGACTCGCAGCTTGTTCCGCTACATCAGACTATGGGTCAACCTAGCCGCGGTATGGACATATACGCCCATCCATCCGGTTGACGAACCGAGCATTACTTCGCAAGATGTGACCGTCATCATCCCAACCGTTGCGGAAGACATTCAACAATTGAAAGAGACTGTCCAAACCGCCTACCGCCTGGAGCCTTACGAGCTGCTACTTGTGACGCCCGATTCCCGCGTGAAGCGGCTTTACCAGATGGTTGAAGAAATGGGCTGCCCCAAGAAGATCCAGGTGCTGTCTGTGAGCCAGGCCAACAAGCGGCGCCAGCTTTCAAGAGCGATCCCGGAGGTGCAAACCAAGATTACACTGCTGCTGGACGACGATGTGTGGTTGCCGGAAAAATTCAATAAATGGATGCTGGCACCCTTTGAGGATCCACGCGTGGGTGGCGTGGGAACCAACCAGCAGCTTCGCCGGAGAGATCGAAACAACATCTGGGAATTCCTGGGGGCGATCTACTTGGTGCGAAGGACTTTCGACTGCACAGCGTGCAATTGGCTTGACGGTGGACTTCCCTGCCTCTCTGGGCGCGCTGTCGCATATCGATCGGAGATCCTGCAAGATCCAAACTTCACCTACGGCTTCACGCACGAAACGTGGGGTAGCGATCACTTCCTCAACGCCGACGACGACAACTTCATCACGCGGTGGTTGTTCTCGCACGACTGGAAGATCCAACTACAAAACCACCGCGAGTGCGAGGTGGAGACGACGCTCGAGCACGACCCCAAGTATCTGCGGCAGTGCCTGCGGTGGGTGCGTAGCAACTGGAGGAGTAACCTGACGAGCGTGAGCGAGCTGCGCATGTGGTTGTAAGTCGCCGAAGCCGCCCCAAGCCCTGCACAATACGCGTCGACGCGCCAAGCGCTACCCCTCCCAGTCGCTTTGACCAGGGTTGTTGATAGGCAAGCTAACCCGTTTGGTGACAGGAATTATCCTTGGTCCATGTACGCCGTCTTCCAAACGACGATTACGCAATGGGCGTTCCTCTACGATTGCACGCTGGTGGCACTATTCTACTGCGCGATGAAGGAGGCGGGCTACTACACGGACGCGGGCGAGGACCGGCTCTACTCGGAGTACCAGCGGACTCGCATGCTGCTGTGGGCGTTGTTCGTCGGACACATGGTGTTCTCCAAAACGATCAAGCTAGTCCCGCATCTGTTGCGAAATCCAGGCGATGTCCGCTTCGTGCCGGTCTCGATCCTGTTTGGCTACTTCCACAATCTCATCAAACTCTACGGTTGCATTACCGTGACGGAGGTGCGTAGACTGCGGCGAGGCGTATTGGTTCTTAGGGTGCTGACTAGTCACTAGACGACATGGGGCACGCGCGAGGGTGCTGACACGGACGATAACATCAGGATGCTTCCCATCCCTCCCATGGCCTCGATCACGCCGCCGCTTTCCCCTTCGCCGCATGGACGCATACTCCGCGAGCGCGGCAGCCTCATACCGAGCTGCGTGAGCTGAGGTGGTGCCTTCTCGTTTGGTCGGCGGACCCTTGCTAGTCGGAGCGCCGCCTGGCGGCCTAGGGGAGCAGTAATTTAGACGCTCGACGATCCGCTGCATGCATGGCCCTCGAGGCTCGATAGAGTCGCTTTCACGCGCGGCGGATGTTTCTCTGGTACTGTTGTTGTGTTTTGACAGGATTAGCGACGGGAGTTGCTTCGGGCACTAAAAGGACGGGACGGATACACGGCGTTCAACAGGCGTTTTGCGGGTCCGCGGACTCTGCGATGATGATCAAAATTGTAGCGTTCTTGAGGTTTTGGCATGCTGGGATGGCGACCATGTAGTCTATGCAAAAAGCACCGGCGCGATGCGCGCTTCCCCATCAGTGCTGGCCCCCCGCAAGCTGGATGTGCCCTCACTCACGCTCTCACTGTCATCCAGCGTCGCTCCACTCCCATCCAGAGCCGCTCTCACTCTCGCGGCGCACGGTCGGTGGCGCGGTGGGTGGTTGCACCGCGGCTAGAGGGCAGAATGACACCACACGTCGCCATCCGCACCACCACATGCAAACACAATGCTACCACTGAGCACACCAGGGCAACTCGGGAGCCGTTGCACAGCAGGCGTCGATGATCTGAGCCCTCTCGGCATGCACGGACCGCCCATAGCGCGAACCATCTCCCGCGTCGCCCGCACTTTGGACCCAGATTGGCATTTGGCATCCTGGACGCCCGCGCGGCCTAGCTGGGGCTGGGGCAGCGAGCACCGGGCGCATATCTCGTGTGAGAGGCTCCACGGCGGGACGGCCTCGTCGAGAGGGACACAGGCCCGACGAACCTTTGCCAACGCGGAAGGTGCGACTCGAGGTACATGCAGCCGCGTACCGGTACGTACTGTACATGGCTCAGCATGCAGCTCTCCCTCAGGCCTCGGGGCACGCAGGGTGCACATGCTGCCAGCCCACGACGTGCTCGGTGGATTGCGGAAGAAGCTGGCGGCTGTTCACCGCGTATCCAGCGCCGACAGGTGCGGTGTTTTTCCAAAGCGTCCCTGCCTGCATCCAATTCGTGCACTAGCACGCGCCGCTGGCGCAGGCTGTCGGGGCTACTTTGACCACCAACACCACTGCGCAGCACATCTGCGGGCCCGCGGGCCCCTCTTATCGACCCTCGGCCGCACCCAGGACGGGCAACCCTGCCGAGCCTCGCTGTCGAGACGCCGCACCGTCGTGCCTGCTCGCTCAGGCTGGACGCTGCGGCGGCTGCGTGCTCTCACCACCGCCAGCAAGCCTCGTGCTCATGGACCCTTTTCACCCCGGACTGACTGAGCGACGAGGACCCTTTGTTCAAACCTTATGCCCGTCATCTCCCGGCTCCCGCAGGCCAGCTACTCGCTGTCCGCGCCTGCACCGGAGCGACACCGAGCCCAGCGCCGACCCATCTGCATCTCGTCATAGCACTGGGGTGCAAGCGCCAGGCACGCTTGCACCGTAGCAGCGTGCATTCTTCGCTGCTTCATCAAAATGATGGCCACGACTGCATGCAACCCACACATGTTCCGTCTCCCCGATGCAAACCAATGCACACACCTTTGGCGACGGAGAAGGAACGGGCTTGCAGGACGAACAACTCGCGATGGCGCGCCTGCACCTGTCCCGAATTGGGCCGGTCTCGCCGCCATCGGTATCAACCTGCATCCCCAACCATCTCCACGTCTGCAGCGCCTACTACGTAGCGATGCAGATGCGCCAAGCGCAGATGAACCCCCCAGGAACCACTTTCCCATGGACGTCACGGTGCTACGTGCCCGTCAACTTGCCAGATAGACACTCGGTGCGCAGCTGTGTCTATGCGCAGCCCGCGGAGCGAGCCACGCACCTCCCGCAAATGGACTCAACCGTTGCCTGATTTTTTCAACCAGAGACACTCACACTTTTCCCAGGCCCGCACTCCAAATGTATCCCTTCTGCTGGGTCTGCGCAAATTTTTTCCTGCTTGTCCATTCGCCAACGTGTGCTCGGTTCGAGCAGTAACACGAAGCATTTGCCGAAATGTGGGTTTGATGCGTTTTACTCACCGTTCAACAACACTTCGCATGGTCATATCCTCCGTGCCTCATCCGGAGCAGTCGCTACAGCACAAAGTATCTCGTATCCCGGGCTTATCTGCACATGTGTACCAAAATCCACTAACGACGAAGATCCATTGTTCCTTGCATTAATACAAACCTTGCTCTTCACTGCTGGATCCTTGCTGATTGCGATGATTGCGCTCCTTCAGCAACCTCAATTCATCAATTGCAAATTAGATGACGGTGTCCTCTCACTATCGCCTTTTGTGGAGCGATCACTCCTTCACCTAGCTGATCTCGATGCTTTCTTCAACGTACGATGACATTTTCTTGGCCAATATCGGCTGCTCGAAGACCATATCATGCATCTGGCACAAAATGCATCGCACAGGCTCCATTTTGATGCGGTCACTAAACTGTAGCATCCGTCACATCATTGCTCCATGAAGATGACCCGACGGCTGTATCATGTCTGATGACGACATTTACTTTCTCGAGAGTACATGCGCGCACTCTATTTGTCCTCTGAACATTTCGAAAGGTGTCCTTAACCTGCCCGAGCCATGCGACCTGAACGCGCCATTGCAAAACTCTCCGGGTACGTCTCCGGGTATCTAATATGAACCAAGATTCTACCCGCGGGCATCGCACCTCACGACAAGTACAACATGGATTTCTATCCGAACCAACAAGACGCTGTGGAGCGCCGGCATATTTCAACCCTGCAGCAACAAGCGATCTGGTGTCATTTACATGCAACTTACTCTTGTGTCCGTGTTTCAACCTCAGAATCTGGACCGCGGAACACCTGCTCGGTAACTCTTGCTTGAACTATTGGATACGACCTTGCTCGGGTTCGCGATGCAGTATACAATGGAGGCTTGTAGTCGTCAATGCAGCTAACGATCCTTAGTGGTTGATTCACTAATACGAAACCGAGGTTCCCCAGGCAATGATCAGCCCTAGCGACGTGCCCATGGTGATCACAGTTAGACGTTCATTTCTAGCGCCACACTATCAAACGAGACACTTGTCTCCCTTGCATGGCATTTTCAACAAGAGCGATCACATGCGTGATCGTCCTTGTGTCAAGCAAGATATACTATATCAAGACCCTGGCGGAGCATCTGAGTTTGACATTTGATCGCGACACTTGGCAAACCCCCAGCCCTCGTGCTACGGAGTAAGCGCTGCGGCCTAGCTGTATCGGAGAACCGGTGCCACTCAACGCAATGCAACCTAAAATGACTTGCAGCTCTATGATTCAGCTCCGTCATGCAGTCACGATCTTGTATTCTCCTCAGCAGCACTCTGCACCACGGGGGTGCAACAGGGTAGTCGGCGTACAGAGATCAGCCCGACCGCAGCCTCGGCAGCAATAGCATCCCAGAAGTATGGTAAATCCGTGAGTTGTCGGAACGACTATCCGAATGCTCCATTTTTTAGATCCACGAGTCAGGTCCATCTGACAACCGTTCTCAAATCGACTTCCTAGAACAGATCAGCGTTGGCTCCATTGCTAGTGTTTACACAAAGACACTCCGGTCGACGCGAACCATGGGTCTAAGGCGGCAAAGGCCAAAGCTTTGCGATGACCTAGGCAGCCAGGGTCGTGTGGGGTGGCGTGAAGCCCCAAGCCTACGTTCGAGGTTTAGTCATGACAAGCAGTTTCGCTTCTCATGCAGAGTTTCGCCGTCCGCACCTTTTGCCAACGCGGCTAGACCACATCGCCAACCTCATCTCAAACAGGTTCTTCCCTGGCGAGACGCAACTGCATAGCGCCGAGGTAGGCCTTCGCCCCGCTATAAGTTGCAAGTGCTTAGTTGACTAGCGAAAATCGCGGCCCACTACTCGCACGATTACGAGACTTCCTGTCCGAGGAGCGGCAATAACCGCTCTGGTATCTGTCACGCTTGACTAGAGGGGATAAACACGTGATCGGGTATTGTCTTGGTGTTGGTTCGGTTTGCTTTCCTCCGGTCACAGGCGGTAGTGGGGTAGCCGCGCGACCCCAGTCGTCAACCCCTCCATGACAGCTTGAGCTTCCTGCTTGAGGCATGAGGGGCAACCCAGCCCACTATGCTTACGACTGCTCGTGTGATGATGTAGAGTGCAGGTTTCACTTTGAGGACGAGATGGTAAGGGTTTAGCGCCGGCAAATATTTGAAAGATTCTGCCTGGGCGTGGGGTATCTGTCGAGCTAAGGCAAGTATGTGGATAGGAATGTGCAGAGTCGGACCTGGGCATCGGAGGAAGAGAATGAACAAGGGAGATCGATTTGAATGCATTAAAAGCGTGCTAGTTGTGGATGATCACTTGCTCCAGCGGCTATTTGCACAAAGGACCATGTTGTGTGCGGCTCGCGTCGAAGCCGTCTCGGTACCAGAGCTGCAACCGCGATCCCTTCCACAACCGCACGACTAAAATTACGTTCAGTATGTAGAGGCCAACACACAGTGTTTAGCGAGGGATTCAAGATTTTCCGACCAGCAGCTCATGAAGGCCACTTTCACCGGCGGACGGCTTGAGCATGGTAGTCGGAAATTCCATCTATTTGTTTTACTCCGTTGCTTTCTGTCACTGCCTTTGTCCTCACTCGTCATTCGGCCTACTTGCATTGCTTGAGATTGCTCTGTGGTGGTCCAAGCCACAATCGGGCTTTCACACAGATGGAGGCGGCCTGGGTAGTCAGCGTACGGACATGGATGCGTAGAGACCATCGATATGGGGAGTAAATTAGTCTCGCTTTGAAAGCGGCAGCGTCTTCATCGATTAACTATCAGATCACTCATTTCCATACCTCCCTTTCGTCCAACAACTCAACATTGCTACAAACCTCCCATGACCCAACACCACATGTTCTCTCATCTAGACTCCTTATCTGAGCTCCTTAATCCCGTACGCCGCCGCCGCACTCTTCGCCCAAACCCACTCTATATCTTTCTCACTGAGCTCCTTCTCCTCCCAATACCGCTCGACAACCTCAACCCAAAACCCCCAATTCCCCACCTCCCCTTTCGGACCACCGACATTGCACACCTTCACCTGTGCATTAGCTTTTCAAAAGGAAAACGATCGGGACAATAAAGGGAGGGAGTCACTCACCGGCCAGTCGCTCCCAAACAGCACCCTGTGCGCGCCGAAGCTCTGCAGCACGTAGTCCAGATACGGGCGCAGCGTGTCCAGCACGGTTTCGACGGATGATGGGGTAGCGGACGGTGCGAATTCGTTGAGAGCGCCGCTGAGCTTCATGTACACATTTGGGTGAGAAGAGAGGCGGCCTATGCAGGCTTGCCAGCGCGGGAAGAAGGGCCAGGTTGGGGTAGAGAGGTCGGGCTTGCACAGGTGGTCTGGGGGAGTATGTCAGTAGGGTGTGTTTGCACCGACGTTCTCGTGGATGCTGGGGCAGGGGGAGCGAGATAGGGACAGGGGGAAGTTACTCAGCACGAAATTCACGCCCTCCTCTACACCCTCAATCAGCGCCGCCACGGCTTCCAGCGCTTCTATCCCGTCGCGATGCGCGTCGACGCCGACATCGAACGCGAGTCTCCGCTCCCCCTTTTCACACGCCAGCTTGACGTTACTTACGAACCACTCGTTTCCAATGATGCTCTTGACCTCATCCGCTGTGCGTCCCTGCAGGAGATACCTTCTCTCGTTAGCCATGATCCTCTTCCCAAACCCAATCCCTAGTTCACCCTCCCAGCAGCGCGAATACCATACGTACCTGAACCCTACAACCCTCGCCCACGCCTTTTCTCCCAACCGCTCCCTCGCCACCCGCAAATACGTCCCAAAAACCCTCTCTTGGACATGAAACGGCGCCCAAATAACCAGCCCCTTCATCTGCTCCCCATCACCCTCACTCGCACCGTCCCCTTCTTGCACGTCCCCCTCTACAACCCGCCTCAAAAACGCCAACTCCTCCAGCGGCGCGCGCGCCCATGCACTCAGCTTCTCCTCCACCTCTTCATCACCGGCACCCGCATCGAGGGACAGGGATGCAGATGGCAGATACCGATCCGTCTCAACGTAGACGAAGCCCGCGGGTTGCACAGGCGCAGCCGCCGTCGCGGCAGCGTAGTCGTGCACGCCGTGCCGCCTGGCGAGGAACAGCCCGGGGGTCATCCAGGCGTGGTCTTGTGAGCTGGTTGCCGTCGAGGGCCAGAGGTGGATGTGCGAGTCGAGGATTGTGGGGGGCATGATGCGAGGTGGAGGGGTTCTCGTTGTGCGGATGGGAATTACGGGAGTAGGATACCGTGGATTTGGGGCTCTGGGCTTGGACGAGAAGCGATGGGAGATTGTGATATTGAAGATGGTGGGCGTTCGTATCCGGGGTCCACTGGTCGTACGGCACGTGTGTTGGTGGTGGAGAAGCAATGTTCGGATTGGCGGGGTAAATGGGTCCGGGTTGGAGGGAGTGCGGGCGTTGTCCTGTTGTTGTGGTATTGACAACAATGACTTGACTTCTACCGAGCTTGAGGTATTGAATTACAGAACATAGGGCTGGTAAACCACGCGATGGGGACAGATGATGATTCAGACCGGGGTATATGGTGGTGCTACATCTACACCCGATGCATTTGAACAGTAAAACAAATAATACACTGCATCATGCAAACTGACACATATGCATCACCGAAGAAGTTGGTTCAGTGGCTCCGCTTGAAAGCGCATTCTCCTTATTAACGAGCTATCCGCTCCCCTCACTGCAGATTCACAAACAAACCCCCATCAACCAGCAACTGCGCCCCGGTCACGTATCCGCTCAGCTCGTCACTTGCCAGAAACACGGCCGGTCCTGCGAGATCGCGCGGCTCGCCTGTCCGCCCCAGCGGTATCCGGCCCTCCATGTACTTCCTCTTCTCGTCGTCGGCGAGGTCTTTCTCGTTCAGCTGCGTCTTAATAGTACCCGGGAGGAGCGCATTGCAGCGTATGTTGTGCTTGCCAAGGGCGCAGGCGGCGGATTGGATGAGGCTGAGGACGCCGGCCTTGGTGGGGGTGTAGTGGGCTTGTCTTTTGGGTTGGTGGTGGTGGTTAGCTTGGGTGTGATGGTTCGGGTAGGGGGGAAGGGAGAGTGACGTACTGCGCGCCGCCGACGAGAGCGGAGATGGAGGATATGCCGATGACGGAGCCGCCCGGGGGCGATTGGGTGGACATCTGCGTTGCGGCGGCGTGGATGGTGTTGAATGCGCCAGTGAGGTTCGCGTCGTGCGTCGTTGCCCAGAGCTGGGGTGTTATGCTACACACGGTATCAGCACCTACGCATGCCTCTCTGTTGTGCTCTTCCTCCCGAGGAAGTAGAGGACACGCACTCCAGAAACTCCTTGAACTCGCATATCCCTGCATTGCTCACGACAACATCCAGCCGTCCCCACCGCTTCACCACCTCTGCCACGAGCCTCTTCCCCGTCTCAGGGTTGCCCACGTCGCCGGAAACCTCGGCAAGCCGCTTCTCCGCTTCCTCCTTGCTGCCGAGGATGCTTGCTGCCTCCTCAAGAAGCGTCTGGTATTGATCCGCCGACTTCGCGTCGCCGAAGTGGTTGACGGCGATGTTGGCGCCGTGCGCAAGGTATGCCAGTGCGATGGCGCGCCCGATGCCCGTCACGCCGCCTGTTATGGCTGTGGATTTGCCCTTGAGGAGCTGTGCGGGATTGGACATCGTGGGCGTGTGCTGTGGGAGCTGGAGTGCGAGAATGTGGGGTTCGCGATAGCAGGAATCACCGCGGCCGGGGCTTGTGCGCTATAGGAAACGGCAGGAAGGGCGTTTGTAGGCAGGGACAAATGTAGATGAAGAATTCGGAGGCCTCATGATGCGCAAATGTGTGGGCGGCGGCAGTGTTTCGGCGGACGCGTCTAGGTGGGGTGTGGGAGCTGGAGAGCTGGGATTCGGGCGAAAGAGTGCCGAGGCTGCCTCATAGGTAGGTATATGAAGTGGGCTGAAATTGCGCGACGCTGGCAACAGAAAGCATTTTGGTTTTGCAATCACACACAACAGCGTTTGGGACTCCTCGGTCAGCACATTGGGCACTTCTGTATGCCAGCACAAAAGGCAATATTGAAGGGTTCAAATGTGGCAAAGGGCAGCGCAAGGTTGAAAATAGCATGCACAGTATATGCACATTGGGTATATATACTTTTGGAGAAGGCACAGAACTATCTGCCACTTCATTGATACTGCCAAATGGCTACTCAAAGCCCTCAAACTCACTCTCGCTCACATCATCCACCTTCCGCATTTCCTGTCCCGCACGCTGCTTACTCCCCTTCACTGCACCCCTCTTCTTGTTCTCAATACGCCTCTCATATCCACTCTTCGTACTGATCCTCGCCGTGTTCTTCCCATCCTCCGTCTTCGCCTTTCGCCTCGCCTCAACACCCTTCTTCTTAAGCTCCTGTTTCTCCCGCTTCGTTGGCGTCGGCAGCGCGTCGAGCAGCCACTGCTTCACGCTCTGCTCTTCCTCAGGGACCCCGCGTAGCTTCTCCGCTGCGCGAATCACGTTCGCAATGAGCTTCACATAGGGGATGTCGTCCTGCGTGTACAGCGTGACAGCGACGCCGCCTGCACGCCCCGCGCGCCCGGTTCGGCCGACGCGATGCACGTACGCGGCTGCGCTGTTCGGCACGTCGTAGTTGACGACGCCGTTGAGACCCCGGAAGTCGACCCCGCGAGCGAGGAGATCCGTTGTGATCAGCACCCAGATGTCGCCACGACGGAACTTGGTCATGATGCTCTCGCGCGCAGTGCCAGACAAGTCTGCATGAAGCACGGCGATGCGGGAGCTGCCGCCCGCCTCGGGTGGAATGTCGTAGAGCAGTTCAGAATGCAGCGCGATGGCGCGGGGGATGGTTTGCGTGAAGACGAGGAAAGGAGGGCGAAGCGAGGGACCGCTGCTGTTTGTGGGTAGAGCAGTAGGGTGTAGGAGTTGGCGGAGACCGAGCAGCTTGCCCTGTTCGGTTGCAGCATAGGTGAGCTGGTGGGCGATGTTTGGAATGGCGGTGTCTTTGAGGCCGACAACTAGGCGTACGAGTGGGCGACGAGAGGGCAGGATTGCGTTTGAGGATGAAAGTGAGGTCCAGCGGGTATTCAGGGTGGAAATGGCGAGGGACTCGATGTTGGAGCCCATTGTTGCGGACCAGAGGCCGATGCGAAGGAGGGGGTTGACGCAAGCGTTCCATATTGAGAGAGTCTGCTCGCGGAAGAGAGGGTCGAGGAGCACGTCGGCCTCGTCAAGGACGAGATGGCGGACGCTTGGGAGCTCGGCGACGGAACCATCATTTTGCTTGAGCGCGTTGAGCAACGCTGCTGGCGTAGTGACAAGTATTGCAGCCTTGACTTTGTCGGCTCGTCTCCGCTTCCGCTTCTTGGGTTGTACAGCCTTGCCCTCGTCAGCACTGTCCGAAACGCTCTCGTCATCTTGCTCCGAATCGTCAGCAGCATCTGCCTCGTCCTTGACGTCTTCTTCTTCTGGTCTCTCCACGACTTCCATGCCTTTCTTCATAAGCGTTGCCTTTAGCCCGGTCCCCTTGGAAAGCTTCCTGGCCTCATTGACGATCTGCGACGCCAGCTCCCGTGTAGGTGCTATGATGATAGCTCGTGGGCCGTCTTCGCTTTCAAATTCTTCTGCTTTCTCCGACAAGAGCGCATCGATGATGGGTATCAAGAATGCAATGGTCTTTCCACTGCCCGTAGGAGCAACACTCAAAAGATCAATGTCGCCTCCATACTCAGCACCGGAAGCATTCGCACCGCCATTTTGACCCTCCGCGCTTGCCTTTCTCGACCGCAGAAGCAGCGGCAGCGTGCCAAGCTGCACCTCAGTCGGCAGTGTATACGCCTGCTCGTTCAGATTCTCCGCCAACCTCCTCGAAATGCCATATTGTGACCGTAGCTGCGAAAACGAAGTAAGTGGCTGAGGAAACAGCTGCTTCTTCGAGTCTTTCTTCTTCTCCACAACCTTCTTTTCCTTCTTCTGCTTCTTTTTCTTCTTCTCAGACTGAACTTCCTCCTCTGGTGGCGCAAAGTCTTCCAGCACGGTAACCTTCAGCTTGTGCGACCGCAGTATCCGCTTGCTCTCGTCCGCGTCGTAGGGCTCTGTTTCCTGCTCTTCGTGTGCGCCATTGAACTCGGCATCAGGCTGTGTTTGGCTGGTGCGCTTTTGTTTCTTTTCTGCGGCTTGAGCGGTAGACTCTGCGTCATCTTTTTTTGACAAGCCAAAGAAATCTAGTTCTGCTGGCAGCGGTGCAGATGCATCTTCTGCATCCTTCCCTCTCTTTCGCTTTTTGCTCTTTTTTGTCTCGGGTGCAGGTGCGGCAGGTTCGTCGTGGCCAAACAGCTGCGGGTTCGCGACTGCGCCGGAGGAAGGAAGCTTCTGCGCGGGCGCAGAATGTGCGGCTTTCGACGAGCGAGAGAGGAGTTTAAAGACGTTCATGGTTATCCTGGAAACAGCGCTCAAATCCCGGACAAAATTATCATGCGGCAAGATACATTGTGTTGGTGGAGAATTGAGTTGTCGCAAAAAGTTCGAGATGCACAAAAAGTTGCCCGCGGCTCGGCGATCGGATAAACGCGACGCCGACACAGCATTCACGAATTGGTGACAAGCATAGTTCAGTCAAATCCAAGAAGAAGCATTGCGTAGTTGCACAGGAGAAAAGGAAATCTAAATCAGAGTATGTGCAGCAATAATGGTACAGTGTTGGCCATTACATGTGCGCCGCATGCGCAGTTCCACCCCATTCGTTGCCGTCATCTGGTCATTGCCAGATCAGCTATCGGGCTTTTCTTCAACTATCCCATCTGCACCCCCTCCTTCGCAGCCGTCCTCAGATCCTTGACCCCGGGTCCCTCGCTTCAGTGGTATTGTAGATATTGTCAAATGTATGCATTTAGTGGTGAGCCTCCTTGGATCGGTAGCCAACAAGTTTAAAGCGGCCAATGATCTCGCCAACGGAGAAGAAACCGACGACCTCAGCAGCGATGATGCCGGCAGCGAGCCACTGTTGTTGGGAGGCGCCCCGTACGCGGTTGAGCATGTTCACGGGCTGTGCAGAGCTCGATTCGGCAGCCTTGCTCACGTTGAGGAGGCTCGAGGGATTCTTGAGCGCGTTGGTCACAGGCTGAAGGTACTGCTGGATGGTGGCCATGTTTCTGTTTCCATTAGTATTGGTGGGCGAGAATGATGACTTTTAGGGCTTATCGTACGGTGGTGCCATGCCGCGCTGGTGAGCGACGAGCTTGCCGAGCTCAAGACCGACTCTTGAGTAGTAGATCACGCGCGGGATCAAAGCTGTATAAGACCCAAGTTAGCAGGCCATCTCGAATGGTATGTAATCGCGGGCAATGAAGTCGTGGGGCGCTGGGATGTCCGGCTACAGCGCGCAACTTGCGCGCATGGATGCACTGCTGCCTGAGCTTCCCATCATGTCATTGAGCTCACACAAAACTCCTTGGTATACACAAAGACTCCTCCTTCCCAATGCTGCCTTCGACCACGATGAGGAGCGAGGAATCGCGCACTAACCTTGTACACCCCCGATGAGCCTTCCAGTCCGTCCGCCAACCTTGTTCGCCGCATTGGTGGCCGCGCTTCCGACCTTGGCAGCAGCAGCGCTCGCGGAAGATGTGACGCGGGTCAGGCCCTCTGATGCCTTGGACGATGCCTCGGCAGCCTTCTCCTTCGCAGCGCCGGCAGCTTCGGACGTGGTCGACGCATTGCGGAGGCCCGCGCGGCGGACGGCGAAGGTCGATTGCCGCAGCACTTGGCGGGAGGCTGCGAGAGACATTGTGACGGGTTCCGGGCGCGAATTGGCGATGGGGTGGATGAGAGTCGGCGTCCTGGGGTTGGAGGTTGGGAGCTTCGGTGCCAAATCTCACATTTTTCCGGCATGGCGACCACGCGCACGGGCCATGCCGGGAGGTTTAGGATGGCACACGAGACGTTGGACAGCATCATCCCGCAACTCGATGCGTCTATTCCGTGAGGCCTGCCTCGTACAGCCTGTCGCAATTGGAATGGTTCATATGCAAACTTCAAGCGCAACTTTGGAAGGTGAAACCTATTAGGCGCACATACACTTCGACTCCCCTCCGCGTCACTATAGTATCAAGGTGCCTCATGGTGATCTTCAGCTGATTGACGCGAACCACAAGGAATTTCCCGTAAAGTAGTGGAGTTGACGCGTTCTATGTTCTTCGCAGGTCCTGCTTTCGTCGTCTGCTCGTCTCTGTGTTTCTTGCGTCCCCCTTACATTTCGATGCTTCATACCTATGTTCATAGGATTGAGGCCGACGCGAAATGCATTCCCCTCCCCTCCCCTCCCATCTTCTCCAATAAATTTGAGCTTCAGTCTGCCCTCTATCTTCATCTTCAAAGACCTTTTAGAACGAGAGTCTCAGGAGAAATATCAACTTATATCCTGCCAAGTCACTACCATAGAATTTGATAGACTCTTTACGCATTACCCTCAACATACACCCATTAAGCTAATGCGAGGTCCGCAAAGAATTGCGAACATATTATTTGTCAAGGTCTAAACGTCCAGCGTTTAAGCTAAGACTCGCAACAATTAGTAGTGCACCTTATGATATACGACCTGGATACTTACTTGGTCTCTGGAATCAATATCACGGATACGGCTCACTCAAATGTTGTAAACATCCATTATGTAGTCGCCATTATAATCGCGATAGATATGTGCACGCAAAGACTCCAGTTTCGCAGTCCGCAGCTCTGGAATCTCCAACATCAGCTTCCTCATCAGTGCACCCACCCGGTCCTGCTCCCAACCATAGTCGCCGTACATCACATTGTGGATTGGCATATACATGGCCGACTTCTCGCAGTACTGCGCCGCTTCTTCACAGTCGGAGCAAGCCTTCTTCATGGCTGCGGCATACACCTTGCGGTACTTGGCCAGGGTCCAGGGGAACAAGTCCGAGATGTTAGGGAACGAGTAACACCATCTGAAGTCCTCCTGAAGGAACACTGGGACAGTTGCAAAGCCGACACAGCGGGCAAGACGGTAACGTCTCTTGATCCTCGGTCTGACGTTTCTTCGAAGCTACGAAAGGCGTAGCTTTGAGCACCTCAACACGTATGAAGTCTGCACCTTCCGTATCCTCCCCACACTGCCTCTTGTGCTGCCGGATATAGAATGCGGCGCTGGACTTGGATACCTGCCGCTTGTAGTACACTCGCTTCAATATGCCTACGAAATCGTAGTGCGGGCCGATATAAAAAGATCCTGGGTTAGTTTCGTCCTCAAGGTACAGCATCCCAATTAAATCGAATTCGAGATGGCGGAGCTCCGCCATGTCAGTCGCGAGCGACGAGGGGAATGTAATCCGCTTCGTTTCTAGCTCTTCCGGAGGATTGTTGTTATCTTCCCGGTCGACTAGGTCACCATCATGAACGGTGAGCCCTTCATACCAAAAGTACTGCGGTGGCATTCCCTCAAGAAACGACTGCATCAAGTATGGTCCGCCGATGGCGTTGTCGAACGTCTCGTCCTTGGCGAGCAGTTCTGGGCATGGCAAACGTGGCAGTTTGTGCTTGATATACATCAAGGTGTGTGCTTCCGAGCGCATGATACTTGCTTGCCCAGGGTCCCAGTGGCCCTTGGTCCCGACCACAGGGATCTTTACAACGAGCTTGCTAGTTCCGTCACCCAAAATGACTGCGTAGTTGTATGAGCCGTGCAGCCGGTGCTCAACACGGAATGGAGTAATACTCACCTTACCCTGCATCTCCATGTGCAGGTGCACAAGGTAAGAGAATACTTCGTCCGTGATGGCCATAAAGGGGGCCCAGTTACGTTCTTGATCCTGCTTTCCACGTTGTTTTTCGTCAAGCTCTTCCTCAGCCGACCCGTCATCGATGTCCATGGGCGGTTCATTGGCAACAGGTTCATCCTGCACCTGCTCCTCAATCTCAACGTTCCCATGTAGCCAGTTATCGAAGTACCGAAGCATTTCCATACTTTAAAAGCCCTCGACTAAAATTCTGGTAAAGATAACATTTACCAGCGATGCACCTGGAGTTTGGAAGTTGTGGTTGATGTCGAGGAGCTGTGATGGGTTGAACGTCAGGAGGATCATCCTCGATGATTCAAGCATACACGCATGGGTATGTGGACGTACAAGGGTAAGCATCGTTCTTCGTACCAACAGATGGACAAAACCTTGTTGTCACAATTCGCGGCCCGTCATTGTGAAGCTCACAATGCCAGAGACCCAGCCAGGCAAAACAGTAGAGGGATTTTCACACACGGTATCTTGAGAAGCAGCACCTGCCAAATTACCAGATGCCCCCTTATATGTAGCCCGAAAATCGTAAGCGATGGTAGTGTTATGCTGGGATATATTAGCGCTTTGTGGCTTAATCTTTCACATACGACCATAGGACACTGAAAACTAGGCTTCCCGTCCGCTCAGCCATATATAAGCAGTGTACCGGCGGATCAGTAGTCAAGTCGGTGACGATTGGCGAATCCCCGCTGTTGTATGTTTTTTTTTTTCGATACGCGGTGTGGGAGTGGAGCAAAAGTGGGTAGTGGAGCCAGCGAAGCGCGTCCTAGGCCGGAATTACCCGGAAATCAGGCAAGGTACCAGACACCCTTCGTACTACGTTGTTATGATTTGTATTTAATTGCCATAATTTAGAGCAGGCAATTGACTCACCATGTTATGCCAGGTCGAACTCTGTGGTCAGGTTCGCATCTCCCGAATCACGTGGCTGATAAGATGGACTCAAGATGTGCGATACTCGTTCATACCAGCCTTTTTGAGCGCTCTGTTGAGCTGTCCCTTCAAATAGCATCTGAGGCCGTCGATTTGACGCCCGTTTCCAATGCCAACAATCCGTGGCAGTCCTGTCCTTAGGAAGTACCATTTGCCCATGCACTCACGAGCTTGGAACTCTGCGCTTGAACCTTTCCCACCAGGATTCGCGCTGTGACCAAGGAGTGGTCAATCCGTGTGGTATGATTCCTGGTGTCGCTGGTACTTCGGGATATAACCTTTCGTAACTTGAGACCGTCTTGGAAGCGTATTGCTCCAAAAGGTCGATAACGTCGTGAAGGGACTTTCTGTTCTGGAGCAGAGGTTCCACAACCTGTCTGGCAGAGGCATCGCGGAATAGCTCGCTAGAAATGTTGTGGAATTGCAGAAGTTCCTCAGCTGTAAAATCCCAAATTTCAGCCTCAGATTCATTGTCTTATTTCTTACATGGACGCTCACCTCTCACTCACTAGCAAATATATCTTGTGATGAGAAATGATGATTCTGGCGCCGTCTAACCACAGCAACATATGAGTCCGACATCAGATTGGCCTTAAGTATGACAAAGTTCACGCAAGTAGCAGGGCTTAGGGCTTTAGAGGTGACGCTCTGCAGTCCAGTAATTTGACTCCATTTGATTCGAGAAACATACTCCTGACTTGAACCTTCGAAAGCATCTACGAAGTCGCCCAGATCGTTCAATATGCTTTCAGCCAGTATCCGGCCACCAAACACCGTATCCGATGAAATCGATGGATTCATAAGCCGTGGACCGATCTTGAGAAAGCCTTCCCACCGGGATATCTGATACGATCTCATGCTGATCTACGCATTCGTCTCATACTCTGGCTGTCGTTCGTCGTAGTAATAGGAAAAGTGAAGAGAAAGTGAGACGAAGAACGTTCGCGATCGCGCTGTGTTGATTGCAGGGCTGAGGAGATATTCTTAGATAAAGGCTGATGATGATTGGCGATCTCGTGTTCAGTGGCCGCGATTGTTGTTGACCACCATCATCACCTTGCGCCAGCCCAGCTGATATTTTCACACAGCTTAGCTTGGAATAATACCATGGAGCCAGCAGAAGAGGCCGCTCATCTCACTGCGCCAGCAGCAAATGACCCTTACTGGAGATCTCTCGTTGGCTGTGGCTACAGCAGGCGAGGAGACCCATTTGTCGCTCGAATCGGACGCCTTTCGCGTCTCCAAATAAGTTTTCTATTCAATGAGCTCATCAAAATTAAAGCCGGAAGTAGAAAGAACTGAGACACGAACCAAGAGCAGATGGACCTGTTGGCATTACGTTTGCATCAATACAGTCGGTAGTATTTGCTTTTGCTTTCCGTTACGAGCATTGGGCGAACATGTCTTCGTGGTCTTGCTCTTACTCCTCAGTTACGATGTACCTTTTCGTCTTTTCGCCTTTCCAGACAGTCGGTAGAAGGGAGCTTAGATATCGACCACGTCTTGGATGTGCTAGTACTGATGATGTTTCACGTCCAGCCAATGCGCTGAGAGACTATCAGTATACGAGTCAGCTTCCCCCACTACCATCCCCGTTCGCGGCTCGACAACGAACAGAAATTGAGAGCGACTTCCAGTTATTGGCAAATCCTCACCGTCAACAAATGAACACTGCTGCCGTGGGAGACGTAGACACCAATTTCGGCGACGGCAACGTTCCATACAATAACGAGTATCTTTCGCTCAATCGCAAACCAACCCAAAATCCGGGCCCAGTCCGTGAATTCTCGCGGAAACATTTGCCGAGACCTCTTTCCTGGACCGAGGAGGAGAAATCCAGCAGACGAGCAGGCTACTCACGCGGCTTGCCTCCTGAAATGTACTCCCCATCTCTGAATCGCATGGCTAGCTTTTAGTTGGACTTCTGGGAGGAGCTTGGCTGGTTGTACCCTTGATTATCATGGCTGTCCACTCGTCACTGACGAAGACCATGATCACCGTCTACCGCGGTCGTACTCTTCGTGCTGGCGGTGAGTCTTTTTTTTGAGCTGGACAACAGAGACACTGTGACTGCAACATCGACTTATGCTGCGGTCCTGGTCGTTTTCGTCGGGGCAAGTACAAGCGGATCTTGAGCAGCATGCAGTTCTGCCATTGGTCTTGTCAAGCTAATCCCCACACACATCAACGAACTTCTCGAATTTTTTGGTAGAAGATCATCACGTCATTTGTGATGCTGTTGTATTTGTTGTGCTGTGACCATGGACCTAAATCATACGTGTAACCGACGCCTTGGATGCTGCCAGTGACCTTCGTTCACGCTGAGTTAGTCCTGGGTTTCGTGTAGCATGGGAAAGACTCGCATCACCCAATCATTTGATCATCTGCTTTGGCGATACACAGAGTAAAGTTGGATTACTGATCCATCATTCCTATGGCACACAAACCTCGGTTTCGCGAGTATATCACAGGTCTATCAGTAATCAGGATATTGTGTCATGAACATCATTCATAGGCCCTGAAGCCCCTAATATTATATACACAAGTTACATCAACAGACGCTCAGGGATATAACTCCTTCGGAATGCGGAATACGACGCCAAGCAGTATGCCGAGCGAACCACGCCTCATAACATTATCCTTCGGCCGAGGTACAGCAAGCCCACATAGCCAGGCCATAAGCACAGCTCAGATGGTATACCTGAAGCCTCGCTGGTCATCCTCCTACAAAAGCTGTTAGCGACTGCACAAACATCAAAGGATCGCGACAAACTCACATCATCATACTCGAGCTCGACGTCGCCGCGCTCCGCCTTCGAGTTCGAGCGCTGGAACTTCAACGTCAACAAACCAACGATGATAATCGAGAGGATGCAGCACGCAATGCAGGCATAGATGCCCGGCCTGTAATTCGGAGCGTCCTGCGCCCTGAACACGAGACCTCCAGCGATACCGCCGATGCCACCGAAACCGACCAGTGTTGCCGAGCAGAACGCGCGCTTCCACTGTCCACGAATGTTGTTCGCCTGGTACGACATCGCAGCGGGGATGTTGCTGTTTGCGCCAGCTGTCGTAAGGAACACGCCAAAGTACTGGACCGACGCCTTCTTGTGGAAGCCCATGATGGGAAGCCCGATCAGGCACAGAAGCATGTTGAAGATTATGATGGGGCCGCGAATCCTATACTTGTCCCCAGCCCAGCCGGTGGCGTACATGACGATTGCGGCGAGGGCGTAGGGCGGCGCGACGAGGCATTGGGAGGCTGCGACGGAGAACTTCATCTTCTCGTTCAGGATGATTGGAAGGAAGTAAGCGAGGGCGTAGGTGACGGAGGTGGTGTTGAAGAAGATCTGGATTAAGTGTTAGTACAAATCGGCATGGCGAACGGACATGTTATGCTTACCATGGCATAGCCCCAAATCTTGATGTCAAGCCCAGCGCGGAAGAACTTGCTGGCTGAAAATGGCTGGGGTTTCGCGTCCCCACGGTCCCGATCGACGCGTGCAATAATAAACTTTGCCTCGCGCTCATTCAGGAATTTCCAGCTCTTGTGAGCCATGTCCGGGAAGTCGACCAAGGCGAAGTAGGAGCCGAGGCCCAGGGCGCAGGTTAGAGCTCCCTCAATGATCTGACTATGATTAGCAGGGTTTGATTTTGTATAGTATAGGGTAAACTCACGAAAATCCACCTCCAGCCTGTCAAACCGGCGTGACCTGGGCATGGGGGCGCTGCACAGGACGAGGGCTTGCCGCCTAACTGCATGAGGCCGTAGGCGAGGATACCCGCGCATGCTGAGGCTAAACTTCCGAGCATGTAGAAGACCGAGTACCGCTTGCCGACATCGAAACGGGTATACCAAGTCGAGAGAAGATACACACATGACGGAAAGAAGCCAGCTTCTAATATGCCGAGGACGACTCTGAGACCTGCGAGATCCTGCCAGTTCTTCACGAAACCCATACCAATCATAACTGCGCCCCATGCAGTGGTAATGACGGATAGATGGAGGCGTGGGCCAAGTTTGCGGATCAGAACAGTCGACGGCGGTTGGAAGAAAATATATGTGGTGAAGAACACAAGGGTTACGACCGAGTACCGCGAGACTGTGCTTCCAGCTGGGAACGGAAGGGCAAGCTTCAGCTCACGGGTCATGCTGATACTCGTCAGCCAATAGATCCTTGCGCAGGGAGTAAGCAGACGCACCCAGCAACTGATGCTGCCGACAAGTTCGTCCTGTCCATCAACGAGATGCAGTACAGGACTCCCACGGTCACGACAAGACGCCTATCGATGCGGTGGATAATCTTCTTCTGCTCTTGCTCGGTGAATTCGGACTCGTAGTCCTGGTCATACGACGTCTTGGTGGGAGTGCGCTCCACATCCTCGAGCATGGCGGTCGGGTCCTTCTCGATGCCAGGACCCCTGTCAATGCCTGCCTGTGCCATGGTGAAGGACAATTGAGAAAAGGATAGGGTGTAGGAGTGTTTGGAGGAGAGGAAGAAGCACGCAGATCAGATCCAAGCACCAGGAACGCGCGACCTATATGTCACTGGGGCTCTCATTTTGGCAGGTGGCTCCTGCACGACAGCTGATGATAGCTGCCAAGCCGCATGCACCGACCGGGGCTCATCGATGTTGGAAAAATACCGAGGCAGCGGCAGCGGAAGGACAGGACATGGCGGCGTTGCCGCAGCCATCTCGCGGGCGTCTTGCTGCGCAGCCAACAGGACATCGTGAGGACAAGGGTAGCGGCGGAGACGGGAAAGCAAATCTGGGGACGAAGACCGGGGGGCTTGGCGCGTGCCCACCCCCGCAGAACAACAACATCTGTGGAGCGCCACTAAGCCTGTGCACGAATCAGCACCCTCTCCACGCCCAATGCGCTTCGTGGGCTCTCTCCATCACATCGCCCAGTCGCCCTGCCTGGCTGAACGCTCTTGGTCGTGGTGACAAAGAAGTCGCTGCGGATCGTCACACGTCGTCCTCACTCGCGGCCGGCGCTCGTTCGTGCCACAGAACCGGGCAGCATCACCGTCGCGCTGGCATTCGCGGGGTACGGAGCACCAAGGCTGGGCATGCTCTGCCGTCTCCACGCTCCGTTTGGAGCCTGTCCCGAGTGGGACACACTGCCGACCCTAACTCGCACGGCTAGTCCAGGCTGTGGAAGGGAGCATGGCCCGAGTGCTTCGGCATCGGGTGATGCACCCATCTGCATCCATCTGCCAAGCACCAGACGATAGCCTGACGACAAGATGAATCGATCTGATGGCCCTGAAGACTCAACAAAAGGGTCTCGCCGATAACCGCGCGGCCACGCATTCACTGCAGACCATTCATCCAGCCGAGGCCCAATCCATAGACCGCGTCCCTTGCTTTAGCTCGACCGTCTTTTTGGAATCCAGCGCGTTCGCCTAGACGCCCCGACACTAACTCCGACTGCACCAATAGCGAGTATAGTTGTGTGCAGCACTCGATATATACGGCATTTTCGACGACTGGTTGGGGCTATGTGATATGCTAAAGCATGCCCGGAGCTTCCGATCTACAATCCTGCGCGCTCCTGCGTCTTCCTCCGCGGGGACCCTCCACTCTTAGGCTGAAATCGCCAAGTTCCCTCACCGTCCCATCTCCATCAGCAATTGCTCGGCTCAAGGCATCACCAGCAAATTGTCTATTGGCGTCGGACATACACCATGTCTCGCACCCACAGGCGACGTCTCGTGCACTCGGGCGAAATCCTTCCCCTCGCCCAATCCCTGTCGATATTTAACGAAAGCTGACGCCACGCATTAAGCTGTGCACGCGCACGTGGGAGGTCGTCGAGGTGGCTGGAATTGGCTTTCGCGTGTTACCCTCGCCAAAGATGGTGTGCATGTATGTACTGCTGGACCCCTGTCCTGGACACATCGCGGGGCTCAAGCGTGTTCCTGGACCGAGGCTGGCGTTGCGATGTTCTAGATGTGTAGGCGTACCTTTGTAGTTTCTTGGCTGGTGACTTTCTTGAGCAATTGTGGTCTTATAGGCGAAAATACTTCGTAAGGGTGGATTGCGGGGGAAATGAGGGGTGTACGGTGTGCTGTTGTACAACCCCGGGACTCAATCCAGGTGTCTCAAATCATGGTGCCCATCGTCACACTTCCTAACTAAAGTCATCGTACGGTGACCTGGCATCCCTGAACCTGTTCGTGCATCAAAGCTCACACGCCCATCACTGCTCCCTTTATTCAGGATATCTGATTGATATTGCTCTTCATACGCTTCCTTCCACGATTCCTGTAGCACGCGATCACGGTTTTGACACATGTCATGAGATAGATAATATTGAAAAGGGGCTGTAAGAGTAGCATCTGGTACAGATCCTCTGCGTTTCAGGCGCTGTTGCTCAACGCTAACGGCTAAGAGAAACAGAGCTGGCCTGAAAGTAGGCAGAGTACATGGAGGACTTCATTAACATATGACATCTGATTAGGGACAGGACTACAGGAGTGGTGCTCTTGTAATAGCATGGCCAGGACTCTCGGCCTCGGAAGCGAAGATGTGTACACGGGCAATTGCGGAGACCGTCTCGCACCATTCCGCTTTTTCAAGTGTTCTTGCGCTGGGGTTCCGATGCAATCCTAGGCCACCTGTGACCTCCTGTCTCAACTTGTTTCTACGTGCTGGTGATATTCTATGCGTAGAGGTTCAGTTTTCTGGAAACAGGCTTGCGATATTAGTAGTAGTCTCTACACCATGCACGAATGCCCGGCGTTGGCACCACTGCCTGACAACAACAACACCCTACTCAGATGTTCTTCTGAGCTTTTGGCGTATGCGAGGTAGCTCCGTGTGGTTGCTGATGTTGTGGGATGAGAAATTGTCGGCACCTCAACGACTTGGATAGCGTTGATGAGTATATTGAAGGCATCTCCCTCCGGGCGATCGTGCAGGTAGGGACCTTTGTTGATATGGGTGAAGGTGTTGGGGTGTGCTTCTCGAGGTTCTTGATATTCTCCTGCCTGTACGTCTCGGCGTGATCGATGTTCGGCCCAGAAGCTACGGTATGTTTGTGCTTGTAACTGTTCGTAGCGTCAGCGAATGTCTCGTCGAGGCTTGGTCCGATGTTGTTTCCGGCCGCCTGCATGGCGCCGATCTTCTTGTGAGACTTCCAGTCGGTCTGTCATGGAAGAGTCAGTTGAGTGTTGACGGTTTTGCCCTTAAATCAAGAATTGTGTTGCTGTATTTCTGTACAAAGAGCCTTGGATGAGTCTTCCGTACTTACCTTCTGGAATTCTCGGTTTCAGTACCACGTCGTTTGACACTTCGCGCAACGTTTCATGTTCGGAGTCTCATCGGGGTCCCAGACAAGATGCGAACGTTAGCGCGTAGAATGTTCAATCTTGTGGTAGTAAATACCTTCTTGCAGGCGGCAAAAGACAGCGTACGTCATTTTTGCGGTTGATGGGGCTGCATCACTGGGATGTATTGGAATAGATAGTTCAAATCAATGAACGTCGGGAAGGTTTTCTAAAAAAACCCTTGGGGAGAGTGGTACACCAACAATCGAGTTCGTTGCTTTCAGACGCGATAGTAAAAAAAAAAAAAAAAAAAAAGGAAAGCAGCGTGCGGGGAATTACATATCGTGTCGTGATTTCAAGCATAAATAGGAGTAAAATTTCATTTGACTACAGCTCTCCTCCCATAACGATGCCTTGGGAGCGTGTTCTCGGTCGTTTTGAGCAAAGATGGTTCCATGTCAAGGAGAGAGACTGACGCACCAGGCGCGTAAATCTTTTGCTTTCCATCCTTCACTACCATAGACACACTTTTCATAACCGGGCTGTTGACCAGAGATAGAAAATGTGTCTTTTAAGGAGGAAAGTGCTGAAAACTCTAGTATATGGTCGTCTGTTGAATGTTTTGCAAGCCTCATGTAGCTATTGGTCGCCTGCGCGGATGTTACCGCATCCAGGCTCCTTAGCTTGGAGGCTGAAGATTGTCGTGGTGCAAGACCCCTTCAAGTAAATCTATCACAGACCAACAGTGTCCTACGTTCCCGTCTTCGAGAAGACCAAGACAACGAGGTTGAGAAAAGGCGATAGTAGCCCAGGAGAACGATATATGCCTCCAGGTTGCCCTTGCAGGATCACATGTGGACAAGACCATAGCTTTTACAGCCTCCTTGCTAGTATGTCCATCGCTTGTAGTCGCACTAATCTCTGCTTACGCTGCGCATAGGAGATTTCGACTCTTCATCGGGAGGAACGTGGGCTTGGGACACTGGCACCCTTTCAGACGACGATATCGATACATGCCAGGAAGTTTTCGTCTATCGCCTTGAGCGGCCAGTGAGCTCCAACTCCGCATCTTACGCTTGGGATACGGAGCTGTCGGTTTCGTCGGTCAGCTTTCACATTCTCAAGGTGGCGCGGAGCTCCACAACGGCTTCCTGTGCGCTAGACGACACTGATTACACAGACCACCGTTCCGACGTCCCTTGCTCAAATGACGACGGAAAGTCTATTTTGAGGTCGGAAACGAGCACAGCGAACCCTACAACGACCTCTGAGCGGGTAGACCCGTCGGACATAGGAGTATCAGATCCAACAGACACTTCTACGTCAGTGGCGCCGAGTCCTTCAGGATCAGGTAGTTCGACGACTGCAAGCAGTTCATCCTCGGCGACCGCCACGATCACTTCGCCCACGCTGGACGGCGAGCTCTCTGTTGGCGCCGAGGTAATATCTCTTTGCCATACTACGATGATAGCCTATTATGCTAGAACGTATTGGCTGACGCTCTCGACATGTCCCCATCAAACCTAAAAGGACATCTTCTCTGGAGACTATCTATGCATTGAGTACAAATGACTCGTCGTCAACCAAACACAAAGACTTTCTTAATTCGTTCAATCCTGTACTCCTCGGATCAAATTCTTGATCCCCTCCCCCCTCGCCGTCTTCTCCCACGCACCCGTCGCGTCCTCAAATTCTGACGTCGAAGATATCATCGGCTTCACATTGATCAGGCCCTTCGCTATCATGCTCACAGCCAGGTCATAGTCGCCAGTGTTGTACCGGAAGCATCCTCTCACAACGAGTTCCTTCTCACTCATCACCGTCATGGGAAACTCCATCTTCGGGCGTCCCATCCCAGTCTGCACATACTTCCCTCCACCGCGTAGGACATAGATCCCGGTCTCAATAGACACTGAGACACCAGAGCACTCAATCACAGTATCAATCTCCTCCAACCCAAGAGCCTCAAGCAGCGCCGCGGCATTCTGCTCCGCCGAGTGCTCCCTATCCGACAAAAACGTCTCGCACTCCAAGAACCCCTTGGCAAACTCCAGTTTCCGCGGCAGCACGTCAACCAACACGACTCGATGCGCGCCAAACTGCCTCGCCACATTCCCAACCAACAGCCCAATCGTCCCACTCCCCATTACTACCACCGTCTCCCCGGGCCGCACATCCCCCAACCTCACCGCATGCACCGCCACGCTCGTCGGCTCCACCAGCACCGTCTCCTCCAGACTCATGCTTTCGGGTACCTTGTACACAAAGTCCTCGGCGATGCGGTAGTACTTTGACAGCGTGCCCTGCGTGGCGGGGGGGCCGGGGTCGGCTGCAAACCGCATGTTTTTGCAGAGGTGGTAGGATCCGGACTTGCAGGGGCGGCAGAAGCGACAGGGCTGGCCTGGTTCGATGGCGACGCGGTCGCCGGGGCGCACACGGGTTACGGAGGAGCCAATGGCGGAGATGACGCCCGAGGCTTCGTGGCCCATGGTTATGCCTACGGCGGGGTCGACCATGCGGGAGATGCCGCCGTGGCGGTAGAAGTGAACCTATGGAGGGTGAGGTCGGGAAATCTGAGAGGTGAGAAGTATGCTTGGTGCTGGAGGGGCAGGGATGAAAGCATATACTATGAATACATGGTAGTCGTAAATCTCGCAGAAGAATGGGATATTTTCGAGGCTCAGACGCCGGGGAAAAGATTTGCGAGGTGCGAGGTCTAGGGTATAGGTGTGGAGGTGAGCACCCTCAAGGAGCTGCCTGAAAACAGTGCGTAGAAAGGGTTGAAAAGTGTGGTTCGTTGTGCGGACCACTCGCTGGTCGAGAGATGCATTCACCCTTCTCCACTCTCGCACCTTTCTGGACCTTCGACGTGACCACTGGGCCAGCAAGACGCGTGGTGTCTCTTCAGGTACACAAGTGAACTGAATGACGGATGTGGAGTGATATGATGAGATAGGCAGATGCATACTCACATCACTACCGCAAACTCCAACAAACGCAATCCTCACAAGAACATCATGCGGATCCACAATCTCCGGCACAGGCGCGTCCTGCACTTTCGCATGGCCAGCCTTGTAAAGCACAATCGAAGGGTTCTTCATCTCCTCAATGCGCGTAGAAGTCACCATTTCTTCCTATATCTCTTGTAGGCTTTCAATTCTGGAGGATGTTCACGAACGAAAAGCGTGATGCACAACTGAACCGGTGAATAGAGAGACTATATAATGATCTTGAAAATCGAGAAACCTACATCTGTGTCGTGCAGGGCTGTGCGGCATGTTATAGCTGCGTGGTCGATCCGACATCGAGGCATCGGCCCAAGTCCCGCCGTCGGACTGCAGTTCCGAACTCCTACACGCGTCTACGAATGACGTAGCGCACCGTCCAATGGGCGCTCAGCATTGGTGTGTAGTTCGTCACCTAGACATGGACTGAGTACAGACGAAGGAACGGCCCCAGCTGCTTATCAGCAGCTGGGTGATTGGCACACAGAGCTCGGAGGTCTGTCTCTGGCGTGGGGGCCTCCGATTTATTTGTAAGAAGGCGACACCACATAGCGAACACTGATTTTGATACCATATACATTTCCACCTGAGCATTACGGCCGTTAACAATGACACGGTGCTTATATAGGGCACCTGTTCTCCTCCAACGGTGTCAGACTAACACAGCTTCGTGCTATCGTGCATCCGCATCATTCGTACAGCCACACCCCACGCCCTCGCTCTCATCATCGCTGCTGACGTCGAAACTGCTTTCGCCGCTTTCAGGATCGTAATAGTCGAAAAATATGTCACTGTCGCCCTGAAGCGTCTCATCGTCACTGTCACAGGTCTGCCAATCAGCCTGAGTCTGAGTACCCCGATCACGCTATGACCCTCCACCTAGCAAGAACTCAATCGCAGCCTGCACGTTGCCTCCACTCCGCCTCAGAGCCGTCACGTTGCGCTCGAATTCGTAGAAGCCCATCTCATTCAACTGCCTGAGCTGGTTCTCGTAGACTTCCTCCGGTGGGCGGTTGTCTTGCGGAGCAGGTGCACCGAAACCACCACCTCCGAAGCCACCACCGCCCATAAGAGCGGCGAAGGGATTCGCTTGTGCGGGGTTTGAGCCGTCACCAGCAGTTGCAGGTGGCTGTCCAAAGGGGTTGCCGCCAGCGCCGCCCATCATCTGCATGGCTGCACGCATCATCTCGGGGTTTTGCATCATTTGCCGCGACATCTCGGCGATAGGGTTGGGTTGTGCACCAGCACCCGTGCCTGTGGGTGGGGGACCGAAGAGAGATGCAAAGGGGTTGACGCCGGGTGGGGGCGGTGAGGTTGAAGTGTTTTGTGCACCTGCAGAGTTCCCTGTCGTTCCTGTATTCGCCGAAGTGTTCGCGTCCGTACCGGTGGACGGTGTGGCTCCCTGGTTCTGTTGCTGTGGAGCCCAGGGGTTTGCGCCTCCGAGTAACGAAGCGAATGGATTGGCACCGCCAGCACCTCCACCGAGGCCGCCACCTAATAGGCTTGCGAAAGGATCCGCTGCCGCTGGGTTTGGTGATGCCGCGTTCGAGCTCTGATCCTGCGCTCCGGTCGAGTTCTGGGGGGTGGTGTTGGTTGCCCCTGGCATGGGAAAGCTGCCGCCGCCGCCGTTCTGGTTCATCGCGCGCTGCATCTGGAGTTGCATGCGCATCATCTCTGGGTTGAACATTGCTCTTCGCAGCTCGGGGTTCCGCAGCATCTCGGCGACCATGGGGTTGTTGCGGACCATTGGGCTGTTCTGCATCATCTCGATGACCGCGGGGTTGTCCATGGCCTCATTCATCTGCTGCAGGAAGTTCGGGTCTTCCATCATCTGCAGGAGCTGATTTGGGTCGGTTCCGCCCATCTACGCTTTGTTAGCATATGTGATTAGACCATGATGATGCCAGAATCTGAATACGGCGCGATGCCCTCGGATGGGCAAATTCGATGCTGCTCGTACTCAAACCTCTAGACAGGCTCGTTGGACTTACACCGCCATCTGGGCCAAACGTGTCCATCCCCGGGAGCCCGTGGAAGCCGGCATACCGAGCACCAGTCAGGCCCGCAAGAGGGTTATTTCCCGTGCCAGCTGCTATGTTGGTAGGGACCTGCGCCGCCGCCGGCGTGCTCCCACCGGTCGAGCTTCCGGTCGCCGCTGGGTTCTGTCGCGCATTGCTGGCGGCACCCTTCACCAGGTGTACGGTATGGCCATCCTTGATCTTTGTGCTCGCGAGCGTGTCGTGGTCCTTGAGAACGCGGCCAGAGTAGATCAGGCGCTGGCGCTCGGGCGGGATGTCTGCGTATTCGGACGACGATAGCTTGGTCTTGAGGTCTGCCACGGTCGTAGCGGCCGGCAGGGTCAGCACATGCTTCTTGTCATTGGCGGCCTTGACGTTGAAGGTGATCTGGGCATCCTCGACGGGGGCATCGTCGGCCATGGTGTGCGGAAGATGGGGTGCGACGTCTTTCGTCCGCAGCGAGCGACTGTGCAGCGAACTATGGCGGGGTCGCGCTGGGCTTGCTGCAGAGCGGTTCTAGAAATAAGCGAATCAGTCGGTGGAATCCTCTCGAGGTTGAGTTGTGTCGAGCGCGAGTCGAGTTTGGGCACTGCAGGGCGCAAATGGTTGACTGGTTGCTGTAGACGGCGTTAGAAGCCCGCAGAAGGCCGCGCCCACATGCGGACTCACTCCATCGTCACTGCCAGGCGTCATGCAGCGCCACAGTGGCTACCATCTTTAGTCAGGCAGGAGCGCCCAAGCTCGAGCCGCGAGTGGGGAAAGTCCGGGGCCGAGGTATCTTGAGCGCGCATCCCAAGGGTACTCGGGCTGCCGTGCCATCATGTATCTGTCGCGATTCTTGTCTTCTTCTGTTTCCTCATTGTCGATACCTGGGTGCACAGCGCATTCACTCATTTGGCCTCCAGCAATCCAGTCTCGCCACACACGCATCATCCACTGAGACACGCACCAGCGTCTCTCCCCACCACTTCACCACAATGAAGGGAATTCAGATCAAAGAATATGTCAACGTAATATACACTGGCCTCGATGACCCCACGTCGAATTGTTGCACATGCTGACCCCTCCAGGGCCCCGACGACCTCAAAGTAACCTCCCTCCCCACGCCCACGCCCAACCCAAACGAATACCTCATCGCCATCCACGCCTCGGCAACAAACTTCTTCGACCTCCTCCAGATCCGCGGTAAATATCAACACCAGCCGCCCTTCCCCTGGGTCGCCGGCTCCGAATTCTCCGGCACCATCGTCGCCGCGCCCACCTCCTCAGCATCCAAATACAAAGTCGGCGATAAAGTCTTCGGCGCAACACAAGGCGGCTACGCAACACACGTCGCCTGCCCGGAAGAGCGCTTACGTCCCGTGCCCAAGGGCTGGAGCTTCCAGGATGCCGCCGGCCTGTTCGTCACGGCGCCGACGAGCTACGCGGGGCTGGTAGTGCGGGCGGGGATCAAGGAGGGCGACTGGGTGCTTGTGCATGCGGCCGCGGGCGGCGTAGGGCTGGCCGCCGTGCAGATTGCAAAGGCGTTTGGGGCCAAGGTCATCGCGACGGCCGGAACGCAGCACAAGCTCGACGTGGCCAAGTCGTTTGGTGCCGACCACGCCATCAACTATAAGCAGAAGGACTGGCCGGAGCAGGTCAAGAAGCTCACGCCAAAGGGCCGCGGCGTGGATATTGTGTATGACCCTGTTGGGCTGATTGCGCAGTCCATGAAGTGCACGGCCTGGAATGGACGACTACTTGTGGTCGGGTTCGCAGCAGGAGACATCGAGAAGCTGGCGACGAACCGCGTGCTGTTGAAGAACGTGAGCGTCGTGGGACTGCATTGGGGCATGTACGCTGTGAACGAGCCTGAAATGGTAGAGAAGGTGTGGGACGGTTTGTTCAAGCTCATGGACGAGGGCAAGTACAAGGGCACAGCATTCACGGACAAAGAGTACGTTGGGCTTGAGAGCGTGCCTGCTGCACTGAAGGCTTTGGGTGGACGGGATAGCTGGGGCAAGGTGGTCGTCAAGGTGCCGCAAGAGGGACAGAGCAAGATTTGAGAGGCCTCGCTTGCGCATTGTAGATAGAAATTTTCTGCAAGTGGGACTCGCTTTGGACGCGAAAACACAATCCATTTCATGCTCAGAAGTAACCTAAAAGCTGCATAACCGGCTTTATATTGCTTGTTGGTCTGCGTATTTTCATCAAAGCTCAACGGCTCGGTGGTGTAGTTGGTTATCACGTCAGTCTAACACACGTTAGCTCACTGAAGGTCCCGAGTTCAAACCTCGGCTGAGTCACTCGTTCTTACGATCGTCTCCTGTTCTGCGTTTGATTCGCAGTTTCTTTTTGCTGTTGTAGTCTTCTTGGTCTACTAGTAGCAATCTGGCTGGGGCTCAGCATCTCGACACTTTTGCGTTCTTGAAGAGGTGTACGCCACTTAAATAGTCGCGAATTGTTTTTTGGTTGTTCTCAGCGAATCATCATGCAACACGGTCGATTCTTCCAAACATTGTGAACGCTTCGTAGTATTATCGAAGTCACTGAAGATGCGGTTGCGTGGACGGGGTAGCACAGCTCCTTGTGATGAAGGCGAAGAGCTATTTCCATGTCGAAGAAGAGTAACCCTCGCGACGGACCCGACTCACCGTCGCCTTACACAATTTGATTTCTGCAGCATCCTCTATACCAGTCTCTTCGGCGCTCTCGTACCATACTCGAAAAGACATCAGGAAATACTACCACATTCCCCCATCCCCGCCTGCCGTAGCTAGGTACATATATACCTCCTCATCCACACACACTTCCCCTCAGACCCTCTCAACCCCAATCCAATTCGCCCCCACCCCCCTCGGCACCACAAACCGCAACCTCTCCAATGCTGCCAACGTCTCCCTCACTGCCGGCTCACCCCCCATCCCGGCCTCCACTGCGGCCTCACACCACGCGTGGCACTCTCCAATCTTTTCATGCAGGTCCTTGACCAGCATCCCGATGTGCAGCGTGTAGTGTATGATGGGCGGGTAGGCGGTGTTGATGTGGCGCATGATGGCGGTGGGGGAGTCTGGGATGTATCTTCTGGGTTCTTCGTCTGGTACAAAGGGGAAGCCGTGGTCCTCGGGCTGGGCGGTTGCGTCTTGAGAGCCCGCGGGGGCAGGAGAGGTGCGCCGTGGTGCAGACACGTCCTCGCCGTGTGGATGCCCTTCGGTTGCGTGGTGGTTGCGAGGCGCGGAGTGCTGCGTTGATATTGACGGCGACATCTGTCGCGCTGGGGGTCTCTGGTCTCCGATCTTCATGGTTTCATCTCACGGCAATTTAGACTCGAAGCGATGCAGAAGATGTACTATCGCAGCAACCAATACACCCTACCTCTCACGGCGGCACTACCCCTTGATAAAGGACACCGTACTTGCGTGTGAGACGCATCTATCTCTGCTCTTTGATTGACTGACTCCCTGGGGCACAAGAACCCTGACTCACACTTACACAAAGCATCTACTCAGACCACACCACCTGCGATAAACAGAAACACTCATTGTTGACTTGTAGTGTCATCTCTGGCATTTAATCTCCCCTCGCTATCTACCTCCCCCATCCACATCCACGCATATGCCCTGCATCCGTAATAGGCTTCACGCCGTTCCTCCTAGCAGACCCATCCTATCCCATCCAAACGCCAGCTCAGCCAGGCTCAAGCAGGGAAAGAAGAGAGCCTTGTAAATGCAAGCTAAGCGCAGTGAACATGCGAACGAACGCCGTTGATCTGAAAGATAAATAGAGGAGAGTAGAGCAGAGGAGAATTCCGCATCATTGCAAGAAGTCCTTCCGCACATTGATGAATGCGCCCGGCCCGCCGTCGTCTGCAAGCTCTGAGACCAGCGCCTCCGTCTGTTGTACTAGGCGCTCCAGTGCGGCGGAGCTCGACTTGCCCAGGCTCACTATGCATGCGTTAGTTGACCTCCATATCAAGCAGGTGTTTGATCTGGGCAGACTCACCTAGAATCGCACTATTCAGCTCCTCCGCCACAGGCACCCTCCCACTCGTCTCCAGCAACGGCGCCAAACTGCTCTCCCGCACATTCTCATACGCAATGAGCGCAAACGTGTCCTCCAGCGCGCGCTTCACCTCCCGCCTCTGATCGTTGGAAAACTCCTGCTTGAGCTCCATCCCGTACTCGATCATCGCCGTAGTGGAATCCTGCAGTTTCTTCTGCTTGGCCTCGAGATCGTCTTCATCTTCGTCATCCTCGTCGCCCCATGGCGCGCCGTTGTGCACGCCGAGCTGCTCGTCCAGCTCCATCTCGAAGTCGTACTCGTCGGTGGCTGTGGAGTTGCGGTTGTTGAGGGTGGATGCGGTGGAGCGTTTCGACGGGGGGGTGGGAATGATGTGCGGGAGGACTTGGGCATTGAGCTCGCTGCACTGACGGATCATCTCGATGAATTTGCGGCAGCGAAGCTTGAAGTAGATATTCTCGTTCTCGCGGAGGACGGAGGGGTAGTACGCGGTTGTGTGTTTGAGGGCTTTATCGATGTCGCCATCGAGAATGGCTGCGCGTATGCCTGGAGAATGTCAGCTCTGTCATCTATCATGAATAGAATCATTTAGTCTTACGTTGCCGGTTTATCGCATCGATGTCTTCCTCTGTCTGAAGATATGGGACATCGACGTGACCGTCCGCTGCCAGCGCTTGCGCCTCTTCAATGACTTCTTCTGCAAAAGCTTTCGCGGTTTCAACGTATCCATCATGAGCAAGATATTGTCCAATCAAACTCTGTATAAACTGCGTCTCATCCGTCGAACCATGTTCGCGAGGCTGCCCTTTTGACAGAGCAATCTCTTGCTGAATCGTTGCCTTCTCCCCCTGTACTATGCTGTCAATATCAAAAGCGAATGGTTCCTGTCCAAAGTTTGCACGAAGCGCCTCATTGGGCTTCTTCATGCCAATACTTGGGTAGTATTGGACATTGGGCTTGAGATCTTTGAAGGGGGCGCCTATAATCGTCAGTATGCCTTTGAGGAAGTGGCCTGCCTACTGACCTATATACTGCCCGTTCTTCGTGAAGAAGGCGGTATTGGTGCGGAAGTTGATGCCACACCCTATGACATCCAGCGTCCCGAATTTTGGACCAAACGGCTTCCCAGATGTCGTACTCGTGAAGAACAACCCGTCATCGCCATGGTACGCAAAAGAACCAGGCTCCCACCCAGGTATCCTGTTCAGAGGGACCTTTGCTTCCGAGAATCCGACCCCGATGAGCCTACTCAACCAGTGTTAGCTCGCTGTAGGATCCACACGGCAAGTGGGACCTACCCGTCTTTGCCTTTAGAAACCACAGTAACCTCGTAGTAATATATTCCACACTGCCGCGGCATAGGGAAGTCCGCTCGGATTGCTGCAGCCTCGTCGTGCCCCGACTTGGATGCGCTTGCGAATCTAGCAAGCCTCCCGTCTTCGTCCACTTCCATTTGCGCGAACTTGTCCTTCTCGTCCCATCGCGTCGGCCACGGGGCGACTGGCTCCTCTATGAATGCTGGCGTGCGCTCGATGATCTCATGAGCGAGGCCACGGTAAGAATGGCTCGGTTTGTGCAGATTGACGCTGCTCGAGCTTGTGGATAACGAGCCGGCGTTTGAGGAATGCGTCGACCGTTGTTCTCGGTATGCGGCTACCCTCGCCTTGTGCACCTCCTCCAGCTTCTCGGCATGTCTTGACCCGCGCAGGTACGAGGGTACAAAGAACGCGGGCGCTCCGGCATCTTGCAAGCTGCTGTATCCTCCCATGTGGCCCATCTGACTCGAATACGACGGGACTGGCCCGCTCCGGCTCAGTGAGTTGGACATGCTGCCGTGGTGGCCGTCGGCATCTATCGAGCGTGCGTGGCGGGAATGTGAGTAGGAGGACGTTGCAAGCGGGAACGAGCCGCTGTTGGCCAGGTGAGAGAATTGTCCTGAACGCGCAGGAACCGTATTGGGCTGGCTACTGCCTGAATTCCCTGAAGCCACTTGTGCGTACGAGCCTCGGCGGAACATGGCGGTGGGGTCTGGGAGCTCGTAGTCGTGTGTCGGCAAGCAGCGGTAGGAAGCAGGTTGGGAAGCAGCCACGCCCAGCGCAGTACTCGAACACGGTGAGATGGGACGGCTAGAAGGATGTGTTGGATGCCGTGAGCAGCTTACCAGCTAACGGAGGCAGGGGCGCGTGCAGCGGCAGTCAGAAGAGCTGCGAATGGTAGGTTAGTCGACGAGCCCGGGTGAGTTGGCGGCGACGAGGGAGGAAACGGCGTCCGTCAACGCCGCTCAAGGTTGTTCAAAGCTGGGTCTGCAAGCACATTCATCGTTCGTGCAAGACAGTCTGGCGGTTGTGCGTAGACAGCAACTTGCGGGGAGAGTCGGACGGGGTCGTCAATGAGCTCAGCGATGGCGTCGACGCGAACAGAGCGAGGTTCAATGCACGCCCCCGCACTACGCTACATCGCGTATACATCTGCTCACTGATAAGACGGCGACCTATCTTGCGCCGTCACCAGATCAAACAAAAGGAACCGCAGTCTGCGTCTGGAAGCGTTGTGTTACCGTATGCTTTCAGCTTGAGGTTGGTTGCGATCGCTTCTTCAGCCTTCACAGCTCATGTCGCGTTTGTGCGAACAGCAAGCCTCAACAAGCAGCCCACGCAGCGAACGTCTTGTACTGTCGTGTTGTATAGCTTGCAAAATCATGGAACAATATATCCGCACCGCTACCTATCGATCGCAGTCATCGTGCGGACTCTACGCAGCATGTTCTCTGCGTCGGTATGAATATCGATAGACTTTCGGCCAGCATTGTACACACTTAGGGCACCTCAAATTGCCCTACGATCACCCATCAAAACCAAGTTTCCGAAGGTTTTGATCTGATTGCGGTCTCCTTATTCGACAGGGAGGCACATCGACCAACGTGGTCGAGTTACCGGTCCGGGTCTCCACAATGATAACCTGGTGATCACTAGGCAAGAACGTAGTCGTATATAGTATATCGTGACATGTAATTCTGAAAGCTTGCCAGTACCTTGAACATGATGTTATGAGTCTTAGGCGGCCACGGTCAAGTGGGATTCCTGCTGGTATTACTTCCGCAACGGGGACAGGCAACTGCAGCAGCCGATCAACATAACATGCCAACACGAGCAAGTCTTTGAATGCATTCTCTTCCTCCATACAAACAGTCACAACGGTAAACCATGAGCACATCACGTCAAGCACGCAGGGGTTGGAGAAGATAGCTCGATTCGTACGTAATGTAAATGAGTACAGCGGTTGCATCCTCTTGCTATACATATACAAATAGCCGTACGACACCTCCCGGTGCACCAAACTGAGTTCCATAGGTGGCCCACCTGGTCAAATCTCAGGGATCACGCGCACGTAGAAGCCACCCGCCTATGCCAGCCACCCGCCTATGCCAGCCGCAAACGCCATCGCTATCCAGGCCTAAATCCAGAAACCAGCTTTATCCCAAGCCCACCTTGGGTCCCAGTGCGCCATACGTAACACATAAATCAAAATATTATACAAATACAGTAGCAGAGAAGAGCTTCCATGCAAGAGCACGAAGCAATGTACCCCGAACATAGTCATGGAAGGATATGCAAATAGAAGGTCATGGTCGAGTGCATGACATAGAGCATGGTAGAATGGTATGACTCAATCAGCGGTAGAGGGTACGTCATGAAGCGCCAGCAAGAGGAGTCGGTGAGCTTGCGAGGCGTGCTTGCGGTACGGGTGTGCCAGCGTCTCCATTGAGGCCGCTCCTGTCGCTAACGGCGCTACTTTCATCCTTTATCTTGGAGTCGCTGGAACCGGTGGTATCACTCTTGACGTCCTCGGAGAAAGCGGAGCTCTTGGGGGGTGCTCGCCAGGTGGGTGCCTGCCAGACGACGCCGGTGAAGCTGCGGATTTGGAACGACTTCTTTCCCCACTTGCGGCAGGGCTTTCCGGATCGGTCGAGCGCACGTAGGTTGGCGTTGATGGTGCCCATGTTGGCTTTGGGGCCCAGCTTCTGGGCGGGCGCAGTTGCCGCGAAGGGGGCCTTGTTGTTCGGGTCGTTGATCATGTCGCCCCTATGTCGCTGTTAGCACTGGCCTGTGGGTGCAGAATAGGTATCGTCGTTGCTCTTGACAGAAGCCCGGACATTTGGCGTCAGAGGCGGACCGGCAATATACGCCCGACAGCAGGTCAACCTTCTGTCTTGGGCCGAATGGCAGGGTATGCGTGTCGCATGGTGTTAGGCCCATTGACGGGAAAGTGCCAGGCAACGGCGATGAGAATGGAAGTACTTACATGCGTTGCTTCTTCTTCGGGCCTGGCTTACCCCGTGGCTTGGGGGTTCCGTCGACAGCGGCAGCACTCCTCTTGGTGCCGGCACTGACACGCGGACCGGCCTTCTTCTTGCCCTTTGCATCTGTCGCGGGCGGTGCCAACAGGCCGTTGTCGACGCCGTCCATGGGCGTGGCGGCATCGGCGGGCGTGTCGAGAGGCGTCGGCTCGACGATCTGGGCAGGCGTGTTGGGCGACGACGAGAGCTTGTCTGATGACTTTGATGACGGCTCGTGGGGGAATTTGGCCAGCGCCTCGGGCGCCAGCGGGAGCCTGACAAGCAGCGACTTGGTCTTTGTGGACGACATGGCAGCGGCAGAGCGACGACGATGTCTGCTGGCAGCGGTGGGAATAAAATGGGCGGGCAGCAGCAACGGTGAAGATGCGCGGCGGCGGGGTGGTGATGGCGGTGATGGTGATGAGGAAGGGCGCTGGGGTGCCGTGGGTTGATTCAACAAGTCAGCTGCTGGGTGCGTACCCTTCTGTAGCGCTTGCCCAAGCTTTGTGTGGCTAGGTCCTCGAAACGTGAGGTGGCCGCTCAGGGTCTGTCGCACGTCGCTGGGTGCGTGGTGATGGCGGTGTGCAGAGTGCAAAAGGATGATGGAGGTGCGCAAGGGCGAGGGCGGTGGGCGTGAAGCCGGGGTCGGCACACTGAGGGTTTGATGGGGCGGCCATGATGGGTGGGCTGCGGCGGGCTCAGGTGTGCACGGCGACTCTGCTCATCTAGCGAGTGATTCCAAGCGGAAGCGTGGAGAGAGAGGTTCAAGGGCACTATAGCGCTAGGCCCCATCCGTCGCATCCTGGCTCCCTCAGGCACGCCCTCGAGCACGCGAAATGCGGCTGCATCTGCTCGCTGTTGCTGCGATGCGTGCTCGCGCTGCTCCTCTGCGCCGCCTGCCGGCATGGGCGGGCTCTGTCGTACTTTGCTTTGCGCGCTAGAGTGCAGATTTGGTCCGCCATCGCCATTCTTGCTTGCTGCCTCCTGCCCGGCTTCCTTGCGAACAACGCCGCGCCACTCCCGCCCCGTGGAACAAAGCCTTCAATGGAATTTGGTCCCGGCCAGCGAGCGTGTCTTGGTGCTGCAGCCCGCACTTTGGTCGCAGCCTGCCCCTGATGCTCCCCTCACTGCCTCCTCTCGCGGCGAGACTCCCCAAGCCCGGCCCTCGTGCGCCAGAGCTTGTGTGCGCGGTCCATCCGCCAGCTTCTCCCGCCGCATCGCAAGCCCATCAGCGACCGCGAGCCCCTTCCGCCGCGTCCCTGGCGCGCACCAGGTGTGCTGATCAGGCCGGCAGGCCGGCATGCTGGACCATGTGGTGCAGACGCTTGCCATGGCGCGCTGGCAGCTCAGCATGGCCCCTCCTAGGCTGATCCAGACTGCTCTCGTGTTTCGGACACCCAGGGTCGCCGGGAGTTGTGGCCAGCCCTGCATCTTCGTCTGCAGGCCCGATGCGACCTAGTAGCACGTGATGCGTATCTCGCACTGGATGTAATTGTATGGCTCGTATAAACATACACTCTTCGAGCTAAATGCCTGCTGTCGGCATTTGTATTTCACTTCCGCGCGCTTCGTTCTAGTGCACTGTCGCTGCAGATTCTGCGCCAGCCCACAATGACGACGCTATGCAATCTTCGCGATCGTAAGCGGTGACGCGGGCAATGTGTCGTCGAAACCAACATGCCCCGGCGCCTCGCGGCATTGATGCAACACACCGAGGTCGATGCTATAAGCCCGGAACACCCTCCCTGAGCCCTGCCGACGGATCTCGCGTTGCGTGTCAAGGATGCATAGCCCGAGTGCAAAGGTGGTTGGTGCATGCAATGTCGGCCTCCAGAAACCGCGATCTTTCGCGCGCCTTTCGCGGCGCCCATGGTAGGCGCACGCCCCTTGCTTCACCGCCCGACACGGACCCCACACAACCATCAATACGCTGCAATAACATTTTAGTTTGAATATCGGCTTTGCAATTTGTATCATCTGCCCGATAATGCCCTGCTACTGGCACGACTTCTCCTCTGCGCTCCCACCCGTGGGTATCGTGAAAGAATGTTGTCCTGCCCAGCTACAAATTTCCGGCCCGTTGAAATGCCAGTGCCTCACCCTTATAAACGCCGTTCCAGTCCTTGGACACTTATTTTGTGAAAACCCAAAGCCCAAAGCCATATACGCCCCAACGCAAGACAAAAGAAACCCCGACCAGCAGCGTGACATTCGTCATGATAGAAATGCATGCGTAAGCGTTGACATCGTTCAGGTAAACCATCTCACAACTCTGTCCAATGGACAGTCTCGACTCGTTCTATCTCATAATAATTTCTCTTTCTCTCCTTCTTCTCGGTGGGGTTCTTCCGCTTGAGTAAGTTCTTCACCCTCGACGTCAACTTTCCAAGGGAATCCTGTGGAGGCTGTTCTTCCTCCTTCTTTTCCCGCTCTTCCTCGACCGGTGCATGGTTCTCCGTCTGCGGTTCTTCCTGTATCGGCACGGCTGGATGTGATGACGGTGATGCGGTGGGAAGCATTTCCTTGCTAATTAGGCTCTTCGACTTGTGCCTTGAGAATCGTTTTTTTGGTGGCTTTTGTAGAGGCACCAACATGTCCCAAGCAGGCTCGCGAGGCGTAGCATCGCCCGCCCTCACATGCGGCAACAACACCAAAGTCGAGCCATCCCAATTTGACCCCTGGCGAGGTGAGTATGCTGGTGTGGAAGGCTCCGAGTCGATCAGTGTACCGAAAGACTTGGCAGACATTGGTGGGGACATGGGTCCCGGTGTGGAGGGCGACAAGGCTGGCATGGGTGACATTGGAGGAAAGGGTGATCTGGGCTCACTGTAGCTCGGGCGCGGTGAAGGTGGGAGGCCAGAGAATCGGTGGTGTGGTGTGACGAGGCTGTTTGGCGAGAGCAGCGATGGCTCCTTTGGCATGCCGTGGCTCGTCAAGGCAGAGTATTCGGTGCGGGAGCCAGAGCGTCTGTGGTTGCTTGCGGTGGGCCCAGATGTAGACGATATAGACAGTGACCGCGCCGACAACGCGGGCGAGCGGGTTGGGTCCATGGCCATATGTTGTACAAGTCTCGGCTGGTCAATGAAACGGTAGGCGAATGAGACACGAGATACAAGGGAGTCCACACGCGACTGTGGCCAGCGCCTAACAGTTGGTAGCGGAACTGGAGGGGTATCAAGCGCCAGGCGGAAGCTGGCGAAGCTGGCGAAAACCAAGAAGAACAGCTGAGTTTAAGCACTCGGCTCTCAGCAAATTGCTTGCAGGTAAGCCAGGCAGAGGCTGTGTCACCTGCGAGGCTTGCAGGCAACTGTCATTATAACAAGCCGAGAGGGTGGAGTACCGGCTCACTGGGAGCGGCATCCTCTCGCAAAGTCTGATGTGTTTTGCGGCGTAGTCGACCTAAACACGCAAGATCAGCCTGGCCTTAGTTTCTCATGCGGCATGGGACGATTGCGGGTGGAATTACGACTACTCTTGTCACCCGCGACCGTTGACGAGCGGCGTTGTATATCCGCGCTAGACCCTGCAAAGCCCTGGCGCTTAGGATGCGCGTCGCCATTGGTCCGTGTAAAGAACAGCCCCGCTGGTCATGGTTGTGGTTCGTCAGGGGAGGGCGGCTGGAGGGGCGGAACGCGGCTGTTTCTAAAGACGGTTCGTATGGGGCAGTTACCTGGACCGCTGCAAATCCACTGGCCCACGGGCGTGAGCTGGCATGAGAGGCCTCCATGCTCATTGGATCCACCGCTCGCCAGCGTCTAACGAATGAACATGCTCAGAGGGAATTTCAGGGCGTCCAAACACCATAGTTCCTTTGTAGTTCCCCAGCTCGTGGCAAGAGGGCCTGGAAGCGACTCGTCGCCGATCGTCAGATAGCCCGCTTTTCTGATGTTTGGAGGAGGGGATCGGTGCCAATGAGCGACATAAAGAGCAACTGTGCCGCAAAAGCACTCTGTGTTTCTGCGCCGCAAAACGAGACCAGGGTCAACCAGCAAGCTGGGTTCAGCCGTTCATGGCTTGCTTCGCGTCTGACTGGCCGCCTCCACCGGTGGCCCTCGAGTCAAGTCTGGCTGTGCCTCTCCCGCGCGATCAAAGGAAGTGCCACTCCCGCCGCCCAAGGACGCTCCCGCGGCCTTTGCATGAAGCTGAGAACGAAAGTGGGTCGTGGAATACTGTGGTCTATGTGATGGCGATAGGCCTCCTCCGGCCTGCAGTGTAACCTGTTAAGCGCCACCTGTGACCAGGGCAATAAGCGAGTTCATCGAAGACCGTCGGCGAGGAATTCCAACAACGAATGGAGAAGGCGCCCAAGGCAGACTGCTCGTTAACTTCCAGATGATGATGTGGCCATAGTGGGCCAGTGGATCGAGCCGCGGATGAATTGGTAGCGCTCGAGGAGATGCATCGGGGAGGCACGGTCTGTTGCCGTAGGCTTAGTGATAACGGCTCGGGTTGCGCTGACCTCGTGCCGAAGGTGAAGACGACAGGAGACCGTGCTGCAGGTGGTGCAGGACGCGCCATCGTGCGCCTAGTTTAAATCAGGGCAAGCCCAGTCCGGGACCACGACTGCTTCAATCCAAGTGAGAAACCCTCAGCCCCCCTCAACCTCTCAACACATGCTAATCAACCGACAGACGTTGTTGTCACAATCAATAGTCTCGGTGTTTCGTTGTCGTACTTCGTGAACAGGAGGAAATGTGTGAACACCTTCTTACAATCTTCATTCAGCCATCCCATATTCATGCGCGTACTGGAGGCTTACCGGAGAGCTTGGGCCGACGCTTTTCAATTGCCTAGGCAATGACATTCTCCCTCGACCAAGCACTGTCCTTTTTCTAGTCCTCGATGTTACCTTATCGCTCGACCTGGGCGGTGGCTCATTTGACCCAGATCATTCCGTGACGCGGCTCCAGGCCGAACGGAATGCATCATGAAGACCGTCCACATAGTTCGAGGACTTAATCAAAAAGCTTTAAGGCGTAGGAGTGCAGATCTGAAGGTCTGTTCTACTTGACAGCATCTCATAGTCCTCACATTTCGCTGGACTTGCTGACACTCCTTTCTCATCACGCGACATGTTGGCCCGCTGCTGTTGTTGTGGCTGCGCTTCATTCCTTCCTTTCTGTGTCGGAATCTGTGTGATGATTCCCCTGGCGTAACCTCCAGATCAGGACATCATGTGCTATCATTCATTCCAGCACCAGGCCAAATTGCCGGCATCACAACAAAATCACGCGCCTCTCGATTCCAGATAAATTCACTTCCCTGGGCCGAAACAGTCTCACATCTGCAGCTACCTCTCCGCTACACACTCTTTCCGCCACACTCCTTCTATTTCTATTCAGGATGAGGTTTGAAGGCCTCCCATCGCTGGCCTTGTTTGGCTTGGCCACCTCACACGCAATCCAGGTTCGTGCACCTGCTGAAGCCGCCGTAGCAGCAACAGCTGGCGATGATGATAAGGGAAAGAACTGGCGCCCTCATACTAAGGAGCCACACTTCTTCAACTTGCGGGTCAATGACCGATGCGACCCATTCAACAAGCCGAAACCAGAGGTCATGAAGTCGCAGTGCCCGTTCGATTCCTATGCGATTAGGCTGGAGAAGGGTGTTCTGGTTGCCACGCCCTACAACAAGTGGTGGGATCCCAAGCTGCCGACCTTCTTTGTCGATGATGATACCCAGCTGTACACCGTAAGTCGAACAATATGTGACTTTCATCTGAACCTGCAGCTCACTCTACATCGCACCAGGTCAGCAAGGATCCTCTTCAACTCTACGTTGATTCCGTCACTGGCGCCGTGAAGTACACCAAGGTCGGATGGCTCCCACCGAGCGCCATCTCCACTGGTTTCTACCACACTGGAAACAACCCCATCCAGCTCGTCGACCCCAGTCCATCCTACCTCACCTGGCCCTCTACTTACGGCATCACAAAGGGCGGTAACTTCGCCCTCTGCCCGCTCGGCAGCACCGGGCAATACCAGGTGTTCGTCAACAACTGGAATTTTGACCAGCAGGGTGTGGAGAAGAGGCGCTGCAAGTACTACGCACTCGCGGCGCTGAACGCGAACCCCTGGAAGAAGGAGGATTCGAAGCTCAAGGCTCGTGACGACTCCTCTATCTCGGATTATCCCACCTCCTCCGGGGGCGATGACTCCTGGGGCTCCGATGACGATTCCTGGAGCAGCGATGACGACAGCGCATACTCCAGCTGGGGCAAGAGCGACAAGGACGACGGCTACGAGAGCAAAGATGATGGTTACACTACCGAGAAGGACGGCTACGAGACTGATCCCACGTGGGGAGGCGAGGAATACGAGACTGATCCCACATGGGGAGGCGAGGACTACGAGACTGAGGTCACGTGGGGAGGCGAGGACTATTAGACCTCCGAGGATTGGTGAAGGGAACGATGGATTATAGGACAATCCTGTTAAGCGATAGACCTCAGCGGCATTGGAGGCCTGCATGGAAACATTGATATTGTTGTTTTTACTACCCGTAATCAAGCTCAACCCCCAAGATCCGACCTTTCCTATGTCTACCCTCCTGTATTTTAATTTGAGAAATGAATATCTGGTTTTTGGAGTTCAAAGTATCTATCATGCTCAGTCATTTGGCGTGACGTGCACTGACATGCGAACATTTGCTACAACCCTGTTTTGAGTACTCCCACGTCTCATCGCAAACGGTCAGGATCAATGACTTGTGAATATCAGAAAATTCATGGGACGGTACCGAACCCAAATAGTAATCGGGACTGCCGTTCGGTCCATGTACGGTACAGCGAGGAATCTGCAGTGGTCATGGGTGAATTGCTGTATTTGTCGGTGGACTTTATATCACTCCACAAGTGCTCTCTCGCAACATCCGGTTCCCAAGCCAACTGTAAGGTAGCAAATACTATTCTAGAACTTATCTAAGTCTACAAGAATCCCCTTTAGATGTACCCATCGATTTATTGACATATATACTCCATTGATACCACTCCATACCAGGAGTATTATCCACCGAGCATCATTCCTGACATTATACTTACGTGATCAATGTGGTAGATCAAACTGTGTCTTTGGGGCCTTGGGCCGGCTCCTAAAGTTTTAGGGCCGATGTGCTTGTGATGGGTTGATTCTCATCGAACCTACATCCGTTTGCTACGGAAAACGGCCGAACCGGCGTCCATGTCACACACCTTGCCCTTCATATGCGAGCGTTTGCTACGGACAAGTTCCGCTAATACCCGCAATTCTGCAAACGCGCCCTCGCGAAGTTTTCAGGGTGATGGAGGAAAACGAGCTTTTCCCTTGGCTTCACTTGCTCTCTCACACTCAACTTCACCTAGTTGGACGCGCCTCGACTATGTATTTGCGTCCGCTCACGCGCCGATATTCTTCCCTTCTTCGTCCCAACCCACCCTTTCTTGTGGTGTATATCTTGATCCACGGGCAAGATGCATTCAGCATACGCGTATCTCCGCGTCGCAGCCCTGGATATGGCAAACCCGACGAACGCGCACAACGATTCAACGCCGGCATTAAACACGCACACCGACTCGACCAAGGGAGCTCTCGGTCATTCTCGAGGAAAGTCCCTCGCCAACTGTGGTTTCAACGTCGATTATGACACCAAAGAGGTCGAGCGACTGGCGCAAGAGATCAGAGACGGCACAGTGGCCGAGATTCTGCTAGAGCTTTTCGTGCAATGGATCTTCCAAGATGACAGGAACTACGTCGAAGCCAAGAAGTACATCCGCGAGCTCGCTGTGGATCAGGTAAGCCTCTCAATACAGGCTGATCATGTTAGCGATTTTGATGCGTGATATAGGATTATCCACTCTCCCGCATCGCGAACGAGAGCGTACGCAAGCTTGTCGAAGACTGCTACGAGCTTCGCCCTGAATACAAGGCTCCGATTACCAACGAGCGCGAGAACACGGTCGGTTTACTCGAGATTCTCCAAGAAAGCGCGATCAAGCCTAGTACTCCGAAGAACAAGCTCCGCTCGCGCGTGTCACTGCCATCGTCGCTGAGGAGGCCATCCTTACCTTTGCCGACGCACTCTCCCAGCTGGAAGGAAGAGTCTCCTATCAAGGAAGCCGAAGAGGAATCGATCATGTTCACGAGCCACTTGATCTCGCCCATCTCATCGCCTCTTACGCCCCGCGAAGCCGGCTCATTCCCAAAGTTGAAGAAGATGCTGTCCGTTGCCGCTAGCATTAGTAGTCCCTCTGTTGTCACCGCTCCTCGTTCCCGAAGTCAGCAGTATCCGCCAGACACACCCGACCGTCCAGCACCACTCACTGTGGTCAAGTCTAAGACTCATTCCACTCTGAAGTCGGGAACTGTTCCTTCGGTGTCGACGCCAAGCCGTACTCGCTGGGTAGTACCTCTCCCGCCTGACGGTGATTCGCCACCGCCCTCGGTACCAGCTATTCCCTCGTCCTCGCAGTTCACACCATCATCGAAGCCAAAGCCAAAGCCGAAGTACTCCTTGATCCCTCCGCGGTACGCTCGGCAACCCAGGCACGAGAACCCCTCTAGCTCTCAGGACGACGACTACGCCACCATCGTTGGATCTCTCACGACGGCCGCGACGAAGAGCCCAGACAGTCCCGCTCCGACCGTTACCAATCCATTGACCAGCCCGGCCGCTAGCTCAGGTTACTCAGACAGAGACGAGCCGAAGCGATTCAGCGTCATGGGTGACGATGGCGTTACTGACAGCCGTCACGATACCCCAAGTGTGGATGATAGGACTCCGAAGGCCCCGCGCCGTGCCTCGGAGTATACTAGCACCTCGGATGACTGGTACACCATCGCGCATGACGTTTCAGAGCTCGAGGTTACGGCCCGCCCCACGAGCCTCTACGATTCGTTTGGCTTTCTGAAGGAGGAGTTGTATCCGCAGGAGGAAGGTGACCCGGTTTCTACCACCATCGAGTCCACCCCGGATACCCTGACCCAGTCATCGCCGCGGCCGCCTAGGGTCGACAGCCTCTCAAAGATGCCTAGAATCCCGAGGCTCAGCAAGGTCCCGCCCGAGAAGCGCGCGGCGGCTAAGCTGGCTAGGCAGGAGGCGATTGATGGTAATGAGATCTGGATGAGAACCTTTGATGACCTCCCGCTTCGAAGGTTCGTGAGTATATTTGAGGTGGGCTCCCCGCGCACTCGCGCTCCCCATCCCCCTACACATACCCCTGCCCCTATCCTAGTGAGTGAGGAGTTAGAGGAGGACGACGACGATGTGGCGGTGGAGGAAAGAGAGAGGCTATTTAGCTTGTAGGGGACGAGATACGCTAGGATAGGCTGTGGTGGGTTCCGGGTTGTGACTTTGGCGGTTATACCTGTACGAAACAAAGTAATACTGTATACAATCAGAGGTAATTGTTTTGATTCAAACTGTAGCCTGGCATGACTTACACTAATCATGATTTGTGACACGCCGTCAGAAATCATAATCTGCATTTGGCTTTGCAAGGTCGATGCGGAAACGTGAAGAGAGGAGTGGAGGAGCTCTGAGCGTAAATAAGTAAGAGTCAGTTACTCCAGGACAAGATCTGCTTTGGCGGAGATGCCAAAGCGAGTGAGGATCAGGAGGACGAGGCTGCTCCGGAGAAAAGCGATCGGCTTATCGATTTATAGGGTGTAAGTTACGCCAGAATGCGCTTCCAAAGTGTCCTGGGAATACCGCAATTGAGGGGTTTGGTGGCAGTGACTTGTACGACTGAATGATGCCTGTATGCGATGGCATCCGTTATTTGACGTATCCTGGTGTAACTCACATCGAACTTTTTATGCAGAACACGCATGCCATGCTGCCGTGAGCCGGCAAGGACAACGCAAAATTTACGAAAGAGACTGAACATATTTTTTTCGAGTCACTCCAGAATGATCTTGGCTGTTAATTCATTCTAGTGAGCCTCAATTTCCCATAAGGTATCATGGGATGACTTGGGTTAAGAAGCTCCGCTGTGACTGCATACCAATCCCTGTGAAGCAGCTTCCCTATAACACGCGCTACGTACTCCCAGGCGCTGCGACCCAAAGACGCAACAATTGACGTTTATTGTGGCAGGTGAGATCAGGATCTGCGCGGCAAAAGTCCATTTGTGAACGAGATAAGAGCAGCTCGGTGGTTTCAGATGATTTTGGTGCATTCGCGACATAGAAATTTCCTAGATGAGCAGTACCTAGTCACTCTATGCATGATTCCACAGACTCCTTAACTGCATGATTGGATAGCTCTTGTCAAAGGTGTCGAGTTGTTCCAAGATATGCAGTCCTGCAGCGTGAATGTGAGGACCGTGGTGCTCTAGATGCGCAGCACCGATCCATCTTGTTAGTTTCATCCGACCTACTACATAGGTCGTGTTACCCCAGGATAGTCTATGAAGACTAACTTTGATAAGCCTACGTACGTCCAATTCTGTCTCGCTGTTATGGCATCTGGTGTTGATGGAGGACGGCTTGCTCCTCCGCCTTGTGTGACGTCGGGGCACAACTTCGCCGCTGGTGGCCCGAGCTCACTCTCTCACAGCTCTCCGCGCAACTTACGCGACAAACACCTTGCCACCCTCGAGTGCTGCGGACATGTCGGTGCTGCTGGAGACGTCGCTCGGCGACATCACGATCGACCTCCTGGTCGATGATGCGCCAAAATGCTGCGAGAAGTAAGTCAGCATTCCATACTTTGCTATGCGACAGCCGTCGCAAGTCGCTTTTCGTTGGCGCATAGAAGCAAGCTGAGCACAAGCAGAGACTAACGCATCGCAACTTCTAGTTTCCTGAAACTCTGCAAACTCAAGTACTACAATTTCTCGCCCGTCCACAGCGTCCAGCCGAACTTCTCTTTCCAAACCGGCGACCCCATCGGCCCCGGCTCCAACGACAGCGATGGCGGCCGCTCGATCTGGGGTGTACTTGACCCCTCCGACCCCGCGAAGAAGACCTTCAAGCCCGAATTTCAACACAAGCTGAAGCATACGGAGATGGGCACGGTTAGCATGGCGACCGCCCCAGCACCAGACGACCCAGACGAACGATTTGCGGGCAGCCAATTCATTGTCACGCTGGGAACAGATATAGACTACTTGGACAAGAAAGCTGCCATCTTTGGACAGGTGGTAGAGGGTTTCGATGTCTTGGAGAAGATCAACGCCGCATTCATCGACGACAAGGGCCGACCACTCAAGGACATACGCATTTTGCATACCGTCGTTCTGGATGATCCGTATGATGACCCCAAGGGTCTCGTCGAACCGCCAGAGAGCCCCATCCCTTCGGCGGCCCAGCTCGCCACCGTGCGCGTTGCGCACGACGAGACATTGGAGGAGGAGACAGATCCGGAAGCTTTGGAAAAGGTCCGCCGCGAACGGGAGGCGCGCGCACAAGCACTCACACTAGAGATGGTTGGTGATCTGCCTTTTGCTGAAGTTGCGCCACCAGAGAACGTTCTGTTCGTTTGCAAACTCAACCCGGTCACCCAGGACGAGGATTTGGAACTCATTTTCTCTCGCTTCGGGAAGATTCTGAGCTGCGAAATCATACGGGACAAGAACTCGGGGGACAGCCTCCAGTATGCCTTCATTGAGTATTCGGACCAGAAAGAGTGCGAGCAAGCTTACCTGAAAATGGACGGCGTGCTCATTGACGACCACCGCATTCACGTTGATTTCTCACAGAGTGTTTCTAAGATCGCAGACGACTGGCGAGACAACGCCAACATGAAGCGGCGGCGTGCAGCAGGCGGCGGCTTTGGTGGAATCGACAACCTACAAAGGAAGAAGCAATATCGTGGAGACCACGGCCGCGAAATCGTCAGTGACTCGGTCGTCAATAACCTTGTCATTGACCGGGAAGCGCCTTCAAATGGTATCAAAGACCGTCCACGCGGTCCAGATTCGAGACAGAACGGAAGTCGCGACACATATGAGCCGCGGAAAGACGATGGTCGGAGGAGAGACCGGCGAGAGCAGTCGTATCATGATGATAGGTGGAAGCGAGATCGTAGCCGTAGCCCGAGGCGGGAACGCCGTGACCGCGATGGTGACGGTCGGTATGAAGATCGTGCTCGGCACGAGGACCGGCGGCGAGACCGCAGCAGTGATCGTCATAGGGATAGCCGGCGAGACAGAAGTCGGGACCGTCACAGGAGGGACGACCGCGGTGATCGGCGACGATAAGGTTGATAAGGTTGTAAGATTGGCTGTCCGTTTGTATTGCAACCGCTGCTTGTCTATACTACATGTCTTGAAAACGCTGTCGTTAGCACTGCATGGTTTTAGGGGGGATTCAATGATACCACATTCTATTCAACAACCCTCTGTCCACTTAATGGTACAGTAAATCGCTGCGCACCGGTTAGGTATCTCGCAATAGCAGCAACAAGGACATCCAGAGCCATACCTACGGGCCTGTTGTGGATTAGCCATCGATCGCATCTTCCTGTGCGATCTTGGATCCTCGCTGCATCCAATGCGATCCTCCGCCTTATTTTAGTCTTGAAACGCGCCACAAGCCTTCCCACGACCACGACCATGTCTAGTCAGCGGTCCTCCGCATAGACGTTCTGCATGCACTGCGCAGCCTCTCGCGCCTAGTCCTCTGCTCACCCCAGTCCAAGTCCGCTCGGGTAAGCTCCCATAGGTCGATTTGGTAGTACACGCCTAATGCGTATCGCCGAGTGGATTACCCGATCGCGCAGCGCAGCCTCACAACACCAGAAGCAGACCACCGAACCAATGTGCTTCAGAAATGTAGGAGGAATCTGGGGTGCTGCCAAGCATGTGCAACAGGTGCCAATGTGCCCGAACATGTGGGCTGGTACCCGAGACAGCGACATCGTAGAGACAAGTTCGTTGCAAAGTCCGTCGCTGTGGCTTTTGACGTCGCGAGATGAATGGTATATATGGGAAGGGAAACGCAGGTTAGAAGATCATCACACAGCTCATCAGCTTCAACAATACAACTACAGACTACAACAGTCCTTTCAAGTTCCAGCTACCACCCACATTCTCTACCATCAACACTCTTTCGCAACTCATACCAATTTTCCAACTACACCTTCTCTACTCCACCAACAAACCACCTCCATTCAAAATGCAGTTCTCCACCATCTTCATCGCTGTTGCCGCCATGGCCACCGGTTTCGCCGCCGCGCGCCCGATCCCCATCCTCATCCCCGCGAACGCACACACTCACCACGCGCGCTCCCTCGACATCGCGGACCTCTGGGTTGTACGTTCGCCCCTCGCTCCCCGTGCTGTATCTCACTAAGACTTGGATCGCAGGACAAACGCTTCACGGGCATCAACAACTCGCCGTCCATCAAGGTTTAGGTCAACCATACCGACAAACAACAACAAAAAAAGACAGATGGAGGACGTGTATATACCCGGCGGCGGTGCGAGGCGATTCTAATGTGTAAATATTTGATGATGAGGTTTCGACTGTAAATACTTTGTCTTCCGCATGACGACGGCGTTGGGTTGGGATTGCGGATACCACATTCTTTTACGAGGGACTTGTGTTGCATTGGGACACATCGGACGTTCACTGGGACAGAGCTTGGAGTTGATGGAAAACACTCTTTTGGATTAGACGTAGAGCTACCTGGTTGTCTAGCATTTGTGAATTATAATTGTTCCGAGACGAATGTTCTGGACGTGCTAGACGTGCTAGACGTGGTATGCGAGTGCCTGTGGGGTGAGAGAACAGAAGAACGCGCTGCAGGCTCCGCTCCACAGGAAGACGTTCGTCATGTACGCGCTGACGGCCACAGACGCGAGAAGTTGAGAGGAAATCCAAAGTGATGGGATGACAACGAAACGCCCTTGCGTGGCCGCGGCGCCGGCTTGAAGAGAGAGCAGCGCGCTAGCACCGCAGAGGCTAGCGGCCGTGGGCAGGCTGCTTAGGTAACCTCCGCCCGTTCTTTCACGACCGGCCGCCGTCGCGCTGCGAGAAAGAGCGCCCCAGCGACACTCGCCGCGCTCCACCCACCCACCCGCATCTCGGTCTCCCTGTCCGCGCGCAGCCATGGCCGACGCATACGAATACGACGTGGAGGAAGAGGAGCTGTACGAGGACGACGACGGCATCGCCTCGTCCGACTGCTGGGCCGTCATCACCTCCTTCTTCGACACGAAGGGCCTTGTCTCGCAGCAGCTCGACTCGTACGACGAGTTCACGCGCAACACCATCCAGGACATTGTCTCCGAGAACGGCAACGTCATCCTCGACCAGAACACAAACTCGTACGACGACGACCACAACCCCATCATCAAGCGCCGCTACCAGATCTCCTTTGGCCGCGTCTTCCTCGCGCGGCCTACGCACACCGAAGGCGATGGCACCACCATCCAGCTGTACCCCCACGAGGCGCGGCTGCGCAATCTCACCTACTCCTCCGCCATGATGGCGCACATCGACAACAAGATCATGGTGGCGCGCGAAGTCACAGACGTGGACGACGACGACGAGGGCGTGGAGCAGTTTGGGGGTTCGTCGATCAAGTGGGAGCGGGAGGACCTGCCGTCGAGCGACGGCCACGAGAACAGGGTCTTCTTAGGGAAGCTGCCAGTCATGCTTCGCTCGGAGCTGTGCCACCTGCGAAACCAGAACGACGAGGCCTTGTTCGGGCTCAACGAGTGCCCCTACGACCAGGGTGGCTACTTCGTCATAAACGGCAGTGAGAAGGTGTTGATCGCTCAGGAGCGCAGTGCCGCCAACATTGTCCAAGTCTTTCGCAAGAAGCAAGGTCCGATCCCGTGGATCGCCGAAATCCGCAGCGCTGTCGAGAAGGGTACGCGCCTCATCTCGTCCTTCAACATCAAGTGGGCGGAGAACTCGCTGCATCAGGCGCGAACACCGGGTCCTTTTGCATACGGCATGCTGCCGTACGTCAAATCCGATGTGCCCATGGGCATCGTGTTCCGTGCGCTCGGTGTAGTATCAGACGAGGATATCCTAAACCACATCTGCTATGACAAAAGCGATACAGCTATGATGGAGCTGCTGAAGCCTAGTATCGAAGAAGCCTCCGTCGTGCAGGACAAGGATAGCGCGTTGAACTGGCTCGGTAGTCGCGCACAAGGAAACCAGCAGGGTCCGAAAGACAAGCGTCTCAAGTTTGCGCGGGACATCATGCAGCGAGAATTTCTGCCGCACATCTCGCAAAGGGAAGGCCAGGACACGCGCAAGGCCTTCTTCTTCGGCTACATGCTCCACCGCTTGCTTCAGTGCGTTTTGGGCCGCCGAGAGGAGGACGACCGTGACCATTTCGGAAAGAAGCGTTTGGATCTTGCAGGACCACTGATTGCGAATCTGTTCCGTATCCTGTTCCTCAAGCTCACCAAGGACGTCTTCAGATATCTTCAGCGATGTGTGGAGAACAACCAGGAGTTCAATGTTCAGATGGCTATTAAGGCTAGTATCCTTACTAACGGACTGAAGTACTCCTTAGCAACGGGAAACTGGGGTGACCAGAAGAAAGCAGCCTCCGCCAAAGCCGGTGTGTCGCAAGTGTTGAACCGGTATACCTACGCATCCACCTTGTCTCATCTTCGGCGGACAAACACCCCCGTTGGTCGAGACGGCAAGCTAGCGAAGCCGCGCCAGCTTCACAACAGTCATTGGGGTCTTGTCTGCCCTGCCGAGACACCCGAAGGACAAGCGTGTGGGCTCGTCAAGAACCTGTCGCTCATGTGCTACGTAAGTGTAGGTAGTGAAAGCGCGCCTATCATTGACTATATGTCGGGCCGTAACATGGAGCTCCTAGAGGAGTACGACCCGACAATGAATCCCAGCGCTACCAAGGTTTTCGTCAACGGTGTCTGGGTGGGAACACACAACAACCCACAACAACTTGTCACAAACGTTCAAGAACTTCGCCGAAACGGAACCCTGTCGTACGAAATGAGTTTGGTTCGAGACATTCGGGATCGCGAGTTCAAGATCTTCACGGATGCTGGTCGTGTCATGCGGCCGCTTTTTACCGTCGAAAACGACTCTAAGAAGCCGAACAAAGATCAATTGATCTTCAACAGGTACCATCTCGAGAAGCTTTTGCGAGATAAAGAAGTGGACACATCTGGCATGAACGAAGAAGACACCGACGCTCACCAATATGGTTGGAAAGGTCTGCTTCACGACGGTTGCGTTGAGTATCTTGATGCCGAGGAAGAAGAGAGTGCTATGATTGTCATGTCGCCCGAAGATTTGACTGATTGGCGTCAAGTGACCAAAGAGGGTCAAATAGAACCTGGAAAGCCGGATTATACGCTAGAAGAGCACAAGCCTTTGCGTCTTGCGCCTCTCAAGCCTCCGGTCAACAGAACGGTCAACGCATACACCCATTGCGAGATTCACCCCGCCATGATCCTCGGTATCTGCGCCAGTATCATTCCGTTCCCCGACCACAACCAATCTCCTCGTAACACCTACCAATCTGCTATGGGCAAACAAGCCATGGGCGTCGCACTGACGAACTATGCGCTGCGTATGGAAACGATGATGAACGTTCTCTACTATCCTCAGAAACCGTTGGCTACTACACGTTCCATGGAATACCTCCGGTTCCGTGAACTGCCTGCTGGACAGAATGCCATTGTGGCTATTGCCTGCTACTCCGGCTACAACCAGGAAGATTCCGTCATTATGAACCAGAGTAGTATTGATCGCGGCCTTTTCAGGAGTCTGTTCTACCGTGCATACACGGAGCAAGAGAAGCGCATCGGTGTCAACGTTCTGGAACAGTTCGAGAAACCGACGCGCATGGATACGATGAGGATGAAGGGTGGCACATACGATAAGCTCGATGATGACGGCATTGTCGCACCGGGTGTTCGTGTCTCTGGTGACGATATCATCATTGGAAAGACGGCACCTATTCCGAACGACGATGCCAAGGAGCTGGGTCAAAAATCGGCCAACCACACGAAGCGCGATGTTTCCACTCCGCTGAGGAGTACGGAGAACGGTATCGTCGATCAGGTTCTCTTTACGACAAACACCGAAGGCCTGCGATTCGTCAAAGTGCGCACACGTACCACCAAGGTACCACAGATCGGTGACAAGTTCGCCTCACGTCACGGTCAGAAGGGTACCATTGGTATCACGTACCGTCACGAAGACATGCCCTTCACTCGGGATGGTCTGACGCCGGATCTTGTCATTAACCCCCACGCCATTCCGTCTCGTATGACCATCGCTCATTTGGTCGAGTGTTTGTTGTCCAAAGTCGGCGCCATCAACGCGCAGGAGGGTGATGCGACTCCCTTCTGCGGCGTCACCGTTGACCACGTCTCCGATCTTCTGGAGAAAGCCGACTTCCAGAAGCGCGGTTTCGAGATCATGTACAATGGCCACACAGGTCGGAAGATGCGAGCCCAGGTCTTCTTGGGTCCAACGTATTACCAGCGCCTGAGGCATATGGTCGACGACAAGATCCACGCACGTGCGCGTGGGCCTCTTCAGATTCTCACTCGACAGCCTGTCGAGGGTCGTGCGCGTGACGGTGGTCTCCGCTTCGGAGAGATGGAGCGCGATTGCATGATTGCGCACGGTGCGGCGGCTTTCCTCAAGGAGCGTCTGTTCGAGGTCTCGGATGCGTATAGAGTCCATGTGTGCGATATCTGTGGGTTGATGAGCCCGATTGCGTACGTATTCACACCAGCCATGCCATCACGCAAATGCTAACTACTACTCAGGCAAATCAAAAAGGGCCAATACGAGTGCCGTCCTTGCCACAACAAGACGCGCATCAGCCAAATCCAGATCCCTTACGCCGCCAAGCTTCTCTTCCAGGAGCTCATGGCCATGAACATCGCCACCCGCATGTTCACCAACCGCTCCGGTCTCAGCGTAAGAGACTAGCACTCTGCCTATTGTGCAGCTGAGTCTGTTCCACGAGGGATGAAGCGCTGATGTGGAGCCCGATCCGATCATCCGCTCTTCCCCTGTCCGTTTTTGTGCTTTGTTTACATGCGCTTTGACGCTAAACCCCCAAAAACCTTCTCCAATTCTTTATTTTCGTTTGCATTGCGCTGGCGTTTGTGTCGTGGATATGGGTTGACTTGACCCTCAGATTGGCACTGTGTACAGCTTTCTCGGGTCTTACGTTGAATTTACGGCTTGCGTGGATGGGTCGCAGACAGATATAGGAATACCAGAGATATGTGCTGATGCGATTTGTATAGATAGAGAAGTATCGATGAGCTTCGCTTTGGATATTGGATGATGATGTGAAGTCGTGCAAGTGCCACAGTTGACGCATGTGCAGATACACACGTAAGTAGGTCTTGTGGAACCAAGTGGTTACGAGAATGAAGGCACATTCAGAGTTCGGAAGGATTCACAGCAAACACACTCCTCTTTCCCTTCTCTTCCATCAGCGTCCAAAGGCCCACTCCCTTCTCATAGCTCAGATCCTCCGGCACACTCGGAAACACCTTTTTACTCGTCCTCTTTCCTCCTCTCCATGAAAAGCTCAGCAGGTTCCCACCACTCTGCGTCAGAAAGAACTTCCCATTGACGGATGCCGCACCCTGTATTTTCGTATTTCCGTGGGACACTGCCTGCACCGCCGTCGCGATGCCGCCTGCGCTCGTCTTGAGCCAGCGCGTCTGGTAATCCAGTGCGAAGCGCACGAGGCGGCAGTCCGTACGCGTGGGGTGGTATTCACCGACGAGCAGCGAGTCGGGCGTCGTCGTGCGGTCCAGCGACACGAAAGAGAAACGCATGTCCTTGACGCCGGACTTGGGCTGCCAGTTGTATCTGCGGACCTGGGGGAGCACGTACCTAACGCGCGTCCGTCAGCTCACATGCTCCTCTTCCCGTGATACGGAGAGACACTTACTTGTACCCATACGCAGCATACTTTCCGCTTCCCTGTTTCCCAACCTTATCTTTGATCCCATCGTCAACTCTGTACAAATGGTCTAGGTCAAACACGCGCAACCCTCCGCTGGTATCTACCACATACACCAGGTTGCCATACCACGTCACGCCGCCCGCGTGCAGGCCCCCAATCGCCTCAAAATCATCGCTGCCCTTCGGCTGCACAAGCAGTACGTTCCTATACTTCTTCGCCTTGCCGCCCTGACTCACAAAGCTGATTCTCGCGCCCCGCTTCCCTTTGTCGTAGTGGTCTGAGTGCCACGTCACAAGCTGCACCCGCTGCCCCTCGTACGTCCCGCTTGCATACGCATCCGCAGACGTCGTGATGCCCTGCGGGTACCATTTCTCGGTGTTTTGGTCGTCGTACGAGGACGTGTGGGCCCAGGCGTATGCGGAGGAGGGAACGAGGTGTGTTACTTTTGGGGAGGAGGCGGGATTTGCGTGATTGAGGTCTGACATTACGGTACTGACTTTGACGTTGGGTAGGGCGGCGTCGAGGGCGGCGATGGTGGAGGAGAAGGGGGTTTGAAGGAGGGTGTAGGAGGAGAGTGTGAGGTTGGCCCATGCTGCGTGGGTTGGAGTGATGAGAATGGAGAAGAAGAGTAGGAGATTTGATGCTTTGTGAAGGTACGTCATGTTTGTTGCTGTGGTATGTAGTGTTGGTTTTGTCGATCGAGCGACGCGAGACCGACAGTGACGAATTTGTAGCGCAGTGGACTAAGTTTACAGCTTGGGGCTGGGATCGATCTTTACGTACCACATGCTGGGATACGAGGTTCGCGGAGATTTGGGGTCGTAACTTCAGCCGCATACGTGGTGGTACGACGAATACGATGTGGGGGTAGTTAAACCGCCGCTTGGCTTCTATTTTCTGCCACACAATGGGGGCGGATTCCGGACTACTGCTACACGCACATTGTTCTAAATGTGAGATCAGCACGCAACGATGGCGATACTTTTGTGTCCTAACGCGAGATACGAGAGGAACAGGGCTTAGCTCTCCATATATACGCTTGATCCGAACACATCGAACGATGTATGTGCACTCTAACGTGAATCCATCAAACCCCACAATTCGCAATCCCACAATGCGTCAACGTATGCACATACCTCAGCTTCCCCCCTTCTACCCGAAACAAATGACTATCCGGCCACCCACTCGCCCCAAAATCCAGTAGCACATCCACACTCCCCATCGTCTCATCAATGACATACCGCCGATTTGTCATCGGCACCCCTGAGGGCACACCGACAGCACACGTCCCATTTGGTCCCGCATCCCCGTACAGGCCGCCCTCGAGCCGCACGCACGGCGTGCCCCACGGTACCGTAACGTTCTTGTTGTTGAAGAGGTCGAGATATGCGTCCGCGGCTTTGCGGATGGTGAGCTGTGAGTCGCGTTTTTCTTCGGGGATGGTATCCCAGTTTTCCTGCGCAGTCCAGTACGCGTATCCCGTGACGTTGAACAGCCAGTCGCCCGGCTTCGTGACGATAGAATCGACCTTGTTGATTTTGTGGTTTGTGAAGCGGAGCTGCGTGCCGATGACGTAGGGGGTGGTGGTGGTGCTGTTTACGACGACCTCTGTGAAGGTGGCGCACGAGGAGGTGTCGTAGAAGGAGCGCGTGTGCGTGATGGGCAGGGGTGTGGCGAGGATGGAGGTCGTGATGTTTAATTTGAGAGCGTTCTCACGATAGCCGAGCCAGGTGCTGTTGTCGAAGTGGGTAGTGAAGGGGGCGGGTTGGCCGGTTGTTTGGGCGAGGATGTACGCGTCGACTGCTTCTTTTAGGAGGGGACGCGTACAGTGCGCTGTGGCGGTGGCTGCGAGAGCCGTTAGTAGGGCGATGGTGTGCAACATGTTGAAGCGTGAGTTAAGAAAAGTCCCTCGTGGACGTGGATCGGCTTTTGTAGAGACTTGCCCACTGCGGGAAAGATTCTCGCTCTTACAATTGCGGATGATGCTTGCATTCAGCAATAATTCCAACACTAGTGAGTGCATTAAACTATGAGGTGTCCCTGGTTAGGCAATCAATCCGCGGGTGAAGTGCTACGGTGCCTGCATACTGTTAATTTCGCCCCACATCGCGTAGATTGAGACCACTACCTTGTGAATCGATCGTTTATTTCCCGGAGCGGCCCCATGGTATTATGAAGAATAACGATCATGCGAGCTCGGTGAACAGTCCCCTTTTATCTGAAGAAACATGGTCGATGTGGTGATCATGAGTAGCATAGTGAGGGACTCACACATCTGCAAAGTCCGGAGCAAGGATCGGTATTGAAACATCATCATTGGTATCATATAACATATAACGGACTCTCCGAAGAAACGATTGTATAAAAAGCATCTCAACAGCGAAGGTGTGATCAGACAATTTTGAAGACGTGGCGAGGCCGTTCATCCAGCTGGGTCATATCGTCCACGTCGGGAAACCAGTGCTCGAACAACGCCTCTGCATCCTCCGGCTCTTCATCGCTACGATCTTGCAAACACTCGTAACATTCGAATCGACCGATGCGCCTGTAAGTTGGTGCTTTGGTACGCGATTTTCTAAGGATCAGACCAAGGATCGAAGTTCGAAAGGACATGCTGACCAGGACGCACACGAGGGTTTCGCCAGACTTAATCGTATCTTCTCCACGGAGAGGTACGATATCGGGCTGGAATTCTACGCTGATACCATTGCGAGAGAGCGAGTATTCGCCGGGTGCGTCTTCCTTGAAAACGACCTCCGTTGCCATGGCAGCTCTAAGCTCGACGGCATCTCCACTGAAAGGCGAGAAGATGTTCTGAGAACCGTTGATCGAGAATGAAGCGGAACAAGCCAAGTCCATGGCCGAAGAGTTGTCGAAGAAGATCGGTGAACCTTCGACGGAGGCCCAAGACCAGCTCGGAACGTAGCGGCCAGCTACTTGTTTGGGTCGACGACACTGGGCACCTTCGTTCGGGTACCACAGCAAACCTAGTGTGCTACTCATCCAGTGACCGGCAATGTAGCCCGTGCTGATAGCTCTTGATAGGGTCTTCGCAACACCGGCGATAGCCATCAATCGATCTGTGTCATAGGTAATATTTCTGGATGTGTACTCAGTCACTATGTAGCTCCATAGTTCCAGGGGGTTTGCCAATGCCGTAGACAGATCGTCTGTTCCGTCTGACAGACTTGTGGCAGCGAGTTGGGAAACGACACTGTCCATGCGTCTGTGTCCGTTCGTGTCGCTCAAGGCTGCACATTGCGCAAAGTCTTGCTTGACTGTATCGGTCTTCCTCGGGTCGAACACCGCATCATCGATCCTGCCACATTCACACTGAAATGCCTCCCGACACTCCAATAACATTTCACTGTCTGTAAAGTGGAGCACCCGTGATGAGAGCAGTCTCTCGGCATATGCCCAAGCCCGTAACAACAGCGGCGTGCGTGCGTTTGCTTCCCTTGATGCATCGGACAGAAGTTCCCAGTTGTTCATGGGCAACCCCGCGTCAGAAGCTTTTTTGAAGCTATAATGTGATGGCTGTTCTCGAACGTAGACTTTGGATAGTGATCCTTTGCTGTCATTTACTTGGACCTTGAAAGTCTCCATCTTGGGTGCAAATAAGCCCTTGGTGGGTTCTACCGCGGACGTCGAAGCGATTGTTAAAGATGCATTACCGTAGGTATCGTTTAGTTCGAGGGATGCGCGGAGTCTGTCAGAAGGATCATCTTGCACAATACAAAGCGAATCGATCCAGAGGAAGCGAACGCCGAGAGACTTGGTGAGCAAAACAGCCTCTTGGAAAGCCCTGGGGAGTGTGTCCCATGCGATGTTTTTCTTGTATGCCTTTAGTGTCTTTGATGTTGTTTGCGGCATTCCCCTCCCTATGCCCCAGCGGTAAGAAAGCGCGAAATATTCGTGAGCAGCTTGTTCGGCATTTGCATCGTCTCCTGACTCGCGTAAGCAGATGCCCTTGGATGGGTCCGCCACCGAAAGATCCAGTAGTCTGTGAGGTGTGAAGTCGGGGTTGCTGTCTCTACACAACGAGTGGTTCCCCTTGCATTGGCGTATCATGTTGTTTACTGTTTTGATGCCAGTATCCTGGAGCGGATTTTGAATGATATGGCGCCCGCGACCAATGGCAGAGAAGGATGATTGGCCATCTGGTCCGATCAGCCAAGTTCTTCAGCACTGATTCGAGAGTAAGATGTGTTGGTGATGACATGTCGCAGACTGAGCTTCGGGCCACACACCTTGATCTGTGAAAAACTCCAATTTCAAATCTGGATAGCATTCCTCGTGCTCATGGTCACTCATCTCGTCACAATCGTCTTCGTGGCTATTCCATTGCAGTTCGACAGACAGATGGTCTTGTGAAGCGTTCGTTGTCGAATGCAAGGTTTCGGCGGTAACTCTGATCCGATCCTCTTTGATGCTCGCGAATCGCCCATGGTGCAACAAGATCCCTTGCAGAAGCAGCGCGCAGCTGCGGCAACCTCCAGAAGAGGCTCGCAGGTGTGGCAAGGTGGTATTCACCCAACGCACACAGTTGGGCGGTTCTGACTCGTGGTCTTGGTGGGGCTTTTCGAGATGCTGCTGTAAGCCTGTGCAGGTCGCACAGGCTGTCTCCATCATCGCGCACGCGGAGATGGACTCGTGACGCCGTGTTCAATTGACACTCGACGATTACGCGTGGTCTGGCTCTGGGTGAAAGTGACGTGGGGCAGTCACGCTTTTGGACGAAGACCTCGTAGGTAGGGATTGCACGCCGCGCTCCAGATTCAACGGGCGCTTGCTGCTTGCTGCTTGCTAGTGCAACGAAATATGCCCGCGCGGCAAGCCACGCTGACGGCTGCGTTCAGTAGCTGCCTCGTTTGCGCATCCCACCAATCTCGAAGCTTGGGACCGATGGCCTTGCCTAGCGTGCTCTCACACGATCTCGCTCATCGGGCGTCCCATGAACCATCCACCGAAACCGACCCACAGGTCTGTCGAGCATGTACCGCGGCTTGGCAGTACTGCGAAGAGTCGTAAGCTCATGGCGGGGATTCTGGTTCTCGGGGAAGCGTGGGACACACTGGGCGCGCCGCAAATCGAGGATCAAAAGCGCCCCGGACGCCATCGCACGTCGACCAGCGTCCGCCTCCCGCATAGGCTCGTCCCTAATCTTCCACGTGCCAGTCGCGCGGTAGCTATGAGCTGCAAAGAAGCTGCGGATTGCGTCTTTGCCGCACTCGAAGGTGGGGCCTATCTTCTTCGTCCTTCCTGAAGAGGTACAATCGGCATGCGGCCAACACACTGTCTGAACACACGTTGGAGCAAAGAGAGTCGCAATGTGAGCACCGGGCTCTAGGAAAGCCATCACTCGCGCTACCGTTTCATCTGCCTTGCTATCATCGGTCTAGACGTTCTGAGAGAAGCCTTGTGCAACGCATGCGACTTAGCGGCTCACTTGTAAGGTCGCAACCCTTCGACGTCTCCGAAAAAGCAATACCAAAGCAAATGTCTTTCGCGGGAAATGATGTATCTGGACTCTGATTTGCTAGAGCCACGTTGATGATCGGTGTTCGTTGCGTGAGAGATCGCGCATCGCCTTTCGAGTGTCGACAATCTACTGCTGGCGAAGCGCTAGGATTGTTGATCTCATCCATTGTTCGGCTGCAGAGAAGGATCCCTAGATATCACGTGATGTATTGAGGACTAGAACGGGCTAGCGCAATTGCCGGTTTGATGAACAGCCCCGCGACAGCCATCCTTCTATTCAACGTCACCACTATTCAGGAAAAGCAAGATGGCTTCTGGAACAGTGATCAGGTCATTGCGCCAGCAAATAGCGTCATGTGAATCGCAGCTCCACGATCTGAAGCGGCAGCTTGCGGAAGTTGAGCATCAGAGTCAGCAACAGCGAACAAACCGGGCCTCAGAGCAAGGTGTCCACACCAGAGACGACCCACTCGCTCACGACTTCTCCCATGGAATTCATGATGACTTCAAGTCGGAGGTTCTTGCTGCCTTGGCGCAGTCTGAAGAAACAGCGCCACCTCAAAGACGCTGGCCGCTAGAAGCGAACGAGTATAAACGTTACGGAAGACAATTGATAATGCCTGAAATTGGCCTGCAAGGTAGACCGCCCTCGTGGCTACAAAATTATGAAATTTACGGTAGTTGACACTCCTTCCGCAGGTCAGCTTCGCCTGAAAACCGCGTCCGTACTCATCGTCGGCGTCGGCGGGCTGGGATGTCCAGCAGCTGCTTACTTGGTCGGTGCAGGTGTTGGCAAAGTAGGACTAGTTGACGGGGATACTGTTGAGGAATCCAACCTTCACCGCCAAATACTACACTCCACAGCAAAAGTCAATATGACTAAAGTGGAAAGCGCTATGATTGCGTTACATTCGTATGCCTCTATTTTACTTACGCTCGCACGGACTTTTTGCTGAGTTTGTTTACAGACTGAACCCGAATGTCGAACTTGTGCCGCATCAAGGCCGGCTTACACCTGAGACCGCCTTGTCTACACTCCAGCATTACGACATAGTCCTAGATTGCACTGATACTCCAGCTTCCCGCTATTTGATCTCAGACACCTGTGTTCTACTGGGGAAGCCTCTAGTATCTGCTTCAGCTCTACGTACAGATGGCCAGCTGATGGTCCTGAACAACCCTCCTCTACCCCCAGGAAACACTTCTGGCGGCCCGTGCTATCGATGTGTCTTTCCAAAGCCGCCACCAGCAGAGTCAGTCGTCACGTGCGGCGATGGCGGTATACTTGGTCCAGTAGTCGGAACTATGGGCATACTACAAGCCCTTGAGGCTATCAAAGTTCTGACGAAACAGCCATCCGCTTCTTCGAATGATTCAGCACCAGCGGACCCTCCGTCGTTGCTCATATTCTCGGCTTACTCCAACCCGATGTTCAGAACTATTCGTTTACGGACAAGGAAGCTGAAATGTGCTGTCTGCTCCGCACATGCAACAGTGACACCTGAAGCGCTCAATTCTGGAAGCATGGACTACGTACAATTTTGCGGCACAGTCGATCCTGTAGACGCGTTGAGCTCTAATGAACGCATCTCGGCCGAGAACTATGCGAAAGTTCGCTTGGATGTTAATCCTTTCACAGGATTAGAGCCAAGCAAGGACAGTCATATCTTGGTTGACGTCCGAGAGAAGGTCCAGTTTGACCTTTGCAATCTTGAGGGGAGCGTCAATGTGCCCTTTTCGGCCGTGACTAGCTTGCCTGTAGGTGGTCGGAACGGGACAGCGAACGAGTCAGATCCAGAGGCAGGCTGGGTATCGGAGTTGAGGCAGCATGCCGATAAGCCCATATTTGTTGTTTGCAGGCGGGGCAACGACTCGCAAATTACCGTCAAGAAGATGAAAGAGCTTGGACTAGACAATGGAGGTCAACGGTGGATCGGCGACATCCGGGGCGGATTACACGCGTGGAGAGACAACGTGGACAAGGATTTTCCTGAGTACTGAGTGCGACCACCCGAGGACACTTAAACCTGGGCCGGGCTTCTTGGATACGTGAACTACACATCACAATCATGGACGGATCAGCCCTCTTCTATCGAGCAGTGATGATAAGCTGCAATCCTACAGCCGTGACAATCAAGGGTGTCAACTTCAAATTGCAAGACTGAAACCTCGAACCATGCTGGAGACGAAATCATTCCCGGTGCGACTATAGAGCAGCGTGGCCTCAGCCCGTGACCCCATAGGGCCCAGTGATATGCCACCGATATCATGGCCAAATCAGGGTGATGCGGAAGACCCGACCCAAAAATTTTCAGCCACAAGTCCCAATGGATTGATCAGTGAAGTTGATCACTGCGCGTTGCGTGGCCAGTCCGGAGCACGGCGCACTCGCGACAAGCGTCGCGTACCTATCATAGCAGCCCTCCCTTAGCAACGCCGTTCGCATAACGAATACCCAGGGTATATACATGAACCAGGTTCGAATCATCTCTCATGATGTAGCTCATAACCCCCAATATCCACCTTTTTCGGGTATCACAGAACCCACCCCAAGCGACGCCACTGCAAAACACCCCACCACCAACACAACCGCAAAACCTCCTGACGTCCTCGCATTGGAAATCCAGTTGTGTTCTCTCAACATTCCGCTTCTGCGCTTTCATCTCTCCGGGCGTTCCCTCATTGGTCCACATGTCGACGTATATGAGCAATTAAGCCTCAATCTGCGGCAGTTCATAACGGATATTCCCATAAGCGACGATCACCCACATCGCCTCCACGCCCACGCTTCCTCCACATGGATTGCGGGGATGCAAAGTACTCGGTCCAGGATATCGGCCGGGTGGCCGCGAGGGTAAAACCGAGCTCATAAACGTGCCAAGTGTGTAGGTCGTAGCTACCTCCATTGACGTTCACTGTCAAGCCTGCGGTAACCTACAAAAGTTTTTTGTCCGTTCATCTGTCCGTCGCTCAGACGACTTCATCGCTATGCATTTCTCCCTTCTTGCCCTGACTCTCGCCCTCGCGGCCAAAGATGCCTCCGCCGCACCTGCCAACGCCCTTATGGCACGCCAATTCGCACAGGCAGCCATGATGCGCTTCCAGTGTTCGCAGCTCGTCTACGACCGCATCGATCCCCTCGTGCAGCCAGGATCCCTCCCCAGCGCACACATGCACCAAGTGCGCCCCCTCTCCTTCTTCCCTGCCACCCCCGAACTCATAGTGACACGAACACAGATCGTCGGCGGCAACTCCTTTAACGCCACCATGACGCCCCTCTCCTACGACCCCTCCACCACCTCCACCTGCACCACCTGCGACTACTCTGAAGATTTCAGTAACTACTGGACCGCGAACTTGTACTTCCGGGCGGCGAACGGGACCTACAAGCGGGTGCCGCAGATGGTGAATCTGGGGCTTTCAGGCCGTGAGGGCGTGACAGTTTACTACATCCCACCATATGACGGTAAGAGCAAGGTGACCGCGTTTCCCAAGGGGTTCCGCATGCTGGTAGGGGACGCGGGACTGCGGACGAAGGAGGGCCAGCAGAAGCAGCTGTGCCACCGGTGCTTCAGCAACAAGGAGCAGAATCCTTTCGGCGGGGCTCCCTGTACTGGAGATGACACTTATGATCTGCCGAAGAAGCAGTGTGGAGGGGGTATCCGAACGACGATTACGTTTCCGACGTAGGTGAGCGTGGACACTGTGGTTAGAAAGGTGCTGATGAATGTCAGGTGCTGGGATGGGAAGAACATTGATTCACCAAAGTACGTCAGTCCCCCGAACATGTTGTACCTGTACTGACTCCAGCCAGCCACAAAGAGCACGTCGCATACCCCTCATCCGGCTCCTTTGAATCCGGCGGCCCCTGCCCTTCAACCCATCCCGTCAAGCTCCCACAACTCATGTAAGCCTCGGTCCCCTCTTTAGTTTACACAGACACTCACCTCCTCCCCACAGGTATGAAGTGATGTGGGACACCACCGTCTTCAACGACAAGTCCCTCTGGCCGACTGACGGCTCGCAGCCGTTCGTCTACAGCATGGGGGATGGTACCGGGTACGGTCAGCACGGTGACTACCTCTTTGGCTGGAAGGACGGCGTGCTCCAGAAAGCGCTCGACGCGCGGTGCAGCGGCAACGCGTGCAAGACGCTCAAGACGCAGACGAGTGCAGTGAGCACAAAGTGCGCAAAGGCGCAGTCTGTACATGAAGATGTGGAGGGATGGCTGACTGAACTTCCCGGTGCACCTGCTGTTACTTTTGGTTGAGAAATTCGATAGCTTCGATCCTTGTAGTCCTTGCTGCGCTCTAGATATGTCGTAATAACACATGCGTTGTACTTCAGAGAATCTCGGACGCGACGTGATGATCACGAAGAGATATGTGATATGTTGAGGAAGAAATGAACGGCTTTCAATGTCTATGCAACCGCAAATAGCAAAAGAAAATCTTTCTGTATCAGATTCAGCTAAGTGTACACAAAATACAGGTAGCCCACGCTACGCCCCCTATACACTCTCCAGTGCCCCACTCTTTCTCTTGTCACATTTATGAGAGCATCCTGCTCATGTCGTTCCTTATGCGGTCGTACGGCAGAAGACCCTCAATCGATCCAACCGCCGAGATGGCAACGTCGCGGTCCCAAAGCTTCCTCTTGGCGAAATCCATTACATCCTTCTCTGAGATGGCGCCAACAACGCGCTCAATCTCCTCGGGTGCTAACCTGCGGCCAGTGGTGATGATCTGGCGACCAATGTCTTCGGCGACGGCGGTGGTACCGTCAAGGGAGAGCAGGAGGGAGGCCTTGAGCTGGGACTTGGCACGCTCGACCTCGGCGTTGGAGACGCTGGAAGACAGGCGGGACCATTCGCGGAGGGTGAAGTGGACCAAGTCATCGACGCGGTCAAGGTAAGGAGTGACCATGTAGATACCCCAAAGACTATTGTTGTTAGCACGTCATACTCGGTTCCGGATTTGCAATTATGACCTACCCAGTGTCCGAGTAGCTGGTGGAAAAGCTCATGAAGCTGTTAGCGAGGTTGTTCTGGGAGACGAAGGAGCTGAGCTTGGAGCCCAGGTAGGCCGAGTTGCCCATAGCGCGGTCCCAGTTGCCGACGATGGCCTGGGTAACGAGGGCAGTGAAGTAGTCCTCGTCGTTCCAGCTCACACCCTCGACGGCGATGGCAATGTTGGCAGAGGCCATGGTGTCGTCGCGGATCCTGACCTCCGAACCAATGAACTCGGGCTTCTGCTTCTGCTCGGCGACGATCTTTCCAGAGTAGTTGGGAGCCTCGGCGGGCAGCTTGGAGAAGTACTTCTCAGCGAGCTCGACGAGCTGCTCGTGGGGGACACCACCAGCACCGACGAGGACCATGCGGTCGGCGGTGTAGTTGGTCTTGATGTAGCTCTCCAAGTCGTCCCTCTTGATGGTCTCGATGTTCTCCTTGGGGCCGAGGATGGTGCGTCCGAGGGGCTGGCCCTGGAATGCGGTGGCGTGCAGGTGGTCGAAGACAACCTCCTCGAGCTGCTTGTCGACCTCCTCCTGCTCGCGGAGGATGACGTCTCGCTCGCGCTCGATTGCCTGGGGTTCGAGCTTGGAGTTTTGCAGGATATCGGAGAGAATGTCGACGGCGGCGGGTACATCGTTGTTGAAGGCCTTGGCGTAGTAGACGGTGTTTTCACGCTGTCGGGATCCATCAGCAAGCCGTCCAGGGCTACTATAGCCGTGCAGAGCATTCATACCGAAGTGTAGGCGTTGAGGTGTCCGCCCATGTTTTCTATCTCGAGCTCGAGCTGCTGCTGTGTGCGCTTCTGGGTTCCCTGTCCCCGGACATCAGTTCCTGCCATCTCGCCGCTTCATCTGGCCATCTTACCTTGAACGCAAGGTGCTCGAGGAAATGGGCGGTTCCGTTGGTCTTGTCCGTCTCGGCGCGGCTGCCGGCATCGATCCAGACACCGACGGTCGACGTCTGGGCCCACGGGGAGTGCTCGGTCGCGATCTGCGAAGGGGGGTCAATTGCAGTCCTGGGAGCTGTGCAGAGCGCGTACGTACGGTGAAGCCATTGGAGAGGGTTGTGGACTCGGTCTTGGAGCCGTAGGAGACGGGTGTGGCCAGGCCTCGTGTCAAGGGCGACTGCTTGCTGCGCTTGACAGCGTTGATGGCCGCCTTGGAGCGCAGGGCCGTGTGCAGATTCAATGCGAGCCGCCGGGAAGCCATTGCGTATGCTCGCTCGGGATTCGGAGACGCGCGGGCGGAGGAGGGGCGGCGGGTGATGGGATGGAGGATGTCGTTGGAGCTGTACCTGCTTGGCGAGAGGTGAGGAAACTGCGATCGGCTTATTCCGGAAAGGGCAGCCACGGCGGCCAATCAGCGCCGCCCGACGTAATCACGATGCACCACAGCGCTCGACCTCGGGTCATGGCCATGAGCCTCGAGCCATCCCGCGCACCAGCAGTCTTCCTCCACATCTCTCTGCTCTCCATTGCGCAGCGCAGCAAGCAGCAATGGCTTCCGTCCTGGCCCCCGGCCTGCTCAGGCAGCGCTTCGCCAGCCCCGCCGCCTCTCAGCGTGTCTTCTCGACCCTCACGAGCGCGGCCGCACGCCAGTCTTCGCCGCTCATCCAGCAGCTCCGCCCGGCCTTTGCGCGCTCAGCAGTGCCCAAGACGGCCCGCATCGCTGCCTTCCATGCCACCCAGCGCCACCAGATCCTGCCCCCGCTGCCCCAGAAGATCGAGGGAAGCGTCAACACGGCCGTCCCGGTCCCCAACCCAGACTACTCCCACGGCAGCTACCACTGGAGCTTCGAGCGCCTCCTCGCCGCTGGCCTTGTCCCGCTCACCGTCGCCCCGTTCGCCGCTGGCTCGCTGAACCCCGTCACCGACTCGATTCTGTGTGCTCTGCTGGTACTTCACTCGCACATTGGTTTTGAGTGCGTTCATCAATTCACATGTCAGAGGAACGCCACAGCCTGCTAACCTATCACAGGGCCTGTATCATCGACTACTTCCCCAAGAAGCGCATCCCGAAGCTTCGCGCCGCGGCTCACTGGGCTCTTCGCTTCGCTACTGTCGGCCTGGGAGTTGCTCTCTACTCGTTCGAGACAAATGACGTTGGTATCACGGAGCTGGTCGCAAGGTTGTGGCACGCTTAGATTGGCTCTCTCGTTCGCCGGTGCGAGTGCGGAAGGTGTATATACAAGGAGACCACCGGAAGAGGAGGGAACTCGCGGAAGGGTGGCTTTGTGACATGTACGTGTATTTGGAAATCGAAATGCTAAGTGAAATTCCATCGTGTTCCTCTTAGTGAGTAAATGTGACATTGAATGGCTCAACTCAGCACTAGAATCACCCGCCAATGCAATCTAGCGAAACAAACCCCCAAAAGTCAAAATGAGTCAAGATGGTTGAGAAGACATCAGGGGTATATTTCACCTGATTTGCACAGAAATCTGCATGGGGATTATCATCTGCGCGTTACTGCATTGCAGGATGCTCATGCACTGCCGTTGCTCTTTCCTTATATTCCTCCTTTGTGCCTTCATCGAAAATAGTGCTCCGTTCCTTCTTTGAGCCACACAACCCGTCCAACCTAAACCACTGCTGCGCACCAGTCTCGAGTGAAAACTCTCAGACCAACTCAATTGACCTCTTGTTGATTCAGTCACCATGCATTTATGAAACGACCGCACACCACATCCACCCTCACTCAGGCAGATCGACTCTCCACACAAATTGTACTTTCTCCTCACAATCATGGCGAACGGAAAGTCAGTCGCTATCATCGAACCCGACTGTAAAGTAGAAACCAATGCCTTCTGGAACACCTCGTCGTCTCAGCAAATGACTGAACAAATTGCTCAGAGAATGACCAAAGGTGACCTTGCACCTGCAGTTTAGGTCGCCTTACTTCGCGTATGTCGACAAATTTACCGCAAAATCCGACCCGTCAATCTTGCCACAAACCCGTTCGTTCTGTCAGACCAGTTTATCTGATGCTCGCCATTTCGTGAGTTCTCAGCCCGCAGCACCCCAAAATCCCGCAGCGTACACTCTTCAATCAACATGACCTACAATATGTACGTAATATCAACGCCAACGTCTCTTATCAGGTACTCACTTCGCAAATCATAGGCATGACGCGGAAAGCCTGGAATAATATCGAGGGCATCTTGTGGATTGACGCCCAACAACCCCAGAATTTCGCACACCATCTAGCTAATATTCCAGCTCCATAGCCAGTGACACGAGATCTTCAGAGAAATAAGCCTCTTCCGCGCGGTCGATGGCCACATCGACTTCGACTATTCCAACTCCTACTGCGCACGCGCTTGGTGTTGCCGCTACACATACCTTCAGCCAGGTGTATTTAACGGCTGAAGCCGAAACGTGTGCGCGTGCTGCACATGAGCTCCTCTCACGCTCAAGCTGATTCCGAGGCCCGAACGTTTTTAAGCAATCGTTGATTGTTCTCTATGCAGAGGTCGATGGCGGAGTTGGAGGGCAAGTTCGGCTTCGTGGTTAATGGTAAGGATGTATGGCAGGGATGCATACCCGTGCGGAAGGACGCCAAAACACTCGGGCACTTGTCCCGTCGGCAATTGACACCGTAGCCTTGAGGCTGTCGAGTTCACTGTGCGCCGGCGAGACATTGGTAGAGACATATCGGGAAGCGGATGCGGTTCTGTAACGGGACATTACATGTTATCATGAGTATTCATGGACGGGGGTGTTGCTATCAGCGGAAGAACATTGCGCTTTATACGCTGTCGATGTGTACGGAAGGTAAGAAGTTAATTCAAGACAATAGCTCATGATATCCCCCACTTGAACGTCGTCGAAAACATCAACACACCGTCGGTGGTAGCCATCCCATCCTGATTTTGCTCGCTTGAATTGTGTTGGCCTTTTCCCTGTTGCTTGTTCATCCACGTTTTCCAATTTATATGTACGGGTCAGCAAAGCGATAGCTTTCTCTAGCAATCTGAAGCGACTACTTGTTGGTAATTATCCACTTTCCCTGGACATATCCATCGCTCACGCTTCCCGGTTGTGTTTACGTACAGGAAGTAACTTGGGTAATTGGATATCACGTATCTCTCATCCTGATTCGAAGGATTTGAGCGCAGCACTCACTCTAAGATTCGATTATTAGGTGGAGATAGCGACCATGCAGATACCGTTAGTGTCTCAGCTGGAGTGAAGGCTACGTGTACTTCTTCTCAGCTCTCTACCAAACTTTGTGACTGGTTTTTTTTTCATATCAGTATAGACTGTGTTGCTAATGGTGGAGAACTGTACGCCATCTACTAAACAGATACGAAGCGATCAACGCTATTATATACATCCTTTTTCCTACCTTTTGACTACCCAACTAAGGAGAAGCGTGAAGCTTGCAGTGTCGGAGCTTAGATGTTGGGTTTGCGCGACGCATCAGACGCCATGAAGAACGTCCGAGGGCTGTGGTAGGCGAGGCACGGCGAATTTGCAGCAATACCAAAACGATGCTTCGAACGGGCTGTCATGTGCACGCCAACACGTTGTGCCCCCACGGCCTGCTCCAAAAGAAAGACGCCAGGGACACCAGACCAGCCACCCAGTTCATCGTTCTCCCCCCACAGAACAACCTTCAACCCTTCCAAATTCCAAATCATACCAAACAAACCCCCCAAAACGCGCTATACCCATCACACCACGCATCACAAACAGGAAAGTGCCGTACCACAGCCCTAGCGAAACCTATGCAACACCGCATTCATGAACGCGATCGCGATCCCATAAATGCAGATTCAGTGACAGAAACGCACCGGGGACCCGCGACGCGAACTCCTATTTTGATGGATCGTCTCTGATTTCGGATCTATATCTTACCGCGTTATAAGTGCTTCGCGTAGAGTTAATAGTCCAAGAATCGTAGATTGTGCGTGCGGTACAGTGCATCCGCGGAGCAGATTGGGCTAGATAGAGTGCAAACAAGGGCACTGACATCCGAGGGGCTTAGCGAAACAGGTTTGCAATCTCGCGCCGTAGGTTGGAAGTCTGGATTGGATCAGTTGCTGTGCATCGAATCAGTAAGTGCAGCGAGCCGTCGAATAGGTTGCGAGATCATCACGTCTGGTTCGGTTCGCGATCCGACGCGAGATGAAAAGCGGGTTAAGGCGCGGATAGTGGATCGAACAAACACTGCTACATTGATATTGGGGGAATCTCTAAGATGTATCCAAAGCCCATCCGTTCCATCGTACCGACTGCTCCCTCAGGACGCAGCGGAAACCGTACATAACTCGGCATCACGACGAGATATAGGCTGATACACCAAGCGCCATCCTCGGCTGAGCGAGTGTTCTACACCGCACGGAGCGGTTTCTTTTGTCTTGCCAGACAATTCTTTCATCCAAATGACGGAAAACGCCAGCACGCCAGGTCGCCATGCGCCAAGTGGCCGATACAAAAACAGCAGATGCCCAGCCTCATGGAGCGATGCCGTGGAAATTGTGGTATAGTGGTTAATGGAGGCGAAGATAGAATCTAAACAATGTGGTGAATGGAAGTTAAGCGGTAGTGTTGAAAGTGAAAAGTCCAAGAGTGGATGTGTCGAGGAAAAGTAAAGATGATAACGCCGAGGGCCCGATGCCGCTATGCAACCGCTGATAAACGCGACTCAATGTGCGATTCTGTGTGTGGATCGCTTGTTGCCTTGCTGGTGATAAGTGATACGATAGATGATCATGATAAGGTGGTAGTGGAGGTTGGAGGGATCGGTCGTTTCGATCAATGACGCGATGAGGTCTGGCAGAATCCCGACGTGGTGTGCTCCGCGCCGCAAGCCGACGAGATTCCAGACGGGCGGCCCGGGCGATTGGAGCGCTGATTGTTATTTGATGACACGGTTCTTTCCCTTGCCTTTGGTCTTGCCGGCTCCTGCTGAAGTGATTTTGCTCGTTTGCATGAGCTCACCAATATATCTGCGGGCGCTTAGACGCGTTCGATGTGGGAAGAACCAGGGCACTCACGATTGAAGGAACTTGTTGCCGCCCTCGAGTTTCTCGTGCTCCGACTTGACGATCTCGACACGGTCCACGATTTCCATCAGGCTGGCCTGCAGAGCTTTTGCTTGCCTTACGAAGGTCAGCGTCGGGGTCCAGGTGTGCGGGCTTGAAGAGGGGACAGATAAGTAACCGCGCAGAAGATAAGGTATTGAGGCTGCCCGTCGTGCCTGCCTGGCGGGTACCATCGGCGCCGGTGAGGGCAGCCGCGTCCCAGGCAAGGCAGGCACAAGGGCGGAATGCAATCGAAAGCGTGTCGACTCACTCTATCAGGGCCTGGCGGGCCTCCTGGCCCATCTTCTCAATCTCTTCGCTGCTGCGCCGGGGGCTCATGGTGCGGGCATCACCGTCGTCGTACTCCTCCTCCTTGAGCTCGACGTGGGGGCTGTCGCGCGGTATTATTATGGTGCCGCTCGACTTGCGGCTGCCGAGGCGCGGGCGCGACAGCTTGGAGGGGTCGTCGTCGACGTGGCGTGGCTGGTCCTGTTCGCTGACGGACGAGCTCGACGAGGTGGAGCTCATGTCGTCGGGGTACGAAGGGCGGCGGTGGTCGTGGACGGCGAGGGGAGGGAAGGGAGCGGCCGCCGACATGATAGAGGACTGACAGTGCAGCTGTGTTGGGTGTAGTGGGCTGCGAGGACCGGCACAGACGGCGCCGTTAGAGCAGGTGGGCAACGCCAAGCAGATTGGGGTGGGTTGTGCGTGAGGGCGAGGATGAGGATGCTCCGCCCGGGAAAGACGCTAGAGGCTCCTGGTCTAGGGTCCTGGTCCGAAGGGGCAGTCGGCTTGACCCAGCTGGGCGATGGGCTCGGAGCGCTGGCGGCAGGGAAAGTGGGCGGAATGCGAGCGAAAAATGAAGGCCGGCGCGGGTGGCGTGCAGCGATGCAGGATGATGAAGAGCCGCCAAAGCGCCGGGCTCACGAGGTTGATATTGAGTCCTGGGTGCCCTCCCAGTTTTGGAGACGGTGATCGTCGAGCGCTAGCGGTGCGGCGACTGGCAGCGCGAAGCAGGCTAGTGGCAGCGGCGGTGAGCGTGAGGGTGCGCTGGTGGCCGCGGATGCTCAGAGAGACGAGCTGGTGAGTCTCGAGGGGATGAAGCGTCGCAGCAGCGGCGCGCGCCCGTGGTTTTACTCGCAGCTGCCAACCGCCGCTCGACAAAATGGCGTCGAGCGATCTGCGCGGCTGGCGAAGCGCAGCACCGAGCATTCACCCTCGGGCGCGACAATGACGTCGACAGGATTGCGCCGCTAGCTGCATGCGTGCGCGATTGGCGGCTCCAGGGATGCAGGGCAAGCACCCAAAGCTTTTGCCTGCCCCCGCCGCAGCACGCCGTCTCACCAGCCGTTCACCTGACTGGTCTGACATCACCACACCACTGCTGGCCTACTCAGACACCCGTCCTACCCGTGCCGGACATGACAAGAGCGTGCCCCCCTGCACTGGGTATCCCCCAATTGCCCAGCTGCTCGCCGTCATCCCAAGCTGCACAGAAGACCCGCCGCCTTCGAGAAGAATGTGCCGCCCTGCGTGCGCCGTCGCCAGCCCATTGCGGCTGCCAACACTGCGTGCCATCCCCAGTTCAATACTTGCTGCCACCGGTACCACACCGTCTGCGGTACGCGCCCAGCGAAGCGTTGGCTGTTTGCGCGTGCTGATCTCCTCGGTGCAGCAGCGCGCGTCCTCTCTCGTCCAACCGTCCGGCTCGACGCCCTAATTATACATGATCGTCGTATTCCTCTTGGACCCTGCGGCACCTGCACCTGCGTTCTCCTTGCCGTGTCCCCGCCTTCTTTGTAACCGGTCGGAGACGTGAGAGCGCAGCTCGTTGATGTGCTGCCGCCTCCTACTCCCCTTTGACCCTCTCCCCGCATTGCATTGTGTGTAGCAGCCGTCCAATAACGACTGTGTCTCGCGTTGTGCACGCTTGGATCGGGTGTAACGTCCTTCCAATGCGCTTGGGCACGTCTTGCACGGAGCAAAGGCACTACCATAAACCCCTGGAAAAGGGCCTAAAGACTTACTGGGAGGCATTTATCCCGAGTCCCCTGCCCAGGGGACATGTCGCAATCGCCAGTCCGCCTGCCTTAATCAGATTGTTCTTCGTTTTGGAAACGATGATCTCTGGAAGTTCGTGGGGACAATGACGTTGCTGTCACGCTTTGAGACCAGTGCGCCGACTGCGCAAGTGCCCCTGCGCCGACTTTGGAAACCTCTAGCAACTCACAATCTCAACACCAAACTCTTTCGGTTGCGACAGATGTTCTTCATTTCTCCATTCTGAATAGGAGACGATTGGACCCGCTGATAGGCAGCTAGAGAGAGCTTTCCCAACCTGCGTAGCCACCGCTATTATGCCTCATGACGATCACCCGGTGGAGGAGAAGCCAATCCTGCACTCGCACAGAAGGCTGTTACGGAAATCGCAGAGTCAGCTTTGCACAACACTACCTTTGGCAGCTGCCTGCTCGCCTTGCCTGGCAACTGCTGGGCGTTGGCCATGGCGAAGCACTGAAAGCCGCGATAAGCCTCGCCGCCCGCTCACAGTAACATTCTTCACACGTGCAAGGCTTGTGGTCTTGTCATCGTGTTGCAGCCTGTCTTCGCCGCAAATAGTATACTATCCCAGACGGGAATAACCCGACGATAGGTGCACGAGACCCCCACGATAGCTCTGTGATCACGATTATCTTTCACCAAGAGTGCGCGGACTCAATACGTTTCGCGCTATTGATTGGCCACTCGTAATTTTCGCCAGTCCAACTTGCAGGCCTCAGAAGATTGATGTTTAGCGGTGTGTTAGCATCACCGTGCAACTTGGTTTCAGTGCGCGAAAACAAGGTATACTTCAATGTGCCGATCGCTGTTGAAACCAATTACACTCCACGCCGAGAGAAGTCATCTGCACTTCGAATCCTACACCTCCAGGGCACCATGTTTTTGGTACTCCATTCGCAGCGAGGCGCACTTGTCCTCCGCGGCAGGCATGAGCTAACAGCATTGCATATTACACGTGTTTGGTTCCGAAGTGCGCTTGTTAGATGCAAGGTAGGCATACCTCTTGCTTACGACCTGAACACTGTGTATATAGCTCGGCAGCCTCACCCGACAGTTCACGATGATCTCCGAAGGACCTAAGGCACGTCCCACATCGGCCCGAATTTAAAGGGTTCAACCTTGACCCGCCGCCAAGTTGCGAGGCTCTAATTAATTCTGTACCCAGAAGGTAGGGCAAACGAGGCCTAGGGAAGAAAGCTCCGCATGTGGGTGCCACTAAGGCACCAACATGCAACGTGAACACTTTGCAATCGTACTCCAGTAAAATCTGAAATTCACCGCTTGGGATCCGCTGAGCTTGGAGCGCTACTGCAGTGTCGGCGCCCAAGTCAGCGGGTCACGGGTATGGATTTAGCTGAGAGGCTGCTGTGTGCGACCCAGTCACGAGCAACGAACAACTGCTAGTTAGCACCAGGTGGAAATATGTGTTTCAGTTTGCTTCGTGGCAACTGGCGAGGACCCACTGTGCTACCGCTGGGTTCGCAAGGAGGGGCGAGTACAAATTAATGCAGTAACCATGCCAATCGCGCATTCGTTGTCGGCGTTGCTGGGGCTACTTTCGGCACAATACAGAAGTTCGAAGTCGTGTGGATCTCGGCAGAAGTGACAGGTGGGGAGGGGGTGACTCGATGTGCTTTTGTCATGGTACGCGTCCAATTTATTGCCTTGGTGCCTTCTACGTGTCCGCCATCCAATATCATAATTATCCTTTTCAGGTTTGTTGAAGTCGAAGTCAAAGTCACCCCGGAACATGGTATATCCGTCGCCGATGATTCAGTCTCCACGTTGGAGTGTCGTCACAACTTGGTTTGGGCGGCCCAAGCTCCTCTCCGATGTTTGAGCTGAGACACCTTGGTGCTCCAACCACATCAGCCAACGCGCGATGTACACATCAATAAGACTGTTTTCACGCGTAGAACTGACCATAGCTACCACGCATCGCTCAGCTTAGGCCTAAACCATCTGCAATGTTGTGGCTTGTGAAACTGTCGCTGCAGCTCCTCGATCCTTTCTGGGATGCAGGATATAGTTCGTCTTCCAGGACCAATCAAATAGTTGGCTGTTGAAAATTGGCTATACTAATGCATTGACAGAGGGTATAGACTTCAGGACTCAGTCATCTTTGAAGGTGGGAAGTGTGTTGAAAAGTGATTGCCAGACTCGTACGTATTACTAACGATCCGCGGCGGAAGCTGCACCATGCGCGCCTTCTATCTTCCTGAAGGACAGGCTGATAATGATTAGCTACCGCGACAGCGCCATCTTCGAAGCTTCCAGACTACTTCGACACGACCCTCGGGTGGTATGCTGGTGCGCCTGCTACCTCTTCTCGGCTCGCAGCCATCTAACAATCACCAAGGGCCTACCGCCACAGGACCCTCACCATGGCTTGCTCAAACAAACGCAGCTCCTTTCGTAGGAGTGTCATACATACCGAACACACCTCTCGAAACCCAAGCTCCAATACCCGGCAACAAACATGGCTACAACATTTTCGAGCGTCTCGGCCACATGAGCCCATATTTCCCTAACCCACGAGGCTTCGGAGTTCACGAGTATCCAGTACCACCAGGCGCAAACGTTACATGGCTCAATATGATCCACCGACACGGCAGTCGCTACCCAGAAGTCACGGGCAACGAGCTACGACTTGCCCAGAAGCTCACAGACGCGAAAGGGAAATACCAAGCTCATGGAGCATTGTCCTTCCTCAATGACTGGCGTAATGTGCTCGGAGCAGAGATCCTCGTACCTGTTGGTAAGCAGCAGTTGTTTGACTCTGGCACTCTGCATTATTACCAATACGGGCACCTATATCCCAACGATGGCAGCAAGATCATCGCACGGACGACCACGCAAAGACGGATGCTAGAATCTGCGGAGTACTTCATGGCTGGGTTCTTCGGGCTAGGTTGGACGCAGAACGCGACGCTGGAATTGGTGATCGAGAGCAAGGGCTTCAACAACACCCTCGCGGGATATAAAGGGTGCAATCGAACAAGCTGGGACATTGGTGGCAAAAGTGAGCTGTTTGGAAAAGAACTCTACAACACCTTTGCTAATCCACGTAGCGTCACGAGAATGGGCCGAGACGTATCTACAAGATGCACATCAACGCATACGGGGCAACATAACGGGCGGCTTGGACTGGACTCTGAGCGACACTTGTAAGACACGCATTGAGTTGCTCACTCGAGAATTGACGTCTCCGCAGATAGCGCACAAACTCTCTGCGCCTACGAAACCGTTGCGGTCGGCTTCTCCCACTGGTGCAACCTCTTCACGTACGAGGAATGGGAGGCCTTCGAATACAGCCTCGATATCGCTTTCGCCGCCGGTACAGGCTTCCTCTCTCCAATAGGCCGCGCCATCGGCATAGGCTACGTCTCAGAAGTCCTCGCGCGCATGCAGCATCACGTTCTGTCTTCACCTACTGCACTAATCAACACCACTCTCGACAACAATACCGTCACGTTTCCCACACAACAAGCTCTCAACCTTGATTTCAGCCACGACTCAAACATCATCAGCATCTTAGTTGCCTTCGGCCTTACGCAGTTTGCAGAGTACCTCCCACCTACTCGCATCCTACCCGAACGAGAGTTTGTAATGGCGTACATCGAGCCATTCGCCGGACGCCTAGACATCGAAGTCATACAAGCGCCTGCTCCAATCAATCCCAGTCGCTCTGTGGCGGTCCATGAGCTGTACGAAGACGGGCCTCCGACCTCTTACGTTCATTTCGTGCTGAACCAGCGGACTGTGCCGCTGGGAAAGAGTTTGAAAGAGTGCGGTAATCGAGATGATGGGTGGTGCGAGATGACAGCGTTTTTGGAGGTGCAGAAAGTGCAGGTTGAGAAGGCAGACTTTGAGTGGGCTTGTTTCGGAGACTACGAGATGCCAGAATATGGAACTGTCAGCGATGGACGACCGCCGAGCAAAGAGTAAACGGAAGTGCCTACATGACCCCAAGGTGAGCGATTTTACTACAAGATGGAAGCATATAAATAAAGCTGGAGTATCTTGACACAGTTCGCTTGAACCTATCTGAAATAGGCAAAACCAAACACTTGCGTCCCAATGTTACCAGCTCGAAGCGATGCTACAATGCAGTAATGCCCTATCACAAACGAAAACATGAATCAGAGCTTTGAAAACAAAGAATGATTATTCCTTCCGTAGAAATATCTTTCTAAGCAGGATAAAGCTGCCCTTACCACCAGCTACCCAAACATCTAAATCCCGTCTCCTCGCCGTCTCCTCAATTAAGCCCCGTCTGCGCAATAAAGTTTTCAAGCCAGTACTCATTCATTTTCGTATCAAGCCGAAGCTCATTTGGCTCAGTCTTCGTGGTCGCCAAAGGAGTGCGGCAGTACGGGCAGGCGTTGCCACCCATGTCCTGTCAGGCGACCATACACTCCATGTAGACGGCATGGTGGCACGCATCCAGCCCGTTCGTCGTGCTGTCGAGGCTCAGAACACGCTGTCTACGGTACCTTGGGATGCTAGCGCAGAAATGTACCATAGCAGCGCATTGAGTCACGACGGTGTTCACAGATATCAACGGTTATCGTCAAGGGTTTTCTTATAGATGCTGCTGGTTTGAAAGGCTTTTCCATAGGTACTACCTAACCTTTTCGATGCTTTTTGCTGCTTGCTCCCAAGAATGGGCACGTTTCCAGATCTCTATGTTGGTCAAATCTTACCAACAAATGTCAGCAACGCCAACATATTCAAACTAATATTGCATCCTGACCGTTTAATTACGAGCTAGAACAGCGTGGACCCTTGACGGCAAGGCGACGGATGGCGCACAACTGTCTACAGTGAGCATTGGTTTCTCGGTCATCTTGCACTCCACACCGACCTTGTGGCAGGCTGTTGGTCGTCTCACCTCCAATACCATCCAGATATATCAATTTCCTCGTCATTCACAAACTCCTCAACGACGATGGCCTAGTTAGAGGCAGAGGAGACATCATCTTCGCTGTACTCCTCAACGTTGCGGTTAACCAGCTCATCGTTGTCACCCGGCAGAACCGAATCGAACCACATGGCAAGTTATTTATCCTCAACCATTTCCCAGTTTTCCGGCAGATTAGAATGGCACGCGTTTGTCTGCGGACCCGAGAACCAAAGCCGCACTTCCTCTCTCGCTCCTCGATCCAGGGCTCCCGGGACAATATCGGAAGTTTATAGTACCATGCAGAAGTTCAGGGAAAGCAAGGAAGACGAAGTAACACATTTTGCAAGGGCTGTGGCAAATCGAATGATGCCAAAAGTTTGCGCACACCGTGTTCAGCGTTGTAAGAATGCTACAATGCAAGATATGATTATCAGCAGCGCGAAACCGTATCAGAGCTGCGGGAGGAACCAGTCGTCTCGGCAGATCGCGTTTCTAGATAACGCAAAGATGTATTCCACTACGAAACTTGCAGGAAGCAATTACTTACAGTTGATTCCACCCTTGCGACGAGTCCATCCCTCCTCTCTTCCTCGTGATATTCAGTCACTTCTCCCTCTTTTTGTATATAGTTGTTGCGTCACTCTTATTCGTTACCTAGGTAGCCTCGGCGTCCACCTTCGTCGGCGACAGAGAGGACAGAAGCAGCGGTGCGGTTGCTGCTGCCGTCCTACTCGATACTTACGGTAATATGCTGAGCGTCGCATTTGACTAGGTCCTCGTCCAGGTTCATGCCGAGGTCGTCACCTTCCTGAGCATCGTCATTGGTAGGGTTACCACTCTTCTGAGCACCTCCACTGGCAGATGCTGCAACTTCGGTGTGCACCGGCTCATTCCTGACGCCCAGTCGATCTACCACAATCAGGCCAATGTCAACATCGATTCGGCCGCGCGCTGAAGCACGCTCCATTACGTTCCTCCGGTGGTATGGACATCTCTTGTCACCACGAAATCCGAGCCCTTCGACCAAGCACTTCCGGTCGAACGTGGGGCCGCACTTCTTGAGCTTGATTGCGGCCAGGTCTTCCTAGCAGAACAGTTCTTCGTAGCAGAGGGCGCACCAATTCTCTTCTTCTCCTTCTTCTTCTTCTTCTTCTTCTTCTTCTTCTTCTTCTTCTTCTAGTGGTTGGCAGTGGCTGCTGTGGGAGCGGCGGTGATGGTGTAGGAGTTAGCGGAGACGAGGGGCGAGAGGCTGGCGCAGGATTCAGCAAACAGAAATTCCTGCTCCGCGATGACGCCCTCGAATGTGACAGGAATGGGGTACTGGAGAAGCGGAATGGAGATGTCCATGTGAATGCTACCATAGGGTACAGACGTGGTGGCAAGGGAACAGAGAGTGAAGGCACGCGTGCTTATTGGTTGGATCCTAGTAAAAGAAAAACAACGAAGTATATATAGAGTTGATAACTCCAAAAAGTAGTGGCTGTAGAGCGACTTCTCGAACATTTGGCAGGCTTGAGCTCTGTACTTAGTAGCTTTTGCTAATCCAGATTTGAGATGATCTCTCGGGATACAAGGGACTTTAACATGCGAGTACCTAACCGCTATCGGTCATGAACGTTAGCTGTGCTGGTTGGCGATCCGCCATATGGAAAGTCCAGACACACGTCTGCGCTACGCAGATTCTAGCAACGGAAAGGAAGGTAGGAAGAGAGCTCGTGAAGGTGTACACTTTTTTGACTTGGAGCTGAAAGCGTCTTGCTTGATGAATATTCCTTAAGTCCAAAATGTGTTGTGTATGGGGTTGGGTTTGAGTGGAAGGCTCTGTATGCAAATGTGGTCTTTGGTCAGAGTTTGCTGTAGAATGTCGTGTACGGGAGATGGTATGTGAGGGGAGAATGAGGAGCTTAAGTAGGTCGCTGTGCACGCTGAGAGTCATTGAGATCACACAGTCGTTAAGATCACAGATTCTGATGCAGTGTCAGCACACAAGCGAGAAGCTCTTACGTCACATCGAGCGCCCGGAACAGGTCAATCTACGACTGTTGATCGACAGAAAATTTGGTACACCCATCTCAATGTTGATCGCGACAGAAACGTTAGCAGGCGGACATTCCGAGTAGACGATGTCAAGCTCCTGCATTATCATAGTGATGAGCACGAGACACAAACGAACACGCAACAAAGGTAGCTTTACACCAAAGCAAATGAATGGGTGATACATGTAGTACCGCAAGTGACAGTGGGAACGGTACAGCTAGAGAGGTGGTGCCAAGCAAATGACTAATCCGTGCACGTGATGGCGAGGTCTGGGCTCCTAATTTCTTTGGTTCGTATCGACGACTACCGCGGATTCTCGCATTTGCGAAGTAATTCATCTCCACGAAAATGCTACAGACCCGGTGGGGAGGCATTGCGGCCCGTTTCAATGCACGAAATACACGCCTGACCTCTTTGACACGGACCGGAACCTCAAGCCACCATGCCTACACTCCGACAGCCGCTCGACGCGTCCATATTGGAAGGTCACGTGTACCATCCCTCACATCCACACCCCCAGGCGCCCTACGACCATCGAAATTGCCGACTGGATGCCGGCCGCCCTTAGGACGTTCAGTGCCTCTTACTGTTGGTGGGCCCCGCCTCCACTCCGCCTTTCCTACCAAAACCGTTATCTTCGTTGTTGTCATTGCAGCTGCCGCGCTTTACTTTGTTGAAATCAAAACAGACGACTGGGCAGATCATGTACTCGCATCCTTTGCGGGCGATCCGAGTGCTACGCCTCTTCACTTCTACAAGGATCGTGAAGAGGTAGACCATTGGGCGCATTACCATATCCCGAATCCAAGTGACCCATTGAAAGATCCACAGGTGATGAAACAAATTAGTGATCAGTTCACGAAGATCGCTTTTGGTTGGGAAATCGAACCTGAAGAGTCGATTGAATTCGAGATACCGGTCACACATGGAATCAGATTTAGGAGCAACGAACCCTGCGTAAGTCGTGCCATTTATCGAGACAGACGAAACATACTGACGTTGCCCAGGAAGATTACTACGCTATTGGCACCGCACCAGGACCTGGTTCAAAGCCTTGGAACTATTGGTCGATCTACGATGGACATGCGGGCCGCCACACAGCGTATCATCTCCAATGGACTCTCCACCCGAGCCTCTCTCGCGCCCTCTCGAACCTGAGTCCAGCATCCACCTCCTCTATAATCCACGCTACTATCAAAGACGTCTTCACCAGCCTTGACAACGAGCTCATGTCACGCGCGAAACACGCCGCAAACTGGTTCCCCGCTGCTAATGCGGCCGCCATTTCCGCATTAACGCCCGCTTTCAGCGGCAGTTGCGCGCTCCTTGCAGCCTTCGACCCCGAGCAGAGTAAGCTACGCGTCGCCTGTGTCGGGGATTCTCGCGCTGTCCTGGGACGTTGGGACCCGTTGGAAATGAAGTACGTTGCGCAGCCACTTTCTACAGACCAAACGGGCTTCAATGAGGCCGAAGTGGCTCGTATCAAGGAGGCTCATCCAGGCGAAGAAGACATCCTTGATCCAAAGAGCGGGCGACTTTTAGGGCTTGCTGTAACGCGGGCTTTCGGCGACCACCGCTGGAAATGGGACAATGAGTTCATTAAGCAGCTGCAGTCCAAGTACTGGGGCACCGCACCACGCCCGCAGTCGAAGACCCCACCTTACTTGACGGCCGAGCCTGAGATCACGGAGACAGATATCGTACGTGCGGACCCGAAAGACAAGTCTTCCAAAAGCGACTTTATGATTATGGCTAGTGATGGGCTGTGGGACCATATTAGCAGTGAGCACGCAGTTGAATGCGTGGAACGCTGGCTCGAAGCTAAAGAGCGCGGCAACGGGAAGGTCTCTCAGGACCCCAGAATGCAGCAACCAATCTTCAGCAACGGCTTCAACGTCGACGAAGGCGTAGAATATGACGCTGAGACTGGAAAACAGATTACTTGGAAGGCCGAGCCACAGTACTTCGCTATCGAGGATGACAACGCAGCTGTGTGTCTTGCTCGTAACGCCATGGGTGGTACACGACGCGGGCTATTCCTCGGCTTGTTGAGCATTGCGGGTCCGCTCTGCCGTGATGCCGTTGACGATACGACTGTCATGGTTATCTTCTTTGATCACATTAGCAGAGAGGGCAAGAAGAAACCTGGAGGCGAGAAGAAGAGCTCATGGTGGCCTTGGTGAGTTATTCAGCGAGGATATATGCTTTCGATGGCTCGATTAGAGCTTTTTGTCGTTTGGGGAGTGTATAGTAATTTGGTGTGCTGTGTAGGACGCGCGTGTGGGATGCTGAGGTCAGCGGCGACAGCCGTAACGTTAAGGGTTAACCACGTCGCACTCTCTGTATGGGAACCCCTTTGTTTTTCTTCTTGGACGAGGCGAGAGGACGAGGCGAGATAGCCAGTGAGAGCAGCCCGTGCAGTACTTATCGAAGGTTCTGTATTTGAAGAGGTTTCCTTGCAGAGAGACTATCGAGTTAATTGGGGCAGTCGGGCAGTAGGACGTTTGAGAAAGGCAAGATCAACAGCAAAGCGGATGAACCCGGAATTCAACAGTCATGCAGTGAAATATGCTACAGCAATTATGTATCCTGAAAAGACCATCGAGCCCGAAGACCTCCAGGGCCCTCTAGAATCAATTGCTACCTAGGTGACCAGCACTTCTACTATCTAGATACAGCCCCCTTCCAGCTTGACCTCCCACTGTCTCGTCTGGGTTATGATGCCCATCCTCTTCGCCCTGTGTCTCTCGTTGTCCTTCCTTTCACAGCTGACCACCGTACTGTTCTGTCCCAACAGTCTGGGCTGGAAACATGTCAGATCCGGCCGCAGCTCCTCGGGTGGTGGCGGCGGACGCGGAGGTGTCTCTCTTCTCGATTTTGGGGAAGGCTGTCGGGCTGGTGTAGGGATGTGCAACATCGGCTTGGTTGGAGTTACGGGCTTTGCGCGAGCCCTGGTACGTCCTTGATTCTGGAAGAAGGTTATCGAAGCTTCGGCAGGGCACGCGGTCGGGGCACTGGGCCTGTCGTGCAGTCTCATACGCCCTTGACCTTCAGAGAAGAAGATGGAAGCTTCAGCCGGGCAAAAAGGCGAGGCGATGGGTTTCCTTTGTGATACGCTACGCCCTAAGCCTCCGGACACGTATAGGGAAGCTTCCGCTGGACAAGTGGCGGAAGGGCGGAGTTGGTCATGGGATGCGCTGCGCGATAGAGCTCTGGAGAGGTAGATGGATGCTTCAGCTGGGCACGTTGCCGAGGGTTTGACTGTTCTATGCGACGCACTGCGCCGTAGGCCTTCAGAGACTTGTACGGGGGCTCCCGCTGGGCAAGCAATTAGGGCCCTGGGTCTGCTGAGAGATATACTTCCACAGGGCCCCGGGAAGCTTATAGACGTTTCAGCTGGGCAACCGGTTGGGAAACTGGGTCTGCCATGAGATACTGAGCCCCAAATTGTAGACTGCGAAGCGATGCGAGGCTGTGCACCCCATGAATCCTGACCAAAGGTTGTGCCCGCGTTGCGTTTAGCTAGACTAGCGCTCAACATACCCGTGCGAACGCTATCCATGAAAGGTTTGAGGCCTGGAAGGCAGGCCACGAGTACGGAAATGGTGGAGTACGCTTGTGTTGTTATGGCGTAGGGAATGCTGTCAAAGGACCAGTCCCCGTGGATGGCACGATCAAGTAAAATAACGCGGGTTATGCAAAGGAGAATCAAACTATTGTTGTGAGCGTTTGGGTATGGTTTATGCAAATAAGAATGGACCGTACAGTGTGCGCAGAGCGAAAGTAGCAATAATGGCAGCCTTTTTGCGTGATGGAAGTTGGAGGCTTGAAATGATTCGAATAGGTAGAATGATCATGCCGATATCTGTTAGAACGTCGACCAGACAGGCTACGATCCAGAATGGAAGCTATGTTCAATGGTCAGTAAGCCGTCTTCCTCTGCGACCAAGTATACAAGCTTGCCATGGGTATACATTTTCCATTGAACACTGCCCAAGGACGCGGTAGCTCGCACTGAAATAAGACGCCTGTGGTGAATGCGAAAGTCCAAGATATGACAACGGCATACATAATTATAACGGCTGTTTTATGGTTTGAGGTGCAAGCCAGTCGCTCCAGGAATGTAGTGATGGAAAGTTTCGACAGTCCAATCGTGATAACGTATAGGATTGTTGTCGCGTACAATTCCTTCTGTATTTTTTCCAGGGTCGCTGGTGTGAGCAGTGATATTCTTTTCCCGAAACCTGATTCTACTGCGAACGACCCAGCTACAGTTCCACCGATTGCGATCAACTGTATCTGATTTAGTTTCCCTAAAGCGACCCTGTGTCGCGAGTTCGCAACGGAAGAAGCTCCATTGTTGACTTCAAGACTGTATACTTACAGCTGCAGCTAGTATCAAGAGGTCATCTGCCGTACGCGGGCTGCTTGTTGCAAACCGGACACCCAGTCTTATTGCCGTGCAGAGGATCTTTGGCGTTAACGACTCCCACTCAAATAAATGTGAGCAAAGCATACCAATGTACATATCAAGAACCAAGTAGTCATCGCAAGAAGAGGACCATGATCATCTGCCGAGACGATCGCATGTCGAGTGCCTTCATCCATAATGTGTTCTAATCTTTGTCGCCCACGTAGACGACGTATGCGCCCGGCTACATCGGTCGATAACCGTAGAGTAGGATGGAGTCGTCGGCGAGGTGATCAGTAGTAAACTGCTAAGACATCTGAGCCTACTGTAAGACAAAATAAAGAGGATGACAGCTCGTTCCCATGGCAAGTTCGACAGTGAGCAAGAAGCGGACTGTTGTGTTGCCGCCGCCAGACCCGTCGAGATTAGCGACACGCGGATGATGCATAACACCCCATGTGAGTATCGAAAATACGCTTCCGAGTGTCCTGAGACCGCCGCTTCGAGTAATCGGGAATATTGGCTGGTTTCAAATAGTTCGGAAGTCCAGACTATCAATATGGCGAAAATTTGGAGCGCCTCAGTGAGACAAAGTCAAGCCTTGGTTTCATAATGGTCCACCCGCATCGATGCCGAGCTATGTCTAATCGTAGGATCTGGAGGCTGCAATGTAATCCGGCTCACCTATGAAGCATCAATATTCGACGTCTGGACTGGAGTAGGAGAGTTGGGTTGGTAATGCGACTAATAACGCACGTGGCTAAGCTGTTTTGACGTGCAGAAATCCGACCAAAACCGTCATGTGGTAGCTCAAGCACTTCGGAGTCACTCAGGCTGGATGTAGTTCACTGCTGGGCTGCAGCATGTGCGAATGGGATGATACGAAATCACATTCTGGTAAGTTTCTTCGGCCGATTTCTAGAAGCTTGCTTTAGATCCAAGGCACCGACGCCTGATGGGAGCACGTGCTCAGGGTGAGCAGACAGCAGCGGAACCTGGAACCTGGTGCACGTACGACGTGCTGTAACAGGTCGAGTAGTACAGTTTTGGACAGCAAACTGCAACTGTACCACTCATTTGAGTAATATCTCATACGTCTGATGTTGTCCTGGAAGCATTGTGCTACTTTCCAGAAGGAAGAGTACTATTGACGATTGATAGCGATAGGAACCGTTGGCCTGTGCACTCTCGCTAAACTTTTTGGCCGACATTAGCTTTTGTGAGAGCGCAGGTCTACCTCCCGCCACCCGCCCATCAAACACAATGGTAGGTTCACTCTCTGTACAGCGCTATAAGGCATACTAATAGCTGTTATAGGCACCAATTTCAGGCAAAAAGCGCACTTCCGCCCGTGCGAAATCGTCGCGCGCAGCCCGTCCACAGGCCACTCTTCCCACACCAGCCGACGACGCACTCTTTTCTTCCTCCAAGAAAGACAAGCGCACTATAAAACACTCTGCCTTTGTCAGCAAAATCGAGAGGTCCTCCTCGAAGATCCAGAAGCGGCGGCGGCCAAACAAGAAGCTGGTCACGAACCTTGAGTCTCTCGCGGACGCTCTATCCGGCTTGGAACAGGGTGATGGAAACGGCGAGCTTGTCGTAGGACAAGCCAAGATACAGAGGAAGAGTCTGAAGAGTAGACCTGGAGCTATGAAGAAGAAGGAGAAGTTAGAAAAACTTGAGAAAGAGAGGTTCAACATGAACTTGGCACAGATGGCGACCACTTCGACAGCGAGTAGTGCGACGGGAAGCAACCCGGCAGCTGATCGATGGGCAGCGTTGAAAAAACATGTCAAGAATACTGCAGAGATCAAACCCGAGTTTTTGCAAAAATGAGGTGGTGTAACGATTTGTCTACTGGCACCTACTGTATTGCTGAACCTGAGTCTCCTCCGCATGCCCCAGGATATCGACCGAATCTGGAGTTAACGATTCAGAGTCTTTGCACTCCACGACAAGAAGTGGAAGCTACGCGCATTTTCCAAATTCTTGGAGGTGCTTTCTAGCCAATCTCCTCTTCTTTGGCGACACGAAGATGTGTCCGATCGAAGAATCGTTCGGGACTGGCGCCATTCGCATGAAGGACAACGGGATACATCCACGTGGCATCCTAAGGAAGTACCGCGCATCGAAATAGCAAGTATGCATCCGAATGGCAAATGAAGCGCTACTGGCTGATCAATATTGTCCTAGCACCTTAGCGCCACAATGTCTGCAATCCAGGACAGGACGTGGTGTGAGACAATTTGTACCCAGTGGCTGCTTCGAGGATGAAACTACTTCCGCGACACGAGCTCTACTTCGATACGAGATTGTAAGCATCCCATTTGCACATGCACATGTAAACAAGGGAAGCTATCAATATAAGCATTTATCCTGCCCTCCGCTAAAGTGACCCATATCAACCATGACGGCGCTGGCCGATCCCTAATCTCTCCATTAAACTTGTTTAAGTATAGCCGCACGCTAGTAGCAGTGACGTCAAGCCCCTGGCTATGTACCTCCAGTTGAGCACTACAACAATGGCGCCGGCGAGCGCGGAAAGATTGGAATCTTCAAATTCATAGTGGGTTTGAACGGAATGGTCTCGTTCGCCTCTTCGATTCCTACTGCTCGGACCCCAGCGGCACTGCCACGCTGGTGCTGTGATGAGACATATCAACACACGACATCTTCCTTTATTTCTTGCCGTTAACTTTGTCCACTTCAAGCGTGTATTCACTTCTTCTGTCGCTCGTACGGCTTAAGGCAGGATGTCTTACATAGAGAGGCAAACAACGCGTATCACCGGCTGCGAACGAGAAAGCCCAGAACTCGCACGCACTCACAGCGCTATCGGAGGCACAGGCAAGGTCCCAAACGCAAAAAAGCCCCGGTCACGACCACCGCAAAGCTTGCGCGACAAGCTCGGCTTCCTCCATGGCCACTTGCCCGGGCCATCGGGTCCGTACAGCGTCGGCTCGATGGATATTGAGGTCACTGTACCATCACCACGGCCAGTATCCGACATCAAACGCGATGGGAAGCATTTACTCCGACTAGAGACTGTTCTGTTCACCCTATACTATCCAGCTGCATTTGGCTCAGGTATGGGCAAGGCTCCAGGAGGATACAAGAAATGGTCGCGTGAGACTTGGTTGGCCCGACCGCGTCCGGAAACTGCAAAAGGCTACGCGAGGTTTGCTGGAATACCGGACTGGCTGGGACAAGCATGGTTTGGCGCGACCACCGCTTTCACAAAGCTCCAAGCGTTTCGCAACACGCCGCCAGCGACCCATTGGCCTCCAGAGGGCAACTCGAAGCGCAACGGTCATAAGATCAAAGAACGTCAGGGCCAGCCACCAGGGGGAGCTTCAACCGAGCCCATGTTTCCGCTACTGATGTTCAGCCATGGTCTTGGAGGCACACGGACGTGTTATTCTTCCATGTGCACCGAGTTCGCCAGTTACGGCTTTGTCGTCTGCGCCGTGGAACATAGGGATGGATCTGGCCCACGAAGTATTATAAATCACGCAAAAGAGGGCGAAGGCAACATCGAAAGTCTGGAGAAGAAGCATAATCTGGAGCACACAGACGAGGAACGTGAACGAGGATTTGATAAGGTCGTGAGTACTATTTGATCCCGTACTGTCAACATAGACGTAGCTAACTGATTAGGACTATTTATTCCCCAAAGGAAACCCCAAGGATACCGCACCCAACAATGAGAAGGGTGTGGACCGCGAGCTTCGAAACGCTCAAATTGAACTACGACTCTGCGAGCTCGAAGAAGCGTATCGCGTCCTTTGCGACATTAGCGCGGGCAAGGGAGAGGAAGTGGCAAGAAAAAATCTTAGGAAGAAGGGATACGCAGGTGCTAGTTCTCGAGGCTTGGAAGGCGTTGACTGGGAGCGCTGGAAAGATCGTTTCCATACCGACAAAGTCAATATGGCAGGCCACTCGTTTGGCGCAGCAACCGTTGTGGAAGTACTTCGGAACACGGATCGATTCAAGCACGTACAAGCAGGCATTATCTACGACATTTGGGGCGCGTTGATCAAGCCCCCAGCAGATGATCCGGCACACCGCATCCGTGTTCCTATATTGGGGATCAACTCGGAAGCCTTCATGTACTGGCAAGCTAATTTTGACGCTGTCATGTCGCTCATGCACGAGGCAAAGGAACAAGGCGCACCGGCGGTCTTGTGCACAGTACGAGGCTCGGTTCACATTAATCAGTCAGACTTCTCTCTCCTATACAACGGAATCACGTCCTTTTTCTTCAAAGCTACTGTGAACCCAGAGAGGGCTATTGACCTCAACATCAGGTACGTATTTATCCAATACAAATTGTCACCAATACTAACATGTTATGTCAGCGCCTCTCTAGAATTTCTACGCGAAGTAACCTCGGGCGCAGGCAAATCAATCATCAAGCGTTGCCTTTTCGACGAAGAGCTCCTACACACCCAGCCTCTCGAACATATGCCCGACGATCATAAACCAAATGATGAATGGATTGCTGCACGACTCAAGATCAAGCACGAGTTCAGGACAAGAATGGCTGCCGGCATGCAGAGGAAGATGAAGAGGCAAATGAAGAATGGTGCACATAATGCGGGAGATGAATTGTGGATGCACGTCAAGCCGAATGCCGAGGAGCTCCGAGAGTGGCGGCTCAAGACAAGGGTTGCTTCTGGAGACTTCAAAGATGACAGTGACACGACTGTAGAGAAAGAGGCAGTGGAAGACGGCGAGCCAGATACCGATGTCGGAGACTCTTCGCTTGGAGATGAGAGCGACCGTGAGCGGCCAGTAGAAACAGCCTATGTGTCCGCAGACAAATCGCAGGATACCTGGTTGGGTGCCCACCCTGCACTGAAGAAGGATCCCAATCCAGCGCAAGAGCATGCTATCTCCCAAAGGTGAACGCAGGTTAGGGAAGCGTCCTTGGATACTTTGGGACTGTTCATGGAACCTGTTAAAGATCAGCAATGAGTCATCGAGCTGCGCGCAGCTCGCCGTCTCTAGTTGCAGCGTAATTGTACGGCACTACGCTATGAATGTCAGTACCACATGGCTTCTCGTAGGGTAACAGCTTTTGTCCAGATAGCGCAGGGAGAGGGGAGCGATGCAGCGCAAGCGCCTGCATCATGGTTGGGACGCGCCTGATTCATTCATGCCTTCCAATGGACGCGTGAACGCGTCACCACCGACCGAGTCTGCTACATCCTCCGCCTTAACAATCATCCGACGTCATTTACACCACTTTCCGCTGCCCGCGGACTCTTCCTGCGTAGTTGTATCTTAGTGCCGCGTCCCATTAGCGCCATGGATCTCCAGGCCTTGTGGACGTCAAGATTTCGAAATGTGGCGAGAGAATCCGCGCCCTGCAGAAGACGCAGCAAGAGCAGCAGAAACCGCACAACCAGCTCAAGATGGTGCACCAAGAGATAACTCAAAGCGCATTCGACACACTTATCGAACCATACTGCAAAGCCTGGAATTCGCGGTTCGCTAAGCAGATTGAAAAAAAGCTTGCCGCTGGAGATTCGTGAGACGTTTTTGGAAGGATTACACTACAGAAACCGATGAAGAGAATATGGGATATGCAACAGTTGACTTCTGGATTCTCAAGACACTGCACTTCGCTAAGCCCGAGAATACTAGACATATAATGGCACTGGAAGTTGTTGCCACCCTGTACAAAGCAAGATGGCAAGCGTATTGGATTCTGGCGAGATCGGGATCAGCCTTTCTGCAGGCTTGTTCGGCGTGGGCCTCACAACGGCTGTCGCCCCTCGAATCATCATCGTTACCTGCGATGTTGACGGATACCGTTCCCCAAAGCCCGATCATAGTTTGAGCGGAGAGGTTTTTGACACAGAATGACAGGACTCAACTCAAGTATGCCTGTACACTACAATCACAGTTCCTCCTTCACTATTATAACAGTTCTGCAGCTTCCAGCACTTCATTTTTGTTCTTGGTCTCAAAAACTTCACTCATGCCACTCACACTTTACTGCAAGTGTGGCACACTCCTGTTTGGGTATTATCCTATTGCGGGAAAACTGTTACAGCTACTTCCAAACGCACTAATGTTATCAAGAACCCACCCACCGTTCGTCAGCGCTCTGAAAATTGTGCCATCCTTAAACGTGATGCGGCGCAGCCACTCGGAGCGAAACGCAGTGCCGTTCAGTAATCACAAATGGCTCCTGAGCCGACGGGCAAGCGACCTCGGCCCGCTATTCAAAGTTGCACCAACCACAAAGGGAATCATTTTGCGTAGCTTGCTGTCTGTACGTCTTGCTGATCAAACGAGCGCATCTAGAATGCTCGAACTGCACTTAGAAATGACGTCTGCACATGTTCAAACGTTTCGTGCAAAGGTTCAGGCTGCGCTTGAGCTAGCGACCACCCACCCATGCGAACCAGGGTATAGACGGGGTCTCTCGCTTACCAAGCCTTCGCCCTAACCATATACATCGAGAGGGGAATGCGACCGTGTTGCACTTGCGGCCGGATTGCTTTTTGTGTTTCGAAGCACTTCTCACGCGAAGGCGTCCTTGCGTCACTTACTCTTCGTTCTCCTTTTCGCGATTGATCACCATCAGAAGACAGTCACGTCGACTAATAGCTGAATACGGTTGCCGCCGCTTCCGAAGTAAGAGTTCTCGCGATAGTGAGAACCGACGGGATAGGGCACGAAAATGGGGAGCTCAGATAGCGATGGAGCGGCTCCATCGAGAAAGCGATCGAGAGCGAGTGCGAACAGTGAGGATTCGAGTGGAAAGAAGGCTAGAGGGCGTCCGCGGGTAGACACCCAGGACGAGACAGCAGCCGATGTGAGTTGGCTCCACAGTTTTCCATCTAGCCCACTTCCCCGGAGATCGCATCGCCACACAAGCTCTACACATCCAGAGCGGCGCATATGGCAAAGTCCAAGCGTCGCGATTACGCGGTGAATCTCTGCCTGTGGAGTCCGCAGAAAAGCATGATGCTTTGCTACACGAACAACACATATCGAACCCCTTCATATTATCGACGACCAACCAACAAGCGATTCTCTAGTCTCATAGTTTAACTAGGCTACCTATGTTGCATTTATTGACGATGAATACAGCGACGTCGCACCCAAATCCGACTTGCACAACGTGCTTACCGGCTGCGGAAAGAGACGACTATCTCATCGCTCAAGGAGCGAAATGATCGGCTCGAATCCATAATTGACCAAATGAACAAGTCCTTCCTGAAATTCAATGAAGCCGCACTCAAGTCAGGGCTCCTTCAGTTCAATCCGATATTGGCTCAACAGCTGAAGTCAGTGACCGAATCCTTCGTTTCTCTAGCCAAGTCGGCTGCAGAGGGACAAGCCGAGGAAGAAGAAGTGGACGAGTCTATCGAGACTAATTTAGTACGCAATCATGAAGTCCAGTCCGCACCACCTCAACGCTTGGACGTCGGTTGGGGTTATTCGACTACTCTTAACCAATCATCCACTCAACATACCTCTCCTTCACCGCCTGAAGAATCGCAAGCACAGAGCCAAAGGGACTTGCCTTTGTTACCAAATTTCAATGCAGAGCAAGCGAAGCAAGGCGGCCTTGTGCAATATAGGAGACCGCAGATCCCGGACCTCTTTACGCAAGGCGCTTCATGGGCACAAGCCTCCCTTGATGAACGACCAAGCGAGCAGCCACTGCCATTCGGACTACTTGAAATTTTAAGTCAACAAGAGTTCAAGCCACCGAATCCCCAGAATCCGAACATTTTCTCTGTCAGCATCCCCACACCGCGGGCAACGCCTCCAATGCCTCGCATCCCATCACCCACATACGGCAGTCTCACAACTAGAACTCCGAAACCTATGTGGACATACAGCCACGATGAGACGACGTTCGCGAGAAGATTGACCCGGGCTTCACTAGAGACAGGGTTTCACTTGCTGGGCTCAGCTAGTCAACGGCCTGCTGCGCTCGAATACATCTTCAGGCTCTCGTTGCCATACATGACACTGAATGAGCTTCGAGAGAGATTTAAGGAGCTTTTAGCTCGGGGCACCGACGAAGAGCTCGACTTCTGGTCAACGCCATTCATTCATCTGGGAGGCGCTGGTACTCACTACCCACGGAAGGACGCGCATGGAAACATCATCAAAGCCCCCAATACATGGAATGTCCGCCGCATTGGCCCTCTTGATAAGAAGATGATACGGGCGGAGAATTGCGATGACCCAAGCCAGAGCCACGACCTCAATATCGACCTGACTGGCTTTGAGGGTGAGTGGTTCGACTCGAACGACGTCGAAGGGTATTTGCAACAGGAAAAAGGCGTGCGGATCGACCCTAAGAGCTCTTTCGTAGACGCATTCGTTGATGACGATGAGCATCATGGTGACGACTACTTTACTTTCAGCGCAGGGACAAACAATTCATCACCTCGCCGCTTATCAAACGACAGTACACCGACTTTTGGCAGCAGTTCTTCACGCGCGCAGTCTCAATCTTCCCTCCACACACCTCCGAACGTCCAAAGTGCCACTAGTGCCAATGTCAACCACTTATTCGCTCCGTCAGACATACCCTTCGGATTGGACATGAGTATGCCGTCGGATTTCGCAAGGCTGCCCTCCGTCGATGCATCCGCGTTCTTCGACCAGCCCCTCGGCTTAGACCTGGCGCCAGGTTTCGACGTGGGCCTCAACAACGGATCTATGCAGCCTCTGAACTTCCCTGACCAGCCGCGCGGCTCGAACATGGACATGTCTTTTCAAGGGCTGGAAACGATGCCGGTTGTTAGACAGAAGCGGAAGAAGAACGTGCTTATCGATGTTACCAAGCTGGTCGACGGTAAGTTTGCTGCGGTCTCTGACAAATTCGAGAAATTGCGAGCTAACGATTTGGCAGAGCTTGTCAAACATGGTGTTTGTTTGGGACGTGCACCGGGTTTCAGGAGGAAGGATGTTGATATGGCATTCCAGGCATCATTGATCACTACGTACTAGAAGGGTAATAGGGTAGTGTGGTTCGGGTATTGCGTGTGATGATTGTCAAGATTGAATCTCGATTTGAGATTGCATGGCGAGTGAAAGTACGTCCCTTCTCGGCTCTATACACAACACGATAGATTGTTATCGATTTGAGACGGTACGGAGCACGATAATGCATGAGTGAAGAAAATATGGTTGATGCTCGGGTTGCTTGTAACTTATGAAATGTAGCTGACAAAGCGATCTTGGCACCCAACTAGCGTGCGCGGCTCGGCTTCAAAACCGCCCAGCGCTCAGCAACGATCACCCGCGACACACCCCAGGCCTCGCATCCACGGACCGGAGCGCAGCACAACCCGGTTGCACGAGCCTCAATACTGCCTCCAGCTTGCACGCAGTTGTGTCCTCGTTGTGCGCCAGCTTCGATAGTACCCATTATAGCTCTACCGCAGCTCTAGACGCTGACGTCCGTTTGCTTGCGCTTGACCGGCCGCGCTTCCGACAGCTGCCTCCATCCCTCGTAGTCCGTATCCACAGGAGTGCAAGTGCACTTACTCAATAGAGAGTCCACCTGGGGAGAGCCGCCATGTCGAACAATGCAGTGGTCAGTACACCCACGGCACGTGGGGGTGGTGTTCAGTTGCAGCAGCATGCTAACAGCGACATCAGGGCTTGGTCTACCAGCAGATCATCGAGCGGGTGATACAGGCGTCGCAGAATGACTTCGAGGAGTTCGGCGTCGATCAGTCGACGCTCGACGAGATGAAGCAGGTACGTGGCGAGCTGCCGCAGCGAGCACCGGCCTTTCTTTCATCGTCGCAACTGCCCTCTGCACCTTTCTCTTTGTCGCACGCGGTCGCATTTTTCCAGTCCTATCATTTTGCGGTCAATCGACGTCGATTTCGCAGAGCGGACGGGCGGCGCATGGCAGCCTGGCGGGTCGTTGGGGCTGGCCGAAAGCGGGGCTGAGTTGCCGGGCGGTCTCGCAAGATCGGGGGGTGCCCTCAGTATTTGGGACGCTTTTTATAGCCCCTGCATTGGAACACGCCGCCGCCAAGCCCCAGCGATCCTTGCTCCAACAGGCATAGCCGGGTCACCTGACGCCCATCCAGCGTTACCTTTCATCGTCCTGCATCAAGTACTTGTCAAGATGAGGTTGCTGACTGTTTTGACAGGGCTGGCAAGAGAAGCTGTCTGGGCTCAAGGTTGCTCACTTCCCTTGGGACCCTCAGCCTGAGCCTACGCGCCACCCGTTGCCGAATTTGGTCAATTTGAAAGGGTTGCCGACGGTGCCGTCCAACGTGGTGAAGCCTGAGCCTATGTTGCTCCCGCCCCTGACGGCGACGCAAGATAGAAGTCCTAGCTATGCCGAAGCGCCCGTCAAGAGCGAGCGAGCCTATGAGCCTCCTCTCTCGTCATACCCGCAAGCTGCCAATGGCGGCTACGCAGGCGGCTTCAATGGTGAAATCGCCCAACAGCGTGCTCATGCACTGGTCGCCCAGCGCATGCACAATCAGCAGCAGAGCCAGCCACAGCAGCAGAGCCAGCCACAACAGCAGAGCCAGCCACAGCAACAACAACAACAACAACAACAGCAACAACACCAGCAACAGCAGCAACAACATGGGGGGCCTATCTCCATGCAGCAACAACAGCAACAGTATCAGTATCAGCAGCAGCAGCGGATGCATGCTGCCCAGCAGCAGCAGCAAGCACAGCAGCAACAGCAGCAGCGTGCACCCCAGCCGATGCAGCAGCGTCCACCACAGCCTGGCCACCCCTACAACCCGTCACAGACGGACGGGCCTGATGATGCACTAGAAGACTGGAAGGCCTTCGTGGCTGCTCGACGTGCAGTGAGCGACGAAGATCGTGCTGAGGCTGATCAACAGATGCGAGCTCGATTGGACGCTCTTGCTTCCCGTCAAGACAGTGGATTGATGATGCCTCTCAACCAAATGCCCAAGGGCCGTAGGCGCAAGGCTGCGGTCCGCGTGCTCCAAGAGGAAGATGCTGTGAAGGCTTCGTCGAGCGCATCTGCCGTGGTTCCAGGCCCCGCTCGCTTCGATGGCGATGACGCCAAGGAGGAAGAGCACGACTCGGATGCCATCAACTCTGACTTGGATGACCCTGAGGATGACGATAACAATGGCGATGACAGCGACGACGAGACAATGGACTACATGCTGTGCACGTACGACAAGGTGCAGCGCGTGAAGAACAAGTGGAAGTGCACCCTAAAGGACGGCATCTTGACCACGAACAAGCGAGAGTAAGTCTTACTATCGGTGCATTTCTATGACAGATGCTGACACCGCACAGGTACCTCTTCCACAAAGCAAACGGCGAGTTCGAGTGGTGATTGCCCTCCGGCTTGTGCCTCGCTACGTTCGGTGCTCAGCCCGGTTTCCTTTGCCTGTCCTGTACTATACGTGATTCCCCTCCATTGCCGATCGTCTTTCGATGCTTCCACCTCACAAACAAAACCTAGGTTCGATCCGTAAGCGCATGGCACTTACCTTGCAAGCTTGGATAACCGCAAAACCACACGGGCGCTTACTTTATCGGATATCTCAATGAGTCCACTTCATGCCGTCCTCTCGTCTTCCGTATACTTTCCGCTCTCTCAGACTGCCAGCTCGAGCGAATGTCCGTACTTCTATCATCTTTCCACACGAATCCGTCCGGCGTTACAGTCGGATTTTGATCTCCCCTTCTCACAAGATGAGAACGGAATCGAGAGCATGCAGGCGTCTACGGAATCTGGATTATCATCCCTTTCCTTTTCATCATATTTACTCCTCTTCGTCGACTTACCTCCTCATGTTTGAGGGAAGCGGGTGGGCGCGAATATGAACCACATGGTCGGCATGACAGTGTGGGCGCGGTGTGGAGCGTCTTCCCAGCGCGATGCAAAGTTCAGATAGACCTGTACGTTAGCGTCTTTTGCGCACGTCTCCTTCGAGAGACAAATGCCGCAGTATAGGCGAGGCACTTCGCTACGGCTATAGATGATCAAACCGTAAAACACAGCGCTTTTTGCTGAACATTGAGTGTAACCGATGTGGCAATGTCTTTCGAAACATGTGATTAACTGGGCTACATACCGTACAGCTCATCCTCATCCTCCATGACACTCCCATTGCTGTCTTCCCCCTCGCCACCCAGAAACTGCGTGTCATCCCCCTCATTCTCGTCCTCTTCAACAAGCGGCACGAACCGAAAATCAACAAAGCTCACCTTCCCAGCCTCGACCTCAATCATAAATTGCAGGCTCAGCACGCCTTGCTCATCCACCCGGACGCTGACCTTGGTCGCCACGCTCATTGCCCTCGCCGCGCGTTGTATCAGGCTAAACTTGTAGCTCGCTCTAAACGTGGACGTCGGGTCACTGAGCTGGAACGTCTCTAGTAGGTTCGCAGGAGGCGGCGGCGGGTCCGCTGGGGGATTGGTGGGCGGCGGGGGCCGGGTGGGGGTGTTGTTGAATTCAACGCGCGCGGAGCCTAGCGTGCCGGAGGAGCTGAGCGCGAAGTACGGTTTTCGACCCCGAGTTCGTGCCCAGAGAGTGAGTTTCTCGGGACTTGTGGACGACAGCTCGGACACAGCGTCGTAGAGCCATGTCCCGCGCATGATTGTCTTGAGTGCCAGACTCTGCCTGTCGAATGGGATCTCCTCGCTAAACGCAGGCTCGTATGTGGTAAGGTTGCACGTTGTGCGTATCGTTGCTTCCGTGAGAATTATGGAGAGCGGCGAGCCTGGCGCATCGTAGGCGATGCGGCACATGTTGTTCATGCCGAGGACATTGTTGGTGAAGGCGCCACCTGTCGCAGTCGAGGTGGGGTTGTCGCGAGCCCATGGAGGTTTGGAGCTATTCGGATCGGTGAGGCCGAAAATCTGGAGGGTTTCTAAGAGCGCGGGGAGAGATAGTTGGAAGGTGGGGAGCGTGTCCTCGGGATCTTCGTCTTCTTCGTCGTCAGAGTCACCAATCTCGCGTTGAGAAGGGCGCTGTGGGGTGGGTGGGCGGAAGGTGTAAGTTGTGAAGAGGTCCTTGGAGATAAAGGCGGAGCCTGAGAATAGGTGAGATAGCTTGCCTGTAGAACGGAAAGTATGCGTGTACCTTCCATAACACTGGCCTCGTCGACCGAGAACTGCAGCCCCCCTTCATTGATTTGTACGTGTGCTTTTTCGGCGAAATTTATGCAGCGGAGGAGAAGGTAGAGTTGGCGAGCAGAGCTCGACACGGCGGTAAGGAGCGGTAGCTCGTCTTCATCGTCCATGATGTACTATGGGGCTGTATGATATGCGTTTAGTAGTAGATGTGGTGAGATAGCGGGAAAGCAGATGTGGTATCTTCGAAGTCTTGACTTTATTTCATTCCAGTAGACTACAGGTGGCCCCGAACGCCGGCGGATGATGAGAAGGAAATCAGACGTATACACCGACCGCGCAGATCATGTAGACTGCGCCGAAGCTATGGCACGTTGTCAGATGATGCAATGCACGCGCGAAAGCAGGCCACGTACCCGAATGCTAACGAAGCTGGTACACCGAGGAGCGGGAGGTTGATGAACTTCAAGTCTGGGCCAGTTAGTCGTGCGTTCTGCGAAGCGGCATAGACTGGTTGGCGCATACTCAGACCGAAGACGCCGGCGAGAAACAGCGCTGGAGCGTGTTAGCAACGGCATCTCCACGCAAGCTCGCGCATCCCCACGTACCAATCAGCAGCAGGAAAGCGCCGACAGTGAACTGCGAGTCCTTGGAGATGGAGGGCTGGTACGGCGAGGAAGCAGCAGCCTCCCAGACGGCAAGCAGCGGCGTCGACATGGAGAATTCGGGGCAATTGTCCTGGGGGTGTTGGTCCAGCGGGCGTCCGGTACTGCTTGGTGTCCTCAACGCGCAGCCCGAGGATCGACGTGGCCCGTGCATGGCTCCCGGCGGCGGGCGCGACTTCCGACCTTCACATCGCGGGCAGGAGCGCGCAGACACACCAGGGACGCCGCCATGGGTGCCAGCAACGACGAAGGTAGGTGCCTTTCCTTTTTTGACATGCACGCATCGACCCCGACATACCACCTGCTCGCCGCAGCCCGCCATGTCGGCGCGCGAGAACAGCGACCGCCTGCGCACGACGCTGGGCTATGCGTCGAGCTCGCCCCCGAAACTGCCCACTTCCCCGCCGTTCTCGTCGCCAGATACGCTACGAGACACTCCCCCAAAAGCCCCCGAGGCTCCTTCCCCGTCGACCTCGCCCGACATCCCCCTCAGCCGACTCAGAGCTCGCCATTCACGCCCCACTCTGCGTTTCCCACAGCCTCTGCTTAGCGGACCGCCTGCTGACAATGCCCCCTCTTCTCCAGCCAAGCGCAAGGCCGCCGCGCCTCTGAACCCAGAATCCCCCTCAAAACGACCGAAGCAAGATAGCGAAACGCCCGAAGCTCCGCCGCAGCCGAAGAAGCTCATACCCTTTCCCGAGAAGCCCGCCGTCATCGAAGAGCGAGAGGGCGATATCGAGTTCAGGGTGGTCAACAATGACGGCAAGAGGGAGAGCACCATCATCCTCACTGGTTTGAAGTGTATCTTCCAGAAACAGTTGCCCAAAATGCCCAAGGACTATATTGCACGTCTGGTGTACGACCGCACTCATTTGAGCATAGCGATTGTGAAGAAGCCGTTGGAAGTGGTAGGGTATGCTTGGGAAACATATCCGGGATTATTGAGACGAGGGCTAACGCAACGCAGAGGCATCACGTATCGCCCTTTCCATGGGCGCCAGTTCGCCGAAATCGTCTTCTGCGCCATCTCCTCAGATCAGCAAGTCAAAGGCTACGGCGCTCACTTGATGTCCCATCTCAAAGATTATGTCAAAGCTACCTCGGACGTTATGCACTTTCTTACCTATGCCGACAATTATGCTATCGGCTACTTCAAGAAGCAAGGGTTCACCAAGGAAATCACACTGGAAAAGTCGCGCTGGATGGGCTATATCAAGGATTATGAAGGCGGAACAATCATGCAGTGTAGCATGGTCCCCAAGATCCGCTACCTCGAATCCGGGCGCATGCTCCTCAAACAGAAAGAATGCGTCAATGTCAAGATTCGGAGTGTCTCAAAATCCTTTGAAGTACACGCACCACCCCCGCAATGGAAGAACAGCCTCACCAAAATCGATCCCCTTACAATCGCAGCGATCAAACGTTCTGGTTGGTCGCCCGCCATGGACGAGCTTGCACGTGCACCCCGCCATGGTCCAAACTACAACCAGCTTCTCCACCTGCTCAACGATCTGCAAAACAACAGTAATGCATGGCCGTTCCAGCAGCCCGTGAACAAGGACGAGGTTCTCGATTACTACGACGTTATCAAAGAGCCGATGGATCTGGCCACCATGGAGGAGAAGCACGAAAAGGATCTATACCCCACACCAGAAGACTTTGTCCGCGATGCCAAGTTGATTTTCGACAACTGCAGGAAGTACAATAACGAGAGCACTCCCTATGCCAAGGCCGCGAATCGGTTGGAGAAATACATGTGGAGCAGGATTAGAGAGATTCCCGAATGGGCCCATCTCGAAGCGGACTATGGTGGGAAGTGAGCCTTTTTTGGCCGACCGTATTCCGCACAACCTGGGATGGCATTTCTATTGTACTTATTTAGCGGCATTGGTTTGGAGAGTAACGGCGTTCAAGGCTCGAATCCCGTTTGTTATACCCCAGGTTAGAGACCATGGGGCCGTCTGGCTAGGCGAAGCACGTTGTCAATTATTGCATCATTCGACGACTCAGGTTAATCCTCTGTTTGTCCATCCATTTGCTCTCGACCGCCTCTCGCCTCGAGTCACCGCCATACAACGCAGCCCCGCTTGACTGCCTCGGCGTTCTCGACCCTCGACTGCTACAATATGTTAACTCTTTGCGTGCTTTGACGGACCCACAAATTTTATACTCCGCACGACCACAATCGCACAATTCAGCATGGCAAATCCAAAGTAGGTGCTCGAACACTTCCTCATCGAGGACAAATTTCTCTTCCACATCCCGCTCACTACTACCGTCCACAAAGCCAATCGCGAACTTGAAAAGGACGCCGGCACCGGCCAGCGGTTTCAGAAGATGGGAGCAGAACTAGCAAACAGTTCAGGTGGTTCAAGCATACTGTTGACTGGAAGACGTTAGAGGATGTGGGTGTGAAGAAGGGGATGGAGGCGTGGTTTAGGGTTGGGAAGAGGGAGGTGGGACTGTTAGAGGATGAGGAGAGGGCGATGGAGGTAAGGACGAATGGAAGGAGGGTGGGGACTTGAGAGGGTGAGAGGAGTACGAGGGTTGGCGCACAGGGATGAGGGTAGTACGGATGTATCCTTAAAGCTCAGTCTACGGATGAGTCTTTCATTCTTTGAGAGACTCCGTTGCATGTTTCCTTTGGGTGCGGCGCGTAGTGTGCTCCAGTCGAAGCACAGGACTGGAGGTCTAGACTTGCGAATATCTAGCGATGTTCCTGTTGTTTAGTTATGATACCCAGGCTCTTCTTTCTTCACCATTTGGCTTGGGTGTATGAGAGTAAAGGACACATCCTCGAATGAATGGCATCTTTGAACACGTTCAGTCCATGCCCGGCTTCTGCCTGGTCTCAAAGCTCATTATAGTCCTCAGGTATGGATGAACGTCTCCAAGTTGCATCATTGTGATGTGCGTCGCACCCACCGAAAGATAATTGCACGCCGAGAAGGGTTACCGGTAGCGCAACCCCAATTCGATGTCTTCCCATGACATCTCAGCCTCGCGCGCTGCAGACATTAAACCCACGTATGCCCATATAGAGTAATCTCCCTCCTGAATTCCTTTCAAAGTTTTTTTATTTTTTCGGTTCTTGATTCTGATGCCTGTCGAGACGACGCTTTCGGTTAATGTATCTTTAGGGAACGCGATGGACCAGCAGCTTCAGCAGTCAGACCATTTCACAAATGAATCCGCGGACCTCGCACAGCATGGGGAAATATATCCGCAGCCCGAAGATCCCTTCGTTGAACCTTTGTATCGATCCGTGCTGGCTATCGACCCAGACACCGGCTTCTACAGAAGCAACGCATGAATCGCAGAAGATGGATCTTGCCCCTTTGCAGGACTTCAATTTCGACATGGGCTTCCCGGACATACAAGGCTTCAATGTCGACATGAAAATAGCGGGCGAAGCACTTCCGATTGCTACTTCCTTCGGGGAAGTCCAATTAAGTCCCGCCCCATCATTCACATCAGCAACGTCGGCTTCGTGGTCCAATGTGGCGGGAGTGAGGTCTTGGCACAAACTGCACGATTTAAACTATGTTTCAAGATGATTCACGACACGCCAGGACCCCTTGTGGAGTCCCTTTATATCATGAAAGGCTGCACGGAAACTACTACTACGAAGGCACGACGATCCTCTCCAACGAAGGAACCACAGATTGTTTGCAATCGCTGCTTGGGTACTACTTTTAGATGGGATGTCTGCATTCTCTATCTTAGAGCGACTGGACAAAGACGCGATTACATAAATTCTTGAATGCCTGATACAAATGTTGGGAGTTTGCGCATTGAGAGTTCAGCCGCTCTTGGAGCCCTAGCTAGCCAGTTCTTGGTTTTTTTTTTATAAAGACTCAATTGACACTGTTACACAGTGTTTAAAGAAAATACTGCAGCTTTGTATGTCTCATACAGCTCTTACTTAAGGCTTATGAAATTCTTATATGTCCCATAAAACTGTAATGATTGCATATCTCTCCCGCCGCATAACAGGCTCCATTGAGCCTTCACAGAAACCCGAAAAACCTCGTACGGCACAGTCCTGTTTATCGTGTGACGTGCAGCACGCTCAATATACAGGAAGTCTGCTCCGGATTGTACAAACTATACACCTTGGAGATTTAGCTCGTTCCATAGCTTGGATATGACGCAGTTCTCTTCAAGTAGCACCTCACGTTCTTGAGATGCCTATGATACCTACGCAAGCTCTCCTCATACGCCAAGTCCTTCCGACACCCTCTTAATCACCTCAACAACCTCGCCCGGCCGACTCAACATCGGACTATGACTACTCCCTTCCAAGACCACCCTCCCAAACTTGGCTCGCTGTTGCTCCGCCGCAGCTACCATCCCCTCCTGCACTTGAATCGGGATCGCCCTGTCTTCGGTACAAAAAACAAACGTACTCTCCACCTCCCTATATGCCGCAAACTCTGTCTTCCCAAAGTAGCACTGATAGCTAAACGGCACCAGCCTCTCTTCCCACTTCTTCGCCTCGTCGTCACTTAAATCCCCGTAGAAAATCTCGCGAGGGTTATCGGGACGCACGAGCGTCTTGTCCTCCTGGACGATGAACCACGGCAGGTCTTTGTTTTGGAGGGCGTCCATGAGCGAGACGCCCACCGGCGTGATGAACGCCGAGAGAAACACGTAATGCACGACTCCGCCTTGCTCCCCTCGCGCTTCCCGCTCGCGGCGCGTCAATCCCTTGATGGCTTCGTTGGCGGGCACGCTGCCGTAGCTGTGCGCGACGACGACAACGTCTTTCCCTGCTTCCACGAGCGGCGCGAGCGCAGCCCGGATGGCGGATATGTCGGGCTCGAAGGAGGGGACAGGATTGTGTGAGTTCGATGGTAGGGCAACGGAAACGGTGGAGTAGCCGGCGGCAGAGAGGGGCGCAGAGACGAGGTCGTAGCAGGAGGGGAGGTGCCACGCGCCGGGGACGAAGAGGATGGTGGGTTTAGATTTAGTGAGGGACATGTTTTGGGTGGTTGGCTGAGTAGCGGGCGAGCTGGGCGATGGGGTAGGTGCGTGGTTTGGGGATAAGGTGGGCGTGTGTCGTATGTAGAGGGGAAATAGCAGGGTATTTATAGTTGCTTTGATGATGATACCCCGAGATGCCACGAGTGGAAATTTAGATATACTTGATCAGTGATTCGGTGATTCGGTAGCGGGCTGATGGGTTACGGTACTCAATATTGCGGAGTCTCGTGTAGGATTTCGGACGGATGCGATGTTTGATGCGTGTAGAGCAGTCGCGATTTGGTTGATATGGGCGGCGTCTTGATGCAGTGCTTTCGGATGTAGGCGGCATGTGGTGGTTAGTGGAGTTTGCGGGGTTGCTAGAGTTTCGGGGACGCGGACGGAAGACGCGGGGTGCGGAAGTACCAAAAATGTGGGTGGTGTCCGTACCTTGTGGGCTTGCGGTCGGTGACAAAAAAAATGATCGAAAACATCTCCACGTTTGTGGAAGTGACGCGCTGTCTGTCACACGTGCAGGGCTGTAGAGCTTCCTAGGTGGGAGGAGAACTTTCCCAGAAACTCCGCTGGGCGATTCCCACAAGGAGCAAGGACTTGAAAGGATCTATAGACAAACAGTCCCATTTAGACTTTGTGAAAGTAATATAAAGCGTTATGCTAGGAGAGTTTGACAGAACGCCTCCCAAAGCTCGAGCACGCTGGCTCATTCCTGACCAGGACGCCGTTTCCCTACCCAGACTGCAATGCCGCCAAACGAGGCGCTTGGAAAAAAGGCCAATTATACCCGGAGCTGACACCAACATTGATGATGTCTCTGTCGGAGTTGTAGCTGTCCTCGGAATCCTCGACCTCGCTCTGCTCAATCTTCGGGTTCTCCATAATCAGGGTGTTCATTTACAGTGAATCCCAGTCCGAGAAGCTCGAGATCATCAGAGGGATCATGCCACGGGCATAGCCAGTCTCCTGGAGGTTCCCATGGATTACTGCTGTCATCGTCCAACAGCATTCCGAAGGTCCGGTTATGCAACATCCCCAGGGCTGCTACATCCATGGGCCTCAGAACACGCCACCCCCCTTGTCCTTTACAGCTTCACAAAATTGTCTCACGACGTGTCTCTCGCCACAAAAATGCTATAATCGTACTTTCCTTGCATCGCGGGGGTGGCTCTCCATAGGACAGTAGGGGCACTTGAAGCGTGTGCCCTTGGAAATGCGGTCGAGGGATTCTTGTGCTATTACATGGCCGCATGGCATCATCATGGGAGGGTTAGCGTCGGTAGATTGCTCCTTGGAGACCGGGCAGACGAAGATGGAGTGGAAGTGGTAGGTTGGCGGCAGAGGGATCTCGACCTGTTCACCGTTGTTAGCTTTGCGGCTCAAGACAATATCGTTGTCTCTCAATCGGCGGACACGAGTTGGGAAGGAATAAGGTCGACTTACTGGGAGCTCATTCTGCGTTGTCCATTCTGTGCGTGTCTTCTCCATGATGTTTTGCAGCTTCAGCAAATGGGGCAGGGCGATGGCGCCAGCCGTAGCAGCGATGTACAGCGGTGAGTCAGCCGAGAGCCCGAGCAGAGAGCAAAACTCGCGAGTAAAAGAAGTGGCGACTTCTTCCCAAGCCGTGCTGTTGTAGAAGTACCTCCGATATGGCGAATCCTCGACGTTCTGCCAGTATGCCATGGCACCAATGAGCTGTTGGATCTCATTTGCATATCTCCCTCTGAAATGGCCGAACTCACGCCGCGCGTATTCGTATGCCGCGAGCGGCCCTTGGGGATCTTCTTCCATGGGCTCATCGTCGTCGGCATCGAGCTTTTGTCCCACAAACAGACACACGAACTGCAGTCTGCACAGCTCAAACTCCAAGTTGCTCCCGCGTGCTTCCAGCAGATCGCTGCGCTCTCGTGCCCACCGTATCGCCGGCTTCAGATTCCTCTCCTGGCGGAGGTCGTGTAGGATGAGGTACATGTCCTGAAACTGTTCCTGAAGCTTCTCCGAGTTGAAGGATTCTTCTGCCAAGTCTGCTTCCCAGGAGTCGTTCATCGAAGGGTTCGGTGTACTCGCGGTGGGTTCAGGCCGAGGGGGATGGCGGTGGGCTTCTTGGATGAAGGTGGAGGCTACCGAGAACTCGCCCTCGCGGAGGAGGTGCATGGAGATGGCGCGGTTGACGAGCTGCGGGTGCGAGGAAAGAGCATCGTTGGAGGCGGGCGGGATGGGCTTGTCTTTGAACTTCTGTTGCTGCATCAGTCGCCGCATGGTGGTGGGACCGGCGGGTTCGGCGTACCTTGTCCAGAGCCTTGCCATATTTGTTCAGGCCCGAGTAGATGGGCTTGATGTCCTTCTGCGCCTGCTCAAGACTCCTCTTGACGGGGTCTTGGAGCTTCGCAAGGGTCAATGGTGCCGTCTGCGGGTCTGCGCGCACATGGTCAGGCGTGGCTCAGCGTTGGGAGGCGCGATGGGGGCACGCACCTGCAGCGATCTTGTCCCGAGCTGCAGAGAGCACATCGATGGCGTTCTGGACGTCGCGGATGCTCGCCGAGAGGTTTGCCGACTTCTCCAGCACGTCGAGCTGCTCCAGCAGCTCGAGCATGCCCGTCGGCGGCGGCGGCGGCGCCATGGCTCGGCGCGGGAGGTGGCTACGAGGGAGTGGAGCTAGACTGGACGCAGCAGCGAAAGTGGCCTGGTAGTGGATTGAGGGTGCAAGAGCCCGTTGGGGCCATGGCGTGCCGGCGAGGGCGTGGGGATGGGGTCGCGGTGGTGAGCTCGGTGATCGGAGCAGGCATGCTGGCGTGTGACGTGTGGGGGACGGCACGCCCAACCGCGCCGACCCACCATCAGTGTACCGTGTATATCCCGCTCGTCGCCGGCCAGATGCCCACTTGCCACGCGAACAATGCATAGCGCTGTCCTCCCGACCAGCCGCCCTATTGCCTTCGCCCTCGGGCTCGCGGGACGACGCCGCAGTCTTGCGCCGGAGCTGGCGCGAGCACCATGAAGCAGCTGCCACGCCAGCAAAAGCACAGCCTGTGAGGAGAACAACGCCAGACAACCGCCGCCATGTCGTATAATCTGCCCATCATGACCGCCGCCCCGCGCGACGTGGAGAGGGAGAAGGACCGCAGACGACCCCCTACATCCTCGCCCATCGACGCCGAGCCTGCACCTGCCGCGCCAGCCTCCAAGCACATGAGATCGAACGCGCCCGAGCTGTCCAGAGCAACCACGGCCATCGACGACGAACATGTCCAGCTGGCCTCGGCAACCCACCAGCGCTTCATCTTGACCGACGGCGTCGCCGCCCGCTACCTGGAAGAAGATGCCGCTACCCAGGTGCTGTCTCGCCGCGAGAAGATCGAGGGATACGAGATATATCTGGTCGAACAGTGGGCGTGCTCTCGCATCCACCCGACCTTCATCATCACAAACTATACTGGCGATCCGAAGGACGTCGTCTACGGCCATGTGCTCAGGGTCCCAAGAGACGAGACGCAATGGTCGCCGCAGCTGCGAACCTATTTTAGAGCCTTGGACCAATTTCATGCGCGGAGAAGAGAGACAAGCTTGGGAACAATCATGGTTACGAATCTGAGCAGCTTCCCCTCGTCCTTGACAATCATTCCCATACCAGAGGGCGATCTAAAGAAGAACAGAGAGTACTTCTTCGTCAACGAGAACCTGAAAAGGCTTGGGTGCTCTGGCCGTACTGGGATCAAGCTGGCTCCTCCTAGTGGTGCCACGCAGGCAAAGTTCCACCAGCTGTACCGAACGAGCGATAAGATTCCGCTGAACAGTTCCGTCATCGAACTCGTGAAGCTGTGCCAGGTTGCATTGGTGCTCTTCGGCAACCTCGAGCCTGAGTATGCCGACGGTCTGTTGTGTGACATGACAGAAAAGGCCATCAATGACTGGTGGGTCGAGTTTGGCAATGAGTACTATACCGTCGAGCCACACGATGGGATCCTGGGGCCTACAACCGTCGCTGCCCTGCTGGGCATGCTAATGGGTGCACGTAACAGATTGCGCGCCTACAACGCACCTGTCTCCAAAGACGTCTTCGATATTGAGAGTACCCGCCGCGGCATCTCCTACTTTCAGAAAGACCAGAGGATCGCCAAAACTCGTCAATTGGACCGACAAACCCTCGAACGCTTGCGCCGCGCAACTGCCAAAGCTGCAAGCAAAGAAAGCTGGGCGGTACCGCGCGCGTTCAAAGGTGCCGTGGCCGAGCTTGGAGGAAAAGGCGGCGAGATGGTTATGGGCATGGTCGGTGCGGGTGACAAGGCTGGAATTGCCGACATCGAAACCACCGACATCGATCGCTTTGTAGAGCTTGTGTCTGGAGAGCGGTCGAAATGGTTATGGTATGGGAAACCTCGCAAGACCGCGAGTGGTGATATGTTTAGCCGCCTACCCCGAGAAGAACGATCGGTTTCACCGGACGAGCGGGGCCCTACACATATTGCGAGCCTTATCAAGAGAGAGTCGACACTTGAGGCTCACAGCTTCTCAGCACGGGATAGTCGCGACGTCAAGCGTACAGATACACAATTGGCGATCGATGGGTACGACAGAGAAAAGGACCCCAACTCGAAGCGGGCAGCTATCAAACGAGCTACAGAGAGGATCGAGACAGGAAGTGGGTTCCATCGCATCAAGGATGTAGTCGGTCGGCGCAATCATCAGCCCAAACCCAGCAAAGACGACTCCCATCCACAACATACCAAGTCAGACCTTTGGCCTGCGGCTCCTCAGAGCGGAACTGGTCCCATCACGTCGAAGACCGACGATCCCAAACAAAATCAAGACATACGACGCGAAGCTCTAGCCGGACGACGAACAGTCAGCAACTACGGTCCCAAGATTACCCAGGTTCTCACAGAAACACCGACAGCATCAGCCAGCACCCTCGACCTACAACGCGTGAGCGCGCCTCAAACGGACGGCGCTCAGGAACCAACAGCATCCACTGGAGTAATCGACCCGGGCTTGTCCAAGACACATACCCCCGAACCATCTATTGCAGGTTCTATTTATCACGGCATCGACCTCAACGACAAGCTACCTTGTGACGAAACACAAGATTTCCCTCCGTTGCTCCGGCGGACCCAAAGCAACGACCAACTGGACCCCTACCATCGAATGCACCGCAACGACGACTGGTGGCCACGGCACCTCTCGTTCAGTATTGCAGAAGAGAGCGTGTTACGGTGGGAAGGCCTCGTCGCGCCTGATACCGTGGACCCGGACCAGAAACAGAATCTTCCCGAGGCATTAGCCACGACTGCATTGATAAGTGAAGAGGCGAAGCGGTTGCATCACAAGATCGCGCTTCTCTCCTCGCTCGACGCGCAGTGGGCCACGACACACATTTCTACCATCACAGCTCTCGACTCTGCGGCCGAGCAAGACACCTTGCAGCTCGACTCGCTCTATTACCCTGCGCTCGATAGCTACCAGTCGTTGCGGGAAGACGCACATGAGATTATATCAGGCAATCGCGCGCTGTTGCAGGAGCAAGTGCGTGATCTTACTATGTTGAGTGATAAGTTGGAGTATGAGATTGGGAGTCTCAGGAGTAAAGTTGATGACGTAGAGGATGGCGTTGAGGAGCTAGAACGCCTAGTTGAGGGCTTGGAGAGCAGAGTTGATGAAGTCGAGAGCCTGCTCGGCGGCGAAAAAGAAGGTTGGCTTGGGTGGGCGTTACGAATTGTCACTGGTTTCTAGACGGCGGCGCGTCCTCGGTGTACTAATTGTACAACAGTGTTGCGCAACTTCATATAGATGTACAAGTAGACTTCAGTCCCACCGCCTCAGATATAATCAAGATCTCGGTAGCTTACCGAAAAATCAGATTAAATGAATCGTTGAATAAGTGGACCAATGGTTCTCACCGCCCCTCTTTGAGCCATATCTTCGCATATTTAGAAGTAATTACACTCCCGCGTATCTTATTTAGTGCTTTTTCGAGTTTCAGCCATGGTGGTACAACCTTTTCATTTCTTTTCTTGAACCACATTATGGCACTCATGTGATGGCAGCATAGCGAGTTCTTCAGCCTGCAGGCTCGCTGATGAGTGTTCATTAGGCTGTTAGCACTAAACACAGCAGCAAAACTGGCTACAACTGTTGGTGCTCGAGTTAGTTGGATAGAATAAGGAAACAACCGGTGGGTCGAAACATCAACATGTGAACCATCACATACCCACTGATGTCACACTACCGTTCTCTCTCCCGAACTAGATGCAACCCTTGTACAACATGCCAACAAACTTGTCACAGCATCACCATCTAATTAACCTATCCCTCTCACGATACACGAATCCGATACGCGAAGCGTTTCCCCACATCTTACAGGGCCACTCCAAGTTCTCGCCATCTTATCCGGCGGCGGATCTACCAACTTACCCGGTCTGCAAAGCTGTTTGACAACATGAACAAGGTGTTCCCCGCGATCTGTCCTCGGCCTCATATATCACGAAGCGCTAGCGCGAGCTCTACACCCCGAATTCCCCACAGCTTCCCCACAGACACGGAATAGTAGGCTATGAGGTGAAGCTCAACCGGCGATTCCCACGAATGCTCGCGTGGGAGGTAGGGAGATGTTATGGGCCATTTCTTATAATATTCGGACATGTGGATTTTCGATTGGCGGCAATACGTGAAGGGGTGTATAGTGGGCAATTAAGAGTTGGAAAAGTATGATTGAAGCCAAGATAGGAGGGCTGCTATGGAAATTCAGCATGTGCAAGGTCCGCAGGTGCTTCGGAGGGACATATAAGAAGTGAGCGTGAGAAGGGAGTCCTACCTTACCCACACGAAAACACGCAGCTCTCAGCGCAACCACACCACCGACACCCAGGATGAAGCACACCCTCGCGCTCGCCCTCATGGCGTTCTCTCTCGACGCCGCTACGGCGTCCCCCTTGAACGTTGAAGCCCGACAAGGCGTAGGCCTCCCACCTTACACGTACTTCCCATTTCCTAACACACACCAGGCAGGTTCCGGCGCAGGCCCCTACGCTCCAGGCACCTACAAGACCGACTCCAGCCTCCAGTCGCACACAATCTACTACCCCACTAAAACGCCCGCCAACAACGAGAAGCTGCCCGTCCTTATCTGGGGCAACGGCGGCTGCTCCAACGTCGGTACCTCCAACTCCGCGCTGCTGCAGAACATTGCGTCCTACGGGTTCCTCGCGGTCGCAGAGGGCGCGCCGAGTGGCGGGGGCACGTCCAACTCTGCGAGCATGAAGGCGGCCGTGGACTGGGTCACGAAGACTGCCGGAACGGGCGCGTACGCGAATGTGGATGCGAGCAAGATCATGGCGGCGGGATTCTCGTGCGGCGGCACCGAGGCGATGGACAATGTGTGGGATAGCCGGGTGGACACGATTGGCGTCATCAGCTCGGGGCTGCTGTCGAACTACACGGCCGCGAGCCAGTGGCGCAAGCCGGTGCTGTTTGTGCTGGGTGGCAGCAGCGACATCGCGTACCAAAATGTAAGTCCTGCTTTCCCTTGCTTTTTAATGCTCTTTTCTTCGGCAATTTCCGTCATATGATAGAGCGCTACGATTAACGCGGGCTGACATGAACCTCCCACAGGGTGAGCGCGACTTCAAGAATCTCGCCGCGGGTGTGCCTTCGTGGAAGGGCAACATCAACGTCGGCCACGGCGGCACACTGAACAATGCGAACGGCGGCACCTTCGGGAAGGCGATCCTCAACTGGCTGCTCTGGACCTTCAAGAACGACACCACTGCGGCGAGCTACTTCACGAGCGGGTACAAGGCGGACAACTGGCAGGTGGAGACGCATGATCTGGACCAGTTGAAACCGTTTTAGGTGCGTGGGTGGGGATGCCTCGAATCCAGGTAGCTGCTTGAGATAGTCTTGCTGTGTGATACTGGAGTTCTCTGGGAAACCAATGCAATAGTGGTCAACGATCGAGATGCATCACCACACTTTGCTTTTGTTGTGTACACACTCCATTGCCAGTCGCCATTCCAATACGCCTCACTTTCGCTTTCTTTTCTATCACTGCGGTGTCTGCGTATTCCCTCATAGCTACATTCATTGAGCGCGTCCCTTGTAATCTGTGTACATTTCAAGCATACGCAAAACTTTATTGAGGAACTTGGAATCCTACTACATGCAATCACTGGCGCCGAGCGAGAAAAGACAAACAGTGCCGGGGTTTGAGACAGAGATTTGGGGACGGGCAAGTGGAGTCGGAAATTGATGGGCAGCCTAGGCACGAAATGCACGGATCTCATAGGCCTGGAGAGCTGGATGAGGCTAGATAGCTTCAGCGCTGAAGTTTGCACATATAGATCGCGCGTGACTTCTATAGGGGTGCGCAGCAATTGCCCGTAATTGGAGTACGATCAGCCTAGGCGTATCGCACTGGCAACGTTGGGACAGCGCTGCAACTGACGCAAAAGCCTGGGTGATGGATTAGTGCGCAGAAGCCACTTTGCTGGCTTCTATATTTGTTTTGTCAGAATCAAGGCGTCGCAGCAATAATGGATTGGTCTACCGTCTTGTAGTATGAAAGAAGAGGTGACAAGGGGAACTCGCTCTGTTCATTGAATCTCTCTCCGCTGAGCTTCCAATTCCTCTGGAGTGGGCTGAAAAAGACCTTTTGAGAGACGAGGGTAGAGTAAACAGATCAGCTTGATGACTAGCATTTCGACAACGTAGTCGAAAGCCAAGGAAGTAGTACGCCCCTGTATCGCCGCCACCCAATCCTCCACACTTGACAAGAAATCCCTCAAGACTTTCGCTTCTTCCATGTTCGACAACAGTTTATCTTTGCCAGCCGCCATGTCTTCCAGCCTTGATACTAATCTTCCACGCACTTGCATCTGAGAAGCGCGACTCGCTTCCAACATGATTGTGAGGAACGAGATCTGGAAAGTGCAAACAAGTCTTCTAGACTGGTCTCGTGCGAGAGCTCGTCGCTCTATTGCCGTAAATTCGGCTCCTGCTTCGTCTTTGATGATTTGTTGGAAAGTTTCGTCGCATTGAGCCCATATACCCATACTGTCCAAAAGCATCCTCCGTTCCTGCTTCAGGACCACAAGCTCATATTGTAGGGTGCGAAACTCTGCCAGAGTAATGTAGTCTTGAACTGAGGATCGCAGATTCGTGATCTCGGAGAGCACGCGTGACCGTCGCTGGGTGTCTCTGCCGTTTTTCTGTCCTGGTGTGGAGACTCTCGGCGAAGGCTGAGCTTTCGGTCGACCAGCGCGACTCGAGTTCAACCGGATGTGCTCTTTTCTCTTTCCAATGTGGACGCAATTAATGTGCTTGTTTAATGAGTTCTGGTTTGCAAGACCCGTTGTCTGGACTCACCGCTCGGACGGCAGAGCCGCCCCTTCTGAATGTCTTATTGCAAAGTGGGCAACGGTTCTGCCCTTTTTCAATCGCTACTACTCGTTGAACATTCGGTATAAGCTGCTGTGATGTTACCGAGCCATCCAAGCTGGTCGCATCAAACTGGGGCAAGCCTTCATCGGTCATAACAGTGTGCTCTGCAGGCTGCCATGAGTGCTCTCGCGGCACGTGCATTGCTTGTAAGCAATATGGGGTCGGTGCCTGGGGCGGCGAGGCTATGTTGCTCTCCCAAACTGCCATCTCCTGGGCAAGTGTCTCGAAGAGCTGGCGATCGATTTCGGGCAGTATCAGGCTCGGCGCCCCTTCGAACTGCGACCAGTCGTCCAATGCGAAGGTGAGTTCATCAGACTGCTGGACATGAGCCTCCATTTTGTGCTACCAGTGCTGTTCGAGCTATATTAGATCACTGAGTGCAATAGATTCATGGGAAGGGCGAGGCAGAACTTTATGTTGTCGTCGAGGCTGGGTGGTATTATGGAAAGACACAGAATCAACTCCGCGCTAACCGCTTTCGATGATCACTTCCATCTCGTTCTGTCCGAAATTGATTCCGCACAGCAATTGGAAGAACTTTGGCCTCTATAAACACAAACCCAGCTTGTATTGCGCATGATTCCATATAATCATCCTGCCTCGCTTCCTTTAGGTTCCCACCATGCGCATTCCCCACCACGCATCGGCTTTTCGCCCATCCACATCGTACACAGCCTTGTCCGATGCTGCCTCGCTTGTGCCCCGAGCAACGGCCGAGAGAGTTCAGATGCAATGGACTCTAGCGGTAGTCTGCGGTTTGATCATTGGCGTGATTTCTCTGTCCCTGGCTATCCCACCGTGCATTCATGCGTTCAGACAGCTTCGCGAAGTTCGCCAGCAAGCGTTGCCGAATACGAACCACATCCAGTTTGAGCAGGTCGCTGCGCCTGATGCTACGTCAACCCAACCCCACCAAGCAGAGGAGAATGCAGCGCAACCCCTGCCTTTGTCAGGTATTACGATTTGTGTGGCAGCGATGTGACAAACAATACTAACGACCCACAGACTTCTCATCGCCATCCGCATCAGTTGTCACAATCGATCATGTCGACATCAATGTAAAGTTTACCGGTCACTCGAGAGGCTTGGAAAATGATGGAGACGTGATTGCGTTGGGCAACTACAGGCACCACGGGTATAATGGACAAGACTGGGCTCATCAGCCGGAGGATGCGGATCATTCATCGCCGGTTGGGTCCAATAAAGGTGCTGCTTTGGTTGCTGCACTGCTCAGCACCGGAGTGCTGCTGTTGAACCCCGTGAAGGAGTTTTTGTACCCCGGTATAGGTGGTTGAGAGGAAAAAGGGGGGGGGGGGTGTCTGAGTTCACGGAAAGGGTATGTAATGAGAGGTTGTGAAGTAGTGATGGGCATAGGGATGTAGAGGTATTAGGAAGCTTTGCGTGGGGTGTTTGACGTTTTGCATCGAATTCGGAGTAGATGACGGTGTTCAAAGCGCTCACTGTTTCGAGATTTGACTTGTATGAGCGAGTGGGTGTGATGCTTCGTACATACGCTTAATAAAAAGAACGACATGTCGCAATGTACCCAGGTGCAACTTGGTCGTAGCCTGGCCAGCCGGATCGGTACAATGGGGCAGTATCTTAAGTATGAGACGTGTGAAAGAAGTCGATACGTGTGCAAAGCCACAGGATCGTCAGAACGGCGAAACAAGACGGGGGGTTTTTTTTTTATCAATGAAGCGACATTGAGGATCCGATTTTTCGAGATACTTCGAAAAACTCTCCAATTACTTCCTCTTCATCCAGAGTTACTTTGCGTAAACAAAAAAGCCACGTACGAAGGCAGTTTTACGAGAAGCGCGATAAGTAGTGGATCTTGCGGGTCAAGGCGGATAAGCACGTGCCTATAAGCGTGTCTGTAAGCGTTAGCTAGTCGAATGAAGTCATGCTGATAAACCTAAGCTGCCTTCAGGGAGGTGTCGAAACGGCGATTTCAGAGTGATTCCGTGCACGGAAAGCATCTGCGAAGGAAGAAGACAGTGAGGTGTGTCGCGCGTCTGTTGCGTGCGCAATACCGCTGGAGTACCGCTATCTCGGACGCGCCTTATGGTGACCCACATGCTGTACAGATCGCCCAAAGGGTGAGCTACTGCTGCAGGCTCGGGGCGGCGCGAACTGGGCCTTATCAGAGGCAGGTCTAGGCGTGATCATCGTGAACATTGGTACTGAAGTGGCCGAGTTCCGAGGAGCACTTGCTCAAGCTGCAACTGTCTCGCGCGTAACGTCGAACTGCGCGAGCCGCATGTAGAACTGTCGAAGAGCAGTGCGTCAGGTTAGGTGTGCCAGCGAGGGCACAGAAAATGTTCATATCGTCGACTTCTGTGGCCAAGCAGGCAATCGAGCTGGATTGCTTCATGAACACCCTCTGTTGCCCACGGTCAGCAAAGCGCACGTGTCAGATGTCCGTTACGCCGCTCGTGATCAGGACAAAGGAAGCGCACTAGAAGTGCATTATTGGCTGTCGTGCAGTTAGACTTCGTAATCGTTCAAGCGCAGCGCAGCACGATGCATGAGGATCGCACACAGGCGACTTCCGAACCACTGTTCTGGTAATGAAGCCGCATCTATCAGCCCCTAAGCTACGAATCGTCGCGGGAGAGTCACTGTAGATGTCGCGTGAGACGATACCACGCGTTGACAGCACCGCGACCCTGGTTATCGGAAGCTAATGAAAGATACAAGTGGTCGCTACTCGCATTAGAACGCAACGGGGTGTCTAGGGGGAGGGCCGGTCTGTAAGCTTTTGGAGCCGTCTCCGGGCCAATTTCTCTCCAGTTTCCATAAGCGGGAGGTGGGCACGAGAGGACACGGCGGGGTGGCACCGATGCTGGTCAGCTTCGGGACAGTGGCGCTGGATGCGATGCGGTGCCGCATGCAGTCCCTCTGCTGATGAGCAAAGCTTGAGACATTGCAACGCTCTGCGGGCGCTGTAAGCTGGTGTGAAGCGTGCCCGTTGAAAAGCCTGCCCAGGGTCCTGCGTCTCGGGGTCCACGAAGATAACCAAAGTTGGATGTCAGGGCTTCCGCCACGCGAACCGCAAAGGGAGCCTCAACCGAAGCCCCCGCGGTTGTGTAGCGCAGATTCGCCGCGCTTATCTTTTACCCCAGCTACGATATCAAACAGGCCAGCAAATGAGACTGGGGGCCCCGTTCCTCGTGATAAGGGCCCGGTCAGCGTCGCAGGGGCTGTCCGGCACAGCAGTGGAGGAATTGGCGAGGCCAGACGGCGGGCTCTTGGAGGAGAGGGAGCAGTGGCGGACAAGGCCGGCCTGCCAATCAAGCCGATTTCGCGGCGTCTCCACCAGCCTGGAAGAGGCAGCTGCCATTGCGCAGCCAAGGGATCCACAACGCACAGAACTTCGAAGCGTCGTCTAGGCCGAAGCTGTGGTCCGCCCCCCATCTCGTAGCGTGTAGTGCGACCACAAATAAAATCCGTCGCGTGGCCCTGTGGACTGTACCAGTTCCTTGCCCTCAATTGCAACAGAGGAATTGCCCTTGTGCCAGCTCTCAACATGGCCAACGTGTCGCATGAGCACAACAGCTCTCCCATGCCGGGTGTTGTTCGGAATCCTGACCCCGCGCTGGATGTCGCACACGAGCACCACCACGAGCACCTACACCATGGTGCCGCTGCGCACGCCGACGTCAACGACGACAAGGCCTACACCAAAGGTACCACGCTCAACGAACCGAGCGTGATACCCGCGCAAGACCCGAATGACGATGCGCTCCACCGTCTTGGCCACCCGGAGCGAAAAGATATTGACATCGAAAAGTCTGGCGGCTACTACGAGACCGAGCAGGGTAGCTTGGAGAGAGATTCGCACGCCAACGGCGTCACTGAAGAGGAGGATCCCAAGAAACACTCCATCTCCATGTACTACCGAAGATATCGCATCTTCGTCCACATCTTCATTGGAATGTTATTCACCGGGTACGCTTTGCACACTTGCAGCCGAAAGTCGCCGAAAACATGTACTGACGCCCAGCAGTTGGTGGATTGCCAGCGTTGTAGTGCATCGGCATGACAAGAACTGGGTCATTCCATTTCTGTTCTGGTTGGCTATCATGCTCCGCCTCATCTTCTTCCATGTTCCCATTACCATCGTCACGCGACCGATGCACTTTGTGTGGAACAACACTGGTGTACGCTTCGTCGCGCTGATCCCGGAAAAGATGCGAACCTATGCTGGCGCTGCGCTAACAATCGCCGTCATCCTCGTCGGAACCTTTGCGAGTGAAGAGTCGGAGGATAACACTCGAGCCAACCGCGCTATCAGTTTGTTTGGTCTGGTTGTGTTCCTCGCCTTCTTCTATGCCACGTCCCGGAACAAGAAGAAGATTGTGTGGCACACTGTCATCGTTGGCATGCTCACGCAGTTCATCATCGCCCTTTTCGTTCTCAGAACCAAGGCTGGATACGACATCTTCAACTTCATTTCCACCCTGGCTCGTGAGCTGCTGGGCTTTGCCAAGGATGGAGTAGCGTTCTTGACCACTCCTGACATTGCGGCAAACACCTTCTTCTTCTTCAGCGTCATTCCGGCCATCATCTTCTTCGTCGCGTTCGTGCAGCTGCTGTACTACTGGGGCATCGTACAGTGGTTCATCGGCAAGTTTGCCGTTTTCTTCTTCTGGTCCATGCGCGTCTCTGGTGCCGAGGCTGTTGTCGCTGCCGCGTCACCTTTCATTGGCCAGGGAGAGTCCGCCATGTTGATTCGGCCCTTCGTCGCACATTTGACGCAGGCAGAGTTGCACCAGGTCATGACTTCGGGTTTCGCTACCATCGCTGGTAGTGTCCTGGTAGCCTATATTGGTATGGGCATCAACCCTCAGGCGCTCATCTCGTCATGTGTCATGAGTATTCCTGCGTCCCTTGCTATTAGTAAACTGCGATACCCCGAAGAGGAGGAGACTCTTACTGCCGGCCGCGTTGTCATTCCAGACGACGATGAACACAAGGCCGCCAACGCTCTGCACGCCTTCGCCAACGGTGCGTGGCTAGGTCTCAAGATTGCCGGCATGATTGTCACCACGCTCCTCGTCATTATTGCGCTGCTGAACCTTGTCGACGGTCTTTTGACATGGTGGGGCCGCTACATCAACCTCGACGGAGACTACGATCTTACTCTGGAGCTCATCCTCGGCTACCTCTGCTTCCCGATTGCATTCTTGATCGGTGTGCCCCGCAGCAAGCACGAGCTTCTCCTTGTCGGACGTTTGATTGGTGTGAAGGTCATCGCGAATGAGTTCGTTGCCTTCAACAACTTGCAGAACGAGCCCGCATACGCCGACCTGTCGCCCCGTGCCAGACTCATTGCAACTTACGCCGTTTGCGGTTTCGGTAACATTGGCTCTCTCGGAACCCAGATCGGTGTGCTCAGCCAGATCAGTCCAGGACGCAGCGGTGATGTCTCGCGCCTTGCCGTCAGTGCACTGATTTCTGGTGTCGTCTCTACTTTGACCAGTGCTAGCATTGCCGGTTTGGTTGTTAATGATCAGGTAAGCATCGTTCCATCAACTCTTATGGACCCAAATCTAACTCTTCTAGGTGAAATTCACTTCGCTCCCCTCATCCTCTTAAGTAGCTTTATGCATGCATCGTCGGTATGAGGACGCCGCACTATGTTGAAAAATGGCCAAAGTTGTTCGGCCGAAGAGATACCCTACAACAACAATCTCGTAATTATTCGATGAGCTTTCCAATGATTCTCCTGCAACCACGTGAACTCGACTATACCCAGGCGCGTCCTTGCTCTTGTAACCTGGTCGCTTGGTGCTGTTGCCACTAAACGTCAAAATTAACCCAAGTGATGGATGAATGATGCTGCAATTCGACAAAAGGATATTCTAAATGAATTGGGAGTAAAACTTGAAGAAGTGGAGGAGAGATCAAGAGATGTGAAATTTGGGTAGTAATACGCCCTTGCTCTTGGCATGCGCCCTTTTACGTTGCACTGTCCACGTCTTAGGTCATTTCTCGCAAAATGTCGTTCGAGCTTGGCAGACTAGGTCGCTTCCAGCCCCCTCGTACACGACACCCAATGGCTGGCAGCTGTCTTGGCCACACTTTGTACGAGCGCCGATAGACTCGTTGCGGGTCCGAGACAAAGTTGATGTGTAGCCGATTGAAGGACTCTGCGTAGGCTTCGCGGTAAAGAGTGGGAAATACCTAGTCAATCTGCTAAACTGTGCACTCGTGGTCCCAGGAAGAGACTCACTGAAGCTCACAACTATTTCGTAGCTGAAACATCCTCCTGTATGCGATGTTCGATAAGGCCGTGCGGGCATTTGGCCTGGAACACCATGGCTGCCAACGCGAGTTGAGGCTCTCTGGGATTCGGAGGACCACCTTCTGCGCGTTGCTAGTTGCTGTAAGTTCACGACAAAGTGGTAAGTGAAATGGATTTGTCTGGCGGATGCGGCACTCTGTGGGAATCGGGTCGCACCCAACGCGTTGGACGAAGGCGCGCTATCACGTGTCGCCGCGCGACGGGTTGGCTCTTTCCTCTCCGTAGTACATGGTCGGAACGACGCAATATGTTCCTACTTACCTATCTACCGATGCTCTTTAATCCGCTTATATTACAGCGGTCATCCCAACCCCCTTTTTGCAACATCTCAATCCTGACCTGCACTGTCCGACTCGAGCATTGAGCCGCCTTTGTGCAAGCAATTGTATAGCCGTTCTTCGAGAGCGATGTCGGCGCAGACCCACACCCTGTCCATCTCACCCTTGCAGAATCATTAGCAACACGATCGAGTATTCTGATCCCAAATCCCCCACAGCGGTAGAATTCAGATGGTCGGATGCGCAGGGCTGAAAGATAAGGATTCCAGATAAGCCAATCACGAGTCTGACGATGATAGCGCAACGGTCGCTAGATGCACAACGGCAGCTCCTCCACGAGATATTACGCGACTCCCTTGACCAAAAAACCCTCAGCTTTCGCGGATATGCTTGTTTTGCTTGCTTTTGAGAAAAACACATAATCTGCACGTGGCTGGAGTGAGGGAAACTGCCATACCCTCGTTGCATTTTTCTCAGCCTTCGCTTCCGCTTGGGTTGTAACGCAATAGTCGATGGGCGAGAGTATGCTTCCGCGGAGTATACAAGATCGTCGTCCGTCCATCTGTCAGTCTATATACACGATGAATTTGAGCTTGCTCGAGTAGTATGCAGCGTGACTAAACCTGTCCGCTCACCTTATCTCGACTACATCTCGCTTCCTTATCAATTTTCAGCCAGGGTCAAGCCCAACCAGCGTATCGTTGCTCTTTTGACCATAGCGAACTACCCCACGGCTCCACTAAATACCGTTCACGACCAATACGGGGTAATTCTCTAGCATGGACTCATGTACAATTCGCTGCATGCCCATCACCAAAGAGCGGCAGGAAACTTCGGGCGCCGGCCACTATGGGTCTCGAACTGTCCGTCACTTCTTTTATCTTCACAAGCTTCACGCCATTGTCTCCGCTTACGGTACACTAGAGCGCAACGCATTTTGACGAAGGCTTGCTGTTTCTCGGCGGGGAGCATATATAATCGCCACTCCTCCGGACCAGAGCTGCAGTCCAAGTACGCCTACTCGCTGATCTCAGCAGCAACAGTCGGCTTGTGGCTACTCGAACCCTCATCAAAGCAACCATGACGGACCCTCCACTCAGCCAAGCTGTCGGCTATGGTGTGGTCATTGGGCTAGGCTTTGCCTTTGCGTAAGTCCATTGGAGCATTGCCAACTACATATTGGATGCTTACGTATCGAAGCTTCTTCATGATCCTTACTACGTTTGTTCTTAAACGGTATGTGATTCTGGCTTCGCCTATGAGTCTGGTTGCGCAGTCGCTCACTGGTGCAGATACAACTATGAGTTGCAGACGTCGGAAATGTTCAGCACTGCTGGTCGGAGCGTGAAGTCTGGTCTCGTTGCCTCTGCCGTTGTTTCTTCCTGGACATGGGCTGCAACACTGCTCCAGTCCAGTGCTGTCGCGTACAACTATGGCGTTAGCGGACCATTTTGGTACGCCTCTGGTGCAACCGTCCAAATCATCCTTTTCGCAACTATCGCAATCGAATTGAAGCGAAGAGCACCAAACGCCCACACCTTCCTCGAAGTTATCCGGGCGCGCTACGGAGCGATTACGCATATCGTATTCATGGTCTTTGGCTTGTTCACCAATATCTTGGTCACATCTATGTTGCTCACCGGAGGTTCCGCTGTCGTCACAACGCTCACCGGTGTGCCGACCGCCGCTGCTTGCTTCCTGCTTCCCGTGGGTGTCGTACTTTATACTATGTTTGGTGGTATTAAAGCGACATTCCTTACCGACTACGCGCATACGGTCGTCATCCTGGTCATCCTCCTCTTGTTCGCCTTTACTGCCTATGCCACCAACGAGAATCTCGGCAGCCCCGCCAGGGTGTTTGACCTGCTTGTCGAAGCTGCCAAGAAGCATCCAGTTGAAGGTACATCTTCCTACGACGTTTATGCAAGTTTCTGAACTGATGATATTAGGCAACGCTGGAGGCTCATATCTTACAATGCGCTCGAAGGAAGGTGCCATCTTCTTCGTCATCAACATCGTTGGAAATTTCGGAACCGTCTTTTGCGACAACGGATACTACAACAAAGCTATCGCCGCAAGCCCCGTGGATGCTCTGCCAGGCTACATCATGGGAGGGTTATCCTGGTTCGCAATTCCCTGGCTAGCCGCTACTACCATGGGTCTTGCCGCTGTAGCTCTGGAGAGCAATCCCGTCTTCCCTACCTATCCCAATCGTCTTCCCGCTGCCGATGTCTCCGCAGGTCTTGTCTTGCCCAATGCTGCTGTAGCTATGCTAGGTAGTGGAGGTGCCGTCGCAACACTGCTTCTTGTCTTCATGGCTGTCACGTCAGCGATGTCTGCTGAGCTAATTGCTGTCTCAAGTATATGGACCTATGACTTCTATCAGACATACATCAACCCACGGGCCACTGGAAAGCAGCTTATATATATGTCTCACATGATGGTCGTTGCGTTTGCTGTCGCCATGGCTGCCTGGTCGACTGGTCTCTATTACATCGGCATCTCCATGGGCTATCTCTACCTCCTAATGGGCGTCATCATTTCCTCTGCTGTTCTCCCTGCGACCCTGACCCTGATGTGGAGCAAGCAAAATTGGTACGCTGCCACCTTCTCACCACCTCTTGGTTTCGCTTGCTCGCTCATCGCATGGCTCGTGACCGCAAAGAAGGAGGGTGGCGAACTTACTGTCGCTACAACCGGTGCCAACAACCCTATGCTTGCTGGAAACGTCGTCGCGCTCCTCTCACCACTCATCTTCGTGCCTATCCTAACATACGCGTTCGGACCCCAAAACTATGATTGGGTCTCCATGAAGGCGATCCGCAAAGGCGACGACCACGATCTTGCGACGGCCGCTCATGTAGACATCGAACTTATACCGGGCGAGCGCCGACACAGCATCACGGAGGAAGAAGCGGAGCAGGCCAAGCTTCTCAAGGCTTCAAAGATCGCGAGATGGATGACTGTTTTCATGACTCTCGCCTTCCTAGTGCTTTGGCCTATGCCCATGTACGGATCGGGATACATCTTCAGCAAGAAGTTCTTCACGGGATGGGTAGTCGTCGGTATCCTCTGGATGTTCTGTAGTGTGTTCTGCGTGGGATTATATCCGCTGTGGGAGGGTAGGAAGACGAGCGTGCATACGGTCAAGGCTATCTTCATGGACGTCACTGGCAAGGGAAGGCCGAAAGCTTCGGTCACGCAAGGAGAAGGCCTGGAGTCACCGCCTACTGAGTCAGTTGACGAGAAGGCTAAGCAGTAAGGATGGAATCGCAGTCCTCAAAGGCGGCTTTTGGACTTGATGGATTGGGTGTAGGCGCTACGTTGATTTTGTTTTATATGCGAGATATCCCGATGATACCAAGCCACTCTTTGTAGGTGACTAGATTAGTTTAGCTGTTAATAACACACTCAAGTATCGAGAACAATCTGAACCCGCTTTCTCAAAGAAGGAAACCGGCTGCGTCATTCGGCACCGATACATGCATCCGTCATTGTCACACTGCCCCAACAAGAGGCACCAAATCGATACCAGAAGCAGCGGGCCGCTCCGTCCATGTAAGCCCGCACTCTCCCAGCCCATGAATTAGTCCTTCCCTTTGTACCTCTTCCACATCTTCTTCACACAATTTTGCACCACATCGGGCACACAATCCTTGCAAAACGGTCCGTCGAGAAAAGTCCCCTCGTCCCCAATCATACAGCACATGCAAGCGACCGCGCAAAAAAGACATGGCGCGCAAGCTATCGATACCACTGTGCCGGCCGCTGATTTGGTCTTTGAGGCTGCGTTGGTGGTGGCAGAATGGTCTTGCGCAGCGTATTGCATGGAGTCTGGGGAGGGCTCATCGTGGTTTAGAGCGTTGCCAGGGTTGGGGCGGGGTTCGGAGGGGCTGGGCATGGCGAGAGCTGCAGAAGAGCACTGCTTACGCGTGCACGTGGTGTTGACGGTGTACCGTGGTACTAGTATTGGTAGATCAAGGTGATGTGGCAGGCTGGTCGAAAGCAGACATCTCTGCGCTGCATTATAATACCTAGGTAGCTGTCATGGCTCAAAGAAGGCATAAAATTGCATGCAGAAGTAATGCAATTTCCAAGTTTTGCCTTGCATGTAGCACGCCCAATGGAGACCTCGCTTAGGGCCTTTGCAACGTCACTGTTCCGACCCTTGCGCACCTCATACCAATGACCAATCATGCCAAGCAAGGTTCTCAGCGTCCCATGACACGTCGGAAAGCCACGGGATTGTCCAGTTTCCTCGCAGCTGATAGGATAGGCTCAAGGCTTTCACTGACGCTCTCATGCCCTGTCTCACTACTCCCAAGTCCATTTTGATCACCTCTGTGTCTGGGGGAATTGGCAGCCATCTGGTACCCCTGTTGTTCGACCAAAGTCCACAACCAAAGCTAGTCCTCCCGACAAGGAATGCAGAAAATCTGAAGTCGGCACTTCTATCCATCTCGAAAGCGGGGCAATATGTCTTCTTACCGCAAATCTCAGTTAGAGACCCGGTTTGGGTGGAGTCACTTTCAAAGGACAATGAATTAAACACAATCTTCCTCTACCTTACGGGTTCTGATGAGATGACCACTGCCCTGATATTACTAGATGCCATTAGAAGGATCCCTGCCATCAAGAAACTCGCGTATCCCTCCAGTATCGGTGAATTCACGTCCGAAACCGATTCACGAATACCGTCCGCACGAGTGCGATACCCCCGCCAGCTTGCAAAGGCTATCATAGAGCAAAGGCTCAAGTATAGACCGCTTGATCTCGAATGGACAATTCTGGGGTCGACAATTTTCTTCGCCAACGACAACATGCAGATATCGAACATACCGTCGAAAGGCGGACTATCGGGACTCTCTCGGCATGGCGTTAGCAGAATCGCACTGTCTGAAATTGCACTTAGAGCACGCAATGCCATGTACGACACGAATGGTGCCTGGCATGGCAGGAAGTTTCAACTCGGGAAGAAGAACCTGTACATAAGTGAAAATTTCACCCAAATATGGTCGAAGGCACTGGTAAAGCCGATCGATAACACCAGAAAGAGCAACAGAAGTGGAGCAGCGGTTGAGGAAGATGATGCCTGGAGATACTGGATTTGATTTAGGGCGCTCACAAAGACTCATATTGGGTATCTCCTTGATTCGGGGATCTCGATGACGGACGTGGAGTAACGATCAGGTGACATTTCTCGGGAAAGAGCCGGGTGATTTTGAGTCTTGAGCGGAAGATACAGCTAAAATAAGGCTGCAGGCATAAAACAGGAATCTCTATAGTCGTGACTTTAGGAGCCGTGCGACAAGTTTAGAACGAAATATAAGCTTAGCAGAAATACCGAACACAAATAAAAATCTGTTATACGGATAGTAGTACACGATTTCAACTCCAGAAAAACAGAAGTGGAATGTTCAGTCTCGCAATGTGGCTGATATGTGGAGGTATCGGGTGACGCAGACCAGTACGCCATGACAGCTCGTTAGATAGCCCCATTCCCTAAGCTTACTGCCTCCTGAACGCCCTCGGACCATGAAATCAAAGCCATCAAAAGTGCTCCGTGAGTGGACCTGAGAGCTGACTATTCTGGTAACGGCCAGCTCCCAGTCTTCCCAGCTCGGGGTGGACTCGGGAACGAACCCGGAGACACCGGTGGATTGCTCCTCAACGCCATATCAGCCAGCCCTGGGGTCGGCTTACGCTCCGGAACCCTCATACCGACCTTTAAAAGTTCTGTGTCGCTACCTGAAGGCGCATGTCTCGGCCCAGACAATGGAAGACTGGGTAGCGGAGGAGTTATAGGTCGCGTTTGTGACTCGACTGACTTCACACTCCCGGCACGAACAATAGATACCTTCTCCGCGGACTCAATGCTCCATTCAGGATCGCCCTTTTGCTCGCGTTTATCATGTGGACCAAAAAAGCTCGTGAATGCACTCGTGAGCACACTGCGACGTGGAGGAGAACCTTCATGTTGACTGCCTGTCTCGCTCCCTAGAGACTCATGAGCCTTCATCTTGCTTCGACGGTGGAATTCGTATGCGATGGCACCGACAATAACGAGTATGGCAAGCGTGATGCCGATGCCCACACCTGCTTTTTCGCCACCGCTGAAAGGCTTCAACGAGGAGGTTGGAAGGGGCGCGAGGTCCAGTGAAGGAGCCTGTGTAGCTTGAGTGGAAGCGGAGGAGTTCGCTTCTGCTAGGGCAGATTCCGGAAATGAAAGAGGAGTTGAGTTCACGTAGACGGTTTTCGAAGACGTCACTGTGAGTCGAGTGGTCGTAAGAGAAGATACCGGCCTCAATGAGGAGTGTGGCCCTGGCACGGAAAGGGACGATAGGCTTTGGACGATCTCAGAAATAGAGGGGGCCACGTAAGGTATTCCAACAAGAGTTGCTGGGCTAGATTGGAGCATTGAGAGCATGTCTACAACGCTGGAGGGCTTTCCAAAGGATCCGGTAGGTCTTGAAGACGCTGTATGGAGACCGTTCTTTGCCTCCGGCAAAGCTGTTGTCTCCACTGTAATACTTGCCGGCGCTGCTGATGTCTCCAGAGGCATGAAAAAGGTTGTAGGCGAGGACGAAATCAGAACGCCCTCTGTGTCCTTATTGTCAACTTCGCCGCTAGAGTCGTTTGTTGCAGTTTGGTCGCCACCTTGCTGCCCATCATTCCTTCCACTGCCAAAACGACCGCCATTGCGGAAGCCCTAATTGAACTGTTAGCAGCTGTTGACGAGAGGGAGGAGCACACTGCCAAATCTTACCGATTGATGCCCAAATCGTCTTCCGCCTCTGTGGCTGCCATTACCAAATCCTCCATTGCCTCCTCCAGAATTCGCATTCCCATCTGTGGAGGGCACACTGCCTCCACCACCATTGTCTTGCGCCTCGACGGCTCTCAACCCGGAAACCAGAGTCCAGCACAGCCATGCGGCACTGATATTAGAAGAAATCATCACAAATTCGTAAGGTAAATGTAGAATAGAGTTTGAAAAGCAATGTGAAGGAAAGTTCGAGATGCAGACCAGCTGCATCGCATGCGTCCTGTGGGTAGTAGATCTGAAATCTGAAATCCGGAAACATTGGTGTCGTGGTTGCAAAGTGTGGTACCCCTGCTACATTGCACGACGCCGATTGGCCGCCTGGCCATCCCCTTCCATAGAGATTATGGCTGCGTCAGGTGTATTGCGCCGCATATCTTGCGCATTATGCCAGGGCTCACAGTGATGGCGATGCGTACAGGTTTTCGAATGTCAAACAGTTCTCGGGTCGCCTTAGCTGATGTGGGGTGAGCGGAACCATGAAGGCATGACCGCGTGGTGCGGGATCCGCACAGGCTGAAGATCGTAGCCAGGCGTTTGCATTAATGGAAGCTATCGGGCTGTTGTTTTAGAAGCTCGCATTGCCGACTGTGTGGCACAAACCCGCTACCTTTTGCCGAACCATGCGTCCGTGTGATAGAGTCTTACCGATTTGAATCTTTCCCTTCCAGCGTGGACATTTTTAAAAGGGCAGGAAAGCGATCCTAGCAGCCTCCATATATTCCGCATCGCTCTGCAACCGCAATTGTGATGCAAAGACAACATTGGCGCAAGGCCATCATGTCGCGGATCGTACGCGGCTTCATGTTGGGATGGCTACCGGCTATATTTCAGCCGCATGCAGTGAACCCAACCGCGTTTTGAGCCGAAGTACGGATGATTTGCTTCGATATTTCACCATGACAGCGCACACTGAGCATCGAAAACAGTTCTGCTGATGCAATGTTGGATCTCGACGCTGTGACGCAGAAAGATCGAGCGGGACCGGTAGATAGACTTCCCTCCAGTGCTTCAGCTGCCACGCTAACCGACGGGAACGTCACACGTAATACATCGCTGAAGTAAAGAAGATTAACCCCCTCAAGCATGGGAAGAAACTCAGCCTTGGAATCAACGTAAAGTGGACTATTCAAAGTCCCAATTGCCTTTGCTGAACTAGAGTCTATTTACAGTCGCGCTTGCCCCATACGAGATAAGCGCAACGGGTGCCTAATTACACAGTGCTCCATGGTGGCCTCTTGTGGCGCAGCCTCGTCGACAATACTGGAGCTCGATCTTATCAAACTTTGACACCTACAATCCACTGTCACTATGGCAGACCATGATTTCAAATTGCGGCTCGGGATCCCGAAAGAGTTTCCGAGAACGAATCAGATTGCGTATCGAAAGCGTGCACATCTCTGGCGCGGCGCTGACCCACACATGAAAACAGCCAGATACTGTCACAACAGCGATGGACTGGACAACTGCGATTGCATGAGTGCACACTCCCAAGCCCAAGAAAATTGCGCCTTCTTTGGCCGCCCAATAGAGCCTCTAGCTTTCTACCTTCCTGCTTTCGCCTACGTGAACCAACAAAAACAATGCCCTTTTTACGGTATCCTTCCCAAAGAAATTCGCGATCTGGTGTTTGAGTATGCTTTAGGGGACAATGGTGCACCTGCGCCTAACAGCGAGAACAATTTCAGAAGGGAGCCTTGCGTCGCCTCCGATATCGCCCGAACCGACATTGCATGCGCGCTGCTCCAGACATGTAAAGCAGTCTACCTGGAGGCCTATCGTCTACCGCTACTGCTCAATGGTAGATATTTTCCCCTCATTAGCTGATCCAGAATGATTGGTTTTCCTGACTAACTAGTTTTTGAATAACTAGGCTACGTATCCTACTGCCAAAATGGGCCTTCACGCCCCGATCTCACACGTCTTGCACCTGTAAGTACTTACAACATGTACATTAATGGCTATCAAGCTAATCTATGTCCAGTGGCAATATGCTTTGATCCAACGAGTGGATTGCAGCGTGCAGCAATGCGAATTAGAGTACAGTGGCCTTCAACCTGAGCTCGACAAGTGGCACGCAACACTGAGGCATTCAGGCGCCTACGTGGCCCCTCGCTTATACAGCTACAATAACCGTTGGAAACGAACCGAAGGGGTGATACCGTCACATTGCTTTGGTCTCACAACGTTCGGTGACGATAGCGACGACTGGCGACCAGAAGATGGAGACAAAGTAACTCTACCCAATGCTTGTCCATCGCGCGATTACGATCCCGAGATTGGCCACTATTATCTACAGACCAAGGATAACTTCATCGCACGCGCAATGGTGGCTCGCCCTCTCACGCATCTTGTCATTCGAATGTAAGTGTCGGCACAACACCTACCGTTGTTGTCACTTGATGGATTGACTTTCTCAACAGGTCGCGTACCGATTGGTGGACTTGGGCGGACAAGCCGGACAGCACTGCCGCTGAAGAACAACTCGCTCTAGATCCCGCCTGCGGCCTAATAGAAAGACCACTAATAACCGACATGCTTTCATTGGCAGCACAAAGGCGTGCGGGTCAGCAGACAGCATACGATGGAACCTGGGGTGCAGCCATTGGAAAACTCCCGGACCTGAATACGTTCGAACTCATCCTCGAGACGTTTTTCGAAAAGAAAAGACAGCTTGAAACTGTAGTTGATTGCGCTAAAACTTGGAAATTCCCATTGGAAGGCACACCATACGAATTGGCATGTGATGGGAAAGTGGAGGATCTGAGGTGGACTAATGCCGACAGCGATGCAAGCTGGGAAACCACATCCGATACTGGAAGTGCAGCAATGGATATAGATGAAAACGATGATTCTGCTGACGAAAAAAGCGAGGATCACGAGACAAAACAAGAGGCTACAGATGGAGGAAGATCTACTCAGGATGACACCGATGATGGGGTGGCTGCTGGAGACCTGATGCATCTTGATGCAGAGATGCCTGATACGGACACAAACTCTCTGCCATCACATACGCATCTTGGCCAGGTCTTGCATTTGGACACCACTGTGGCTGGAGCTGAACAGTCCAGCTTCGAGCCTCAAGCAAGCGAAAACTCAGCTCCGGTTCTTGTAGAATTTTCTCCTTTGGAACTCGGATATACCGAGATTCCTCTTTCTCGTCCAAACAGTCCGACATTGCCGAGGCACGGGGACTCATGGTCTCCAGCAGCGAGTTACATTTACACGTCCCCACACTACAGCCCACAGTCCCGAACCTCCGCGCCATACAGCCCAGTATCTCCAGGATCCCTCAACTACAGCCCAACATCCCCACAATACAGTCCAATGTCGTCCCCTGGTCAAGCCTGGTACGAGAGTTGCACTGAGTTCGAAGTGAGGATCGTACGATTCAGACGGAGTAGGGTTATCTAAGATGGCGAATGGTTCAGTATCCCTGGCATGGGTTCCCAAAAGTCCTGAACTTCCATCGTACGCGCTGGAGAGCATGGTGGCTTTTTCGTTAGCACGACATCTTCGCCAACTTGGTATCCCACGTACTACGAAAAAGACTCGGAGATGGTTGTTGATGCTATTGGGGGCGGGAAACGCGGTTTTAGGCGGCTATATCGCGGGATGACAGATGAGTGGCGGAGATGAAAAAAAGAGTTTGAGCTATGGGAGCGTCGCTGCGAGTTTTGCGCTGGAGGAGATTGGGCTGCCGAATGTAGAGAGGAAAGGAGCATCTGTTTTCTGTAACGGTCTCGCGATGTCTGCGCTTGAAAATCTACAAAGTTTCTTTCTGGAAAACGTAGCAGTCCTGCGCCAAGAGCGTCATGTTGGTCATCTTCAAGGAACGGACGAAATTGGCGAATTGCTCTACTCAAATGATGACACTAGCACTCCCTCCCCCCACCAGATCCTCCATCCTCCCCACAATCCTCGCAACCTTTTTCTCCTCGTTCAAGGGACAAGCGCCCCCCTTGACCATGAACTTCTCCAACCGCGGTCCCAGCGAAGACATCGCCTCCACACTCTCTTCACTATCGCAATACCATCCCATCAGAGCGCTTCTGCCTCTCAGAAAACTGTCTATTCGCGCATCGAACAGGAACTGCGAGAATGTGGCGGAAGATAGCGAGAGGTGAGGTTGTAGGTCGGTGAGGATGGCTTCCCACGAGCCGGGCGGATCGAGGCACACGTCGCTCAGCGACAGGCTCCTCAGGGACGACGCATGCGATGCGAGAAGTGCGGTGAAATTCGAAGCCGGGGTGTCAGCGTGGTAGATGGTGAGGTGCTGAAGGCAAGGCCAGACGACGTCCTGCACTACAAGGAAGATATCTTGCAAGTTCGCCGGTGCCCGTCCGTTTCCGAGAGATCTGGCTTCGAAGTCTAACCCAAGCGACTGCAGATTTGAGAATTTTTGAAGGAATTCTCGCAGGTGACCCTGGCTGAGAGTGTGCCTGCAGTTCATGATGTTCAGGCTTGAATCCTGGGGGTTGGAGGAGGGGTCGAGCAGGGCAAAGCGGAGATTCAGGCGTGTGATCTGCGAGACGTCCACATGCTGCAAGTGCTGTGTATATTCGAGCTGGCTGAAGATTTTGTAACGAAGGGTTCGCGCTTCGACTTGCTGAGTAGACTTTTGCGCGGCGTTCAGCGCCGCGACGAGCGGGAACATGTCGGTGGAGTGCTTATATGGCACGGGTCGTGATAGTGGGTGTCTGTGTAGCATGCCTCTTTTCACCAGCTTTTCAGAATGAGGCTCGAGAACCTCCATATCCAGATATCCATCGTCGTAGTCGTACCTCTTCTTTTCGACGAGGATGGTTTTCAGCTTAGGGAAAAGCGCGACGAGGTTCGCTACGTTTCTCAAGAGGAGGGCTTGCACGTCCCGTTCTGTTGCTACCATCGCCTTGTACCGCTCATATTCCTCCCAGAAATACCGCTGTACAAGATTTTCACAGGCATCGTGATTTTGAATCTGCTTATACCATCTTGACCGTAGCTCTCCCAGCTCTTGACATCTCAAGCTGAGAATTTTGGTCTTCCAGTCGTCAAAGTCCGTAACATCCAAATTTATCGAGCTAGTATCCCAGGTGACAGTCTCAACGAGACAAGTTAGGTGATTGTAGTTTCCAACATTCGCGATACGGTCCAAGCTGGCATAGCTCGCATGAAATGTGAGATGCCTGAATAGATATTGCGCACCGATATTAGCGAGATACCGGCTTGCGCTCCGATAGCTGTGCAAATCCCCCCTCGCAAGATGCGAACAAATGATGTCGTGAATTTCGACGGGAAGGTGCGGCGTAGACATGGTGTAGATAGCCAATGGCAGCCGGCTCGTAAAATGGATCGTAAAGAACGAGATACGAAGGGTCGGCAAAAAGAAAAGGCAACGCTATCTGCGATACGAACACGATTAAATGGAGGGTCTCCAGGATGCAGATGCAAACCGCGCCATGCGGTGTGCATCTGAGAGAGCAGCCTCGCGCTTTCGGCACAAGCAGGCTCCGTCAGCAACGCGCTCTCGTCTCCTTGGTTTGTTCACTGATCGTGCGACGTCATATTTCTCAGTCAGGAAAATGTACCACATTTTTGGGTGCTGCGCCGGACTTCGTGATGCTGCCTAGCTGCGTCGGGTAACGAGGTGCCTTTCGAGCGTAGCGGTCCCAAGACCAAGGTTATGGAACGCGTCTCCGGATGAACTACGCTGGCAATATTGACGTGGTCCATATTGCATAGACGCGGAAAGATCGACGATGGAGCTGAAGCATATGCAGATGCCTAGAAGAATGCTCGTACATGTGAGTACGCATCTGCCGCAGTGGTGAGCATTTCGCTCTTCGCGCTCGCCGAGCAAAATCTATCTCCACGATGACAGGAGGCGACACAGTTGCATTACAGCTATTGGTTTTAAGTGATCATCTGCCCACAATTTTCGCAGCATGTTGAAGCAAGAGAAAGGCGGGGTAATGCGAGAGAATCGGATGCGTGTCAACCGTCTATAAGCGAAGTCCGTAGCGTGGCATGACCGTCGAAGATTCGTCTAGAGCAGCCAGGAATCTGGTACTTTAACGCGTAGCATAGTGACTTGGTCGTACTTCTCGTATGTGGTGTCTGCCGACAATCCTCGCTGTGGTCAATTTAGGCATCCTACATTGCTTCAGCATATCAAATCCAAAATCCATCTGGTGACCCAACCTCCCATCATCCCAACATCCCCGGACGAAAGGTTTGAGCAGCAAAACAACAATACTCTTGTTTACACAAATTGCATTCTCAGTCATCTATACATGCCAGACGATCACTCAAAACTATACTATACAGCGAATGGTCTGGCTTCGAAATTCAAAACGAGAGAAACCATGCAAACATAAGTTGTTCCCGCCCAGTACATGACGCCATTCTGTTCGCCCACTTTCGTTGTCGTGGGTATCAAAAACACCTTTCGCAATGCAGTGAAATGCAAGAAAAGACAACAACTCGATGAAACGCCTTAGTCGTACAAGAAGAAAGAAGGTTCGGATGCGCACGTTGCCCGCTTGAATGGGCTGTGCAAGAGAAGTTGAGAAATTAAAGATCAGCTTTTGTTGTGAACGTGGATTAAAAGTTGAGCGGCATAGTGTGCACTCCATCGAAGGACCACTACGGCGTACTGGTATAAAGACGACGTCTTTGAAACTTGCGAAGAACGTTACAGCCAATCGCCGCTGCATAGGCTTGTTCCCGAAACTACAAGTTGAGCCAGGAGTCGAGAAAATACGAGTAGTTGCGTAACTCACTCACTCAACGGAGTTGTAGGTGTCCGTAAACTTCTGGGCAAGCTCTTGCTTCGTAGTCTTGTCCTTGTGGTTGAACGCGAAGATGTAAATTTCAATACCAGCTTTACCATCCTTCATCGTGGGCTCTCTAGCGAGAACCTGAGTCATGTTGGCTCCCATGATCGAAGCCTTGAGCGCAGAAGCAGACGGGATGCGGTAGTTAACACGCACGGCACCGCTCTTCATACGCAGGCGTAAGATGACATGTTTATCTGCTTTGCTTCTCAGGATCCAAAGCCTGCCATTCGCGATCTTTTGCCACTCGGCTTTCGGGGCGCCCTCCTTGCGGACCTGTTTGTTGACAATGACTTGTTCGGCCTCGAAGAGCACGTCGTAATCGTCTTTCTCCTGCGTCGTGAGTACAGATTTATCACTCTCGACCTGATTCAAGGCTTCCTCTTCGTTCACAGCTGCACCCTCGGCAGCGCTAGCATCTGCATCTGACGCCGGGGTCGCAGCCCGAGAAGACATCGCTGATGTAGCAGCGGACGGAGCGGCAGACAGGAAAGAGAATGGTGAGTTGACAGCCTTTGGAGGTGCAGTGGTCGGCTCGGAGGATGATACCGGTGAAGGGGTTGGAGGAGTGATCTTGAACATAGAGTTGGTGCTTGAGCCAAACAAGATAGGAGCACCGGGTTTGAAGGTCTGATCGCCAGCAAAGATATTCTGCTTTGGGGGCGCGGACTGCGGTGCTGCTTTTGCAGCTGCGCTGTCGAAGTCAAACTTGAAGGCGCTCTTCGCTGCAGGTGTCTGCGATCCATTGATGTTGTAAAGCTTCGAGTTGACGGAGTTCAAGCTAGGCAGGCCAGCTTCTTCGCCCGGTGCAGTCATCGAAGGATCCCTAGTCATGCGATCGGCGAGGCTCAGGCCCTTATTGGGAGTTTCCTGCTCGGTGTCTGAGTTGGTTAAGTTGGACGTCTGAGTCGCAGGCTTCTTGCGCCTTATCGATTCTTCTAATGTTCCAGATGATTCGGAATCTGCGTTCCCAGTATTGCCCAGCTTGCGCTTCTTTGACTCTTCCTCGACGGAAGGAATAGCAACAGCCTCATCGTCGGCTTCGTCATCGCTGTCGTCCTGGTGGCGTGAAGAAGCAGCAGACAAGTGGCCGAACAGATTTGAAGACGGGGTCTGCGCACCCAGAGGTGTATCCAGCACAGAACGAGCTCCTTCGGCCGAAGGCGCCGGGCTGCCGACCCTGGATCCCAGGAAGCCTGGGGTGGATGCTCCGCTTGCAAAACCTTGTGACGCGACGATGCCGTCTGATGACGAGGCTGCATTGCTTGACGCAGCCGTGAGCTTGAAAATTGGGGCGTTTGAATTCTTGCTCGTCGTGGTGGGTGCGAACGTGAGCTTGGTGTCGTTGGCTGCAGCATCGAGAGCGGCCTGGCGCTCATTCTCTTCTTTCTTCCAGCGAGCCATGTATTGTTCCCTGGTTTCATAGTCTCCCTCAGCTTCTTCAGATGTGGTAGGGGATTCGTAGCCCTCTTCCAAGGCCTTCTTCATACGCTCTTCTAGCAGCTGTTCCTTGGTCTTTCCCCCAAACTGACCTAAAAAGCCACTGCTGCCGGAACCACCTGTTTTTGAGGAGGCACCAAAGCTTGGCTTGAATCCGGGCGCGTTGGAAGACGATGATGTGCCGAAGTTAGGCATGAAGCCAGTCGCACCAGAAGACGTCGATGTGCCGAAGTTAGGCTTGAACCCAACTTGGGATACAGAGTCTTGGTCCTCGGTTGCCTTGGCCTGAGCGGAGTCGTTGGAGCTTTGCTGCGTGGAAGCATTTGCGAAAAGATTGAATGATTTGGAAGGAGGGCTGACCTTGGGAGTGGTGCTGGGCAGCACCGGTGCGCTAGCCTTGGGTGTCGTAGGTGCCTCGCCGCTGCGGGCCTTTTTGAAAGGTGAATCGAGCTGCGCTGAGTCGTCCGTTTTTCGCTTAGTTGATAATATCGATTCCTCTCCAGTGATACCCTTCACGGCTGCTGCCTGCTTCTTGATGTCGTCGATCTTCTTCTTTAGCTTGGAGGATTCCTGGAAATGCCATCTGGACAATGCAGACCAATCGGCTCTCGCAGGTAGCTGGACGATCTTGGCGCGATAAATGTCATTTATCTGTTCAAGTAGCTGAATGTGCTCGCGTAGATCAGCGCTGTCCTTCGTCGGAACCGTCCAGCTTGAGGGGACGGCGACCTTAGGAATCTGCAGTGCAGCGGCGTCATTCGATGGCTTCTTTTCAGATGAGGCAGTGCCAGTCGATGCAGGCTTTGTTGTCGGTGCTGCAGGCTTTGCTGGTGTGAAGATGCTGTTCGTGGTTGAGTCGAATGTCGTTGCAGCAGGTTTCATTGCCGCGAAGATGCTGTTACTGGAAGAGTCGGACGTCGATGCAGCAGGTTTCAGTGGTGTAAACAAGCTGGTTTTGGTAGAGTTTGAAGCTGGCACAGAAGACGACAAGCTTGCAAACGGATTGGCAGCAGATTGCTCGGATTGAGCTGGCTGGATGTCGGAGGGCGTCTGCTTGGGACTTGGCTGAGCAGGGGTGTCGGTCTTCGCCGGCTCTTCGTGTGATGCTTCGGCTGACTGGTCATCCAATGTCGAACTTCTGTACTTGGTAAGCTTCTGCTTTCGATAAAGTTTGTCGAGATCTGGCCTGTCTATGGAGAAGGCATCAGGGGCAAGGACAAGGGGCATATGCTTCATACGCTCATTCCATCGCGCCTCTTGATATGCCGGTAGTTCCCCTTCTCATAGACCGACTTCTGGAGCGGGGACTTGAAATATGTAGTTGAAATGAGAGGAGTGACATACCCTTGAACTTTACTAGGTTGCTTCTTTGATAAAGGCGTCGCAATCGGTCCAGTTGGTTGAGCTTGTTCCTGTGGTTTTGAAAAGAAATCTGAAAGAGGTGTCGAAGGAGGAATAGGAACGCTTGGGGACTGCGCTTGGGAAACTTGACCAAAGCCTCCGAAGCTCACAGGAGCTGGAGTGCCGGAAGTAGCTTGAGTACTTGTGCCGAAGTTTCCGAACAGATTAGTCGAAGGGGCAGGGGTGGCAGCATTTGCCAACGAATTGGCAAACGAGAAGGCCGGGGTAGCAGTTGTCTCGCCCTGTGTGCTCGTGGTCGGGGCATTGAGGCCGTTCGACTGCGCTCCAAATATGAATCCTGATTTGCTTGCACCAAAGGGTGTAGAGCCACCTGTAGTCGCGGCATTGGAACCAAAAGGAGTTGAGAGTGCTTGTGAGTTGGCGTTCGATGGCGCAGGGGATCCAAAACCGCCGAACAGAGGCTGGGGTGTCGATGCGTTGTCCTGCGCCGCGGTCGTCGGTTGTGTGCTCGCGCCGAGTTGAAACGGCGTGGAGGCATCCATTAGTTTATCGAACGGATTTCCGAATGGAGAAGCAGGTGCAGCAGTGCTGGCGTTTGCGTTCGAGCTAAAGCCACCAAACATATTGCTCTGAGTGGTGGATTTCGTGCTGAAGAGCCCGCCTGAAGGTGCCGATGTCGAGGTATTGTTATTGCTGAACAAGCCGCCTGAAACAGGAGTGCTCTCGTTGTTCTGTGAAGCGCCAAAGGCTGGTGTTTGCGACGACTGCCCGAACGTGAAGCTGCTGGTGGGAGCCGGGGCGGAGGCGCCAAAGCTCGGTGCAGTGGCTCCGAAGTTCATATTGGGCTGGGTGTTGAAGGGTGACGCAGAGCCGGCGTTGCTTCCGCCGAAGCCAGAGGCTGGGGGGAAAGATGAGTTCGTCGACTGCGCGAAGGGGTTGCTCGGTGTAGACGACTGCGCTGGCGGAAAGCTGCTCGTGGAGTTGCTGCCAAACGAAAAGAGGCCAGCACCGGACGAGGTCTGCGGTTGCGACTGTCCAAACATACTTCCGCCGGGTGTGCTCTGCTGCGGCGCGAAGGGATTGGACGCGGCGCCGGCGTTAGGGTCGGGGCCAAAGTTGAAGGCATTCGCTGCGGGTGGATTGGGGTTGAACACCGCGAGGCCCTGCGCCGAAATGTTAGCTATTATGAACGCGCGTGGGCCAAACCGCTGTCGCGAGCGCGTTTTCGTCGACGCCGTGGTCGGACGCGGGTTGACGTGTAACTTACAGAGCTGGCACCGCCGGCCTTGCGTGGACCCTTCAACGTCTTGATCCTGAACGAATAGTCAGCGAACACGCGCCAGACAGAAGAAAACACATTGAGCATGTGTACTTACTTGCGCTGGGCGAGCTGCGCGGCCGTGGCCCGCCTGGGCTCGTCAGCAGGCTCGTCGGGGCGCTCCTCATCGTACTCGCGCCCCGGCTGACCGTGCTTATACGTCGAGCTTCGTTTCGCAGACATTTCGGGTGGTTGTGGTTGCGAAGTGTCCGAAGTCGAAGTCGTTGTTGTCAAAGCTGGGTCTGCCGAACTTATTGCGGGTTGCGGCTGCTGATCTGGAAGAGGACTAGCCTCCTTGGCAGGCGCGTCCAACGACAATGTCGAAGACGGCTTTCCACGTGCCTCTGCAAGGAGAGTCGCAAAGTTTTGGCGGCTGAGAGCCATGGAATTCGATGCGAATTGAAGATGCAGAGAAGGTTAAGAAAAGAGGTCATGTCGATGAGCGCGCGGTTTTTGTCATAGAAGACTCTACCTGAGCGGTTGCGTGGAGCAACGACGAGGTGAAGCAACAGAGCCGCACTGAACGGGGCAACAGCGCATAGTAACGGCAGGCACGCAAGCAGTGAACCGTCCAATTCGACAACATGCGGGAACCCAGGTAGTCTTTGGTGGCTCAGCAGCGCTAGCAGGCTACCGCGCGGCGCATGAAGTATATCACACAACCTCTGGGCTGCTTGCAGCGGACAGAGCCAACAACAGCCTTTTGGACATGGCCAGTTCTTCCCTAATTTCGTGCCCATCCACAATGAGCTCACGATAGTCTGCATATACAATCGTGGACAGTGCACTGACGCATAATCCACCCCCATGAACTATCGCAACTTAACATCTTATGGCGAATCCACTTTTTTACCCATCATTCGACACCCATGCCAACTTCGGGCCAGCACCTATCATTTTGTCTTCACAATCTTAAACCGTCTCGAACGAGTGTTCCCGTCCTTACTTTGTTCAACATCTTCTTCGTCTTCTGCCACATTGTGACCCTTCTTCGCTATACATGGTAGTGCTACTCGCGGATGGACACCTAGCCGTCACCAGGAGAGCTTGTCAAGCGCAGGAACTGTCAGATGGACCACAGGGAGGGATCGAACACATTGCGGTAAGGTATCTGGACCGTCAGAAATACCCTCGAACGAGAAGGGCGAAGGAAAACACCAACCTCAAATGTCCATCACTTGTCCTCTCTCGCCAGAAATTCGCATCTGTGGTAGCACCCAGAACGTCATGTGCTTTGTGTAGGTCTCTGCGCCGCTCCACGCGTCTAAGAATCGTTTCTCAGCCCTCCCTACTTGAGGTCATACTGTTCATGGGCGAGGAAGGTATTTAGCAGTAGTCGTCTTGTATGTAGAAGGCCAGGCCCAACTTATGACTATTTCATCAAAGCGATCTTCTCATCTGAGATATAGCACGAGGGTGCATGCACGACAATCTCCAAAATCTGCTCGAGTTGTCCTGCGAATCTCAGCATGCTGAAAGGTTAATTTGGCAGCATTCCTAACGAGCACCCATGTCACATTCGACCGAGTGCGGAGTCGCGTTTCCCGCCATGATAGGTTTCCACAAAAGCTTTTGACCAGCACAGTTCAAGGCCACAGTCGACACGTCCAGTGAAAGCCAAATACCAACGCAGATACCGTTCGAAAGGAGGCCCTGTTCGCCTTGCCGGTAGCATATACCCACGTTCGTACAATTGAAAGGTCACTTGTGGTGGCGCACTGCGTGGACGAAAAGAGATTTTTCATTCGGGGAGCTGAACTCCTCTCTAAGCTTGAAAGCATCACATGCTTTGTGGTCGCGCACGTGAAGGTCCACCTCCTCTGTCTTTAAGATGACCAGCTCACGTGGCGCCTTCTAACGAACACGCCTCCATGCTCTTCTCCACCTTCGGTGGCGATAGGCTCATCGGGCAGCCCGCTCCGTGCAAGGGGGGAATTCGACATGGTACGATGGGCTGGTAGTTGTCCATCGTAGTAGATCGAACCGCTGGGAGGGAGCGGGATGTTGGAGTCTGATCGTCCAGTCTATAGTATGTCAGTATAGCTGTAGTAAAACTGCTTGCGGCGTGGTACACCTGATAGGCACGATCCGCAATTTCACCCTTGAGCCAACAGCCAACGATATGCTACAAAAGTATAATTGCTGCACTAACAGAGCCTGAGTTCGTCGCTGTGAGCGAAGCAAGACTTTCCGCTGTTAGTAGAGAGCATCCTCGGTAGTTTGGGCATTCTGGGTTGACCCGAGAGCGACGATGTAGTCCTCGCGCTCTAGTTGCGTACAGTGCATCCGCTCGAGTCTCATCGATTGCAGTCGAAGCGACGTACGTGATCGCCACAAAGGAACATCCTCGAGAACAGTCAGGAACAATGCAAAATGGATGCGGTAAGAACACGTTTCATTCAGCTCGATGGCCCATCCAGGCCAGAGCAAGTCCCCGACTCAAAACCCATGAGCACAGCTCGATGCTAATCTATCCATCCATCACGCAGCGTCCCATACGATGAAGCGACCGCGACGCCCTTCCAAAGCCATGAAGAGCATCATGCAAAAATAAACAGTGCGGGGAGTATCCGAACCCAGAACCTGACCCAATGCGCCCAAGCAGACTGAAAGATGCAAACCCTAAAATGCCCGCGTTATATGCAGCTGGGACAATAAAAGAAAACGTAAGAAGTCGTGAATCCGAAGCCATACACCATGCTGAACGTGAAACATGAAGCGAAAGAGATGTGGGCGGGGTATATGTGTGCACAAGAAGAGATGTGGTGATACGTATGTGGGTCCAGGAGGGCGGGGTAGGGATGTGAGAGTCATATGCAGGGTGCCCCATGTCGTCAACGGTGTGCGTGGACGAAGGAGGCTGAGCGAGCTGTTCCTGCACGAGTGCAAATCCATGTGGGACGTTGCCGATCAGCAAGACCCAAAAATGACCACTCAAGGCTGCACATGCAACTTCGTGCCCATACGTAGGAAGCGCGTCTTGAACCAGATGAGAAATCTAAGCCACCGTCCCTTGGCTTGTCGGCTCTTGGTCACCTTGGGTGTTGGTGCATAGCCACTCTTCTCTGGGTCAGCCAAGGGCACAAGATTGGGCAAGGTGCTCGTGTGTGCTTCGCGGTGGTCAGAATACTGTCGGGCGCCTACGGAGGGGCGCGAGGCCCGCTCGTAGCTGGTCGCATCAGAAACGCTGCGGGAGCGCTTCTTATCATTCGACTCAGATTTGCGTCGTTCATACTCATCTCTCTTATATTGTTTCTTCGTCTCTCGCTCAACCTTCTTGTGCACATCACGGTCGTACTTGCGCTCCTTGGCTGCTTCCTTCTCTTCAAAGGCCTGCCGTGCAGCACGTATGGATGCGGCACGTGACTGTGCATCGATTGGAGAGTCTCGGCCAGGGCGGATGAAGCCAAAGGCCTTGTCGAAGGATGTGCGGGAACTGGGCGACGTGGTGTCCATGGACTTTACGGTATCGCCTCGAGATCTGGACTGCGCAATGGGCGACGTAAGTGAGACGGTAGATTGCGAGTAGCTCCCAGCCAAGAATGACGATGATCCGGTGGTGTGTATGCGCAGCGCTGGCGCAGCTTGGCCGGGTGTTGAGCTGGAGAGCGACCCAGACTTGCGCGTGGGGTCGTACGCAGCCTGGCGCATGCGGAACTCGTCGTCGGTCATGATGTTGTCCGCGGGCTCGTGGTCAGCGTTGAGCAGCGTGGACGCGGGCGTTGACTTTGAAATTGGCGGTGTATACGGCCGTGGTGATTGGCGAATGGAGGGCATAGGTCGCTGCAAACTGGAGGACGTAGAGAATTGCGACGTGTTGGAGGTGCTGCGGGCGTGATTGCGCGACTTCACCGACGCAAAATTGACGTCGCCTACCGTTCGCGTGTAACCGCCATAGTCGACGATGCCCAAGCCAGCGAGGCGCTCGTTCTCGGCGGCGGGGCGGGAGAGATCGAGGTCATCGTTGTCCTTGGAGGACAGCTTGCGCAAGTAGGGCTTGATCTTGTGGGAGTGCGACGTCGCGGCAGGCATAGGTTGTGCAATGTCGGTCCAGGGCTCCTCGTAGGTGACGGGGGTCTCGGAGCGACTAAATGTAAACTGGCCGGGGCTCAGAGGACTTGTCACGGACGAGGCGGAGTGGCCGCGGCGGTGGAGGCGGCCGTGCTTGGAGGGGCCATGGACGCCGTGGTGCGGGCGCGAACTGGACATGATGGTGGGCAGCGGGCGGCGTGGAAAGGCATTCCAGGTAGATAGGACGTGGTACACAGGCAGGCCGTATCCCACGGATCACCGAGGCGACGTTAGTAGCGTGTGCAACCGGCGGAAACACGGTCCATAAGAGAGAATCTGCGTCCACGGACTGATGGGGTCGCCGTGACGAGTCTCTGACAGCTGCAGCCGCGGGCCGGGTAGGCGGCGCCTGCTGGCGGACGATCCGGGGACGGGGCGAGCTGGGAACTGGTTGTTGTGGCAGCCAAGTGGGCTCAGCGTGCAAAACACGATGACGGCGTGCAAGGCGCTCCACTGCGGCAACCTGGAACCACGGCAGAGCGATACGTCTTATACGGGACCGCGGCAGAAAAAGGCAGCTGGAGGGGCGAGGGCGCCGGGCGTGTATCTGGAACGCGATAAGCCGGCGAGGCCTGAGATATATGAGAAGAAGCGGTCACGGAGTCTGGCGGGCTGACAGTGAAGCTGCGAGCCTCGGCGCGCGACTATGCATCCTGCGAGGGCTAATGCGACTGCTAATGCTGCCTTCCAGCAGAGCGTCGCCCAGTCTAGCCCAAAGCCCGTGGCGAGCACGCAGCCATTCCACCAGATGCCGGCGCGTCCGCTCCCACTTCTCCACGCCAGCCCGCGGCGCCGCAAGCGTATCGAGCGCCACAGACACCGCTTGAGAGGCCAGCCTAAGCCGCGCTGCGGCTCTCATCAGCTTGCTGCCCGCTTCGCTTCGACGCCCATCTTCCATACGAGCTGCCCGCTCTGGCTGCAGTGCCCGCGTCGCACGTAGACTCCTCCGCCGCTTCTTCCGACACTCCGCTTCCCGTAGTGCCCGGCTGGCTCTGATGCGACACGGTGCCATGTCTTTGCTCAGCAGCGTCTTGCTGACTTGCACGCAGCGCTGCTAGCCCGCGCGCGTGTCAGGGTAGCTTCCATATTCCATGCGCACGGCGGCATCTTTTGGCCGCGCGCTTCTCGCTGTGGTTGGCTGATATGCCCTGCTCCTCTCCACGAAACAGGTGCCGGGGTCCTCTCTTCATGCCAGCATCCCGCGCTGATCGCCAGCATGCACAGAGCCAAGCTGCGAACTTGGAACGTCCCCGCATCGAGACTGAACGACATCATGCTATCGTCGTTCACGTCGATGACCACGAGAGCGCTGATCATAAAATGCACAGTATTACAGGGTGGTCATTTCTGAAGGCGGTTCCGACCATTCGACGGATAGACCCGCGTGGAATGACTTGGCTGAGCGTCAAATTGGCGGAAAATCTAGTGCTGGACCGAGATCTGGACAGTGCAAAATATCCCAAAGCGCAGCACTTGTGAAAGGCACGGGGCAAGAAGCGGTCCACCTTGTGAGCGGTTCAGACGGAATATGAAAATGACTGTGATTTTGATGTTTGCACTACTTCCAGAGCACATCGCCACGTACTGCGGCAGAGTTCATGCACGACGGAATCGGTACGACATGCAATGGTCACACCATGGCAGTCAAATGCTTGCGGACCGCTCGATAAATTCGTATACTATGCCAATAACGGTATTGTTCCCCTGCTCGAGTTTGGAGGTATGTCGTCGCTTTGGTGTGACAGTGGCATAAGTCGGTCAAGAGTACGAGACCATACTGATGGCCATGGACTGTGTGCAGAGAGTTCGCTGGTGCCGCTCATTCCAGCAAGGAGGTGACTCGTGTGTCGGGGCGTTAAGGGCGAACAGCGACTCATGATTCACCATGAGCTAAAGTACACGTTTGTATCAGCAGTTCTACCCATCTTCGAGCATATAACACGTCCAGAGGAAGAGTAAAAGATGAGACAAACTCAGTCTCATCCATAGTATGCTTGCGTCTGTGATCAGATTCCTGTCGCCTTGAACACCTGGAGTCCCCATCACTGGGCCGTACCCAACGCTGCCCGATGGTCCGACCGGCTGAAAAAGCATTTTTGTTCCCAAAGTCACTCCAGCCTTCATTCAAAACACTCTTCTCCTGAAAGTTTAGAACCAGCATGTCTTCGATTGCGCTATAGTGGAGCATACTGGCGACTACATGAACCTATTCCTGTTCGAGGCATGTCACATGACTCCGCGTGCGTCCGAACGCCCTCTATCCGAAAATCGACCGAGCTTAATGCATCTTCAACAGTCAGAGCTGTCACGAAGCTCCCCCGCATCTCGACCAACCTCGGGCAGCCGAACCATGACCTGATCCCACGCTCCCTAGACACGCTGCAATGTCTCTAAGAAACCTCTCCGGAGCGGCGACAGCGCTGCGCAGTACGCGGCCGCGATGTGCGAACGCAGCAACACTTTCACAAACCGCCATGGCGCGGAGAAGAGACGGATGGGCGGTGCAGAGGCGGTGGAAGAGCGACGATGGAGAGAAGAAGCAGCCAGAAGTGCCGTTCAATCTACAGCTATTTGAGAGTGTGACGGCCCGTGTGCAAAAGGCCAAAGAGGAGGAGATACGACACGCGCAGCTGCATCAGCGTACCGCGCGCGGGCGATTTTTCGCTACATTGTTCGGTAAATATTCGACGATGAATTGACCTGTAGGATACATCATTAATTATATGTGCAGCCATCGTCGTCACCAGCAGCATCGGCTATTGGTTCGGCCAGGCCTCCATGCCCAAAGCTGATTCGACTGCCTCGACCGCTTCCCTTGCGGTCGTGAACGCGCCGAAGCACAACATCTCAGAAGCAAACATGGAAGCTGCATGGACCGACTTTCGCGACATTGTTGGCAAGGAGAACATCTCGTTGGAAAAGTCGGAACTGGAGTCGCATTCTGGATCCTCATGGTCTTCGCACCCTGCCGAGCCGGGAGACGTCCCGTTCTGTGTCGTGAAACCCGGCAGCACGCAAGAGGTCAGCGCAATTATGAAGGTGTGCCACGAGAGGAAGATTCCGGTCACGCCGTACAGTGGGGGAACCAGCCTGGAGGGCCACTTTGCGGCAACAAAAGGCGGCATCTGCATCGACTTCTCGCGTATGGACAAGATTCTCAAGCTGCACAAGGATGATTTAGATGTGGTAGTCCAACCAGCCGTTGGATGGGAGCTGCTTAACGAAGAATTGGCAAAGGACAACCTATTTTTTCCTCCGGACCCAGGTCCAGGCGCAATGATTGGGGGCATGGTGGGCACGGGTTGCTCAGGCACGAACGCATACCGCTATGGCACAATGAAAGACTGGGTGCTCTCTCTCACGGTTGTCCTCGCGGACGGCACAGTCATCAAGACTAGGCAGAGACCACGGAAGTCGTCCGCGGGATACGACCTCACTCGCATGTTTATCGGTTCTGAGGGCACTTTGGGCCTCGTCACCGAGGCTACCCTCAAAGTCACCGTCAAGCCACAACACACTAGTGTAGCAGTCTGTGCCTTCCCGACCGTCCGACACGCCGCCGACTGCGTCTTCAAGGTCGTCGGTGCCGGTGTACCTATCGCTGCCATCGAGATCCTGGACGACGTACAGATGCAATGCATCAACGATGCGGGCCAAACCAACAAGACGTGGAAGAACGCACCAACTCTCTTCTTCAAGTTCGCCGGCACGCCCAGCAGTGTCAAGGAGCAGGTCAACCAGGTGCAGAGCTTAGCCAAGAAGACAGGCAGCGTGAGCTTCGAGTTTGCAAAGAGCGAGCAAGAAAAGATCGATTTGTGGCAGGCACGCAAAGAAGCGCTCTGGAGCGTTATGGCCAAGGGTGAGGGAAGCGATGACTTGGGTGTATGGACGACAGATGTTGCCGTTCCGCTTTCAAAATTGCCGCAGATTATTGAAGAGGCGAAAGACCAGATCTCAAAGAGTGGTTTGCTAGGTAGCATCGTCGGCCACGTCGGTGATGGAAACTTCCACTGTAAGTTCCCCGTCCCTTCTTCGCTCCTGTTCGCCTACTGACATGTGCACAGCAATCATCCTATACAACAAGAAAACAGAATACGAGAAGACCAAACATCTCGTGCACGACATGGTCAAGCGCGCCATCGAGCTCGAGGGAACCGCAACTGGCGAGCATGGGGTTGGCCTCGTCAAGAGAGATTACCTGGAGCACGAGCTGGGGACAGACACAGTCGATGCGATGAGGCAGCTCAAGCGGGCGTTCGATCCTTTGTGCATCCTGAATTGCGATAAGGTGGTACGAGCGAGTGCACCAAAGCCGGGCGAGGTAGCGCAGTGGTAGATATGGTAGGTGTGTAGGATATGAAGGTTGTACATACGATATCCATTGGTTTTGGCTGAAGTCTAGAATACGCTCCCGTGTGTATCTGTTCTATTGACAGAAATCAATTACATGATGCAACCTCAGAGACAAAATCCGCTCACCACTATGTAAAAAGCTCAGCAACGTGCACCAAAACACCATTTCTCACGGTTACCTCTACGACCCTGATCTAAAACGGAGCCATGCACCGCGTAACCACAAAATTTGGTGAGCGCTTCGAACTCTAGACAAAGGAAATAGCGCTTACATTACGCAGACTTCCATCACCGCAAACAATCCTTTCGCATATTCTGTGGCTCCACCAACAGCATGAGGCCAATGCACAAAGACCACACCGTCGATATCAGTGCGCTTTCCAACATCTCAGGCGTCGACAGGGGGATAGGACAGTGGCTATCGAACTAAATGTCCCCAAAGACAAATTGGTCCAGTTACACTTGCTTATGGATTGATTCCACCTGTTGTCACGGAGTTCCCCGGCATCACTGTAGGCGGTAGATACGCTGAATCTGCTGTGGAGAGCAGCTCATTCAGGTGTGGTTATTTCAATGAGAGCGTCAGGTCGGTTGAAATGGTTCCGAGGAATGGAGAATCATGTTTTTCTCTTTAATCCGACTCGTGGATGTTTGAACTCTGGAAATCATCAATTGACTGCATTGCAGTGAGTGACTGGACTTGTGTTGTGCCTGAACATGCATCTTACTTGGCTGTTCACTGAACCTCTTGCTGGCGTTGCCCGACTCAGAGTTACCACCGCTTCCGACTCTGAGAACGCCGGCGTACTCCACGGAGCCTCGGGTGCTCTTGGAAGTCTTGGGATTAAGACCAGACCTGAGCTGAGCCTGATACAAGCAGAGCGCTTTATCAGGCGAGTCTGCCATGCCGGAACACTCACGACAATATCCTCTCTCTCGAAGAAGCTACAAGTAACTCCAGCATCGATTATGTGGACACTATCTTTTTTTCGAAGACTCATGGAGTCCTGATGAAGGAGTAGCTAGTCGATGAACCCCCTCCATTGAACCATCCACAAATCTTTAGTGGACCATGGGACATCAAGAAGTTTGAAAAGACTAGTGCATGCATGATTGAACCTGCTAACTGTTTCGGAGCAGCTTCGGCCAAAAACAAGAAGCGAAATGTCGGCTGCCAGCTGGCATATAACCGAACACACAAGCTTTTATACAGATACCAAATCATGCATTGAAATACTCCTATCCCGGGTTGAAACTCATCATATTATGGTTGATAGCGACTTCATCTTGATCTGCATGATCTCTATATGCTACTAATGGTATATTAAGAGGGTTCATGGCCAGATTCGGCCTCTTACTCCTTACTGAACCCGACACGAGAGCGACTACCTAGGTACACCCAAGCACAGAGCGATGCTTAGAACAGGAGACCGGAAAGTCGACATAAAACATTTACGTTACAGAAACCGAATGTTCAGCGAGTCATGAGGTATTGTACGCGATGCTCAAATCATCGTGTCACATCGCTTAAGCGCGGCGTCATGGTCGGCGTTGACGTCGGTGTGAGGAGCAGTACCGGAGTCATATTTAGGTTACCCCGACGAACCTAATACTTTAGAGCTTGAGTATATTTCAAGGTGCTTTCCACGGTACCAAATCTTAGTATCATCGCTACAATCTGGTTCACAAGTTTGGTTTCGACGTGGACGATGTTTGCTTCTGGCATGGGCTAGCAGGCAAAAGGCGAAGACTCCAGTTGTAGCTGAATGTGTAGAAAACCTCGAGCATCTTCTACAGACACATGATAGCCTAGCCGTATAGGAAACCAACCGCTACAGCTTCTAAATCGGTCTATACATCCACTGACTGGGGTGGAAGAACACCTCGAAGTCCACACCCCCAAACACTCCCACTGCAGGAAACAAATCGCACTCGCCCCTCAGACCCATCGTGCCCCCTTCGCTCCTCTCATCCAGCTCGTCATTTCCGTCCCACGCCTTCTCTCGCTGTCCATTTCGGGTGAAGAACACATCAATGTCCATGACCTTTCCCATCTGACTCTGCTCATATGAAGGCGGCTCCCTCGGCAGCGCAAACGTCATACCGATTCCAACAGTCTCGCCAGGCTGAAACGCAGTTGTGAAGTCTACACCCCCAAACGTATCATTGACGTACTTGCGCCCGTCATCACCGTGGACGCCGAGACTGCCACGTTGCCAGCCTGGGAGACGGAAGGTGGGGTAAGGTGGTGCGATGAAGCCAATTGCGATGCCCGCGTCTGCTTCGGACAGTGAGTACCCGCCCGAGCCGATGCCAAGAACCTTGAGCTCAAAGTAGACGGTTTTTGGGCGGTGCGTGTTGAGCGGGGAGTCCCAGAACACGGAGTACATGGGCAGGTTGGTAAGGAGAGCCGAGTCGCGGCATCGCGCTTGGGTGTGACATTTCCAGTGTCCGGCTTGCTGCATGGGGAAAACATTGCCAGTGAATGTTGGGGGCGTGAGAAGCGCGAGCTGGCCATTCTGAATAGCCCCGTGTGTGGGAGGTGTGAGATTTTGGGGTGGCCAAAGGGGGTTCGCTATGCACCACTCGTATGCAAGCCCGCCATCTTCCTCCGTAGCATTGGCTGTGGGCGACGTATCATATCCGATCGATGGAGGGGGAGGGAGTAGCGCTGTATCTGGAATCACCGTCCAGTCGTGATATGGTGGAGGCTCCCAGCTAGGTGGGGGTTGCTGGGGCATGTCTTTCGAGGGCGGCGGACCCGGAGGCGGTTCGTATCCTGAACTTGAGCTTGCGCCTGCATAACCCGGAGGTGCTCCTGGAGGTGGTTGGAATTTCTCATTGGGAGTAATGTTGTGACTGCCGCTTTGATTCTGCCATGGTGGCGGTGCAGTGTAGTTGTTGGGATGAAAGGGATTGTTCGATTGCAGGTTTGATTGCTGGTGCGAGGCGTCCTGTGGTTGCTTCTCCTGCTTCTGATGTGACTCATTATGATCATCGCCCTTGAGCTTGTCTTTGAACTTTTTGAACATGATGGCGCAGACCGATGAATGCGAGGTTGTCGAATGTAACGATTGCGCTTGGGATGTCAGGAGGTGACGTGACTAATATTGTAGCTTGTCAGCGACGGAAGTCGGCTCTTTGGAGGAATTTTGAGTAGTCTTTGTGCACGCTTCACTATGTGTGTCGAAAGAGCGGGCAATGTTTAGATGATCGAACTGTCTGCAAAGTACAGGGTTGTGGCCGTGCTGCGCCCCACCACGTGCCGTCACTTGAAAGTGCGTCATTGGTCACTTGGCGCTATGCCCGCATTTCCACAACACTGCCTACTCGCACATGCAAAGCTGCTTGAGAATGCAGCATAATAGCTCCCAAGGGCTTGCTCTTTCAGTTATAGTCTCCACTGTATTCCACCGCAATCTGAACCTTAATATTTCATGGGACTTTCCTGAGGACGCATATGGAGTCATTTGCTGGATGTATCGGCTTTCTTCCCTACACAGCGTTCACAGGCCTGGATGACAGCGCCTCGCCAATAATTGAACTTCTTCTACTATCTTGCCATCTATCAATAACTGAAAGCTAAATTCAACGGCGGGTATCACCTCATGCTCATGAAAATGCGAGGAAAGTACAGACCAATGCCACAAGACTCAACATAACATCTTCTGGACTTAAGTCTTCACACCCACTCTTAGTTTCCATATTCCCGTGTTCACCACCATTGCAGCCGCTCCCATCTGAATCCTTTCTGCTTTGCACGTTCGTAAAGGAATCCTTTGCCGCCCGTGGAATTGCTCACGCAGCCGTTATCCTCCCGAATTGTCGCCTCGACCAATGGCCAAACCTTCGAAGGGTCCTGGACGCTCTGCGGTATAAAGAGTTGATAATCGGCGGCCTGGTACTGGAAAATTAAGAGCAAGATCATCTACGCCCTCCTGGTACGCATTTCTCAGATTGAATTGACGTTTGCAAAACCAAGATAGTACGGAAGGCTATTCTTGTTCGGGACGGCGGCAGTTCCGACATCGATTTGGCTCTGAATCAAGACACTCATGTCTGCGATAATCGCTTCAGACGCTGTTTCCACTTTGTGGGCCATCGCGCAAACGAGTAGGACTGCGCGCCCCGGACACCGCCCATGACTTAGATCGGCTCAAGGCGAGGCCGTCCACCAAAGGCTGCAGCTCGGACAACTCGAACAATCGTCATGTGTTTGACGAATGTGGTGCACGTTGAAGCGCAAGCTTCGTCCATACGTGCTCGAGTAGGTGTCCAACAAGACGACAATTTCCATGAGTTTTCTGATTGTTGAGACCAATTAATCCGCGAAGTGGTATCTCGTAAAAATGTGGACAAATGAGACTTTCGTCTCATCGCACAAAAGATGTCTCAAGGAAATTTTCACATGTACGTGGTCATACTACATTGCCTGATAATGAAATGGAAATCCATTATGCTGTGAACACCTATGCTAACTTCCACCATAAGTTCATAAACGTATAACAGAATGGGCTGATACATGATGAGGCGCGCGTCTATCATATATTCGTGTAATTCAGATCAGCCATTGTGTGCCGTATTCCTGTCAAACTTCAAGTCCAAGATTTTCGAAGCGCTTACTCCAAGGTTTCTTTGTAGCTGTGGAAGTCAAGACTCGACCAAAGGCGTGCTAGATCGTTGCATTTAGAAAAATTACATTTGCTTCGAGCCTGGTCAGGTCCATGTTCAGTTGCAAGTGTTTCTCCAACAAACGTTCCTTGCCGACCCATGCTGAACGCGTTCCGGTGAACGGTTAGGGTCCACTTTCGGAAACATCGGGTCATCCCTCTGGCAAACACGGTGACCTGAAGTCCTTTCTATTTTTTCCACTATAATATGAAGACGCAATACTCGTGAAGGCTTCGAGCTAGCTCAATCATAGGAGGATAATTCCGCGGTGTGTTGGTGCTCATACGGTCCTACAGAGCTTTGCTCTTTCCGCAGCGCATATTGCGGCAAACCGTTAGAAAATTGTGTAGAGTATTCATTCATGTCGGTCCTTGAGGGGTTATTCAGGGATGAGAAGGAGGACATAACCGCGGAGCACTGGACACGTCTTCGTCACGTGACGTACAGCTGGGCTGCACCGAAGACTTCCCGGAGGAGATCCGGAAAATCTCCCCAGCACAGTGCGCCTACATGGCAGCGACAACTCCCATCTTAAATGAAAACCCCGGCAGCATCTGCGTTGCCGCTCGTTTATTCACACTCATCCGCGACTATCTTTTAGTGTTATAACAACGCTGCAATAAGCGTCCAAATTTAGCCTCCATATATTACTTCATTCGTTGATCTTGTTTTTGCGCCCTAGTGGAGAAATGCGCGGAGATCCATTGGTAAACAGCAGACCCCGCTAGCCTAGTCTACAATGTGAGCATAGCGTGAGCTTGCCACTTCCAGCTTATGCGACGTCGACTCGGTTGTCGCTGTTATATTGGTCAGGGTATACGAGGACACTGATACGGCCACCCGACGCTCCGTAAACAGACAATCATCTGGGCCAGAATATTGGCCAAGGGTAGGGCAGCCTGTGGGTTTGTGAAACAAGCTTCAGCTCATGACGCAGGCACAGTAGTTATGCGGCGATCATGGCGAGCCTGTGTAGGTAGCATTCCCAAGTATAAAGGACGCGCTGGGGAGCTGGAAGGAAAGCAAACTCAGCTGACACTTTCGCTTTCGCTTTCTACGCAACCACACTCGTTCAAGATGAAGTACTTTCTCGCTTCGGCCATCGTGTTGCTCGCTGCGACAACCCAGGGCAGTCTTGTGTTCATGGTGTCCACCGAGCCCGGCAACAAGGGCATCCAAAAATCATGGGTCACTGATCGTTGGGTTTGTACGTAAGCCCGTCCTTGTTTCGCGACTTGGTGGCTGATGATCTGAAGGTCATAATCTCACAGAGCCCGGACTCGACAAGAATATATCATGGGCATATGTATCTTCTGGGCTTGCAAATGGATGCTTCCTTTATGAGTGAGTACTCTGAGGTGTTGATTGTAACTTTGCCTGGTACTGATGATTGTACAGGGACGCAGGATGCAATGGCACCAATATCTATGTCGAAAAATACAAGGGAGACCTCTGCTGCCCCGGCGATGTGAACATGACGGACGTTGGCTTTGACAACAGGGCGTCGTCATGGGCATGCTATTGATGTTAGATTCATGCGTGTCGCTTTTGTGCATACAAATAGACTTTCTAATGCTGATTCACAGTTCCAGGGATATAACGTGCGTGTGATAAATAGACGTGTAATGAAACTGTTATTAATGGTATGGTCGGTGTTGATGTCACGACAAGGGACCGCCACGGCGGCACACAGGCGGCAGGTCAGGTGACTGTGCGCTTCAAAATGTGGTGTGGTGCCTAGCTAGTCCTGAATAGGAAGCGGCCAAGGATTTGAGTGTCAAATTGCTCCCCAAATTATCTATGTCTTTCGCATTCCTCTTCCTCGTTCTCAAACTTGACTCCTCCTGTATATTGACATACCGCCTACTTCATATGGCATGAATTCTCCATTTAGGTTTTGTCGCGAGTTGGATTGGTGACGGACGCGATGCTGGGAAAAGAGCAGCTCCAGCGGAGTCCGCTGGAAGGGCTAACGTCAAAGAAACGAGAAAACTAAGATGAGCCGAGCCCAGCGTAAACTTCGATTTCGGCAAAGATGATTGGTTTCCTCACGCGGAAGTCACAAAGCTTCTACGATACCCAGTTGCCGCAAAGGCATCGAATGATTTGTCACGGACTGGAAATCCCAGCAGATAAACGAGGAGACAGCGCAATCATCCCGGGGAAAAATCTTGGTTGGGCCATTCGCAGAAGTCCTTGCCAGCCGTCGGAAGGATGATAATTGGAGTGACGCGTTACTAGCAGTTGTTTCAAGACTTTCTTGTGGTCTGAAATCCTTCCCTGTGAGCATAAAGGGGTTCAATTCTGGCAGCGGAGACCCACGGTCATTATAGACCGAAACATTGCGAGTGCACCCTATTCTGGAGCACTTGCAGGTAGCAAGAGTAGCGATGTTGCCAAACTCTTCCAGGGACGCGTCTCAACTTCTCAACCTACTACCGACATAGCTTAGGGTTCTGGACTTAGATCGAACAATCAGGAATTCTCCTCGAGCCAAGCGCATTTTCTGGCAAAAATACAATGCTTGGTACCAGCCAGGTCTAGAGAGCATCTCCCCAACCTCAAGTGCATCCGTATTCCGAGGAAAAAGTTCGACGGGGGCATCGTACGCACCTGCGGTGCGACAAATGAAGAAGACCCATTTCGAGCTGGATGAGGGAGTACTCCTACAATTTCCAAGCCTTCCTATCCAGAACGAGACATGTTAGGATCCACTGTAAAAGATGGGCGGAGATTTAACCTTGCGAAGGATGAGTTGGATTATCAGCCGGAAGCGTACAGTGAGGTGGAACAAGAAGAGTATGCAGGTGAAGACAATGACTGGAGCGGGCCAGTGCCAGAAGACGTACTTCACGACTCTGAAGGGGACGAAGAATATGCGGACGAAGAATATCAGGCAATCTTGTAACGTGTCGCATGTTGTAAGCAACAAGTAGGCTTGAGGATATGCTGAGATTATGTAGGGCCTATGGGTGATAAAATCTAGGGGCACCTCCGATACACGTTCTGCGCGGTAGATGGATGCATGCGCTAAGTGTCAAGGACATGATCTGCCTGAAGATTGCCCCAACGACAAAACGCGCTGTCAGCGTTCTGCGCCAGAAGATGTAAATGCGGGAGCTGAGAAGTTTTGAAATGGTGTACGGACGGGTTACCTTTCACGGTGCGGGGAGATTGCCTTAATCAGGTTGATGCAGCTCCGCGCCAACACTGACAGCCTTCTTCCATGTACATTCATCCTCGTAATGATTTCTGCAGTACATCTTTCCCTATCTTTCCCTCGTATGTGAGACACCACTTTGGTCAGCAAGCACGGAAGTCCTCAACAGTCGCGACTCCAATAACAACATCCTACCGTTGCACCTCCCAAAGAGCCGCATCCGCAATCGATGACATGAACTGGTGCTGTGTTTTCAAGCATGGCTAAACACCGCCAATCTCAACGGGTGCCTCCTCAATCTGGAAGAAGGATGCGCACCAAGGTTTACCCGTCCCTTCCATATCGAGGATGCACGCACGAGCATCCGACAGGGATGCTCACCCCCGCATCCTCAGCACACATGTACGCCCGGGACATGATAACAACCTTGCTATCGCGCTCATTGGGCGTGCATAAACTGTGAGGGGCCCTGCAGAAAACGGGTATTTGGGACGCAGTGCGACTGTGCGGATTCCTCCCACTTTTTCTTTCTCACTTCCCAGATACCTACATGCACACAAGTGAGAGATAGCGCACCCAAAATGGCCACCGAGAAGCAGGAAGACGGGGTCCCCGTCGAAGTGCGCAAGCTCTCGATACACGCCGAGCACGCAGAGGAAATCGCAGAGGCCGTGGCCGTCGAGCACACGCTGTCGTTCTGGGAGGCCGTCAAGCTGTATCCCAAGGCCATCGGGTGGTCCATGTACTTCAGCATGGGCGTCATCATGTTGTGTACGTTTCGTGCCTCTACATCCATCCGCCCTGTTCAAGTCCTCGCCTTGCCCTCCCACCGTGTCTGACGCGCCACAGCTTTCGATCCCCAGCTCCTCGGCAACCTCTACGCCATGCCCGCCTTCCAGCGCGACTTTGGCTACATTTTTGAAGACTCGTACATCATCTCTGCGGCATGGCAGACTGGGCTGTCGATGGGCAATCCCATTGGCCAGGTCATCGGCGCGCTCGCGGCTGGGTATCCCATGGAGTGGTACGGGCGCAAGAAGACGTTCAACGTGTGCGTCGTGCTCGTCGCGGGACTTGTCTTCATCCAGTTCTTTGCGCGCTCGCTGCGAGTCCTCCTCGCGGGCGAACTGCTGGGGGGCCTGGTGCTCGGCGCGTTCGTGGTCATTGCGCCCAGCTATGCGAGCGAGGTGACGCCGCTGGCCATGCGCAGCGTGTCGACGAGTTATGTCAACTTGTGCTTTGTTACAGGACAGCTGTTGGGGAACGGCGTAACGGCCGCGACTAAGGATTTGACTTCCCACTGGGCGTACTCGATCCCGTTTGCGCTGCAGTGGTTTTGGATCCTGCTCATCATCCCAGGGATGTATTTCGCGCCGGAGTCGCCGTGGTGGCTCGCGCGGCAGGGCCGCTTCGACGAGGCAGAAGTCTCGCTCCGGAGGCTGTCTAGCAGAGGCGTGAATGTCAAGGCTGTGCTCGCGCAGCTCATCGAGACCGATAGATTGGAGACGCAGATGGAGGCGGGATCTACGTATACTGACGTCTTCCGCGCAGTGAATTGGCGACGCACCGAGATTGCCATTGGCGTGTATGCCACGCAAGTCCTCTGTGGGATCTACCTCATCAACTATGGCACGTATTTCTTCAGCCTTGCGGGACTGAACACCGCACAGGCGTATAACATGGGGATTGGGTTTATGGCTGTGGGATGGGTCAGTACGATATTTAGTTGGTTCCTGATGCAGAGGTTTGGAAGGAGAGTGTTGTATAACACCGGTCTGACCATCTTAACCATCATAATGTTTCTCGTTGGGATTCTGGACGTGGTCCCAACGAAGGGGGCGGTCTGGACGCAGAGCACGCTGCTATTGGTCTGGAACTTTACGTTTGACTGGAGGTGAGTTGTACCTGCCAGCCCCGTGCGAGATGTATCACGACTGACGAGATACAGTGTCGGACCCGTGGCCTATGCTATCTTCTGCGAAGTCTCTGCCACACGTGTGCGGTCTAAGACCATTGCTGTTGCAACTGCCATCCAGGCCGTCGTGGGCATTATCATGACTGTCGCTATTCCGTACCTCATCAATCCCGACCAAGCGGCCTTGAGGGGAAAGCTTGGCTTCTTCTTTGGGGGGCTGAGCTTGCCGTGCCTTGTTTGGTGCTGGTTCAAGGTACCAGAGATGAAGGGGCGGACGTATGAGGAGCTAGACATCATGTTTGAGCGGGGCGTGAAGACGAGGGAGTTCAAAACGTATGTGATCTGAGAAGAACGCGCTGTACACAATCGGGGAAGTATGATGTGAATAATGAAGATTGAAATTCGGTTATCATGGTATCATCGCTAAGTGATTCAGTATCATCTTACTGGCAATCCACTTCCTCTTCTCTTACTCCTTGGTAAGGTCTGCAAGCTGCAGGATCGCCTTACCGAAGTTGGCGCCCTTCAGCATACCGAGGAAGCCGTCAATTCCGTTGTCAATACCCTCCGTGACGCTGAGCTTCGCCTTGAACTCGCCATTAGCCAGCCACTTTTGTAGCTTCTGCTGGTGGTCCTGGTAGTGCTTGGGGCCCATGTTCGCGTCGCTAACAATGAAACCGCGCATGGTGAGACGCTTGGACACAACCTGCATGAGGTTGCGGATAGGGTACTGCTCTCCGGGGGGAAGGTTGTACTGCGAGATCATTCCGCATGCGACTAGGTCTCTGTTAGCTTTTGCTTCTTCAGGAAACGGAGAAAGAGCGTTTCCATACCAATGCGTCCAAAGTCGTTCATAGCAGTAATGGCAGCCTCTAGTTGCTCGCCACCAACGTTCTCGTAGTAGATGTCGACACCGTTGGGTGCAAGACGCTTCAGCGCCTCACTAGGCTTCTCTTTCTTGTAATTGAAACCCGCATCAAAGCCCAATTCCTTGGTAATGAACTCCAATTTGTCGTCGCTGCCAACGCTGCCGACAACCTTCAAGCCTTCGTGCTTAGCAAGCTGTCCAACGAGCTGGCCAACCGCTCCCGACGCCGCAGAGATGAAGATAGTCTCTCCCTTCTTCGGCTGGCCGATTTCGTAGAAAGAGGACCAGGCGGTGAGTCCGGGCATGCCGAGGGCACCGAGGAAGTGCTTAGGGTCCAGGTTGAGCGGGTTCTCCAGTTTTCGCACTTGCTGGACCTCCTCTTTGCTTAGTGCGGTATACTCCTCAATTGCTGACACACCAGCAGAGATGACGACATCGCCGGGTTGATACTTGTCTGAGTTGGACTTGAGGACTTTCATGATTGTGCGGTTGGTGATGGGCTTGCCGAGTTGGAAAGGAGCTGAGTAGGATTTGATGCTGGGGTCACGCATGCGGCCGCGCTGGTACGGGTCGAAGGATGCATAGTAGGTCTTGACGGTCATGCCGCCCTCTGGTGGTGCTTGCTCGAGATCGAAGTCGCGGGCCTCAATAGCCAAGTGCTTGCCAGGCTCGGGCCATCCGGTGGGGATCTCCTTGAAGATGATGCCTTTGTTCTGAACCATGGTGGATGGTAACGTGCTGTACAGGTATTTAGAAGTAAGGATCGTAGCGGGGTATATTATAAAGCTTCAGGGAGGGACAACAAGGGACTAGGTGGGGGGGTTGATTCACAGGATCAGGGCCTTTGTATATATACTGGATAGCGTAGCCGCTTATAAATGTATGGACACGGCAATACGCCCACAGATCCTGCGCGAGCAGAGCAGAGCAGAATTGCATCATCGTGAAACTGCTTTCCTCGGCCATTAGCTCGAATCCGGCCAACTGCGGGCAGATAGATCAAGCCGAAGTGCGTGCGGGATGGGGCGTTTCAGCTCGACCGCCTTGTAGAAAAAATGCTCGATCTTTGGGTCGGACCTGGCGATGTATCCTGATCGAGAAAGGTGTGCATCACTAATCGTACATGTTTTCGCCGCAAGAAAAAACGAAGCGGGGCTCTCAGGAAGGCCATGACGAATAGGTGTCGGCTTAGATCTGAAGGAGTTAGAAGCCGGCGCGCAACATGCCTCGGTTCGAGGCTGGACGAGTTAATTGTGGCGACAAGAACAAGCAAGAGTTGCATAATGCTCCAGGCGAGCGCGAATGTCCCAAAGGTGCCGGTGTTAACGGGCGACAGCTGCACTCTTTGGGCGGCCGCTGAAAAGGCCGAGGACCCGTCCAGGGCCAACCCAGAGTTCAAGGCCTTTGGCGGATCCATGAGCAGTATCTAAGGATCATGTTTGGTGTCGTCGGATGACGGTGCACACTTTCTCGATGGTTCCAGAGAAAAAAGGGATCGTCTCCAAGAATCCTACTGTTCGGCTGCACTGCACCTTGGCGAGGGATCAGTAGGAGGGTTTGTAACTCGCACGGCTGCAAGCTCCAAGGTTGAACATGGAAAGAGCGGTACAGCCCGATAGACACGTGTATGCATCGACGCTCCGACATCCGCTCCTGGGCATGCTCCGTCCCCGCATCCTGATAGCATTGTAAGGGATGTGCGAGACGTCGGCTTGCCGAGTCAGGATCATGTTGGCGGCGCTAGGGCAACGAGGAGTGGGATGGCAGTGGACATAGCAGACCCCCAAGTTGCGTCGATGGACGAGGCCATGAAGATGGCGCACACGCAGGGCCAACCCTGGGCAGACAACGGTTGGAGGACACGGCGGGGGCGACGAAGGCACGGAGGCAGCTGTCGACGTCGGAGGGCAGGCGGAAGCTTGGGCTTTCCTCACGTGGGGTGCGCGCAATGGACCTGCGCCAGCAATTCTGTGGCCATGGAAGCTGCGGCCGGATGAACACGCCATTCCTCGCAGGCGACGTCTTGACCGTTCGAGGACAAGACCACGCCGCACCGCGCATCCTTGTCCGACCAGCGCTTCGCTCTCAGTTTCCGCATTGCTCCCGTCGACCCCGCCATGGCCAGCCCGCCGGCAGACCCCCCGCCATCCTACGATGAGTTGCGCAACATGCCCACGCCCGTCCACGCCAGCACCACGCCCAATGCCGCCCCAGAACCCTCACGGTCGCCGCGCCGACCGCCGGGCCCGCCGCCGCTGCTGCCGCTCGACGTCCCCGCCCTGACCCAGCTGCGGCACAAGCGCGTCGTGCTGGCCTCCGCGTCGCCCAGGCGAAAGCAGCTGCTGAGCATCGTGAGCATGCGCCTGCCCACACCGCCCGCCGCCGACTGACCGCCCTCAGCTCGGCCTCAAGTACGTCGAGATCGTCCCGTCGACGTTCAAGGAAGACCTCCCCAAGTCGCTGTCCCCCTACGAGTACGTCCTCGAGACCGCCACGGAGAAGTGCCGCGAGGTCTACACGCGCGAGGTCAACAATGAGGAAAAGGGCGAGCCGGCCCTCGTCATCGCCGCAGACACCATCATAATAAGCGCAAAGGGGCGCATACTCGAGAAGCCGCGGAATCCCCAGGACCATCTCGACATGCTGAAGATGCTGCGCGACGAGGGCGCACACAGGGTCTCGACCGCCGTGGTCGTCATGAAGCCCCTGGAGAACCCCATTGACCCGGGCTACGCCATGGAGAGCCATGTCGAGATCACGTCGGTCAAGTTCGACGCCAATGGTGCGTGTCGCCACAGTCCACGGTGCCTCGCGACATTTGCTGACTCGAACAGTGTCGGACGCGACTCTGGTGGCCTACGTACGAACGCGCGACGGCAACGACAAAGCCGGCGGCTACGGCATACAAAGCGCCGGATCTATACTCATTGAGAAGATCGAGGGAGCGCACGACAACGTGATAGGACTACCGTTGCGCGTTACGCTGGGCCTCATTGAAAAGGTCATGGTGCCCGAAGAGGGCCTGGACGACAACATGGACAACATGTTCGGCGACGAGGAGTAGAGCCTCCGCAACCAAGGGCTAGACAAGGAAAGGCTTCTGGCCGTCCTCACACTGTTCGTGTGCCTGGCCGGCTGGAAGTTGGCGTTCTGGGATGGGCAGCCTTGAGTCAATGCCGCGCTGTTCCGTAGACCGTCAGTGGAGGTCAAGTCCGGCGACAGCCTGGGTTGAATGGTACCACAAGTAGGACTGGACTCACCCAATAAGCAACATGTCTTCGTGGCGAACCCTGCTTCATGGACACTGTGAAGTGCAGTGTGGTGCCCCAGGGGAAATAACGTAGGCCGATGGTACTCATACTCTGATCTGGATCGCGCAACGACATATATCGGAACGCTTCCACAACGCAACAAGTCTGCTTGTCGAGCTCTCAGCCCTGCAGGCTCGCGCGCCCCACCTTGCCTTCATAACTCCATCCCTTGCCATATTGAACCACCAGTCACTCCCCGCATTCCTCCTATTGTCACCACGTCTCACCATGTCGGCCTCAGCCCTCTCTGGCAGCCTTTCCTCCGAGCGCACCATTAACAAGGCAAAGTGGGGTAACAACTATGTAAGCTGATACGCAGGGGTCGCACCGTGGTGTCCCTGGCCAGGGATACGAGCGAGCATGTGGGGGCGATGTATGTCATCGGAGGACGTGGAGGGACCTATTGGGTGGATGCGCGGAGCAAAGGGTGTGTGTTCTGGAATGCCGGGGGATGTATATGAGGGACGCGGTGCCCGCCCTCCCACGCGGGTTTTGGACACCGAGAGTTTGAGCAAGGCTGGAGGCTCCGGGAGAAAGAAAAATTGCAATTGCGATTCCGACGACAACGAAGATGAGCTGAGGAGGACGAACTCGTGAAGATGCTCGACATGCGCTCACTCAGCCTGACGGGCTGGACAGGCGCGTTCCTCGTGTGCGCAGTTACAGCAATCAAGTGCGCCGCACCACCGCTCAGTCTTCCCTACCGCGATATTTCCGTTGTCCCTGGTATACTCTCCCCAGGAATTCCTCTGCAGATCGGGTCGCCGTTCCAATCCATCGCACTCGTCCCCTCGCTCCAGATCGACGACACATTCATTCCGCGCTACACGAATACCTGCGTATTTGATGTGCCGGTCAACACTACCGCGAACCAGCCGCAGAATGCGACGAGCGCACATGTCGCGACCACGGGTCTATTTGCTCGCGATGCGACTCCTGCGAGTTTCGCAGAAGTAGGCAAGAACGGTACGGGCAATGGTCAGGATTGGTGGACAAAGTGTGCGCAGACATACGGCGGCGCATACAACCCCGCCTTCTCGTCCAGCTTCACCGAAGACAAAACCGTGCTGAACAACCAGGACGGTCACTTCTTCACCGACATATGGCGGTTTGCAGATTACCTCTCCGTCTACACGGCCACGACCGCCGCCCTCCCACCCAAATCCAATGCCACGAGTACATTCCAAGCAGCAGTGGAAGGCGCGACATTCAACAACTACGGCGCTGCCCTGCTCGGCCTCACGCCCAACTCGACCCTGCTCGCCGCCCTAGCACAGGCAGACATGATTCCCAGTACTTCGTGGACGCTGACCAACGCCTCGCTGTGTCTCGGGTGCGAAGACCGCAGCGCAAGCACAGGCACCTGGCAGACGTTCCCCCCGGTCGACCGCTACGTCAACCCCGACCTACCGTGCTTGATCAAATCCAAGGTCGAGGCGCTGACCTGGCGGCCGCGGGAGCACGGCGTCGAGGGCGCGACGCTGCTCCAGGAGAGCTTCACCGCGTGCGTGGATCCGGGCGTCAAGTTTCTGGTCCTACCGCCCAACGCGACGAGTGCGTTTGGCAAGATTGTGGAGAGGGAGGTGCGGGCTGAGTACAGCGACTACACCGTGTTTGAGCGTGGGGCTGGGAACGACACGGGCGTGCTGACGTTCCGGATCCAAGGCGGGCTGGAGGTCAATGTGACGGTTCCTGGGGCTGGGGATGCTGGACTGCATCAGTCAGGCGGGTGGACAGTGCCGATTGGCAAGGGGGCGTGGGGCGCGTACGGGAACGCGACGTGGGTGCTTGGAAAGCCGTTTACGGACCGTGTGGTGCTGCGGTGGGATGGGGAGAAGAAGGAGTATGGGATTGCGAATCGGAATGCCGACGACACGCGTGAGGTCGACGTCCAGCCTCTGGGATGCGACGCCTTCCCGAGTGTGGAGAGGAGCGTGGCCTCCACGCCTGGCACGGGGATCTTGGTGGGATCCGTGGTTGGCGGGTTCATTGGGGGACTGGCGTTTGCGTTTGCGGGCTCCTGGTTCTTCAGGCGGGGACGGAAGGGCGTGCGGTCGAGGTATGCGCAGTTGGACGAGGACACGGTGCCGATGCGTGCGATGTCGCATGGGAGGGACAGCTGGATGACAGCTGGCACGCTCAACCCGCCGCCACCGAGTATACACGAGAGCTTGAGATCCCAGCGGCTTAGAGACACACAGTCTGGGGCGCAGCGCGGAATAGGCTTTGAGATTGCTGACGGCCAGATGTTTGAAGCTCCTGAGGGCGGGACGGCGTATCCGACGAAGAGGGGTCGGAATGAGATGTGAGATAGCTGCGCTGTTAATGAGAATTGGTGCCAGTGATGCAAACATGTTCAGGGATACACCGTTAAAGGAGTTGCATTGTGTACCCGGCACTGTCTGTTCATACGACAACGTTTTGTCTTACAGATCGACATGTGTACAAATGTATCAAGGCACCCCAGGACAATGACTGTGCTGGGAGAGACATGGTTTATCTTCGTCAATCATTACATGCTATGAATATGCTAGACAGATTACTGTGGCCTCTACTTTAGGTTTCTCCATCAACCTCATAGATGTGGCAGGTACTCGCTCCATTCCGGAGTCTTGTATACATCTGCCGGCTGCCGGCGGAGACTGATAAAGGCCTCCACCACGATGAAAATACGCGCCGTCAGGAACAAAGGCGTGATAATCGAGGCGCTGGTCCATTTGATGGCCTTGCTGTTCCGGATAAAGTGCTCGAGATATTCGAATGCTTTGACCTTCTGCGATGCAAGAAAGAACAAGGCGAGCAACACACCCGAAGCTCCCGTGGCCAGAGCGCAACTGATCCAAAGCCACTTCTCGGCCACTGTGGGAAAGAAGTCGTTCCAAGCGGCGAGATGGAGGCCGCCGTACGCGGCTCCTGTAAAAGCGACCACTGATTTCAGCGCATCGCGATGGACGTTGACCGAGCCCAGATAGCCCAGCCCAGGAAAGTTTGGGACGTGGTCGGCGATGTAGGCGAGTTCGCCGACGAACTTTGTCGCCATGGCCGTGTCATCTTTGTCCTTGGAGCCGAGCGTGGACAACGTAAAAAAGTATTCCGTAAACTCAGGGCGCCTCACGCACGTAGTCCACAGATCATCGACCGCGAGACAGGCAAGCTCCCAGCGCTTGATTGCTGCAGGAGAAAGCTCCTCGTGGAAGTCGCAATCCTTTAATGCGCGACGGCAGTAGACCGCTGAGTGGTGCAGGCCGTGATGTGGCGTTTGGAGCTGGAAGAATATGGTGTGTTCCTTGGCAATCTTGAATGACTTCTTCCCGTGAACTGCATAGCTGACGTTGTGATCCAATCCTTCGCCGTCGACGCCCCCCTGCTGGAACTGATCCAGTGGACCGATGAACTTGATTGGATCTTGTGCGCCGATTGAGCCTATGGAAAAGTGCGTCTTCTGCGGCTTTTGTTCTATCGGCGAGATTGGTGTATTGATCGACTTCTCTTCTATGTTGACAGATGGGGCCGCGCTGGGCACCTGTCTTTCGGAGGGCGGAGTGTACTGCAAGCAACGGATCTCGCTGATGAAGTCGTCATTGTGCCAGCAGATTGGACTGCACATCCACATCAGGGACAATAATCGATCTTGCCACTCCTCGTTTAAAACCATGGTTGGATCCTTGATGTCCAATGGCTTGCTCCACCAGAGCCCGTAAAGAGCAAAGGCACATACAACATGACCCATCGTGTTGATCTCGAGTAGTGTCACCGGGAGCTTCTGGTGAACTCTCGCGAGCGTCTGTATGATCATCCAGCCAGCCTGGAGCACTACCAAGAACTTTGCGAGTCCGTCAGCCTTGCTCTTATCCTCGATCTGACCTTCGTCGATTTCAGGCAGCCTGCCAAGGAATGATAACATGCGCACGCCTTCTGCTGTCAAGGAAAGTCGACCGTGACTTGGGATGCATTCACTGTTAGTCTGGATTCGAATTCCGCCCATAACTGCGTAGTAGCACTGAGTTATACTCCATTCTTGCAGCTGTTGTTCCGAGGACCAGCCTGGGTCGGTGCCCTGCTATTGTCAGCTTGATCCCCAAGTCTTGTGGCTCAAATGCGCTCGCTCTCAACGTACATGCTCCTTGCGATATAGAAAGTCTTTTCGAATCTCTCCTCGTAGCCACCGGGCTGTCAGAAACTGGCCAAATGCAGTCGACACCACCAGCTCAGGCGCGAACAAGCCCAAAACAATCCATCGCACTCGCCTGTAGTTCCTTTCTGCGAGCTTCGACTCCTCAGTGGGCACGTTGAGATGTAGCGCTGACCAAACGCAGATGGTCAACGTCAAAACACATGAAACGATGATATCCCACGTGCCACGTTCGTTCGGGGGCTCGTACCATCCCGTCAGCGGTGCGCCTCCGTCGGTGGAAACGCCTCTGCGCGCGAATAGAAAAGCGACCAAACACAAAGTAAACATATCGACATAGAAGTATGCATTGCGAAGGGTGTAGAAGGTTGTAATGCGAAGTTTTAGATGATCTGGGCTCGAAGGCTGAAGGATTCACAGCTGAAGCGCGCGTCAGGCAAATGGAGCTTAAGGTGCCTTTCTCGCTGCAGGGGCTGAATACAGGGCCCGTTATTCGCTCGCATAATATCCAAACGAAGGATACCGCGACGAATTTGGGACTCGCTTGGTGAGCGTCTGACATCTCAATTAGAGCTGCAGCCTTTTTCGACGGCCACATGGCATGGGGTTGAAGTGTGTGACGTCCAAGTCGGGTTGTCAGTGTCCTCCCGCGATAACATGAACACCCGGGGAAAGGGTATCACGCCTGGGTTCTCGATATTCATGGTAGCTCAAACAACCCCAGGGTCAACTGTTGACAGTCTGTCTGGCTGACGCGATAGCTTACAAGCGGTCTCTACATCCACACGAGAGAACGTCCAACAATGCGGTAACATGGAAGTACATATGGCGACGGAGCGACAGGACTCTGTGCCCACATACCAGCGAAAGTGCGCAACTGGCAGAGACAAAGCGACGTAGAAACCGTCAGTCTCGCAACAGTAGGACAACGGGTCGCCACAAGTGCTGTTGTTGTGTCAGTGTTCGTACGGCTGGCAGCCGGAACCCCAAAGCTCTTTCCCGTCCGAACCGTAGGTGGCCTGTGCGACATCCTACATCCGAAATTCACAGCACAACCGCTGTACCGAACAGAGGTCCGGTATTCTTGTGTTTCATTCACTTCAGTAATTGCGCCGAAAATATTGCGTTGCGATCTTTTTGGACCGTGAGGCTAAGCATAAGGCCTGCAGGTCAGCCCGCTCATGAGATGAGCCAACAGGTAGCCGTCGAGCAGGTAGGGAAAGCGCAATCATCTTTGGGAACCGACGAATGTCTTTCACTTCAGGACATCCGTCTCCGCGCAGCCGCATTTGGCATCGGGCCCGTTGCGTGCCTCAGAGAGTGCGAGTATGCGACACTAACCAACCACTGAGACCCTGGACAATCGGAGGCCGATCGTGAGCGGGGAGCCGGCCAACGTGCGCAGCACGCGAACAGCATCAACTCTGTATAAGAGAGGTCGCGCAAGTTCATAGCACCATTGTTGACTATTAGAAGACCTCGATCGGAGCAATTACACAGCGATATCAATCACAGCTTGACCTGAAGATACATCCATTTCCACCCATGGCTACGCAGCAAAAGCTTACCTTTGAAGGCAAGTGGCAGGATTGAGGTGCTGAAGTTGCGAACCTGACCGCGCACAGATGTGATGGGCTGTCAGTCGGCATGCTACGAGTGGGCGGACAGCTATGACAGCAAGGTAGGACTGTCCTCGAGTGATGAAGCACGGTGTCTCATTTCGTGCAGGATTGGGACCGGCTGCGCAAGTGCATCGCACCCTCCTTGAAGATCGACTACACGTCGTTCCTTAACAAGTCGTGGGAAGCTATGCCCGCGGAGGAGTTCGTGGCGATGGCATCGGATCCCGCTGTCCTCGGCAACCCGCTTCTGAAGACACAGCACTTCATCGGTGGTACCCGCTGGGAGAAGACGGCCGAGGACGAAATCACAGGCTACCACCAGCTCCGTGTACCGCACCAGAGGTACACGGACGAGACACGCTCCAAGGTAGCGGTGAAGGGCCATGCGCACAGCTTCAACACGCACTGGTACAAGAAGGTCGATGGGGAGTGGAAGTTTGCGGGACTCAACCCTGACATCAGGTGGTTCGAGTATGACTTCGACAAGGTTTTCGCCGAGGGGCGCGGTGCGTTTGGAGACGAGGAGCAACAGTCTGAAGCTGCGCACGCGAGTGGAATACCAACGAAATAGGGTAAGAGAGGACGTTGAAAACGACTTACTATAGCAGGATACCTAATGAAACGAATGTTTGATCATGACTGCGCCAGAGTGATTCCTATGCTTGATGTGAATTGACGTCCTGGGTTGTTGGAAGCGAGCTGCTGTCATTGGATACATTGGTGATCCGTGTAGGGAGGTTCTGTGCTTGCTTGACATGCAATGAACCTGGGCTTGTTGTGGTCGCGCTGTATACGATTATATGGGAGCGGGGGAGGACTCGGGGTGGCTTGTCGGCCCAGCTTGGCAGCATGGTCGCCAAACGGATTTCGCTGAACTCATCTGCAAATGGTGCTCCCGGATCAACGAAGCGAGCAGCTGCACCCGCGGGTTTGTCGGTGCCTGGTGCGAAATGATGGAAGTGAGGGGTCAATATACAGCATCGTCTAATCCTGCCTGCTGCTGCTGTGCGTCGAGTATCACGGACGCCAATGCTCGTTCGAACGGCTGCCGTGAATACGCTGGCCTCTGCGGCCGATGCAACTGTGATACACACACAGCTCCGTCCGATCTGCTTGGCTGCCGAGTGGGCCCGCTACGTGCGAATATTGGCGGCTCCCCGGGCGCTGGCCAGTCGCAGTGCAGGGAGCGCAAGCGGCCCTTCCAACGGCGCGCGTTGAGGTTGTTTCCGGCCCAATGCTCTGCAGACCTTAAGAGCAAAATTGGGCACAGGGCATGCAGTCTCTGCAGCCACGGGACGACTGGCAGCGAGGGCGCATCCTCACAGGACGCCGCCAGCGGGCCCGTAGGCCGGCGGTGGTTGTTGACGAGGGCGCCGTCTCGCAGCCGGCGCGGATCGCGTTCATGGCCTCGGCCATGGCCACGGCCACGGGCAGCATGCTCGAGCCAATGCGAGTGCCAGTGCCGCCGCCGCTCGCCAGAGGTCATCTGCAGCAGGTGCAGGGCTGCCACGCTGGGCTGTGGGTGGGACGAGCCAGTGGTCACGGAGGGATGAAGTCGAACATCGGAGATCCCAAAAGCTTGATTCAGCCCAGCCGCTTTTGCGCCATCCATCCCCAGGTTCGGCTTAGGGGCCCTGGTTCCTCTCGTTACCGAATTCCAAGTCCCGCCACATGACTTTTGCGGCTTCGCCGGCAGCGCTGAGTTGTTGAAAGGGCCGGGGTGCTGCGTACATCATCGCCTGGCCGCCCTCCCTCCTCTACCCCACCTCCTCCATCCATCCTTCTGCATCAAGCCTCAGCCGTTGCGTGCCGTGTGCTCCTGTTCTCTTTGCGTCTTGCTGGTGTTTGCTTTGCGGCTGCGGGGCTTCCTATCTTCAACCGTCTTCTCACGCCCAGCGCTCGTGGGCCTTTCCGGTGCGTCCTCTCACAATTTTCTTCATGCTTGGCACCGCCGCTGCACAGCACACCGCTGCTGCGACAGCGTCACGCTGCAGCCAAAGTGACGCGCATGCTGCCTGGCCTCTGCTGCGCGCTGCCCTCGTCTCGTCTCGTCCCTCAATTGCCTGCTCGCCCCGCGGCGCGTCTGACGACCCCGACGCGCGCCAAAGGCGCCCGTTGCGGTTGTCGCACGCCCTCACCACGAGCACAGGGACAAAGGCAAGGCGAGGCGCGCGTCTAGTGCTGCCTGCTTCGTGCGACCGCTTGTCACGCCCGCGCATGTGATTGCCCGGTGCTACCATTGCCTGCTTGGCCTGCCTGCCTGCCTGGCGACTTGACTGACGGCCCGCGCCCGCAGATTCGTGAGATCAACTCTCCCCACCTCTCACCACACCTCGACGGCCTCTCCTTCACCTCAAGTCCGCTTCTGGCGCGTCCTCGGCGTTTGTCGCAGCTTCTCTGGGTCTCCTTGACGTCTGCTCTCCGGCCTGTTTTCCGCATCTTCAAGAGCAACCTCCTTTGCGCCTGCCATCCGTCGCACCTCACTCCACCCAACCCAGTGATAGACGGTTCCGTCGCGTGATTTGGTAAGCGCATCCCGCCCTTGGCTCTCAACACCCGCCCCTCATCCGTGGTCGCGCGCTCTAGTCGCCCAACTTTTACCAACGCTAACAGAGCTCTGCGCCAGGTCTCTTCACCCCGCCACTTTCCGACACATATTTAGACAGCACTCTTAGCTCGACTCTCCCATTTCGATATTTACAAGCTTTCGTTCCCAGCACCAAGCGAATATGAGCTTCAACAACGACTTCGCCCAGCAGGTCCAGCCCTCTGGCGAACAGCAGGGCGGCTTCGCCCCCCAAGCTGACCTTGGCCAACCCATGGACACCTCCGCGCCTGGCTTTCCCCAGGGTAACATGGGCGGTCCTCCTGGAGCTTCGCAAGACGGACAGCAGGATGGAAACAACAAGACCACCCTCTGGTGAGCTCCCCCGCGCGCCCACGTGAGCGCATTTTGCGCCATGGCGCACCTTGTCACGTCGTGAACACGTACTAATTATAGACAGGATGGGTGAATTGGAGCCCTGGATTGACGAGAACTTCGTGCGCAGCATCTGGTACAACATGGGCGAGCAGGTCAACGTGAAGATGATCCGCGACAAGTTCTCTGGGTAAGCGACGCCAACCAGCTGCATTGCTCGAATGACAACTAACAGGACAGCAGCTCCAATGCCGGCTACTGCTTCGTCGACTTCTCCAGTGCCCAGGCTGCGGCCAAGGCGCTTGCGCTCAACGGACAGCTGATTCCTAACTCGAACCGTCCGTTCAAGCTGAACTGGGCCTCTGGTGGTGGTCTCGCTGATCGAAGGTTGGTGGTCCACAATATTTTGACTGTGCGTTTCGGACCGAACTAACATACTAGCTCCAGCCGTGACGACCGCGGTCCTGAGTACAGCATCTTCGTTGGCGACTTGGGCCCTGAGGTGAACGAGTTTGTCCTTGTGCAACTCTTCCAGAACAAGTACCAGAGCTGCAAGTCCGCCAAGATCATGTCGGACCCCATCAGTGGCATGTCGCGCGGCTATGGATTCGTCCGTTTCACCGACGAAGCCGACCAGCAGAAGGCCCTCACCGAGATGCAGGGCGTGTATTGCGGCAATAGACCCATGCGCATCAGCACTGCGACTCCCAAGAATAAGAGCGGTGGTCCCGGTGGTCCCGGCATGGGCGGCATGCCACCTGGCGGTGGCGGCCCCCTAGGTATGTACTCGATGGGCGCGCCCCCGCAGATGGGAGGAGGAGGCGGCTACTACGGCACTCCGCAGCCCATGAACCAGTTCACCGACCCGAACAACACCACTGTCTTCGTCGGAGGACTCAGCGGTTATGTCACTGAAGATGAGCTTCGTTCTTTCTTCCAGGGTTTCGGAGAGATCACCTACGTGAAGATCCCTCCCGGCAAAGGCTGCGGCTTCGTCCAATTTGTGCAGCGCCACGCTGCCGAGATGGCCATCAACCAGATGCAAGGATACCCGATCGGCAACTCGCGGGTCCGTCTCAGCTGGGGACGCAGTCAGAACAACTCTGGCCCAGCAGGCACCCCTTACCGCCCTGCGCCGCCGCCCCCTGTCTACCCGCAGATGGGCATGGCCCCCCAACATCCTTACGGCAACTTTGCTCCTATGAAGGTAGGTTATGCGCTCGGCTTGTAAACCTGCGGTTACTGACTTGTCCTTGCAGTAAGCACATTCTTTCTCTCTCATTGCATGGCGCACGATTCACCCGGTTGGCTCTTTCACGACCTTCACGACTGCCTGTAATGACTTAGCGATCTGGTTTGCTTTCTTCCCGGGCGGTCTTCTCAAAAAGCTTCCCTTTGTATGACTCCTTTTCCGGATGTCTAGAGACCTTTTGTATAACAGCTACTGCCAGTTCATGGCTGGTCTCGTATGGAATTTGGGTTGTAGCTAGTTCTTTCTACGGTTCGGATGCTCTCTGCCTTTCTTTACGAGTGTGCTTTGATTGGCATTCCAATCTACAATTCTTTTCAATGTTTTGGATGCTTGACGACTTGCCTTTACTTATTTGCAGCAATTTCCCTGCTCCTATTGGTCGTCATGTTGAGCGGTGTTGATGGGATTTCCCTGTTCTCTATTCATTGCCTAGACTCCACAGAGTGCCTTGCTAACAGTCTTTTGTTACAGTTACGGCGGCGGTGCTCCTCAGATGCAGAGCCCCTACCAGCCTGTCCTACCCATGGCCGGCGCGAATGGCCACGGCCTCCCCGGTTCCTCTGACGGCCAGAACGGACCAGGCTTTTCCCACGACCCCTCCAACGGGGACGGGCACGATGGCGCTTTCTCTCAGCAGCTTCCTTAGATTTACGTCTGCCATCTCCTTCGATCGTACCACGCCTGATAGACCCGTCTCCGAACATACTTTCTCCACACGCTCATTGTTATCCGAGATCATGGAATAAAAGCCAAAGGCGTTGTCACGGCTCCTGCATAGTCTGTTTCGAATGCGAAGTTGACCCTTCGCCTGTCCATTTAGCATGGCGTCTGGCGCGAATGGTTATACCCATAAAAGCGCGGCTGGCGGTTTGCACTTTGCATGGTAGCTTGCGCTTCTTCTCCTACTTCACCTTGCTGATGGCCTTTGCATTAGCTTGCTGTCCTTGGCGGACTCTTATTCCTCTATCTATCCTTCTTTGTGCTTGATTGTCTACAAATCAATTGCATTTGCAGTGGGCATTGGGTAGGGAGTTTGGTGCAGTCTTGCGACGGGGAGCCGTCTGTGTTGTAGCCTTCGAATTATTCAATCTTTGACTTTTATGTTTGTAGACATTTTGATCTTGCTTTGTATGTTTCGTTGATTTGATGCCGCCATTTCTATAAAATCCGGGATCTGTCGCTTCTTCAGCATGCCAACACCACAGTTCTAGAACAAATGTCTGAGCACAAAGGGCCTGCGTATTGCCAACCCTGCGATAACACACTGTACTCAGAGTTTTGTCGCAGTACTTTATGTGGGTAAGGCCGCGATTCGAAGTACCCGCCTGGCCGCACCTTCCTGGTCAACAGAGAGTATAACGTCATCGCCGCTTCCCGAGACGCCAAAGCAACACAGGCTGTGCTCTTCCTTTTCTTCCTTGCTCTACAAATCCAGCTACGAGGTGACCCAGAGCTCGCGTTTGCCATGCGGTACGACAATTGGGACGTGATCCTCTTTCCCAAGGACTCGGCCGTGCCCATCCAGGAGTTTCGGACGACCTTTTACTCAACACAAGACGAGCGTGAGTTCTAGTAGCGACCGCCCTACTATTGTTGTATATTCCTTACTTACATCATCAGATGGCCGCCAGCTACCCACGCTGACTTGCTTCATTGCTTCGCTCCCAGCCGCCACTTCGTTTCGCATTTCCATCCACTCTTGGATTGTACCTGCAAAACCCTCCACTCTGATTGAATCTCGGCGGAGAACCTCTCAGAAGGTGGTCTTTGCAACTCAGCTCATCGTCGACGGCGACCGAGTATTGTAGGCTCTCGCATGGAAACACTGCAGAAGCCTGTGCTAATGAAGGTCTAGTCGCGCATTCTATGACGCTGCGTCCAGATGGCCACAAGAAATTTGTAGATTCACTTGGTGCCTCTTCTGTATCATAATCTTCTGACAGAATAGCAGCAGACGAAAAGCGAATTGCCATCTACCCGCAACAGTCGGCCAGCCAACGTGGCCCAGTCCTCGAGTTCCCACCTTTTCGTCAAGATGTTCTCACACAACCTTCATGGAATCCACGAGAACATAGTGGCAGGATTAAAGTGCTACTGTCAGAACAGCTGATGGGCAAGAACATCAATTCAGGAGAGCCGGACCTGGGCGTTGCCAATGACATAGTCTGTTTCACTTTTCAACACGCTCCCCAAGGTGAGCGGTAACCAGCGATGCTGTTTGGCATTCGATGTACCACCCGCGTTCCACGCTGATACTACCAGAAATCCTTGAACAGGCTGGCATCTCTTGGCCAATCCGCAACCCGTTGTATCTTGCATCGGACATGCGAGGTTCCCAGATCTCGCAACTCCCTGGACCACAGGTGGCCCGGCCCTTTTTGTCACAGCTCTCTCCATCCGTGCTCATGAGACCGCGCAACACCGATCCCTTCACCCGGCCTAGCACAGATCCTCCTCTTCATCTCCCACAGCTCCCTAGACCCACGATGGGAGGAAAAATAAGACGATCAGGACTCTGGGACCCGTCCTTTGGTGACTCCTCTTATGATGATCTGAGTATGGAATCTTGGTCAACGAAGCGCACCAGCTCTCACTCTACATTAGACGCCTCAATGCCGGACATGCTTTATGCGTCGCCGATCTTCGGGCAGACTGGAGATCCATGGACGAAGTCGGAGGCACCTGAGGACCTACAAGCGGGCAAGGTTGATCTCAGAAAGCAGACACGACGGGAAAGGGGAGTCCGACAGGTGGTCGTAACATTGCGGGAGGACCAACTGGGCCAGCTGGTATGGAGTATTGTCATGGTCTCAGGGCTGCAATATGATACTGACACAAGATCTTGGGCTCTAGATCGAAGCAATGAGTCCCCCAAAGAAATCTTGCGAACGCACTCATACAAGGACGCAGCCCCCAATGGCGGACATGGTGGCCCCGACAGCCACACGCCCTTCCGCTGTCGCCCTTGCTCGAAAGGGCTCCCATCCCGAACTTCGGCAAAAGAAGGTGAACAAGACGTTAGTTCTCAAAGAGAATCCACCATCTTCACAAGCGCAAGATGGGCCTCGTCTACTTAGTGGATTCTCCCACGCTGGTCGCGTTCCTACACCTCACCCTTTTGTAGTACCACAGGCACAGATCAACCGTTGGAACTCAGACATTGCAATGCGCGATATCTCTTCCATGCACTCTAATTTCCCACGGTAAGCTATCACTGCACGTGTACCGCTCATGAACCTATTTAACACGACTTTGCGTAGCCCACCACGATCGAAAGAGGACAAGACTAGCCCTGCTCCAACCATTATAGGCAACGGTAGCATCACATCTAGGAAAGAGGGTATCGACTTGCTCGGTACTTCACCATCTCTCAATATTCGTCACGATCAAAGCATGCTCCCGGGAGTCACTTCCACCACGAAGTCCAACGGCGCTCCTCGCGACACATCCAACGTCACCTCGCCGCATGCCCATCTTGACATCGATGCTGTCGGTGACACGTTTGTTCCTGGACACAAGGGCGGAATGTCCAGCATCGACAGTACTCGTCGACTCGAACGCAAGCTTTATTCTGCTCTGGGTGAGGAGCTTAGTTTTCATGCCGATGCAGATCCAATGCCCGGCATAGAGAGTGAGGCAATTGCCGGGGAAACAGATCTAGTGGACCTTGGACTTGACGCTCCAATCACCAAAAGGAGGAGACAAGATACATTAGGCGGCGAGGGGGATCGTAGTCCAGTCAAAAAGATGATGAGAGAGCAGACTAACGAGGATCAAGGTGGGGAGTCGCCTGTCTTGCCTAACCTACGTGGAGGGGACTAAGGACTTGTTTTCGCACAACCCGCTGTGGGCATCTGTTTCTTATTGTTCCTCAAGGCATTTTTCAAAGAGGGCATGTCGTCCGCGGTAGTGCATTGCGTATCAAGCGCTTGGGCTGCATCTCTCGGGTGGAGATGAGAGACATTGGATTACCAAAAGTACGAACTTTGAGATAGGATTGAGAAGCGCTAAACTACATGTGTCTGGCTTAGACTCATTTAGCCTTGCGCAGCAATGAACTGCGGTCCATCTTGCAAAGCGCCAACAGTAATATGCGATCCCTTTGAACGTTGAGAGACGAAGCTAGTCGCGCACGTAGCGGACCCCGCTAGTTAACGACTGCAGCCAATCTCACAGCATCTGGCCATACATACCACTTGCTGTTAAGGCATGACCGAAGGCATGACCGCCTAAATTGAGTGTATAATCTTCTGTACATGAATCGTTTCCAGATACGTCTTGTATGTGAGGCAGTCGTTGATGTGTCGGCGATCGGATGTTCCTCCCCGTCGGGCAAGGTGACGGAAAGGCCGATACGCGTATTGGAGCAGACGGTTCGGCGTCTACATCGGTGTTATTGCATCCTCTAGCGTGTCGTATCATTCCTCCGCATATATAATTCTACCCACCGTCGTATGACTCGGAGTTACCCAACGAATAAACTTTCTGGGTGCCAGCAGCTTGGTGGCATTTTTTTGGGCAGCATTCAGCTTTATCGTAATGCCCTCGAAACATGGTAACGAGTTCGTCGTCCTGGGCGCAGGCGTCATCGGCCTCTCCAGCGCCCTCGCCCTCCGCGAAGCCTACCCCTCCTCCGCCATCACCGTCGTAGCAAAACACTTTCCCGGCGACCGCTCCATCGATTATACATCCCCTTGGGCCGGCGCAAACTGGTCCTCCATGGCGACCGACAACGGCCCGCTGGAAGGTTACGATCGCGTGACTTTCAATCGCTTCGCGAAGATGGTGGACGAGGGGCTAGGCGATGTCGTGGGTGTGGGGCGGATGGGACTGAGGGCGGTTTTCGACGCGGAGATTGAGCAGGTGAACGTGTTGAGTCAGGGGACGGGAAAGATTTGGTATGAGGAGTTGGTGGGTGGGATGAGATTTTTGGAGGAGCGGGAGTTGCCTCAGGGTGCGGTGTTTGGTTTGGATTTCAAGAGCACGTTTAGGTTGAACACGCAGGTCTATTTAAACTGGTATGTACGCTCTTTCGTTGGCCCTCGTCCTGGACAGTTCATGGGACGTACATGGGAATTGCAAGGTGAAGGTTTGTTGATTTGTGTAGGCTACAGCAGCAGGCCATCGAGAAGGGCATCAAAACTGTGCGACGACATTATCCGTCCATAAAAGCGATTCTGGAAGACTACCCGAGCACGACGGCACTAGTAAACTGTTCAGCGCTCGGATCGCTGCACCTGGAGGATGTCAAAGATACAAACTTGTATCCTACCCGTGGACAGACGATTCTGGTCGCTGAACCAAAAGTGCCCATTGAACGCATGTACCTGCGCACACCGAAGCGCGTCGATCCAACGGTCGCTTATGTTGTACGTCCTTCCATCCACCCAAAGCTCAATAGTAATACACAAGGCGTTTTCTGACAGTGCAGTTTCCCCGTCCCAACGGCGGTGGCGTCATTCTCGGCGGCAGCAGACAAGACAACGACTGGTCCGCAGAGCCTGACATGTCCCTCGCACAAACCATCATGCAGCGGTGTTGCTCGCTATGCCCGGAGCTGGGCAAGCCAGAAGACTTGCAGGTCATCTCGCACAATGTGGGATTGCGGCCGAGTAGGAAGGGTGGGCCGAGGATCGAGGTCGAGAGGTGGGCGGATGGGACGCCTGTTGTTCATAACTATGGGCATGCAGGGGCCGGGTATCAGAGTTCGTGGTGAGTAGAAAGTCTTTGTGTGTGTGAAGATGCGCTGATGAGTGGACGACAGGGGTACCGCAGAGAGGGTGGTCGAGCTGGTGGGCAAGGCATTAGAAAAGAAGGCAAGGCTTTGATGAGACGCATTGCGAACTTTGAAAAGGGGGCTTGGCTACAGCAGTCCTATCAGTTATAGCAAATCTCCGCCATCCATTTGTTGAAAGACTTGTGGCAGATGACATGGGCACATAGGCCCTTTGAAGGAGATTTTAGGCTAGACCGATCAGCCTTGGAGGGATCCATGAAGATCGAAAACTTGGTTCTCTGGTTGGCAAGAGCTTGGGATTCGGGGGTAGAAAGATCATATCTGCGTGCCTATAGGTGAATAACTAGTATGTACTAGGATCCTTGAGCACTGTCTCTAAGCCATATGTATCCTCATCACGAAGACGCTGGTTGACGAACCGCGTTTTCTCAAGCATTAAGAGCTCGGGATAACTTGATTGAATGCTCACGATCGCGACGAATTGAGACTGGGCTTGGCTGTTGTCGTGCGGGTGTTTGAGGTAATCGAGGTTCCAGTAGGGGAAACAGCCCTTGGAATTCTCGAGCTGGGGGCTGGGCGATCTCTACTAACCTAGCAGTCTCTATATAGTAAGATCTAGCAATCAGGGCACAGTGGGTTTTGATTCCGAAAATATCGTACATAGAAGTACCTCATTGGTAAAAGTCTCCGGTGCCATCATAAACAACTAAATTATTTTGGGAATAACGCACTAGGCACTGTCTGTGTGCACACCCCAAGTATACACAGAATGACAGGCAATGGTGAGGCACAAGCTCAATGCTCGCCTTCGTATCAATCCAGTAGTAATCGATGCCGGCCTTTGTATCACTGAGTCAAGTCTCCGGGTCCTACATCACTTAACCGGGGTAACCACGAAAACTCGTATCAGCATTGCTTGAAGGCTCCAAAAATCGTCGAAAGTTATCGTCAACATCGTCTTCATAGGCCGAAACCAGGGAAATTGAAATCCAGTTCTCCAGGCTGAATACTCAAGAAATTTGAAGTACCCAAGCCGAAATCATCGTCAAAACCATTATGCAACGGGTCGCCCTCGTAATATCCGTTCGACGCTGTCATCGATGCCAAATGTGGGGAGTGGTTGAGTTCGATACCGGCTTGACTTGTCGTGGGAAGAGGCTGTTGATGAGAACTCGTCACTGAATTGGTAGTCCTCGATGCGACCAACTTCTCTAACCCCTCTGCCATCATATGGACCAGGTGCCACTTTCCCACAGAAGTGGCTCTGAACTGCTGTGCCGCTTTGGTTGTAAGATCATATACGACGGCATCGTCGATATACTGGCCACTGTGTTGCGAAGCAACTTTAAGGAGGAACACGCACGCAAATGCGATCATGGAGTGCAGATAGTGAGGTATACCGACTAGACCTTCCCGGATATCGTAGTCAGAGAGAAGCATCTCGACTGTCGATGTGGCAGCAGATACGGCTGCTGCTGCGCTATCTTGGAAATGGGGCGGTACAGAACCGCCTTTAAGTCCGCGAAAGACGTGTGAATGCAAGTGTAGCTTTGCGAGGTGGTGATGCAAAATGACTCCTTTCGTTGGAAATTCTCCAATTTGCTGATGGAGTTCTGCCACTGTTAGCTTTTTGCTCTCGGAAGGAGGACTCCATCTTACTGAGAAGCTCGGTCGTCCAATAGCCCATCCATTGATCGATCTGTCGACTATAGTTTACGAGTTGTGGTGCAAAAGCTTGCGGCACAGGCTCACCTAATAAACGAGTATGAAATTAGTGTGAGCTCAGACAGGGTGGTGTATTTCCGCTTTTCCAAGGCACATCCAATCTGTATACACTGGTCTGCTTACCAGTATCGGGACCGAACAGTTCGCGAACGTTGCTCATCATCGTTAACAATGCCATCTGGCTTACTAGGCGCTTATCAGATTCTGCGAATCCGGGCACCTTCATCAGCTTTTCCCAGCCGGATATCGTAATGTCCTCCCGGACGATAGAGGGTCTCCCATACAAGATCGAGAGATGATGGTCGCAAATATAGAGAACATACCTATCGACAGATAAGTATTGGAGGTGGTCTACGAGCGAAGAGATTTCATACCATATTCGCATGCTATCCAGTGCCTCTTCTCCACCTTTGGACAGTAATCGATGGTAGTTGGCGCTCAGGTTCGCTTCAGTCGCGCGTCGGATAGCATAGCCAGAAAGCGTCCAGGATACATCATGCAACCAATATGCGCCTGTAGCAGGTTCACAACAATTAGCAACACCGCTTCTGCATTCTTGCGAGTTCCCGTACCTATACACATGGCTCGCAGGTGGTCTCGGTCTACCCTTCTGTCAAACATTGACGCGGCCATCAGACGCTGGAATTCGCGTTTACACACTCCGTATAGATGGTTGCTCATTGGGTCATGCAACGCTGCCACTGTGCATATACATGCTGTCAAGAGGGGCGAACCACGACGCAAAGTCTCGAAGTCTCGATATCGCCCGCGGCCGATTTTGTACATGAAATGGTCGATCCTATTCAGGTAGAAGTCCACCAAGCGTTTGGCATCATCAATGCTGACTAGTCCGTTGGCTATGAAGTCGACGAAGGGTTGGTTTGGACTGTTCGACGGTGGTGGCCTCGTCTCCTCTGTATCATCTGAACGGAGTGCACGTAGCCTGGTGATCTGGTATAGTGATTCAATAGGAACATGAGGCACGGCATCTTGCCGAGGAGACAGTCGAGGGGAATTGTCACAGGATGGCCCGGCTTCTTCTTTGTCTATTGCGTAGTCATGTGGCGAGGCTTCGTTCAGATCAGGAGAGTCTGTTGAGAGTGGTGGAAGTGTTGGAAGGTTCAGCTTGCCAAGAACCTGTTGCAAGGCCGAATGCATTCGATCCAGGTCCTGAATCACAGTGCTTTTCCATTGTGAGCGCTCTTCGATCAGTGTTTGTAGGCTCTTGTTCAAAACGCAGGACAGGTTGCGCTCAGCGCATCTTTGACAAGGTGGTCCATCTTTCATAATGCATTTTATCTGTGCTACATTAGCGGTTATGATCCGATGGGTCTGTATAGTAGTACCTTTTGCTTTCTGCAGGCAGCGCAAGCCTTGACTTTCCGCGATATGCTAGGCGTAAAGCCTGACGCGTCAACACTGGGCTCGGACAGCCTGGGTCGCGTCGTCGGGGAGGCATCCAGACCTTCATTGGCTTGCGACCACGTCCGCTTAGGAGGCATGGTGACGTTCGACGAAGGTGCAATGCGCCTCGGCAGGTCTCAATGACTGTTGCGCGATCGATCGACTGCACTGTACCAAAGTGGGATGGTCGCAAAGTGGGGACGCACGTGAGTACTAAAATAAGCGGCTTCTGATTGGCCGGGGGTTGAACCTCCGAGTCCGAGTCTCTTCTCTACGATACTGCCCAGTCGCGTGAACAAGAGAATGGATAGATAGAAACGAGTAGCAATACTCGGTAGGCAAGGTTCACAGTGGCCGACAATAAGGAGTGAACTTCTCATAGTAGACCTCCATTATCTACACTCACGCCAGATTATCTGATTATACTTTTAACCAGGTATAGTAGACTTTACGACAGAATTGGGTGCGCCCCAAATGATCCAGGTCTTGGTGTCAGTCATTGTGATTCCCTTTACAAGCATGCGACGCACTGTCCCATGCGCGACAATGGCCGTACTTCTATTGAGAAGAGGCTCAAGAATCAGAAGCTGCGTCGTAATCTTCTCAGAGCCGTGGACGTTGGACCCTCTGCAGCTGCTCCTATTCTGAGCTTTGTTTAGGGAATATTTTGGTGACGGGGTAGTACAGCACGCTTGTGGTGGCTGACGTCAAGTGTGCTTGGACGATCTTTAGGCAACCAGGACTCAGCCCCTTGCGCTTGACATACCAACATGACCACCCAGCCCTCACGCTACTGCTCACTCACCAGCATTGCTTAGCTCCACTTCGAAGACTCGCACGAGCCGCAAGGCTGTCGTACTTTTTCACAATGATTTCGCCCCTCCTCGTCTAAGCCACTGCCGTTTCAGGCTGCGAATTGCACGGCATCCGTTGGGGCCAAATCCTTCCGAATTTCTGCCTAGCGTGTCATCTCTGTTCGGCCTTATGTAGTCCAGATCTGTCACCATCCGTAAAAAAATCCTCTTTTGCAATCGAACATGGATCCAAACCAATACCACTACACCAACTACGCTGAACAGCTTCCGCAGTATCAACCATTTTCTACTACACAAGATTCTAAGCGACGTTTATCGCAGCACGCCCCAAATCCACACGACAACGTCGACCATCGCGTTTCTTATATCCAACCTCAATATGGAGCACCGCTCATTGCCGAGCCTCCTACAGCCTTCATCGCCGAACTCCCTGCTGCACTCCCACCAGCACCACCAACTACGACATCCTCACATCAGTTAATCGAGGATGAACTTCTCGCACACAAGCTCCAGAACCTTGAGGTGGAGGAAGCAAGGCGGAGATCGAGCAGTGTTGTGAGCCATCAGCCATCAATTTACTCTTTACCTGACGCTGCTTCATCAGCCTCAAGAACGTCGCATGGTCCGCTGGAGGCACCTCCACCGGCCTTGCCAGCTAGACCGCATCCCGAAAGCATCTCATCAACACCATTCTATGGACCAGACTCTTTTGGACCTCCGCCAGCTTCTTTTGGATCAACGACTGACGGAAGAACGTTGATGGCTCAACCTGATATTGGCCACCAACCGCCTCCAACTCCGTTGATGCCAAATCTTCCAGAAGTTGTACTTCCAAGAGCCGTATTTCCAGCATACCAACATGCTCCTGCCGGACTTGAATTAGTATCTACAATGAGTAGAACTGCTTCCTTTTCAACGCCCACGTCATCATTAGCACCATCAACGAGGGATCCTGTTTCCTTAGCATCATATCTTGAGGTGCACCGAGAGGTCCCTTACCCTCCCCAATGGAAACTTCCTCCAGTTCTTGAAACTCTTTACGGATCGAGCATACGAGCACCAAAAGCGGCGGATTGGCTTGACGTTCCTTCGAGTCGGGAATGGAGAAGGGTTCGCGCATCTCAGCACGCATTGAACCCGACCGAACCCGCATTCTCCTTTACTTTTAGATCCAGAAGCGGTGGCTTACTGGATGCACGACACTCCTGGTCAATGCTCCCTGGAAATTGGACATACAACCTAAAATTTGATAACATGACTGGCATGCGGAAAAGCGAATTACTCACTCCACCAAATCAAATCGACCTAATCACGACCTATCTTCCTGCCAAAAATTACGATAGCCTACGTTTCATAGGTCCTGATGGAAATGTGTTCCTGTGGGTTGCCCATGCCCCGCTGAGCTCCGTGCATGGAGCCAGATACGATGCCCTTCGACATGCGCTTTTCATGGCACCTAAGGGCTGCGATCCACTGTACGGCAATATCGTAGCAGATCATGCATACTGGGATGGCTTTATCGATTACTCTGAGGTACATCGCGTGAAGTGCTCTGGTTGTGGTGCATCACCCATTAATGGGCTGTGCTGGACATGTAAGTCCTGTGAGAACCACGATATCTGCGAACAGTGCCGTCTGGCAAACCGATCCGTGAAGTCGACTTGCACCTTCACTCTTGTCAATCTTCCCGACGAGGCGTTATACATCCGCACTTCTGCTGTGGATCCTGCGCTTATCTGCGCCACACTGCAGATTATGAGAGACTGGGAGTTCCACATGCTGAGAGTCCAGAGGCATAGGGACCCAAATGGTTTCAGGATTAGTGAAGATAGAGCACGAGAAGGTGACTTGGGCAGAATAACTTATTGGAGATTGGGAGACAAGTCCGCCCGAGGCGCGAATATGGTGCAGGAACAGCCAAAACCGGTAGTTGACGCAAAAGTAGAGAAGGCCCAAGCAAAGGAGTTAGAAAAGCTAGAAAGGGCGAAAGAGAAAGAAAGGGCGAAGGAGAAAAAGAAGGACAAGAAGAAAGACAAGAAAGCCTTAGTTCTTGGTGTCAGCGAATTAGTAAGAGGCTCTGCGCATATTGGTGGATCTGTAGGGGACGTTGGGGAAGCACTACGAAGAAATTCTATGGACTCTGCTGGTACTTAGGAAGGTACGCTGTCTGAAACATGGACCTATACCCAGCGCGATTTTGATGAGCGATTCAGTTATGCGAACGTTTACATAAGTTTTGTTTCTCGTCATTTGCAGTAGACAAAGGTATGCTTATGGCGCTTTGTAGCATCTTCAAATACTTCTTTATTTCCACGCTATGGTCCTGATCGTGCAGTGACTGGTCCGCCATAAAGGTGTCTTGAAGTATCCGGAATCTTACGCGGGTTTTGCTTGAAACTACATTTATCCAGTATATCACAGTTCCTCGATCAGCGAATGATCGGGTCTTTTACATTTCAACTGGATCGAAGGGGTTTGAGAACGATGAGGTGAGAGCGCTGCGATACTCTCCAGTGGTACCCTCTTCCTCAACACTGAACATGAAGAGCGATTAAAGCTCCTCTAAAGACAATCAAGGGCGCATAGTGGCAGATGATAAAGAAAAAGAGGGCATCCTTGAGGCGGAACTTAGTGAACATCTACGCTGATTTGGAACACTGCAAGTTCATAAGCGTATGATAGAGTGGATTAACACAAGGTGAGCCGCGAGCCTGCATTCCTATTCTTTGTTAGCCACCACGGCGTGTCTGGGATTCGGGTATGGGCCGGAGGATGGATCGTCTATCTCCGGCCTGTCCATTTGGGATCCACTCCACACTTGGCGCCGAGGCACCAAGATTACGGCTCCCTTCGCAGAACCCCACGTGTGCTTAAGGGAAGACCTGGTTGCTGGATATATCTGGTGGCGTCGAGATGGTCAATACGTGGGCACGTGTTTGTGAACCACAGTGGGTAGGTGAGTACGTGGATCAGAGGCGGCCTCGAGTCCTACCCTTGTGGTGGCTTGGACTACTGGGCGTAAGGCTATTGAGAGGGGGAGAGTATATAAAGTAGGGAGTGCTGGAATGGCTCATCTTGCTGCATGATATCAATCTTGTCGTTTTGAAAGCAAATATGTTCAGTACGACTTTCCTCACTTCGCTTGCTTTCCTCAGCGTTGTCAGTACCAGTCCCTTAGACACCCGGACTTCGAGCAAGAAAGGTCCCAAGCCGGACGAGAAATGCGCTGAGTTTGACTATGAGAACTTGAGCCTGCGAGAAGTCGGACAGCGAAACACTCTAGTAAGTGCGTATGCGTGCGAACGAACGTCGACTTACCCTTGCAGGACTGGCGCATGTACCTTTTGCACCGAGATGAGCCTATCTCTTTCTGGCACGATGTACCTTTGTACCCAGATGCGAGCAATAAGCAAATTATCAACTTTGTTGTCGAGATCCCAAGGTGGACAGACGGAAAGATCGAGACAAGCCGCCCAGAAGCTCTGAACCCAATCTTCCATGACGACAAGAATGGCGCACCACGGTACGTCGAGAGCGTCTGGCCGCACAAGGGCTACCCATTCCTCTATGGCAGCATTCCCCAGACATGGGAGAATCCCAATGTGAACCACAGCTTCACAGGTTTCCCGGGAGATAAGGACCCTATGGATCTGTTCGACATCGGTCAGGACGACGGCTACACTGGTCAGATCAAGCAAGTGAAGCTTCTGGGTGGCCTTGCTGTCAACGATGGTGATGAGACTGACTGGAAAATGCTGGGCATCGACGTCAAGGACCCGTTGGCCACAGTTGTCAACACCCACGAGGATGTCGAGAAGTACCGTCCCGGCACAATCCAGGCGTTCCGCGATTGGTTTACATACTACAAGGTCGCGCGCGGAGATGATGTCATACCTGTAGTGGGAGAAACATATCAGAACATCTCTTTCGTGATGGACACTGTCGAGGAGAGCCACAAATATTGGGAAGACTTGGTTAGCGGAAAGGAGGACCCGGGCAAGATCTCAACCGTCCAAACGTCTCAGATTGATCTGTCAAGCTGGGTACCATGCAAGGATGCCAGGAAGGAGCTTGGTATCCCGAAGAAGAGTTCAAAGCCACAGGAACCTGCTGCGAAGCCGGAGAAGTATAGTTGGTGGTATTACCTCAACGCGGAGAGGCAACTTATTGAGGTCCCCGGATCATAATAGAGGAATAGGGGCTATGAAGTTAGAAATGAGATACCATGCCGATGCATGCTTGCACCGTGCTTGATCACGAGAAGCTTTGGTGCTCCAACGCACGCAAAGTCCGAATCTAGACAATTGGACGACCATACGGAGCGGTCCAAAATACATCAGCTTTGCTCTGGGTGACTGTCGGTCATGCGTTGCTGAGCAGTGTATTGCGCTAAATTGGACTCGAGATGGGTCTTCTATAATGAGGAACATTAGGTGACGGTACAACCTAGACTTTGTAGCTATAAAATGTCGGAATCGGCTATCAGATAAACGTTTTTTTGACTACTTTATGTAGCAAGTTCTTCCAGGACAAGGTGTGCTGGCTCCAGTTTATTGTGTCAGCCAGTGTAAGGGCAAGAACGTGAAGACGTCATATCGGTTCGTTCCGTGTATCAAAGCACCCCCGGGCTCCTTTTTGTGTCGAAACCCGTCAGAGAAAGCACCCTTGCGAATGCAGTGCTTCAGAATTCAAAAGAACAATGTGATTCGAACTTCCATGGATGCTAACCTGAAATGAGACAACCGTTCCTACGACCAGCCTTCTGCCACAGGCACTCTAAAGCTCGACGACCAGTTTCGTCGCACTAATACCTTCTTTGGACCTCTTTAGCCCCTCATTAACAAATTCCAAGCCCTTTCCGACGACTGTGGGCCGCGGCAGGCATTGCAGCTTTCCTGCCTCCAGTGCAGGTGTGACGAAGTTTTCCCAGACTGGGGTGGCGATGTCGTTCACAGCGAAGATCATGCCAGCCTTGACGTTCTCGGGCATGTCTGGGGGAGGGGGATGCACACAGGCGAGGTGTCCTCCACCCAACTTTGCAAGTATGGCAAGGCTGTTGGTGTATGTCTCCGGAATCGAGACGGCGTCAAGAACACCCACGAACTGGGACGTTCCCACCGCCGCGATGACCTTCTCCACAAGGGAAGAGTCTTTGTGGTCGAAAGCATCCGTAGCTCCGCAACGCTTACTAAGCTCTAGGTTGTGAGCACCGGAGATCGCAATAACGTTGATACCAGCGGCGGTGGCGATCTGAGTGGTCATGGAACCGACGGAGGAAGAGCCGCCGTAGATGACAAGAGTCTTGTCTGTCGAAGGGACTGCTTCGAGCGACGGGAGAGGTAGACCAAGAGCGGGTGTCAAGACGCCTGGCATGCATGGGCCAGGCTCCGTTACGGAAAGAACGCAGACTGCAGCTTCCATTGCAAACGGCACAACAACACCATCGGTAAAGGAGATGGACGAGGGCAGGATCGCGGCTTTGTTGGCGGGAACGGTGGTGTAAAGCGCGTAGGCGCCATCCTGGGGGCGTCCACTGACGAGATTGACCGTGTGGCTAGGATAGTCAGCCTCCCAACATGTCTCCAAATCTCCATTCGACTTACCCGATAACGCGATCTCCTTTCTTGAAGCGCTCAACGCCGGGCCCAACTTCGAACACCTCACCCGCCACGTCGCATCCAAACACTGCAGGCCACTGCTGGATAAAGACACCGTGCTCCTGCATATGCCAATCGAGCGGGTTGATGGCAATTGCGGCGTTCTTCACAACGATCTCGCCAGCACCAGCCGTGGGTACAGGAGCGTCAGCAACCTCGAGAGGTGTGCCAGCTTCCTTGAGAAATGCGGCCTGGTTCTTCGGAGCTGCCATTTCGAATTTTGGTCTGCGTGTTGGTGTTGATGTTCAACGAACCGATGGAAAGAAGCCCAATGCGAAGACTGTGTGATCTGGGAATTGTGCAATGAGAAAGCTGTGTGCTGTGGAAGCCATTGTGCGGTAGTACCAGAACTTATATACGCGGGAATGGGGAGAATCGGACGGAATAAGGGACATGACTCCGAATGGCATTTCAAAGCTCGCGGGGAAGCGTACGAGAAATGTATACCTACCTACGACACGGCGGCGCATCATTGGACGGTGGCTGAGACAGTCTGAATAAGCGAAAGTTGAGGCTCTGAGGAACAACACGATGCGGTACCGACGCGAGGACGGTTGGGAGAACCGCATATGCCGTTCTTTGTAGGGGGGAAAGATGAAACTGGCCTATAAGATGACTGCATGAGCACTAGCGCGATTCCGCCAGGCGCGCCATGGCATGTGTCGGGCTTAGCGTTGACTGCCCACCTGCCCTTTGATACACTTGCACCAACATAAGAGTCAAGTATGTATCTGATCCAAGCTCCTCCGCAGCCGAAGGTCCGGAGACACATTCGCCATCAATTCATGTTCTGCTCGGAACGCCTCAAAACAAAACCTTGTTGAGAGCCGTATTACCTACAATGTCGCGGATTACGCTAGGCTCGAGCGATCTGCTGGAGTATAATCCTGATTACGGCGTTTTGATCTGCCGAGAGTGCGAGTACGCCATCCAGAAGAGTGCAGTCAGTGCCTCCAAGGCATAGCCTATGTTCGGTCATTCACGTGCGTTACAGGTACAAAGCCATCTGTTACGACACAAGATCTACCGTGCCGAACGCCAGACTCTGCTCTCAGAAATCGCTCGTTTCGGTACGTTGTCTCGAAACCCCATGCACAAGCCTATCGTTCCACTCCTCTGACTTGCACTCGATCGAGTAGAGCTTCGCGAACCCGACGATGTGGACTTACCGGATCCAACCACTCGTCCGATCGCCGCGCTGCCCATTCTTGATGGGTACTTTTGCCTGCACGACGGCTGCCGCAATCTATGTGCGAGCGTGAAGCGCATGAGGCGACACTGGGCAGATGTTCACGGCGGAGCAGAAAACTTTGGCTCGATGGCACGAGAAATCAAGATGCAGACATTTTTCCGAGGAACGAAGATCCGCTACTTCGAAGTGTGTGAGTTGCAACCAGATCACTTAAAGGAAATATCGCTCGCTGATGCATAGCAGCTCCAGAGTTGACAGAGCAAATGCTCGATCAAGAAGAAGCGACCGAGGAAGAGGACCCTGTCGGTTTGAGCGAGGAACAACTCAGCGACTCTCCAGAAAGTGACAACGAGCAAGCGAGCAATATTGAGGGAACGGGGGCACCCAAGGAGAACCTGATGTCCAGAATGTTGTTGGGTCCCGAGTACACTCCAGGCACAACTCCGATCGGCTTTGACTTTGAGCCGATAAAATCGTTTCACCGCTTCACTTCCGTGTTACATCTCACCCTTCCTAGTCCAGGCATTGATGCAATGGACGGCTATTGGCGAACAACAGTTCTCCCCTTGGCGCTATCAAGGCACTGGATGATGTCGGGGCTGCTGGCCATAGCAGAGTATCACACGGTCGCTTTCGCTGATGATCAAGCAGAGATCAAGACGCACGGTGAGCGAGCGAGGCAATATTTTTCAGGCTTTCAAGCGGGGCGCCGAGAAGCAAGTCTTCCTGTCCGTGGGAGAGTACATAGCCCTGAAGATAAGGACGAGGAGAGAAGAGTGGGCGGGCAGATAATGTGCGTTCTACGGTGCGCTGACTGGGCTCTGATAGAGCTTGAGCTCAGCCAGCGCGTTACTTCGTTCAACTCTTACCCTTTCCAACTGAAGAACCTCCTTACCAATCTTCGAAGCTTCTCGCTTATTGAGCGTAACGGTAATGTCAACACTCCGGAAGAGGTCTTTGCCCGCGCCGGTCAGATATTCAGGCGCAGGAGCCAGTCTGGAGCTTCAGAAGAGAACGAAGGTACGATTGCGCTGCTTAAACGCCTGGATGAGCTGCCTTCTCGAATGTCCGAAGTCTTTGGTAGACCAAACGATATTAAAGATGTAATGGCAACGCTTGCAGCCATTGCGACTTTGGTGGAGCACTATAGCGCCACTTTTACACCCGACACCAATCTGCCTTCGCCGAATTCTGTATGGCACAGTATGGTGAGTTGATGCTATGGATCCCTGCAACCCTTCGCTAATTGTCCCTCCTCAATACAGGTGCAGTGGCCAAGCAAAGTACCAGAGAACTTCCACTTCATGGTCTCACGACACAAACCAGCGGCTCTCGTTGTGGTCGCACATTGGGTTTCGGCGCTGGTTTTCCGTGCAGAGAAGTGCGGTTACTGGTTCCTTCGTGGTCTAGCACGCAAACTGCATGCCGAAATCGCTGGACGTCTACGCGACACGGAGGGTGCGCTTGGCTTGATCGAAGGGCTTTCTTACGGAATGTCCGAAAATACCACCATGACTGGCTAGTCGAATGCTTCTCTTCAACTAAAGGATATACCCACATAATTACATATCACTCCACTCTCCTGACACCTACAACCCTATTTAGCCTCCCCTCCATCGCCCTGATCATCTCAAACATTCCCTCAACGTCTCTTCCAATATCGGTGACCGCCATCGCCACTGCCCCCACCTCATGCGCTGTCCGCCTCACCTCAATCCGACTCAGCCCCTCACTCATGGTCACCACGTCCCCTTTCCTATGCAACCACAACCACCGCTCCCTCATCCCACACTTCTTATACTCGCTCCCATAGCGATTACTCCTGCTGAGTCCCTGCGCCTGGGCTTGCTCCCCATCATCGTCTTCCCATGGGCTGCCCTCGGGCGGAGACTGCAAATACGCAGGGCTCTTTTCCCGCGGTGTGTTGGTGCTCCAGCGCGCAGAGTCGAGATCCTGGAACTCGGGCTTGAGAAAGGGGTACTCGAGGACCCGGAAAGAGCGTATCATGTCGCGGATCGCGTCCCGCATCACCCTCAGGGCTTCGCTCTCTCCCTGTGACCGGAACGCCTGCTCGTCGCGTTCGAAATAGCTTCGAGGTCCCTTGCCACCCCCACCACCACCTCCGCTTCTCCGCCGACTCCGACTCCGTCTCCCTCCAGTACCTCCACCGACCCAGCTCCCACCGTCATCCCCTCTGCTCCTTTTCCTCGCCCTTCTTCTAACCTTCCGCAAATGCCGCCGCTCCTCCAGCAGTGCCTGCTTCAGATTCGACAAGTAGTCCGTGATCTCATCAGGTGCGGCTTTGAGCGTGATAATAGACTGCCAGAAGACCTTGAGGAAGGTGGCGAGAGTGAAGGCGAAGGAGATGAAACCGATGAGGGTGGAGGCGAGGGAGACGGGGGCGAGGGTAGTGTGGGAGACGGTCACGCCCATCGGGGAGATGTATTTGTGATTGCGAGGATGATTAGGGGAACGTGAATGCGTGGATGGATCGGAAGTGAGGTTTGGTAGTGTTGATAGCTAGAGGTTGGCCCGTGTTTCTCTGCAATGCCGAATGCCTTTCCTCCTCATGCGCGCGCTACGAACGTAATATATGCCTTGAGATACTACCCAAACACACACGTCGCGTGGGACATTAGAGCCCGGCACTCCCCGGAGCCTAGTGCATAGGCGTTCCTGGATCTGCATTGCATTGGCGAGCGGCGCCACACCGGCTACGCTCTTGGTCAGCCGCTCCTGTAACTGAATAGGCAGTTCGGGCCTCTTCGGGAAGCATAGGGAAGACTTGACATCATGTATACTGCAGGAAACATGTATGATATCGCGAGACATTTTCTCTCATCCACACTGTCGTATCAAGCGACGGAGCTTTCATGTAGACGACCCGCAGACGCCAAGTTCACCAAGTTGTCTCAGGATACAGAATGCGGACGACAAACAAACACCGTAATGGGCATTGTCAATTGCCAAAAAGATGTTGTACGACAAGTCCTCTTCTCATCATGACCAACTCTCCCTTACCAAGGACTCACTCACTCACTCGGCGTGCTTTCCCTGTAGCTTCTAGCAGTGCCCACCTCTACACCTCCTCGCCGGACAGTCTCCCAGCTTGACCATCTCGCCAGGCTTGCCGTGCCCCAGCCTGGACACCTGGTATCGTTCGAGGGCCAGCTTCTGCTCGATTTTAGCGTCGCGGTACCGGTGTCGCTCCCATTAGTCTCTTCGGACTCTAAACGCGCCACGGCAGAAGCTTAGGCTGCCGGCGAAAAGGTTCCGTTTCCGAGTGGGTTTGTCCTCGTGTAAGGGGGGCCCCAGGCGTCGCGTGAATACTTGTTTCGAGCACGGGAAGCCCGAGCGTTCAAGGAATTTCTGTGCCTATGAGATAGTGACTCCAAGCTTGCTCTTGGTGATGTTCAATATACCTTCGTACATAGGCGGTGACGCATTGATCAAGCCCTGGTCGGGTTCGGAAGGTGCCATCATGCTATTAGGCGTAGCACAGAACAGCGCAGTAGATGTCGCACTATCGACTACGGCAATAGGGTCAGAGCATTGATATATAGCACATTGCAAGAGGCGCCATGGGTGTATGCTCGGCTCGGCGTCAACAATTGGATGTCATGTTGGGACGCTAAGTTCGTGTCAACCAAATACGCTGCTCATTTATGCGGTCTATGATCTAACTGTATCGTACAGGCTCCTAAACCTACAAAGCCTCTAGAACTTGTATACTTGGTCCTTGGAGTATCCGAGGTCCTTCAGGTAGCCTGCAAGCTCGCCCTGGTCTTGCGGGCTCTTCTTGCCGCCGCTGATAGCCTTGTACATGCCAGGGGGACCGCAGACGAAGATCTTAATCTTCTCACCTTCCTTGGGCTCGGGTAGGACTGTCTTCAGGAGCTCCTTGGTGACATGGCCCTTTCCGCCTCGCCATTGCTCGGGCGGGTTGTCAAGAACGTAGAAAGCTCGGAACCTAGAAGCGCACGCGCAAAGTCAGTAGGCGTAGAAATATGGGGTCGTGGGGTAAGTTGAACGCACCTTTGAGGGTAGGTATTCTCGAGGCGCTCGAGCTCGTGCTTCATGAGGATGTCCTGCTCAGTGAGGTTGCCAAAGACGAGCGTGACCTTGGTCTTGTCCTCGGGGTCTGCGTGCTGTCAGTCTGGCGGCTCGCACGTCGCGAAGAAGGGCAAAATTTTAGATAGACTGTGTTGCCCCACGAGGAGCAATGCAGTATTCCAACGTCTGACCCTAGTTACAACGTACTCTTGAAGATGGCGTTGGCGACCTGCCACATGGGCGTGATACCGGTGCCACCAGCAATCATGGCAACGTGCTCATGCTTGTTTGGGCTCCACTGATACTTTGGGATAGGGCCCTTGATGTCAAGCCGCTGGCCGGGCTCCATGTTGTGCAAGTGCTCCGACATGGGGCCGTTGGGGTACTTCTTGATGATGAACTCGACGGTGCCCTTCTGGTCGACATCGCTCACGGGGGTGTAGGGCCGGATGACGGGCTTCTGCATCTCGGGCCCCTTGTACTTGGTGATGACGGCAGCTGTGCGTGTATCAGCATACTGTGGGTCTGCTACGCTCATGGCGACATACAGGCAACGTGCAGGCCGCTCTCCATGTCCTCCTCGGGCAGCAAGAAGGTGAGCTTCTTGGTGTTGTGGTTGATGATCTCCGACTTGTCGAGCTTCAGAGACAGGAAGCCCTGCTCGCCGCCCGTGAAGGCTGCCTTTGCGATCTGTCCGGCCGTCGACGCCGGTGTCTTGTTGGCCTCGGCGGAGGGCGGCGCATTGCCCGCCTGGCCGGTGGGCGTGTTGCGGCGCATGTAAAAGTAGCCACCAGAGACGGCGGCGAGCGCGACACCCGTGTAGAGCAGGCCGTTGCTGCCGCCGCTCTTGGGCGCATCCGTGGATGCATACCGGCGCACCTGCTGTGGGTTTGTTAGCTTTGCAATGCCGGCAAAGAGGTCACCGAGGCCGACGCACCTGGGTCAGCTGGTTTGCCGGGCGGAAAATCCGTTGGGCGAACATGGTGTGAGGAATTGGTGCCGGGGGGAGGCTATCGACGGCGGGAATGAACGGCTGGGGACAGAAAGCGCAGGATGTTGGCTTCGCTGATTCCAGCTTGGTGGAGCTCTGCGCGCCAAGGAAACGTCATCGGCCCAGGTCGCTCCCCGATGCCGAAAACACCACGCTTACCCATCACCACGTCTCGACGCGTCCATCTCAGCATTTCACCGCACGACATCCCACCGAAGCTGGGGCGCGCAGATGCGCTCACGACGCAACCTCAGCGTGTAGTAGCCTGCAGATTCCCCCTTACGGATAGTCACAATGCACACCAATAGTTCATAGCGCAGATGCACTTGGTCAATTCCCTCAGGTACTAGATGACCAGCATGGTGCTCCCAGATGCATCTACATAGGAGCGCAGGCCGCCGCTCTTTGCTCATGTCTGCATCTCTTCCGGTCTATTCTTTTTCAGATCGTCTTCCGCTAGGTCCGTCATGGCCCGACATCCCAATCTCCGGTTGCCTCTTTCACACCCCCACCCGCGACATCCCACCCCTACAACTTCGAACTCGTCTTGCTCTTTTGCGCAGTGTATGTCGCAATCGCATCCATCAACGCTGGACTCAGCACGTCATACGTCTCCAGCCCGACACTCTTGAACTTCGACCGCACCCCATCCATCTGACTCGGATCGAATCCCTGCTCGATGATCGAACTGACGAAAGCCGCGAATTGAGGTTCTTGCCACCCGCTCTGGTCTGAGAGCTCAGTGTGCACAAAATCGAGGCCCTTGAAAGGGTGGTCTACCTCGATGCGACCGAATAGGTGTACGCCACACTCCTTGCACGCGTTCCTCTGAATCGCCGCGCTCTTGTCGATGACGTGCAGTTTCTGCTTGTTGGCTGTCACGCTGAGCTTGTCGGTGGGGATGACGCCGACTACAGAGAAAAGTGCCGACTTTGGCTTCCAGCACTTTGAGCAGCCGCACGCATGGTTGTGCAGGACGTTGGAGCCGAGCGTGACCTCGACCTTGTTGGACGGGCAGTGGCAGTACAGCTTGCCGCCGGCGAAGTTGGCGTCGCCCTTCTTGATTCCGTTGTCGATGGAGGGGTGGAGAGACGGTGCCATTGTGAACGTGTTGCGGACGTATGTGAAGATGCGTTGAGGAAGGGTTGACATTTGTCTAGGGCCCTCCGCAGGCGGCTACCACCGAATATATACGGCGCGCAGACCCCTCACCAACCTTGCGGCTGGGTCCCCGAGTTAATTGCAGCGGGCCACCGTTACTCAATGGCGCAATTGCTCTCCCCAAGACGCTGCTTACTCGGTCCATGTTCGTGTTTGCGGAGCCGCATCGTATTGCCGCTTTAGGTCATAGGCCCCGCAAGGCCCTGGATAACCGCGCCGTGACTGCTATTGCTTCTGGGCAAACCCGTGAGGACACTTGTGAGCAGAAGAACGCTTCAATTACGTAGAGGCTCGAGTTCCTGCAGTACTTATGCGAGTTTGCAATCAAGAGGGGAAATATTCAGAGTTTGGAAGTCACGACACTGGTGTGTATCGGAACGGTTCCCGACTAGCATCGGCAGCCCTGCCGAACTCCCCACCACGACACGCATTACCTGCGATAGCGGATAGATTTGAGTTCTTCTCCTGCCGATTCGAATAAATATCACGATCTAAGTTCTCCTGGGATGACCTATCACATGCTGATGTTCGCAAATACAGAACATACATTGACGCTCTCGAAACCAGTTTGGTGACTTGGTCCACATGTGGTACCACTCCATTTTCAAGACAAGCCACTCACACCCTTGGCCTATTCCTTTCCCCAACGTCCCTGCTCTGACTCCTCTCACGCTTCAACGTATTCCAGCAGCCAATTGGTCTCACTGGGTCCATTCACGAGTGTTGTAAGTACCGCTTTGCCTCGCGGTTGGAGATGCATGGCCCAGGAGCAATGCGGATCCTTCTATCACGCGTACGCGAATCCTGTATACCTTTTTCTGCTCTCTCAGCCATCCTGTTCTTTGCAGCACGACGTATCTCAGGATAGTCATGTCCCTTGACGCACTGATTTCCTTGCGTGCAGTCTTTATTGCGATATACTGATATGCCTGTCGCTAACACACGATAAATATGCTCGTCGTTGCGTGTAGCAGAGAAGTCCGGTTGGTAATGGCCTTTGAAATATGTGTCACCCTTCTCGCGGACAAACTTGTAGTAGAAGTCTACATATATGCAGTTGCGCTTACACGATAGCCGGTCCCTGTATGCGTGTCTATCGAGATTTGTGGGGCAAAGCGAATCGAGAATCTCCTTGAGCTCCTCGACCTCGCAATCGGCGTAACACTTGTCGCCGGTGGGAGAGGGCGAGTGTGTCTGCCATTCACGCATCATGGAAAGCATCACCGCGCAGTTAACTGATCTCTACGAACATGGGAATGCAATGTTTCGGGCCCATACAAACAAGAAAATCTAGGTCTTCAGCCTAGGAACCATCCTTGGGTACGTCCAGCCCTGTGCTTGCTTCATGCGGACGTTGGCATCATCAGAAGATTCCATTGCATTGAGCCTCGACGACTTGTAAAATTTCGCGGATCGGAAGACCGTCTGTATCAATCAGTCTTCACTGGTGGCATCTGCAGAGAATCTCACACTGCCATCATGTTATAATCTCGGGCGAGGCCGCTATCCAAAAGGGCTTGATTTTTCACGGCTGTGCTGAAAAAGACTACATTGGCACATTGCACATCTAGCAAGGTATCATGTGTTAAGTTTACCCAGAATAGCCTCGAATCAGGTCAACGGTGACAGCAGATATTCAGAAGGCGGTTGAAGGCTATATTGGAAAGCGAAGAACGCCGGCAGGTTGGCGAGAGCGCCTGGAAGCCCAGAGGCAACTGAACATGCCTTCGCGCCGTCTAGGCCCTCCAGCAAAGTCACTGATACCGATTTGGTTCACGGATTCGCATCTCACCTATACGTGATTCATGTGTCGCCACACGTCCTTCGGAGGTTGACCATATAGATGCTCTACGCTAGCGACTGGCAAGAACGTCGCGCTGATGACGCGAAGGTTCTTGTAACCTTGGTAGCACGTGGGATCATGTTTTCACTAGATATGCACCGCAGGATGAGGAATGTGCAAAGGAGGAGTCAATTCCACTAATAATGCTAGCTATGGCCCTTCAATCATCACCAATCCTCCTCGTGTCCATCTTTGCCCAGAACAAAATCTCAAGGATCAGATACCAAACGCGTCAAGCCGGAGAATTACAATAAATAATCACTAGTCTAAGAATCGTGACGCCGCGGCTATGCTAAAGAAGAGTGCCTGCGAAGCGCTGAAATCAAGGAAAGTCGTGAACAAAGGGAATGTGGGGCCCGATGCGGGCAATGGTTTCCAGAGCGCCAATGTGTGATTTTATGGCTTAGTAGGTCTTGTAGCCAGTGGCAGGGGTGGGGACGGCATAGCCGGCCTCAGAGGAAGAGGGGTGGACGTAGCCGGGAGCGCTGGAGGGAGCAACAGGGCTGCTGGACGGGACCTCGTAGCCCTTGGTGCTGGAGGGAGCGACGGGGGTGCTGGACGGAACCTCGTATCCCTTGCTGCTGGAAGGCGTCTCTGTAGGGTAGACGACGGTCGAGGAGCTGGAAGGGGTCTCGTATCCCTTGGAAGAGGACGAAGAGGTAGGCTTCACAGGGTAGGAGCTGGAGCTAGCAGGAGCCGTCGAGTAAGCTGTGCTCGACTCCGTGCAGGGAGAAGAGCTAGCAGAGCTGGGCTTGACAGGGTAGGAGCTGGTGGTCGGCTTCACGGGGTAGGAGCTAGTGCTGCCACTGCCAATGGGATATCCCTTGGAGGAGGAGGAAGGCTTGACGGGATAAGCGCTGGAAGTAGGCTTAACTGGGTAGCCGGTACCGCTGGGAACGGACGAGTGACCGTGGGGACCGGTCGGGTAGTAAGGAGTTGAGACCGGAGGCTTGGGGCCGTGAGTCGAAGAAGCCTCGACAGGGTAAGAGCTTGGCGGCGGAGCAGGGCCGTACGAGGTCTCGGTGTGGTAGGTGGGCTTGGGTGGCACAACAGTCACGGTAATGGTCTGGGGGTAGCCGTGCTCGGTCACAGTGTAGGTCTTCGTCTCGTACTGGGGAGTGACGTAGACGGTCACGGTGGAGGGAGGAGCACACTCGGATGGCTTGGGGCCAACAGGGTATTCAGACGGCTTGGGCGTAACGTAGGTGGTGGTGTAGACCGTAGGATAGTAGGTCGGGGCCAGGTAGGTCGAGTAGAATGTCGAGTACCCGTTGTGGCTCACAGGAGTGGAGTGAGGCACCCAAGAGTAGGTAGTGGTCGTGATGGTCTTGGTCTGAGTAATGTAGCTCGTGACGGTGTCCGTGACGGGAGTAACAGTCGAGTAAGCCGGGGGTGTCGGCTTGGAGCTGTGGCCGTAGCCTGTCGGATACCAAGAGTGGTGCTCAGACTTGGAGCTGGGTGTAGGATATCCACTGTGCTCAGACTTGGAGCTGGGTGTAGGATATCCACTGTGCTCAGACTTGGAGCTGGGTGTAGGATATCCACTGTGCTCAGACTTGGAGCTGGGAGTGGGATACCCGCTGTGCTCAGACTTGGAGCTGCTTCCAGTAGGGTAGGCAGAGCTTGACTCAGTGCATGGAGTGGAGCTGGCAGAGCTGCTTCCGGAGGGGTAAGCTGAGCTTGAAGGCTTCACGCTCGAGCTGCTCGGGACAGAGTAACCTCCAGACTTAGAGCTGGAGATCTGGTAGCCCGGAGTGGTGGATGGAGTCGGGACGGAATATCCAGGGGTCGATGATGGCGCTGGAACAGACGAAGAGCCGCCGGTAGGGTATGGGTGAGGGTTATACCCAGCATTGTAGCCGTCACGACGCTCGAGGGGCTTGGCGACGGCAGCGCCAATAAGGGCAGCAGCCGCGATGGAAACGGAACGCATCTTGATGAAGTTGTGCTGGTGAGTTTCTCGAATTAAGTATTAGGGGTTCTCTGAGATGTCTGGAGGCGATCTGGAGCGAACGACTGGTAGTTAAAGCGAAGAGAAAAAAAAAAGCGAAGGTGTTTAGGAAAGAGTATTAGGTATTGATGTGTGATGATGAGGGAATGTTTGGGCGCGATGAGGCAGTTCCTTTATACAGATGATTACTCCCCCGTCTAGCAATTTCCACCCCCCACAGAAGGCGGTTGGCAGCATAGCGTCGCACTGTGCCAGTAGTGGCCCGGAGTCACAATGCTCGAATTGTGGACAGCACAGAGGCAACGCGCTGGAGAATACGGTGAATCAATAGCGCGCGGACAGGGGCAGCTGAGCATGTCGGCACCGATAGCCCTACCGAAATAACGTGGCGGTAGCCTTACGCTCTTGAGCGTGCTGATCCTGTCTTGGATTGGTCATAGCATCGCATAGCCATATTGGGCTGTGGCTGGAGCGCAGCTCGTCCAGCAGCGTGGGCGAACAACGTGAGCGGAGAGACGCCGCCATCTCGCCCGTTTACTCGGTGTCGGCTGGGGCGGGGCGCGCCTAATTTTAAACACAAAGCCACGCGCTTGGCCCCAACCCGGCTTAGCCGCTGCCCTTTTCAGCAGCCTAGCCGTTGATGTCACACAGGGTTACAACGCTGCTCTCCGCCAGTTCGTTGAACATGACATTTCCATCAGGCTCGAGACCCTCCTTCGTCATCGTCCACATGTCCAGCTACAGCCCGCCTGTCGCCATGCTCAGGTAAAGGGTGCTCCTGGCGAACCACCCCGAGATCCCTCCGAGGGTGCTTCGCGCTTCTAGCCTGCCCAGCTAACCCTCAATGTGGCGCATGATAACTCAATCTCATTGCTTTGACGATCGTTATCCATTTCATCATCATGGTACGACTTGCACAACCGCGGCAATTTGTCTTCCGATATATCATGATATTTCATCGGCGATATTTAGGGCCGCCGCTTATTCACCTCCGCAAATTCGCCAGTACGCATCGGGAATGCCAATGCGGAAAGGGGCTAGTGCATCAGCGCATCCACGCAATGCAAGCATTTGGCACTTGCATCCGACGATTGGCGGGCTTCCATGCATCCGCTTACTGGACTGTGACTTTTCCATGGAACAATCTGTGCTGACCTAGCCAACGAGCCTCACATTCAGCTTGAGCACTGCGTACCATAGTACAGCGGAGGCCTGCATCAAGGGCACGTTCGCGGCTTCTATTTCGGCCAACAGAGATCCTCAGGCCAGGTCGAGCCTCGGCGTCCACGTCGCAGTGACCGGCTCACTCCGCTCCAGCAATGCTTCTTCAGCATCACTAGCCCGCTTCGTATTCGCATCAACCGCATCGTTCCGATTTGTTTAGCAGCAGCGTCAACGACACAGCCGCCCACCTCAGAGTAACGCCTCATCCACATTGCGCTTCAACAACGAATCTGTGTCTCCGTCGCTTCCGCCCTTCAAAGCATTTGAGATGCTCAGATCATATGAGGTCAGCAATAACAGTGATGCACCAGGCTTCGAGAGGCAATACGCCGAGATACGGCTATTCTCTCTGCCAACGGCGCCAAAAGATTCAGCGTTGTAGACCCGAGCAGAACGATCTTATCGTGTGGTCCAGATGCTGGATCTAATCTTTATAGGGGTATCTGCCGAGCTGCACCCCTGAATAGGAGTTCCTCAAAGAAACCAATGCGCAGTTGCTAGCACATTTCATGCTCGATTTCACTAATCCCCTACCAAAGGACAAAAACAATTCAGCGAACATCGCAATTACGGAGGCAGGTGCCACTGGTGAACCGCTCACCGGCCAATAACGCCACTGGCGGCTGAACACGATCTGCAAGTCTGCGTCAGCGCCTCTACCAAGCACGTTATTGAGCGCACAAGTGCCTCCAATATAGCCGAAATTACTTCAGCTTCTGGCACGAGAGCTGGGCGATGCTTGTTCTAGGTGTTGCTTTTGTTGGGTTGTTTTCCGGCAGCGTGGAGGACACAACGCACTTACCACCAGTCACCGCCACAGAAGGCACCAGCACCTTCCCCAGATCATGCTGAGATAATGACTAAACAACCCTATACGGGAAAAGGCTTTGTTAGCAGAAGCTGGTTTCGCCTTCAAGTCAAGCCAGGATCTCACATTATCATCACTCATAGATTATCAAACAGGCCATCTCTACATGGATACATGTTGATTCTACATGATTTCTCACTTGTTACAATTCTGGCAACAGCATAAGGAGAATTTTACTTACCCATCAAGGACACGCATCGCCTCGCAAATCCTCCGGTGCCACCACAAAACACTCGACCACGACAGCTCCCGCCTCGAGGAGGACACGTTTGAGGACTTTCCTCCCTTTCCCGCCGACGCTCGCATTTTGCGCACTCAGTCACACCACAAGAGCCGTTCGGTCGTGGCTACCTCGTGAGCCAGCCTCTGCCTGAAGAGCTGTGTGGCATACCTGGACAACATCTCCCAATGAGCGGTCTCGATTACGTCCATACAGGTAAAAGTAGTCTCCCACATGTGTCCAACTGCTGCCTGCATTTGACATCGTTGTGGTAGCCTTCCAGGTTGCATAGTATCTCGGTCATCACATCAAGGAGCATCTGTAACATGCAGAGAGCGTCCTGCGTATCAGCGGCCGACGCTGATGAGGCTTTGTACAGGGCCTGCAGAGGCATTGCCATGTCCTCTGTCGACGTCTCGCCCAAACCAAAAGTCTACTCGTCGTTGGCATCCGTCAAGATCTTCGCTCGTGTTATGGGCAGATGAGCGGTGTTACACTCACGGTTTTGCGCTACTTAGTCCGTGGTGAGGCCAATGAGTGCTCCTGCTGTCACTTCAAGTTCGAGGGCTGCATTGCGGCTGCTCTGTTTTCTACTCCCGGAATACTTCTCCCCGCCAGCATCTGTGGTAGGATTCAGCAGTTCAAGAGAGACCTCGACCACATGTGGGAGCTCAATCCTCTGCTCCTCGCTGGCGGGCAACAACAGCTCGAGAGAGATGTCAGTGTGCCAGACCGTGTTACCAAATGATGCTTCGGCATTCAGAATCAGGCCAATTATTCCATAATTTGACCACGAGAAACGAGCGAAATGCGTCGTTGGGGTCATCACTTCAGCAATTCGGATCATCGTGTCGTCGAGTGGCTTCCAGCCGGGACGCCGCATAGGTCCGCGAAGCTCAGGCGGCTCACGGTAGATGCTTTTACTGCCACGAGGTAGTTCATAGTAACTGCTGTACATCATTGGTTGCATATATTTATGGATCCTCACAGTCTCTGGTTGTTCTTCCTCGTCTATCTTCGCTCAAAATCTCGCGTAAGGCCGGGTTCAGGCCGTCGGGCTGGTGCCCATCGAAGTACGCAGCGAACCTTACACGCTCAGCGTCTGCGGGACCGGCGTTTATCTCAGCCACCCGAAATTCTTCGTCATTGAAGTTGCCCACCGCGTGGTAAACCGGTAGTTCGCGCTCGGGTGGATTCAGAAAGTGGTTTATAGCCGTAAACCCGACATCCTGACGGGTCGCGGTACTAAAGAAGTAGACTGCTTAGTCGTACTCTCTGTCTCCCGCGTCATCAGCGATACGTGATAGGGCTGATACTTTGTCTCGATTTTGGCGTCGTCCGAGACTAAGACTTCTGGAATATCCTGCTTCTGTGCGTCAATAGCATATGGAAAGGGGGAAACATACATTGCAGGGTCTCCATATTCCAGGTACATGTTCTCCAGCACGTGGTCAGCATCGTCCATGTGGCGTTACGCAGAGAGGAGCGACTCGCGCCCGTACTCAATCTGTACGCTTCGCACTTCGAAGATGCTTAGTGTCTCAATGCCTGGGAGAAACTCGCAGCCTGGGATCAGGTCGTGCAAAGGTATGCCTGAACGGTCCTTCCGCGGGCGAACGAATGCGCACCTGGCAGCCTCGCGCATAGCGTTCGCCTTGACCGCCTTCTTGTCAATTCCAAGATCCTCCATTTCGTAGCTTTCGCCGCCATCCACTTCCTTGCCCTCGATCTCCAGAAAGGGATTCCGCTCCCAGCTTAGTAGGAGCGCATCCCTAAAAAAGTCACCTCCCCCTCCTGGGAGGTCTCCGCATCAAAAAGAACCTCGAAGCTCACGATCCGGGCCTCAGCGGTCAAGCCCGCGAGCGCTATCTGCTCAGCTAGGTACTGGTTTGCAGTCCTAGCGAGGCCGTCGACCTTCTTCGTGTTCTTAACACCGTCGCAAGTGTAGTACTCATCCACCGGGGCAAAGATCGGCTCGTCACCGTCGAGGGAGATCACGACGATGCCACGCTCACCTTTGGCCTGCTGCTGCTGCTGCGCGTCGATGTCGTACTCGGCGTACCGCTCGAGCAGCGTTTTGGTAGAGATGAGCTTGGAGTCTGCCGCTGGGGCTTTCTTGACCACGTTAGGGACAGAGAAAGCCATCTTGGAGGATAGATGACTTTTTGGTGTCGGAACTTCAAGAGACTTGTGGACGAAGCGAAAGATTCTGATCACCGGGATCTGAAACAGAAAGTCGGCCTTGAACACCCAAGACGGATAGGATGAAGATCAAGGACAAGAAGACATTTCGAGAGTTTGTACAGCGCGCTACATTGTGCGGATGCGTTTTCTAGGGGTTGTGTGTGTATTTTTGGGGCACTACTCAGCAACGAGACAACAAAGACGGAAGCATTGTTGACGACACAATCGGCAATAACAATAAAGACAAAGGCATAAGGTGATGGGTGTGCCGAAAATAGTTCTTCGAGGGGCCCTTGTAGTTAGTAAAGCTGTTCGGCGGCCTTCTCTATCAGTTGTCAACGTCTAGCCATGATACTCCGAGCTGCAAAGGGCTCAAGATAGTGTGGCAAGATACGTGAGCTCGACTTGTGAGGGAAATTGTACGCTTTTAGAAACCTGTGAGGTTGTCAAGAGTAGGCTTGTTGTAATCAACATGTTCAAATATCGGGACAAGTCCTTTTTGGCTTTGGCACAATAACACCGGTACCTGAGATATCTATGGTGATCAGCTACCAAGTACAACACGAAGTCAGCAAATGAAGAAATTCAAGTTTTGTACCTACGTCATGAGATTTCCACGCAGTAAAAGCTCAAATATGGAGACAAGGCAAAACATCGCTCTAAGCTCTGGCCATGAGGTGGGTAAGGCGAATACAGAAATCGTGAGCCGTGCGACCAGAGCATCATCAGCGTGAATCGAGAGAAAAGGTAGCAGACTCATGCTTTCTCTGGCAGCGACATCGAACAAGAAACCTCCACTTCCATGTTTGCCCAGCGTTTGAAACGCTAAAGTTTGTAGAGTGGCCTACTAACGTCTATCCCGTAGATCAGGAAAACTCACTGTGTAGAAAATTAAGCGTGGTAACGTACCTGGCAAGCGAGCGCGCCACCCTACCAGCTTTTCGCGACGCGTCACCTATCAACAACAATGGCTCAACCATCTAGTATCCAATCACCCTGCAATGAAGCAAATATAATCCTAGCTATCTTAGCTCTTAATCGCAAGCAAATTGAGAGTGAGAGATATGCTGCTTCCTGTCACGAGAGCATCGAGTAGAGACGTCTACGGCCTAGTAGTAGGCTGCAGATGGATATTACTGCGTTCGGTATCTGCGTGTATGTACAAGACGTTGGATAAGGAGAGAAGGTCACCAGTATGCTGTTCTATTGGCTAGTCGTCAACGCGCGATATCGCTGAGATATACTACTGCCAGCAGTATATCCATGCTTGTCAGGTAGCCTGGGGTTACCGTGACACTTATAGCTGCAGCAGAACTGTCACAAATTAGCTTAGATAATGATAAATTTATATTAACGTTAGGCTGGCAATCGCGTCATGCAGTGATTCCATTACGTCGTCGATTGATTGTTCATCGCAACACATTCTTGACATATTTTCCTAGATTGAAAGTACTCTTCTAGCTACCTACTATCACAAATCTAACTTTCTAAACTTGCGAATTATGCGCTTTAGGGACCTTAACTTTATCGCTCTAACCTCTGTAGACTTACCTTGGTCTTTTGGCTCTAGGGGTGTAGCTTGCATCGTTTTAAGTCGATCTCTTAGCTGCTTACAACATTTTGAAGAAGGCCCTTGGATAGTTGTATACCCATCTAACGCGCGAGTGTACATAATCTTCGCTGTATCCTCCCAACCTATTGCAGAAAGTAGGTCACCAAAGCTAAACATTGTATTTAGCGCTGGTAAATATGACATCAGCAGTTTTGGGCCAAGCGCCTCCTCGTAGCCTTGCAGCGCCCGACTATACATGGCCTCTGCCTCCGCCAGCTTGCCTTGGTCGGCGTAGAGGTTGCCTAGGTTGTTGACCGTACTGAGGGTCGATGTGTGCTTCGGTCCGAGTGCCTCCTCTTTGCCTTGCAGCGTCCGACTGTACATGGCCTCTGCCTCCGCCAGCTTGCCTTGGTCGGCGTAGAGGTTGCCTAGGTTGTTGACTGTCATGAGGGTCGAAGTGTGCTTCGGTCCGAGTGCCTCCTCACGGCCTTGCAGCGCCCGACTGTACATGGCCTCTGCGTGCGCCAGCTTGCCTTGGTTTTTGTAGAGATCGCCTATTTTATGCAGTACCCACTCGATTCCTATGATATCCACCCTGCCATCGGTGATAGAGTGTTCATGTCTTGCAGCATGTTGGAGAAGCCGCTGCTGAAGGAGCCACCACCTGTCTGCATCTGTACTAGGAACTTCAGATGCAACACAAGTTAGAGCTAAATTTTCCAGTTCCTCATCCCACTTATCGTTTAATACAGATATTGACCATGAGTGCACGCAGCTATGCATACCATACCCTATAGACACAGACGGCTGTCCAAGTGAAGATTCTGGATGAGCTAGACCATATTCGCATAGCAGTCGAACCGCCTCATTAAAGCTCATTTCATCCTCAGTGAGCTTTTGTATCCATTTGTTGTCTGCAGAGTGTGCGTGTTGAAGAAGTCCAAACCACACGTCTTGCTTATCAAAGTAGGCCCATAGCTTGAGCAACCAGGCTGATGCCGCATTCTGATTTTGAATTAAATCAAAAGTGATCTGCCATGTCGTGTACAGTGAGCGATCTTCGTATGAATTCAATTTTGGGCTTGTCCTTTGGAGTTTCAACCAAGACACCTCGTATAGCCGAAGATATTCCGCAAAGCTAGTCGTCACGTGCTCTAGATAAGCTCCAGCCGTGGACAGAGCAAGTGGTAGACCATCTAGCTTCGCCACAAGCGCTCTCGCCTCAGGGTCTACCTTATTAGATCAGATCTATTTAACTAGGGTCTAAGTAGATGTAGACGTACCGTTATTAATGTGTTCTCTTCGAGACATATTCGATAAGATCTTGAGTCCGTCCTCGAGACTGGTCAGCTTCTGAACGTGAATACGCCGCCACTGCGTAACACTAGCTGACCGCGTCGTAATGATTACTGAGCCCTGATCGCTTTCTGGCAGGTACCGACGCACATCCACTATTGAGTGTTTGGCATGGTTAGCGGTTCGGGGATTGTCGTAATTATCATAAATCATTAGCCAACGCGTGTTGTCCCAGAGATTGAGCCAGGCCTTGACTGATCTGACCACTCTATCAAGGTTTCCGTCCAAGTCCACGTTGCATAGTACTCCCGTCGAAGGATGATGCGACAGGATTTGTTGAGCGATATCGCAAAAGCTAAGCCGGAGAGAGTCTTCATCGTTCGCATTTAACCAAAATACTGCTGTGTGTTTCTCTTTGTGCCTCATAATATATTCAATCGCCAGCTGAGTCTTTCCAATTCCTCCGAGCCCATGTAGGACTACTGATGATCGGCTAGTACGACCATGACCACGAAGTAGCTCATGCATCTCTAATAGCTCTTTCTCTCGGGCCACAAATTGCGCAGCTTCGGGAAATGACGCAAGACTAAGTCCAACGGCATATTGTTCGAAGTTAATACCTGCGCTGGTCAGTTCATTGCTACGGTTAGCATGTCTAGGACAAGGCCTACCCTTGTTTAACTTATTAATCTCTTCCTCCAGCCGCTGGAACGCTTGATCCTTTCTCTCCCCATAGATCAGCGCCATGGAAATATCGAAAATCCCGAGTAAGCAGTAGGCTTCATCCTCTTCAACTGTAGTACTCCGGCGCTCTGCCCAAGCCATCCGCTCTCGAATGCTAAAACTTGATAACGCGCCGCCTCGAAGAGCAGTCTTCGCAATTCCAGTGATCTCGTGTATTTCAGGTTCTAGCAATAATTTGCTTCCAAGTCGCTCACCCTCTGAGCTAAAGAAGTCTACCAGCCTTGGTGCTATAAGCTCTTGAAGCGTCCAGCCTCGAGTGAACCATCGACTCATCCTGAACGCATCTTTCCATGCTATTTCTCTGCCCATGCCGTCAGCTTTAGGGATATCAGAAAGGTAGACGTAGCAGCGCGCGGCGTTCTGATACCATCGGAACATGGAGTTGATCGCCGCGCTAAGTTCGACCGCATTCTTCTTGTTAATGCAGCAGGTATCTATCCAGAAGTATCGCAGTCCATCAGCCGCGGCCTGCTTCATGCAAAATTCTATCTTCCTCCATCCAGCCTTGCTGACGGTCTTGCTCATGTCCGCGTTCGCTTCTATATCCTGGAAGAGGACCTCCTCCTTCCCCCAGGTATGAGAGAGTATTGCGTAAGCAGGAACATCGCTGCTAGTCGTTTCGTGGAAGACGATGGCGCCGTCTGGTTTATGCTCTAAGAGGCGTAAGAAAGCCATGGCTGCGCATCGGGCGCGATCTCATGGCACGCGCGACTGGTGTAGCTTGATCGGTTCGTTCGGAATATGCGCGCAAGGCACTCGAAGGTCACAAATTAGAGGTAGGTGTTGAACGTTGACGACGTGAACGCCGGCGTTAAAGGACAAAGGGTGATAAGGTGGCATAGTGGTGGTTGTACGCGCTGTCCGCCCGGCTGCATCGTGGCGCAGGCTAACCGGTGAGGAGACGTTCATTTCGCCTAGATGTGATTGGGAGCCATGCACACAGCACCAAACCCTAACGTAACTCCTGCGAAGTAAGGTAAGTTAATAAAAGTGTGTTGCGCAAGCTATTATCACCGTATTACTATAGTGCCACACGGAAACTAAGCATAGACTTGGCTCGCCTAACTAGGTCTTAGTTGACGTTACCCATTTCCGAGTGTTTGCCTCCTCTGTCAGCGGCACATCATCCAGCTCAGGCAAGCTGTAGTTCTCGGAAGCAAGTGAAATAGTGTCATACACCTCGACCGCAAGGACCTTCGGGAAGGCGGAGCTGGGGGAGACTGAGCGCTGCGAAAAGTTCGTCCGGCGTGCTATAGCGTACGCATACAAGATAAAGACCTGTTTGCAGGTGCGTTCGCTCCCCTGGCCCGGATCTCGGGGATGTTGACGGTTTTGCACAAAGGACCCCACACGGTGAGCAATGCCTTCTCTGTGCTATGGACCATAATCTCGTTTCCGAATACATACAGGTCCGTGATGTTGTAGATGGAGTAGCCGGGGTGGCGAAAATCCCACTCGATGAAGCACAAGTAGAACTGGAATAAACGTCAGGCACATAGTGTACAGCAGAATACGATGCTGGACTTATATAGGCCTACATCTTAGGATTGCCGCAGATGGCGACCCGGAGGGCCTCGTTCTTGTTTTTTACTTGTGGGTTGTTGACCTGGTAGCGAGGGGGGTTGGCGAGGGTAAAGCTGAAATTGAGAAGACGGGGTGTATCCAGATGCAGGGTGATGAAGTAAATGATCACACAGACGCGGTTGACGATGTCGCCAGTTGGTTTGTGTAAGTTCCGATTGGTCTTCCATAGTGTAATCAGCAATGCGACCGTCAATTGTGAGTACAGGCGAAGTGCTTGCGCTCAAGTCGACACCGAGTCCTTCGCTTCCTTGGTGTACTGGTCGTCCAGGGATGGCAAGATGGGTGGACCGACGACTTGACGCCGCAGGTGCGACATTTCTATATAGATGCTAGATGTTGTGTTTCTAGGTTGATTGTGAGTACTGGCAGGGTGTTGATAAAGAGGTGAAAAATGCCAGGCGAGAGAGTGGAACAGCGGACTTTATATATACCCACTGCGCAACTTGCAAAGCCTAGGCGACGCTCGATCATGCTGGGGGTTGGATCATAAAGGCATCGTGGTGATAAACATGCAAGAACGGAAAATCTCACTGCTGTGCTAGCTTCAACAGCGAAAGTGACATTAATTTCAACCACAACTCATCCTTTCCGCGCATACAATACCATCAGCAGTTGTTCTTGATTGAATTCTGCCGCTGTCTCGCTCGACGTCATAAGCAGTGGAATAGGCGTTTGCCCACCTATGCATGGCGTACAATTACAGCGACAGGAAAACTCTTGTAACAATACGCGGTTTCTAGGGGACTGAGTATGGGAGCCTCCGATAGTCCAATGGATACGTTGAGCGATGTCCAGGAGCTCTGTGGTGCATTGCATATTGAGGTGCTATTAATATTTTGAAGGATGGGGTTCTGAGGGTGCGACAATGAGAAGTGTTTACGACGCAAATAATCAATTTACGAGCCTCGATCGGGCTTGCTCTGACACAGTGAGAGCTCTGAATTCGGATTGAACATGAAGAGAAAACCAGACCACTCGCCAAGACCGTGGGTATTACATACCGTAGACCCATGTTTCCCCGCAAGTGCCGAGCCAGATCGAGATGAGCAACAGACCTCAGCTGATGTCGTCCACCCCACTAATTTACATTCAGCCTCCGCAACACTTCCATACTAGCCTGGTCTTAGTTCACGAAATGTTTTCCTCGATCTCGTCCTTCGTGAAAGAGCTACTACCGCAGATACCCGAAGCTCCAAGGGTCACAATCACAGCCGCTCGCATCGCAGCCGACGGCACGCCACCGCACCTGGTCAGACTCAGCACTCGGTCTGCAGGGGATGATGCTACCGACTCTTTTCTCTTCCGTATTCCAGATGTACGCAAGTATTGGGTCACGGAAGATGGATCGCAATTTCGCGATATACATAGACTGGAACTTCAGGAGTTGCACACGTTCTTGCAGCCATACAATCTGCTGCCCTTGTTCCACCCCTGGCAAGGTATTCATCTGAGACAGCGATGCCGCGTACCAACACAGCGAATTCTGCTACAAGAGCGCCATGCATCTTGCGCAGGTGTCTACTACCTGTTTTGGAGCTTCGCGATGGACGATCTACCGCGGAACAAGCATGTTCCAAAGTGGATAAGCGATGCGCCTAATACGGAAATGACCCATTCATACTATGGAGATGTTTTCATTGTCAAAATCGCACCTCATGAGTACGAACCTGAGGGTTGGGCAGCGTACGAGGATGTTTCTCCGACGTTTGTTGAGGCTCTGGTTAAATCTCCGTCCTACGGTTAGTGAGCGCTCTAATTCAGTCATTCTCGATGCACTGACTGTTCCTAGGGGAAGAGGACTGCTCATTCTGTGGGAAAAGTAAGCTGCTACGTTTTATGGAGAGGAAGAAGTTGCCGATCGAGGAAGAGTAGTCTCCATCTGAAAGTTGCCGTTGAGGTAACCAGCTCGCCCGCGAAGACCAACCAACGTTCCTATACGCAACGCACTAGGCGCTGTACAGCTAATCCTTCATCGTACTCTCGATTGCACTTGTGTTTAGGGCCTCCTTGACCCTCGCCTATGCGTTAACGCGGAGTTGTGGTGAATCTGAGTGGCGGGTCTTAAGAACGCAAGGATCTCTTTTGTTCTGACAAGTCTCTCTGTTCTCGCAGCGGTTTTCTCTACTCTGTCACTTAAGGTTCCTCGCGCACACGTCCCGTAGCTCTGGCACATTAATGGTTACTCCTCAGTATCTGACATAAAAGAGCACCCGATTATGAACGCAGAGAGACCCAGATTCACGCTTAGACCTTGTTACGACAACACTGAACCTGGATATAGTAAGCATTGTGGGGCCAGGCGCACGTGGAGAGCTCGCGCTCGCACAAACAAAGGGCCGAACGTACACAGTAAGCAAATAGTGTACACATTATGAGTAGCCCCTTGTAACTTTTTTGACGAGTCATGACTTTCTTTCGCAGGTTCGCTTCGATAAATCCGCGAGGTGATGGAGTTAGACGGAGTTTCACGAGGCTTATGGGATTGTACGAGTTTAGCAGAATCTAGATTCAATGACGTGGCGGGAAATTATGTGCATTGTACGAAGCAAGCTGGATGCCGTACTGTATAAAGAGATAACCCATGTCTTGCAAGACGTTGAGCATTGTGGTTGGCAATGATGGCTCAACAAAGCATCATTCTCAAGAACGGAACTGCTCTTATCCACAACGCAAATGACCAGGTCGTGCCAACCAAAACAGACGTCCTCATAGAGGACGGAAAGATTGTGAGGATTGCGGAAACCATTGCAACGTCCATCGGAACCGAGGTTATCGATTGTACGGATAAGATCATCAGCCCCGGGTTCATTGACACCCATCACCATGGATGGCAAACGCAGCTGAAGGGACGACATGCGAATGAGCTCTTCCTGGACTACATGATAACAGGTGAGTTCTCGCAATCTGCTCTGGTAGCGCTTTGCACTAAACAACATAGGCGGGTATGGCGGTGTCTTCTACTCGGCAAAGGACTGCTTCTGGGGACAGCTTTCGGGAATGCTTGAAGCGCTTGCTGCCGGGACGACAACAGTGGTGGATCATGCACACATCATCTTCTCTCCTGATCATGCAAGGCTCGGTATCGCAGCGACGGCATCTTCCGGCATACGCGCAGTTTATTGCTATGATGCGACCGCTCGTCCTAAATCTGTATCGCCGCTCGAGATGGGCCAAAACCCGCTTGAAGACTGGGTCATGGAGACTTTCACAGCGCTGGCAGACCAGGCTCCCTTTGGAGACGGAAGGGTGACTCTAGGTTTCGCGTACGATATGTGGTTTTTGCCCCCGAAGGTGACTCGAGGTGTGCTGGACCAAGTCGATGCAAAGAACATCCGAACCATAACGACCCACGGTATTCCACAGACCAGTATCGCCCGGGACTTGAAAAAGTCCGGGTTGCTAGATGAACGGTATCTAATCTCACATGGCGGCCCATTTTCGAGTGAAGACGCCGAAATCATCAAGCAGACAGGCGCTCACGTGTCGTCTACGCCTAGCACTGAACTACAGATGTTTATCGCAGGGAGGCCAGTCTGCTTCAACGCATCGTTTACGGAAGGGGAAGGCCGGGCCGGCATCCAAGAGAAAGCGAGTCTCGGAGTGGACTGCCATTCAAACCAGTCTGGATCGATCATCTCCGAGGCACGCATTGGGCTCCAAGACGCGAGAATGCACTTCCATGAGAACCTGCGGGGAAAGACCGCGCGAAAACTTCCTGAGAGTTTGAGCGTCGAGGCCGCGTTCAATCTTGCGACGATCAAAGGAGCCGAGGCGGTGAGAATGGAGAGCGAAATTGGACGCATTGCCGAGGGTTATCGTGCCGATCTGGTAATCTTTGACGGCTTGAGTCCGGCGATGGTTTGCGCCGCACAATACGATCCAGTCGCGGCGATTATCCTTCATTGCAGTCCAGGAGACATCGACATGGTGTTAGTAGATGGTATGGTACGGAAGAAAGATGGCCTGCTCTTGCCAGTCAGTGTTGATGACTTGGCTAAGGAGGCGGTCTCCGCAACGTCGCTGACATGGAAGGACATTGCGAGGGAGACGATGAAGAGTCAGCAAGCGATCGTGAAACAGGCGGATCAAGTTGATGTCGCTGAAGGTGTGGCAGCTCTGAAGAAATTGTGGCACTGGGATGAGTCGACTTTCGTGAACTAGATGTGACAGTTCAACTAGAATGCGTGCCCGCAGTGCGCACTGCAAGGTAGTATGACTGAAATTCCGTTCGTACTAGATACCTGATTGTCTGTGTGCCTCATAAAACGCCTAGACTAGCCAAATGACCGGTTAGACGGCGGACTAACCTTGTGAAGTATTTCACGCGGCAGCCTAGCCTGATTGGGTGCTGCATGGATGACATCCACAGTTGCCTGGAAGGTTGTGTTTTCGCATCCCTCGAGTTCATTTGTTGCTTTTTTCTTTTTTTTTTGCGTGGTTTGTGGGAGGTAGAACTCGCAATTGATCAACTGAAAATCTCTCTTCCCAAGTACGTAACATCAAGTACACGTACTCTCGGACGTGCCCATAAGCACGTGCGGATCAATTTGCTACACACCCGGACAGAGGATAAATGCGCGGCGTACGAGTAGCACAGGGCGTTACGCGTTGGTGGTTGGTCGCAGCCTTATGTACATTTTATCCAGCCTTATGGACCGGCAGCTGCGCCTCACTCAACAACGTTCGTCGAATCGCATCACCCCTACTGTGTTGCTGCCTAGCACGTGCAAAACAGATCTGAAGGAGGATTTGTCGCAAGCAGTGAACGGACATTGCAGATGTGTCTTGGCGCGCGCCCCAGTGAGCCCCTGCCTGAGATTTTCTAGCACAACCAGCCAGTCTCACAACATGATTCCATCCTGTGTCTCTATGCTCTTGTTCCGCTCTCTGATCTAGCCTGATCTTCGTAGTACCCACTGCATTTGTGTGTTCTGCATTTTTACGGCCGTATGTATAATGATTGGGCATTGTGGGGTCTCTCATCGCTTCGCTTCTCGCAATGTGATGCGAGGGCATGCGCTTCCAAGCTACGCGACAAATCATGGTCTACGAAACAGAAGGCATGGCCATCAGCTGTCATCCGTCTGGGGTGGTTGGCACCAGTTGGCGAGGAAGGAACGACTCGGGTCCTTCTTACGTTCCATGCGCGCGCACCGCCGCGGGGGCGATACCGAGTATGCTTGCCTGACAGCTCACAACACAGCCTCGCCAAGGGAAACAAACGGAGGGCGTAATTTTTCTCGTGACACCATGCGATTGTTGAATGCCTCACTTCCTCAGCTCTCTCTTGGACTCCTCGTGCCTTTCATACGGCGCCTTCCTACCCTTTGACAACTATGACGTGGAAGAGTCGCACATCGCTCGCCGTTGCCGGCGCTCTATGTATCTTCCTTTTGATTGCTACGGGCTTCATCGCGAATACACGTCCTGAAGGATTCTATATCCCATCGTTATCCAACGCGCAGCCCTCACAGGAGGCGGAACGTGACGAAGGCGTCCCTACTCCAGCTCCATCGTCACAACATGCGATCGAGGGCATAGCCACCCAGGCACCAGTGGAGTCGTTGCAGGCGTTGTCCAGATTCGATGGCTACGGCCTTGCCTCCGGAGAGTGTGATGCAGAGTTTAAAGACTTGTTCAAGGAGATAGGTCGTGCGGCGGCGCACAGAAAGGACACTGGGAATGTAACTTCGTCGGATATCGATCTCCACTGGAAGCAAGACGGTGCTCTAAGGGCAATGATATGGAGACAAAAGGTAACTAAGATTTGCACATGCGAGATGCAGACAAGGCGTTAACTTTTACGTAGCTCTTTATTCTTGATTCCAAAATCGACGGGGAATACGTTGCTCCCCGTGCGCTTTCTATTCTGCACCAGATTGACCGTGCGATTACTACAAGCCCGGAGCCAGTTCCTGACATCGAGTTCTCCCTCATGATTACAGATCTGCCCGATGATGCGACCACCGAAAGCCATACTAACCATACGTTCTGGGCGCTCTCTAGGCTGTCAGATGACAAGAACACGTGGCTCATGCCGGACTTTGGCTATTGGTCGTGGCCCCTGGACCTGGTGGGCTCTTATGAACAGATTCGTGTGGAAATGGCACAGAATCAGCTGCCGTGGCAAGAGAGGATTTCAAAGCTGCTTTGGCGAGGTGCATTAAAGACGAACAAGTTACGTCAGACCATGTACCAAGCTACACGGGGAAAGAGTTGGGCCGACATCGAAGAGGTCAAGTGGCAGAACAGAACAGAGGTCTCAGCAGGCTCCGCTGCCTCGGCAGTTTCCATGGCGGACCATTGCAAATACCAGTACCTCCTGCATACTGAGGGCCGGAGTTACTCTGGTCGAGGGAAGTATCTCCTGAACTGCGGCTCGGTAGTGATCATGCACAAAAGCGAGTGGATTGAGCCGCACCAGGATGTTTATGTCGCGTCAGGCGCTGAGCAGAATATCGTCGAGGTGGAGCGGGACTTCTCCGACTTGGAAGGGAAAATGCAGCAACTTTTGAACCAGCCCATGCTCGCGGAATCAATTGCGAAGAACAGCCAGAAGACATTCCGGGATCGGTACATGACGCCAGCAGCACAGACTTGCTACTGGAGGAAGCTCTTCCACGCTTGGGCAGAAGTGAGTTTCCGACCAGAGCCGTTCGAGGTGGTCAATGGAAAAGCACGGTTGCGCGGTGTCCCCTTCGAAACCTTTGTGTAAGTGTAACGAAGGCTGAACGAAACATGATGGTGGTGACTGACTTACTTGGACGCAGGATCAAAGCACTGTCTAGATCCTCCGCAGAGTGCTCATTCTGGAAGAAGCTGACCTTGCAATGCTGATAATCAAACCCTCGAGTGTCGAATGCACGAGAGGCATTCATATAACGAGAGCTGCACAACACGTGTAGGAAGAGAGCGCCAACGGCGACTCCTGACCCGCATGCTAGGAGAGGGAGCTCCCGATGGTGTTGCAGACAGAGGAAATAGGGCAACCAACGGCCATCGCGAGGAGCAGGAGGGAATTCGCGGCAGAGTGAGTCATCTCTGGGGGAAGATATCATTGACGGGAAAGCACCCGGGCAGGCATAAACGCGCCACGGGTAGCAATACATGCGGGTGGGTGGTGGACAGGGGATAATTGTATCCGCGATGCGGTCGCGCCAGACATGACGCAATGTGCCAAGATGCAAGAATGCGTTCCTCTTCCCACCGCTTCCCTCGTTTTCGCATCCTCACATCGTGTTCAGCCTCTGGGAGCATCTATAGCCATTGACTGAGATGTCCTCTATTAATTCTCACTAACTGGCATGGCTCGATTGAACAACTGAACCCAACCCCAGGACCGCCAACGTAGCCTTTTGTCGTACGGCTCCCGACGACATGCGCTGTGTCAAGCAACGATACTTTATGTCTCAACGAGAGCAGGCGCCGATTTCCGAGTCCCTCTGATTTCAGGCCACGCTGAACGCTGTCGACCGAGAGACGCACCTATTATTCCAGCCCCCGCCCCCGCGGAGGTGCAGTGAACGCAACGATCCAAGGGCAGGACTCGATAGTGACGGCATAGCCTTGCAATGATGTACACTCGGGTCATCTCGGCGGCGTCTCTACGCGGCACACAGATGCATGTCGAATACGGGTGCGGTCGGCAGAGCAAAGCTCTCTAAGTGCTACCACAACACGTGATCTCGAATGAGGACATTTCCAGGAGAATGATGCAACCATCACAAAGCTCTACTATTTGGCGTGGGCAGGTTCCAGATCCTATCGATGCCGTCCGTCTTTTTGATATGGGCGTTTCACCCAAACCTTGAGACACGCATGATCTTCATATTCAATTCCCCGACCAACGCTTGGTGCTGCCTTGCGCTCTTGACACGTCTTTTGTTCTCTTTTCATAGCATAAGTTGGCCTGCTAACGTTCCCCGACATTTACAGGTACGCTCTCGCAGCACTAGATCAAGCTTCAAACCCAAGACAGCTTCCAGTCAAGCATTGAAAACCCAGCACACCAAGCGCGTCGCCGGCAACACATCGCACGAGCAGCTACCGAGCTGCGTGAGCCCAGAATTGCTTCCCCTGGCGTTCCGTCTACAATTTTCTTGGTCTAGACACCAATCACTAGTAACCCGCCGTTCAACTACACTCGCCAGCAGCCAAGCCCAAATGCCAAGCCCGCCAATCAGTGGGCGGTACAAGCGCGGATTCGCAATACCATGGCAGAATTGCGTGAGCGTTCACGAAGCTACCCCGGCAGCTCACCTGTGTGGGGTCACAGAAGCTAGTCAGCATACTCTTGAGAGACCGACGATATGTACATCACTCTCATGCTCTTTTTGCAATTTTTAAAAGCTCCGAATAAACCACGGTCTTTTACGGCGGCTTTCTAGCGTTCTTGAATTGCAAGATATCTTCCAGAGCAACAATGCTGCTATCCAATCATTCGGCCCGGCGTCCCAATGCAGAGCCCAGGCAACGCCATCTTCTCGTCGCTCCGATGCCCAGCTTTCACAAGCTCTTGGAACCTTACACGCGCGGAGAAATGAGGGCTTCATCATACCATCACGCAATGGACCAGCAGCCCTCTCTTGGTTCCAGACCCCTCAGGACGCTCGCAGTTACCAAGAGCTGAGAGTCCTTTACGACGCCGCACACCCAGAAAAAAGCATTTTCGTCACAACGCGCCCGAATTGAGCAATATATTATATACAAAAACCTCACTGGGTGGTATATCTTGCCAAGATCTACGTGCACGGAAGTAGATCCAGCTGAGGTGGTCGCCGCTGGCTTGCAGAGGCCACTTCACTGGTTCGCATCTGGAGCGCCCACTTGACAGCTGCATACCCTGACCCTGCAGCAACCCACACCCAAGCTCTGACGCAGAGTGGGATTTCATTTTGAGAGTCGTATATATACAGGGCGTCCCAGGTCTACGGTATGACATCCTCTCAGCCTGCCCAAACCATGGCAAGCAATTCGCTAGGTCGCAGCGTGGCCAAGGTGCTTGGTATCAATGTCGACTACCGCAAGGAAGAGCCGCTTCACTCTTCGGGTGCTTCTGTGTCGTCGGTAGAGACGTGTGAGTACTTTGACATGTTCTAAGAGTACAACGCTGATGCTATGCAGACGTCGAGAAGGAACCAACTGCTTTTGAGTACCTCTCCCAATTCAAGCCATCAGCCTCCGCTTTTCAACGATACCTGAAGAGCCTGTTTCCATTCTGGAACTGGATCTTTCATTACAATGCAACATGGCTGCTGGGAGATGTTATTGCTGGAGTGACAGTGGGTTTTGTGGTCATACCTCAAGGCATGGCCTATGCGCTTTTGGCAAAACTGCCGCCTGAATACGGTCTCTACACGTCTTTCGTAGGATTCCTGCTCTACTGGGCTTTCGCAACATCCAAGGACATCACCATCGGCGTAGGTTTACAGATTCATGATCAAAGGAATATTGCTGATTTGTTGCAGACTGTTGCCGTTATGTCAACCATTGTTGGTAACATCGTTATTCGGGTGCAAGAGACAAATCCTGATCTCGCGGCCGAAACAATCGCAAGAGCCCTTGCTGTAATCGCTGGAGCCGTCCTTCTCTTTATCGGTCTCACTCGGTTCGGTCGTATAGTTGAACTTATTCCTCTGGTCGCCATCACCTCGTTCATGACGGGTGCGGCCATCAGTATAGGAGCCGGCCAAGTCCCTGGTCTTATGGGCATCACCGGAGTCAACACCCGCGGTGCGACATACCTGGTCATCATCGATACTCTCAAAGGACTTCCGAGAACAAAGCTTGACGCAGCAATAGGGCTGTCAGCCTTAGCGATGCTCTATGGGATCCGTATGTTCTGCAGTTGGATGACGAAGAAGCAACCGCACCGAAAGAAGCTCTGGTTCTTCATCAGCACCCTACGAATGGCCTTTGTAATCTTGTTGTATATCCTGATCAGCTGGCTTGCCAACCGAAATGTCAAAGGGGATGCGAAGAAAGCTAAGTTCAAGATTTTGGGCAGAGTACCTAGAGGTAAGTGTATGGCTCTACTAGTGAGTGACCTTATTTAAATTGATAGGGTTTCAACATGCCGGAGCCCCGACGATCAATAAGGAGGTTCTTTCCGCCATCGCTCCTGATCTACCCGTCACTATCATCGTCTTGATCCTGGAACATATCGCAATCTCGAAGAGTTTTGGCAGAATCAACAATTATGTGATCAATCCATCGCAAGAACTTGTTGCAGTCGGCTTCACGAACTTGATTGGCCCATTCCTGGTGAGCATGATGCCTTCTAACCATCTCAACCCAACTCTAACGAGTGACAGGGCGCATACCCAGCTACAGGCTCGTTCTCGCGTACAGCCATCAAATCAAAGGCAGGCGTTCGCACACCTCTCGCAGGAATTTTCACCGCGGTGATTGTCCTCCTCGCTCTATACGCCCTCACTGCTGTTTTCTTCTACATTCCTAGCGCAGGTCTTTCTGCTGTCATCATCCATGCAGTGGGTGATCTCATCACCCCACCTAACGTTGTCTATCAATTTTGGGAGACTTCGCCACTAGAGGTCATCATTTTTTTTGCTGGTGTCTTCGTGACTGTCTTCACCAACATCGAAAACGGCATATACGTCACAATTGCCGCGTCCTTTGCGCTCCTGCTGTGGCGGCAGCTTTTCACACATGGCGCCGTGCTTGGCAAGGTGCGAATCTACCGCGCCACGCCCGATACCATCGCCAATAAGGAGACCGATGGCTCTGTTCCTAGCGTCCGCGAAGCCTATCTGCCAATCAACCACAAAGATGGTAGCAACCCTCAGATCGAGCCAGAATCGCCCTACCCTGGCATTGTCATCTTCCGATTCACGGAAGCGTTTTCTTATCTCAACCAACAAGGCTACATGGACGAGCTGGTCGCCCAAGCTCAACACGTAGCACGGCCCGGTACGCTCGACCGCTACTCCAAACTCGGCGACAGGCCATGGAACGATCCTGGGCCACGCCGTGGGCAACAGGTCAACACGGATGACCATCGACCCGTGTTGCGCGCTATCATTCTGGATTTCTCAGCTGTGAACCACATTGACGTGACTTCGGTCCAGGGCCTTATCGACGTTCGCAATCAGCTCGACCGATACGCGCACCCCGAGCCCGTTGAGTGGCACTTCGCCTCCATCAATAGCCGCTGGACGAAGCGCGCCCTCACTACTGCTGGTTTCGGCTACATTGACTCTGAGCGCTTCAATGCCCGTCGATCGCACCACTGGAATCCCGTGTACAGCTTTGCGTCGCTCGATGTTTCGAAGCCATCCCCGGCGCGCGATCCCAAGCACCCTGATATTGAGGCCGCCGACCATATTGGGCAATCCGGCGGGCCAGTGGGGTTCGCGGGGAAGCTCAGCACAGTCCACGGGCAGAACAGACCATTCTTCCACATGGACGTACAGGCTGCGGTGGAAAGCGCGATTGCGGGTGTAGAGGGAAGGTTGGCAGTCATTGCTTCCGAGACTACCAGTGAGGAGGGCGCACGTGTAAAATCGGAGTAAAGGGGATCGCCTGAGAACGGAGCTGTCCATAGATGTGATGTAATATGAAGTGATAAGTAACATCGTAACGACGGCTGCCATTCGTGGGTGAGGAGAGACACGGTGAGCCTGTTCGAGTTTGAGTCAGGCGAAAGCCTCAAGTTAGGCTGTGGACTGTTCAAAATCAAGGATGAGATCTAGTCACGCAGACCTCGTGGTAGCATGTACCGCACGGGTTAGTGTACCAGATAGGCCTTGGCCCGAGGATGTAAATTGAGAGACTTGCACACCATCGTGTCTCACTGTTAACTGCCACAAAGCGCAACCCTCTTCTCGAACTACCGTCGTAGCTTCAGCCAGCAAGTCCGCTCAAGCCATCCCAGAATCGCTTCACACGCCAGCGGCGCTAGCGCTCCTTCCTCGTTCTATCCGCTCGCTTCAGTACCTCCCTTCACTCTTCCACCACGAGTACGTCCGCGGGCTGCGCACCTCATCCACATCATCTGCGCACGATCCATGCACAAAGTCGCCCCAGGACCCACCAACTTGGAAAGCCAACGACGCCAGATCATCAAGAAAAAGCTCGAAGAGCAACACCTCACCCTCTGCAGGCATGCAATCTCACTGGCCTTCAAGACTCTCTTCGCGGAATTCTCCGACCAGGAACATTTTCCGGCATGTTTTATCAGTGCCATTGTGCGCACGCTTCGCAGCAGTCGAAAGGAGATTTGAGGAGCGCGGTGGCATGTTCGTGTCCAAAGACATGGATCATGGGGTGACCCATAAGTGGTTGATTGATCACTGAAACAGAGCGACCATGTATCGATGGCGGGTCGTGGGGCTGCTGGAGGGGTTCGATGAGGCGTGGAAAGGGAATGAGGCTGAAAGAAAGGAGGCAAGGAGATTAATAGATGTTTGGGGTGAGGAGAGGATGAAGGCGGGAAGGTTGCTGGGTATCGGGGGGGAGGAGGTGAGCTGGTTGCGCAGGTTGAAGAGAGGAATAAAAAGAGAGTTTCAGTGGCGAAGACAACTGAGCTGGAGCTTAAAGTGGAGGTTGAAGAGGAGGAGCAGAATTAATTCTCTGATCGCAGGGACACCCTCGCATCAGTCTGGTGTTCAGGACACTTCCACGCCCGTTGTTGCGGACTTGCGGCGGTGTCTGGAACGTAATCCCGTTGCTACCATCAATAGAACGGATCAAAGATTGAGCGCCAAACGCATCAAGCTTGATGACCTTGCGACGAGTCACTTCAGAGCATTCCCGCATCGTTGCGCATCCCTTCTTGCCGACCCTTTGCAAGGAGCCTACAACAGTACTTCATCGCCCAAGCGATTCCTACCGTGCCATGAGAAGATTAGCTAGCGATGACAAGTCATACAAGCCTGTACGGTGAGTCTCAACAGGGGGATTCGTCAAGCAGCACACGGACTGGAATGACGAGCTGACGGAAATGGAGGAAGCAGAGTGGCAGATGCAGTCGGAAGCGCATTCGCAGTCCGTAGGCGCATTCCAAAGGATTTGCAGAGCGTGGCTGGTGAAGAGGATGTCACAAAAAGATGTTGGTTGGGAGGAGTGTGGAAGCACCACGTGAAGTCTAGTGCTTACCAAGGAGCGCTTACGTACACACCCCAGCCCCTCGTGCTGTGCCGCATTCCCAACATCACAGCGCACAAAGAAACACAATTCGTATGTACAGAGGTTTGTTCATATATCTACATATCTACAGAAGTATACCGGTCCTCTTCATAAACGAACTCTTTTGTTCGTGCAGTGCAAATAACGCCGTTTTGATGCAATCCAACCAGCCCGTCGATGTGTAGCGAGCGGAGCGCCAGAGCGAGCAGAAAGCGCGTCGCCGGCATGTACATAAACGCAACAATGAAAATGGATATCAAGCACGAACCCAAACCCGGCCGAAGCCATGCAGAAGAGAAAACAAGATCGAACCGCCAATGCAATGCAAACAATGTCGCTAATATGTATGAGAAGAGAAGAGAAGAGAAGAGAAGAGAAGAGAAGAAAACCAACAGCCAAGGGCGCGAAGCGAAAGAATCCTGCTGCAGGTGCCGCCTGCCCCTGGCAGAAGAAGGTGTTGGACGCAGCTTAAAGCATCTGCTCACCCTCAACCTCGCGCAGCGTCTTGTACAGCTCTGTCTTGAGCCACGCGCCCAACACATCGTACAGGTACTCGGCCTGGGTGGTCTTCTGGGGGCTGCCCCAGTTGGCCAGCGCCTCGACGAGCGTGCCGCACTTGCGCAGCTCGCGGAGCACCACCTGCCGGCGCAGCGTCTGCTGCATGTCCTCGTCAAACTCGAACAAACCGATCGTGATGGGCTGAACAGCAATGTTGAAGGTTGTGTTCTCGGATGAGGGAGTCGAGAGGGGAGAAGAGAAGACAGAAGAGGAGGGCGAGGAGGCGGCGCTGAGCGAAGGCGGCGTCGAGGGGACAGTGGGCTGGACGCCTGCGGCGATTTGGTACCAGGTCAAGATCTTGGAGGTGATGCTGGAGTAGAGCATCGCGAGGTGCGGGTCGGAGGAGCAGGGGCAGTTGAGGAGCTGCAGCACGTTGGCGACAGCCTCTTTGGTGATGGAGAGGACCGAATCGAGGCTCTTGAGCTCGACGTTGGTCGAGTTCTGCGGGTTGATGATGCGCAGGCTCTCGAGCGTCTGGTACGCGAGCGTGTAGCAGCAGTGCTGCGTGGGCATTGAGATGCTGAAGCGAAGGGGGTTCTGGCTGTAAGAGGGAGTGCTCTTGGGGCTGTGAGGCGAGACAGTGTTGGACGGAGGCAGGAAGCCGTTGTCCACTGGCATGCTGCCAGGGAATGGAACCTCCATCGGGTTCACCGTGTTCACCGTGTCGACGGTGACGAAGTCCCTGATTGCCTGGATGTCGGGGAGGTCGAGCCTGACGGATTGCTTACGTGCAAATGGGTCGATGAAGGTAAGCTCAGACTGGATCGGCTGGAAAGATTCGAATTCGGGTTGGAGCGGCATGTAAGCTGACATGTCACCCATGTAGTTGTTGAAGTCGGGCGAAGGCTCCAGGTAGAAGGGCTCTGGGGTCATCTCGAACTCGAACTCAGGCGTCGCCGGCCAGCTGGGTGTGGGCGACCAGTTGGAAGAGGGAGTGGCTTCGCGAGAAGAGATGATGGGCTCTGGTCGGACTCTGAACTTGCTGAACTCGCTGCCGTCGGGTGAGGGACGCTGCTTGGAAGCCTTGATGAAAGGAGTGCCGTCTGGGTTCCTCTTTCGCGTACGTCCGGGCTTGCCGTGCTTCCTCGACACACCGTAGATGCACTGCGAGCCATTGGCCCTGCACCGAGCGCAGATGGGGTGCTCCTTGCTGCACTTGACCTTGGAAGCTGCACAAGCATCGCACGAAGCTCGCAGCTTTGGTCTCCGGTCGCTGGCAGACTTGGGTGTGGTAGTAGCCGGGCGAGGAGTAGAAGTGGGGGGGATGGGTTGGCTGGGGGTTAGCGGAGGCTGCCACTCCGGAGTCTGTTGCTTGAACTCCATGGTATTCATTGTGACGATGGATGGTACGAGACTGGGCTGACGGTGCCTTGGGTCAGAAGTGTCGATCGAGAGTGTGGTCTGGTTGCTTGTGGGAAGCAGTTCGTGAAGCTCATTCCCCTGCTGAGACCGACGGACCTTATGTATCTATCCCACCTGGAGGCAGCGCCAGCGTGGTGTCAGACGTTGGGGCCCTGTCGACCCATGAGCGCCTACGCCCATGCTCGCGCCCATGCTCGCACCCATGTCTGCACGTTTGCCAGGTAAGAGAGCCCCCAGCCTTCGTGCTGCCCGCTTTGGGACAAGGTCATGTACGCATCGATATTGATTTGGCACCAGGAGGCTCGGACGCCTGCCTCTTCACACACTAGTCTACGCCAGGGCCACCCTTACGCTGATGCACAGAGGCCCACGTTCACGCCGCTTTGGGCAGCTGGGCTCAGCCTTGGCCCAGCGAGAGTGGACCCTCTAGCAGGGGAGCATGCTGACGGCGCGTTCCTCTCTCGACAGGGGAGCGTCCACTTTGCGAACCCCGGCGCGATGCCCGTGTTGCCAGAAGACGAGTGCGAGGCTGCACGACATCTGCACGGCAAGGCTGGCTATACGCCGTGCAGGTACGGACTTGCACGTCTCGCTGCAGCACGCTTCCAGAGCGCAGTATGTCTGAGACGGCCATTCTGCCAGAGCACGCGCGCAGCCGCCCCAGCGCTCCCAGAGGCCGCTCCCCTGGGAAGCATTCACGCTGCCAGGAGCCAGCGTGCAAGAAGCCCACACTCAAGCTCGCGACCTCGACCGCGAGGTCCAAATTTAGGCATGCCCCATCCTGCCGTCACCAGCGCCCACCGCCTTGCCGCGCGACCAGCTCCACGATCGCATCTCGAGATCGCGAGGGATGCGCCAGGCCTGTTCCGTGCGGGTGCAGCGACTTGGCCCCCGCCACTGGCCAGCCTCTGGCTAAACTCTTGGTTCCCGCTTTAGTCCCCGACCCTCGCCAGCACTGGCCGGCCACAGCGCAACGCTCCTGGTGGTGCGCCTCAACTTTCAGGAACGGCCGGCTCAACCTTCGTCACAGGCCAGGCGCTGCTCCCGTCTTCTCCAGCCCAGCGTGCGGCGAGGCGCTAGCCAGTGTCGCACGTGCGGTACCTGCGTGCGTTGATGTGGGCAGCGGCGTCGAGCCTCTCTTTTGGCATTATTTTTGGCCTGTCCCCGCTCAGAGGCGAAGCACAGCGAGCGCAGTGGTCAGCTTAGCCAGTCACAGTGGCGCCCCCCATGCCCATGCACTGCATCCTCGGGCCCTCATTGGCGTCCGCCCCAGCACGACAGATCACCATCAACCTGTCGTACAGACCAGCGTTCCCCCGGCGCTGCTGGTTCCATGAGACAGTGCCTGGGAGCTTCCGAGCACTGAACAGTCTGCCTCGCTCGGCAACTCCCCCGGCAAGCGAAAGACGCTGCCCCCACACTGCAGCTTCGTGGGACGAGCCTGTCTCGTACCAGAACGGGCGCAACACTGTCCATCTCTGAGTCTGCAGTCCACCCAGCAGCCTGAGAGACCAGTTCAAGAGCCGGTCGACTTTGCTCCGTGCGCACCCGGGTCGAGCAGAAGCAAGAGATCTCGGTTCGAGAACTCGTGCTCCCCGCCCCCATCGTGTCTTCGTATGCATACCGGGAGAATTCCACATCACTGCCGTAGTCCGACGGTTGCTTGCTTGATGACGGCACGATACAGCGCCAACGAGGGAACTAGCAATGCACCCTTTCCAACGGTGGGCTGAATTTGGAGTAGCGTACGCCCGCTGCGTACAACAAACCGCTTCGAGGCTAATTTGTTCATTTTCCCAGGCGGGCGCTCCTGCACCAAGTACAGCAATATGCCCACATGCACAGGGCGTAGACAAGAACGACCCCGAGGCCCAGAACTGGGGCTCATGAAACACTTCTTTGCTCCGGCCACGAGGACGGAAGAATCAGGCCATCCAAGGGCCGCGTACCTGCAGCTCGCTGCAGACCCAATCCTGTTGGTGCCACCTTGTAGTGCCTCGTGTAGAGGAACGGGAGCAGCTTCATCGACGGCCGTGTGCCTCCGCCTCAACCCTAGGCCAGCCTTGCTGTGCCCTTGGTCTGTCGGCATCCAGCCTCTGACAGCATCTCGCAGGGTGACACAGCATCGTGGCCAGCAGTACTTCCCAAAAGGGCCTCAGTCATCCTGACGGTGTCTTCGTTCGGAAGGAGCACCCGTGACGAACGCTTGCGATCGCCCTGTGTGCTGCTGAATCCATCAGCGGACATTGTTGGGCTGGATGAATGTGGAAAAATCCTTCTCATTTGGCTGCTTGGGTGAGATACAGAACAAGCGAATACTTAGTGATGGAGCTGATGCACTCACTGACGATTCGCCCGCTGGCTGATGATCACGGGAAAACGACAAACCTGGCCCCCAGTTGTTCTAGGAGCCTGCCTGTCTCGGAAGGGAGCGCGAAAAACTACCCCCGGGCCCTTGGTCGGGGTAATCGTCAACGAGTAGGATTCTCTCATCAGTCGACACACTGTACGCTTACCATATCCGGCCGCAGATATGGTTCTTCGAGAAGGTGGGGTGGTTGTCTGCATCGGAGTTTTGGGATAAGCTTACTAGGCGTAACTCTCTACCAATCAAATCTCGGGCGACTTTATTGATTCTGATGGCAGTGCATGGCATACGGGCGTCGCCGACGACGACATTCCATACCTGCATCTCGGTTCATGGAGCAGCAGCGTGGTGCTCTGAAACGCTCGCTGTGAAACTCGACAGTGGGAATAAACTCAGTGGCAATCGCATCCTTCCAACGGCCAACAACGGATCAAGGAGTGTGCTCAGATAGGCGAGCCAAAAGGGCTTGATGCGAACGGCCCATCATTGCGTTCGTGTGTCAATCATTCTCTAAAATTGGCCCAGCCATCTCGCACGAAGGATCGGGCCATCCACCCTCGACTGCCAACGCTTGTCGTAACTCTCTCATCGCACCGTGATTCCTGCCAGAGGCGCCATCTGCGCAGTAGCGCCGACTCCGATCCTGCAGATGCAATGCAGTCGTTCCTTCTCTAAGGTGGATGTTGACGGCCTGACGCAAACCTTCTCTCGGTTAGCTCCCGAGGACAATTTGTTCTGATTTCACGCCACCGTCACGGGCCTTCGCCGCCGACCTGAAACACAGGCTATTTACCTCCTTAGCAAGCATTTGAAATGCCCAATCGCATCCTTTTACGGCCAACTTCATGACCTAATATCCCCAAAGTGGTTATTAGTGGTGGCGGAGCCGTTGAGACACAGCCCATTTTGCGGGTTTTTCAAGCATCCCTCGTCGAGAAGACTCGCGTATATTTAACACACGACCGCACCTTAATCATCCTGCTCCTCGTACGCAAATCGCACTCGTCGCCGTCGATCCACACCTCACAAGCCTATTTTTGGTGGGGAGATGCTGAATCATGGAAGTTCCCGTTTTCACGACAAGGCTATATGGGAGCGAGCACGATGCGGGGTCGACCAAGTATGCCTTGCTCGTATCAAGTGCGGGTAGTCTAGCTACCATAGCATCACGACCTGCACGTTGATCGTTCATAACTTGGTAGGTTTTTTCTCCGCCCGCCCTCCGAGTCTCCGAGCGGGCGGCTGGGTGGTGGAGAAGAGGCCCGCAGCATCGACTGACAGACACCAAAGTGGTGGTTTAGAATAGCGATAACATCGCGCGTGGGTCTGCTGACGTCTACACGTGTGCACAACTGGTCGTTATGTGGCAGTCGTGCGAGTCGAGACAAAGAGACACGGCCTGAGGTACCATCGCGGCCTCCACCTTGGTCGCTTGAGCGCAGAATCTTGCAAGACATGCCCTAAGGCCTGGGACCATCTGCCTGATTGGGGCGATAACTCGTGAGCAGAACGGCCAGCTGCCGGGGTTGACCCGCTTTATCAGACGACCCATTTCCAGCCATCCGTCTTTCCGGTGCAAATGGTGAGCTCCTTTGGGGCCGAATGCACGTGAAGTGGAACCGCGTCTGCCAAACGGCGACCTTTGCAGCGACCGATTTGCGTTTCTAGACCCCGGTGGAGTTCAGTTGCGGGAAAAGTGGACTACAATGATTTGCAAAAGACGGCCACCAGCAGACGGTAAGGCACCTTACTGTGCATTATTCAGTTGAGGATATGCTGCTAGGCGCGGAGCAGGCCGCAACCCTGCGGCCCGTTTCCATAGCAGACGGTAGCAACCTTGCTCGCTAAAATTGCGCCGAGGAAGGGACGGGACAGGCGCTTGAAACATCGAGCCTGCAGTCTGAACAGCCTGAAAATTATTTTGGTGCCAGAGAGGCAGTGTTGAAGGATGCGATGGTGAAGCAGAGATGGCGCTGGAAAAATGAGTGGCGAGGCAATGGAGGCGGCTCTGCTGGATGGGCGGCAAGCGACGCTGTGTGCCTTGACGGTAACGAGACTACCGATGAACCTGGCCATTCGAGAGCGCTTGCCTCCCGCCGCAGGGCAAGTCTGCCTGATCATTGAGGCTGCAAGGAAATTCAATACAGGGTAGGATGTAGACGTACGCCCCTTCCACTGAGGCCAAGTACAAGCATAGAAAGGTCAATGACAAAATGAACGTAGCCATCTGCGGAGCTAGCCGTTCGAAAGCACGCATGCCATCTTCCGACATGAAGTCAAATGTCGCCAACATGCACAATGTCCGGCCTGCATCACTAATGCCAAGCGCAGACGTAGTTGAGATGATATCAGTAGCGATCATCCGACCTAATCAAATGCCTCTATGATACTAGGGGAGACAAGTCAAATCCTGCGTGCTTGCAGACGGCGAGGTCTGAGGAGCGCGTGTACATACCTGGGTGCTCTTCGTACGCACCATACCTACAACTACGCGAGCGGCGAAATCCCCTCGCGCTCGCCGGATCCTTCAACATGACCATGCAGCATGTCGGACCCCAAGCCTCGCAAACCGCGACGTTCCTGGGGAACTGCACGTGAGCCAGAACGTCCACATGGCGCTAGATAACGCTATCTCATTGTCACATCGCTTCGACGCGAGTGAAAAGCCTCAGTTGTCCGTCACGCAATCCACCGCGGATCCTTCACATTACCAGCACCCTTCGGATCGCCACACGTGCAGGCCGCGTTCACGCAACCACAACCGCAGCCGGCCGCCTCCGTAATTTCTCCGCAGCGCCGCATCTGCACTCCTGACTCGGCAGGCTCAACTGTGAAGCAGACGCCAGGGCCAATGGTTGCGGCACCTGGCCTGGCTACGGACTTCGTGGGTGGCCCGTGCGGAGTTGGATCCTTTGAAGCTTCCACGATGCCTGGATGCGGTAAGCGTTGAAGAGGTCGTTGCTTTTTCGAGGGCTTTGTAGGTTGCCACGAGATCTCTGGAGAATGTCGGCGTGGTGGTGCCGTGGCGATTGTAGGGCAGAGGAGGATCGCTGAGGAGGGAGTCCGGGCGTGACAGATCTTCGCTGTGAGGTAGGGGCGGGACGCGTGGCGTAGGTGATGGACTCGAAGTGCCTGGACCGCGACGTGCGTGGATTATTTCATGTGCTTGCGTTGGGGAGTGGGATTTGTTCGCAGATCGGCATGGAGACTAAGGCACAGGCAGGTGGCGAGAAGCGTGCGGCATCAGGGAGCGGCACTTCGTCGTCTGACTGTTACTGTATGATTATCGAAGTCCGCTTTCTGAGTTCTTTCAAGTCCTTTGTTGCCTCAACTTCCTCAGGTGGTTGCGTGAGGGATATCTGTGTCCCCTTGACTTTCCTCGTCTCTCTCTCTCGTGACTTTGAACTGATTTCTGGAGGCAGGCACACACTGAAATACCAGTAAGGGAGAAACTCTTTAGGTGGCTCCACCGCTATAAGGAAGGGGGTCGGTTGTACAATTGAAATGCGACTTATCAGAGTCTGGATTAGAGTGGCCGTCACTGCCTCTGAGTGGCACAATTCACCTCTCCAATAATATTGAGCATTAGCTACGCTTGATCAATTTACATTCTGTGACTACCCACTCCATAAGGCTTCCACCAAACCACAACAGTTCAGTCTTTGCTGTCGGCCACTGTGCATACCTGAAGTTCATGGATCTGAAGATTGGAGAGGCACGAGATTGCCTCCGGAACCTAGAGGTGATATTGGCTACCGGCCACTTGGAGAAGAAGATCATCTGGCTGACTAGCAATTGATTACGTATCGATTGCAGAGACGTACTGGCCAACTACTTTTGAGGCCAGACACTTAATGAAGATATTTTGTCTATCCTGTATGATATTCTATGGCCATTTGCAGCACCTGTGGCTGTGGCTCTTTCATACCAGGCGTACTTACAATTGACTCTGCACGCCTTTCCCAAAAAGTGCTTCTTGAGTATCATAGGTATACTTCAAATCCAAGTGCCAGTAATCCGCGCTTGTTGCCTTTGCAGCCATCCATCCGTCGTCCAATGCGTCAACAACCTCCTTGGGCAAAGGACCTTTTTCGAGCAGGGCCAGGTTGTTGTCCAGCTGGGAAAGGCTACTCGCTCCAATGATGAGACCACTATTTGAAGTCAGCCATCTGCATACTCGAATTGCTCCACAGGACGCTACGTACTCGTTCCCACCCTCTGTCCGCATCTTCAGAGCGCTGTGGTGAATGAGCCATCGCATCGCCACCTCGATCAGCGTGAGGCCGTGAGCAGTGACTACGGGCTCGATGATGCTCAGCGCATCAAGATTGCCGTCCTTAACGTAGCGTGTGCGGTAGATCCTGTCCACGAACGAAGATTGTGCTGGTGCCTCGGTTTTACCTGCTTTGTACTTCCCGGTGAAAAGGCCACCAGCCAATCTGAGCTAACATCAATTCTGCCGTTCAGGTGAGAGATTGGCCATTGGCTTACCCGTTGTAGATTACGATGTCGAGACCGTATCGTCGACATGCAGGTACCAGCTCACTCTCGATCCCTCGCGCTGAAAAAGAAAATCAACAAGACTTCCTAGAGCACGAGGTGAATGATACCACTCACTTATGGCGTTGTAACAGCCTTGGTAGATAGTTGGTCGGATCCAACCCTTTTCGCGGCATATCATAACGATTTCTGCAACCTCGAAAGCAGCGTAGTTACTCAACCCAAACTGCTTGAACTTGCCTTCCTTATGCAGCTCGTTAATGGCCCCAAGCGTCCTTTCAAAGGGCACACTTCTGTCCGGCGCATGCAAATAGAAGATATCAACGTAATCAGTCTGAAGCTGCCTCAGCGACTCTTCGAAATTCTCACGCAGAGCCTTAGGCTCATGTTTTCCAGCTGAAATAGGATAAAGCTTGGTCGCGATGGTGAGGTTACGCTTCTTGTAACCGACTGCAGCTGTGAAGCCTTCTTGTGAGCCATTCTGGTACGTCCGTGCAGTATCGCCTTCACTGTAGCCTGCAGCCTGGAAGTGGTCCAGGAAGGTGCCGAATTCCTCAAGCGATGTCGTTTTGGCACCCCATTCGACGTCCTGTCCGAATCAGCTGCAGGTCAGTGTTTCAAAATAGGCTAATTACCGGCCCAAAGGTCATAACTTCGCATGTTAGCCATAGAGTTGTGTTTTCGAAGGCCAGCACTTACGACCCAAAATAATCCTGTTCTTTGTCGCCATGTTGTCTTTGTGATATCCTGACTTTCAATGGTTATGTGGTGGTCGGAGTGGATATTATGAAGGTCGTGAAGGTGGCAACGGTGTACAATCTGAGCCAGATGATGACAGAATAGCACAAAGCACTCCATGGAGCAATGCAAGAAACTCGGGCGGGGCAATTTGAACAGGTCGCAGTAGCCTAAAATGGTATCAACTTACCAAACGAAGCTTAGCGGTTACTGTTTTTGATAATTTAGCTCGAAATGCTATCGGGTGGGGGGCATCTCAATAGTCGACATTAGGATTTGTCATCTTCGATTGCTCTTTTGTTCGTTATATCTGTCGAAACACACAGCCGCCTCTTTACACAGTTTACGGTGTTGTCGTGTGAAGTTACGCGGATGATTCAAGCGCTTTGGCTTAGTGCGGGGAACGATACCAGTAGTGGAGGGGCACGCACGGCACCATGATCAGCCTTGAGCTTCCTCTGTACCATCTCAGAGCTGCATACTGCTTCTTCTCATACGTTTGTCATTTCGAGGACTGACCTCAGCCCAGAGATTGATCTCAAGTCGAACAGCTCGTGTGCATCCTGTCCATGCTGTGGAGAGGGGTGCACAATGTGGGTAGCCGCGGATATAGATATCCACGCGGCTAACACTACACAGAACTCGCAATTGCGGGAACCCCGCTTCCAGGGAATCGCTCTAGTCATTTGTTGTGTTCCGCGAGGACTTCTTGAATCGTATTTGTGCTTTTCGTAAGCCGTTGGGACTATAAAGGCTCCTTCTTCCGGCTTTCTGCGCTTACTCCAGTCGGACACCTTTGGTCGACATCTTTTTCGCAATTACTTTCGCAAAGAAACACACATTATGCCGTCAGCAACGAAGCGGCCCGTCCGCATTGCAGGATGTTCGGGCGGGTTCACAGATCGATACCTTGCACTGACACGGATGGCTGGTGATCCGGAGGTGGACGCCATTATTGGAGATTGGCTCGCAGAGATGACTATGGTGGTCCATGGAACTGGAAAAGCAAAACGACAGGCTGAAGGCCCCAGCAAACGACAAGTTAATGGAGACGCAAAGCAACAGAGCCTCGAAGAGCGCAAGAAGACGGCAATGTACGCCGAGACGTTCATGCAGTGCTTTGAGCCTTGCATCGACAACTTGGTCAAGAACAAGGCTAAGATGTGTGTCAATGCGGGTGCCAGTGACACTGAGCTGCTGACCGAGGTCGTCTTGCAAACATTAAAGGAACATGGTGCCGAACACCTGAAGGTGTCGTGGATCTCAGGTGACGACGTTACGCCTCAGGTTCGCAAGCTCATGCAGAAAGGCGAAAAGTTTGAGAGCTTGATGCACGGGAAAACGCTGGAGGAGTTGGGAGCAGACCCCATATGCGCGCAAGCCTATCTTGGTGGGCTTTGCATTGCAGAAGCCTTCAGGGATGGAGCCGATATTGTGCTGTGTGGTCGTGTTGCGGATGCGGCACCTGTTATCGGCGTTGCAGCGTGAGTCGTCTCTACATGGTTCGGTGTTCGAAATTGACATGTGACTAGTTGGTGGCACGACTGGAGAAACGACCAGTTTGACGAGCTCGCTGGCGCGCTCGTGGCTGGTCATCTCATTGAATGTGGTTCATATGTCACAGGGGGTTTCTACTCAGAGTTTAAAGATCTAATCAAGGTATGCAAATCTTTCAGTTCAGAGCAAAGCCGCCTCACTAATTTCTTCAGACCGGTAAACACGTCAACATGGGCTTCCCTATAGCAGAAATTGAAGCAGACGGAAATTTCAACATTGCAAAAGAAAAGAACACGGGCGGATGTGTCACAGTACGCTCATGTGCCTCCCAGCTCCTCTACGAGATCCAAGGACCGTGAGTAACGCTTTTCGAACTCGAGTCCATATTTCTCACCACTGCACAGACTCTACTACAACTGCGATGTAGTCGCAGATCTGACTGGCATCAAAATGGACCAAATTGGTGAAGAAATCGTTCGCGTGACCGGTGTCAAGGGCCTTCCACCTCCTCCTACCACCAAGGTCGGAATTACGCTACCAGGTGGCTTCCAGGCTGAATGGCACATTTGGCTGTGCGGCCTCGATATCGAAGAGAAGATTCAAATCACAAAAGACCAGATCCTGTACACTATTGGCGACGACATCAAGCGCTTCACGAAGCTCAAGTTCCAGCAAATGGGCTCCTCGATATGCGATGGGGCCCCATCGCAAGACTTTGCGACGATTGACTTGCGTATATTTGCGCAGACGCGCGATCCGGAGCTGCTGCGGCCAGATGTGCCGAATGGATTTAACCGATGGGTGCTGGAGACGTTCCTGCAGAGTGCACCGGTATGTTCTCTTCTCCGAACAGTCTTGCTATCCCACTAACTGTGACCAAGGGAGCTTCTCTCAGCAACGATCTTCGCCAGGTCGTTCCCAAGCCTTTCTACGAGTACTGGGTATCCCTCATGCCCCAGGCCGAACTCGGCGTCAAGGTACACAACACGTTTGGTTCCCAGAATGTTCGGGAGCTGCCTCCGCCAGCTGTGACCGAGGAATATCCAAGACAACAGCAGTCGTATGAAACCAGCAATCCTGTGCCACTTGATTCGTTCGGCGAGACTGTGCTCGCACCTCTGGGGTACATTGTAGCTGGAAGGGTAAGACCTCGAGCAGCTTGTTGATGTGGTAATTTGCTGACATACAGCGTCAGAGTGGAGACAAGGCCAGCGACTGCAACATTGGCTTCATCGCACGCCACGACGACGAATATCAATGGCTGCAGAGCTTCTTGACTGTCGACCGCATCAAGAATCTGCTCGGTGGAGAGTACTCTGGGAATCCTATCGATCGGTTCGAGATACCAGGCATCCGAGCAGTTCATTTCTTGCTCCACGATCACCTCGACGGGTAAGAGCCTATGCTACTTTTATCACTGACAACACTGACAAGGTATATAGAGGATATAGTCAGTGCTACAAGTTTGATACGCTGGGTAAGAATGCGATTGAGTTCTTGCGCGCAAAGACTGTGGAGCTTCCGAAGAGGTTCCTCGACAGAGGCAAGATCTGAGTACTGTAACTTTATAATCGATCATGTACAATCACCCTGTTCACTGCAAGTCACGTCCTGTACAAGCGGATGCCTTATATATGTCCAAACTCATGACGTGATCCTAGACTATGATGTTTACTGATAATGTCAAGTATGACCGGGAATCGAAAAGGGTATCGTATAGCACAGGAAGTGCTTTAGTACATGCACTGCTCGTCATGACTACCGACTAGTTCGGTGCCTTGTTGCATATTTCCACCAAGATCAAGCATACCAGTTGCGAAAGGGAATCCATACAGTGAGCTTGGGTCATTAGGCATAAAGTTCCATGGCGGATACATAGTATCTTGGATATTCCAGTCGACTCGTCCTTGGGGTAGCTCCGTGGTGGCGACGACCTCGGTGGCTATAGGCACAGCGTTTGGCGCAGTCTGGTTTGGTGATTCGAGAGCTGCCTCACGGGAATCGTCGACAAAATCGGACTGGCGAAGAAGACTGTGAATCGCGAGCCTCTGCCGGTTGTGTGCATCCCGAGAGATATCAGGGTCTCTTGGTGTTGTCTCTACAGAAACAGCGGGCTTCCAGCGCGTTTTGTGCTGCTCAATCGCCGTCTCAAGAGCTGTCCGCTAAACGTAGTCAGTATCTACCACAGAGTTGTATTATGCCTCTTACCATCGACTCGAGCTGGGCGGAGAAGCTAAAGTACTGCTTAATAACATCGAGACACAGCTGCGCCTTGTCCAAAGCCGTTCTTGTCTGATGGTCGGATCCGTGGGAAGTATTGTGAGTTCCGAAAAGTACCAGTCTGGCAGCATGATAAGTGCAGACCGCAACATCATGCTCTAGCAAGTGCTGTTCCTCCTTGTGATGAATAAAATCTGCAAGTATGCGCACAATCTCTTCAGCGTGGCTCAAGCACTTGTCTCTCATCAATATCCTGTCAGGCTCAGATATTCCATTCAAAGCGGCATGTGGCCCAAGCTCAGGGTAGTCGGGCATGAATGGACGGTACAAGTCGCAATGACACTGGTGCCATGACAAATGAAGTAGGGCATACTGGGGTGGCCAAGGAAGTTCGTTGGGTAAAGTGCGCGGATACTGATCGCTGGGTGCAAGCCGAGTACGCAGGCGCAGCAGATCGTTCTGATAACGTTCGATGCAGGTAAAGAGTTCCGCCTGCGTGATCTCCTTCGCACATATCCGGCGATTGAATCGCATAACATCGCGTCTAATCAAAGCCAATTTAATGAAAGCTGCGCGCGACCCAAGTATTTCCGGCTCGATGCCTCTCCCTGATTGCAAGAAGCCAGTGGAGGCAGGTCGTCTGACGTTGAAGTCTGCATCCTCGCACGGTAGCTGCAAATGCATGATTTCGGGAGAAAGCAGTTCGAACTCCTTTAGCCCCACACAGAAGCTGTCTTCTAGCAGATAAAGCGACCAAATTGTACGTCTTCGTACTTCTTGGGCTATTGGTCCTAGCCCGGTATGTTCGTAGTTAAGCCGTAGGGCAACGGCCCATCGTCCAGCCAATCCCGCCATGATGAAGGCGCGTGGGAATTGTCCATTGGCAGCGCGAAACCGTATTATGAGCAGTGAGGCCTGGATCAAGAAGATGGAAGGCCTTTCTAGTCTTTCAAGCATAAGTCGCTCGGCTTCCTGTGCCCATTCCATACGGCGTGTGTGATTTTGGCCCAGGTACATTGAAGTAAGAGCGCAGATGGCTAGCTTAAGAGAGAGATCCATGGACCCATCAAGGCATCGTTGGACGACAGTTTCTCTGTGGAGAAAACCGAAGGATGGTAGGGGCGCTAAGCAGTCAAAGTACCTGCGTATCAACTCTGCTGCGGGTAGATAGGACTCGCTGGTGATTGTGGACAAGGGCGATGTGACATCGCTCGTCACCGAAAGGGCTGGAGCAAACTCACTCGCCACACTAGACTGTTGAGGCGACACGCGTGAGCCCGCGTCGATTGCGACAGGGCTTTCCAGCGCGGAATTTGAGCGCGAGGACGATGCATAGGTACATCTCCTATTTCTTCTCTGGCAATTGCCGCACTTGGGAGATTCTCTAGAGCACCGTGCTTTCATAGAACGACACTCGAGACAGGCCTCGGTACCGCGCCTCTTTGGCGGAAGCTGAACTGCATATCCACCAGAGGTAGAGCTGGCATGCTGGAAAGAACAGTCAAAGCGTAGGCGTTCGCATGGCCTACAGCAAGGGGCCGAACCATCGCAGCGGACCTTCGGGGCGTTAGCGAAGACCGACTGCCGGCGACGTTGCAGGATGATACCAGGGGCGCTGGGCAGCTCGGCTACAGCTCAGCTGGTACGAGATGGGTGTACATACTTTGCGCACGCGGCATTGGACGCACGCGGCCCTCATGGCGTGAGCGCGACGTTATGGTCAACCTGGGCTACACAGGCGCAGGCGTTATGAGTTGCCATGCGGCCGCACGACGCGACGAGGCTTGAGACTGGATGGCGACATGGAGTCGCAGTATTGGCGTGTTCATCCGATGTTCAGCGGGACGGAGCCTAGGGTGAATCGTCAAAGCGGGCCCCTATTGCGTTATGGCGTTGGAGTTAGCGTGGGCTTAGGCTCGGCCAATCCCATGTGATGCAAGCCGATACGCTGTCGTCGCCGCTCCTCCTCTCCGACCAGCATCTCCCGTACTGCGGATAGCTCCCACAAAGCATGGACGCGAGCAGCTACACTCTCCGACCGAGATCCGGAATGCAGCAGCCAGAAGAGACGTGAGCGCGCGCAGGGGCGCTGATCACTTATAAACACACAGTTTGGTCGCCTTCCACTGCTTCCACTGCATATCTTGTTGCACACACCGATACTCGTCGCACCAACACGATGGGGAAGCGTCTGGGTGCGTTCAGAGCCACCTACCTTGTGCTCTTGAGCTGCATTGGGTCGTTTCTCTTTGCCTATGACACGGGCATCGTGGGCGGGGTTTTGACCCTGAAGAGCTTCCAGCGAGACATGGGCTTCACCGCTGCAAACAAGACCCAGATTAGCTCGAATTCTGCCAGTCTACTACAGGCCGGAGGTGAGTACAGAGAGGCCATGATGCGCAACAAATGTTGACAATCCCGGAGCATTCTTTGCCTGTTTTCTCGTGTGGCCGTTCACAGCTCGTTTCGGACGCCGTTGGTCTATTGCCCTGGCCTCGCTCGTGTTTGAGATTGGGGCTATCCTCCAGCTGTTCTTCCCCGGCAACACCGTAGCATGCTGGTACGCTGGCCGGACGATATCTGGGTTTGGCGTCGGCATTGCCACGACTATCATCCCCATGTACTCCGCTGAGATGGCGCCAAAACACATGCGAGGTCAGCTTGGCAGCCTTTTCCAGGGCTGTTTCACTCTTGGAGTCTTTACAAGCTACTGGGTCACTTACGGTGCCACCAAAATGGCACCATCCACCAGACAATGGCGTATTCCTGTCGGCCTCCAGTTGCTGTTCGGTGGGCTTCTTGGAATGGGAATGTTGTTCACCAAGGAGTCAACGAGATGGCTGGCAAAAGTCGGGCGCCATGACGAAGCTCTAAAATCTTTGATCTGGGTTCGAGGCGGCGAATACACCAAGGACATCCAAGCGGAGATGAACGAGATCGATGCTGGCATTGCCGAGGAAGAGCGCCTGACCCAGGGTGTGACTTGGAAGGAGTACACATTGCCGGCGAATAGATGGCGCATCATTCTCGTTATCACGCTGCAGATTGGCGTTCAGCTCACTGGCAATACCTCTTTGGCATATTTCGCACCGCAATTTTTCGCCGCAGTTGGTGCCGGAAACAACTCGGTGTTGATGAGCGGATTCTTTGGACTGTGCAAGGTCGTCGCATGCTTCTTCTTCCTGCTCTTTCTCGTGGAGCGCATTGGACGCCGTTGGGCACTGCTCAACGGCGCCTTTTTGATGGCTATTCTCATGCTTATCGTTGCTGTCATCACAGCAACTGAACCACCAACCGGTAAAGCTGGTCTCACCAGGTCTGCAAGCGCCGCTATTGGGATGATCTATATTGAGGCGATGGTCTACAATATCTCTTGGGGCCCTGTACCTTGTAAGTAGGTGTGCTAACCTTGTCTGGCATGTCTAACTCGATGAAGGGCTCTACATGAGCGAGATCTTCCCTACGCGCATTCGTGAAGGAGCCATCGCGACCGGTACTGCTACACAATGGTTGTTCAACTTTGTCTTCAGCCAAGTCACGCCGCATGCTATCAACAACCTTGGTTGGAAGACATTTTTAATGTTTGCCATCTTTAATTGCTCGCTCGTCGTATATGCGTGGTTCTTTATCAGAGAGACGAAGGGACGATCTCTTGAGGAGATGGAACTGCGTAAGTGTAGTTCCCGCTTTACAGAGCAATACGGCTGACAAGATCAGTGTTCAACCCAAGCGGCACTCAGCTCGACTTAGAAGGGGCGCGCCAAAAAGCCTACAGCACAGAAGAACCCGCCACGTCGACCAAGCATGACAAGAACAACGTGACGGTATAGACGTACGGACATGGAAATGCCCTGATGCTCAGCTGTAAAATGCTCGAGGTGATGCGCCACTACGAAATGTTTCCTCCCGACTGGCGTCTCTCGCCTACATATGAACATACGCGATAACATGTTGGGTTTAGAGTCCACGCACTCATAGTAGTCCAAAACGCTTAAGGGTCTGATTATGGCTAGCTTTAAATTCGGTCTTCATGTTGGCACTAGAGTGATGAGCAACATCGGCCATGGAATCGTTGAATAAGCTCGCCACTGGCTGCGACCCTGTCAAGACAAGGCGGACCTACACAGTAACGGACAGTGTAAGAGCGAAATCTGCCTCCACCGAGAAGAGAGCGACATGCCCGTCTTTGCCGCAAGAAATATCATTTGCCTCGACTTTGGCTTCCTCCCCGCAGAGCTTTCTAGTCCTGTAAGTGCTTGCGTTGTACAGTGTTAGCATTTATCACCCGCAGATAGATTTGATGCGCATCTAGACACCTGCATATGTACCCCACAAAGTTAACCGTTTTCCATGCATCGCTGCGCTATAACAGCGCCTGATAACCTCGCCACCTCGTTCGGCAAATATCAGGGCCAATTCACCCGCGATTCCGACGCTACCACACACCTCACAAATTGAACATCCTCGGCACCATATGATGCAGTCTGGTGACTTCATACCATACTATATTATCGCCCAAACAACCGTTATGTGCTCCACTATGGATTGCAGGCACCAAGGCAACCCGCCAATCGTATTCCTTCCACGGGGCCGGCTGGGCATGGAGATGAAGGGACTGTGGGGTATACGAATCCCGACAATTCCGCAAACCAGGTAACGTTGACCGCGCAGAAACAAGCAATGTGCAACGGAGGTCGAGTTACTTTGCCTTGCGCAGCGATCGTTCAAATGAAACATGCTCATCCCCGACGCATGCGTACGAACGCGGTGTCGCCCCAGTCATTCCGTCGAAGTGCGCGCTGTGCTGCCGTAGTATAATAAATAGAACCACCCACACAGCTCCGATCTCCAAATCGCACCATCCAAGGATCTTCTTACACAATTTTACGACCACATAGCAGAGTACATACCAGCCCAACATGGTATCTCTCAAGCAAGTCGCCCTCGTTGCATTCACTGCCGGTGCCGCCGCGCAGAGCGGTTCAGGGAAAACAACGCGATACTGGGACTGCTGCAAGGGATCTTGTGGCTGGGCCGGCAAGGCGCCTGTCAACCAGCCCATCCGCAGCTGCGACAAGAGCGACAACCCGCTCTCCGACATGGCGGCGAAAAGTGCGTGCGACAACGGCGGCGGCGTCGCGCACATGTGCTCGAATCAGAGCCCATGGGCGGTCAACGACAAGCTGGCGTATGGCTTCGCGGCGGTGAAGTTGGCTGGAAGCTCAGAGAACGCGTGGTGCTGCTCTTGCTACGAGTGAGTCCATGATATCAGGAGGAGAGAAAATGACTGATGATAGCTAGATTGACGTTCACATCCGGCCCTGTGGCCGGCCAGCAGCTTATTGTCCAAGCTACCAACACCGGAGGCGACCTCGGACAGAACCACTTCGATCTCGCCATGCCAGGCGGTGGCGTGGGCATGTTCAACGCGTGTACGAACCAGTGGGGTGCGCCGCCAAACGGCTGGGGAGCACAGTACGGTGGGATATCGAAACGGTCCGACTGCGATGGGTTCCCTGAGAAGCTCAAGGCGGGCTGCTACTGGCGCTTTGACTGGTTCAAGGGCGCTGACAACCCAGATGTCACGTTCAAGAAGGTTACGTGCCCGGCGGCAATTACTGACAAATCTGGCTGCAAGCGCAATGGCGAGTAGACAAAAGAGGTGTGGAACCGGAGTGAAAAGGGCGAGCCTTGAAGGTCGATAGACTTTCTAGTTGTATACTTCATCATCAATTGAGAATAAATCATACTCTATCTAATTCTCATCACTTGCTGCTTATGTCTGAACCTTTCCTCGGACCCTTTTCGATCTTCGTAAGTTGGCTATCTTGTCTCGCAAGACACAATTTTTCTCTCATCCTCTTATCTCTCAAATAGTAGAAAACCCTTGCACAAGCAGTTGTGATCATGGTCAAGGGGACCGTCACCGCCCAGTATAACCAGAATCGCGATGAAGTCATGTTGTCCGCGGTCTTAGAGTTGAGATCGAAAAACTGGGTGCTAAACAGTGTCTGATCGTTCAGCAATAGCAGATGATCGGGAACAATGGCAACGTACAGCAGTATATGTTGGTGGAAGGAAGGCTAGGGTCAATGCTGAGATGATGAACATGGAAGAGCTGTCTTTGGATGTGGCCAGCGCGACTTGCTTTGAGTCTTCGGCGATAGCGATCATGGCGGCGCTGTCTCTGAAGCTTGCTCGGGACAGGTTTAGCGAGGCTTCTGCAGTTTGCATATTGAGAGCGTTGTCCTTTTGGGCCATGAGGCTGTATACCTGTGCCAAATTAGTGTTTGAAGATGAAGTTCATGCTGCATGATAGACGTGAAAGGTATCGAGGGAATCAAATGACGGGGTCTGCTATGCCAGAATAGACTTGGGGTACAACGCAAGAAGGCAAGTCCATGGCTATACGCTGAATCAATGTGGTGCTATTTTCTGCCTTCTGAATCCGAACAGCACTCACTGTTTGCACATATGCTTGCGATCGCTGGGTGAGATACTTTGTCCTTGGTTTCATCGCCTGCATCCACTCCCTCAGATTATCACTCCGTTTCCGCAGCATCATCGCGGCCCGGTCGATCTTGCGTCTGTATTCGGCATCTAAGCTGTTTAGCCATGCATCAAGCTCCTTGTCCATCTGGCCTAGCAGAAGTGAGTGGGCTTCGCATGCCAGCTCGCACTTGGCTAGGTTCGCTGTCAGCCCAGTCAGTGCACGAGTGATGGGCACGAAATCGCAATGATGGAGACTGCAGTCGACGTAAACACCTTCGGTGCTAGATTTTCGCATGCCAAGCTCGAGCATGATATTGTGTGTCCTGATACGGCCGCTCTCGAGATCGTGCTCGATGATCTCGTTCACCATGTCGATGAGGCAGATGGGAATGAATGTCGGGCATGCGAAGAGCTGAGGCGGCGTGGAAAGCTCGTCGCAGATTATCTCAAACTCGTCAGGCAGTAAACCAAATAAAAGAACGTTGGTTTCGCTAGTGTGAGGGGAGTGCGTCAGAGCACACGTGAATGGTCGTCCGTTTTTGTCGATCGTCTGAAACACATGACCTGACAATGAACAGGTCAGAAGGTATGCGATGGCTAGGCTAGAAACAAACCTGTGGTACGGTTTTCAATGTCTTCGAACGGAACGAAGCAAGATGTGCGTGTACTGAGCACATACAAAAGCGAATGAGGAAGACTCCAGCGATCTGCGAGGAGTTCATATGTTGTGCGTGACAGTGCAAGAGATGGACGGTGGTCTGACTTGGTAATTGATGTGCAGGCACTGTGGTGGTCTCAATAACACCAGCGCTCATACGACAAGGCGAACACTTACAGCACCCGCAGCTTGTACGATGATGCGTTGTCTTTGGCTGGTATCGGCTGCGCTGGTCAACATCACCAACAACAGATGGTTTTCGTGAGTTTCTCACATCTTTGTTCAGCCATTGAGCTACATCTTTCTCGGCCAACCTCCCTTTGCGAACTGAAGATCCGGTAGAAGCCTGTTTGTTCAGCCGGGGGCGCTGCACACCAATACGAAGCTTACCTCGGATGTTTCTACTTCGGCACAAGAAAGGTGATCAGCACCCCGGAACGTCCCTGGATGTTCCAACAGCTTCAAAAATCGACGGCGTTCCATCAGTGTGGGAGAAGATTGAAGACTCTTTGAAGAAGCAAACAATGCGAAAATAAGTGCAGCTATTCAATCATCATAGTAATGGTTCAGCCTGGTCGGCCCTGGTGTACACAGCCTTTCGTGGCGGAAACCATGTGCAAGTGAGGCACGCGACCAACAGCCTAATGGACCAATGAGATGTGAAAATCGAACCTGATTTTCTGGCTGCATCTGAGACAGGGACTGTTGACTAACGTGTTTGGCTCAAGGGGGGCAGAAGGCGTAGAGGGCAACAGAGCTTGTAAAATATCCGTATCGAGTGTTCTGCATTTAGCAACCGGAGCAGGAGCTACACGAGCAAAGTCCTACCACATGTTGAGTAGTTGGGGCAAATAGCAAAAACTGAGGGGTAAGCACACATACCAGGGATGCTTTTCAGATCTTTACATTTTGGACTATGAGGGAATTCGAAACAAGTTCCGTTATCCGGCGCCTAAAGGGGAGATCGTCAAAAACTACAACGAAGGATGGTCGCCTCCACCAGGCTGAGGTAATCGACAGCCTGGTAGATGATGGAGGGTAGTGCGTACGAGGCACTGCACGTGGACAACCACAACGGATATTTCAGTGAGGTACTTGTGTCCAGATTAAAGAATCTTGGCTGCTTGCTGGAGTGCAGCTAGATGATGATGTACCTATGGTATCATAGGTATGCATTGCAGCGTGTGACGTTATGGGCGCAAGGCCCCGTCTGCTCCTCACTCAGCTGCGGATGATGGCTTCGAATAGCAGTTATGGAATCTTTCTTAATTTTAGAGCTGTTGAAATGGGTATATCCAGAAAGATGACCTTGATGCATGAAAAAGCGGCTTCTCCTTAGGTCTGCGTAGCCGGAGATTCTCCGGAGATCGGCGATACGTCGGCGCTAGTCCACCGGTCCTTCCCTCAGCGATCACAACCTCACGACTGTATCACCATGTCACGGCACATGTTCCGTGGGCTCTTCACAAAGACCTATTTCTCTTCAACGAGTCATCTTGCGAACCTCTTGATTTGACGGCCCTTCGCACCCCAATATGATGCCTTGTATCTTGGCCGCGCTCTCGGCGCCCGCGGAATACGAGCGCGCGAGCGAGTCATAGAAAATCACCCTGCACCGACGATCAATGATGCTGTTCTTCGCGCTTTCTACACGGCACGTAGCCTCTAACGCGTCCGTATCGTAGAGCCCGGCGAACACCCGATGTTTCGATCGAAGTGCTGAGAGTTCTACCGACCCGTCTTTTGTTGCCTGGGAACATTTGTGCGTTTGTGACTGCTTAAGTTTGCGCGTGCGGCGCGGGTAAAGTCAACGACGCGATCCTACAGAATCCAGTATGAGAACGCAGCGTTAGCAAGAGCAGGAATCGTCATTTCAGATAATGGGAATAAAAGAGATGGCGCGTCCAAGATGGCTGCAAAGCTTCACACAGCACGGGGCCAAGCCGCCCTACCTGCTCAAGTATCGCAGCTCAGAAGCTTTCATCGTCGCAACTATTGCGCTGGCCATTTTTACGGACATGTTCCTATACGCTCTCATTGTTCCGGTCGTTCCTTTTGCAATCGAAACAAGGTCCCACGTCAACGGCTCCAGAGTTCAGTACTGGGTGTCGGTCCTGATCGCCATTTACGCTGCAGCACTGCTCTTCTTCTCGCCTGTATGCGGCTGGCTAGCGGATAGGAGTTTGTCGCGGCGCTCACCTCTAGTCGTGGGCCTAATTGCACTGCTGGGCGCGACTATTCTGCTGGACATAGGGAGTAGCATTGGGATAATGATTGCAGGGAGGATCCTGCAAGGAACGAGCGCGGCGGTTGTGTAAGTCTTCCCACTGTGGGCATGAAAACATCACCAAACAGAAACCATATCTGTTTCGTATTTGTTGCTTTTTCGATCTGGCTTCACATTTTATGAACCATTGCTGATTGCTTGTAGGTGGGTCGTAGGATTAGCGCTGTTGGCCGATACGGTGCCGCAGGAGCGGCTTGCACAGGCGATGGGATACGTCGGCGCTGGTATGAGTATCGGTATACTGATCGGTCCGCTACTGGGTGGAGTAGTGTTTGACCGCGCGGGCTACGGAGCTGTCTTTGGGATGGCGTACGCTTTGATTGGGCTTGATATCCTTCTCCGCTTGCTGCTCATCGAGAAGAAGGTCGCGGCCAGGTGGGACCCGGAAGCAGGTGGTAGAAAGAGAAGTCACAATGTGGAGAGTGAAGAGCAAAAAAGCAACGACGCAGTACCGGGCTCGTCGAACGGGCTTGAGAAAGAGGCCGCGGTCAATATGCCAACGGTCCCTGAGCAAAGCACCTTAGGCTGGCCAGCGCAGGGGCCGCGTGAAAACGGCCGCACACCGACGAAACGTCGAATACGTGACCGGCTACCGCCCCTCCTGTCTCTCCTGTACTCCCGTCGGCTTCTTGCAGCACTGTTCGGCGCTATGATGCAAGCCGCCATCATGACAGCCTTCGACTCGGTACTTACTATCCACGTTGCGAACACTTTCCATTGGACCTCCACCGGCGCAGCTCTCCTCTTCCTTCCCATTGTCATACCTTCCTTTCTGGGTCCGATATTCGGATACCTCAGCGACCGCTACGGGGGGCGCTACCTTGCCACGATTGGGTTTCTCTGCGCATGCCCACCGCTGGTCTGCCTTCGCTACGTCGATTCCAATACGATACGCGATAAAGTGCTCATATGTGCACTACTATTCCTTGTGGGACTGAGTCTGACGATGACCTTCCCGCCGTTCATGGCGGAAATCTCCGCTGTGGTGGAAGCGAAGGAGAAGAAGATGATTGCGGACGGTATGCGAGGATACGGACCTGGGGGTGCCTACGCACAGGCCTATGCGCTGTTCAACATGGCATTTGCTGCAGGATGTACGATGGGGCCATTACTTGCTGGGTTCCTTGTTGAACAGCAAGGGTGGTCTACCATGGCTTGGATACTTGGCTTGCTGTCGGCGGTTGCGGCCGTGCCGACCTTTTTCTGGATGGGCGGGTTTTTGTTTGCCAAAGCCCCTAGATGAGTACATTCAGACGAGTGGCGATCTCCGCTCAACGATATGGCGACATAGCCAAGGATGCAAGGACGGAATGCCTCGAGAGATGAGGCCATCGACATGTATCAGGTGTTGCAGGTTCTCATCAAGACGCTGTGGAGGTGAGACTAGATTCCATGCCTGATTGGAACAGAGGATTGTTTCGGAGACCAAGATGAGGAATGAGGCAGGTGGTGTAGGATTGTGTATGTCGCACGGTAGGCGAGCAGTGTGTCGACGCAAGCGACATGCTGCGTTACAAAGGCAACCGTGGAATCGCTAGCAGACTCATAGGATATACGCACTGCAGTACACAACGTGTAGTACTACGGAGCTCCGAAGGTGAGGCAGTGCAACCGCAGCCAGTGGAAGGTCCTGAGTCGCGCGACATTGTCTGCGCCAGAAGCTGCCGAGCAGGATGGAAGTCCTAGCGAGGGCTCGCGTCACCGCTACTATAAACGCATACAGAGGCAGCAGACTGCCGTGGAGTCCGCGCCCAGGGTATGTCCAGCGTGCGCCTCATTGGGGTGCACATGTGCAACAAGGCGGGCGACACGTGACGTGTTTCAGGATAAATTGTGACGGGCGGCCGTGTCCAACAAGGGAAGAATAACGGTCGCGCAGAGATGGTGCCGGGGCGATCGCTGCTGACGGTGCCCAGTGGGTGCAATTCACAGCAATTGTGTGGCCAGGCGGCTAGGATGAGGGTGTAGATCTGCAGGCGACGTCTACGCGAGCACGAAAGGGGCAGGCGGCGCATTCTCGCGGCATTCTTCGGGCTCCTGTGACCTCATCGCCAAGCGACGCAGGGCAAAGTTCCCCAGGCGCGTCGTCGGCGCTTTAAAACATCCCTCAGGCCAAAACACCCACGGCATGAGGCTCGCTCGCCAAGGGCATGCCGATGGGCCAACGACAGAAGCGCAAACAGCCGGCCAGCCATGCGTTGTGTACGACGAGCTGGTGCGAGCCCTGAGCCCTGTGTTGCGCCGGGCCTTCGCTCGACACCGCCCACTTGTTCTTGGGCCTTTAAGGCATTGATCGCCCGCCTCGGGATTTACGTCGTCGAGTCTGACCAGAGATGAAGATCGTCGGCCCGTCCTCGGACTTGAAAACCATCGCCCTGCCCACACGCCAAAACCCACTGTACTTTCACTGACGCCCTACCATCTCGCCCTCTCCCCAACGGCATTGCGCCGTCGTCCATGGACCCGGGCTACATACCACCCACTGTCTTTTAGCCTCGATCGCGACACATGCATGTCGCGTCTCTCTTTTCCAACGTCTTTCCCTGATCCCGCATGGCAAGGTGCCGTGCCGCTACCAGCAATCACCATGCCTCAGCGCACTTTCCTTTGCCGCCTCATATTCTGCGCTATCTTCTCAGTTTCTATCATTAACGTCTTCAACGGGGCCTCCTCCCCCTCATTTTTCCTTCGCTACTCCAAACCAGCTGCACATCTGCAGCACGATGTGGTGTGTCCGCAGTCAGAACTGGCCGACGACGTGCTAGTGGTACTGCGAACGGGCGCAACCGAATCACGTCAGAAAGTGCCGGTCCACTTCAAAACGACTCTGCGATGTGTTCCCCACTTTGTTATCTTATCGGATCTGGATGAGGAAATCGAAGGCCATCCTGTGCATGACGTTTTGGGGGGCCACGGAGGTGTCACAGAGAAGAGGAGGAACGAGCACGATGATTTCAAGCTGTACCACCAGCTGCAAAAGCACGGAAGGCAGAATGTCGACAGCCAGCGGGTCATCATGACGGAGTCGGGCTCCAGCAAAGGCGACTACCTGAACACGGGAAACGAAGGCTGGAAGCTCGACAAGTGGAAGTTCCTGCCCATGATTGACCGATCTTTCGAAGAGATGCCCAACGCGAAGTGGTACGTCTTCTTTGAAGCTGATACCTTCCTCGGCTGGAACAACCTCCTGGAATACCTCTCCAACTTCGACGCGAGCAAGCCGTACTACATCGGCAAGCATCTCTACATCAACGACATTGAATTCGGATACGGCGGAGCAGGCTTTGTCTTGTCCAACCCCGCGATGCGCAAAGTTATCGAGCAGCGCTCCATGCGCGTCCGCGACTACGAGGACTTCACGGCGACGCACTGGGTCGGCGACTGCGCGCTCGGCAAGGTCCTCGAAGACGCCAAAGTCCCTCTACACCGCGCGTTCCCTCACTTCCAAGGCGACTCACCAGCGACCTTGGACCCCGCGACCAGCAAAATCGACCGCAACGCATGGTGCTTCCCCGTCATCACGTACCACCACGTCTCACCGGCCGAGATCTCGGACCTATGGCACTTTGAGCAGAGCTGGTACAAGAGAGTATGTGTTCCCCAACCTCGATACACTAGAAACCTGAAACGCACGGAAAGCTGACTTGCGCTAGCACGACATTTTGCTTCGCCACCGCGATGTCTTCCGCGAGCTCGTGCGCCGGAGAGTCGGCGCGCAGGTCCCTAACTGGGACAATATGTCGAGTGACAAGGAGTACAACGCGCACGACCATGGGAGCTTGTCCGACCCTCTCGAGAGCAATGCCTGGAAGAGCTTCAAGCACTGCCACGACGTGTGCGAGAGCAAGAAGGACTGCGTGCAGTTCTCGTACCAGCCGGGCAGCTGCTCGGTCAACTTCTCTTTTCGCTTAGGGTACTCCAAGCCGACGGAGCGGATCACCTCGGGCTGGATGACGGACCGCGTCGACGAGCTATTTGTTAAGCTCGAGGCGAAGTGCGGCATCAGGGATTGGTTTAGCCCGGCGGAAGGGTCGCACATCCACGACCAGCAGCGACGAAGGAGGTGAAGGCTTGGAACGGCTTACTGCATAGATAACGGCGTTTTTGGTGGACTGAGCGTTTTTGTTGCATTGTAGAAAGATACCCCCTAAAAGGCAGATGGCGCCTCAGACGCGCACCACTCGCTTGTAGAATAATACCTGGCCTGCGCTGCGCACGGCATAGCAATCGACTGGATCGAACCAAACAAATCAACGTAAAATGTAAAATCATCTGTTCGCTCTTTTGCGCGTGATGGAGAGGTTGGCGCAGCCGGAGTACCGCTAATGCTACCCTACTGGGGAAAGTCCTTGCGTGAAAGCTAGTCTGCCACGCAGCCATGCACGAAACGGGCTCTGCTTTCTACACTTGCCCAGACCCTACAGTAAACGAATCGTCGCGTGCACAGGCAAGCCGCAAACTTTTAGATACCTGCTATGGACAAGGTATCATCCGCATCCATTCAGCACCCACCGTGGCCAACTTCGGCACGACTCTCCTCTCCTTGACGGCGAGCTCCACACATGGTAGCCTTCCAACTCACCCACCAAACTCGAAACGAAAAAAAGACACAGCCTCGACCCCACCGCTAGACACAACAACCAGACAAGAAAAATCTTAGCAAGCATCTACCACTCGCACCCATGGTTCGCACGGTCCCCACGGTCCCAGCAGTGCGACTAGCCCGCCCACCGCCGACGCCTCGTTCCACAGACGCGGGAAGTGCTAAATCGGACGTCGAAGGAAGAAAGGAAAAGGTTGTCCAGCAACCAATGTGATAGCGATCTAGCGCCCGCCCATGAGCTGCCCCATTTCCATGCTGCCGAAGGTGTTGGCATTGGTGCCGAGGGCGTCGTGGGTGTGTGGCTGCGAGTGCGACTGCAGCTTGGCATGGGCTTTGATATCCTCGAGTGTTTCTTCTGCCTTTGACGCTGGCGGAGAGGAGGGTGCAGGCTGAGACGCTGGCGATGATGCTTTCGGCACTGTCTTCTGCGCGATCACGGAGTCGACTTTCTCCTTGGTCTTGTCGAGCTTTGGAGGCTCGGGTACGTCTTCTTTCTTCGCAGCATCCTTACCCGCACCTGTGTCTGCCTTACCAGCTACCCTCAAATCCTCCGCTGAGACTTGCACGCCCGGCGACGGTGCTGCTAGATGCTCGCTCGCTTCTGCGGGCGGCTTGTTGAGCCTCGCGGGCGGCGCGTCGATGCCCTGCACATCGACGTACGTCTGCTTGTCCGCCTGCATCTGCTCTTTGACGTCTTTCTCCGGAGCCACTGGCCCGGGCGGCGCATCGATCCAGCGGTCGCTGTCCCCGGCGTGGAGGACGCCTGGGTCGATAGTGGGCGTGACGGTTAGGGGCTCGATGAGTGCGCCATTTTCCTTTTCCTCATCTTCCTCCTTCTGCTTGTCGATATCCTCTTTGTTATGTTCATGTGGCGGGTGAGACTCCACCTGCGCCTGCGCCTGCATGTTCATTTTCAGCTGCTCTCCAAGCCGATACTTCCAATCCTCTGGTAGTGTCGCGCCGCCCGCTCTATCCACACCCGCACCATAGAAACCGACGCGCGAGAGGCAGCCGTAGTGCATACAACGGAGCTCGTTGAAGGCGTAGACGGTGAGGACGGCGATAAGAACGAGGAAGCCTAGGCGGGCTTTGTTACGGTGGCGTAGAGAGGTTTTGCGGCGGAGTGATGGGGGTGACGAGGGCGTGGAGGGCATCTTCCAGGGATTAGGTAGAGGCATTTTGATGATGGTTGTGAGATTGCGTTGTCAAGGAGCAAGGCAATCTGGTGGGCTAGGTCTCTGTCTTCGTTCAGTCGGTCCACCGGGTCGAGATGTACACGTATGCCTAGGATAGCTGAGAATCCAGTAAACATATAATGGTTCTTTGTTTCTGGTTGGATGCCGGTAGACAATTTTCAAACACCCAAATAATAAGCTCGAAATGATCCAAAAATTTGCCTCGAAACAGTGTGGGGGGTATATCGGCAGCAATAATCCTGGTTCATGCACTGTGCATCCAGCGACATGTGATGTTCTCAATCACTGGTCGGGTTTCCTCGTAGATGTGCGTGAAGTCTGTTCGATACACCTCAATGGTGAATCGTTGCAGTGCTGTCGGCGTAGAAGCTGCGTCACGGAATCTGTCCAACTCCTCCAAGATATCCTTCTCCGGCGATGGGCGAGGAAGCTAGCCTTCCCACTCTCAGATTCCAAAGCAACAGCAGCAATCCGAACCGTCCACACCACAAAGCGACCGGATAAGGAAGGCGATGGAGAAGTAGTAAGTCAGGACACTGCTAGCCAGTTCTAGAGGCACAGTCAAGCCGTTTATAATGAGCAACTCTGTCCTGAGGGACATGTAGTGTTATCGATTCGCTATCCGGTCCTTCTCTCGTAGATGCGCAGGAACTTTGTTTGGTATAGTCGAAAGGTCAATCGGGATAGTTATGAAGTTGTGACAGTTGTGCCACCGGAATTGTCCAAATCGTCACTAGATGTTGGTCTCCGGCGAAGAGTAAGCGAGTTACCGAGCGTTGTTGGCTGTGCTCTCCTTCAAAGATGTAGACCCTCTGCCTCAACCATGACCCTGGGCGTGAAAGACAACGTCCTATGATGAGAAATATCTTCGACGTCACCGATATTGCGGCCAACAACGAACAGTAAGGTAAAAAGAAGAGATAGGTGGACAACCGCGACGACGCGACCTCTCCCTCGCGCCATGCAGGACGCACAGCCAGGGCGTACCCGCGCAAGCTCCATGCCTCCCTCTTTCCCCCACCCCAATCAAGCAAACCCTTGCGACAGCCCACCCGTCCCTGCTTGAAGACAGCTCGCATGTACTCCCGGTCCAACTCGCCTCTCCAATCCCTCCCATCGTCGCGAGGGTAAGTTTTACGGGTAGTTGTAGCAACCTTTTGTCCTCCTTTTCCATAAAGCCCTCAACCTTTGCTCAAGCCCTTCTTCGCTTTGCCTGGTTTCGCTATGCCTGTCGCTCCACTTGGGAAAAGGGCGAAGTATGTACATGAACACCGCAGTCACACCTACCATGAGGAGAGCCCACCTGTTTCTGCCCCTCCCAGCTGCACTCGGCCAGGGAAAGATGGAACCGATAGTGAACATCCCAATCCCATTGTAGATAGCCCAAGAATCTCCGGCGCGTTCCCTGGTTGGCCGTGGCCGTGGCCGTGATGGAGGGGCTTTCAAACCACGGAACCCTTGGGGAATGGCGTACTCGACTGGAATCGACATCCCTGGCGCGTGTTTCGTTTCACTTCTCTTTGTCTTGCTGTTTCCTCGCGCAACCGATGTAGCAAGGGATGTCCTACGCGTTCCACCTCTTCACGAACGCGCTGTTGAAGTTCCAGTAGACGCCGCAGCCGAGAAAACCGACGTAGCAAGCGCTCCCTCCTACCCCTTCCTTCCCTTCACATACGCGGCTCCAAAATTGACCCAAACAACCCAAACGCAGAACGCGAGGTAAACCGCCGTCGCGCCAATCCTCGCTCCTGGCTTCGGTCGCTGGTGAAAATTAGTAATTGTCTCGAGCGTAGTAACGTCAAGAACTCGTCGTTTCAAGATCTGAAATGTAGAACCGGATGCAGACCGCTGGTGTGAAGCGGGGAAAGACATTTGAATTTGAGCTTGAACGGCAGCTTGGTGAGGAGGCTGGTCACGCTGGTTGGAAGACGCTTTTGAAGCGAGACGCGCACTCAGGGATGCTGTTATCGTGGAGTGGGGACAGGCGGAGACGCAGTGGGGGATTACTCCCTTGCGGCGGGCGTGTGTCGCACAGGGCCAGGTTCGTCGGCATCGATCGTCAAAAATACTGGAATCTCGGACCTTTGGTAGCGACCACCGGAGTCCTATCCTGTGAAGGACTTCTTGTGGCACGTCGAGTGGAGCATGGGGATATGCAAGTGTACAATTACATTCGCGCCATCGCGCCTCTCGCCTTCGAATTATGGTGGGCAGGTGGTATAAGTATTAAGAGCAAGGACGTGAAAAGGAAATGTCTAGCTCTGGTCATCCGACGTGCAAGATCATCATAGGCGTGGACTATCCCAACCAAACATCGGCAAAGCACATAACACACGTCTCCGAACGAAAGCGCCAAATTCCCGCTCTTCTGCCTAAACCACAAAATAGATAATAGGCGGATATACGCTGGTCTGCCTCGCACAGTAGGGTGTGCTGAATTAGGAAGAGATAGTAATGTACGGTCGAAAGAGACAAGATAGAGAACGTAAGGTTGTTAGTAAAGAAACTCAACCGATAGAGACCAGTCCAGGGGTGAAACTCGGTTTGCGCTTGTGCTCTGCCTCTGGCGATGGTGGTGATTCGACAGTGGGCGGTGATTTCGGTGGAAGCTGCGGCTCCGGGTCAGCGCCGTTCTCCGCATACTCCAGGAGGGCCTTTGCATCATCGAGCCCAGAGATAGCGAGGCCTTGCTTCTCGTCTTCTTCATGTATGACACTCTCCTGGATGCTCTCCTTCGTGCTCTGCTTGCTGTCCATGTCGATCGATGCATTCTCAGTGTCGTCATCGTCCATGAGCGCAGGTGGTCTTTGACGCATGGCTCGAGCCTTCTCCAGGGAGATTGTTTTCTGTTGGTAAGTCGTCGTGATAGACAAGCTATCGTCCCTATCGATAGTAGCCTTCATCAATGCAGCCATCCACAAACGGCCAGCCTGGATGCTGTCGACAGCGAAGTAGTGGACGATCGGTTTCGTGAATTGGACACCTCTCTGCAAGCCTGCCCGCGGAGGCACAAGTTTGAAGATGAACATGCCCGCCATGTCTTCTTCGATGCCATTGTTGCTGGCAGCGGAAGCAGCGGTCGGGATAGTGGCCCCTTGTGGTGATGATGGCGAGGATGCCGCCCGCGTAATTGTCGCGTGGAAGCCAGTGATCCGTTCGTTGTTGGCTGGAAGTACCCGATGGGAAGAGATGTCGATCAATCCCTTCTCTTCTGTGTCGTTTTCGGTGTAGAAGTACGAAAGACGTCGACCGCGAAGCACGAACAATCGTGTCTTCCAGGTGGTCATCAAGCTTGATGACTTCTTCTTCATCCATCCACTATAATCGCAGCCCTCCATGGCCTCTTGGGGAGTTATTTGCTGGCGACCTCGGAGGTAGGCGCTCGTGCTGTGCTTCTTGGCCTTCTTCCTACCGTCTTTGCTCACTGAAATTCCTGTTGATCGCTTGTTCAAGTCGGGGATCTCCAAGGAATTTGAGGTTCCGGACGGCGTGCTTGAGCCTGTTCGGGTAGGGGAGTGCAGGGGAGATTCTTTGATCGGGGATGCGGTAATGTCTCCAGAGCTGACGTTTGCTCGCTCTGTTCCCGTAACCGCGTCCGATATGGCGCGCAAACCGATACCTCTCGCCTTCTTGGAAAAAAAGGAATGGGACTGAGTAGGAGCCGCCGCCGGCGAAGGTGATGCACGCCCTAGGGATGACGCTTCACTGCCAGGTACGCGAGGCGAGTTCGCAATGGCATCGATGCTCGGAGAATCGTAGTCTGGTAATTTGGTCACAGTAGGAGGTCCATCATTCGTAGGCTTCAGGGGCCGCACAAAATCGAAGTTGCTTGAGCTGCGATGGGTCTTGATGCTGTTGCCAAAGTAAGCCTTGGCCGCCGCTGACACAGAGCTGGCTCCGCCAGTTGCAGAATCCGCACTGCCAATCCTGCTATGCCGCCGATTGTACGTAGCGCGACGGCCATCTTCGGTCCTGAAGCTCGGATTGCGAGAGTGACTTGGGCTTTCCCTCTTGCGGAGTACATTACGTGATTTGCGGTTGTCGACTTCCCCTCCAGAGAAATACCCGCGGTCTAAATCAGCGGCTGTCATTTGGCTGATACCAGACTCGCGACGACCAAATCCATTTTCGTCCGGACTACCAGGAACGCCGTAATGCGAAGAAGACGGTCGCCTGGTGTCGGATTGAGGAGACCCCATCACCCAACCACGGTCGAATGACGGAGTCTTCTTGTGGGATGCTGAAATAACGGGTGGCAGTTTCATGCCTCCCGCTGAAGTCGGCGTAGGCATATTCATAGTGGAATCGATGGACGAGTGCCTTCGGTTGTGATTTAAACTCCGGACTGAAGCCGCAGAAGGCCGCGTAGGTGTGCCAGCCGTTGGGGAAGTCGGGGAGAATTGTGCCAGAGGCGATGTTACCTCGACAGGGGGCAACATAGAATGGCCTGCGGTCGAGTGTGCTCTAGGCAGCGGCTGTTTCCCGTGCATGCTCTTCATCGCCGGTCCGTCTCTCAGACTGGGTATGCGGGGTAGTACTGCACTCATCGACGTTGCGCGGGTACGAGCCGTAGGATCAAGCGCGGATTCTTCCTGTCCATCGAATGCCGCCATGGCTTTTGCGGCATCCTTTGCGTTCTTCACTTCTTGCTGCAGTGCCTTGATCTTCACCCATGTCCTCAGTCGCGGTCCAACGGGCCCCAGTTCGAATTCCTTCAGGAAGATGGTGGCCTGATCCATGCCAAGAAGTGCCTCGCCGTTGATTTCTTGCTCTTTGAAAATATCGCAATGCTTCTTCTCCACGCCCACATCTTCTAGGTATTCTGCTACGCGCGCCGGAGACCAATTGATCACTTCCTGCTCCGTGTGCAGATTGTGCTCCTCCTCTTCAGTTTCATGGCCGTTGATGTAGGAAAGTCTATGGTGGCTGCTGTACTCGCTTCCAGAGTCGTTAGAGGGTACTGGCCTGAGTTCTTTCCCAGTAGCACTATGACGCGGGGTGCTCATGTCGGTAATGTGCTCGTCGATGACACTGAGTGTCTCATGCATGACCGGACTTGATATGGTGGGTTCTTCCTCGCGCGGAGCATCGCCGCTCAGCGTCTGCCCAATGCTCCTTGGCTGCGCGGAAATCGAAGATCTACTAGCGGTGGCCGCCTGCGTCACAGAAGTGCTAGGAGCAATCTGAAGTGGTTGTGTACTGGAGGCCGACTCGTAAGGGGCAGCATCGTTGGAATCGGTCAGAGGTAGCGGGGCAGAGGTGGGCGCGGCATCCACATCCACGGGCTGCAAGACATGCTGGGCAGATTGCGCAGCAGGCTGTGAAGGAGCGCGCTGATGCAGCGCAGCGGTAAGGGTTGGTTTTGGGACGGGGCGTGTGTAGACTGAGCGGGGGTCAGTAGACTGGGTTTGGGCTGCATGCAGCTCATGCACAACGAGGTCTCAAAGGCTTTGCACGTACCCTCGGGGAAAAGGCCACTGTCGCCCGTCTCTGTGTTCTTCCCCAGAAACCAGCCGTCGCCGAAGTCGTCGTCGCGTTCTATCAGCTCGACGCGGTCGCCGCGGGCGAGGCTGAGCTCGTCGGGGCTCCGAGCCTGGAACTCATCTGCAGCGACAGTCAGCAGAGGGCCGTGGTCACGGGGGGCTACAGAGGGCAGCACTCACGCACGACGAGGAGCAGATCGCCCGGGCGGACGTTCTCGGTCTGCGACCTGGCGGACATGGCCATGGCGGCGCACAAGAGATGGAGAGTGTGTTCGAGAGATGGTGGACTAGGGAGACGCGACGTTCACCGTGGGCCGTGGTGAATGCGGACCATGATGCAGCCACGGGAAGGTTGGCACTAAACGTGGCGGCCGTTAGAGGACTGCGGCCAAAGCCGTCGGCTTGGACAGATAGGAGGCAGCGCGGGGCAGCCGGGGCGCGGCGGGCTCAAGGCAGAGGCAGCGAGTGGTGGGCAGGACGAGGGCGCAGAGGGAGGGCTTCTTTGTCGTTGCGCGGTGCTGGCTGCGTGCGGAATCGTGGCGCTGGGTGAGGGGGCTGCGGGCTGCACGGGGGTAGCGCGCTGTTGGGCGAAAGCGAAAGCTGGTTGTGCTCCCTGCACGGCTCCCAGATAGATTAGGGACTAGGCGACGAATACGGCATGGGGTGACGAGCAGCGCAAACGGCCCAGCGCAGCTCAGTTGCCGGCATCCATCGCAGCCCGGCACGAGAAATCCTCCGCGGCTCTGCATCTCGCGCGCTGCCGTGGCCTGTGAGGCCCAGCGCGCGCGGATCACCGTCATGGCAGGGAAGCGTCCCGGGGCCAGAATTCGCGTCGCTCGTACTCTGGCTCCTTGGCGCGGGTGCATCGTGCACTCGGAAGCGACAACTCGACTGCTCGCCGCGACTTCCCCACACGTCTGTCTAAAGTCGCGCGCCTTCCCCTCGCCCTCGTCCTCGCCCTCGCCCCCGGTGCTCCCTTCCTGCCCTCTTCACGCCTCCGCATTGCAGCTCCCGCAGGTTCCCGCCCCCCGTGCAATGTCCTAGCATTGCCATCGTTGCCTGCGCGTGCCGTCAAGCATGACCTCGTCCGAGACACATCATCTGCGGGCACTGGTCGACAGAGCCTTGCAAAGGCCATATCACTTCAGACATCGACACCCCAGACCTCGCCGCCCCGTGTGACTCGGCCATGGCCCGTGGCGGACGCGCAGCTCCGCCAGCAGCGGCCGAGGACGTCGCGACTCGCGTTACTCTGAACCATGTGCTGGGCAACCTGGGCGGCCGACAGAAGAGCTGGATGAACCCGGGAATGGTCTCAGGAACGCCGCCCATCCCCGCCTCACATCTGCCAACAGACGTCCCTCGAAAACGTGGCAGACCTCGACAGTATCCTGAAGAATACGCAGACGCTGAACCAAGGCAGGCGCCCATGCAAGGAGCAGCCCGCGACGAGCCCGCATCCAACTCGACCTCTCCACAGCTTGCCAACGTCCTATCGCATCCACCCAATGGTCGTCCTTTGCCCTCGCCTACCGCCGTGCTTCCGTCCCCTTCTCCCAGCGAAGACACCAACTTGCACTACCATACAATCGTATCTCATGCCCCCGCTCACGCAAGACAAAGCATGGGCGACGATCAACAAGCTGGGCACATTTCTCTAGACGAGTCTTGCCTCGAAGGCGCACGACAGGAAGCTACAGCACCCAAACGACCAGCCGCGGGTCCCAGCCCATTGCTAGCAAACAAACGGACCCGTCCATCAATCGCACCACGGCCTTTGAGGACCTCAAGCGTCTATATCGATCAACAAGGCATGGGCCGGCGGGTGTCAGCAGGCCAAACACAGAGCGAGAGTCCAACAGTGCATCAGCCCTACAGTCCCGGCTTCGGACAATCAAGCAACAGCCAGTCACCATACCGCTCCCAGCAACAGATGTCACTTCAGCAATTTTCTGCCCCGCAGCGAGTTCCAAGTCAGGCGTATGTGAACGCTCCGACTCCACCTGTTTCAAGCACACGCCAGGTATCTCTTACCTCGGAAGCCCGTCTTGGAAACAGTCAGGCCACGCGAGACAACCCTACAGTGCCAATGCATCTGCAAACACACATTCTCCAGGAGCTGTCTCGCTTTCATTCGATGGTTCAACCGGACTCTTCCGATCGCAAGCGCCTTGAAGCTCTAGAGCGGGCAGCGAAACAAATGGACTGGGATTATCTGATAACCCATCTCTTCTATTGTCTCTTGTCGCTCGACCGGAAAGCATTACCTGATAGCATCAAGAAAAGTAAACATGCGAGTCGGACCGAGCATTTTCTCCGTGAGGTTCTTAATAGCAACCACGACTTGAACCCTGCTACACGAACCTTCTTTATTCGATTCCCCGTCCCCCTGCATGACTGGGCCAAGCTCAATCCGTCCCAATTCCATACTGATGTCAACAATTTCAACGACTTGATGAACCGCTCTGACAGATACTTTGAGTTGAAGAATCTATGCAATGAACGCAATCTACCACCCTCGATGCACGAACTGGCAGACGACCTTGGTATCAGATCACGGCAGTTACAGACAATAGTCTTCACTGCCGCCGTTCGACGCTTATGGTTCCAACAGGGACTGCCGCGAGGAGACATCCTTAATCAATACGAGCATGAAGCTCTAATGTGCTTCTCATCGATACAAGAGACATTCCACCGTCGCCGAAGCCAAGTACATGATCTGGAGCACGAACGCAAATTAGAGATGCGGTATTGGGCCGAGAGTTTCGCAAGACTACGTGCCAATCACATTCCTGCAGCCCGGGATGCCCTCCAAGGTTTCCGCGCAATTTACCAGGTGCCGGTCCTGGAAAGCAACTATCCTACGACTTCATTACCGCACCCTCAGCAACCACAGCGTACGCTATCGGGTCAAAATCATCGGCCTTCACTGGCTCAGCCACATGTGTATCCCGCTCCGGTATTTTCGCCTCGTTCGGTCCAGGCGGCAGTGCAGCTTGGACCGGAACAATCCCTAGGCCGACCGCTATCTGGGATACAACCACCTCGCCCTCAGCTCCAGCCCCAGTCCCAACTTCAACGACAGCCTCGTCGGTTACTCATTCCTCCCCCGGGGCATCATGAGCCTCAGCAACATATGCCTAACCCGGCCCGATTTGCACTTCACCAAGCTCACCTCAGGAGCCCTACCCTGCACTCAAAGACAAAGGAACGTCTGTATCTGTATGTGCAGGATTTTGTGGTGAGACCTCGACGTCTCGTGGACGCACGCAACAGGGTTGAGAAGTGGACTTTCACGTTGTCACCCGAGCAAATGGCAACGATACCACAGAACGACACAGGTGAAGCGAGGGGCCTACAAGTTCGAGTTATTGACGAAAACAGCTCCATGATTCGTCTCCGATGCGTGAAGTGGAATCCTACCCAGGATTTCGATCCACATAGGTGGGCGACCAGCGATACCTCGTGGATTCCGTACAGCTTCTTTCAGCTCAACAGCAAGCCTCTCGAGCAGCGTAAGAAACTACACTATGGGAAAGATCTACCAATCGACCTCACTTCGTTGGTTAAAGAGGGGGAGAATGTTTTAGAGATGAGCCTCATCCGAGCGCCAGAAAACCATAATTTTCGGAACTATCTTATCGCCATCGAGATCTTGGGCGTGAGGTCTCACGATGCGTTGATGCAGAACATTCTGACAGAGCAGCATATCCCAGCAGCAACGACCAAGCAGCGTATCATGGACAAGCTTGCTGGTACCGGTACCACCGATGACGAGATCGCGGTTATAAACAGCACCTTGAACATTACTTTGTTCGACCCTTTCAGCCTGTCCGAGATATGCAAGATTCCTGCTCGCAGTCGGGCGTGCGCCCACTTCGATTGTTTCGATCTGGAGACGTTTCTCTCAACACGCAAGAGAAACGCCGATTCTACGGTACCGGACGGCTGGAAGTGTCCTATCTGCAACGGCGATGCCAGGCCACATCTTCTTGTCGTCGATGGTTTCCTGCAAGAAGTCCGCAACGGGTTAGAAAAGCAGGGGCTGCTGAAAACAAGGGCAATAATTATAAGTGAGGATGGTTCTTGGAAACCAAAGCCAGAGGTCAGGGAAGGTGTGGCTGATCACGACGATGACGATACGCCTGTTCGGACCAGCATGCAAAGCGCCTCCGGGCAGCAGAAGCCGCCAGTGTCGCAAACCGTTGAGGTTATTGACCTGGGCGACAGTGATGACGACTAGCTTTTCTCGTGATTTACATTTTCGCTTTTTTCGGGATGCATTTTGAGTCTGGCGTTTTTTTCACATGAGAATACCCCGTTCACTCTGGACTCATGGGCGTGGTCGGCACCCTTATATACCCAATTCTTTTTGTCAACGGCGTAGATTGTACGGGAAAGGCTGGGATGCATGATACTGTGCGATGTATGTTGAGCCATGGACTTTTGACGTGGTGTTTCACACTCCGCTTGAATGACAATTCTCCTCATATTCCCTCGAATCTTTGCGTCCTGTCTACAAGGCTCGACTATCGTACAGCATAAGCAATGGCTTCTGTTCGTGAGCAGATCGTGGCTGAGCTGTTTACAACACGATGAATCGCACCGTCTGCTGTCCTCGACGGGCAGGACTGATGCCTTTGTCACCCTGGCTATGTTTCGCATTGACACCATCGGATGGGCAGCGGAGGCAGCCAGATGCGTTCTTCACTGCAGACTGCTTTCAACATCCAGCGCGGGTGTCAGGGTGCCGCTAACGATGTTCAGCACACCAAGTCTGGCGCGTGACTGGCGCTGTCCTCAGCACCTCACGGAGTTTGAGACGTCTGTCTCAGGCCCAGCACAACCCTGATGTTCCACCGTCTGATCTCTTCGCCCAAGTTGGAGACGTAATTCACTTCCCGCCCTCCCCCTCCTCCCACATCTTCACCAAGCTCTCCTGCCCAAATTGCAAATGCCGATTCATCGCCGCCAGCACGTGGTTCGGCGTACGGTATGCATGCGGCGGGCGCTTGCTGACGTCGCTGAGCCCGGCGTGCGGCACCTTGCGCGCCAGATCCAGCTGTGCCAGACTCCGCATCGGCTCGAACTGCTTCCAGAAAGGCTGCCGCTCCACGTAGTCCTGGTGGATCGCGCGGCTGCGGTCGACGGTCACTTGGAACCAGCGAGATACGGTTTTGGGCGGCTTGCGCGGGGGCGCGAAGGGTAGGGGGGGTTCGGCGGTGGTGGAGGTGGGCTCGGGGGCGGGCGTCGTGCGTGTGAGGAGGGGGGAGGGCGCGAGGATCTCGTCGATACCGGGGGTCATTTGGGGCAGCGGCGGGGCGTTGGCGTCGCCGTCGCCGTCGGCGGCGCTTTCGTCGAAGAGGGAGAGGTTGTAGTCGTCTGTTTCGTCGGCGGTTTTGGGGTCGTGCTGTGTGCGCTCGAGGGCGAAGCGAATGGGGGAGGCAGCGAGCGCGGCCTGCGCGGCGGCGGTGTCGCGGTAGATGAGGAGCGCGGAGTTGGGCGCCGGCGAGTGGTATTCGAACTGCGTTCCTTCATCTTAGCTCATGCTGTGGGTGGAGTGGGATGGGCGGCGTGGCCTACCTGCAGGTTGTAGTACTTTGAGATTTCGCCGAAGCGCTGTAGCACGCGGTGGATTTCGCGGCTTTCGGAGAGGTTAGCGGGCCGCGGGCTGATGCGCAGGTGCAGGAAGCGCTGCGAGAGGGCCTCTGTTGAGGCGCGCCGGACGGCCATGGCGAGGACGTTGGTGCTTGCGATCAGAGGCCTGCCTGAGTTTGAAGCGTCCGGGTGGGTCTCAGGTACCGGTGCTGGGGATCGTGGGCGGATCGCGCAGTCACGTGCATGTACATCGGATTCACCAGATGCAACAGCCAAGTTGGACTTTGCAATGGATTAGGTCAATCACTGCAAGATGGAGGCAAGTATGATGCGGTGATGTGCTTGTATCACACATGTGGTATCTCGTCTCGAGGCTCAACCACTCAGGGAGCTCTTCTACCTAATCAATGACGGTCCTGTCCCGACGCAATCTATGCATCGTCGCTCCGATATTATGGTTCTATCCCGTATCGATAGTCTTTGTACCCAGTCGTCCTGGCCCTCGGGCCCCATGGGAAAAGCAAGTGGTATCTAGCGCGCCAGCCGTCCCAACCGTAATCCCAAACGCCGTCGCAATGCATCGAATCAAACAAAAAGGAAAAGCGGTCACCGCGAGTGCTTGTTCGCGAGCCTCGAGATGGACCCGGTCGACCTCCGCAAACGTGGTCTTTTAGATACCCTCGTACTGCCGTCAAGGCGGTCACCGGCCCGGTAAAACGGCAGCACGAGGCGCATCTGCTCTTTAGCCGTGGACGTGTAGTCCATGTTGACACCCTCGTCGTCGGCCACCGCAGCTGGTGCTAACGGCTTGGACTTGGGCTCGCAGACGTTGCACTGGTCGACTTGGATCATCTTCTCAACCAGCGAGGAGATGTCCTTGATGTGTGCTAGCGAGGACTGCATGCGCACGTTGGCCTGGCGCTGCATGCGGAGGGTCGCAGAGTTCATTCGTGCCGTGGAGACTGAGAGCTGGGGCCGTAGCGGGATGTGTTTCTCAAAGGTGTCATCGTCGCTTGGGGGCGTAAGCGGCTCGTTGCCGGCTGTGAATTTGGGGTCGACGACAAGCCGCAAGGTCTGCCTGGTGAGTGCCTGCGCCAGGTCGTTGATATCGCAGCTCGACGGAGGGGGCGTTGGCAGGCGTGCGGGAAATAGTGCTGGCGATGTGGATGTAGGTGACACGCTGAGGGTTGCGCTTTCCGCGTGGTGGTGGTCGGGCAGGCGCGAGGGAGCGCCAAAGGAGAAGTCGCGAAAGAGTGAAGCCATGGCGGCGTGAGCGCGGTGGATGATCGGTCAACGTTGATCGAATCTGATCTCTGGAATATCGACGAGCAGTAGGAGCGCTCAGCGCGTGGGATGCAGCGGGTACATAAGGCGAGCAGGGTCTGTCCAAAGCGGTGCCAAGCAGACGGCGTGGTTACCAGAGGGGTGGTTGAGCAACGGGCGCCCGCGTTGAACCCAGAAGTGGCAAGCCCGGGCTGTGAAGAATTGGACAGCAGACGCACCGCATGCACGACGCCTCGGGGCTGTCCACTCACACGCAGCCTTGATCAGTGGGGTGGCGCTGGGGGGCGCCGGCTGTGAGCAGCCGAAAGCACATTCCCTTCGCTTCCCGCCCATCACGACTCGCTGCGACGCCGGGCCCTTCGAGTTACATCCGCACGGCCCCGCTCGCCCCAGAACCCGCTGCAGCGAGACATGGCCGTGGAGCCTTCGCGGGGGACGTCATCGCCAGCCAGCAGCGCCCCAGCAGCGCGCCCCAGCTGACGCACCGACGCAAAAGAAGCACGGCAGACCTGCAGGCTGAATGCCGCGGGAGTCACCCACACTCGACTGAGACTGCTGAGACCGCCCAGCCGCTAGAAGCCCTGCAGAAGACGCCCTCTCGTCATCGCCTGGCATCGCCCCTCAACATGCAGTCTCGCTGCACCCGCCCGCTCTAGAACGGCCAGCTCGCCGGTAGACTTGCTGGCCTAGCTGCTGAGCGCCGCTGTCAACCCGCCAAACGAGCCCAGGTGTTTTGTGCTGAAGCCTAGCACGCCTCCCTTAGCAGCCCACCAGGCACACCGGCCTCGCATCGATCCTGGGGCCCGACCGCACTGGTGGGAATAGCTTACGCCCGACGAGTCGCGCCCTCATGCACGCCGCTATTTGCGCTCAGCGTCTGACCTCCCTTTTTCTCCTTTACACGGCGACTCGATACCCGCCCGCCTGGATCGCGGGCCTTTGCCTCTTTTCTTATCGATGCCGCAAGCGCTCCCACAGGATAGGGGCCGGGAAATATTGTTTTCTCTCCCCAGCCTTGCTCCTGCCAAGCGTCCAGCCCTGCGCTGCAATTCCTGGAGCCTAGTCGAGGCTGGCTTAGCCCCCCGCGCAACGCCCCGACATCATGCACGTCGCTCGAAACTTGGGAGCCTCTCATCCACTACATTTGCCTTCGCGGTGGCCGAGCACCATTTGGTTTTCCGATGGTGCTGCGGCGGTGGAAACAGCTCGACGCGGTGGCGTGTCTCGCTCCACCCCCTCGCTATCGGGCATGGCAGTGCACCCAATCTGGTTGCGAACACCATGTTTGCCCATCTTGATGGGTGTCCAGACGACCACTCAGCTGCTCCAGACGACCTGGACACCTTGCACTACCAATGTGCCGCCAGCTGCTCCTTGTACCATGCAATCAACGTGCAACGCCATATGGTTGCATTTTCACCGCTACCGTAGCCCCCAGCTCTTTGGGGGGTTACAACAAGCGAAGGTGCTCCGGCGGGCGAATATCACGTGCCGGTATAATCTCTTTTCGTCCAATTGCACTGTCAATCCTCGGTCGACTTGCCTGATGCCCAACTCGGCCGCCTGAGCTCACGCGTCTACGGTGCCTGTGCATTTTAGGTGAACGACAGTCCGGCGTCGCCTAAACTCTCCTTCTGCACGCGAGTAATTGACCGGACAGCTTTCCTGTGACACGGCTACACTCAGCTATAGTGGGCTCACTATCCCATCTCACCACCGTCGGTCTCACCGCGAATACTTCGATCCAATTATCGCATCATTTAAGGCTATCTGCTTCGAGTTGAAGTCTGTGAAGGAGATTGATGTCTTTCTGGCGGCCATCCCCTGCGAGTTGCAGCCGTCTTTACGTGACCTAGCATGAACAGCCGACCCAGCGGTATTTGCATTGTCATCAAGCGATCCATTCATTGTCAAATGATCAGTCTGGCCCACCAGGTTGCCTGGGCTCTCACGCTCACTGGGTCCATCACTATCAGCTATCGCGACCGATTGATGGATTTTGCATTCAACGTAGCTCGCTTACAAGGCTCAGCTGTTGCGTATTTTCAAGTTTCCGGACAAGTGTGATACTTGGCGACAGTTCCATCATGTCGGCATCCGCGATGTGGGTTTCAGAGAAATCAGCTGGTCAGCTCATGTAGAGTCATCTCTGCAATTGTGTTTGCCTTTCGTTGGGTTGATGAGTTGTTTGCTGACTCTGCTAACATTCTTTGACACCTGCTGCGTCGTTACGACCCTCGGGCGAGCGGGCTAGATTCAAAGTAACGGCCATATCAGCACTTACTGTCACATACATTGCTTCACCCTACGCATCGGAGGCCGCGATGTGCTCGATGGTGCAATCAACTTCTCATCACCCTGGTCGCCAGTCGTTTACCTTTACTGGGATTCTGCTTCACGTGTAGTCACGAGAGTCTGGTGTTTTAGGGCTACCAAAGCGTATTCTCATCATGGAATTATACTGAAAACCCACACCTTCTAGAAGAATCTGTGACTCTTCGGCTCGATACCACAGCAAAGCAGATCAAACTGGCTTAGCATGAACTTCCTTCTACCTGTAAATCTTCGGACTGTTGTCACTTTGTTCGTGAGTTTCTGGAACGCATGCCCAAGCCAGGGTGTCAAGCTGCAGCTCTCTTTGTGTCGTCCCTCGTGTTTTGCAGCTCTCTGCCTTTGTCTTTAGCGCGCAAATATATGTCCCAGTTTGCAGTCTTTCCTCTTCCGGTTACGTCCAACATGAACAAAGAACACCCAACATGCGTATTAAATGCGAGACTTCATGACACTTTCTCTGAGTGTGTGGTTCATACCTTTCTACTGCTCAGGCTTCGTGACTCTTATTAGTCTGCATTCAAGTCTCAACTCTACCCTTCAAAGCACTAAAATCCCAGACGCAGGACAGAATGGCTCGATTTTGGGACAGTATCAGCAGCTCATTCGGCCGTGCCGTTGGCTTTGAAGTCTACGGCGCCGAGAATGATTATCCTCCCCCCACAACAAGCGGGAAGCGCAAGGCCAGCGAGCCACGACGCTCGTCCCGATCCCACAAGGCTCGGCGCTATTCCGCTTCAAATTCCTACCGCAGAGCACCGGGTACCTACACTACCATTGCTCAGGAAAAGAAGGTTGGACCAAGATACTTGGAGAAAAGACAACAGCGGGTCTCTGACATCCCTGGAGAAGAAGAAGCAGAAGAGAAACCTCTCGTCATAGGCTTCGTCGGACATAGAGATAGTCTTGATCGCCGCCCTTCGAACAGGACGCGCAGGCGACCATCAACCCCATCCAGGCGTCCCTCAACAAAGCCAGTCCAGGAGGTGGATGGAGATCAATTGAGCGGTGTGGCCGGCGCCCTCAAAAACGTGTTTTACAAGCTCACCGGTACTGGAAGAGTCGAGTCGACAATGCCCGCAACCACCGAAGCAGGCGTACAAGCCCAACTGCTCGCAGAGTACCCAGATGAAGAGATCGAGGCTCGCTACCTCGCTGAGTTTCAACAAGATGATTACGACGATGCAAAGCTGAGTGACGGGGAGCTGGGACTCAGGTATTTTGGGCCAGCGCCTTGGGCCAAGAACCGGGATAAGTGGGATGACATAATGAAAGATAGTCCTCGGATCAAATCTTAGTAAGTTTCTCGTTATCATGCTTTCAGAGGAGAGGATCTTAGCAGCTTACGTCTTAATGTAGTCCGGGAAAGACTGTGACAAAGACGCACACGACAACTATACTCAATCCAACTGCAGCCAAAGTAACGGCTCTCAAATCTCATTCGTATTATCCGGAGCCTTCCATAGAGGTTGACTCAGTCGCTCGAAAGAAGCCTGAGAAGAGTCCTGTCAAACCTGCTGTTAAGCCTGAAGTCAGGCGGAAGATAAAACTCCCTGTCAAAGCCCCGGTCAAGCCTGCCGACAGACCTGTCATACCCGCTGTCAGACCCGTGGTCAAACCTGCTGTCCAATCCCCTGTCAAAATCGTTGACAGACCTGTGAATGCCCCTTCGGTTGTGGGTACCTCTCAAGTCGAGTCAGACACTTTGAAGAAGCCCACTAAAAAGACTGTCACTCAAAACGCTGTCAAGCCCATTAAAAAGCCTGTAATTGAGACTCCCGAGTATATCAAGGAGTGGACAGAGGCACCTTATGAGCGACTCCGCACCATCTATGAGGACTATCCCACATCGTATCTGGCCCAAGCTCAAAATGAGCTTCAAGAGCCGATGTATGCGATCCGCGATGTTGAGGTCCGCGATATGATGTGGCAGATTCAGGATGGGGTAGAAGAAGTGGCTGCGCTCTTTCAGGGCACTATACCGTTGCTTCTGAACAGAGAGAAGTCCAAGACCCTCACACGGATATATTCGGACCGGACCATGTCGACGTCGCGCGTCTTGAAGGGCGTGGCGGGCAAGGGATGGACTGCCGAGGAAGACTGGCATGACGTTTTTGCCAGTAACGGGAAGAGACGAGCACTCATTTGCGGCGTCATCGGCAACGTACTCATCGAACAGGTCTTCAAGCATCCTTTCTTTGGCGGCGATAACCGCAACATCGACGCGCTCTTCGGCCTTCAGAGAGATCTCCGGGCTCAGGATGGTAAGTATCTCCTCTCCATCGTCCAACACACACTAACCCGCACAGCTTTCAATCGTAAGCATCAAAGTGCGAGGCTTCTGTCGTCCCTGATCGTTGGAAGGAATCTGAATAATGATCCCAAAGAGCCCAAGACCATTCTCCATCCCCCGGAAAACTTCACCACACACGTCGACGTCGTCGTCACCGCGCTCGACACACACCTCCGTCCCCTCCTCCTCAACCTATGTAAGTTTAGGGACCTATCCAAAGAGAGAACCGCCACCATCCATTGGTCCTTCATCGAAGCCCTCACGCGTCTCGTCGGCACCGCGGGCCTCCTCTCCCTCCAGATGGCCGTCGACCCCCTCACCGTATACTACCACGTGCCCGTCGCCAAGGGCGAGTGCTTCTCGCACACCCTCCACGAGGCGTTCAACAACGACGAGATGGAACGTACGCACCCCCGGAGTGCGGAGATGGTTTTCCAGTCGGACGAATCTAGGAAGCGTGCGAGGAATGACGAGGCGGTTGTAAGTATGGTGTTGATGGATGGGCTTACGGCGTATCGTGCGGGTGGGTGGGAGGCACCGGGGAGTAATCCGCTTTGGGATGGGGATGAAGTTGTGGGGAGGGTGTATGCAAAGGACGAGTATGTGGGGAAAGGGTATAGGGGGAGGCTGTTGACGCCTGGGTGGGTTTTTTGCAAGTGGGATCGGGCAAAGGGGTTTGCGTGAGGCCAGCGGGTGGCGCTGAAGCCGGCGGAGGAAGGGGCGTAGAGCACTATCATTGACGTTTGTTTTGTAGCCTTGCTTTGTAATTGGTCGTGTCTTGCTTTTTTTCCCTTGGACTTCTCAGCTTCTTCATCTGAATTCGAGTCTTCAGCGAGGATTCCTTCAAAATCGCGTCCGCCAAAGCCGTCCGCCAAAGCCGTCCGCAGAAAGATGGTACACCTAGCTATCCAAAGCTGTCGCGTTTCAACGCAAACCGTGCCTACCATACCACAATAAAGCCATTACGCCAGATCGCCATCTTTTTCCTATCCCGAGTTGACTTGGCCTGCGCTGCATCTTCAAGGCTCCAACCTGATACGGTAGGCCCCGATAACCACATCAGTTGGAGTGTAAGGATCCCTTGATTTGCGCTCAAATGTACGGTGTATGCATGAGGCGAGCGAAGCCGGCGCAATAGGACCGAAAGAGGCGGCACGCGGCGAACGTTGGAACGGGACGGCATGCCGCTCGTGCATGGGATAGGCACGTGCACTTCTGCATTTGGCGGGGCTGGCGGGTCGTAGTGCGGGTGCCCTTTGCTCCGAAGAAAGGTCGACCCACGCGTAGAAGCAGTGATTCAGTGTCATGGGGCGGTGAGTCGACAAGTTAGGGAATCGAGCAGATGCATTGCTACCATCTGTGGCGGCAGCCGTTCTTGATTGACATATTCCATGGTCTATTTTCTACATCCTCGAGGGTCCTCATGCCGCCTCCCAGGAGTCATCATACGCGGCCACAATGGGCACCGCAGACTCTACATCTGCCTCGTCCTCCTCTCGCCTTCGCTTTTATCGCTGCCTTCACCAACACTCCACTGACTTTGCGCCCTCAGCGCACCCTTATTCTGCACATGCACCAACTCCTGCTCGTCATCCTCGACTCGTGTGACCGTGAAATTCGTATCCACCGTCTTCGTGATCCCACCGAAACTCTGCAGCGCACTTCCCAGCGCAGACCGCGACTTCGAGCGCTTGTTCGACGACAGCCGCGCGTTAGGTGTGCCAGAGTAGTCGTTGTAGTTTGAGTTCTGCACGCTCGACGAGAAGCACGAGGGAAACATGAAAGCGAGGCACTTGCGCAGTGCGGGCATGCATGCGCAGAAGATGCCGACGAAGCAGGAGAGGACGCTCCAGTAGGCGGTGGGGCAGTTGTCCCAGGTGGCGTTCGTGGAATTGGCAAAGGCGAGCAGGGATTGGAGGCGCAGGATGGAGACGATGGTGCCGCTGGGGAGTGTTAGCTAGACAGAGGGCGAAGGGAGAGACGAGGGTACTAACAGTCCGCCCACGCTGAACATGGCGACGATCATGATGCGCTTCTTGAGGCTCATCTTTAGCTTGATGAGCTCGGGGATGGGGATCGCGAAGATGATGCAGTCGAAGACGATGTCGATGACTGCGTGCGCCCAGACAAAGGCGTTGAGGTTGATGCATTTGCCTTTGTGCAGGCCATCCCACGAGGTCCAGATGTATGTTATGGGCAGGCAATTCACCGTTACAATAACTGCGAATATGACGGTACTCAAAGTCCCCAGACCGATGAGGATGTGGACCACTTTGCGGAGCTTCTGGCGGGGGAAGACGCGGAGGTACAGGAAGAGGAATGCCAGCTTCGTGCACCCGATGGAAACAAACCAAAATATCTCGGTGAGCCAGGTAAACTGCAGCTGTGGTCAGTGGGTGTTCACCACTCAGCTCATTGTACCTACCTGAACGATCCTGTATATTTGGCTTGGTGTCAGCGTCCAAATATCCTTGCCAAAGCCCAAACCCGACATGAGAAATTCTAAGACGGCCATTGGGATGGCGAAGACGAGCGCGACCACGCACATGGCATCATCAAGCCAGAAGTCTGCACCTGACATCCAGACGCGGACGGCGACCCCAATGAGCGCTGCGCCGCCAGATGTCCCGGCGATGATGGGAGTGATGTGCGTGATATCTCGCACAGGAGCTCCGCACATTGTCTGAGTGGCATTCTGGGCAGCTTGAGCAGTTAGACGGCGAAGCTATGGAACACACTGGAGGGTCCGTACCTAGTGCATCAATCACTGTACAGCTTTGTAGTACACAGCCTTGTATCGCAGCATTGAGAGGCTCATCGGCGCAAATGCAGGCTACATCAGTAGCTGTACACTTGTCTTGTGCCTTGAGGCTGTCCTGAAGACACTTGGCCTGCAGTAATCAGTATCCTGGTAAGGTCGAACGTTCCACAATTGAGGGCTAATCTCACCGCACAGTCGGGCATTGACTGGCCTGACACCAGATTCACCAAGCCACTCAAAGGCGCAAGAAACAATGCAACACTGGACAACCTCATCTTTACTCACTTGACCAACTCGAACAGACCGACCAAAACCAAACCCACGCAAGTGGACGTCTCTCCACTATATGGCCCAGGGCGAACGTGCCCATCTCCAGGGCATGCCCGGCATGGTTTCAGCATCAGTGGGGGAGTCTAGCAAGATGTTGATCCTCCTTTTCTTTTCCCTCTGCCATGTTTCCGCAATATTCCAGCTTCGGCACGTTTGCGGGACATGTGTCAGGCACGTCAGGGATCAACAGGAAAAGGAATATTTGTCTTGGCTTGGGCTGCCGTTGGTCTCTTGTGTTCGTAAAATCCTCCGTGAGCGAAGATCTTTCGACCACTGAGCCCAGTTCGGACATATGGCGCCGCGTCAGCATTTTGGTCGCACCGTTAGCCCGTTTCTTAGCCCCCAAAGTGGACAAAAGGCGTGGGTTGTGCAGCTATGACCATTGGCCGTTTATATCTCGAACATGCGCCACAGCGCATCGCTTTTATGTAATACAGTTTGTTTTTCTATGTAGCAGCTACAACGTATGTTTCTTGAAAGACAATCACGGTATTGTCATGTAAAACCTTCCAAACAAGATGGGTTGATGCACACGAGTGTGGCTTCGCACGGTTGTTTTTCTCGTACGGCGCTGGATGTCGCTGCCGGGCTTAGCTCCGCTTAATACCAATGGCTGGATGCCTTGAGCGAGGTTGCCGCCGGTTGTTTCCGATTGAATTTGACTACCCTGACTTCGGCTGTGGAACAGGGTCAAAATCGCCTGACTAGGCGAGCGACTGGGGTGCGGGATGCGGGCCGTTGCGTAACCTTGACATTCGCGTTACCAGTTCGGTATTGTCTCTGCAATTTGACAGGACAACTATCGTGACATACCGGGGCCAAGCTCGTGTATGCACGCTCCGAGTGCACTGGGCGCATTTACGTTGATGCTCTGGGATAGATCCATGGAACAGTGACAGACTGATATGGCATAGCAATCCGCGGAGTGTAGAAATTCGCTCGAGCCTAGTAGGGTCTCAGCGTACGAGAAATAAAGAGCAAGGTATCGCTCCACTTAGTCCCACTTATTTGTCGACATTCACGTGTTTGATTTGTTGCTCTTAACGTTGGGGGTCTCGACCAAGATCCTACACACTATCCCGCTGCTGGGTTCCCTGGGTCAGCCTCGAGACCTAATTCAGAGCCTTGGGCCTCGATTTATGCGTGTGGCAGATCCCTGCTACTCTAGGGAAGGCTGGTTGTATGCGGGACGAAGCTTTGTGACAAGTTCACGCAGGTGGCGCGAGCGGCGGCACCTGGGGACGGGCGAGCATATGCCGCTGTAGACCCCAATGCAGCAGGGCTTGCATATTACCCTCCCGACTCCCTGGGACGTTTCGGGAGCTCACTTTCTCTTTTTGCGTCTGTATTGAGGAGAGCTCTCTTCTTCGTCTTTTCTTCTTGTGGGATTATCTCTTTTGCGATGGCCATCCTTCCGGACACAGTTCTGGGTCTGTCGCCCTGGACGTGGTTATTCAAAATCGGTCCGATTGCCATAGTTGTGTATACTCTCTTATGGATGGTATATGCAGTGACACTGCACCCCCTTGCAAAGGTGCCAGGTCCATTCTGGGCCTCGGTGACGCGCATTTGGTACATGTACCAGGTTTACATGGGAGACATGGACAAGGTGCAGCGTGCCATGCACAAGAAGTATGGTCCTGTTGTGAGATTGGCGCCAAACGAAGTTACTTCTGCAAACGCGGCCGACATCCCCAAGATCTATCGCCTTACAGACCCGCTGCTCAAGACGGACTTCTACCCGATCTGGGGCGCGCCGCAGATTTCGAAGCAGCCGGATCAGTTCACTTGTATCGATGAGAAGGAACACACGCGGTATCGGAAGATCGTGGCGCCCGTATATTCTTTGGCAAACGTTTTGAAACACGAGGATTATGTGGCGAAGTGTACCACCCTCTTCCTCGAGCGCATGATGGAGTTTGCAGACAAGAAAGAGCAGGTTGACATTGGCCATTGGTTTCAGATGTATGCATTTGATGTTGTTGGGGAACTTTCTTTCGGAAACATGTTCGGCTTCATGGAGAAAAACACCGACATTGGAGGCTGGATCGGAGCGCTTGAGGCGCTGATGCCCGTTTTGTGTGCTGCCGCAATCGCTCCCACATATCTCCGACCATTCGTCCTGGGCTCCGCAATCGTCTCTCCAACGGTGTTTAGAGCTTTGAAGTCCTTCGAAGGCATCCACACTGCGGCTGTTGATGTCGTCACAAAGCGCGTCAAGGAGATCAATGCCGGCATCGCTGATCGCATCGATATGCTACAACAGTTCAGCAAGATCGTTCGAGACAAGGGCGACCAGAACGGGTTCACTGACAATGAAGTGACTCTTGAGGCGTACATTGCCATGCTGGCGGGCTCAGATACCACTGCGATTGCTCTCCGCGCCACGCTGTACTTTCTCATGAAGCACCCTGGCAAGCTCGCGAAATGTCGCGAAGAGATCGACGCGCATCGTGCAAGCCTAAGCTCCCCGATTCGCTACACGGAGTCGCTCGCTCAGTTGCCATACACGAGTGCTGCAATCAAAGAAGCGATGCGCCTCCATCCTAGCGTCGGCCTGAGCATGCAAAGACATTCTCCCAAGACCGGTGTTGAACTGTCTGGCTACTTCATTCCTCCGGGTTGGCGTGTTGGTTGCAACCCGTGCATTGTACATTTGGATCAAACGGCTTTCGGAGAGGACGCTGATGAGTTTCAGCCTGAGCGATGGTTGGAGTCTGAAGCGAGAAGCCGGGAAATGGAGAAGTCTCTCCTGACATTCGGCTCTGGGACCAGAGTATGCATCGGAAAAAACATCTCTCTGACTGAACTGCATACGCTCGTTCCGGAGATCCTACGCCATTTTGATATCAGCATGGCCCACGACCGTCCGTGGAAGACGCAGGACACGTGGTTTTACACGCAGACGGATGTCATCGTAAACGTCAAGCGCCGTTGAGGAGTATGTAGTCGTAGCTAAGTCAGGATACGAATTAGATTGCTACATTAGTGCCTTATTCTGCTCTTACGGCTCTTGAAGTGATGAAGATGGATGGATGCAGTGTCGGATAAGCTAAGCGTTCCCGCCGAGTCGCGCTAGTACAAATGCTGCTATGCATGCAGCGAAGTCAATTTCCATCGTTCCATAAGCACCTAAAAGCAACGACATATACTTTTCCGAACTCGAGGTCATCAAAGCATAGAGTTATCTTCTCAGTGTGCGCATTCGTACACCCGATCTTACAGGGCAGCTTGAATGCGCTCCATGCGCTCAAAAACTTCGAGCGCGCATTTCATAGCTCTACCGGGATGCACCCTCGGGTTCAAAGGTACTTGGGATGCTGCGACAAGCATGACCTGGGTGTGTTTAACCCCGCAGCAAGATCCGTCACAATCTTTCCTTTCCAACCGAGGCTGACAAAATAAGAGGTTATTGCTGAGGATTCAGGTGGCTGGAAATCGTTCATCTGAGGTTAATGAATGGGACCGAAGACGGGACATGATCATGGAGTTGTCAATACCAGGATTATGGCCAATTTACCTTGTCTTGCATGCATGCTCAGCAAGTCAAACTCCAGGGCATAAAATAGGCTCTACTAAGGACCAAACGCCCTCGATATGAGAAGTTTGGAAGTAAACACTAATTCGATGGGTAAACCTTCGAAAGCACAAATGCCCACATATGCTCAGTACCCAATAATTACTCAAGCATGCAAATAGCTCGATTGATACCCGATCATGAAAATTGAAGCATTGTATCCGAGGTCAAGCTGATCATATTATGGACGAGCACAAAATATGGCACCGCATAGCATTCTGATAATGTGCTACGGTGCTGCAATGGAGTAAATGTTGAGTTGGAATACCACGCTGTTTGGTGCACGCTTCAGTCCATGCAAGCGTATCATCGACAACGCCGCACAGAATTGACAAGTACTGGATACTGGATACCGAGAGAAAAGTCTTTGGTCGGAGTGGAAGGAACAATTGAGGAGAAGTAGCAGAGGGAAAACAGTACTAGTGATCGAGAGGAATCCGGACTCGAAACCTTCCACGTTCGGAGGGGATGTTGAGACCTCAATGAGATTCTCGAAGCTCAGGTGTTGGAGGCACAAGAAGAGATGTTGGTTACTAGGGCAACTTACGCTTTACTATATGGATGCGGATCGTCTTGGCACTATATTGCGCCTTCCACAAGAACTCCCTAGACGCCGAACTCTCTCTCTCTCTCTCTCTCTCTCTACAACACAACACCGTAAGTAAAATCTGCCTCGCGGCCACGTACTATGCTCATCTCACGACATAGCCATGGCACGTTACAATTATAACCCTAAGTACATGAACTACATCAATCCGCAACAATAATAAGCTAGGCAGCAGCCACAGCCACAGCACTAGCAATAACAGCCATATGGTCAACAGCTCTATGTACGATAGTGACCACAGCAGCAATAGCAACCGAAACCGCAACCGCAACCGCAACATCAGTATATCCAGCAGCCCCCAGCATAAGTGAAAGGCTAGCCGCGTCAGTTACTACATACTTATTATCGGCAGTATTCAGTACGGCAATCCGCCTCAACAGTACACCCACGGAACATCACAGGCGTAAGTGAATTCCCGGTCATGTCATTCAATCTGTTAACTCCAAGAAGTCTCCAGCGAATGCCCCAGTATAGACGGAACAAGATTAGCAAGAACCGCGGCCAGAAGAAGCCCATGCGGCTAGAACAAAAGTTGGACCAGGTGCTAGAATGATTCGCACAGAATTATGAACGGCTTGCACAGTATAAAGACCGATTAGACAGACGCGCCACGTCCGTCATTGTCAGCCTCTAGATACCAGTTCCCAAGAACAGCTCAGAGCTCTCCTTATCGGCTACACACAGTTCCAAGAGCAGATGTTCGGTATAAGTCTAGTAAATAGGTTTTCTATGCACAAATGTTGCTGGATATTGTACAGACTGGTCTGATGCGGAATTCTATAGGACGCTCAACATCCTTTACAGCTTTATCACAGTCGAGGACGACAGCAGCATGTACGATGTAATGGTTCCAGACCCTCCATAACGGGCGCCCTCAAGAGATGCTGTACAAAGGTGGCAGCGATCTAGCACAGAAGACACAAGCCGGCTTTGTGCGTTACGACAGCATCGTCCAGCGCTACTAACCCACCCACCCACGAACAGATATCCCACAAGATCCTACTGGTTTTGGCTCATAATAGCCCCAGCAAGAACAGCTCGGCGCTCCGCAGTCCTTTGCGTCTTCCAGCCAGCCACCGGTACAGTACCAACAATATAGGATGGGTCGGTCATCAGCTCAGACGGGGCATCTCAATGTGCAGACACACGTCGCAGCTCCAGCCTCGCCTCAAGTCAACGTGGCTGTGCAGATGCAAGCTCTAGCCGTACTAGCATGGCACACAGCCCTGAAAGCCCAATCAGCCCCTCTGTCGACGGTTATCTACTCGTCAAATTACGCACCGGCAGGCCAGCAAACTCCACAGCAGCCCTTGGTCACCATGGCGCAAATCGCTTCGGGTGCAGCACCAGGATTGAACGTTCCTGGATACCAGCTCTCGAACCTGAAGCCTTTCGATGGACATCGAAAGTTCATCGATTTCAGCACGAAGCTTCCTTGATATGGCAGCCCAGTACAGCCCAATGGTACCATTGAGGGGCTACTACAGCAGAACATGATGATGGCTCCCTACGATCAAAAACGGGGCCAGTTCAATGGCATGGTTCTCAACGCAGCAGATACAACGTCCTACGAGGATCTGCATCGAGAAAGCCATGCGCGTATGCAAACCACTTAGGGAAGTGCATTGCCAATCACGAGATCACACAGGCGCATATTGACGCGCGAGTGAAGTACAAGCGGTTGCCCATTTGCTTCGCAAAGCAATGGGTTAACAATTTCAATGACCACCGCCCAGTTGATGCCGCAGAGGACTTGGTCATCAATCTGAATTGGTTCAAAGCAGAGGTCTACCTAGACGGGGTGGTACCGCCGAGAAAGGCTCTACAGTCAGATACTATTCGCCAGCCTACAACCCAGTCTGCTACTCGGTACGCTCCTCAGCCTATTCTTCAGTCCGATCCTCAGTCTACTTCTCAGCCTCTTCAACAAGCTCCGGATACACAGTCCCACGCCACACCGGCTCATCAGCTGACCCACACCCCAGCTTATACATGCGATCAATCTCAGACCACTCAGACTGTCTAGGGGATTCTGCATTTGACAGGCGGCAAACCACAGCCATTATGGGGGCTGAATCACCATTCCAGTATCAGGCAAGATGAAGATAGAATGCGGGAGAACATCGAGAAGGGGAGACAGAATGTGGGAGTTTACACAATCCCTGCAATGGGAGAGATCTTTCAAGATTGCAAGGGCAACAAGCAAACTAGGAATACGGAAAGGAGTTCGTACCAGGCCTTTCTGTCCCTATTATTCCTGAAGGCAGCGGCGAGGTGCCCCTTAAAGCAGTCACCTCTGCCTAACCAGTTGCTCGGCCCGACACTCAGACTCCTCCTCAGTCTCCTACAACTGGTGTCCCCATTGGGTCAACACCAAATGCGCATCGGACTCATGTAGCGGATGACCCTCGACGCACCCATTCGGACATGGATTTCTGAGGATCTGCCTCAATTTTGTTTTGTGTTTATTTTTACTGTTCAAGGCTATGGTCTCAGACCTGCCCGCTTACACTGAATAAGGTGGCCCTAGGCACCTAGATATTCGGTCTTGCCGGATACCAGATCAGGTAGCGAGGCGTCACAGATCCTCGACTTGAACGAGCTTTCGATGTCTCAGTCTCAGACTAGATATGCAGCTTCTCTCCTAACCTACATCTCAGATGAGGTCCCGACGGCGTGTTGTTGATTTCCGTTCTTAGTATAGGCGCGACTGAGGTCTCCCATGGAACAGGTTAAATAGCAATCCGTAGTTAATTCAAAACAGTCACTGACCACTTGTGACGTCATGTCGCAAGTTGCAAAATACCTCAGCGTTCTACAGAACAGCCTGCAATATCCGCTAGTTCGCTTCAAATTTGGTCTTTGTTTGCTGAATTCTCTCGCGAGTCGCGTTTTTGAAATCGAACGCATCTTACACACTCGACCGTGTCATCAGCAGCTACGTCGCCTGCGACTTCGCCCGCACGACAGACGCGGATGTCCAACGTGTGGTCGATTTCAAAGGGTCTGTGAGCTGCGTTCTGGCGAGAGCTGATCGACATGGAATACAATCAGGATAAGAGGGAACTGGGTGACTGGCAACCTACCGAAATCGATTATGGAAGGCGAGCGCCACGCTCCGTGTTGACCTGGGTGGCTGGGTATGCATTCATGACCAAGATCGGTTGGAATTTGGCAGGTTGAGTATACGAGCACCGCTACACAAGCGGCCTCTCCATTTACAAGCTGACAACTGTGCGGCATGCTCTGGCAGTTTGGTCAGCGCCTAGACCAGGCCTTCCCTAGATGGCATATCAGTTCGGGGTAAATTCACGATCTGCTGTCTTGTTCTACTATCTATCAGCATAGTCCATCCCCTACTCAAGCCTGCCACGTTGTACTCGATAGGGCTACTCAAATGCGCAACAGGACTATGTCAGCTGCCTTAACAGTTCGTACAATTTGGTCGTGACCAACTGTGTTTTCCGGACAAGAGAACGATCGATGATCGACGTCTAACATCGATTCGACTACTACGCCCTTTTAGTGTTTACCAATTCCTCGAAGTGGCTAGTATCTGAAAGTGTTGGGCAGAAAGTCACTTGCAGTCTGATCACAGGCATTTCATGTAGGCAGGGCGAGCACTATGAGATAGTTTCACTGTGAATCACATGATATAAAATCGAAATTTATATCAGAGTCATTGCCGGTCTTTGTTGGTACATTGTAGGTTTGGACATCAGCCCGTTGTCGGAAAAGGAGCTTTTGATACATTCAGTGGGTGTCCATGATCTTCAACATTGCTTTCCAATACGAAATTGACTCTATCGCATCGCGATACACCGTCTGAAGAACATAGGCAGAGCGAGGTGAAAGACCCTCACTGAGTATACGCTCAACCTCGCTCAGAGCCTGGTCGTCTTGAACCGGCTTGAAGAGCTCATGCGTGATGAGAAAATCACCTTTGTCCGGATCGCAACCCGTGCATGGACATATCATCGGCTGCGAAGGCTGTCACGGCTTCCCCGCTAGGAATAGATTATCTTTTAGACTATCATTATCCTGAGAGAATGGGCCTTCTTTCCGAGGGTCTTCTTTTCGACTATAGTCGTCCTGCAAGAATGAGGGATCTCTGAAATGATTCCAGTTGTCGACCTGGGACTATCAGTGGGTTTGGATTGGCACGTTGATCGAGACGGTACTGGCGTACCTAGTTTGCTTCCCGCCGGTCCTCTTCGGCTTTCAAACCAGCGCGATAACGATTTAGCTTGGCATTCTGTTGCTGTTGCTGTAGGCTGTTTTTGATGTTAATCTGGTTGAATATAGTCATTTGAGTGGCTGTGTGACATTGCTAAATCGCGAACTTAAGCACAAGTCCCCGTTCAGACGCGTCGTACTTACTGTTTGAATGTCGTAGAGAAGAGAAGGCGTCGGAGCGCGCCAGAAAGCTTTGTAGACGGCACGACGTAGCGCTAAGCCTCGACGACAAACGCCCCAGCGACCGATGAAGGTAAACGGGAAGGAGCGACGTACACAAAGTATTAGCCCTAGGCGACGCGTAAAAGTTCATGCTGATTTAAGGCAGGAGAGACTCGTCTGCGTGAGTTGAGCGAGGAAAGGTCATTCGACAAGTACACAGTCAAGGAGACGCACGCTGAACTAAAAAGATGAAGTTACGTTTCTATTCTTTCTGCTAACACGCAACCAGATGTCACGCCTGCCTAACATTCTCCGGCTCGAGCTCGCTCTCCTCCTCAATCGTAGGCAATACTTTATACCTCCCGCTCCTCTTTTCCAAGCAGCGACTCGAATGCAACAAGTGTCCCCTCTTCCCCCGAACAAACGCCGCAAAACACGCCGCACTTACCGCGAGTACACCCCCGCTCACCCACACCGGGAAGCGAAACTGATCCGGCCGCGCCCACACCATCGTCGTCGCAAAGCTGCACAGCTCGAACAGGTTCTGCAGCGAGGCTTCGATGGAGGAGAAAGAGCCGCGGGTCGCTTCGGGCGCGTCTTCTTGGACGAGGTACTGCACGCAGAGGTCGAAGCCCCAGAGTCCGAGGCGGGAGAGGGCGACCCCTGCGACGAGAGCGAGGCCGGCGGTTTGGGTTGAGGGAGTGGACAACGTGAAGAGGGAGATGGCGAGGATGACCGTGATGAGCTGGTAGTTGATGAACCATAGGCCTGCGCGGACGGCGCCGATGCGCCGCATCAGGAGAGGCGCAGCACAGGTTGCGCTGAGCTCGAGGATGACGGAGATGAGACGCATACCGGCGATATGCGTCGAGGTGAAGCCCAGTGTGAGGAGGTAGGTCGTCAGTTGGGAGCCGAACCCGAGGACTGTGAAGTAGAGCAAGGCAAGGGAGAAAGATGCGAGGCAGGCTGGGTTCATGAAGTAATCTATCCATTGCTGGATGGCGGCAGAAAGTCCACGAGAGTTTGGGGTTGCCATGTCGCGGCCTTCGATATTAATGGGAGCAGTTGAAGATTTTCTGCTTGCGAGGCCTGGGACAGCATGATAGACCTGCGCGATGGCAAAGTATTCCTGTAGAATCAGCATACAATTTACACACCAACGAGGGACCACTCACAAAGACTATGCTCAACGTGTTCTGACCTAGGACTGCCCATATCGCGACCTCAGTGGAGTACCCATCGACCAGCGAAATCCCAAACGGCGCAACCAACTTACACACCAAATCAATCCTCCTCATCTTACTATTCAAGTCTTCCCTCGGCACGCCCAACCCCTCCGCAACAACGACCACCCAGTCCCTCTCAACCGCCACCGTATTGCCCACAAACGCCAGTTTCTCTACCCCGGCCAGCACCACGCAGATCGAAAACCAGGCCACCTTCGTCCAAGTCTCCGGCGCCGATCTCAGCAGCAGCAACAGTATGCCGCAGGAACCCGCGACAGAGACGCGCTGCCAGATGATTGAGTGGCGCACTACGCCAAGGCGTTCTCTGCTGTCAACTTGGTGGCCGACCGTGGGGGACAGAAGAAAGGCGGTGAGCGAGCGGAACAGAGCGTAGCACGAGGCGTAGAAAAGGGTGTTCGGGAAGATGCTGCCTAGGAAAATGACGGCGCTGAACTCAAACGTGCGGGCGTTCCACGTGCTGAGAGTGTGTGACAAGTAGAGCTTCCACAGCACGGCTCTTGTACTAAATCTGTTGGTCGACGAGGAAAAACTTTCGACTGGCGAAAGGTCCGGCGCATGGCCATTATTTACGGCTTCAGATGTCGACGGCATAGCTAGGTCTAGGATGAGCAGTACTACGCTGCCTTGCGATGCAAGAGGGTATGTTGGAGTGCTCAAGTGGAGTGACGGTCATGTGCGCGGTGAATTCTTGCTATTGCAGCTGCCGAGGTCGGTCGCAGCTAACCCGATATGTCTAGCTCTAGGCCTTGAAATACCAGCCCAGAGGTACCCAGTACACAACCGCCATAATTTTAGACATCATACGACTATACTGAGAGTTCTCGCTATGTATTCCAGAGCAGACGGCCCACTTGTTGTATTTTGGGGCTCTTGTCGATCAGTCAGGCGGCCTTAAGAGAGATGTCTTGAACCGACTACCCTGAGATTGACCAAACTCTATGAGGAAATGAAGCTGCCCTAAGATCTTGCGTTCAAATCGAAGCGTCGTACTAACAGGGTCGCATCCTTCCAAGTGTGTGTAGATCAAGTGGCAGTCATTTCGAGTTGCGGGCCCTTTCGCTCCAGCATCGTGTAACAGACCGCGATCTACACACGACGATGCAGTTTGAGGCTGATGGCTTAGTGCCTTAACATCCCTCACAACAGAAGAGCACTCTTCTGGGAGATATTCCTCTGCGTCTCCTACCTCCGCATCGTCTAGCTAAAAGAGAACATTAAGGCGCGCTATGCGGCATTCAGGATCTTCAACTGTGTGTTCTCCCCAACCATTGCCAAGCAGACTGATTTATTTAAGAGCGACAAGTTCCGAGGTACAGACTGCGTGGATCATCTCTGGATGCTTGTTGACAAGTGTCATGAGCAGCCCAACCTCGAGTGTCTTCAGCTTCGACGAAGCGAGATGATCAGGTCCACGATAGACAGCAAGCATGTTGACACCTCACCCAAAGCATTTGGCTGACTTCCGTGGGTCTCCTGCACCCCTGACCCCGTAATACGGACCGAATCGTTTCCCCTCTTTCAGCGTCTACATAATTCCTCATCTCAGTCCCAATTGTACGCATGATGAGCTTGTGGGCGTAACCCTCATACCGGCTGAGCACGGCCTAAGACCAGCCGTGTTCTCTCCCACCCTATGTATCCACTCTACGGCGGATACCTCCGAGCTAATAACGTAAGAGATGGAAGACGGACCGACTGTGAGCGTGGCTACCCGCGCTAGCCCCATGAGGAAGCGTGTCATGCGCGTGGCCGACCAGCCAAGGGGGAATCTGTGCCCTGGAACACGCACAGCACGCGCAAGACGTGGAGCATGTACATCATATGTGGAGGTGGACAGCCCAAATCATCGACGCGCTGTGTCTTGCAGACTATTGAGCCAATCGCGACCCATTGGCAATAGCAGATCTTGCAATGATAAGTTGGCACATTTCTATCTCATCTTTCATCAAATCCATCGCAGAGTCGAATCAAGCAGATAACCAATTGCGCTGACACTGGGGGACGCAAGGGCACGGAACACCGCCGAACCTGAGCGGCGGCTTGTCTGGTGACTTCAGCCTCTTTCGTGCCGAGATGCAGGAACAAAGCGTGCGGTGCTGCCACGGCCAGATTTCGCACGTGGATATTTGCGCAGGGTCCTGGCACAGTTCCGGCGCTGTATGAGATCATGTTGCAAACATTGCGGGTTTGTAATGGCTCAAAGTCCGGGCTTACAGCACCGTTAACATGCTGGGTGTTGAGGCCAGTAGTGTCCAGCTCTTGTCTCGAAGTCCTTAGTGCCAAGCCCAAGTCTCCAATCGTTCAGGCAGGGCAACCCCGGACTAGGAATAAAGATGGGTCTCGATACGGTAGACGACAGCTAAAAACTCTGGTGTCGCAAGTGTAGACCCGTGAGCCTACACAAAGCCTCACCTGCCGCCAGAGCCTTGGACAGGCTATTGGTTGATTCATCGAATCGCATGGCGGTGAGCGTGTCATTACTAGCTCGAAGGAGTAGCGTGGTCCCTGATGTCCGCATAGAGTACATGTTGTTCGCGTGACCTGCTACAACGGTGCAACTCATACCTGTTTTGGGATCGTGCGCTCGGAAATGGCGGCAAGGATATACTCTTATCCGGAGTGACATAACAAGGCAGGTCGACATGTATATGGGGAGTGGAAATATCCAATTTCGCCGTTTCGGTGTCTCAACATGCAACGACCGAGGTTTCTCGTAAGCCGGTGTTCGTCGTTGCGCACAGTAGACTTGTGCCACTTCGTACGAACGGTTTTCAGCCACTAGCTTGCTTCGCTAGACCGAATGCACTTGATGGGCGCCACCCGAAGCCGCTATCGGATCTGGCCTGCGTTCTCGGATGCAGCTCCGAAGCGCGAGGTCCGCCCGCTCGTACCTCGCATGTTCTTACCAAAGCCAAAAGAAATGTAATTAGCCGTTGCGGAATACCAACCCTTATATGAACGTCTATCGCGTCTATCAGCTGGGCGCGTGGGATTACATACCACAGATGCAGTAATGGATCGATTAGTGGGTGCCAGTGAAACAGTAGCTTACATGTTGTAGACAAGGATTAGTGTTGGTGGGGTGTGATGAAAACGTGTGATTAACCCACCTTCGTGCTGTGCTGAGATCTACACAGCAGATGTAAGGATCGATGACCAAAAGTCGCTGAAGGATATATGGCGATGAACGAGGTCGAGACGATTTCACCGATTCTTTGTTGGATGGTAGAACCTTCTTAGTTTTCGTTAAGCCCTGTGTCCATTGGGGCATCATACAGTATACGCGCGTCGCCGGAGTGGTGATGCTTGGAATAGAAAGTTTACCTCCGTGAGCGGAACTGCAGAAGGTATGTACCTGTCAAATTAGACTTTGATATTTGTCCTTCTGGGGCTGATTGGGACTGGATAGGCATGGTCTCTGCTGTTTTGGTAAAGGTTCTTGAAGAATGCTGGGAGGGCGTCCGCCCTAATCATCAATGAGTGGAAATAGCTGTCTAACTCCGTGTTAGACTCGACGGAGCGGCAATTGGAGAACATGCTTGGGAATAGCTGGATATGTTGGAGCTGTATATAAGCTGGTCATGGTGCTGTGATCCGTAGTATACGGCAAAGCAGTGCGACCGAACCCATACAATGGCAATCAACAAAACCATTACTTTGATCACTGGTGGTAGATAATTTTGGTGTCCTGACGTGTAAGAGTAACGTTGACTGAATGAGCAGCGAATGGCGGCATCGGCTTCGAACTGGCGGCACAATTACTCGGAGACGCGTCCAAGCACGTTCTGCTCGGTAGTCGCTCCTTTGAAAAGGGAGAAGCTGCTGTGAAGGAGCTTCAAACTCGCAATCTGCCTGGTAGCGTCGAACTGGTACAAATCGATGTTACAAACGAAGACTCCATCAACGCAGCAGTCAAAGAGGTGGAAGTCAAACATGGGCGGTAGGTCGCAAGCAGCACTGGGTGAACGATTGCTAACCCCGTCAGACTGGATGCACTCGTCAACAATGCTGCAATTGCCGATGCACCAGGGACCTCATTCCGGAAACTGAACGAGGTCTTTCGCACAAATGTCGCCGGTCCTTACGCGACGGTCGAGGCGTTTGCTCCATTGCTGGAGAAATCAACGAGAACCCCGCGGATCGTGAATGTCAGTTCGGGTGGCGGATCCATCGGACTTCGTCTTGACCCGAGCAATGCTTTCTACACGTTGAAGGGCGACCAGTACCGCGTGAGCAAAGCGGGACTCAACATGGTGAACGCTTGCCAGGCTGTCGAGTATGGCCCGAAGGGATGGAAGGTATTTTCGTTCTGCCCTGGCTTTACGGTGAGCAATCTGGGTCCTCATAACAAGGTGGAGAACGGCGCGAAGCCAACTAGTGAGGGGGCTGGACCCATGGTGGGTATACTTAACGGCGAGCGAGATTCAGAGCATGGGCTGTTGTTAAAGGCTGATGGCCAATGGCCATGGTAGAGGGACCACCGTACGCTGGCTGGCTCCGTCGGTATTGCACATCATCTGAATGAACGACTTGCAAGTGCAGTTCGGGATCATAGCCAGTGATGACCCGCCATTGGGATGTTCTTCAGTCGAGTACCCTGCCTGAATTAGGCCGTGATAGGCTGGCGTCTGGAGTCGCTGCGATAACGAGCACTTGCTGAGACGAGCGTGTCTGACGTTCATGCATGTCAGCCAAGTCCCACCCCGGCTTGTCCATGTATGGTGGGGCCCTGCGAGCAAGAGAGCGCGTCCCTCGCTTCATTGAGCAGTGAACTCGCGACCTCGGTGACGACGACGCGACCGCTGATGAGGCTGAAGGGCTCTGCTTGGGCTTGACGCCAGAAAAAGGGTCAGGCAGGCCGGCTGGAGTGCGTGCTGGGCCCTGCACGGCTCTGCAGATGGAAAATTAGAGAGGCTTGGAGGCTTTGTGTACGTGTCTGTGTACGCAGGCTAATTGCTGGTGCGGATGAAAGACGGCGCGAACTCAAAGTGGACATGGGCCGAAAGGTGCAGATCCGGGATAGACTGAACCAGCAACGCGACGCCGCATTCTGCCGATCGTCAACGCCGGCGGAGACAAAGCAGACGGGTCCGTCAGGACAGCGCCAAACAGAGGCCATGCTGGGCAGAGGAGGTGCGGCTCAGAGGAGGCTGCTTGGCGTCGGGAGCTATGGGCCAGGGACGTCCAAGTGGGCCGGCTGGCAGATGAAGCAGGCGCCGTTGGGACACGGTTGCTGCGCCAGCGGCCGAGGTTGCGCAGCAGCATCGTGGAGACGTGTTCAGAGACGTGTCGGCAGAGGCAAAGGGTCTCGCGGGCCCGAGGCATAAGGGGGGTCACTGGATGTGGTGCGGAGGCTCGGGGCTCGCAGTGGCGTTGCGCAGCTCCCACGGTTCGACAGCAAAGGGTTGGGAGCAGACAGACGCCCCCGCCACGCACGTGGAGACGGCGACGGCGGTGACGGCGGCGCTGGGGGCTTCTAGAAGAGCAGCTAGAAGACGAGCGAGAGTAGACGGCGACGACGGCCGGCGTCTTGCTCAGCATGCTGGCGGTTGCTCGTCCAGAGCCAACGGCGGCGAGCCAAGGCGAGCCTGGCGCGGTGGTAGGGTTGCAGGCGGCCACCACCTGGCAGGTAGGCTCTCGTTTAGCGCGGGCACTCGACTGCCCTACCCAGCGCGCAGCCCTAGAGCTAGTAGGGGCAGGTGCAGTGTGGGTGTGGGTTGGGCGGGCGCCAGCCGTCGTTGCAATGAATAATAAATAATAATGTTGATGCGCCCTCGCAAGGTGCTGCACGCCCGCTCTGCACCTTTCCTCTGCCCGTCCAGCCATCCTGACGCCGCTGCGCTGCGTGCAGTCATCGTGACCCTCGCCAGCCTGCTGCCCTCCCGGACTGCTACCGCGGCCGCTGCTCCGCGCATCGTCGCGACGTGATCGCCCGCCCGTCGTCAAAGTTGCAGCCTTCATTTGGCCGGCCGAAGCGCTAGTCCCCCCAGCCGTGATTGGATCCCAGAGGTGCTCTGCAGCGCGTCACCGCTGCTTTCGAAACATTTATATCCCGTCCTGAGCCCGCGACCCGGCAGCCCACGCTCCGACGCCCAGACGACAGCACTACCGCCTGCCCTCGATCCGCCCCTGCACCGCACAGTCATCCACAGCGCTCCACCGCCCGCCCGGCTCCAGCCCACACATCTACGCACCACCCGTCCGCCGTGAAGCTGGATACCTCGACGCCACCGCCGCTCTGCTACTCTCCCCTCGCCAGCGACCGAGGGCGCGAATCCACCGCAGAGAGCACCCCCATCAGCACCCCTGTTGAGCCGTCTGTCGCAGAACCCTACCCGCTGCTCTTCTCGTGGCATCGCAAGCCCCACGAGCTTGTTCCTTGCGACCTGCAGCTCGAGCCCGACCTGCTGTTCGAAGACACGGGCGACTGCAGCTTTCCGCTGTTCCCTAGCAGCCCCCCGCCCCAGCCCAAGCACACGCACCTGCGAGACATGGCACAAGCAGCCTCGCCTATCGACATCGCGACGCCCCCGCGCTTCGGGTCCAATTCCCCGCAGAACCAGACGTCCAACCTGACGTCGGCCCTGCGCGAGGCCGGCGCGAGTCGCAACACCGACACGCCCTCGATCCAGCAAAATGGCCACGAGTTCCAGCGTCCGAGCCTCGGTGCCCGCAATGACTCCATCAACGGCTTGGGTGGCTCCTTCTACGGCAGCGGCGCCCGCCCCATTTCGATGAAGGACCGGCCACGCCGCGAGAGCAACGCCATGAACAGCCTCGTCAACGGCCTCAGCTGGGGCGGCGTGTCTGTCGGCTCATGGATCCGCGATGAGTAAGTGCTCACCCACGCCCTCGAGGCGCACCAGCCTGTCAGCGCTCGGCTGAACGCATTGCTAACGCCCGCCAGCATCCTCATGACCGGAACCTCGCCCGCCGCATTCAACAACCAGTCGCCTTCTTACCACTCATCGTCGTACCTCCCTAAACTAGAAGCCAACTTCATGAAGGACTTCGCCTGCTGCGGCCTGACGCTCGCCTCGCTGCACGACCTGCTACAACATTTCGAAGAGGTACACGCCGGTGCACCGCCTTCGCGCACCTCGCAGGCAGGCCAGGGTGGCCTCCCGCCCTCCACGGGTGCCTCGAGTGCCGGTATCACGCCAGGTCAGACGCAGACACAAGGCGAGCCAGCCACGAACACCCAGTTCGGCTTCCATCCTCGGTCGGGCTCAGTCGGCGGCTTCCGGGCCCAGCGGCTAGGCTCGGATGGCTTCAGCCGAACCAATCTGTCCACGGTGCAAGACATGGACGACAACATGGACATGGACATGGATGACATAGGCAACGGCCTTGACACTATCGAAGAGGGACCCAACGGCTTCTCCAGTCAGCAGCCACAATTTAATCAAAACCAGGCCAATCTGCAGCCACTGAACATCAACATGGCAAACACCATGCAGAACCACCAGGGCCTGCGGACATCGAACCCTTCCACTCCCTCTGCCTCGCAACAGTTTAACCTCCCCAACAACCCTACCGTCTCTTCGGTCAACACGCCTACGCTCGGCACCGTTCCTATGACGCACAACCTCACTTCTCCTGAGTCTTCACATCCCAGCACGCCGGCCGAGCTAGACATGGACTTCATCAACGGCTTCAACCAGCCAATGATGGGTATACCAGGCATGGACATGGGTTTCGGCAACACCGGCTTTAACACTGGCATGCCCGGTTTCGACGGCACCATCGACCAGCCTGGAAAGCGCCTCTTCAGCAAGCAGGGCTCTGGTCTAAGCCAGCAGCAACTGCAGGCGGCTTTCAAGAACTACCAGATGAGCAACGGCGACCAGACCGATCTAGCGAAGAGGCTGCGGGAACAGGCTCTCATGAACGGAGCCAACGTACCCCAATTCCCGTTCCCCGAAGAGGTGAAGCCCTTTAGGTGCCCAGTCATCGGCTGCGAGAAGGCGTACAAGAACCAGAATGGTCTCAAGTACCACAAACAGGTAAGCTTTACAGCTTCTTCACACGACGACATTATACTAATGCAATCACAGCACGGCCATCAGAACCAGCAGTTGAAGGAAAATGAGGACGGCACTTTCTCCATTGTCGACCCGCTTACTTCGATACCATATCCCGGCACTGTCGGCATGGAGAAGGAGAAGCCATACCGATGCGAGATGTGTGGCAAGCGGTACAAGAACCTCAACGGCCTCAAGTACCACCGCGCCCACTCGCCAAAGTGCAACCCTGAGCTTTTGGGTGCCCAGTTCAGCCAACTGCCTGCCCTGCAGGGCCTGAATGTAGGTGCCAACGTCGCCGGCGCTGGCATGACAGGCATGGACAACTCCATGTTTTAGTCCTGGACTGCAGCAATATCTTCTACAGCATTGCGTACCATCCTACTTCGGCACTCATCTCAACTGATACCCCCTGGTCGGATCCGACATAAATCTTCATGGCGTTCTTTCACTCATAGATCGGGAACTGGTTTCATTGCCTCGGATTTCACCTGGCGTATCGGCATTCACAAAAATAAGGAGCGACATGGCTTCCTTGCATCGGCTCGGCGTTTCTTGGGGTTGCTTTTGATGACCTCTCAAGATCAGCAGCGTGCTGTTCACTTGGATATGGCACTTGCATGAACGTTTCCCATTCGTGTACTTTTCTAGAACCGCATCTTTTCTGACCGGCAACAGCGCTGGTATGACGATTGGATGTGCATCTAAAAGTGTAATGAGTGGTTCCTTGTTTTTCTTTGATCGTGCGACCGTTATATCCTTTCTAATTGTTTCTTTTCTGTAGATTTCCGGTGGCGTCTTCATCATGATCAAAAAGTTCTCAGACGAGGCGTGCTCATTTGCAGCTCGTCGGCTTCGTATTCCGGGGGTTGGCTGATTTAGCATTATTGCATTGCCTGTGTGCTCAGGGTAATTTTGCCATGTCTTTTGGTATGTTCGCAACCATACCACCGTGTCATCGCTAGACCAATTACATGTCAAGTGACTCTTCTCTCATTTACACATTCCTGTCTAGTGACTTGTCTTGTTGTCAACATGATGTTTCGAACCGTGTATGGCCTGGTCCAAACATTCAGCTGTCGCGAAGCGATCGATGGAAGGCTACATGTATGTCGTCATAAACACAGCAGCGCAACAATGCGCCGACTTTGCGACTACACATGGAGCTCTCTCCGCGCTCGACCACTCGATTCGGTTCTCGTCTCCGCATTCCGCCCATCGAGCGCATCATTCCGACGTCCCTATCGATGCAATCAATCGCATTCATCGACCCCGTCGACTCGGACAGCACGATGACGTACCCCAATGCACCGGCATACCTCCCACGGTTCGTTTGCTCTGATGGAACCCTGATTGTTCGCCCGTGGAAGGGCCGCCGCCGCATCCGCCGACATGGCGCCGTGAACCGCAGCTCAGCTCAACCCAGCTCAGCTCAGCCGGCACGGGTGAGATGACATAGTAACGCAGCTGCGCGGCATACGTAGCACCGCGCACTAGAGCGTCTGCGCTAGAAGGCGTGCGCAGTCGTCTCGAAGATCCGGGATGCGGCCGACGGGGAAGCATGGCCTGACCGCTTGCGTTGCTGTGGCTCTGGTTCTGGCGGTCGTTCCGGCGGGAGTATCGGCGAGGATCCGTGGCGACACGTGGGAGCTGCGCCAGAGCGTTTCGCCACTCAGCGCGAGCGTTTTGTTGGGTTTTAGCATGACCATGATGTGCAGTTGTGGACGCCGAGGTGATCGCCGTGCCACGCCTTGCGGCTCTGGGGGCAGAGCACGATTGGTGGGCAAAGCTCGGAGTCGGGTGGGGGACGCTTTTGGAGATGCCCCTGCCGAGGGAGACGCCTCCGTGTATAGGTGCATCCAGCAGGGACCAGGTTGGTACGACTCGGAGTAATCCTTCGTCTCCGGGACCGCGGTAAGGAGGGGTTCTGCCGCGCTGAATCATTGCGTGTATGCTGCGCGTGCGGTATGTCCCGCATTTTAAGCTAGAGCGGCTTTCGGTTTGCCACAAAGAGAGGTAGATCTATTGTGCCAACATGAGAACAGGATTAGGCCAGAGGCCTCTGTCATTTGAGGGATTGGTAGCTAATCTTGGGGTAATTTAGGTTGCTCTGAGTGTCTGCACACTTGACTCGATACTACATCACCGATGTCCATGGTCATGGTGAAGAACCATCGGTTCTCCACGTGTATAATGAGGGTATTGTCATTTCAATTAGATCGGCACTTATTCGAAGAGTCGGTGTTCGTGGACCTGATACGACTCCAAGCGTCGCAACATGCCCATTCGTCATGAAACCAGATTTTCTTATATCATTGCATTGATAGCTTAATCAGACCATGGCGCCTTGCGATCTTCGAAATTGACTATGTAGATCCTTTGTCTCAAGTCCCTCCGCGAAAAGGGTCCATCTTTCTTTATTCGTTCTGCTCACGCAAATCTTCAAGAATCGTTGATCGATAGTAAGCTTTTCAGACATCGGCCGGTCGGTCGAAGAGGTCGGCTCACACTGACTACTGACTTGAGCTATACCAGAAACGTGTCTCATGTTAACATTGAAAGGAAACATACGAGTTGTTATGAGCAATGCCCAAGTGGAGTGTGAATTTGTAACATTCAAATGGACGACCAAGTCGCACAACCATCGACTGGTGTTCTCCTACAAACAGCATCGTTTAATGTACGATCTTTAAGAACCTCAAAGCCTACAAATCTCTCAATACATGCCTTCGTGATCTCCATATCGATACGCAAATATTCCCATGCGTAAAAGATTACATCCCACCAGCATCCTGGGGCTTGCCTTTAATAAAGCAGCTCCCCCACCGCAAACCGTAGCAGAGCTCGATACCCTCGTACGCGCAAGCAACAAGCTATGCACCTGCGACGTCTGCACTCACAGGAAATACAACAGATTCAAATGCATCCGCTGGCCGCACATCACCATCTCCTTGCCCTCCCACCTTACCATCAACCACCTCGGCAACACCGTCTTCGCCCCGCCAACGCTCTCCTCACGCGCTGCCTGGCCTGCAAAAGGACTCGGTCTCGTCCGCAATACGATATCCTACTTCGACCAGCCCCTCAGCCACTTGAACGACGAGCAACTGGCGGCAACCCTAACCAGGCTAACTTAAGGCCCAAAAAGGTTAAAATAAGGGGTACTACAATGAATTGACCTATAGGGGGCGATGGATCAGCAATAAACGAGTCATGAAATGTGATTCTAGGTATATTGAAACACCTAGATCCATGAAAACGTGGTACACAAACTTTTGCATACGACAATAACGACCTGCGCCCAGCCCAACGACCATAGCCTCCTCCCTGCCCCCGAAATGCAGAACCTCTGGCAAGCCCTCAATACCCTCTTCTTCGGCGGCCGCATCCCAGGTGTCCACTTTTGCCGGAAGAAAGACGAGCACAGCGTCCTGGGCCGGACGGACTAAGAGCAGCTTCGCTCGCAGCCCGGTGGTTAGCATGCATCTCGCACGCACGTTGCGGGACTTTGGCAACTACGCGGTGCTGGACTTCGTCTCAACCCTAGTACACAAAGTGATCTATGTGTTCCTGCAGGCCTACGCGTGCTGGTGGTGTCGTGCGTGGGATCGGTATCACGCGGCTGGAGGGCATGGGAGGTTGTTCCAGATGCTCGGGAAGAGGATGGGAGGGGCGGTTCCTCGGCTTTTGGGCGTGCCGGTGAAGCTGGGGCGGGTTGAGAGTTTGCTGGGGGATTCGGGGTTGCGAGAGGGGAAGGAGGGGAGGTTGAGGGGAAGAGTGCCGAGTGCGCATGATTTCGAGGTGTGGAGGTTTGAGGATGCGGATGCGGATGCGGATGCGGATGTGCAGGGTGCGGATGTGAGGCGGTTGATTGAGAAGACGCTTAGCGAGTGGGAGGTTTGATTGAGTGGTATTGATGGATTAATTCTTGCGTGCACTTGTGGGAGCAGGGTATTGTCATCGATGTGCGCTTGGGGATGGTACATTTACCTGGCAATATCATGCACAAGTCGGCACGTCCTTCAGACTAGAGGGTGTATATCTGTAGACTAGGAACGAACGAAGGCCACGTAAGGGTGCGTGGCTTTGTTGAACCGCTCCACATTTTTCTTACTCGATGAAGTCGTACGTTTACTGCGCATTATCTTGTAGGGTGCGGCGAGCGAAGAACAAAGAAAGTCACGCCGCAACAACTACCTCACGGCACAAGCGAGGCTTAGTATTGTTCTCCACTGAAGCGCATACACGTATTCCGAAGCGTTGCACGTTTAAGTGATGGGGACAATATTAACAAGTTATTTATTTCTGAGGTTGCATGTGCTCAATGAACCCGTTAAGAACTCGCCAGCCATTAAATTCCTGAGTGCAGCATCTTAATCCCACCAGCGCATCACAATGGCACCGTACACCCTGGAAAACCATGAGAAGGCTGTGCAGGATCTCTCCGAAGAGGTCTTAGTTTTCCACAAGGCCCGCATACCGTTCCGCATCAACCATGGCTCCACGCATGCCACCCGTATGCGTCCACCCGGAACGCCGCAGCTCTTCATCACGCACCTAAACCACATCCTGAGCATCAATGTAGCCGAACAGTATGCCGTCGTCGAACCCAATGTTAAGCTGGGTGATATACTCCACGAGGCGCAGAAGGTTGGCCTCATGCCGACGACCTTGATGGACTTCCCCGATGTCACTGTGGGTGGCGGCTTCAGCGGTGCGAGCGGCGAGAGCATGTGTTGGGAAGAAGGGCTCTTCGACTCCTGTGTGCTTGAGGTCGAATTGATCCTGGGCAATGGCGACGTCGCGCGAGCAGTCAAGGGAGGAAAGAATGCCGACCTGTTCGATGCTGCGCGGTGCAGTTTGGGCTCGCTCGGTGTGGTGACACTGGTGAAGATGCGGCTACGAGAGGCCAAAGACAGTGTACTGGTGACGTACGAGAGGAAGCACAGCGTGAAGGAGACGATTGACCGAATCGCCGAGCTCTGCGGCAACGAAAACCCAGACCATCATTACATTGATGGCGTGGTGTATAGCCAGACGCATGGGGTTGTCGTCACGGCTCGTCATATCGATTCGAAGTCTGCCGAAGCGAAGAAGTACCCGAAGCAGCGTTTCGACCGGCCTCTCGACGAGTGGTGCTATCGCCACACCAAGGAGGTGCCGTCGGGCCATAGCGAGGTCGTTCCTCTGCGGAGCTATCTCTTCCGCTGGGACCGTGGTGCATTCTGGGGTGGCGAGACCATGCTTGCGTACTTTGGTGTCCCGAGCAATCGCATCACTCGTGCTCTTTTCGACAAGCTGTGCACCGCTCGTGGCATATACAAGGCGCAACTGTCGACGGGCTCGGCGGATTTCGCAATCATACAGGATCTGATCCTGCCGGTCGAAACTTCTAAGGAATGGGTGGATTACGTGGATGAAGAGCTGGGAATTTGGCCAATGTGGTGTACACCGGTGAGGAAGCTGGCAAATGACACTGAGGTCTGGGGTCATCCATTCTGGAAGACAAAACCTGGGGAAGAGGACGCTGGAGTGACGCAGGAGAAAGGCAGGCTTTTCATGGACTGGGGTGTTTGGGGTGCTTGCGACGGCGAGCCTGAGGTATTCAATAGAATCAACCGTCGGCTTGAAGAGCGACTAAAGGAATTGCGCGGGATGAAGCTGATATACGCGGCGTCCTTCTACACGGAAGAAGAGTTCTGGGATCTGTACGATCGCAAGCGGTACGAGGATGCGCGGAAAAAGTGGCATGCGGAGACTTTACCGACTGTGTGGGACAAAATTCGTCGGAATCCATCCAAGAAGAGAGAAGACATAGAGGCAGAAGAGGAGAGACCGTTGACCCTTTTCGAGCGGCTGCTCTGGGTCTGGCCTTTCGGCGGATTGTACCAGGTGTTTTGCATACTGTTCCGTTAGAATGTTACCGATCGAAATAGAATATACGTTTTAGCTAAAAAGCCTACTGTACGCATGCTCTGAATTACTGTGAGCCCGTTTCCAAACGGCGCGTGCATTCACTCTCACCAACGCAAGGTCACATAGAGCTCAGCAACTCGCCAGGCTCTTGTAATATCAATCGATAAACCCATTTCATTGTCCCACCACCGCTCAAGATACCCTTTTCCTAAACATCAGACAACTGAACGAAAGATTCAAGAGGTAAGCTCCAACTGCGACACGCGGCGACCAAAAGCAAACTCTTGACGACCGATCCTTGACGGGGCTAAAGTGGCTCCTCCATTCGACTCATTTGTTGCATGCCGACTTAGTTTCGACTTGTGGCAACGCCCTCGAGGGTCTACCGGGTCAGATGAGCTTCACATGGTTGTGTAGGTAAAGTAGAGCACGACCACTTCACCGTCTGTAGAGGCTTCAAGAACATGATTTGATATTTCACAGAATTTCATCGGACTACCTCACAGCCTATATACAGCCAGAAAGCCTGGGAGGCCCGCCGACATTCGGACGTGGTGTTTTGCGTCTAATCAGCACAACCCACCCACTAGAAAGGCCCAGCAAAGACCTAAACAGCCAGACTAATTCAGAGTCTATACGAAGCGAGAAAGTCCGGTGGCCCTCCCGAGATCCAGACCGGGTGGGCTGTGTCTGATCAACGCACCCACCAGAAAGACCCCGATGCAGACCGCAAGACCAGGAGGATAGTATACCTGTACACAATTTTGTCGAAGAAGTCTTAAGAACGCCAAAGGAGATACCTTCGTCACTGCCTATGTCAGTCCGTACGAACCACCAGGACAGATCTGGTAAGATTAACCCAGCATACTGCGGCGCACAACAGCATCATGACCTAGATTTGTGCTTTGGGGTTTGGTGCCTCGAGTACCAACATATATGAGGCTGCAGGAAATCACACGTCTGGATAAGCATTTGACCTCCATTGCTATCAGTAGCTTTAGCTCTACCTTGATTTGCCATAGTTGATCATAATCTAGGTTGCTATAGCAATTTCAATTACCTCATCAACTGCTCGTCGCAATGCACATGCATCTACGATTGTGGCCATGTTTACGAACGCATGCTATCAGGCCCGGCGGCTTCTGACCGTTGCACAACGTCATTTCGCTGTTCCGCTGCAGTACTTTTGTTGTTATGATACACTAGGATCCTTCGAGAAGTCGTGTGGCTGCATGAAGAGATGTGTCGTGGGGCATGACGTTGAAGTATTTGGAACCTCGTGGGTGGCCCACGCGTCCATTGAGACGAACGCAGTCTCTGTCAATCTGCCTTCTTTTAAAGAATTACGTCGAGACAGATATAATTCCTGCCGATACATACGGGCTCAGCCAAATTCTAGACGCGACACACCCATATTGAGTTCCATACTTCAAAGCCGTACGCAGTCAGGGCCTTTTCACACCGAACCAGTTGGGCGACTGCGCACCTGCGCACCCAGCTTGCACCCGTATTACTGTATGTATATATTCTGCTCGTGCATATTTCCGGTTCTCGGTTCCTCTCCGATTGCAGATCAATCTGCCGCAGCCTGTTTTTATTGGCTACACCAGACCTACGCGACGCGGCTTCGTTCCGTGCCCTCAAGACAGTCGCATACCATGTTTCACAAGTATGGTCGCCTAACATAATGGTACAGCTGCGAAGAGGACCACATGTGCCCCCAGGACGCATTCATCACGCTGCGATTACCAATCCAGAAAAGCAAACCTCCACTTCAGAGATGCAGATTTTCCCTTCGGAGTTGAGCGCGTTCGGAATACCCAGCTCGCTCCCAGATTTTCGGCGTTCGCCCCGGACCAGAGGACATAGCCGCTAGCGCCCCCACAATATAAGGAATCGTCCCGCACCGGCCATGGCCAGCCTTGAGACTCTGCGAGCACATTGACAATGGAACTTGTTGCAAGCCGAGACCAACCATCGGGGCCACCGCCAGGGCCACCGCATCTGCAAGAGAAGGAAGAAACTCAGGTCGAGGAATCATCCTCTGATCCTTACCCAGAAGGCGGATTGACAGCATGGCTTGTTGTTCTGGGGTCGTTTTGCGGAGTCATCGGTGCTTTCGGCATGATGAACACGATTGGAATATGTACGTCGGCCTCATAGTTGGGATTTGCTCGATCAAACTGAACCCTAGAAGATGAGAAGATGAAATCCACTCGGTAGGGCGGGTTACAGTAAGATGGCATCGAAGGCAATTCCACGAGCCCATCATATCTTCAAAGAGCAGAGGCTAACTCCACCACAGTCCAAGCATACGTCGCTGAACACCAGCTTAAAGACTACAGCGAGAGCACGATCGGGTGGATCTTTGGCATGTACGTGTTTCTTGCCTTCTTCTGCGGCATCCAGATCGGGCCTATCTTCGATGCCCATGGCCCACGCTTGCTCGTCCTCGCCGGTAGCATCTGCTTGTGTCTATCGATGTTTCTCATCGGCCTCTGCACCGCATACTGGCACTTCATGCTCGTGTTCGGGGTCCTCGGCGGCATCGGTACGTCCCTCATCTTCACGCCAGCTCTGGCTGCCGTCAGCCACTTCTTTCTTGAGAAGAGGGGGTATGCAACGGGCATCGCAGCAATGGGCGGAAGTTTGGGCGGTGTCATCTTCCCCCTGAGCCTCCAGAAGCTCTTCCCGCAAGTGGGCTTCGCGTGGGCGACGAGGATCATGGGGTTTATCATCCTGGCTTGCTGTTGCGTGTCAGTGGCACTTGTGAAATCGAGGCTGCCACCGAAGCCAGGGCAATCAGTCATGCCTGATCTGCGCATCTTCCGAAACATTCCATTTCTGCTGGTCACTATTGGGGTTTACTTTATGGGTGAGTCTTCCTGTTCTATCTCTCGAGATTGATGTGCAAATGCTGATGCAACGATAGAATGGGCCCTCTTCATCCCCATAACTTACATTACCTCCTTCGCCCTCTCCACTGGCGCCGTCACCCCCGCTCTTTCCTACCAACTCATCGCCATCTTCAATGCAGGCTCCTGCTTCGGTCGTTGGGGCTCCGGCATCATGGCCGACAAGCTTGGCCGCTTCAACAGCATGGTCGCCATGCTCGCTCTCTGCACCGCCACCACCGTAACTCTTTGGCTGCCCGCTTCAATCCTCGTCCCAAATACATCCTCGGACAAGACTACCGTCAAAGCGCTTTCTATTGTCTATGCACTGATCTTTGGGTTCGCGAGCGGGAGTAACATCAGTCTGACGCCAGTGTGTGTAGGGCAGTTGTGCGATACGAATGTGTACGGGCGGTATTATGCGACGTGCTACACGATCGTAAGCTTTGGTACCCTGACGGGGATTCCAATCGCAGGGTCCATTCTGTCAGCGACTGGCGCAAGGTATTACGGAGTTGTGACGTTCACATTCGTTTGTTATATCATCAGCTTGGTCTGTTTCATATGGGCGAGGGCGTGCAGTGTGGGATGGAAAATTGCTGTCAAGTATTGACAAGGATCTACCTCTTGGCCAAGAATTCGGCGGAGGGCCGAAATTGAAGATCGGGCGAGGGATATTGCATTGCATTGGTCGGCGTTCCGGATAGGGCATTTCCTACGCCAAAAGGCAGAACAGAGCATATAGAAACGACCAAGACACAAGATGTAAATACTATTAGCAATTATGGTACTAGTATACCGTGGGTATCACCGTCCTGACGCTCCACCATGCAATGGTGCTAGCATACCACGTTCGCTATTTTTTCCCACCATTACACATCGCTCCTCATCACGCTCGTCCCCCTCGGTACACACCTACCCGGATGCCAAATAGCCAACAACCACACAGCAACCACAACTGGCATAAACTCCAAGCATCCAAAGTATACCTCGTGTGTATTCAACTCACCGTACAGCCCCTCGGCCGTCTCCGCCAGCCTGAAGCACACCCGCAAGTAGAACAGCACCACGGCCGCGATAAACGCGAGGTAGAACCACTTGGTCACGACCTCGAACATGACCTTCCTTGCCCTTGCGATGAACGCCGCGAGCAGGATAATGAAGAGGAGGAAGGTGAAGGCCTGGAACGCAAGACCCGCGAGGAGGATGTTGTTGGGGGTAGTAGGGTCTTTACGATTGGACTCTGCGATGCCGATGAGGGCGGCGCCGAGGATCTGGACGACGGTCGCGACGACGTCGCAGGTAATGAAGATCCAGAGGATGGCCTTGGGCGGGAGGGGCGCGTGGTGGCGGCCCGTGGCGTTGATGAGGAGGGAAAGGATGGTGTAGATTGCTGCCGCGAAGAAGACGGGGGCTACGACAATGACTAGGGGCTTGTGTTAGCAGAAGAGAAACACAAGGCCAGGGTGGACGGACAGAAATATTGCACTACAAAATATGTAACGCGGTAGGGGTCTACTTTTGCGCTCAGGGCGCGGAAGACGTAGCCTACTATCTCCTGTTCACGGGTGAGTTTTGGGGCGTTGAGAGGGGAAGATCGCGTAGGGAGCTCCGTACAAATGCTATGCCAACGATCATGGTACTGAAGTACCAACTTCGGTATTTGAAGAGCTGCCATATGTGCAGGACGCCCGCAAGGGCGAACAGAACGATGCCCAGTATCGCGACAACAATGGAGGGGGTGTAGCCATAGATGATGATTGTTGCGTCGCCTGTAGGAATGTTAAACTGATGTAGGGCATAGCAGTTATTCGATTGGCGGTTGAGGTGGTGACTCTACAGGTACATGGTGTTGGTGTCGCGTAAAGGGGTTCGCACCTGGTCCCATAGGATTAGGAAAGTTGGGATCGATCCATCCCCTCACAGGTGGCTCTGAAGACATTTTCGCAGTTATTAAACTCTCCCGCGAGCAGTGGTCGAGAAGATGCTATTGAATTCCGGACAGGCGCGTTTCGTGGTGTTGCACCGTTGGAACACAAATAATGACGTCAGGCAACAACAAACTTGGGTCCCTTATGGGTCACGGTCTGGGAAAGAGGTGATGAAGAAAGCTTCATAGTACACGCGTTGGACCATCCTCTCATATAATACTGTAAGGGGCCCCATCTCGTGCAATGTCTGACTTGCGATATTGTGAGTAGCTCGCGATCCCCAGTCAGAGTCGTGTCCATCTTTGGCGCTTGTGGCGCGTCGAAGCGAAGTTCGCCTTCTTGGCTCTCGGTCGAGCCGCCAAAGAAGGCTCTTGGCTCTGCTTGAATCACGATGTAGGAGTGTAAAAATGCACCATGTGCAGAATACGAAGAGTGCGAGACACGTGGTCAAAAGATGGAAAAAGGTGATTTGCAAGTGAAGTCACTGCGTTGATCAGTCAACTCCAGGCTCGGGCTAGTCGCATACCTGCGAGGCGGAGAACTATATCCATGCTTAGCCTCTAGAGCTTTCGACGGAGGGCGATTAATTGTGGCTCTCAAAGATGCTCATTAAATTTTGCATCGATGTGTCCGCGACGCGCATGTGCTGCCTCGGCTATGGTACAATGACTACTCGCACAAATTACCAAAACGAGATGATCGCGGATGCTTGAGCGTTCACTGCAGGAACGCCATCAATGTCTCCAGCATCTCCCGCTCAGCAGGTTCCACTTCCAAAACGCCATTCAGTTGTGCTTGTAGCGTCTTCTTGACGTCCTTCAAGCTCTCATCGCGCACCCCAAGCGCCTTCACAATAGCTTTCTTTGCCCCGTCGTCTTCAGCTACCAGCCAGGCAAGGATTGCGTCTACACGCTCCAAGCAATACAGCCCTTCGTCAAGCCGTGCGGGTATGTTCTCCACGTCGAGTTCTTCCTGCTCTTCTTTGGACAACCCCCGTTTCCGGTCCTTGAGCTTGGCATCGAAGGCGGCCACGCGCGCAGCGTAGTCTCTGCGCAGGGCTACAAGTTTATCAACCTTCTCGTAGTCTTTCTCGAGGAATTTGGCAAGAACGCGGAAGCGGCTGTCGGTATTGGCAGGTAATGAGCGGAGTAAGGAAGCGAAGATACCAAGAATGTGTTCGGTCGTCTCGGGATCGGGTTTCTTGGTTTTCATAAAGGTGCTGAAGATGGGTTTGAGGCCTCGCGCTTCGACAATCTTCTCGCAGACCGGAGCTGCAGTGTTGGACGGGCTCTCCACGGCCTGCTTGCCCTTGGCTTTGGAGCTATCACCATTGGTCTGCGCCTCTTCGGACGGCGTTGATTCCGCGTATCCACTGGCATGATCCAAGACCTTGAGTGATCTGCTTTTGCTTGTCTTGCCGTCTCTTACCATGAGTAGACACAGCTCCACGCCTTCTGCGTCCATGAGCTTCATCTTCCCTTCTGGTTCGTCAACCAAAGAGGTCAGGCAGTTGAACAAATTCTCCATGTATTCTTCCTCCGCGCTCTCCTTCTCGGGGTCACTTCGTCGATAAGGCGCGAGCTGTGTGAGGAAGATGTCGACGCCGTTCGATTCGGTTACGCGCTTGCGGTTTGGCCGCGAGGATTGGGTAAGGATGGAGAGGATCTCGGATGCGTATTGCTTGTTTTGCGTCGTGGATTTTTCGGATTGTTGTATCCGGTTGAGCAGCCAATCCAGCAATTTCTTCTCTTTTCCAACGAGATCTGTATTTGCGGGTTGCGATAGGAGTGCCTCGATAACGCTGAGTGAATGGTACACGCCCGATGCATCCTCCGCATTGCTCTCGTCGAAGCGGCCGAAATTGGAGATGAGGAGACCCAGGAGGTCTGCCTCGAGGAACGCCGATACAAGCGCATCCCACTGCTCCTGTTCCGCCTCGACATCTTCGTCTGTGAGCTCCGAGATCATCTCGATGGCGGCAATCGCGATGTCCGTGTTATCGTGCGCTAGCAATTCCACCAGCTTTGTCGCTGCTGAGCTCCTGGCGAACTCCTCGTAGAGTTCGGAGTGCTCTGATAGTATGCTGAGGCCCTTGATGCTCTCGTCCAGGTCGCCCTCCGACTCCATGAACTTGGACGGGTCGTCCTCGTACTTTGCACGCAACGATGCGTTCTTGCTGACCTTCTTCTCGAAGTTGACCGCCATTTTCCGCAGCCATGATGAGTCGTATCTTTCTTCGCCTATCGCTTCCTCCCCGTCTTGTGCGTCCAGGTAGTCCAAGGCATCTTTTGCGTCCTCATCGATTCCGCCGCCGAAGAAGCGGCCATCCTCGTCGTCGCCCTCTTCGTCGCCAAAATCTGGAGGCAAGGAAGGGCCGGCTTCCTCATCGTCGTCCTCTTCTGCCACATAGGCATGTGCGGGTCGCTTGGCATCGCTGTTCGAGCTGAGTTTCGCCGACTTGAATGCTTGCGTGGGATCGGCTTCGGACGGGTTCTCGAATTTGCGCTTGATCGCCGAGCTGGTGCCCTTGAAGAGGTCGTCAATGCTGGTCATTTCGGCGTGTCGACATGAGAAGAGAGCGACTGGGTGGTCGGCTCTGGGTGTCGCAAGCCGCGTCTGCTCGAGAAAGTTGAAGTCGTGGTCCGAGCTTCCCCTAGCGTCATCCGCGCGATTGACCCTGGCCAGCCTTTGCAGCCGTTTCCATGTATACGGGACGTCTAGAACACCGCCCAAACATTCCTGTTGGTGAAGAGATGCACAAAGGCTCCAAAGCACTCACGCACAATTGACACGTACAGCCCGCGGCTGCGCGGCTTGTCTTCGGGATTAAGATACGCGGGAATAAATCACTGCAGCTGTCGACAAGGGAACCAAAACCTAAACCCCGATCCTTTCCAAGCCGGGCATCGAACGCTGCGATTTCTATGCTTTTGCCTTGGGGTGAGAACGCGGCGAAGGATGCCTTTGGTAAGTAAGGGAGGTGAGTTGGAGACGAGCGCGTTCGGGAGCGTGACTATGGTAGCGTATTGAAGCATTTGAGCGTGCATGTGGTCATCGAATTTTCGAAATTGGGCTCTTGTCCACTTCTCTGCCTACAAAGTTATACGTTTGGTCGCCTTGATAGGAATCACATAACTCGAGCCCCGAGTCATTTTGATTTCTCTTTGTTTTCCCATCCCGTTATATCATGTGTAGTCAAGCTCGTCAGTTCGTGGTGGCTTTGCGGCCTTTACAGACCAATCATGAACCGCGGCCTTGTACAGGTGGCTGGCCATCTTTAGCGGCTCGTATACTTCGCATTCGCAACCTGGAATGTCCAACGGATGATTTGACCTGAGGCAGCGACTCAGCTCTTCCTTATGCAAACAACAGTTATCGTGAGGTAGGAACAGCCGACGGCAGGAGCCAGCGACCAAGTGCACGTTAAGGTGCGGCCTCTCATCTCCACGATATATCCACCCTCACACCATGAGGAAGTCAATCGACGACAAGCAGATTACACCGGTATCTCCTGCGCCGACATACGTTGTCTCCTTTCCACAATCCTGCACAATATCGAGTGACCAATCATCGCGCAAGATTCCTCCATTCGATCAGTCACAGCAACTCTGCGAAGAGCTTGAGTATGCCCACGGAGTAGACGAGCCAGCATGTCTCCGCAGCCTCACAAAAATCCACCGCCTGCCCGACGCCCCACGCACCCCCCTCGATTCCCGCAGTATAATTACCTACTGCCTACAAGATCTTGACACACCGGCACTCAATAAGCTCAACCGGAGGCTCTGGAATTGCGGCGCAAACCCTTATGTGAAGACTCTAAGCCACCAGCTCACCTTTGAACGACGCATAGTCGTGACCGAGGACCCATCACTGCACCTAGTCCTATCTGAGAATCGCATCATGTACATCAAGCCGCTGCCTGCGTACCTCTGTTCCTACGCCTTCTGGGAACATATGCTTGACCCTACCAACCCCGACATCAGCCCAGAGGAGAGAAACCGCATAACGGCAACATCACTCGGCTTCGTACGCACCTACGCCTCTTTGATAACGCACCGCTCGGACTACGCCATCGCCGTCCGCAACGGCCTACTTCCGCCATGCGACAGCATGACATTTGAATCGCTCATCGCCTTCACAACCGCCTTTGCTGGCCTCCAGTCCACTGTTGTCTCCCCACGCTGGCTCTACGGCGAACTCCTCCTCGAGGCGCTTAATTTTCACTCCGGGCTCTTCCTTCGCCGCTACCACTTCAACCGCTTCGAGTCCAACTACGGTGTCTACTTCCAGCGCTTCTTCCCGGTGACGCTGTTCCTGTTCGCTAGCTTTAGCGTCATCCTGAATGCCATGCAAGTCATCCTGACGGGAAGGCAGATGCGGCTGGGGAGTGACAATCCCAGTTCAGGGTTGAAGAAGACAATGGGGGTCTTTGAGTGGTTTGGGACGGAGGTTATCGGGTGGGCGATGGCGTTTGGGGTATTGTTTCTGGTGTGGTGGATTGCTATGGCGATGATGGAAGGGTGGAAAATGAGAGGAGTCAAAAAAGAACTCAAGAAGAGGTGGAAAGAAGAAAGAAAAGTACATGCATGATGGGCAAGTATTGCGTTCACGTACTTAAGTCGTGTAGGAGGCCGGACATGGCATTGGCGAATAATAGGCCTCTTGAGTACCGACATGATCTATGCAAAGTGACCACAGCCACGTAACGCTCTGTAAGCTTCGTAACTCGACGAGGTGTGTATCTCTGGCTACGGCAAAGATGCTCCAAAAGCCGTGTTGCTGTCGAAGGAATTGGGACACTCTCCACGAGGCAAACCAAACCTCATCGTCGAAATCGTGGCATGGGCACAAAGCTGGGCAGCGCAGTGCGATGGTCTGATGGTGGTCCTGGATTTCCCTTCGCCCCGCCTGATTCGGCTCGATGCGGCACGCTAGACCCGTTGCGCCGCACTTGCAACAACGTCATGCTTGTGCTTGTGGGCCGCAGTTCTCACCACCAGCAGAAGATGCAAGCTTCTTAGTCATGACCCGAAACATTTAAATACTCCGTGGGGTCCTTAGAGCCATCGATCGCTCCCCTCTTTTTGTCTTTTCTTCCTCTCCACGCCTCTCCACGTCTCTCCACTCTTGTTCGGCCCGGATAGTTCACGCCAGGTGCTTGGAGCTTCGGATCGGCGATCGCCCACTCAAAGGACCACAATCGCAACCACATCGGAAAGTAATTGAAGAGAGGGAACTGTCAAGATGTCGGTATCTGCAGCGTTGAAGAGCAGGGTCAGGAGACCCAGTTATTTGAAGAAGATAGCCAAGGCTGAGGATTTGCTGCATCATTTTCCCAATGGCGCATACGTGGGCTGGAGTGGATTCACAGGTGTGGGATATCCAAAGTGAGTCTTTTCATTATTTTCCCCTTATCCTTCTCAATGAGTCTGTGGTCTGTTGAGAAGGAGCGCTGTGTCTATCCCGAGGCCGAACGGAAGCTGGGGGCCGAGCCATCTCCGAGCAAGAGTCGGAAGCACGGATGAACATTTTTGTGGGTCGATTGAGGCAAAGCAAGAGTTGGAAAGCTTCGCGACACGAGGGACATACTTCATGCACGATGTATACTGCTTCTTGGCGAGAGATGGGGGCGGGAGATAATCGCATCATGCCCACCTTGCCTCCAAAGCTGCACGCATATATCAAACAATAGCTAACAGCTCAACTTCAGAAAGATACCCACGGCCTTGGCCGACCATGTCGAGAAGAACAATTTGCAAGGTCAGATGAAATACAACCTCTTCGTCGGTGCTTCTTCTGGTGCCGAGACAGAAAATCGATGGGCGCGATTGAACATGATCGAGCGACGCGCGCCTCACCAGGTAGGGAAGGAAATTGCCAAGGGCATAAACAATGGAAACATCAAATTCTTCGATAAGCATCTGAGCATGTTCCCGGTCGATCTCATGTATGGGTATGTACGAAAGCCGATCACTCACGTATGAAAGTGCATGAACAATGCACTACTCAAAGAGAGATGGTTCGCTAACAATGAGTAGATTCTACACACTTAACAAACCTAACAACCGCCTCGATGTCACTATCGTGGAGGCTTCCGCTATTACTGAAGATGGTGGCATCATTCCTGGTGCTTCAGTTGGTGCATCGCCTGAACTTATCCAGATGGCTGACAAGATCATCATCGAGGTCAACACCGCGGCTCCCTCTTTCGAAGGTCTTCACGATATTACCATGACCGACCTACCTCCTCGCCGGAAGCCGTACCTTGTTATGTCTCCTGAGGACCGCATTGGTACCCCTCACATCCCGATCGACCCTGAGCGCGTCGTAGCGATTGTCGAGAGTGACTACCCGGACCAGACCCAGCCGAACGCCCCGGAGGACGAAACCAGTCGCGCAATCGCCTCAAATTTGATTGAATTCCTCAAGCATGAGGTGAAGCACGGCAGGCTTCCAGAAAATCTACTTCCTATCCAGAGTGGTATCGGCAACATCGCCAACGCGGTGGTTGGAGGTCTCGCTGTAAGTTCACTATCCCGAAGTGCCTAAACAGACGCTTACGATCCGTAGTCGGGAGGCGCCAACTTCAAGAACCTCAAGGTCTGGACTGAGGTGCTCCAAGACAGTTTCCTCGATCTCTTCGACTCCGGCAACCTCGACTTTGCTACCGCCACCTCAATCCGCTTCTCTCCCGACGGATTTGAGCGCTTCTACAAGAACTGGGACCGTTACGCACCCAAGCTACTTCTCCGCTCACAGCAAGTATCAAACTCGCCTGAGATCATCCGCCGCCTCGGAGTTATCGGCATGAACACCCCTGTCGAAGTTGACATCTACGCCCACGCGAACAGCACATGCGTGATGGGATCCCGCATGCTGAACGGCCTCGGAGGATCCGCCGATTTCCTACGCTCTGCCAAGTACTCCATCATGCACACGCCTTCCACTCGCCCTTCCAAGACTGACCCTACCGGCGTTTCTTGCATCGTGCCCATGTGCACGCACATCGACCAGACCGAGCACGACCTCGACGTCATCGTGACGGAGCAGGGTCTCGCCGATGTGCGCGGTCTCTCCCCGCGCGAGCGCGCTCGAGTCATCATCAAGAAATGTGCTCATCCCGATTACGTGCCCATATTGGAGGACTACTTCAACAAGGCTGAGTTCGAGTGCTTGAGGAAGGGTTGGGGACACGAGCCGCACCTGCTGTGGAACAGCTTTGATATGCATAAGCATCTGAATGAACAGGGTACAATGAAGCTCCCAAGCTGGGACTGGAGGAGCAGTGAGGCAGGTATGGCTAGTGAGAAGAGCAATTTGTAGAGGAGCACATTGGACAACGGCATTCTAGAGTGAGAGACGTGTTGTAGGATATATCAAATCAGTTCAAATCAGCTATGCATGGCAGTTCCCTTCTACGAGCTAAAGTCTGTGCTGATGTTTGTAAACAAGATAATGTCACCGCAACGGGGCAAGTCATCAAGCATAAAAAGAGTGTGTTTTTGTCTACATCCACTGATATGACCACAGTCGGATCTTTGAAGAAAAATGAACGCCAGTCAACGATTGAAAGTCGTTCGTTATGATATGAGTGCGCTGTTGTGCGCAGCTATACTGCTACGTTTCGAAGAAACAAACGCGGGTCAAACGATCAGAAGCCCCTCTCACACAGTAACTACGCTGGCGTTTGGAGCAGTACTCTAGTCTAGGTGGTGCATCCGCATGACCGCTGCGCTAATTTGAAAGGCAAAATCTTATAGGGCCGATTTAGACGCAACCAACCGTGAACCGAAGGAAAGTCATGAGAAGCCGGTTGAACGTGGGTCGTGATGAAACTGGGAAATCCGTGGAGCGTGAATCGTGAAGAAAATGATAAAAAGCCGTGTGAACGTGAACATAACCGTCCAACCTAACATTGCCTTGGATCTACACTGCGCTCAGTCAGTCTTGTGGTCGTATGACGCTCGCTCAGAAGAGCGCAGCTACTTGTACCGCTTACCCTTCTGGATAAACCTCAACTTCTTCTTCTCCTTGTTTGTTAGCTCCTTCTCCTTCGCGGCCTCGTTCGCAGCCGCAACTTGCTGCTTCTTCTCAGCCTCGGCTTTCATCTGCTCGCGAGCTTCAGCCTCCAAGTTGAGATCGTGATCATTCCTGTCGTCAGCAGGCAGCTTGGACTTGAGCTTCTTGTACCTCAGATTGTAGCCTCTAGAGTAGGGATGGCTAAGACAGCCACCACCGCACTTGCTGCTCCGAACTGTGAAGATGTCACCACAGGCCTCGCAGTAAGCGACATGGCTTTGCTTGAAGCAGCGGTTACCCGGGGCGCGATTGCACAGACCACAGTGGTGCTGGTAGTTGCTGCTGTCCCTGTCCTGGTTATTGCGAAGGATGGGAGCCATCTTAAAGGGTGAAGGGTGTCTGCTTTACTGAGCTTGCGTTAGAAGAAGTTGTGTTTGGCAAGAAGCTCTGGCGTATCTGGGGTTGCGTTGTGTCTTCAACTTCCGCGGGCCGGAGTTGATGGTGCTGTGGGGGAGAGTGGGAAAGAAAGAGAGCATTTTAATACACCTGGAACTCTACGGCGGTGGCGGCTTTCACGACGGGCGATGCTGCATTGTAGATAATCATGTGAGGCGCTTTAGATGTTCAATGAAATGGGAAGATAACAGAAGTGGGAGGTAGCGTTGTATAGACTTTTAGTGGATACCCAACAATTGAATACTCATATTCCGTCTTGAAGTTCAAACTCACTCATCAAGATCTACACGGCCCGTTCCGTCAAAGATTTCAATCCTCGCCACCCCGAGATAGCAACGTGTGCGAGGGAGACCCGCTAAGATGTGGTGGACCGAGAAAAGCCGCCGTCCGTTAATCAAGATAATACTGAACCCCGACAGTGTCCGGTACACTAAGCTCAACCACTCATCATGGTGGTCCAGAATGTGGCAGATAGTATGCCCAGGTGTCGTGACAAAACTAGCTCTGATTGTCATAGGGTCTACGCTTCTCCGCTTTCTGCACCACCTTGCTCTTCTTGCCCCTATTTGCCTTCCTGGACTCTTCCTCCCGTGGGTCCCGCTGGGCAGCGGCGGTTCTCGTGGCCTCCGCACCCCGACGCTCACGCTCAGCACGGATCGTAGCTTCTAGCTGAAGCTCGAACGGGGTGCGATGGTGCTCGGGCAAGCCACTCTTCACCTTCTTGACCTTGAGGTTGTACCCATCGGCGTACGTGTGGTAGTTGCACCCAGACTTGCTGAACGACTGGAAAACTGTACCGCACTCCTCACAGTGATAGATGTGGTACTTCTCGAAGCATCGTGTGGTCACAGCCCCCTTGCAGGTTCGGCAATGGTGGTTGTAGTCGTTGTTGGCGCCCTCCGCGCGCGCGAACCGGGCCATTCTGTTATGATCAAGGTCAACTTGAAGCTTCCAACGACATTGAAGAGTGATTTGTGCTCTCGTCCAGATGCTCTGAGTTGGGCTGCTGAGACTCGAGCAACGTACCTTCGATCTGATCCTATTCAATACGCTCGTTCAGTTGTGGTTTAGAACTCGGGAGAGTAATGCGTGGTATAGGGACGGACGGGCGGAGTGAGAGCAAGCTGTTGGCCATCGTGTATAGAGAGAGCTCTGCCGTTTGGGCTAGCATAGCTTCTCAAGTTCATGTTAAACTGCGCAAGGACCTGGCATGGAGTTGAAAATGTCCATCGTCCAGATTGCCACCTGAATAGGTAGATACGCTTTCCGTCTCTAAAAAGTCATGAGTCAAGTGTGACGACAGCAGTAGGATCTCAACTCACAACCTATCTATATGTGCTCATAATCCTTGGAATGTCTCTGACCAAACTTTGACTTTCGTAGGTGAAATCCATCATAACTTGCGAGGACATAGTGTGACGGTGGTACGAGCTTTTAGCACACTGCATAGCTATGGTATATAACGGTCAATTTCACAACAATCACCTGGTTCAATGGAATCATGTCCAAACTTCTGGAAACACAACAATTTACCTACACAAAGCGGCACATTATAAACAAAGGTTCCCTACACGGTCAAGGACATGACATTCCTGACCAAGCTGTGCATCTGCTGTGCGAATCATGGAGCAAAGAAGTTAAATTCAAAGCGGTAATAATTTAAGTTTCAATTATTGTCTGCTATGGTCACTAGTCTACATTTATTCTAGCTCTTTCCTTACGCCTCGGCTACGCGCTGACAGGCGCAACGCGACTCCGCATCTGAACCACAGTATCCCTCACAGTTATCCACGAGGCCTGACAATGCTTGCTACATACGACGCTGGGGCTGTCATGCTCCATAGAAGCAGGGTAGCAGTACTTTGTGACCGTATTCGGCCTCCTTGACTGGCAACATGACATTACAACGTCCAATACGCATTGCAGGTACGCTGCTGTGCATCATAGCTGTGTTTTTGACATATTCACAAGTCATCAGGATGTTCTGGGTCAACCACAGACCGTCGCAATGCTATGACATTGCTCGCCTCGAACTATGCGAATGATCCTATTGATGTGTTCGTCGGCGACTGGATGAGTGAAGCGAATATGACAGCGCGCGCCAACGTCAAATTGAACGGTGCGAACTCATCTTTCGCGTTTCGTCATTTGTTCACTGACATAGAACAGGGCAGATGGAGGCATACGAGCCAACCTTCCTTGAAGCTCTCGAGCCCGCCTTGTTGCACATCGCCAAGCACGGCATCAAGGTCGCTGTCAATGCGGGCGCTTCAGACACAAAGAAGCTTCATGAGGTCGTTAAGAAAATGATTGCTGGCAAAGGACTGAAGCTTAGCGTTGCATGGATCTCTGGCGATGAGGTCCTACAACAGCTCATAGACGCACAAAGGAGAGGAGAATCGCCATTCGAGAATCTTTGCACCGAGGAGCGCCTCGAAGACTGGCAGTTCGAGCCAATATACGCACAAGCATACTTAGGCGGGCTGGGCATTGCGAAAGCCTTTGAGAAGGGTGCAGACATTGTCTTGTGTGGCCGAGTATCAGACGCGAGTCCGCTCATTGGCGCCGCATACTGGTGGCACAAGTGGCAACGATCAGATCTCGACAAACTTGCGAATGCGTTCGTGGCAGGTCATCTATCTGAGTGCTCCTCGTATAGCACAGGTGGCAACTACACTGGATTCAAGGATCTCGAGGGCCTCGGCTGGGAGAACATTGGCTATCCCATCGTCGAGATCGCACAGTCGGGCGAAGTAATAGTCACGAAGAATCAAGGATCTGCAGGTGAGGTGTCGATCAACACGCTCACATCGCAACTCTTGTACGAAATCCAGGGTCCATGGTATTTCAACTCGGATGTGACAGCCGTGCTGCACGATATCTCCTTTGAGTACATATCGGAGAACCGCATCGCTTTGCATGGTGTCAAGGGTGCGCTACCACCTCCCACGACAAAGGTGGGCATCACGGCGAAACCCATCTATCAAGCTGAAATGCATTGGTTCATGACAGGCCTGGACATCCCCGCTAAAGCACGCATGATGGAGCAGCTCATTCGCACGCAGATGGGAAATCACGCGCAGAAGTTGCTGAATCTATCGTTTCAAATCATCGGCTCCTGCGCAGAGAATCCGACAAACCAGAACGCTGCTACGGCTGATTTCCGTGTAATCGCACAAGCGCACAGAGCCAAAGACCTTGCCCCCGCAAAGTTCGTGCGACCGTGCATCGATCCTATCATGTGTGCATATCCAGGAGCGACGCCGCATCTCGACCTACGGCAAGCGTTTCCAAAGGAAGTGTTCGAATACTACGTCACCCTTCTGCCACAGTCCGTAATCAAACACGAAGTCCATCTTGCTTCTGGGGAGGTGATTGATATCCCACCACCTCCAGACAGTAAGACCTGGCCGAAAAGGCAACCCTCACAAGACACCACCACGACAGCAGCAGATCTAAGCGGCTTCGGCACCACCATTCGAGCACCTCTGGGGACCATCGTACACGCACGTTCAGGCGATAAAGGCTCAGATTGTAATGTAGGCTTTTGGGTCCGCCATCGGGACGAATACGCGTGGCTGCAGAATCTGCTGTCCACGGTGTTCATGAAGGAGCTGCTAGCAGAGGAATATAACGGCAAGAGCATTGAAAGATGCGAATTTCCAGGACTCAAAGCAATCCATTTCCTACTGCGGGATCACTTGGATCGAGGAGTAAGTTGTACGACTAGTGTAGACTTCCTGGGGAAGAACTGCGCGGAGTTTTTGAGAGCAAGGGTTGTGGATATCCCTGCAAAGTTCTTGGCAAGGGGACATATCTAATCATGAGAGCACAGTGGATGACATAACAAGGGGAATGTAGGCGCTCCATCCTGTGTTGACTTACTTTGTTGTATGTTTGCAAACTTACTATATAGTAGGTTATCGTAAATGTTCACACTAGGGAATTCTCATATTTATCATCGGCCACTTTGAAGATTTGCTGCTATGAGCAAACATTTAATGCAAGATTTTATTGTGTTTTTGCTGGTTGAAGCCAACACATCGCCCAGGCCAAAGGTAGCCTTGACGGACTCACAATGTATACTTTGCTTGACCGCTCGACACCCTATCTTCATGGTGTGGATATCTTACTATGGCTTCTCAAGGCGTTGCATGTACCCGACACTTTCTGCAGGAGCACCGACCACCTCGCACAACGCTCGATCCTCGTTAGTCCTTTCCTCGCAGAAGCGTATTAATGGTTCTTCTCCATACGCATGTAGTCCACTTTCTTCCATGATGCACTATTGCCAATGTCAGAATCTCATTACAACGCATCGCAGATCTTTTACTTTTCCGTCTTAGCGCAATTCCCATCGCTGAATACGCGTATTCGCCTAGCTTCAACCACCTCCCTCCTTCCCATGCTCGTTCCGGCTTACTCCGTATCTGCTGCTAGGCAATGCTTCTAGGAGCGAGAACTACTCCACTAGAGAAACTAGCGACATTAAACTTTGCATCAGCCCGATGTCTGAGTGAGCTGCTGTTTTCAGTCGTCGTAATACGCGTATCTGAAGCGGTAGCGTCCTGCCCTGTGCATGACTTCCAAGATGCTCAGGCCAAGTGAAGGAAACGGAGTGGATAGCACGGTGGCAGTGTAAAGCACTTCAAGAGGAGGAGCTTGCGAAGGAGGACAGTATAAGAGGAGGGTCTTCGTAGCTGTTATCTTGCACTATACTATCAATACTGTGGAGGCCTTCCTGTATACGAACGAACGATCTTGCTGAGACCACTATGCTGAAACCAGCAATGGGACTCGGAAATTTACTCCCGCTGCTCTACTTGCCCTTCGCATTCGCACAGAGCCTCACACAAGGCCTTGAAAGCCCCACAGGATACGTTCCCGTATGCTTCGTCTTCAAAACTTCTGAAGCGCAACTGACCGCCATCTCAGTGCGACGCCCTCATATCCGCAGGCTTCAGAGATCGCATCCTGACCGCGTCATCACCGGAATATGAATCTCGCATCCAATCTTGGTGGTCCGCCAATACGCGCTATCACCCTTGGTGTCTCTTCCAACCACAAACAACTCGAGAAGTCTCCCTTGCAATAAGCACCTTAGCTAAAGCCGGTGAAGGAGCAGGCGACTGGCACATCGCGATTCGGAGCGGCGGTCATGGCTGGCCAGGCTCAAACAACGTTGTCAAAGGCGTCACCATCGATCTCGGCCACATGAACAATTCCTGGTATGACGATGGAAAAAAGGTTGCTAGCCTCGAGCCTGGCGCAAAATGGAGGGATATCTACGCCAAATTGCTCGAAAAGTACAACATAACTGTGACCGGTGGCCGAGACGGCGACGTCGGCGTTGGTGGCTTTCTGCTGGGTGGCGGGATTTCTTACTACACAGGCACAAACGGTTTCGGATGCGATGTCGTAGTGAACTACGAGCTCGTGCTCGCGAACGGCACCATCGCCAATGCGAACGCCACGCATAATGTGAATCTCTTCAAAGCGCTTAAAGGAGGTGGCCCAAACTTCGGCATCGTAACACGCTTCGACGTCGAAGCCATGCCGGCAGTCGATCTCGCGTATGGACAGATACTCACCTCGATGGAGCACTCGGATGATGTCGTGCAGAGTCTGATTGCATTCACGGAAAAGGTTGAGGAGCGCCCGCACGACCACATGTTTGTCCTGTACGAACATTCCCCTGACATCAACGGGTCCATCATTCTCAGCGTCACCACAAACACCCAGGGAAATATGAATACCACGTCCTTCGACGGCTTCCGCTCGATCCCCGCGCTCTCTTCCTCTTGGGAGAGTACATCTCTTGCCGCAGCCGCGAACGCCTCGCAGGTAACGTCTGGGTACAGGTACGCACCAGGCACCCTACCACCTGAAGTCCCGCATCCTACTAACGTGCGAACAGCTCCGCAAGCGCAACCCTAACCCTCCATCTCACCCCCTCCCTCCTCGCATACGCCACAACCCTCCACACCCGCCTAACCACCCGCCTAACACAGCTCCTCGGCCCCACCGCCTTCCTCGCTAGCACAATTTTCCAGCCCATGCCTACCCTCTATTCCACCATCTCCCCTCAAAAAGGTGGGTCTATGCTTCCTCCCTTCCGCACCAACAGCATCATGTGGACGGGCGGAGTGGGCGTTACGGGAGGCGGCGACGCGGCGCTGGCCATCGCGGAGGCGGAATTGCTATCCACGACCCAGCGACTGGAGGTGAGGGCGAGGGAAGAGGGAGCATTGGAGCAGTTGGTTTATCTGAACTATGCGCATCCCGGGCAGGATGCTTTGGGGAGCTATGGGGCTGAGACAGTTAAGTTTATGAAGGGTGTTGCGGGGAGCGTTGACCCGGGGGCGTTTTGGCAGGAGAGGGTGCCGGGAGGGTTCAAGCTGGGGAGGGTGGTGTAGGCAAGGAAAGGGCCGGAGGAATGGTACTTTGGGGTGGTATTACTTTTGCATCTTGAGGTGAAAGCGATGGTAGTGTGCGGATGGCTCAAGCGTGCAGATTCTCTTGTACCGGTTGACTGTCTTGTCATGCCCAATACTTTGTCTTCCCCCTCGTCTCATCTAAATGGTCTTCTTAGCGTACGCCTCCCCAATGCCCCGCTGTACCGCGGGCCTCTCAGCGATCCTATCAATCCACTTCAACAGATGCGGAAACGCGCTTACATCCTCCTTGCTGAACCCGCTTCTCTCCCAGTTCTTGACCCACGGCCACGTCTTGATGTCCGCAACGCTGTACTTGCCCGCGCCGTTGCCGGCCAGGTACTCGCGCGGGGTGCCGGTGTATTTGCCCGAGAGGTGTATTTCGAGGACGCCGAAGACGCGGAGGGTCCTGGTGGGGAGTTAGTATCAGTGCCATGTGTAACTTCGGACCCAGTACACTGGATGATCTTCCTCGGAGAACACTGCCCAGCAAGACACGTGACCTCTCGCAAGAAGAGCAGGCTGGGGATGGACATACTCGTTCTTGAACCGATTAATCGCATACGGGATCTTCTCGGGCGCCGCGCGGCTGAAATGGTTCACCTGCCCCTGATACGGCGCCCCACTCCCGTGCCAGAAAAACGTCCACTGCAGCGTCTGATTCCGCTCCAGCTCATCCTTGAACCCAAACTTGTCCTCTTTATCCGCGAACTTGAGCAGATAAAACAGTTCTGCGGACGTTTCGTGCACCGTGAACGGCGGAGACTGCGTGTTGTCCACTAGCACTGGAATACGGCCTTCACTGCTGTCAGCTCGCTTACTCGGAGGAATATGATTTGGGTGGGAGAAAGAGGAAGTTACCGTTCGGGTCTAGTCTCAGGAACCAGTCCGACTTCTGGACGTTGGTAGAGATATCGATGATGGTAGTGGTCCACTCGGTGCCGTAAGCATCTTTCAGCTCCTCGAGAAAGATCTGGACCGCTTGACCGTTAGGCGTGGACTGCGTGATCAAGTGCAAGCCCTTTGCGTTCTTGACCTCGTCTGGAGTTTCGGAGGTGTAGTGGTAGGACGACATGACTACTCAAATCTCGGGGTTAACCTGCTATGTGTCTGTTGTGTTTGGAGAGAAAAGGTGCGGTGTAAAGTTGATCTGATTTGTAGAATGGGATCTAAGAAAAGCCTCAATTTATATGGCGAGGAGCAAAGGACAAGGTGGGTAAGCTGTTGATTTGTCAATCCATACGTGATATCACGTATGTGAGTACCAGCCCCTCATCAGCGCTGTACCCCACCAGGTCCCCGCCAATGGCCGTTGCACATGATGACGTGATGGATAGTAAGACTACAACATCGCCAAAAGGACGCCATTAATATGTTAAACTACCTGCTTATGTTTGTTGAAAATGGGGTGGATAGCCGTGATTAGGTATGTCACAAAAGAGGCATTAGCGTAAACTACATCATGGGAGGTGGTTGGTGCGTGAACGGCGCCTACAACCCCAGCGATGAACGCGAGAACGGAGTAGGATGCTTTTCGCGAATTTCGAAGGGACAGACCGAGGAGTTAATGATACCGACTCTTGTACGCTGTACACAAGTTCGTTCATCAAAGACGCAAAAATGCTGTATCTCCACCCAATGCAAAGTCCAACATCCACGTGACCATTCATATCGCAAATCTCATCACGCCCTCATCCAATCCGCCGTACATCATCCCTTCACGTCACAGCCTCCTTACTCCTCTCCCCATCCTTCTCCGCATCGAAGAACACACTCTCCCTCTTCCCCTCACCCTGTACCTCAGCCGGCGCCGTCCGCGCGCTATTCAGCGGCTTCCCCAGATCCACAACCCCATCCTTGTCCCTCTTGAACTCTTCCGCGCGCTTGATGTCCCCCGGCGAAGGCTCTGCCGGTAACGCAGGGCTCTGCATCGGCGTCCCCGATGCGCTCCTGCTCGCCTGCCACCCCTTCTTCTTCTCACTCGCCCACGCGCCCCACGACGAGAGATACGCGCCGGCGCGCGTGGATGCGGCTTGAACGTTTGCGTGCGCGTGGTGCGAGGAAGAGACACTCGGACTACTGGGCTCGCTTTCCTTAGCGAGGCGGCTCTCCTCTTGCCGCTTCCGCTGTGCCTCGCGGACGGCTTCCATCTGCGCCCAGAGGCTGTCGAATGCGGAAGAGACCTTTTTCTGGCCGACGGCGAGCTGCTTGCCGATTGCTTCGCGAGAGTTCTGGAGGCGCTCGTCGAGCTGCAGGTGCTCTATTTGCCTATGCGGTACGCGAGGATTAGCACGCAGATAGTGATGCTGGCTACTTGGAAGGTGGAGTTTGAGAACAGCCTGGGGCGGGGGTTTGACTTAGCGTCTCCTGGATGCTTGCGAGAGAAAGAGGAACTTACTGCGCAAGACGACGTTGGACATCTTCAATGCTGAGGCCGCCGGAGCAGGGATGTTTTGGTTCGACGATGTCGAAGAGGTGCGAGTCAGTGAATTTATTCCAGATACGGAAGTTTTCCGTCTGCATCCACGCGTGGATGTAATTGTTCGAGAACTCTCCTGCCGGGTCCCCCTCGTGCTCTGTGATGATTCTTTCCTTGTCTTTATTCTTCTCCTGGTAAGCTTTGAACTTGACAGCACTCAGCATGGCAAGCAAGTACTCTTCGAATTGCATACGAATGAATTCTTCACTGCCGGCATAGCCGTGGTCTTTTGGGCGACTGGGATTGGATTCATCCCAGGTGTCGTGGACGGTTTGTGTAAGAAAGTCGATCCAGCGGCGGTCTGGCGTGGATAAGGTGAGCGCATGTTGAAGAGAGGATGATGTTATGTTCACAGTGTGTTCGTCCAGGTTGATCAATATGTCGCTATATCGGTCTCTTTGCTGGAGCAGCAGTGAGTTGGTAGAGCCTACAATGTACGATTTAGTGTCTTGATCAGCCAGAACGTCGAGCTGTTGTAAAGGCGTGTATGGTCCAAACAGTGACCCTCTGCCAAAGAGCTGGAGCGGAAGGCCCATGTAAGTGAGCACTGGAATTGTTCAGCATGGATCGAGCTAAGCATTTGGGCTGACTGACACGAGGAGCGCTGCGACGTCTTGAGCGACGTAGGCATGACGAGCTCCGTCTCGCACGAATTGAACTTGGGATCAGCAGAATCTTGAAGGTGGCGGATTAGACCGGGTATCAGAGAAATCAAAGCAAACTGCATCATGCATAAGCGCTCGCAGTGCGAGCCGAAGAAAAGCATCTGCAGAAAGTCAGCTGCGTGTACCTCTTCGTATGGAATAAAATACCTTTGGTTGGAGCAGAGCACACTTGAAAAGAACGAGCGTCTGCCACTTGAACTCGTGGATCATCTCTCGCAGAGAAATACCAAAGTAGTGGTCCGGTTCTCCCTCCTGATTCTTGAGCAGCGTAGGCAGACTCTCGCTAAACCGTTGTAGGATCTCGACATCGGTGAAGTCCCTCTGTGCAAACCACGCCGCCGTAACAACTCCCAGCTGCGCTTTGATAGCCCCAAAGTACTGCGGGCTATCGCTCACCACCACCACCGCCTTCTGCACGGTGCTCCTTGTAACCTCGGCCGGCCGATCAATCAGCTTGCTCGCATCCAGCTGTCGCGTACACGAGATGCCAAAGAGGCTCGAAGCAGGGTGTTTGGGCGTCTCGGCGCGTCGCAGCGTGAAGTAGGAATAGTCTTCGGTGGAGCTATGACCGGTCAGTCCTCCTGCTGCATATCTACCGGCGAGGGGCCTTTACGCGTGCGCGCCGTCGCTCAGCGCCATGAACGGAAGATTCACCCAGTCATTCTCCACCGACGGGTCTGCGCTGCCCTCCTCGACGCCGAACCATCGCTCCACTTCCGGTCCCCTGCATGGCCATCAGCAAATTGCGCCCTCGCATTGCCCCTCTTGAGACTACCGACCTCGCGTGATGGAAATCAACGACGCAAATCAGAGGCGCGAACGCCATCCTCTATGAGCAGCCCAGGCGGCTCGCTATCGGCGTGCGGATACGGTGACGAGACGAAGGGAGGCCATGAGACATAAGACGGAGTCTTGGTCGTGGTTGCGAGTGGAGCTGGGCGCGCGAGCCGCTTATCGATAATGCGCGGATGCGGGACAGGGATCCTGGCACACTCACACGATTCATCGGCGCGGCTGCATGTGACCTGCACCGTGCTGACTGGTAGGATTGACGTGAGCATCATTCTGGCCCTGTGTCTGGTCTTTCCGTGCTCCAAACCCAGTCCAGCGAACCTCACAGCACGAGGAAGGGTTCTCCAGGGTTAGACTATGCAGCACGACTCATGGAAGCGCTACGGTTGACCGCACAAATGCTCCGCAATACCACACCGCTCCAGAAATCCAAGCAATCGTCAGCAAGAAATAACCAACAACTCTTCTACCCGCCGTGTTGACACCATCCCATCTGTCGCTCTTCGTGTAGTTGGATCCTGCTGTGTACTTTTGATTTCATAATCGTTCTATGGGCCAAAACGGGGCCGTCAAACAAGCAGCACGGCTCGCACGCAAGCCATGACGACCTTGCTACGAACGCTTCACTGACCAGCCGCTCCCGGCACAGACTCCCGATCCCAGCGTGCCATTCCCCGTATATCCGCTCGTCCAAGCCAATCGCAATCCAAAACTGAGTGTCACTCCCGCACTCCGCCCCTCTATCCCACATCCAGTGGTATGTTCAGAATTAATCCCAAGGAAAATATGTCCAGACTACGCCAACGAGGAAGGGAGATCATGATCGGGTCCCCAAATGCATCACTACCGTGTCCCGCGCTCTAAATATACGTTGCCGAGGTTAGCTTTGGCTTTCCTCGCCTTGTGCAGCGGCGTCTACATTGTGGTAGTCGAGAATTTCTGAGTACCTGGGCCGCTGTTAGTGACTGCCCGCAACATCAGTGAAGCGTGTGCTCACATCATGATTTTCCATGTGTCAACGGGAAGGTCCGCGTCGTTGAAAGACCAGTCGAACTTCTCTTCTGCGCCCGGCTCGTCGGTAGGGTCGTGATAGGGAGCAAGGTATGGGTGGGCGAGAGCCTGTTCGGCCTTGACGCGCTTCTTCGGGTCGAAGACGAGCATGTTCTCGAGGAGGTCGATGGCTAGGTACTGTTAGAGGTCTGAAAGTGAAGAGAGCAGGGGAAGGAGGAACGCACCAGCTGGCTCAGCATTCTTGAATTTGTTTGCCAGAGGCTGGCGGTCGCGTTTGGGCAGCGACTGGACGAAGCGTAATGTCTGGAGACGTCAGCACAAAACTCTACCCAAAAAAAAGAGGACAATCTCACGTTTTCACTGCAGATGGTCTGAATAACATCATCTGGAGGAGTTCCCAGAAGCTCCGTGATAATAGAAAACTGGTTCACGTGGTCCTTGCCGGGGAACAGCGGCTTGCCCTCGAGCATCTCAGCGAAGATGCAGCCGGCGCTCCAGATGTCGACCTCTACATCGTACTTTTGCCAGGTAAGCATGATCTCGGGTGCTCGGTAGTAGCGCGTCGAGACGTAACCCGTCATCTGGGGGTCTTGTATACGGGCCAAGCCGAAGTCGCAAATCTTAAGATCACAGTTTTCGTTGACGAGGATGTTGCTGGGCTTCAAGTCTCGGTGGACAACGCCGGCGGAGTGGACATATTTCAGACCACGCTGTTGAGGTCAGCGGAAATCTCCTCGCATGAAGATCGCCACTTACGAGGATCTGGTAAAGGAAATATTGGATAAACTGCTTCTCGAGCGGTCTTGAGGTAAGCAGGCGGTGGAGATCAGTGCCGAGGAGCTCGGTGACGAAGTAGCTAACAATGTCAGTGAGGGGTGGAGAGGCAGCTGCGAATGCCTACATGTCCTCGAGCGGGGAAATGAAGATGTCGCTCAGGCTGATGACCTGCTCTCGTTAGGACCCGCCGCACACTGTGGTGAGCATACACACATTCTCGTGCCTCAGGTGCTTCAGGAGCTTCAATTCTCGGTATGTGCGCTTGGACAAAACCGGAGTGCTGAATGGCTTCATGATCTTCTTGATGGCGACGGCCTGGCTAGTGAGCTGGTCCTTTGCCGAGCTACAGCTAGTCAGCCTGTGGGGTATCCAGAAGACATAGTGTACCTACCAGACAAGACCAAACGCGCCCATGCCCACGGGCTGCAGGTCGGTGTACCTTTGCACATGTCAGTTTGCTCCGCGGCGCAAAGCGGGGTTTGTTGCATGTACCTGCTCGTTATCTCAAAGGTCGTGCCAAAGATTTGCGCGCGCACGAATTCGGCCATGATGGACGGCGGTGGAGGGTCGCCGCGTAGGGGGAATGAAGATGCAGAGTGCGGTGGGAGGTTGTTGTGGTGAGGTTGCCGGTTTGCGATACAGCGGAGTGGGCGAGGTGAGCGCGGCAGGTAATTGGGTCGGGGATTGGGACCGTAGACCTAGTCGAGTTCAAAGAGGCAACACCAGACGGTCCAGAAGAACCACAACAGGGTCTGCAGGCGGGCTGACCGAGCGAGCGTGGTGCAGCAGGTCCTTTGGCGGGGTGGACGCGTCCGGAGGGGCAGCAGCGCGCGCCGAGTGAAGAAATGGAGGGATGAGGCACGGGTTCGCGGTCGCGGGACAAGAAGACGATCACTGCCAGGAGCGGGGAGATACAAACACAGCTGTTATGGAGATGCGGAGGGTGAAGGAAAGCGAGGAAGAAGGAAATCGAGGGGCACGCCAGTATGGACGGCCACAGCCAGCGCCCGTGCCCGTGGCCGGGTTAGCAGGTTTCGCACAGAGGCTGGCTCGATCGATTTCAGGCGACGTCATCGACGATTTTCCCATCAACGCTGCCCGTTTGCCGTGCATGTCCGTACTTTCCCATGGGAGTCCTTACACAACACTAATAACCCTCTTACTCGGTATAGCCTACGCGTACCTCGCTGGTGCTCTTGCTTCCTCTTCTTCTTTTTCCGTGCTCTGCGCTGGCATTGTCTCGACATGTCTCTCATGCCGTATGGGCTCGTGCACGTTGCGAGCAGCAAGTGGATATTCCCCGGGACAACGACGGTTCTGTTCACACATTGAAAAGCCAAACTGCGCATGGCGGAATTGGCCGACAACGTCCTCACCACCGTCTACAGACTCGCGACGCCCAGTACTGCAACTTGTATCGCTGACCAACGCCTGCCCCATAGCTTCCAAGCTACACTGCGCATGCGAGCTTCCCGCGGAGCTGTAGCCAATGCTGGTCGCAGCACTCTACATCAGCAGTTAGATGGACATTACGCAGCTATGGATACAATCACTCGGCGACATCCAGTGCGAATCTTCCTAGACAACGCGCTGCAAACGTGCTTATGTCGCGGATGGTGCGGGGGCGGCAGTGCTTTACTGAGACAGCTTCAGCTCCCGATATGATTCGGGAGGATGACCACGAGGCCTCTCCTCGGCAAGGCCACAACGGGCTCGGCTACTGATGAGAACCCTGTGGCGGCGCTTCTTGAATTGGCATGCGAACAAGATGACGGCTGACGGTTCCTGGGGCAGGCAACTGATGTATACAGTAGGCATGTATCTGCAAGTATCGGGCTAAGGGATGGCTGAGCTGCATCAAGTTAGAGGGAGAGGGGAGAGGAATCCGCGTAACAGCAGCGAGGCTCCGGTAGGTGGAGTTTCTGCACATGCACTCGCTCGTCGCGGCGGCTGGTGTTGGCGCCCGCGTTGCCAGCGTGTCGTCATTGCGACGATGCAGTGTGGTCGGAGATGAGAGATGACGGGCCTTTTAATCTGTGCCTGACCGCGGTGACGAAAGCCGTCAGACCAGAGGCTGCCTCGCGGGGATGGCGATATTATGTACAGTGCTATGGTGCCTAATTTAGACGGCGAGAGGGCCGAGCTGCACGTCAGTTGCTACTTTGAGGCCGCTGCGACGGAAGCGATTGTGAGCCTGCGGACGAGGCCCTCTCTGGCGACGATAATGTTGATAATGATGATGATGATTCAGTGCGGCACTGCCCTCGGCGCGGCAGTGTCAGTTGCGCAGAGCACCGCAGGAGTCGCCGCAAGACAGATCCGTGCCGGGGCTTGGCCGCAGTGAAATGGCTCAGGTCAGAAGCACTGTGAATGAAGCCATTGGGGAACTGCTGCTGGCCAATAGCGCGGGCTGGCCGCCCAAATCTACCTGCGAGCGTCTCCCCGCCGCCGTGTCCCGACAGCACCGTCCGTCTCCTCGCTGCCCTGCCCTGCGTGCCTGTCCGTTGGAAGCGAACTTACTGCGATTGCTGCGTCTGCTGCGTCTGCGTGCCTGGCCAAGCAATCGACGTTGACTGACACCGTTCCGGAGCGGCTTGCTGAACGAGCAGTGTAAAGTTGGGGGCTACCACAGGTCGCTCCTTCCCAGCACGGCGGTTGTCCAGCAGCCGTGGAGCCTACCCCTTCAACCACCGCTTCCACTCACACGCCCGCCGCAACACGCCTGCGCACACTGCAGCGATACCACCGCGCCCGCATCCCTCCCGCCAGCCTGCTACAGCGCGCGGCGTCGACGACTGTTTGCGCGCGCCCTGGAGTGAGTGTGCCTTGCTGCTCAGCTGCACTGTGCTGCTAGAGGGGGCTACCTGCGCACTGGCCGCGTCCTCGCCCGGGACCTGGACTGCTACCGCGACCTCCACCATCACGCACCTCGACCATCCACACCCCATCCGCCCCCGTAGCGCCCCGCGCGCAAGCGTCGACTCGCCCTCGCCCTCGGCCTTGCACACCCGTCTCGCATTCTCGCAGCTGCAGCACGTCGCTGCCGTGCGCGTTCCGTCCTCGCTGCGCTGCCCCCAGATCGTTCCTCCCGCACTCGGAGCGCATCTCCATCCGGTGAAACACCACCTCGCCATTCACTCTGTCTCTGGACGCCTTCGTTTGCGAGCCGGCGCCCTGCTATTGTCTCCGTCGAGTGAGGCGCCTGCGCCTGTCGACCCTCCCGCACACGGCACACGGCCGAGCACCCGCCACGAGCAGCCGATAAGATGGGCATCTGCATGTCGAGCGCAGACAACCAGGATGCCGAGCAGAAGAAGCGCAGCCAGGCCATCGACCGGAAGCTCGAGGAGGACTCGCGCCGGTTACGGCGAGAATGCAAGATCCTTCTCCTGGGTAAGCAGCCGAGCCACGCTCCCTGCGCATGCTAGCTAACACGCGCATCCAGGCTCTGGCGAGAGCGGCAAGTCCACCATCGTCAAGCAGATGAAAATCATACATCAGAACGGGTACACGCAAGAAGAGCTCGCAATGTACCGCCTCACCATATATAAGAACGTGATAGACTGCGCGAAAGCCCTCATCGGCGCGATGCACCAGTTCGAGATTGCGCCCAGCGACCCCAACAATGAGGAATTCTGCCGCTATCTGCTCGACTACACCGTCGACCCCGACCCAGAGAAGCCCCTCGACATGCGGGTGGGCCAGGCGATAACCTCGGTATGGCGGGACCCATGCGTGTCAAAAGTCCTTGAGCATTCCAGCGAATTCTACCTAATGGACTCGGCGCCATAGTATGTTAGAGTGCAATCCACGCGCGTGCGGCTCCGCTAATTCCTGCAGTTTCTTCGACGAGGTTATGCGCATAGCCGACCCCAACTACATCCCGATCGAGTCCGACGTCCTCCGTGCGCGTACGAAAACGACGGGTATATACGAGACAAGATTTACCATGGGCCAGTTGTCGATACAGTACGTGTGCTCGTTTGGGTGAATCTCAGATCCTCCGGCTAATGTGAAACTGCAGCATGTTTGACGTCGGCGGCCAACGGAGCGAGCGTAAGAAATGGATACATTGTTTCGAAAACGTCACATCTATCATCTTTTGCGTGGCATTGAGCGAGTACGACCAGGTCCTACTGGAAGAAAGCTCTCAGGTACGGCACTCCGGTCCCAGTCCGCGCCTTGGCTGACAGCTTCTAGAACCGCATGATGGAGAGTCTTGTGCTGTTCGACTCAGTGGTCAACAGTCGGTGGTTCATGAGGACAAGCATCATCCTCTTCTTGAACAAGGTCGATCTGTTCAAGGCGAAACTGGCGCGCTCACCATTAGGGAACTACTTTCCCGACTATTCTGGAGGCAACGACGTGAACCGCGCAGCCAAGTATCTGCTCTGGAGATTTAACCAAGTGAACCGAGCGCACCTCAACTTGTATCCACAGTACGTATCATGCCTGCTGCGGGAAGTACCCTACTGACCTGTGCAGTCTCACACAAGCCACCGACACATCGAATATCCGACTCGTCTTCGCCGCTGTGAAGGAGACCATATTGCAAAATGCGCTCAAAGACTCGGGCATCCTCTGAGGTCTCGCTGTCTGCATCACCCCCTCCTAGACGAGGACACACGTCGACCGCTGTGCATATCGTTCATCTCTTCCTCCACCGTCCCCGACATAACATATAATACACGACACCACGATCGCAATACAGTCGATCGGAGCTCATCTCATGCACTTTTGAGTCACGATTACGGATTTGGGACATATCATCGCCTCTTGTCATCTTGCAGAGCGCAGCATTGGAGTTACAAGGCGTTATTTGGAGGTTTGGCTGCATGCGCGCAGCCGTGATGGGAATCTTTGTTTTTGAACCATATTACCCCTGGGCGTTGGTGTTCTTGTTTCACGAGTTGCGACGCGATTGCCCATACCAAACCCCCCCTTTTTTTTTTCCTTGCGCTGCCTGCCGCGTGCGTCACCCCGGTGCTACTTCCTTTCCCGCTGGTCTGAGAAAAGTTGTGTTTGGAGAGCGCGAGCAATAACATGTCATATACTCGATCCCCCTTTGTGTTTTAGTTATGGGAGATGTGCGGTGCGCGTCAGCTACCCGTGGGGAGGACATGAAGCTTCTGTGCGTTCTTGTAGGTGCGTAGTTAGGTGGCTTGTTAGGTCGGGCCAGAGCCACACAATTGTACGTCTAGTCTCTCATTGCACGAATGGGCCGGGCATGCTGTAGAGGCGGAACGGCGAGTATATCATACTATACTATACTATATAAGTAGGACGACGGCGGGAACCCGAGACCGCATTCTACCAATCAGAATCACCCTCAGCCCGATACATTCACGTGCTTTCAGTTGATCCATTGGATTGTGCCTTGTCCCTGGATTCTCAAAATTTAACATGAGGAAAAAGCAAGTGTATGCCTATCGGTCCACGCATCGAGTCACAGATCTCGTCATCTCGGAGCTGCCCGCGTGCGCCTTGTTCGTCAATCAATCCATAATCTCCCTCCGCTCCCCTCCTGGGCCAGAGTGTGGTGCTTCGCTTGCGCATTTGAGCAAACCTCAGTCTGGCTCACTGTGCAAATTAGCCGTGCCAGTTCCCGTGCCAGAGGATTCGCTTGGCTTTGCCCTCGTGGCGGCCTGGGCGATCAGGGACGGTAACGTGGACGCTGGGGGCGGATGGAGGGCTGTGCGTGTTGTGTTGTGCTGTGCTGCTGTGCGACTTGAGTGGTGTTGTTTTGGAGTTGGTCGTTGGAGGGGATGAAGATCGAATGGGGATTGAATGGGAAGACATTGGCATGGGTGCGGCATGTCGTGGGGGAGCTGTCTACGGAAATTCAGAGGGAGTTGGGGCACGGTGCAGTGTGCGTGGGTTTGTGCCGTGCATAGGGTGGATCCGATGGAGGGTAAAGATGAAGATGCGCGTTCTGTTCACGTGGGTACCGGACACGCGATGTTATTGAGATGCTAATAATAAATATCTTTCATTGGCTGCACCCAGTTCGTGGGATAAAACCCGGCGGCCACAGACAACACAGTAGATATGTGCAAACTGGTAATTCAGGTGCGTGGGCGCCGCGTGGGGTCTTTTCCTCGCCTTGATATACCCAATACATAGTCCAATGTGAATTTCTGCATAGGAGAGCATTTACATGCAGCCTCCTCCGCACACCAGCGGCGCAGCCAGCGCGCGAGTCATTTTCCACCGTCGATCTGCTCCACACTCACCGGCCAACGCCTCCCAATACGATACTGATAACAGCAACGTCTACATCCAACGTCTGTCACCAACCTTCCTCTAAAGCTAGTCGTGCAGTGTTCGTTCGCGGTCAGACGCAAATCCCGCGCCCAGTCCACCTGTCCACTCAGGAGCATGACTGCTTCTGAAACGCCAGAGGCGGCAGGCGCAGCACGTGGGCGGGGGTTCAGGAGCGTTTAAGCTCCGAGCTGGGCGCGCACGATGCAGATCAGGGCTCCTGGGTTGGTCTGGGCGGGCCTGGGATGGGGAGGCCTTAGCGAGGCGAGGTGATGAGATTATTACGTGCTGTGAAGGGAAGGTGGGCGGTGCGAGAACAAGTGGTGGCGTCCATGGAGGTCATCTCGAACGAGCAACGGTAGAGTCATGTCGTTCTATGTGAAGTTTGTGCGCGTGGAGTTGGGCAACACGAATCAAATCAAACTCAGCGACAGATGCATAGGTTGTCATGTATTCTCTGTATTGTAGGGTAGCTAGCGTAGTGATGGAGACAATTTAGTTATTGGTTCGGTAGGTGTCTTAACGAAAAAGCAACCGTGCCTGCGCCTTTGTCCAATCCGTGTGCCCGCTCTTTCAATATGACAGCCGCTCAGAGGAGCATCTGAACACTGAGGTAGTGTTCACGAGCGACAATCTGATGTCAAGTCGTCCTTGCAAAAGACAGCCATGCTGATTGTGTCGGTAAGCTGAGGCCAGCCTATCTGGTCCCCAGAATAGGATTTTGTAGTTTTGTCCCTCCGCAGGGAAGTAGGAAAGTCGTTCAATCGTTAACGCCGGTCAATGCCGCACAAGTGATAGATATCCAATATCGAAGCTTTTAGTCGAATCCGTCAAAACGCCCTTCGTGTCGAGCTTCTAGGCTGGACATTGCGAAGTCAAGGTAGGTCAAGCACACATCTCTTGCCTAGTGCCTGTTGGAGAGGAAGCCGTGGGGCTCGGCACCGCTCAGCGCCGCAGCAGTCTTCGGGGGAGCCGCATACTTTGCGTTAAGCGACAGAAAAGCTGGAAGCGTCTGCTCAAGGACTGGTGAAGCGGGAGGCGAGCCGCGGGTAGCAGATGCCGCGCTGGCAATGCTATCGACGCTGCTGACGGACGAGACTGAGGCATGGCGCTGGGCGCCGGCAGGTCGGTTGGAAAGAAATGAGTGAGCAGACTGCTGGGGCTCGGGGGCCGCGGTAGGCTCAACGGGGCTGCCGGCCTTCTTGGTGGGAGTGTTGACAGACAAGAAGGTACGCGGGAAGGGAATGTGGAGGCGACCGGAAGACATTGCGCCAGCTTGGTGGTTGTTGTTGATGTGAGTGAATAGAAGGGTGCCGAAGGCGAGGATGATGGTATTTGAAGAGTCGATGGGGTGTTTTACAAAGCAAGATGAGTGGGCGAGGTGGTAGGAGCGGGCGTCACAGACGATAGCTCCGGTAGTCCCGTGGTACGTTTGAGTAGAAAGAGGGAAAGTGTGGGGTGTCAGATGACCAGGCCAAATTATTGAAAAGATGAAAGCGTGCTGAAGGGAGGAATGCCGGAGATTTGCTGTGAGCTTATATTTCCTTCCTAAGTAATGGGTAGACGCAGCCAAGGACGCGAGTGTCCAGATGGTGAACAGAGTGGGCCTTATGCGGAAGCGCGGGATGTCGCAGTAGGCTGTCCGACACAATGTTGTGCGGCGTATGGGGGATCGACGCGGAAGCTCTCACCGGACGTGCTGGAATGTTTATGAATCGGCTAGTGTGAGATATACCGACTAAGAAGCTTGGTTGTGCGATGTGCTGTAGAGCCTCTTCGGCGGTTGGCTGGATCTCACTTGGCGGCGGGACGCGCCGAGAGATTCGCGGGCTTGGTGTTTGACAGACGTAACGTCGTGTATATGTTTATGAGTACCAGATGGTTTCCAGTTGCTGGGGCCGGTAGATAAGGATGTGAGCCTCAATGTTTTGGAATTCTTGGATGTTGACCGCTCGCTTGGCGGGGACAAACACTGGGGCGTTTGACGCGGCGGAGTGGAGAAGAATCAGATTGAGACGCAAGACGGAGAGTCAGGCAGACGGCGGGGTTTTTGATTCTTCTTTGCACAGGGAAATGGAGTCGGCTGGCGTGATAACGCAACAGGCGGTTAATGGATTTCCGAGGTCTAGTGTTAAGGCCGAGCAGGATGGACGAAACAAGCGGAGCCTGTTATGCAAGAGAACGCAGAAGAGTGGACAAAAAGGGCCGGACCTGTCACTAGGCTGACCCATGCGAGCTTGTCTCTGCCTCAGCGTGCGCCGTGGGGAGTAGCGCGGAGTTCAACATGGGATGGGCAGCCCACGTTGGGGCGGACTCAGTGTTGTTTGGCCATGCAGCAGTCAGGGAGACACAGAGGTCTGACATTGCGTCGCGGCAGGATCAGGGCCACCCAGCGACCGGACCCCTCTGTACAACCCGTCGGCGCAGGTCGCCTTGCTTTTTCCCCTACTGTGTACGCGCATGGAGAATTCTGGGGATCTAGTTGGCGGTGAAGCGGCTGCGGGGTTTGTCAATGCGCCGGCGGCTCGCTCGCCAGCCTGTAAGCCGAAGATAGCCTGTCCGGGCCTGCATGCACATTAGTGTGGAGGTGACGACCTCTCATGTTTTTTTGGTGATGCCATGGGTGATGCCATGGTGTGATCTGGGCTGGCGGAGGATGGGATCTGACGCTGTTGACGCTGATTGTGCGCGGTCCAGAGGAAGGGCTGCATGATGAGCAATACGCACGTGACATCGCCCCCCGACCTGAACAAATCAAGCAGGTGGGAAGGATGGATTCGGTGTCGAACGCGCAACACAGAAAAGGACTAGGCAATGATGTTTGGGGGCTGATTGGGCCCGACTGTTATCGAGCTTGTCAGCACCCGAACGGGAGGCCTCCAGTGATGAATCTCTCTCCTGCGACGCGTCCTCCACGTCCTCGCGAGTTACGACGCATCACGACAGTGTGAGTCACTACGGAATGGGCGATGGGCGCATCTCTCTTGAGGAACGAGAAGTCTGTTTAACTGAACGTCAAATCGCTGCGTCGTGATCCGTCGCCATCCAGGCACTGCCTCGTCTCTCACCCCACAAATTTAGTTGGCCATGTCGGCAGCGTGCGCATCAGATGGGTCCTTTGGACCGGGAGTGGGCTCGTGCCGTGGGGGCTTCGATCTCACGCTCGGCTTCGAAGACAGCATACTTGGCCTGCTACCCCAGGCCATATTCCTCGCCCTGGCACCCGTCCGATTGGCTACACTGCGAAGGCGCCGTGACAGAGTTGCTCGGCACTCCCATTTGGGATTCCTGAAAACAGTAGACACAGTGCCCTTCCTTAACTGAAGTTGAATTGACAACGGTATAGATTTCCGGTGTTTTGTACGTCGGCTCGTCGATCGCACTGTTGGCAATATGGAGCGAAATAGACTCTTTCAAGACGAAGCTGTCTGTCGCGTCGGCTGCTCTCGAGTTCATGAGCTCGCTCCTCATCGTGGTACTGTCTCGTATGGAACACAGCAGAGCAGTACGACCTAGTCATCTGCTACAGTTCTTCCTGCTGGTCCTGCTCCTATGCGATGCCGTGCGCCTGCGCACTCTGTTCCTGATGGATTATCCAACATCGCTTGTGACACCAGCATCGATTCATACATTCTTGACCGGACTGCTGCTGTTGCTAGAGTCTCTTGACAAGCGCGAGCTATTCAACTCCGATGGAGACCGCAAGCTTCCACCTGAGGAGACTATCGGTCTCTTCGGCAAGAGGTTATTCTGGCATCTCAATGACCTTTTCAGAGACGGTTACCGAAAGGTCCTCAAACCAACAGACTTGAGCAGTATGGATGCAGACCTCGCGTCGAAAGCACGAGCGGTGGCGTTTCAGCAAGCCCTCGTAGCGCAGGACAAGTCTAGAAGCATGCCTCTACTGCGAGTCATTTTCAAGATTCTATGGCCCGACTTACTTCTTCCGATCATTCCACGGTATGTCTTCAATGGAACAGCTGAGTTCACATGCTAAGCCCAACTGTAGCGTTATCCAGATGGCGACCACACTGAGCCAGCCATACTTGATTACGGCCATGATTGATTTCGTTGGAGAGCCCAAGACCCCTCAATCGACAAACAAAGGTTACGGTCTTATCGCGGCTTTTGCTCTGAACTATGCTCTCCTCGCGGTGGCCTTTGGCTGGACTGCGCAGAGTATGGCCCGGTTCATGACCAAGCTGCGAGGGTGCCTGATCTCTGCATTATACGATAAGACGCTACACACTTCGTCTAAAGATGTGGACCTCGGCAGTGCAACGGTCTTGATGAACGTTGACGTGGACAAAATACTGCAAGCCAGTAAGCAAATCAACGAAGTCTGGGCTGCATTTGTTGTCAGTGGTGTGGCCATGTACATCATGTATACCCACCTAGGCGTCGCTTTCGTCGCGCCTTTCCTGACGATGCTAATAGCGACTGGAGTGACAACTATGCTTGGCGCTATGATGAGAAACCGGATGAGTCTGTATGCAGCCGCAACGGAGCGACGTATCACAGCCATCGCGTACGTTGTCGGCAACATGAAAGGCGTACGCATGCTCGGATTGTCCGAGACCGTCTTTCAGATGTTGACCAAACTGCGTCATGCCGAAGTCGACGCATCTATATACTTTCGAAAAGCCATTGTTTGGATCACGCTTATTTCCAATGTCATGTTCCAACTCACTACTCTTACGACTTACGTTACCTTCGCAATCATCACGCTCGCGAAGGGCAATGGGACGACCCTTGATATGAACAGACTATATGGGTCGTTATCTGCCCTAAAGCTGTTCACCACGCCGTTTGGAATGGTGCTTCAGATACTCCCACAAATACAAACAGGTATCGCCTCCCTCGAGCGCGTCGAAAAGTTTCTCTTTGGGCAAGTCGTCCCTTCAGAAGATCGAGACGCCTCTGGCCCCAGCCTAAGCGGCAACGACATGGAACTACTTCCCCTCACAGCCCACCGTGAAGGAGGCCACGTTCTTTCATTGAGGAACGCAACATTTGCGATTGACAGTCAGCCTCTACTGTTTGACTTGACGACCAACTTCTCCGCGAACACGTTTACTATGATCGTCGGCAAAGTAGGATCGGGCAAGTCCGTGCTACTGCGCTCCCTTGTGGGCGAGACGGATCTTTCGCGTGGCCAGTTCCAACACTCAAGATTAGGCAGCGCATTCTGTGACCAGCAAGTCTGGCTCCGTAATGCCACAGTACGAGAGAACATTGTCGGAGAAGATGCGCTCGATGAATCATGGTACCAGAAGGTGCTCTGGGCCTGCGGCCTTTTGCAAGACCTGCAAGTGATGAAAGGAGGCGACAGCACCGCAATTGGATCGAAAGGTATATCCCTGTCAGGAGGCCAGAAAAATCGCATGTCCCTGGCACGCGCTCTTTATGCAAGGAAGCCGGTACTCGTGCTCGATGACATGCTTTCTGGGCTGGACAACACAACCGAGAAGCTTGTATTCAATCGAGTCTTTGCTCGCAGCGGCATTCTACGTAAATCACGGGCTACAGTCATCCTGGCTACGCATTCTACGCACTATGCTCGACATGCAGATCAGATCATTGTCATGGCGGACGGAAGAATTGCTGAGCAAGGAACATACCAGGAATTGCTCGAGAAGAATGTTGACCTCCGCAAGTTCAACGATGGCGAGACTTCTAGCACGGCAGACAGTGATGAAGAGACTGACTCTACTTCCGAAGCCGACATTGCCTCTCAACTGACCCCGAAACCCGTCGACGACAAAAACGAGGACGATCTTGCTCGGCAAACCGGAGACAGACGCAGTCTCATCTTCTTTATTAAAACCATCGGCGCATTCCATATGACCCTCAGCTGGTTATTGATGGTCGGAGGCATTGTCATGACGCAGATCCAGTTTCTCTGGCTGAAGTGGTGGGCAGAAGCCGACGACCAGAGCCGACGCGGAACGATACGCCAGCTCTATTTGTTCGTTATCGTCACTGTTGTTAATATTGCCGCATACTTCGCGTACTTTGTTCACTACGCGCTATGGTTCCAACCACGCTTGAGTTTGAACATGCATGCCAATCAACTTGTCGCGTTGATGCGCGCCAGGTTCTCGTTCTTGGTGTCAACGGTAAGTGAAGGCAGTTTCCTTCTGCGCAACGGAAACGCTGGTCGCAAAATCCTACTTTTCCGGCATGCATATGCTGACATCCGCCGTGCACAGGACATCGGTTCGATCACGAACAGATTCTCCCAAGATATCACGCTGGTAGATCTTCAGCTTCCCGTGTCGTGGCTGAATGTCACATTCGAGGTGATTTATACCATATGTTCATTCGTCATCATGGCAATCGCCACGCCCCCTATCGCCTCCACGATCCCGGTTCTCGGAGTTGTAGGCTACGGTATCCAGCGTGTGTACCTTAGAACGTCCAGACAGGTTCGTCTGATGGACCTCGAAGCCAAAGCTCCGTTGTGCACTCACTGTAAGTCGATCCTAGCGCTCATTTCCTTCCACGCTAACAGATGCCCAGTCCTCGAAACCATGGCCGGCCTCGTCACTGTTCGCGCGTTCGGCTGGGGAGAGGCATACCGCAAGCGAAACGACATACTCCTGGACCAATCGCAGGTTCCATACTACCTACTTGCCGCGATTCAAAACTGGCTGACGCTCGTATTGGAGCTTGTGGTTGCAGGCATGATCACCATGATTGTGGGCCTGGCTGTGGGACTGAAGACTAAGATCGATCCTGGGTATCTCGGCCTGGCGCTGATTTCAGCTGTTCGTGACGCTCCGCCTCTATATCATCACCATAGCATGCTAATAGTTCGCAGATGGACCTCGGCGTCAACTTCCGCATCATTATTGTGTACTGGACCGAGCTAGAAACCTCTCTCTCAGCCGTCGTTCGTATCCTTCAATTCTCGGAAACACCTCCAGAAGAACTCGGCCTTACCATCGCTTCCCCACCACCAAACTGGCCGAAAAGGGGCGCCATCACCTTCTCCAACTTTGCAGCAAGCTACACTGAAGAAGGCAAAAAAGTGCTTAGCGACATCGATCTCTCAATCCAACCGGGGGAGAAGATCGGCTTGTGCGGCCGCACCGGCAGCGGCAAATCCAGCCTCGTCGCCACGCTCTTTGGGCTCCTGCATCAGCGCGAGGGACAAGTCGCAATCGACGATATACCCATCACAGACGTATCCCTTTCCACTCTACGTTCCAAGATCATTGCCCTCCCACAAGAGCCCTTCTTCCTCAAGGGCACGGTGCGGTATAATCTCTCGCCCTGGGACATAGAAGCCCGGCGCCCGGTCGTTTCCGACGAACAGATGCAACTCGCACTGGAGGAGGTGCAGCTCTGGGAGAAACTCAGTGGTGCGGCCGAGATGGGGCAATCTGCGCTGGATCTGAGACTTGACAATGTAGATAGTCTGTTGAGCCAAGGAGAGAGGCAGCTTTTCTGTCTTGCGAGGGCGATATTGATGGATGGAAAAATCGTGGTGCTGGATGAGGCTACCAGCAGGTAAGAACTTTATCCTCTACTCCTCTATCTCGGCTCAATACTGATACTTTTAACGTAGTGTCGACGCACACACCGACGCCTTGATGCAGCGTATCCTGCGTACCGCATTTGCAGATCGTACCATCATTGCGATCGCGCATCGGCTGGACACCATACTAGATTTCCACCGCGTAGTGGTAATGGATGCGGGTAGAATTGCGGAGGTAGGGGTGCCAAGTAGGTTGCTAGAGACGGAAGGGAGTTTATTCAGGGCGCTGGTGGAGAGCCAGAAGGGGGCTTGATGACTTAGACATCCCATTGAAATTGTGCAAACAGAAGGAAGAGACTGGTACACACGGAATAATGGGCGTATACGGCAGAACGACGGTATCGGGATGTTGGCTGAAGTTACGGGTGTGATGGTGCGGGTTGGGTATGTTCCTTATTGGCCAGTTTCTAATACCTGCCCGCCCTTCGGCACTTATCGTGGCCGACGACCATGGGTCCCTTAGCAGAAGGACTATCTGCATGGCTCGAAAGTCACTAAGATTCTGAACATTCACTAGAAACAGAAAGTCATTAGCTCGATTGGGTTAGCGCATAGGTAAACTCCGGAGTTCACCTTCACCTTCAAGCCTCACTGACCTGGACGGCGATCACCGAAATGCTCACGCGAGCCCGCCCTAGTCGTCCACAACGTATGACCAATCCTCGGACTTCGTGCCTTGCACGATGAAGTGGCGATGGCAGTTCTCGTAAGCAGAAAGCATGGCATGCTTCATCGCTTCATAGCACATGACGCATATGCTCTTCCGCCGTCAACTAACCTGCTTCGATTTATCACAGTGTGGTAAAGCATTGTGATCAACCTCTCCAGCACAATTTCCGCAGTGTATGCGCAACTAGTTGTGAAGCATCCTTCAGGAGACATGCCGCGCCACTTTCAATTTCTTGATCTTCCAAGAGAAATTAGAGAGATAATTTACGAAGCATTGTTATGCAACTGGGAGCTCAACCACACACGAGAGCGCGCCTACCTGAGCACCCGCTTCGACAACCCCACAGCAATCTTACGACTCAACCATCAGATTTACAGCGAGGCATTTGACTACCTCGTGAAACACAATCAATTTATCAGTGTAGACTGTGATGGCATTAGCATCCGTTCTGACCCCCTCGGCCGCCAGATCCTCGCAGTGACAGAGGACCCCAAGAAGATCGGCCAGTTCAACGGCTACGTCGCTCGCATCAAGTGGTCTACAAACAAGGATCCTCTGCAGAAGATTCGACGAAAACAGTACATGGTCCTCGGACGACAACTTCCCGACCTCCTCAAATGCACAGACTACCACGTCATGACTCAATGGCCAGCCATCACTATGACCATCGCCATCAACCCCATCCGTACTTCCAGGACGGATCTTACCACCCCTTCCCTCCGCCCTTTCCAGATATCCCTCCTCCACATCATTCCTACGCTCCTCCACGCCTTCCCGGGCCTCACCATCGAAGGCACTGCCGTCCCCAGAAGACTCGCTGGCCACATCATTCGCGAGACTGCTCGGCCCCGCTGGATGACGCCCGCTGCTGCGCTCGCGGATCTTCTCTGGTTCAAGCACAACAACGATCGCCTCGCAAACGAAGCGTACTACCTTTCCACCAACACCGCCATTGAATGCGGGCTCAAGACAATCGACTACATGCGCGCGTCGCCCGGCTGGCCGGAATTGATACTTGCTGGCGGTCGGTCGTTCGTCAATGCAGTTGCTGAGCTCGCATTTGAGTTACGAGTTGCAAGGGCGCAGCGCGCGCTCGATGCTATGGAGCGCTCCCAATCTCGCAGAAACCTGGTAGAGGAATTCTCAGAGCATGTCAATGCTGATCTAGCCAAATGTCTTCCGCCAGTTCCATCGGATGGCGACGAAGCCTTCTGGGAGCCCAACCAGGAGCAGGTCGCTGTGGTCTTGTGTATGCATGCCAGGAAGCATCGGTTGCTCCTTGATGTGGAGAGTCGTGATGCTGCGGTGGGATTGGTGGAGCGGGCGCTGCAAATGGTTCCTGATAACGAGGCGGTGAGGCGAGAGAGCATTGCGGTGGCGGCGTGGTCGAGGCGTGTCGATAGGTATATCAACGAGGTTTGGGTGTCGAGTAGTGGAGCGATGGAGGAAGTGAGTCGAACTGTAGCGATACGCTCTAAATTGAGTACTGACTTTGTTGCAGATGTGGCAATGGTGGGAGCAAGAAGTAGAGTTATGATTGTTGAGTACGGCGACGTCTGACGTTTTGATTGAAGCGCAGGGCTGGCTCGTGTTCACGATCGGGACGTCGGCTCTTTCGAAGCAAAAGGCCACGACCTCTAAACCATCTACCAGACACCTCCCGAGAGTGCTGTACACAAGATCACTCCCACTTCCCGTGCGGGACAGCCTAATGCCTCCCCGCCAAGATCTTCGTCCAGAATGCACACCGTGAATCAACTTCACTCTGCGCAACCATATTCACCCTCTTCGGCTGCTCCGCTGTGAAGACAGCCACATTCGCAGCCGCCTTTTTCTTCACGTCGATCGCCCTCCAACCCGGTCCTGCTGCAGGATCCTTCGCAAACCGCGCCCATGTACCACGCATGAAGCTGGAAAGCTCGCGCTGAGCGGCCGTCGAGTTAACCAGTGGATACGTGCTGAACACTGAGTAGATCTCAGTGGAGTGGTATGCCCGTGAGTCGGGGAAGCCGGCTGTATTTGGGAAGGATGCATTGTACTGTTTTTGCGTCAGCACAAAGCTTCGTGTCAAATTTGTTCTCAAACTCACATAGTATCTCCACGATGGCGTACCAATCGCTGATGTGTCGTTCGCTACGAGCGCCGCACCACACTGGAACGAGATATCCGTGTCGATGTCGGCGAGGGCGTCGTAGGCCGTAGGATACCTCTCACTGCCGACAGGATATTGCTTTTCGACAGCTGCCACGAATTCCGGAGAAGGTACCGCGCCGAGGGCTTGCTGCAGATACGCCGTGAGGTTGTTCTGGCTGTACACAATGAAGCGCCCCTCGTCCGCGTTTGTGCCACTCAGAATCGGAATGCGAGCGATATCACCGGACTTCCGGCGTTCGGCAATGTTCGAGAAGTACGTCTTGTTGTCTTGCACAGGGGGGAAATACAGGAACTCGCTCTCGAGGATCTCCTTGATCGTGCTCGCAGGTGCCGCAGAAATACATGTAAGATTACTCTGCGCATCAGTGCAGTTCAGCGCCGCTGCGAGGGCATCCCAGGCTGGCTTGCCGTCTGGATACAGCCTCCCCACGTTTGGTGATCCACGGTAGCTCAATTGGCCGCTTTCCATAATGGCTGCGTGGAAAGGTGGTGTCGATTTCGCAGGGAAACTTGTCAGTAGTGCGTCCACGGAGAAGGAGCCCGCGCTCTCGCCGAAGATTGTGACTTTCTTGGGATTACCACCAAAAGCGGGGATGTTGCGTTGGACCCAGTCGAGAGCGAGACGCTGGTCGAGGAAGCCCAGATTACGGTCTTCCAGATCCAGCTCGGGAGCGTTAGGGAAGCCAAAGACTGCGTTCGTCTGTCAACGTCATCCTCCTCAATGAATTAATCATGACCTTACCGTTAGTGCGATAGTTGGCAGCGACAATCACAACATCCTCATACGCGGCAAAATGGCTCCCGTCGTACGCTGCAATCGACGAATCACCAAAGTACAAGCCACCTCCGTAGATCCAGAACATGACCGCTCGTCCACCTTTCGGAGCCGGAGTGGCAGGCGCGTACACATTGAGATACAAGCAGTCTTCGCTTTCTTCGGGCGGTGGTGTATTGAACAAGGCCAGCGTGAGGTTCTTCACGGGTTGCGGAACTGGCAGTTATCAGCTTTACATCTCGTACAACTGATATGAGACATGATGGACGACGTACACGCAAATTCTTGTACACATGCTGGCTTCCTGGTTTTCGTGTCCAGCGGTTGCGTCCATGGCTTGTGATTCCGTGGGGGCTCGAAACGATTTGGAGGCGCAGCGAAGGGGACGCCGAGAAATTTGTTCACAACTGCTGGTGCAGAGGGCAGCGATGTCGTCGTGCCCACGATCACGCCACTGTCGATTGTGGCTGTGGGTTTTGTCTGGCGTTTATTGTAGGCCGCGCTGAGGCCAGCGAAGACAAGTGCGCCCTTGAAGATCCGCATTCTGAAAGACTACCTACCAACGTAATGAACGAAGCTGATGCGGGTACCTTCTTTCTGGTCGCCTCCGTCATTTTATACCAATCCCACCCCCCTCATCTTCCATCGCAGATTCGTCCGCAATGTGCTACCTGCTCCCCCAGCTGAGTAATGTTACAAATGCTCATTATGGGCGGCGTCGGTTGATTGGCTCCGCCGGCAAAGGATTGGATGGATCGCATCTGATGGAATCGGATTGGTTGGTGATGGCGCAGTGGGTAGTTGAGTGTCTCTTTCGGGGATAGCTCGCGTCTGGTTTCGGACGTCAGAAGAGGTCAGAAATTAGGCTGTTGGTGGAACTTGGAAACCACAGGCGATGAAATCCACGGGCTTCCGTTCTGACTGGGGGCTCAGATGATCTCATGTAGACCTATATCGCTCTTGTGGCACCGCCGAAGATGGCCTCATTTTTTCTATTGAGACACACGATTTATTCTGATCGACATCTTGTAAATCCGATCCAAACCGACCGCTACTTTCATTCACCCAAATAGACTTCTGAAGCTTTAGCATCTTCATTGCTCCATATTCACAGCTCGAGTAACACCAGCTACAGCTGTATGATACGATCCACCAATGGGCGCGCCGCATTCCGGACACCTTGCTAGCTGCATTGGCATACCACACTCGCCGATAGCGAACTGATATCAAGTTAGCGGAAGAATAAGGAGCTGCAAAACTCGCATTTCTTACCGGATGGCCATTGGCACAATTATACCAATGCCCAGAGTGAGTCGCAATGCCCCTTGGGCCCGATACCATCGCGGCCTTGATCATTGCCAGCTCCTCTGCTGTCACCTCTTCGTACAACGGTCTATGCAGCAGCTCTAGGCTCTCCTCTACGGCTACTTTCAGCTTCTCGGCATTCTGGAAAGGCTGCTTGCAGCTCTCAAGAGCAATTTTAAGGAGAACCTTCGCTTCAGCAACATATTCCTTCGCTTTGGCTTTGCCACGTTCCTCCGACAACCCAGAACATTGGTACATCTGCGTTATGTTGGCAAAATAGAGTGACAATTCGACCGCGAGCTTTGGGATATTGGCGGCGGTGCTCTCAGTTATCGCAGATTTGCACGATGCAAGGAAAGCGCTGGCTAGTGCTGTTGGTGAACCTCCTGGAAATTTTGTGTTGGATGCATTCCCAATTGCTTTTGCAATGTGGAACTTATCCTCGAGGATCATAGATTCAGTCTTGATAAGTAGAGCCCGCCCGCCTAGCACCACACGACGATCACGCTCGACCATTGGAACTTGCTCGTGAATCGCAAGCGATGAGAACGCATTATCGAGTGAACCCGACCGATTGGATGCTATCGCATGAATAGTGGCTTCATGGAGCTTTCGTGCTGGTTGGTGGCGGTCTGCAACTGTTTTCAGGAACGCAGCGATATCGCTTCCCAGCTTGAATGGGGCTCTGTATCGCTCTTTCATCTTCTCGGCACTAACAGCTTTGACGTGATCCGCTCTCCTACCGTCGAAATCCATCAATATCAGATCCTCGAGGGGATTGGACTTCGGCCTGGTAATCTCTACTCGGGAGTCATCCAGCAGTTTCTGGATGCTGTGCAGCCTGGTTTCAAGGTCTCTCAAGCTTGTCTTCCCATGAACGAGGAATCGCTTTGACAACTCATCAATCACAGCTCTGTTGATCACGCGATTGTAACGTTGTGTGACATACTGCCTGACTGGGGCTTGACAATCTGGACATTGAGGAATCTTGCCAGCGAGAGACCTAGAAATGTCCGCGAGTCCGTTCATTTGACCAAACTTGTCGGAAGTGTACACATCGGTCAAACCGACGAGACCGTCAAGGCTTTCAGCCGTAAAGAAGTGCCCACATCCAAGGACAACAATGGGGTTTTCATTGACGTCAATCTCGGCATAGGTGAGCATCTCCAAGAGATCGACTCGACTGTCTCGCTTCTCGGTGCACTTGTGACACAGACTCTCTGGGCATGATTCCCCGCAAAGTCCGGGACATTGATGGCCACACTCCAAGATCTTTGAGCATCGGACATCGCAGGGTAGCCGATTACAGGGCGCCGAGCAGGGCATCATGCAGGCTCCTTGATGCTCGCAGCCCCACGTACAGGTCTCTATGCAGGGCGCGCAAGGCTCGGAACACAGCTCGGTGCATTTAGAGTGCTTGCATCGAACTTCACAAGGCGCCGAACATGTACCGCAGTCTTCACCCTCATGGCACGGTTTTCCACAAGTGTGGTTACACGCTGCCATCTTCCTGCCACATATCTTTTGGCATATCTGATGGACTGTAGTCAATCCTCCAGCCTTTGGCTTACATTGACCACAAGTCCCATGGCAAGGGTGCCCACACTTCAGAAGCTGAGAGCAAGGTGTGGGGCATTTGTAGTTCTCAGCTTTTACGTCTCTGCCACAAGGCATCTGTACCAGATGGTTGCATTCGGGGACTGTCCTCTCCACTTGGATGGTGCAAGGGATCAAACTTGGAACTTGCGCCATGTAGCAAGGGACGCAAGATTTGAAGTGGCCGCAAGGAAGCTCGACGTCATCTAGCTTTATGAGACATCGCCCACAGTCCTCTCCACACGTGCTCTTCTGGCACAGATGATTACACGGATCAAGAAGACGCTGGCATGGCTGTGGGCAGGAGAAAACGGCGTGCATGGTTTCCGAGTGACACCGGGCCTTGCACATGTGACCACAGTCAGGAAGACGCCACGGGCATGCTTCGCGACACCCACCTTCGGGACTGAGCCTCGAGAAATCGTCCGATTGAGTTATCTGAATTGGAGTTTCCGGATGACGGGGACAACACAGCTCCAGGGCCGTTCCGACCGACTCGCTCGCTCGGAGGATCCCAAGAACTTTCTCCCACATGGGAACATATGAGTACGTTTTTGAGTTGCCAAAGAGGTACATCCCGTGCTGGGCTCGGCTCAAGAGGACATTTATGCGGTTTGTAGTTTTCAGAAAGCCAACCTTCGGAATATTGTTACTGCGCACCAGCGAAATGATGATGACTTTGGCTTCTTCCCCTTGGAAGTTGTCCACTGTGGCCACCCTCAACAGCTCACTCAAGGTCTTCCTTGCAAGGGGCGCTTTTCTGTGACCCACGGTATCGCTATGTCGAATTGACGGTGAGTCATCTTCCGAATCCTGGAAGCCATCTTTCTCGAGTGCTTCTTGATCCCTGTCACTGAGGACAATTTCGAAATCGCTGCGCATCGCTGCGCGTAGTTTCTGGAGCTGCCCAGTGTATGGCGTAAGTACGGCGATTTCACTGCTCTTGTATGCTCCCTGCCGAACGATATGGCGAACCATCGCGTGCACCATGTCAACTTCCCACTGGTTGGAGTGAGACTTGTGATGCATATCCGATTGTTGGTTGTCTTCTAGATTGTCATGGTCGACCCAGAAAACGTTCTTCCGCATTCCGACGACATCAGGTTGCATGGCAGTGGTGGCATGGTCCACCAAGTCGGGATAGATTGTCTCTCGAATCAGCCGTGATATGTCTGGACGCATTCGTCGCTGGACGTTGAGTTGAGCAACTGGCATCCGGAGCCTTCCGGGCTCACCAACAGACAGCCTTTCGAACTGACTGCGATCTAGTTGATACAACCGCCCTTTTCGGCTTTCGAGGGACAAGTCTTTGAAGTTGTTGATTTGAGGACGCAACTGTTCGTGGTCGCCAATCTGTATGAAATGCTCTGCAGCCGGAAGAAGCGCCGAGATCATGTGGGGCTCCATTACCTCACCTGCTTCTTCACAAATAACGACCTTGCATCTCACACGCTGCAAGGTTGCTATACGCTTGGCCAGGCCCGTAGTCGTGATCCCAATTACATCTGCGTTCTGCAAGACCCTTCGATCGATTTCGTCGTGCACGTTGGTTATCTCCTGTTGAATGCGCTCAGTGTCCTTGACTCTCTCGAAAATGTCGTCCAGCGCGATGTCTCTGATTTCTTGAGCCCAAACATTCCGGATCTGAGCTCTTTCAGCACGCGACAGGGAGTGAACATTACGCTCTGCTTTGGCAAGTAGAGCATCCTTTCCAGGTAATGCCTGAGCATATTCTGCAGCCACATCAAGCATGTTGATGTCTGTGGACGCCCAAATGTCGAAAGGATGGCGTCCAGCCATCTTAAAGCCATCTTCGTCAATGTCCGGGAACTGTTGATGGATTGCGGGGTGTGTCATCCGCAGATGGAATTGTAATTGTTTCCAGTCGCCGCGGCTGGCAACGTGAACTCTACCCAGACTCTTCTTGATGAAATCGCTCTCATTTTCCAAAGCATCATATGATTTGCCAAGAATGTAGCTTTCGGATCGAGTTTTTGATTCGGCCTGTGACACCTTTCGAAGGTTGTGATTCTCGAGTACAGTCGAATGGCTTTGACCTCCAAGGCGAACGACCTTCTGAATGCCTGTCTCCAGCAAGTGTTCGAGGAATTGGTCCAAGGCATGGTTCGTGTAACAGCTTGCGGAATGTTAAGCTCGTGTGTACGCTCATGTGTACCGGAAATAGATATAGACTTACACAACAACGATAGGGCCTAGCCTAGCCCTAGTTCTGCACTCCATGAGCACTTTCATCAACTGGACACCCAAGAAAGACTTCCCGGTTCCTGGTGGGCCTTGTATGAAAGCGAACTCGCGAGACAATGCTGCAAGTAATGCGCGGCACTGGCCAAAATCCAGCTGCGTTCGTTCTTCTATCTCACGAAGAATCTCACCATCATTCACAGTGATAGACGCTGGATTGATGCGGATATCTCCATTGCCAGGTATATCCGTCTTTATGATAGGTTCCAGAGAATAATGAAAGCCGCCTCGCGCATATAGTGGCGGTGGAACGTCCACTCGTTCAGTTTGCTTCGTTGTTTGCGTCTTGCCGGGTAAAATCCAGTCTTGAAACGGTAGTCGCCCCAATCGATTCATTTCCTGGAGATTTCTCAACACAGGCATAAACGTGGCTGGTAACACTCCCGGAAACTCAATCAACACACCTCGCGTCTTCTCACAGCTGAGTCGAACAAGCGTCTCGATATCTTCTTGGTTATGTCGTGCCAGCTTCGCTGTGATAGTTGCTTGACGTTCGTCATTCGTGAGGCTGTGCTCCTTCCTGTTATCCGTAATCCGCAACGTGACGGTGAGGAAGACATGCTGAACCACATCGTTGTGGACCGTGATGAACGAGAGAAGTATTCCCTCGCTCAGTCGTCTACAGTCCTCCCACCATTTACGCCGATTAGTTGCCGATTTCCCACGAAGAATCTGCAACTGCGGGAAGGACAAGATGACCTCGAGGCCACGGCGCTGGTCAAACGAAAGGTAGCTGATATAGGTATTGGTATAGTGGTACGCGCGGAAATCCCCGAAGCTAAGCTTTGGGTTCCTGAGGGCCTCAGGGCCTGCTTCGATGGCATGCATGAGGTTGCCCAAAGCCTCTTTGAGTTCACCGAAGGTATCGTACCGAAGTAAGCGAAAATTAGTGTCGACATGGCGCTGAGCCGGGTCCAGGATGAAATGAGGTTGATCCTTATCTGCAAGCGGCAAGAACTCGGGTATATCGCTCATGATTTCCTCACGCGTGGGAAATATCTCCATCTGAGAAATGTCTGCCTTGTCGTTGTCGTGTCGATCGCGCGGGATATCGATGGTTCGGGGGTAAGAGGAAGGAGCGGCGGAAGGCTGGAGTAACTCCTGCACTTCCTCTTCCTGTGCTAATAGTCCGTTCGCACGGTCCACGACCGCACGCATCTCTCCGATGTGGCGGGCTACGATCGTGTAGGCTTGAGATCGCGCCTCGCTGATCATTTGTACCAAGTTCTCGATTCCGTCCATCAGAGCAGGTAAATCCTCGTTAAAGCGAGCGCGCGGTTCCCTCCGAAGTATCTCTCGGAGCGCTAGACACATCGCCATCATCAGCTGCTCCGCTTTCGTAGTGAAATCCGGGGTGATGGTATCACTATATACCTTGCCAACAATTTCGCAAACATGTTGGAAGAATGGAATCGCGCGTTTACCGTTCGCGCCAGTGACGAAGTTATAGAGGCTGCCCGCGTAGGTCTCGATAGAGAGACAGTCGAGGATCGCAGGATGTGTTATGGTTCGGAGAAAAGCCAGAGTTACATCGATCAACCCGTGATGATCTGTGAGCCGAGTCCGAACCGCCATTGTATTCTTGATGTGATCCCGGCCGAACATGTCCTCGTTATCGAAGTCTCTCGGGAGCATCTGCTTCCACTCCCGTTCGTCTCCGTCGAGTATCTGCAGAGCTCCACTCCACAGCTGGAGGGACGTCTTCTCGTCATTCGGCCGTGGAGGTGACTTGATGAACCTCTTCCAATAGTTGTATTCTCCTCTTGCCTGTTGTTGTGTGACCGTTTCCTCCTCCCGTGGTTTTTTCTCTCTTCCTGACGTGAGGTCATGAGAGAATTTGCACGTTTCCCCGAACCTGCAAGAGCCGCGCTGTTGATAGAAACGACACACTCCGTGCGCATTAGGCTGTCTCATAGATGACCCGCCGCCTCGACCACGCCAGCTGCTCCCTCCACGCGGCCCACCTCCAAAACCAGTGTTGCCTCGTCGGTTGCCCAAGTGAATCATGTCTGACATGAACAGGAGAATCCGCTGATGCGCTCAGAGTTCCAGTCAGTGGTGCTGGTGTATGTCCCCAACGATTGTTGTGAAGACTTTGAGATTTCGGTGCCTTGTCACAGGTGAAAAGGGAAGGAATGAACAGGCACCAGTACAAGGCACCATATGAACGCCCAAATGGTTCCAAGTATATGGCACCCATAGGATAAGGTTTGTGTATTCCGTCTGTTTTCATTGGAGATCTGATGCATGTAGATCCACTACAGTGGTACTGAACTGACGAATAGCACATGTACACGGTTGCGCAGCCTCGGAAACAAGTTCTTCAGATAAGAAGTGTCAGCCTTGTGAGGGCGCAAAGTTGTAGTTTTACGGTCAACATCCATTATGCCGACTACCTATGTAGGATGAGCTACTGCAGGACCATATTAGTTCCGCCTTGGTTCAGAGTGATTTTCTGGAGCTCCGTGGGGGTTTTGGCCTGCGAGAGAGAGCATGCGAAAGATAAGCACGGGACATTGGCTTTGAAAATCATGTCGCACGACATACCTTCCCCGCCATATCTACGATTCACCCAATCAAATATATCTGGTCAATCTGACTGCAAAAGGTTGAACAGCAGCCTACTGAAGGCAAATTTGTTGAGTTAGAACGAATGACTCCCCTCTCTCATTGTCTGCCGGATTCTAGACGAAACCAGAAGATGGAGAAATCTGTGCCCGAATCAAAGATTCTCGCTGCAAGTTGATTTGCCCAAAGCCATATACCCCAATCATTTAGACCAGATCAAACGTCTCCAACGGGCCGGAGCATCTGGAAACAGAGGTCGGTGGCAGCATACAGCCTTTCGCCTCAACGTCTTCTCTCACGTGATGTAATGCCTCCCCACTCATGATACCATGCACGTAGCACTCTCCTACAAGTTGATACGTTGCATGGTCATCTGGCGAGGCTCGGAGGACATATGGAACTGGCCCGCCAAGAAGTACAGCAACAATGTCTCCTTCTCGGAGTGCCGCGGGCCCTATTCCCATGACGAAATGTTCCTCGAAAGCAGAATTGGTTTTTCTGGCAATGAAAAAGTTCCGATTGTAAGTAACGCGGAGTATTCGCCTCTGCACCTGGGGTTTTAGCCCTGAGACCTGCAGTCGCCATTTCGGACCATATGTGGAATAAGAAGTAGTGAAGACTGTTTTCGGTGGACATGCAGTGATGGTTTCGCAAAATACTTCCATGTTGAGACCAGATGACGACACCTAGAGCAGACCCAGTCAGCAGAACGTGGCTAGATATTTGGGAGATCTCGGTGATAACCTACCATGGGTCGGCTGTAGGAACTCTCTGTATCCCGAAACAGCTCTTGCCACGATTCAACCATTTCTGAGAGACGTTCTTCCGCGCGATTCGATGTATCTATGTTGCCTATCTTTGTGATCACTGCAGTTTTGATCCCCTCAACTCTCAGTTTTCCACGGCCTTCGTGGAGTGTAAAAGAGCGACCGCCGGCGTTGAAGGGCTCCATAAAAGTTTTTCCCAGACCAAAAGTTACGTCGGGCTTGGTGTATGACCAGTCTGGTACCCAAGAGGGTAATTGTTCTATACCATAGCTACTTCCCGGACCTTCGACCAGTCCTGCTGCAGAGAGAAGACGGAGTGACTGTGTATCCGATAATATTTGGCATGCGATGGCGGTATAAACCTTGTGGGTCTGCTCGCTGTAGTCTATGATATGTTCATATGGCGTGATGTCAGCCATCAGGCCCAGAATACCGAAGACCTTATCAAGAGGGTTTGTTGCGAGTGCGCTCCTGTTCTCGTGAAGAATCTGCAGTAGACTATCACTCCCCGTACTAGGAGTGTATCCTGAGGCGTAGTTAAGTATGCCGGGGATCTCGCTGGTCGTTCCCCGTTCGATTGCCACTCGTTGCCTCGTCCACGTAGCGGTGCGAGAGATTGCTCGGAACGGCCACCGTGCAAAGCAATCCCAGGCTACGCAATAAGTACCACAAATGACCACGGCTACCCGAGCTCGTGCGACCTCCTGTACTACCTAGTGAACATGAAACATTAGCCGCTAGTCTATGTGCCCTTGTTTTAGTCTTGCCTACCCAGATTCTGCTAAACCATGGACGCTCGAGAAGTTTTCCTACGATGCGAGCGTCCTCGTCGCTAACTGTGCGCTCAAAGTCTTCAATGCATTCCATTGCTAGATCAGATGTTTCGTCTTCCTCGCCTAGATGCACGAGTACCTTGTCTGCTCTATTGTAAATCTGTGTCATGAGCGCGACCTGATGGTTTTTCTCGCTGTTATCTTGCTGATTGATACAGACAGCATCTGCCCACAGACTTCTATGTAATTAATTAGATTTTGACTTACGCAGCCCGGTCAGCATACCTTGATCGATCAGGATATCTTAGCCTCCTTAGAGCGTCGTGGAGAGTTCGTCCTATTCTTAAGATCCCTTTGCCCTGGATTCTGAGGATGTTTTCAAACTCCAGTCCACCCCATGTGTAGGAGAGTGCTTCGTAATAGGGCGTTGGTGGCTCAGCGAGTAGAGGTGCGTGGGAGACGGATGCGACAAGTGGTTCATCAACATGTCCCGGCTGTAGGGAGATCAAGCGGAAGTAGCCAGGATTTAGCATTTCGTACTCATAGGGTAAAAGATTACCCTGGGTGTTTGGCATAGTCTCTAACGGGGGCTTGCGGAGATACGACAAAGCGGCATTAAGAGCAGGAATATAGTAAGGAGAAGACATCTGGAGTGTGATAAGGGGTCTTCAAACAACCGCGTACGAGAATTCGCGTGGCAACAAAGTCAGAGGAAGTGTTCAGGTGCGAGCAATGTTCACACCCCGAAAGGCAGCTGTGTACCAATCAAGACTAGCTCGGATTTGCACTGCCCCACCTGCGCTGCCTGAAAACGCGCTCGCAAGAAAGAAAGGACATAACATCAATTATTATTCGTGATGTGATCTGTCAGGAGTAAACTTTCTGGCGGGTGATGCTAGTGCTCACCGAACGAAGAATGGGCGTCTGTTCCATGTTCACCTCACTACCTGACATCCTCACAACCGCTCATAAGCATTTGATCCTTGGGAGTTCTGTTCATCTTATCCGAATTCTTGAAATCTCTACCCAACTTAGCAAGTACCTCCTGGAATTATTGCACGGTTTGCTACCCCGATATCTACCCAGGTTCAGCCTCAACCGACCTTTCTTCGCGTCTTCAACCGATCATGCGCGTTGACAGCCATCTATCTTATGAGGATGTAGAGCTCTTGCCCCCAATTTATGACAAGTCTGAACCTGGAGATACAACCATTCTAAACATTCACCTGCAATATCAATGAACGCTTACCTCCTACGGTCTCCGCTTGGCCTTTTACGGTAAGGTAAACCTGAGAACTTCACTTACCCTAGGGATTGCAAATTTCGATTGACCGTTCACGAGCGCGACATCGGTATGTCAGAACATCCTAATCTGAGCGTATCCTAGCATTCTTTTCCGACTGGTAATACTTGTCACGAATTCCTGCCCGAAAATCAAGTCTACACGCCCGACGCGCCTCCCTCTTTTCCACACGATCCAATGACAACTACAAGAAAGCGCCTTTGGAAAGAAAACGCAACACTCCAGTTAGTAAATACCATTTCACTGACACGCTAGCTTCCCTCTAGCCATGTCTCACCAGCAGTCCCGCTGGCCTATGTGCACATGATTTCCCTTGCCATCTTTACCCTACCCTCCAGGTTGCTTTGTTGAAAATCTCCACAGCCCCTATTCCACCTCGAATATTTAGTTCTTAGGACTCTCCTAAGTCACACTCCACATGCCATAAAACCAGACCAATATCTCTCCTCTTTGACTCACCTCGTCTCGGCTCGATAGCCCGCCACTCTCTATTCATTGCCCTTGCATTTGTTGCTTGTCACATAACCTTCTTATCACCGACAAGATCTCTCTATCTAAGCATCCTCTATCAATCAGACAAATACTCGGCTTAAAATGGCAGATCACTGTATGCAAACAAAGAGATTCTGCGGCTTCTGGACAGCACTTAGGTATCAGGGTTCAAGCCTGAACCGCCGTCGCGACTTTGACTGTCGTCTCTCTTCAAGTACCCTTTCTCGATGACAACCATCACATTAAAAATCACCCTGGGAGTCACTCTACAAGAACATAGCAACCGCCGCCCCCACTCCCCAAAGAGCTGGCGCCATCGTCCTCGCCGGGGCAGCACCTGCAGACCCACCTCCTGTCCTACCCGCCCCCGCCCCAGTCCCCGTGGCCGTCGGCGTCGCACTTCCTACAGTCACACTCGCGCCCGTCGTCGCTTTGGCCATTTTCTCCTCCCCCGCGGTAATCGTAAATCCGAAAAGTCCCATCTCGCTCTTTTGCAACGTCCAGCTCGATGTCAACGCACTACTCGGCACGACCACATTACTATAATTCTGACTGAACCCGCTGCACCAGTCTGGCGGCGGGTTTGAATAGTAGTTCTCCGCATGCGGATCTGGGCGCACGATAGTCTGCACCCCCGCGGCATCCGTATCGCTAAACGTCCAGAGCAGCGTCTCCGACTGCCCGGCTGTGTGCGTCTCAGGCGGCAGCGTGACCCACGTCGTGCCTACCCTGCTTACTACAGGTGTGTCGTCGAACAGGCCTGGGGGTGCGCGGTAGCACTCGCGCAGGGCGAGCGCCTCGTTGTACTCGGCCGTGCACTGTGCCCCAGACATGTCGACATCAATCTCGCACCGACGCCTGATCCAAATAGTTACTGGATCCACCGCTGCCTCTTCCTCTCCCCCACCCGCTGTATACGTCGTCGTCTGCGCATAAAGCGTGCTCGCCAGCGTCATCGTCATCGAGAATCTCGCATCCAAGTTCAGATCCAGCGCCGCGTAATCCGGGTCGTCGTCGTAGCGCGCTGCAAGCGTCACGCGGTCTTTGTCGGCGGCGATGACGGAGGCGAGGAAGCGGATGCGGGACGGCAAAAAGTTGGGGTTGGGGAGGTAGTAGCTGGTGGTGAAGTTTGCAGTAGCTTTGGTGGCTAACAGGAGAGCCGCGGCCCAATGGGGTATCGGAGACATTGCTGGGTTGCGGTTTAAGCTTTAGGATGGAAAGTGGATGTGCCTGGTGTAGACTCCTATCGGAACGCGATTGTTTTGCGGCACCCCGTTCATTGCCAGTGGCTACGTGGGCTAATTAACGCAGTTGGCACAAGCTAGCATGGCGGGATCGCAAGGTCTTTGAGTCTAGAACGGAGGGGGCTGGTTATTTCGCTTCTCTAGAGGATGGCCCCCATCTTCCAGGGTGGTAGGCTCCGCGAATCTTGACTGTGAAGTTGTTTGCGAAGCTCGAGCTTGGCAGAGGATCTTCGATACTATACGTGCGTAAACATTGGCTGGCATACCCCACAAGCGATATTTTGTTTACTGTAAAACCCCATCTTCATCGGGAGACAGGAATTTGCGTGACCCCGGTCTGGCGACGCAGATCATAGCGAGGTAAGGCATCTTAACTTGCACGTCAATAGCTGAATGCGTCTGTTCATTATGGCGTGCAAGTAGGCTCGAAGTGGACATCACTAAGGCCGATACAAGGAACAACCGAGGTAGAAAGCCTTTTGCATAGTTGTCCTTGAATGTTTCACTCTTCAACATGCTTCCATATGTACATCGCACAACACCTACGCCAACGGCATCACCAAAAACACACCTAGCGCAGAGCATCTTCTATCACGCCTCTACGCCCTCGACCTTCCTCAAGAACTCCTTTACCCGCCCCACATCTGCGCCCTCGAGCGGATCGCTATCCAGCGCCTGCACTAACAAGTCCAGCACACTATCTACATTGTCTTCGTCCACTTTCGTGCACAGAGAAACAACCTTCCGGTACATAACTTCCAGCTGTCCGTCCTTCTCCTTGAGCATATTACTCCGCTCCGCCAGTTTGCTGTTAATCTTGGTATACACCTCCAGCTTACTCCTCAGCGTCGGTATGCTAGGCAGATTTGCCAGCGTATTCGTGTTCGTCTGCGTGAGAAAGGCTGCATCGGCGGGTAATGGCGTGTTTAGGTACGCGGGTCCGTCAGAGGCCTTGCGGATGAGGTGATCGCCTGCGACGAGGAGCTGGGAAGGAAGATCCGACGCGGAGATGGCAAGGTTGGATCCCTCGATGTCGGCGTATCCAATTTGGCGCTTTTCTCGGAGGTTGGCGTCTGTGCTTACAGCGAGGCTCTTGCGCTGGAGATCGACCCATCGCTTTAGATTTGATACGCGCTTTGCGCGGTCTTGCCTGGCCCGCATGCGTGCTCTTATCGCCTCTAATCTTTGCTGTTCTGTTTTCTGGAGGGCGGACAGCTGGGCTATGGCTTCGTTGGTGCGGTCGATGTTGTCTTGCTTTAGGCGAGCTTCTTGGGTAAATTGCATGCTGGCGCTTTGTAATATGCCGCTCATGACTGCGTGCGTTAGCATGAGAAATAAAGGGATGTTGGAGAGGACCTACGCGGCTGTATCTCCCGACTCGTTTCCTCCACCTTGCTCAACGGCGCCTTGCCTTTGCTGGGACTGCTGATTGTCGTGTGGAGGTCGGCATCAGCATCGCTCCCAACACCAAAGTCAATGGGCCGTGTGCCCTTATGGTTCGGTATCGTAGGGTCGGCTTGGACCTCCATCAGCTGTGATATGATGTTCCGGTTTCCGATCCTTGCCGCAAGATTCAATGCCGTGTTGCCAGCTTTGTCCCTGGCGTTTACCATGTCCTGCATAAACCGCATCAGGCCGATGGGTTTCGCGTAGTTGCCGGTGCCTTCATACGCAGACTGACTGGCGCCAATGTTACTTCTGACCAGGTACTCCAGGAGTGCTTCCAGATAGTATTTGCTCGAGGCGGCGCGACCTTTAATGGCGCAAGTGACCGCAATGTGGTGCAGGATTGTCCGTCCCTGGGCATCACGTAGCTCGATGAGCGGCGCGAGTATCTCCAAGGTCTCTGGGAAGCAGCTGTGATCGAGGCTGTTGTTGACTGAGACAGCGCTCATCAGTGGGGTTTGGCCGGCCGCGTTTCCTCTAAACATGTTTGCGCCCTTGGAAACAAGGAGGCGCATCAGAGACACTCGAGCCAATGTTGCCGCCCAGTGCAACGCAGTATTCGAGCTGTTGTCGATGGGCATGTCGAGATCGGTTCCGGAAAGGTGGAGTATGGCGGGGTGGTTGGTGAAGTCTGTTCTCGACTGGTCCGCGAAGAGATCGGTCAGCATCGCCTGCTTCTCCTCGGACATCTTGTCGCTGGGATGCGGCAATGGTGTTAGCGCGGTAGACACGTCGCCATCCGGAGTGGTTACGGGCAGGCCTGTTTGGTAAAAAGACTCGTTTGGTTCGGTAGGAGAGCCGTGATCTTGCATCATCACTTCGCCGCCATTAGGCTGCGACTGCGAGAAGGACTCTTCCTGCGACGGGCGCATCCTCTTTCTGGGCGGCTCCTGTATGTCGTCTACGCCGGTGCCATAGGCAGAGTCGGTGTGGCCGTTGGGGGCCCCAAAACTGCGTTCAGATGCCATGCTCTGGACGCTCTGCTGGCTGCTTGCGCGGAACGAGTCCTGGCTCCCAATAGGGGCCTGGGGCGGGCGGCCCATGGATCTGCGGCCTTGTGAAGAGCTCGCGGGGCGTGGGGGTGCAGGGGAGTTTAGTCTGGCCACTTTGTTCATGGCAGCGAGCGCACTGGTAGCTGTGGAGGAGATGTTGGAGAAGAAGGTGCCGCCGACGCTCTGGGCCCCGCCGCGACCATCCATGCTCTGGGTGTAGAAGCGCTTCCTGTTGGCGGCCATGGCTTGCTCCTTGGTTGGTGTTTCGATTCCCTGGCCTTGGATCCCGTCTGCACTGACGTCGTAGTCCAGCAGTGGGCGGAGAACGTCCTCGACGCCGTACTGCCGGCAGAACTCCCTCCCTCGGCGGTAGTTGATCCAGGTGCCCTGGTACTTGCCGTAGCCGCCCTGGACCTTTTCGTGCTCGCCGACCAATATCTCTTTCTCGAGCACCTTTGTGCGCTTGCCCTTGTCGACACCGGCAACCTTGAGGATCTGGGTCGCATTCAGCCAGCCGTCAGAGCGGCGGCGCATGACGGCGACGCGGTTCACCTCCATCTCGTACACCGACACTCCTGAGTAGACGGCCTGGGGCGGTTAGCAACATTGTTCGCACGGGGGGAGCCGCATGCGCACGGTGTAGATCTGGGGCTTGTCCATCGAGTGCGGCTGGTAGCCATTGGCGTCGGAGAAGGAGCGGTTGAAGGAGGGCGCGGCCATGACGCCGTGCGGCGAGTTGGCATACATGGCGGGCTGCGAGGACGAGCCCGAGGGGAAGGACTGGGCAACGGTCGAGCGCGCGACTTGCATGCTGCGGCGGGCGGGTGCGAGAGGGCGGCCGTCAGTCGGCGCGGCGCATGCGGGCGCGGTGCGCAGTCGCGGCAGGTTGGCGCTGGCGGGCTGGTTGCGCTGTGGCTGCCGTCTGCTTGCCGGTGGACGCGCGCTGTGTTGCCCCGGGCTGCGGTTGGCGAGGTGCTGGCGGTGTGGGATGCCGTGGGTGGGGACGGTCGCGACTGCCTGCCGGAGCGGAGGAGGGCAGGCGCGTCCACGTTCGTTGTGCGCGTCCTGCAGGTGCCGCGCCGCGCTGTGATTGGACGCGTCGGACGGCAACACTCACCACTCGCATCTGCGGCACCACCAACAGCGATTCCGAATGCAGCCGCCGCAGACGGCCACGAGCCTCAGAGCGCTGCACCTTCTGCGCGCCCTCCTGCGTGAGGCCTCGTACCTGCCCGACGCGGACGCCCGCCGCTTCTTCCACCGCTACATCGTGAAGCGCTTCAGAGCCTACCACACCGCTGACAACGCCTCGCCCTCGCTCGACAAGAAACGCCATGGCTTCGGCAAGCAGAAGGACGCCTCCATCGTCGAAGAGCGCACGCGTCTCTTGCGACGCCAGGGCAGCAAGGGGCTAAACTACTTGCGCCGCGCCAACAACGGAGAGCACGGTTGCCTCAAAAAGATCCTCTTCTTCACCTATGGGCGCATTGGCACGCGCAAGTACGCCCTGTTGGCAGATCTTCTCCGCCCAGATGACCCTACGGCGGTGCTGCAGCCTTCGCCGCTGCAGAAGCTCTACTACAGCAACGACCGCTTTCTCTCCTTCTTCGACGCTCCGAAGAAGGTCAGTGCCACGGACTACAACATCCCCATCTCGGACCATTACCGTCGATTGAAGACGACCCTGAAGGCCCAAGTTCAGAACGAAGTCGCTCTGGGCCGCGAGATCAAGCGGCACCAGATCAACACTCCCATCAACAACGTCTGGGGCCGCCCCATGCCAATCAGGCGAGCTCGCAATATTGTCAGAAAGTGGTACGCCGAAACCATGACACGACTTCTTCCGCCGCTGCCCATCAGCGAGTTCGATAACATGCAAGCTATGGCGGACGGTCGACGGGAGGTCTCCCTGGTTAAGCGGCGCGCGCCTGCTGTTGAGCTCCATCCTCACCCAGTAGAGGAGTCGCCCGCAGCAGATCGGTTTGCGAAGCTAGTGCAGGACGCACTTGTTCTAGAGAAGCCAAGCAGGGCCGACACACGCCGTCCGCGTCACATCGATGCGCCGATAATGAGACGCCTGTATGCCAGTGTCCTGGTGTACTGCAGCAAACTGGAGTGGAACGAGAAATACAAGAAGTGGGAATCTGTCTGGGGCCGTATGCGCGGGATGAGCCCAACCTTCAATTCCGCGGCGCACCACGATGACCTCTTCGCTGGAGTGGACGAGAAAGGTAATCTGCCTAAAGAGAAGCAACCCAAAAGCCCCCAAACTCCGCCCGACGAAGACGACATGGAGGCGTTCCTCAACTCCAAACTCTCAGGCGACCAGAACGCTAGGAGCAAGAGAGAAAAGTATGTCAATGTACCATTCTACGTCAACCTTCTGCCACCGGAACATCCCACTCGTGTAACGGCAAGCAAGTTCTTGGAGAAGCGAGGCAGGGTCCAATCGGCAAGTGGGGCAAATGCCCCTCGCAAACCGGCCCTAGCAACAAATCGATCAGAACGTAGGGCGCGAAACCCATCCACACCTTGAGGGAAGGCGCATCAAGCCAGTATAAATCTCAGCTCACGCATCCATTCATTTCTCAACAACATCTACGTCAAATTACACATACACGTCATGGCTTCCAATGGGGCTACTGTTCGCCACGCGACGCGTGAAGGTACGCGCAGAACAGCTGCACGCGCATTGTGCTCCAGTCGCTGATGCTACGACCCGAATCACAATCTGTGCAAACTGACGTCCCTTGACCCTCTAGCTGACACCTCCTAGATGTCAACACCATCTATGACCTCATCATTGAGCTTGCCGACTACGAGAAGGCCAAGTCGTCCGTGAAGGCGTCCCCCGAGATCCTCGCCAAAACGCTCGCGTTCCACGACCCTTCCACGCCCGACACCTTCACGCCCGGCTACGCGCGCACGTTCCTCCTTGTCGCTCCTGAGGGTGAGGTCGCCGGCATGGCTCTCTACTTCTACAACTACAGCACCTGGACGGGCGTCCCTGGTGTATACCTCGAAGACCTCTTCGTCAAGACGAAGTACCGGAAGAGGGGATACGGCAAGGCGTTGATCAAGGCTTGCGCAAAGGAATGTCTCCGGATCAATGGACAGCGGCTCGAGTGGAGCTGTCTGGACTGGAATACGCCGAGCCTCGAGTTCTACGAGAGCCTGGGTGCGACGCAGAAGAAGGAATGGGTCGGGCTGAGGGCCGAGGGCGACGCACTGGCGAAGTTGGCAGAGAACTAGACATGTATTGATACAAACAAAAAAGGAGCATAGAGGGGCCGACCGAACATCGCACCTACCCCGCTCATTCACGCACGTCCAGCGTCCCCGGCTTTGCTTCGGTGATGGCTGGCTTGGTGTTCTTGTACAACCACCAAGTGGCGGAAGATTTCTTAATCCTGCCAATAACCACGCGAATCACGACTCGCGCACCGCAAATTCGAATTTGACACCAAACAAAATACAGGAATGGCGTCGATAATGCCAGCCAGCCAGCCTGTCGGCGCCCCCGTTGTGGACGTAAACATCGGATAGCGGCTCTTTAGCGCGCACTCAGTGTTTCGGGCGGCTCGGACGAATCACGAATGCGGCGGCGCACGATCATCATCCGAGTGTAGCGTGGGATAGTACCCGGCGCTTGATAGTAGGGCTGGTTCGCCAACACTGGCAATCCATTAATTCGGTATAACAGATCACCAAGTGGTTTGAGTGAAACAACGCACGGCCCCCAAACCATCCCTTGACGGACGACAACAGCTCATCCCTGTCTCACGATGGTCGCCACCGGCGCAAGTTCGCGGAATAATTTAGAGAGGGCCTTTGGTGAGGCAAAGGAGGCTGTAATTTGCCGTCCACATAAGATGGGAGTGTGTACCACCATGGAAGAATATCGGCCTCTCCCACGGATACTCGAATACATTCACTCTTTTAAAAGTCTTTTAGACAGTCACTCGTTATACTGCTCAGGGAGCATTCATTCTTTGACTCATTTTAATTAGCAATCATGAAGTTCACCGCTGCTGCTCTTGTGCTCGCGGGCGCTGTATCCTCTGTCGAGAGTGCTGTGCTTGGGGAGCGTGCTACCTACGCTGTTAAGGGTGCTGCTGAGGGTTGGTATACACCATCCGACGACCATGAATCAATTGACTAACATCGCCAGGTTTCGCCAAGGGCGTCACTGGTGGAGGCTCCGCCGCCTGCGCTGTCCCCTCCTCCACCACGCAGCTCAAGACCTGGCTCAGCGACAGCACCGCCCGCTGCATCGTGCTTGACAAGGAGTTCAACTTCAAGGGCACCGAGGGCACCGTCACGGAGAACGGCTGCCGTCCTGCCTCCAACAAGTGCCCCGGCAACGGCGGCCAGGACGCCATCAACCAGGCCAGCTGGTGCACCAACGGTAATGCCGGCACAGGCTCCACCACCATCAAGGTCACCTACGACAAGGCCGGTATCAGCGGGCTCATTGTCGGCTCCAACAAGTCCATCATCGGCGTTGGCTCCAAGGGCGTCCTCCGCGGCAAAGGCCTCCGCATCGCCAACGGCGCAAAGAACGTCATCATCCAGAACATCCACATCACGGAGCTGAACCCGCAGTACATCTGGGGTGGCGACGCCATTGCCGTGGACGGTTCGGACAGCGTCTGGATCGGTAAGCCACCTCCCAGCCCTCACCTTTCTGACTAACAAACGTTTACAGACCACAACAAATTCTCCCTCATCGGCCGCCAAATGGTGGTCCTCGGCAACGGCGCCTCCAACCGCGTCACCATCTCCAACAACGAGTTCGACGGTGTCACCTCCTGGAGCGCCACCTGCGACGGCCACCACTACTGGACCATCTACCTGACGGGCTCCAACGACCTCGTCACGCTCAAGGGCAACTACATCCACCACACGTCCGGCCGCTCCCCCAAGACCGGCGGCAACTCCCTCATCCATGCTGTTAACAACTACTGGTATGCCAACAGCGGACACGCTTTCGACAACGGTGCGGGCTCCAAGGTCATTGCCGAGGGCAACGTCTTCCAAAACGTCGTGACTCCTCTCCTCGAGAACAAGGGCAACTTCTTTGGAGCTCCCACCACTACTGCCAACGCTGCTTGCTCCGCCAACCTCAAGCACACATGCCAGATTAACGCTTTCGGCAGCTCGGGCACGCTGGGTGGCACTGACACGTCCTTCTTTGGCAGCTTTGCTGGGAAGAACGTGGCGAGTGCTGCCGCGGCGAACGCGGGTACGATCCAGAACGGTGCTGGTATTGGAAAGATCTAAGCTTGCGCGGATATTGGGTCGGATGTGAGGGGACGTGGAGGAACGGTGTTTTACTTCTTGAGTATATATTTCCGAGGCTGGCGATTGCACGCGCAGTCCGTACATAATTACTGGTCTACAGAGTGGACTGCACATACAATTCGATAATATTTGTCGACACGTTGCCGCTTGAGCAGGAGTGTCAACGTCCGTTGTGAGTTGTAGTGCGCGTGAGTTGACACAGGCTCTCGTTTCCATTCGGAGAATTGGCAACGTACATTTCCGAATCCGGCCATGAATAGCTATGAGGTTATGTTCAACTACTCAATTTGAATTGATGGATAGCTTGGCGATTTACTGAGGTCTGGCTAGATCCTGTAGCTATCTCTTGAATAGATACCACTGCTCGATACTGGCTATCCAGACGTTCAGGAAAGCGGGGGCTGAGACTGTCACAGTTGGAAGGGAAACGGCGAAACTAGTACTTAGAATGCCATGCTATTGTCCGTTAATCATGTCATCAGCCACTCGGTGTATCCGGACTCACCTTCACCATCCAGATCAATGTGCTCCGTCTCAGCTTCACCATCCATACCATCCACAGCGCCCCGTTCGCCAGCGCCGATGCTATCGTCTTCTTCTTCATCCAGCTCTCCCAGCAAATTCTCCCATTCCTGGCCGTACTTCTCCATCGCCTCCTCTTCTGCCTTGCGCGAAATTGCTCCCTCCATCGGCAGGTGCAGGGTCTGCCTTCGCAAGCTCTCGCGCATGTACTCCTTCTGCAGTTTCAACACTCCGTTTTTCGTTTTCAAGCTGTTTCTCCGCCGCTCAGCTTTGGACTTCACCTCGTGCTCTGCCCGCTTGACATCCTCGTCGTCGCGTACGGGGCCGGCGCGGATCTCGGCGGGAGACAGGCCAGCCCACCACTATTCAGATGGCGCTCGCAAGGCAGGCGGGGCGATGGGGATGGGGAGGGCGTATACCTCGTTTGTGGGGCTGCTGGAGATCAGCGTGGCGATGGTGCATTTGCGGAGGAGACGAAGAGGCGCGGATGGAGGGTCGGTTACAGCGATGTTGAATTGGTTGTGAGATGCGAGAGCATGAGGCTCTGGCGACTGGGCGTATTCGATGGCGGACTGGATGCGGGCTACCAGCTGGAGTTCGTTGTGGTCAGCATTAGAGCCTGCACTGGGGGTTGCAGAGCGCGGTGTGTCTTCGTTTGAAGACTCGTGCGGCTGAGCGTTTTTACAAGTTCTTGTCTGAGGCTCGGCGGGCTCCGATATCTCGAAAGGGGATTGTCTCCTTGCGGTGGGATCTGGAGTGCTTGACGGTGTTGTCACGTCGAGGTCTACTCGCATGTTAGTAGCTTGAACGCGTATCAGGATACTTCTCTCGTCAGTACGGGCCGTCTCTCTCGAATTAATGCTATCCCTATTACCCTGATCGCGACTTGGAGCCGTCTTTCGTGTCCCGCCCTCGCGAGGCGCCATGGCTAGTGAGATGTTAATACGACGAGCTCTGCTTTATCGAACTTAAAACTGCTTGTGATTGAAAATGCCGAAATTGATTCACAAAGTGGTGGTAGTAGTAGTAGTAGTAGTAGTAGTAGTAGTAGTAGTAGTAGTAGTAGTAGTAGTAGTAGTAGTAGTAGTAGTAGTAGTAGTAGTAGTAGTAGT